CCTGTCCAGGCATACCAAGACATGCTCAAAAAGACTGCTATCGAGCTTGCTAAACGTGGCTTTTGAGTACCTCGGGGTCCCTGTTGAGGGTAAGATGATCGTTTGCACTCTTAGCATTCTCATATCTGATGATTTACAGGCAATTGATACCGGATAGCAACAACTAGCATCATCAAAGATCAGTTGAGATTCGTTCTTGATACTTCATGAGTCAGGTGCATATACAGTCGTTCTGTTTTGGTCAGATATCTCATCCTTCAAATATTTCAAGCTTTACTGCGCCAGCATACCATGGCTCTAATACAATTGCCATCCCTCAATCATGATGTGCTTATCATCTGTGATATGACATTGCTTATTCCATGTCTACACATTGGTTGTTTGGCTTACAGGCGGGAATAGCAGCCTTAAGGTCTGATTATATTCTTTATGGCATGCATCATGAGAGGCGTCGATCTGATTCTTACACGCGTTCATAGACAACTCACACAAGGACGAACATCATCGATACTCCTGAGCAGGATGTCTACCCTCATGATCAAACGCGTCCGCTCCCTGATCATCGGCACGTCTTCCATCCCCTCTGATTTACCACACGACGCTGACACAGAAACAGACAACATGCAAGCTCTTTGCTACCCGGATCTGGACATGTGGAGAATCGTCGGACCCGTCATGGACGAGGATGGCTCAACCTGGCGTGTCTTTCTCAAAAACCTGCTCACCTGCCATCGATTGGGTCCGGAATTACCCATGGCTACTGTGACACCCCATTCGAGGGCAAAGGCGACTCCCCTGAGAACGCCTACAAGGACTTGCTCAAGAAGACCTTTGAGGTACGCTGCATCCTCTACGGAACCGACTTCACTCGTGCTTTGCGTTGCAAGATCTAGGTGGTAAGTCTCATTGTTTCATGTTACAACCGCGACCTCCTTGCTGACTCATATGCGAAGATGGCTTGGATCTCCGACCAGCTCAAAACACGCATGACCAACCAGTCTTGATCCCCGAGCGTCTCCCATCATGACCGCGTGATCACCTCATCTGATGTACTCAAACTCAGCAGCTATCCAAGGCGTAGATAGATCAGATCACACCTTACAGCTGTCACTCAATCAACTCAAAGTCACAAACATGCAACCCAATCTCGTTTGCTTCCAATGATCAAGTGCCATAAAAATCAATTCTGGTACTCGCAGCCTGCACTGCGAGAGGCAGGAACTATTGACATATTCGCCGTCCTGCATTTTGGCATCTCCTGATGCTATGTTTAGTCAATTTCGATACTACAGGAAGTCATGGATTGGTTTCGGATCGAAGCTAAGTCCGGTGAGAGCTCATGCATATATCACTCTCACCAGACATGACTAAAGTTTGCCAATATACTCTGCCGTCCTATAGATCTATATCCATACAATGGTTTGCATTGCACTGTTATATTCGAAGGTCTTGTCAACAATAACAATGACAACGATGAGCTCACTGGTCATGGAAGGTCGAAATTGAGAGTGAAAACTAAGGGACTGGATGTTGCGCAATATGTTAAAGTTCGTGGATCGACTGATTGTTCAGTCTCGCATGCACATTGCTTTCCTCTTTCGAAGCACACCACATCCACATAACAGAATCGATACTAGGCATCAACAACATGTCTGACATCATGAGCCTTCGCACTTTGATCCAGGGTAAGGCCTACTGATGTCAGCTTATGCACCACACTGACACGCGATAGAGAATGTCCGCATCCTGGACAAGAGTGCTCAGAACTTCCGATTCGTAATCACCTACGACGATGAAAATGATTTCGGCCCTTGGATCGTCACTTTGGTTACTTCTACTCGCGCAAGCATCTTGACCCCTGCCAAGAACTCCGACACTCCATACAGAGGCTATGGATCGACCATTGCACTGGTATACGAACACATGCTCAAGAAAACTGCTAAACTGCTCCACAATGATGGTTACTGAGTGAGCATGCGGTATTTCTCTCAAGTCTTAGAAATGGATGACCTTCTGACTCTTTCAGGTTGTTGATTCTGTTCAGCATCCATTGACCAACATGGTTTGAGGCCCGATCATGCACCTTGTGCCAAAGGTTCTTCATAGAAAGACTAGAACTCCTCTTCACCGGGTAGCATAGCCATCGCCTGGAGGGATCAAGCCAGGCACTGGTAGCAAAAGCCGCCGAATCAGAACCATTGAACCTTTCTTCCCTTTCTTCATTCTTCACATGTCCCTAGCAGGTGTTTCTCGGATATCCCAGTTCCGAGATGACCATTCGTCTACACAATCACATATCACTCCAATATGGTTGCAGGAAAGACACTCTAGTCTAGATCAAGGACAGCCGCTCCAGCTTTTGTTGGCTCGCTTGCAACGTAGAAAAGCGAATCGAAGTCCCGAGCACACATCAAAGAATGGTAGCGATAGTTTTGCTGTTGTTGACTGGAAAAATCCCACACGAGTGTGAGACATTGGGAGTTAACGTCCCAAAAGATGTCATGAGGCTCTGCAGGAAGCCAACGTAGAAACATCCCATATCGTTCCTTCTTAAGCACTGTTTATCCTGCATTTTCACGATGTCCTCACCACCTCTTTACAATAATCACAGAAAGGCCATTGAGTGGCCATCTTTGTCCAATTCTCAAAATGCCCAAAACCGTGGCGCTGCGCGCACAAATCCTAGGTATATAAGCTCAAACCTTAAACCTATGATCAAACTTATATCTTTAACATCCGTTCAGAAAATCTAGAGATACTCGAATATCCCAACCTCAAAAAGTGTCGCTTTATTCTGACGTGGAATGGTTTTGACGATGACGGACAGTGGACTATTTTTCTTGGTCGTCTTGATGTTCCGATAAGTCATAAAGTGCTTGCCAATGACTACCATGGCAAGGGAAATACACCGGAAGAGGCTTTTAGAGGGATGCTTAAGCAGACTGCGAGGCAGCTGTATCTCTTATCTCTGTGACCAAAGCATCCAGTGCACTTGGGCAAGTGCTTCGAAAAGCAAGTTCAGTCAATGTCTCTTCATCTTGTACTTCTCTTACGCCTTTGTCGTTATAGTCCAGCATGCGTTGTCGATAAAGTCTGTCAATCTCACTCCTGAGAATGCAGGAACCTCTCTTGGAGGCATGCACAGTGGCATCAGTAGCTATACTAACGCCTAACGAAGCACCAGGACTGTGAGTGAATGTTCCGGAAAGTGCTTTGTGAGGACCTCCATATCGTGTGTTTACTTTTGCACTGCTCGTTCTTTCCTTCCTCCATCGCGGACCAAAAACACAATCACACCTGGACACAAACAACAAACGCGAATCAGGACTTGAAGTCAACATGGGCGAAATCAGTGATTTGCGCGCTCAGATCCTTGGTAAGCTCAATCTTTGCAGCCCTAAGTCTTTCCAGTTATGACCAACACTTTACAGACAACTTGGAGATCCTTGGGGAGACCGATCTGAAACACCTCCGCTTCTCTCTCACTTGGGATGGCCACGAAAACTGGTATGTCTGGCTTGAGCATCTCGATCCTTCGAGGCGCGGCGAAGACCATGGCCGTGGCCACGCGGGCAAGGGCTCCACCCCTAAGGAGGCCTACTTCGATATGCTGAAGGAGACTGCTTCTGAGCTCTACGCTCACTACCAATGAACAAACGTCTCAGAGATGGTAAGGCATTTGCAAAAGTTCGCTGGTCCGTGATGACAATGTTCTGATCTCCCAGCAGTGTACATGACTCCTGCCAGCGAAGGATCAGTTTTCATTCGTCCTCGATATGGCTGTTCCAACTTTAGCGACTGCATCTCTCATTCACGTGAAGAGAGGCACAAAGCAACGACTAGTGGAAGATGTCAGTCCGAGAGCAGAATCGATCAGATCAAGGAGGGGAGAGGAAATAATCAAATGAAGAAAGCACAATACACGATACAAACCAAACGAGGTTGCTTCTTCCTTCAAATACTGTCAGACATCAGGGGTATCGTGCAATGTCAGATGCTGAACCGTAGGCAATTGCCTCACTAACATCAGACAAACTATCACTCGTCACTGTCAGTTACTATTTCGGAAAGTGCTTGTGAAGACCTACCTGCGTTCGTATGTGCGCTGCCCTCTTTTTTCTTCTTTTCTTCTCTCCTTCCTTCAGGCTGTTCCTCCTCCACCACAAACTAACAACGCAACTTGACCTCGACATCAACCACGTGTATCAACATGTCTGAAATCATGGCCCTACGCACTCTGATCCTTGGTATGTCTTCAACACCTCACCCTCGAAGCAATACTGATCCCTGATAGACAACATCCAGACTTTGGACCCCGATTTTAAGACAGACTCTCGCTTCGTCCTCACTTGCGAGGGTCTTCGACGACGACGGCTCTGAAGAGTGGACTGTAGTCCTAGGACGTCCTAGAAAAGGCGGTTACAACGAATACTATGATCATGGCAAGGCGAAACTCCCGAGGCTGCCTACAGAGCTTTGCTCAAGCAGACTGCCTTCGAGCTTCACAACTCTGGCTATTCGTGGAGTTAGTAATGCTGTTCAAAGGTACAACTGAACCACGTTTCCATAACGTGTTGTAAAAGACTGACCTCCATCAAGCAACGCCGCATCAATCAGTGATGGAACTCGGGAACATACTCCGACGATGAAACCCTGTGCTGAACAACGACGGTAACGCAGCAAGAACCGCAAGCGATATGGCGAGCTCAGACGAGGCGAAGTGAAAACGGGGAAGAGAAGTGGAACAAGATAGGCAGCTCAAACAAATGAGTGGGCGGATTGATTCTTTCTTGAAGATACTGCCAGTATCAGGGGTATCATGCAATGCTACAAACCTAGCGAAAAACGAAAATTCATGAACGCCTACCATAATGCAACCTTGAGATGCTTTCGTGACTTCAAAACTGCAAACCAGCCATCCGATCTCAGTACTCGAATGACTTCTCGTGCTATTTCTCGCATCCAGACAACCATGTCGTGACTCGAAGCTCGTTGCGGTCCTACCTGGCGTCGCGGCTTCTCGAACGTGAACGATCGCGCTTGCTGACTTTCTCGCTGTCTCGGCGAGAGGCGCCAGCGCTGGCAGAGGGAATGTAGCGGTCGGTTTTTGGTCTGTCGTCGTCTCTGCGGCGACGGTCGCGGTCTCTGTCGCGATCTCGTTCTCGCTCGCGCTCCCTTTCTCTGTCTCTGTCCCTGTCTCTGTCTCGCTCACGGTCCTTTTCGCGATCCCTATCACGATCCTTGTCACGCTCCTTTTCTCTCTCACGCTCGCGATCTCTGTCTCTGTCTCTGTCTCTATCACGTACATCGCGATCACGATCCCTATCTCTGTCTCTTGAGCGATCGCGAGTGTGACGGTCTGATGGTGCGTGGCGGTCGGGCGGGACGTAGCGATCGCCCTGACCTCTAGGAGAGCGAGTACGAGAACGTCTTCTGCGAGTATCACGGTCCCGGTCCTGGCGGTCGGAGGGGACGTAGCGGTCGCCTCTGTTGAGAGGGACTGCGAGAACGATCACGGCGTGCGGGTCGGCGGTCACGCGAAGGAGATCTGCTGCGACGGTCCTTGTCGCGGAGCTGTTTCGCTTTCCATGCCTCGCGCTCGGCACTAATTTCGCGCAAGGTGGACTCGCGACGACCCTCGTAGCGATCGTAGCCTCGCTCTCTCATTCTGTCTCGGTCCCGGTCTCGGTCTGCGGGGCGGTAGTGGCGGTCTGCTGACGGAGAACGGCGATCACGGTCGCGGTCTCGGCGGGCATATCTTCTGTCCAGGCTCTCGCTGCGTTCACGTTCGCGCTCCATCTTCTTTGCTCCAGATTTGGAGGCCATGGCTTGACCTTCTTCGAGCAGCATGCGCATAGCCTCCTGCTCGAGACGCTTGGCCTCTTCCTCCTCTTGAATCTTCTTGCGTTTGGCTCTCTCTTCCTCCTCTTTCTTGCGTTCTTCTTCGAGTAGCTTTTCCTTCTTCTCGCGCTCTTCGGCAAGAGCCTTGAGGCGAGCCTTCTTTCTCTCTTCTTCTTTTCTGCGGAACTCTGCTCTTTCAGATTGTTTCTTCTGCAGAACTTCCAAACGTTCCTTCTCCTTCTTCAACTCCTGCTCACGCTGTTTCAAGGCTTCGAGCTCGGCCTTCTTCTGCTGAGCACGTTCCTTCTTTACGAGTTCCTTCATGTCTTCGGCATGGCGTTCTTGACGTTCTTTGTGACGGCGTTGTGAGGCCTCAGCGTAGACTCGGTCAGGCTTGTTGCCAGCTTCCTCCTCTTGCTTTGCTGCTTCTTCGCCAATCTCGCTTCTGCGAATGTCCCGTAGAGCTTGTTCGGCAGTGTGGAGATAGTCTTGGATAAAAAGGTCAATATCGGCTTCGGTCTTTGGGTAGATGTCTGCGCGAGCGGCAGCACCTTCAAGGAGGGGAGCAGCCAGGCGAGGGTTCTTGGCGAGGTATTTCACAGGATCACGATCGATTTCGGCATCTACGAAGGAGCGGATTGATTCGACTAAGGTGTCTTTTGTTGGCTTTTATGATTTCGTTAGAGATTGTAGTGTGCAATACAAGTAAATGTGAACATACACCGTGCTCAAAGTGGGTAAAGGTATTCTTGCGCAGGTCGTCGAACTGACCCTTCTTCTTGAAGGTGTGCAGCAGACTGTCTATGGATGCACGCTTGGATGAAGAAAGAGGCAGGTCCGACACACGAGGGGGTTTGGGTCTCGGCATGTCTGGCTGGGCGCCGGCAGTCGTGTCGGCCGCCGCTGCCATGATTGTTGCAAGAGAAGGTGTTGGCGATGATAATTAATTGATGCAAGTTTGGAGATGGTGATGCGGGATGCGGAAGGCACGCGGAGCAGAGACTCTGCCAAGACCGAGCTTGACGGCAGGAACGAGCGTCTTCGGATGCAGACGCAGCCAGACACGACGAGAAGGTCAGCAATTGACAATTGTATACTGTCGGCCACAAGTCTATTCACGACTTTTACACGCCCTCCTCCACTCAACCACACGACGTACTGCTGAGCCGGGAGCTCTCTTCAACTGCAGTCCGACCCCGACCCAACCTCTACCAACACTACACCCGTCATATCACCAGTCGCAATGTCCAAGATCCTGTTCTGGGGCGGTTTCGGTGCGCATACCCTCTTGTACACACCGAAAGTTGAGCGCAAACACTCATGACATACTACAGGCATTGCCGTCCGCGTCTGGCAACTCGGCATTGAGATGCGTCCCATCATCCAGCGCAACTCCCTCTGGGCATACCCTCTGTTCGGCGGCATTGGCGCAAGTTTCGGTTACTGGCTCCAGGGTGTTGAAGAGAGACAGCTGCGCATTCTCCAGGACACCAAGGAATCATTGCTCGAGAAGAGAAGAAGACGCGCCGAGAGAGAGGGCGGCATCAACATTGGTACCGAGTACCAGAAGAACGAGGAGGGCCTGTTTGCTTCTGCCCCCGCTGGTCACGGTGTTCCCACCAAGCAACATTAAATCATGACATTTTGATATCCAGAGAGCTGCTACCTCCACCGTCATGTACATTCAACCACTCACCACCACCCACTTCTTCGGCTCCGTTTCGTCCTCTTTCTTAGTCATTATGCTAGACAATCAAAAATAACAAACTGTCAAAACATTGTGCGAGCCCAGCAAATTGATAATCCCTCGGAATTAAGTCGAGTCTAGCAAGAAGTTTCCACCTTGATCAGCAGCACATCAAGATCCTGAGACGTAGTTACTCTTGGTTGATGTCAATGCAAGTGAAAGTGTCATTGTTCCCAGCGCTACCACGGGTCCAACCTATGAGTAGTCGGATTAAAAGCTTCCACCAAGCACCAAGACTGGACTTTGACGAAGCGATCCTTCCATATTCCTCTCGGAGTCTCGGGCCGACCTTCCTATGTCTACCAAGAACGTACCGTGCAATCACTCCAATACAAATCAACAAGTACATTCCGTACCAAACTTATCACATCATATGAACAGAACTTCGAATAACATCTATTGACATACTCAAAGCATATGCTTTCTCTATTGGACACGACTAGCATTGACACGCAGACATTCTTGGTGACGGCTGCCGAACACCCACAGTCGACACCATCAACACTTGTCATCAACACACTGGCCAAGGATTGATACCGCAAGCTGTCGTATACATCTACTGTCTATAACTCTGGCTATCTTCCAACCACCTGACCTCTTCTCCGCCCAAGACACAACTGCGCACGCGACCAATGGAGACTCAACCACCACGAAACACATGGCCAGGGTCACTTCGGCTTCCATCTCCAAATCCATCTTCCAGATGTAGTCAGATAACAATCTTTGGTGGTGGCACGGGTACGTCTCTCACAAGAGAACTATACCTCAGATCTTGACCACTGATGACACGATTCAAGNCCACCAACCATCTTGTCGACGTGTTCACGAATCTCGCTCAGGCCAACAACAGTGTGCTCAACTATGTCATTCCTATCAGTGACAATGGCGGTAGCTCTAGCGAGCTGATACGAGTATTTGGCGGTCCTGGTATGTCAATATCTAGATCACATGTATCGTGGGGTTCGAATGCTGACATGAAATACAAGGCATTGGTGATCTGCGCAGTAAGTCGATGACATCTCATCTCTGCTCGAAAGGGCAGCACCATCATCTCCGTCTATTTCCATAAGATACTAAGTCTGTTTCTCTTATGTAGGTNNAGATTGGTCCGTCTAATCCCTGACAACGGTGACCCTCACTCCGAAGCCGCGTCCATCAAAGCACTTTTCAACCATCGTCTACCACCAAATCCCAAAGAAGCACGTCTAGAATGGCTGGAAATAGTCGAGTCTCTGCATCCACTGTGGCAGCAGATCTCTACACCCAAGAAGGAGCTCATCAGGAGTTTCTTAAACTTGGTGAATCAAGAGATTGTGAAAAGAATGAGACCAAGCTCTAGATTCGACTTCTCGTCTGCGAGTATTGGCAATTTGTTCTTGACTGGGTGAGTACACTTTCAAATCGATCACGAAAGCTAGCCGCCACTTACCGGATGTACATCAGTGNCTCGACTCTTCTCCGGCAGCTTAGAATCAGCAATCTACCTCCTCAGCAGCGTCTGCAACGTGCCAACAAGCATAACCGTGCTCCCCGCCATAAACACAAACTTCTCGCACCACATCTCCGTCTCTTTGGCAGATGGCACGCACATCACAGGCCAAAACAACATTTCTCACCCGTTAGCTCCTTCCTCTCTTCCCGACCTCCAAGCCCCACCCTCACCAACCCGCATCCGCCGCGAAACAGAAGAACAAGACAATGTCGAAGATGCAAACCTACCTGGCTCCTTACCCTCCCTCCGCCGCCCCGCCATAAACTTTTCAAAACTCCAAGAAGAGGATTTGCCGGCTAGGATCGAACGGTTATGGTACATAAACCCTTACGGCCAGGAAATGAGTTGTCCCGCAAACCCGCGCGTGTTGGATGCCCTTGCAAACTCTTCAACAGTGATTTACAGCATTGGTTCGCTATTCACCAGTATCATACCGAGTATAATACTCAGGGGTGTGGGTAATGCGATTGCTGCTCCAAACGTCCGTAACAAGATTTTATTGCTCAACAGCAGTATTGATAGAGAAACCGGACCCAGCGCAACGCCATTCACGGCTATGGATTTCGTGGCTGCGATTGCGAATGCGTGTGCGGAGAGTAGAGGATTACCTCCGCCACAGCTGGCAGAGTATGGGGTGTATGTTACTCATCTCGTCTATATGGAGAACAAGGAATCGCCCAAGGTGGACAGAGACGAATTGGCTAAGGCAGGGATTGAGGGAATCAGACTTTATGGCTTGAGTGGGAAGTATGATGATCGAGCCCTGGAGCAAGCGTTGAAGATGGTCTTGGGCAAGGGTGAACAAGGCAATGGTCTCAGCAGAAGGAATACTCTGCAAAGATAGTTGAGAAATGGGGATTTCTCTGGACAATCCCAAATTTCAGATACAATTGTGCCTTTTGATAGCGACCTTTTCCCGCATGCGGCGGGTTGGGAGTGAGTGATGTATTACATGTGAAGGAGAGATAGATGTGTTTCTGAATTCTCGTTAGGGATACCTCGTGGCGTGTTAACAAATGTATGCTTCATTATGTATGCTCCCCATATATCGATTACTGATATCTTCTAATTAGAACTCTCGTTCAAGCTCCTGTTTCTTACTCCTCGGGTTCACGGCCACCTTGCTTTCTCATCTCCTCTAAGTAGTCTTCCTCAGACTGCAGATCAAACTCCATAGGGTGAGTGATGGGCACGATGGGAACCTTCTTCTCTTCAAGAACCTTGAGCCTAGCAGCTGTAAGAGGCTTGCTCTTGTTGATGCTGTAAATCTTGACACGGTGACTNATAGCAACGCATTAGCACAAAGATCTTCTTTTCACTGCTCGTGGCAAAGGAGAGTGCAAGACTCACCAACTTGAGGTAACGTGCAGATCCCAGTTCCAGGCCGAGCGCACATAAGTAGGCTGGGTGTTCATGGCGTTGTCCCATGTTCTGACACACAACTCCAACCAACCCTCAGCGTCGACAGGAAGATCCATCTCCCAGAGCCTCCAGGCGTAGTAGTACTTCTTACTCAAGTTCTCGTAGGGGACTTCATACCAGACGCTGCCACCATCGCCAGAGACTTCGACACGGACGGGCCAATGGCCACCACCGGAATAGGCCCAGCCACGCATCTTGATCTTACCGTCGTGGATGATTTGCGCCATGTTGACTGGAGACATGATGGCTGAGGAGACAGGCATGTCTTGAATACTGAAACCGTTGCTGTACATGGCGTTCTGCTTGCCGACCTGGGGTGTGTAGTAGAGATACTCCTTTGCCTGGACGGGGGCAAGACTGGGGCCTCTGATGGCCTTGATCTTGTAGAGCCATTTGCAACTTCTGGCACCAATGTCTGTTTGTCTTTGATCAGCAAAATTCTGGAATCTGAAAAGGACAGGCTACTCACACCCGAACACCACGGTACGCAGAGGGAATCCGTGAATCTTTGGCAAAGGCTCGCCATTCATCTCCCATGCCAGCAATACCTCGTTGATCTTGACCTTTCTCCAAGGCACACTGACCACGTAGTTGTAGACCTTGCCCTTCTTGAAGTAGGTATCGGCACCGTAGAACTCAAGGTGCACGCCTTCGCCGCCGTCTTTGAGGCCACCACAGTGCTTGATGACCTTCTTCAAACTGACACCGGTCCAGCGTGCTGTTCCAATGGCACCTTCACCCCATGGAGCGTTGATCAATTCATCACCATCACCAGGGTATTCGTGAATCTGCTCAATACGACGAGTTCCAGAGCATTGCAAACTGACGACATTGCTTTGGCGAGGGAACAGTTCCTCGTTCTGCAGGTCTGCAAGTGTGAGTCTCTTGGGGTCGTTTACTAAACCCTCGATATCCAGAGTATACTGCTCCGGGTCGATCTCGGGAATGCCACCGTGGTTGCGGACGAAGTGGTCCTTGTTGTCAGTAATCTCGGTTTCTACTAGACGATCCNNTGTAATTTTTCCGGTATGGTTAGTGCGTGTTCGTAGGTTATTGAAACAGATAAAAAGTACCCTAGGAGGTTCTCCGTTGTAGGGGAACTGCAGGACGTGAATCATGTCCTCGCTCTTTTCCCTTCTTGACGTAGTCCCAGCTGCTTTGGTCAGTAGTCATTCCCTTCAGAGTATCTTCAGAATACTTTACCTGATATCCGGAAGGTCCTTGAGAGTTTCTCCCATAGCATAGTGGTATTGCTTCCATCTCACACCTTCCAGAACAGGGTTGGTCTCGGGCAGAGGCTTGAGCTGGAATTCCGGTGGTGGAGGGAAATTGTACTTGGCCAAGATCTCTTCAGCTTGCTTCTTCTTCTCTGGGTATTTCTGGGCGGAATGTCAGAAACTTGCCCAGTTGATGAAAAAATTGGTTGTTGGTTGACATACCTCCCACTCGATGTAACCTTTCCATCCCTCACGTTCTTCCGCGTAGAATGGGGCTTCCCCTCTAATTTCGAAATCTTCGAGCTTGCCGGAGCCTTGCTGAGTGGTACCAACAGCAACAGAAGCCATGGTTTATGGTCAATTGCCTGAGAATTGATTAAGGTGTGTGTGAGTGGATGTCGGAGGTTGCGACGAGGGGAACCAGCTAGATAAGAATCGCGCTGGGCAGGCACGGCTGATCTTTAGTATGGGAAGGCACGACGCCATGCGGTGTGCCTGACGTACACAATCACTCTCGTAGGCCGGCAATCCATGTCGTTAATCAATTGGTTCACCACAGATCGCACTAGTGTTGACAGGACGTGGAGGGACAGGTGCTTGTCTTGTGGAACTCTCTGCACTCCTACATCCCCAAAGAGTTATACAACGCTTGGATACTCGTCCGTCGGAACTTCTTAACCTTCTACCTGCCTCAACACAGTCCTGGAAACTCAAAAATTTCCTATTGTTGTTTATCAAGCTCGACAAGGATGAGGCTGACTCTGCGGAGAACAGCTCCGTTGTTGGCCAATGATGATGTCACAGCATCCGGCAGTTCTTGCCTTGTTATCGAGTTTTCCCTACCTTCGTTCGCAGCAGATTAGCAATCCTTCCAGTTTTACAGGCCTCTATCCGAGTAGAAACGCCGCAAAGTCCGTACTGTAAAGTGCTGCACCGTGTCCCATGTATCGAGTTTTGGTCTTGATTTGCTGCTGCGCTTCTCTGTCCCAGCCACTGGGATATATGTTCGACACTACGGATATGCATCACTCCTCCGCAATTGCCATAGTTTTGTGACTTCCATAACTGTTTTCGAAGCTAGGGTCAAAAAGGTGCCAGAGGTAGTGGGTGATATCTTGGGCTCGAAGAGCCATGCTTGTGATTACTATTTATTGGTGCGGACGAAACGTTGCGCATTACAGAACGTCAAATGGGTATTGTTGAAACAAAAGAAATAGTGCTGATGCATCGCTCATGCAGTGCCCACCAAGAGGCTAATGGAAATAACAAAACAACAGAAAACAGGAAGCCGACTTCTTCTCGGTCAATAGAAGAACATGAAGGCGAAGACACCGCTCAGCAGTGCCAAGTCGGAAGCGCTGCTTCTGTGGGCTGCAGATGATGTGTCGAAGGGAGTACCGCCGCTGCCATCTTCGGTCTGAGTGTGCTTAGCAGCTTGTGTTGATGAAATCGCAGTCTCGGTGGCCATGAGCACTGACGATGGTGTGCTGGTGGCGAAGGCGAGCGATGTTCCGGTGATGGTAGATGTGACGCCAGTAAACACAGCAGGGTCGGCGCTGCTGGAACTGCTGTATTGAGGAAGAGGCTGGATCGTAGCGGTACTAAGCGCGGTGACGAAACTGGTGCTCAAGCTGGACGTATCGACTATGATACCAGTGCTAGTAGGGGTCATGTCGCTGACAGTCATGGTGCTGGAGCCGATTGAGAATGATGCCGGGATTTTTTGAGCACTGCTAGCTTGAGTTGCGCTGGCGGCATTGTCACAGAGTTCTGAAACACCCTGGCCCTTCATGAAAGCAGAGATGATATTACTGCCACCATAGTGTTGACCTTGGCAAGAGCTTTTGACAGCGGATCCCACTGAAAGTAAGGCCGAGAGGCAAGAAGGAGAGCACTCTTTGGATTGGAAATCTTGACCATCGCAGCCGTTGATGTCGGAAGTGTAGATGGTCTGGCAGGCGCCGGTCAAGTCGTCCAAGCGTGGAGTGAAATCGTCGAGCGTGACTGCTGATGCAAACTGCAGGACGAGCAAGAAGGCGATGAACAACATTGTCGGGTGATACATGGTTGTGATGTGGATGTGGATGTTGATTGTGCGATGAGTTTTGTGATGTTGTTGTAGCTGTAGAGGCGCCGGCCGAAAAGCACCAGGCTATCAAGAATTAATGATGATTGCACCAGGCAAGCTTTGCACGCTTTTGATGATAGCGGTGAGTCTTGTCGCGTGCTTTGTGTAATGTGAATGGAAGCGAAATCAAGCTGCAAGGAAGAATTGAATCGTGGAATCTTGAATGCACGGGGTGGAGCCTGCCTCTCAAAGGAAGTTGTGAAATGAAATCGAGCTCCAAAGGCGATATGGGAAGGAACAGTGCAGTTTTTGCATTTCGACAGGAGGGATATACAAAAGCTTTTGACAGGGAAGTAGCGATTGACAGCACAGGGTAGATCGCCTTGTTCGTCCCCAGTACACGGACTACCAGGCAACGTCACACACCTACTATGTTCATGTTCTTTGCTCTTTCACACGAACTTGTACCCGTTTGATGAGGATGAGACGTGAGATGACCCCTCTTGAGAAACTTCTGAAACACCGTCTTTCGGCGATCCTTGCGCGAAATCTGGCATGCAACGCTCGTGATTGGGCGAAACAGGCGCCAAGGGAGAACCTCGCACGCGAAGCGATCAGAGCATCTTTCACGAGCTTTGACAAGGACATCTCAATATACTCGTTCGTGCACGGCGAACGGCCGGAGTATCGGAGTAAGACACACGATATAAAGACAGTGCGATCTCTCCATGACACGGAAAAAGGGAACATCTCACTCTCGTATTCCTGCCAGCACCACGGATAGAATCATATCCCTTCCGTTTGTCCATTCCGGTACCGCGTTCTCTCGTCGTCTCTCTGGCAGGCACGTTTCATGTCTCCTTCACGTCGGGTAAGAGTTCTGCTTCATGGCTCCGGCATGAGACGGACTCCCCACCAGCAAACAGTCGAGCACCGCATGCGGACGTGACATGGCTGATCTATAACGTGCCTGAAGCACCTATCAAACTTCGCTTTCCCCCACCCATACGTTCCTGCAGCTCCGTTGCAACAACGAGCCTAGTAGAAACGGCAAGGCATCCTTGTCAAGGTGGATATTCCACCCATTGTTATGCAAATTGGCACAGAGTCGGTCCCCAGGATGCGTAAGCTACAAGTCAGAGTGCCTGACCACTCTTAGGTGAACGCGGTGGACTTGACTCGTAGCTCTGGTCAGGGTGCTCGCCTGAAGGGCACTGTCGGAAGACATGAATAAATTGACCGTGAAGGCTTGACTTTGATAAACTGTTGATGGCCTAAGAACGGTAGCCAAGAAGCTCAACTATATTACCATTGACGTATATACTACAGAGTTGATTGATCGGTCGATGCACTTCTCCTATCGTGGTTGGAATGTACGGAGTAATCTCGCGGAGCCATCTTCCCAAATGTAGCTCGGTGAGGATACAGAAAAGATCTGCTGAAACCTCAAATCAGGGGGAATACCACGCGTCGCCGTAATACGAAGACGATGCTGAGATCTTCAAGGCACCATGAGGAAGCCAAACCAGTCAAGCAAAGAGCAAAGCGACCCTCGCGAACCCTTGTCTTGGCACGAATCTGTCGTACCCCACACTTCGAACGGATGATCTCATTCAAGATTTTTTTTGTATTTTTCTTCCGCTCCCATAACAACTCAGTCCACAACACACAAAACACGGGCCTCTTTTGCTCTTATTCGAAGAGACTTTCCAGTAAACACGCACAATGTCAGACCAAAACTCGCCTTCGCAGTCGCCGGTACCGCCGCAGTCCTCTTCCACTATTCCTACTACGATTCCCACCATTCGTCCTAAGAAGCAGAAGCCAAATTTCGCACGCCCTGCAACCTCGGATCTCCAGTCACGTCTTCAGGCTTTCCTCCCACAAATGGCAGCTGCGAATGCTGAGCTCGAGAAGCTTGCGAAAGAGGGTGGCCTTGAGGGTAAGAGGCTCGAAGATGTAGGCGAGGGTGATGAGTACGTCGAGATGGAGCTGGGCTTGGGTGTTATGGAGGAAAAGAAAGAGGGAGAGGACAGTGGCGACAATAGCTCAGATGAGAGCTCGGAAGACAGCAGTGAAGACAGCAGCGAGGATGACGAGGAAGATGATGATGAGCACAAGAAGAAACAGAAAGAGAAGGAGCAAAAGGAGAAGGACATTCTAGGCAGACTCATGGGACACAAGCAAGGCAGAGAGAATGCTGCTGGCATTCAAGAGGTTGAGTGAAGCGCTAGTCTCGCTGCCTATTTTTGCGCTTTTCACGCCCTCGTCTCAGGAAGAAGCGATGATACCGATCGACCACAATGCCGGCCATGGCATGACCCAGTCTCTCCACAATCCTCGCTCTGTAGCAACGTCTCTTGGCTCGTCGAACGCTACTTGTCGGTCAGACCCATGTCTTCTACCTCCTTCACGACCTGAGGCGCTTTCTCTCCTCCATTCGGCTTGGGAGCCAACGTCGCTTTTTCGACAACATGCGCACTGCTTTGTGTCGACTTTTCAGTGAACGCGAACTCTCTGATCTCGCAATCCTGCCATCCGGTACCTNNTGTCATGTCAGCGTGAACCGTTGTTTACAACCTCCACCTTGTCGACTCACCAAGGGAAGCGTTGAAGCCGGTCCAGTCTTCGGTCAAGGCATGCAAGAAGCCTCCATGCGAGACGACAACCACAACCTCCTCTTTGCGTCCGAACAGCCATGAGCGGAGTCTTGCAGCGCGTTTCTGTACAGTCGCTCTATCTGGCGCCCATGTGCCTTCCNNTGCAATACTGTCAGCATTGGCATGTTTGAACGTTGAAGGACTTGCCTTTGAGTTCCATCCCTCCTCGACCGCCTTGAAGTCGATACTCTCACTAGGAACGCCCAAGCCTGTGTCCCAAAGGTCTCCAGCTCTGACCTGTCTCTCCAGTTCATCTCGATCGGTACCAACACCACAGGCATATGCGTTCATCTCCTGCGCCATTGGCTGTAGAACAACCTTCACTCCGTCTCTGTGTAAGGCAGGTGCGAAAGCGTGTACAGCTGTCTGAAGAGCACGGCGCAGAGGTGATGAGACGATCAAGGCTACAGAGTCATGGTGAGGAAACGAGGCGTTGAGATCCTGGCATTGAGATTTTCCATGAGGTGTCAAGACTGCATCAGGGATACTGTCATCGTGNCTAGAGCTATCATCAGACTTAGTCAAACAAGAACGATGTCGCTACCAATTTACCTGTGCATTGTGCTCTCCCTGGGCGTGGCGGACAAAGTAAAGTGTTCTCGGCGGCATGACTGAGTCTTGAAATTGGTATGCTGTGTAGCAGAGAGGTTGTTGTCACTGGTCGGAATTTCTCTCGAAAAAGTGGCAGAGATGTTTGCATGTGAAGAATCAATGAGAGGATCCCTTGTGATGTAAACTCGGGAAACCTGCTTCGTCGAGACACCGCGACTCGGCCGCACTTGCCTGATCAGGATTGTTGGACTACTTCACTCCTTCCCAACTGAATTTCGCGAGGGAGTCCTGCAGGCTCCTTGGTCACAGAGAATAACGCCATAACTTGCTCTTTCAGGGATGTCTAATGGTTTTAAATATCAATGCCAGGCAACAGAAGTTCTGAGCGAGGTCTGACATGTCAACACTATTTGTACGATGGTCTCTGGCCATCATTGCTACAATACGATACTTCGATTCGAAGTGGGCAACCTTCAAAGCGATTGGCTCATCCAGAAAGACATTCCCGAGTGTGTTGGTATTGGCACTTGGTCAGCATAGTATATTGCGAACACTTCGGGCGATGGCGTTGCATACAGCAGACTGTCCGACAATGAGTTGGTTGCCATCGCGCTGGACAGGTTCATCTCTAACTTCTGCGACTCGTCATAAGGGTTGTTCCAGCCCTGGAGTAGCTGCAACCGATGCTACGAAACTTGACTATGACCTTCAAGTGAAGGCCACCAAAGCGATCTCACTCGAAGAACGTACTCAGCTGCTCGTCAGTACCTGAAGCACAATCAGACAACATCGAGGTGATACATTGATGTCAATCTGCCTTATACACATCGAACTGGTGGAATGGCGCAGCGGTAGTAGCTCGTGTCTCCCGTGAAGTTAGCCAGAGTCCACCGGTTCGATTCTCCTCATCACCACAAGCCATTGAGAGGGTCAATTGACCCTTGTCCACGACAAAAGCAAGATGAAAGAATACTTTCTCTTCCCCTACTCGCAGTACGGCGGCCAGGAGGGTTTCTGTTTTGCCAAGTTCGATCAGTATATCTATTGGCGAGTATTTGTCTTTATGCGGCGGTCGTAGAAGCTAAGCTACTTTATTGCGCAAGAACAAACAGCAGAACTAACAGCTGTAGATCTGCCGCTCTTCCCGTCAAGCATTCGTAGAACCTGTCGAAGGGCATAAGTTTATTCGCCGCAATCATGCTCATTGCACCCACAATTTTAACAATTCGCTTGCGTCACCCGACCAGCTTTTCTATAGAAGATGGCACTATCTTTTCTTCTTATAACTCTTTGCATACCACAATCAGACCGATTGAACATAAAGCGGCTTCTTCACCGACCCTTCCACATCTCACCATTTGTCGAATTCTTGACTCCGAGACCGGCCAACGATATAGATTCGCCAACCATGGTTATCAGATTCACGGCAAATGCATCACCGTCAAGTCCTTCTACCAGCGTCGTTGTCGAATTCTTCTCTGGACGCCGGGTTAGATTGACTGTGCCTTACCCGATGTGATCTGTTATCGAATCTCTAAGGCAGCCTCCATCTTACAAGAATACCATCAGACCAGAAATCATCGAAAGAGTCACCCGTCCGATATTCGGCTACATTAATTGGATCAAGAGAATTTCGATTGATGACGCCTGGTTCGAAGATCACACTACCGACAGCAATATTGCGACTTCGACTGATGATCTGCCCTTACGGGACACTTTTGAGAGATCTTTGCTATCAGGCAGCGAATCTGGCGACGGATGCTACACGCCCGGTTCAGAGTCCTGTAGCTCCGAAGACGAATATAGCAGCGACGATGAACAGCCTCTTCTGCGCAGGGCACCATTGTCTGAAGATTCCTCGGTCGACACTGCTCGAGAGACCACTAGGCGGTCTATCAAAGCACGAGAGCTCAAAGATGAATTCAGAAAACGGCTTAGAAGGTCACTTCCCTACTGTGTTATTGGAGCCAGCCTGTACGCTCTCTGGCCTTTACTTCAAAGCGGTACAGCTTTCACAAACGAGCGTGAGTCCAACGCTTGGGACTTGGTCACAAAAGCTCCTACCATGAAGTACTTCATCTCCTGGCAGGGTTGATGCTCTTCACTTGTTGGTTTCGCTACTTCTTTGTTCGAGACCCCAAATCCATATCCCAAGAAGCAGTTGCGAACCGTACTTGGCGCAAAATATCTATGGAAAGTGGTCGCAGTAAATCTATCAGGACCTGCGGCAAGCTCTTCCTCCTCTGCCAGTTTTGGGCTTGTGCCGAGCTGGGCTACAAGACCCTCACAGACACAGACACTTCCGATCGTTCTACCTTTCGGCATCGCATCTACCTCTTCTACATCATCGGCTTCCTATGCAGCGAACTTCTGTATACAGGCCTCGCAATCTCCGGTCTCTACATCCCTGATCCTGAATATCAATCTAATCTCACAATCTGGTTCCCCAATGTCAAGCAACGACTCACAGTCATGAGTGCCATGCTTGGATGTCTTAAAGGTCTCTTCGACATTATTGCTTACAACAGAGCTCGTCCGAATGTTTTTGAGTTTGAGCCGTGGTATGACGTCTATTATGCTTGTGTCAAACATGTCTGGATCCAAGCTTGCATTCAAGGGTTCTCGATGTACTTGGTCTGTATGATTAAGCAGGGCTCCAGGAAGGAAGAGGCTGAAAACTCGGAGAGCGAGGACTCCCAGAGCGAGGATTCAGGAAACGAAAACCCGGAGAGCGAATGCTCCGGTAGCGAATACTCAGATAGCGAATACTCGGAGAGTGAATATTCAGAGAGCGAATATTCAGATAGCGAGGATTCACAAAGCGAAGATTCGCTAAGCGAGAGCGAAGGAGGAGTAGACTTGATGCACAGTAGACTAGCAAAGGGTAGTTAAGGACCTTTTTCGTGGGTAGATTCTCTATCCTATATCTCTCTGCTCTTCTTTTGCCCTTTCCAAATCTGCAAATAGACAGTACACAATCTTCTCTTCGGTACACGTTTAACAAAATACTGACTTTTATAACCCACAACTCCACATAGTTAAGATATCCTTAAGTCTCGTGGCAGACAAAGAAAAACATACCGGGCAGAAATTCCCACAAAGATAAAACTTTCCCCCCGAAGATTGGGGCGTTTTTCTGAACAAAAACTTCAAAAAAGCATGGCAAGCAGAACAGTAGAGAGTCGAGAAGAGGTACAAAGGTACACTAAGCAAAAACGATAAATGGAGTAGCTGGGAATCGAACCCAGAACCTTCTCCAACTCAGGACTGCTCGAGGAGCAATGCTAAGAAGATGTCATACCACTAGACCACAACCCCAATGGATGGTGAATATTGCTCCTTGATCGACTATCACCGCCAATTCGCAAACCACGGTATTACGAAGGCATCTAGCAGACATGTAACACTGTTCAGTCCAGACATTGGACGTGCTTGACCAGGTAGGATCTCTGTTCTAAACAGAAGTCCGTGAAAAAACTCGAAGAAGCGGAGTGTGGGAGGGCTGGCGATCGCAGCCCAAGATGGACATAAGAACAATTGACTTGAAAAAACTGCTAAGTGGATATATGCATAACAAATCGTGCGAGAGAAAAGAACATGGTTCGAGTAAAAGCGTCCGCAGCTGCATCGCGTACTGCATCCTTCCCTTCCGTAAACCAGAGATTGTAGTGGAGTAGAGACATTGCTGAGAGGCAACACAATCCTGGGTCTAGAAGTTGGGACGTCTGTCGTCTTCGGGACGACCAGTTGCCCTAGAATCACCGTAGTGCTTCTTTCTCAGGGCGGCCAGGCGCTTCTTCTTTGTGTGTGCGTTGATGTAGGTACCGATGATGAAGGCGATGATGTTGAAGAAGGGCACCCAGGTCTCTTGGGGAAGGAACTTCTGGGCGAAGGCCAGGGCCAGAGGCGAAGTGCACCAACTGACTTTCATGACGGGAAGCAGACCAGCACGGACGGTAGCGCGGACTTGGTGGAAAGTGCGGGCGCCTGCGATGATAGCCATGGCGGAGAGGTAGACAGTGTTTTGGATGGGGGCAACCTGTGAGAGACGTCAGTCAAACAAACCTGGCGCATATGGTGATCAAGGTATACATACAATCAAGTTGCTGGCGAGGATCTGCAGGATCTTGGCCCTCAAACTGGTCCGGCCAGCAAAGGCTCTCTGCAGGATGTTGATGAGGACGTGGCCAAGAGGAGCGCTAATAAAAGCACCATAGAGGGCCATCTTGGGCACGCGCGAGGTGAAGTAGTGGCCATCCTTGTTGCGGTCCTTTGCGATCCATGAGGCAAGGACTTCTTGGGCACCAGAAAGCGAGCCCGAGGTGATCATCTTGGTGCGAAGAGGGTTGGTCTGCAGCTGGCGCAAGTATGCNCTAGAGTCGTCCATCAGTCGCCGTCGCATCGCAGTCGCATTGACAAGACTCACAGCCAGGTAGCCACCAGCACCAGCACCTTTAGCTAGGGCAACGCCGGCCTCATTGGCGAGGTCCTGGGTGCCAGTCACGCTGGCGACCGTCTCCTTGACGTCGAACTTGACCGACGACATTGTTGTGTTGTTGTAAATTTGTGGTGTACGGCGTACGACAGAGAAAGAGTCGTCGTCAAGGCAGATCTGAGATGGCTGGGCCGCGCCTAACAAAACACCAAAGATACAAGCACTCGCGATAGGCGGCCTCCTCCGGGGTTATTTTGGACCGAGGTCCACTTATTCGCGGGGTGCCGAAGTCTGAACCATTTGCCGACCTGTCATTTCTCCACTAACAACAACATCCATCCTGATTCTGTGACAAGACCATCTTGATTCAAAACACTTCTTAAAAGACGAGCATCGGCTGCAGCTGCGCTCGAGCACTGCAGGCTGCCGCTCGACAAGGCCATTCGTCCCTGGTCAGAACCCTGCCACAAGGGTGGGGAAAAGCTTCTACATCTCAACTGTGTTACTCTCCTAAATTCTCCTCGATAGCTAACCATTGAGCTACTATGGTGTCTTTGCCCTATGCCAGATGTGCTCGCCCGGCAAGATGCATTGCCCAGGTTGCACTGCTTGTACCATACCGTGTGATTCCATAAAGCATGTCTGCGTCCCTGATCCGACCTCGACACTATTTGCTCTGCCTTCGATTCGCTCCGTGAAAATGCATTCGACCTTTGTGCTTCATCTCAGAGCAATACGCCAGTTGCACTTTACTGGGACGAGCTTTCCTTGATGCTGTGTCTGCCCTTTCCTTCACTCTTACCCGCTTGGCTGTAATCCAGACCAACCATAATCCATTCTACTCACTCACTTCTTTTCCATCCATCATCTCGCGCACATTTGCAAAATCCCTCCATTTCTCTCAACACCAAGACAAATCCATCCTTTCTTACGATCTTTCCCACGAACCATCCACAACAACGTCTCGCTTTCTTCAACATGAGCGTGATCACCCAAGTAAGTTGTTCGCACATGACTCCCTTTATTTTGCCTCTTATGTCAGCCACGCTCCAACTCCTATCCCGGCGATCTCTACATGATATCGGTCCACGAGCCTAGTCAAACAACAGATCGTTAACCACACACTGCAGGTCGGTATGACTTCTGCTGGTCGCTCGACCAGACGTCATCTTCCACAATGCGTCAGCGCATGCACACACATCAGAATGGATCGCATCTATGGAAACTGGTCGTGTGATACGTGTCGCAAACCCTCGCCTTTTGGTTGGCTCTACCACTGCACCTCTGATGTTCCGGAAGTGGGAGACTATGCCTTCATCAAGTCCTTAACACACCCTGTCAGTCCAGCTGGAGAGGAACTTCGCCAACTGGGTCTTAGCGAGCCTGTCGTCAAGGAGTTTGAGAAGGGTGGTTACACCGACGACCAGATTCAGAAACTCATCCGTCAGAAGCAACACTTGCAANAGGTCCTGGGAAGTTCCACCAAGCCCTTACCCACCGTCAACCAGCAATCATCCGAGCACGCCAACACTGTATCAGACGACATTCGCTGCGAGTTCAAAGTTTGTCAACGCTGCGGTCCTGTGCGCAAGGAGCGTTGCTGGGTCTCGTTTGAGGCTGTCTTTGAAGACGAAGTCAGACCCATCGACAACTACGAACTCACAGAGGGCCTTCCTGTCAAGGATGCCCGTATCGCGAAGACCCTTGGACTTCGTACTCCCGTCCAGGTTGTGCCCCCTCCTGTCTGGGGTCAAACCCCCACCGGCTCACCAGCTCGCTCTGGCTCATTCGGCTACACCGACGATGGTTTCTCTACTGATGATGAATTCGACTACGAGAGCTGCGGTGACGCTCTGTCTTCGACTTCGCACGAGGGCGAAGACAACCTTCAGACACACGCTGGACACGAAACGCCCTTTGTCACTCTCAGAGACCCACGCCACGCTCACACACCCCGCTCTACTATCAGACTTGTCGCCAACTCTGCATCTCGTCACATGCGTCGTACTTCGACTGCCACCAACGACGATGAATCGCCTTCCCATTCGCACACTACAAGCTCATCAATCAGCCTCCCCACCATTCCCACAACTACATCATACACGATTCTTCCAGGCTGCGAAGAGACTGTCCAAGAGCTGAAAGCACAATACTCGCTCAAGGCCATGACAGACCCCGAGTTCTACTCTGGCCATCCCTTCGACTTGACTTCTTCTGTGTCAAGCAGCTCCAGCATTGGCTCAGAGATTGCTGTTGAGGGAGGCTTCGCTTTGACAGAGGAAGCCATGGACACTCACACTCCAGACTTGTTCACCAGAGTTTAGAAGCCTCTTCAACTCACCATAAACAACATGATACCTCTAAACTCGGCGTTGGAGTGGTCTTCGTACTTTCCCGGCGCTTATTATACCCCTTTGTTGTCCTTTTGGCTGTCGAGCAAAAGGTAGAACGTCACCCACAGGCATGAATGCAGGATTTCTGGAGTACGGTTGGCGGATAAGATAGAATGGGAGACGAACCAGGTGCATCTTTTTTTTCTGTATTATTGTTTTATTCTTCATTTTCAACTCGTCGGGAGATGGCGAGATTAATGTCAATACAGTTTGGTCGTTTTCTTAATGTGTTCGATTCTGCTTCTAAATGCCTCGCTCTCCTTGTTAATGACCTTTGTTTCTCTCGAATCGCTAATCGCTACAACGCTCGTTCGCCAGTGCTGAATGTCTAGGAGGTAATGGTGTATTCCTCCCCATCCACAAATGCTCAGATGGCAGCTGCTTTACCATATCTCACTGCTTGTCTCCCACAAGATCCCTCTCAAAGTCCATCTGGATCTCGACAACCTGCTCCAACGTCTCAAGATCGAGCTTCTTGTTATCGTAGCGAGCAAGACTGGTAGCCGTTCTCACGATACCCTTGATCTGTCTTCCATTCAAGTCGTGAACGGCCAGCTTATCAAGGCCTTCTTCGTCAACGACTGACTCGCCGTTTCCACCTTCAACGGCCTCGTGGCTTTCCGCCTTGTCGAGGAAGTTCTTCCAGATCTGTTTGCGTGAAGACGTGTCCAGACCGGTGTACTTGAGAGGAACGTGGATGCGAGATTTGAATGCATCGTCGAAAGTATCCACGCGGTTTGAAGTGAGGAATAGAATACCTTGGTAGTACTCCAACACACGCAAGAAGATAGACACAAGGGCGTTTCTCTCCATATCATGCAGAGAACGGCGTTCAAGGAAAACATCTGCTTCGTCGATGAGAAGGACTGCACGCCACGTACTCGCCATGTCCAAGATTTGCGTCAACCGTTGGTCGAGGGTGAAACTGTCTGTTCCCAAATCTCCAGAAGACACCACGTACAAAGGACGTTTACAGCGTTCAGCCACACACTCTGCGGTAAGCGTCTTTCCCACACCTGGAGGGCCGTGTAGCACCAAAACTAGGCCTTTGCCTTTGCCCTTGATGATGTCGTCGAAATCGGACTTGTTGGAAATGTGTTCGGTGACTAGAGCTTGTACGAGTTTCTTCTGGCGTGGGGCGAGGACGAGTTGGTCGAAGCATTGTTCGTTCCATTCGACGGGNGAGAGTTCGTCGATGAACATGTCGATCCATTTCTTGTGGGTGAATGAGAAGCCATGTACTAAGGCAGAGGCAAGCAGGCATTGCTCGTCAGTCAAAGGCTTGAAGGATTGTTTGGTGGTAGGCATCAGTTCCGTGTCAAGACGCTTTGTAGTATCATCGTCGTCGTCGTCGTCGTCGCTGACGTAGTCATCAACCTCACTATAGCGGTAGCTTTCATCGTCAGAGTCGTCATCTTCGTTGCCATTGTGACTATTTTCAGTGAGAAGAATGACCTCGTCTTCGAAAGGAGATACGCTCTTAGCAAGGTCTGGGTTCAGACGATGGTGTGTTAAGCAATCCACAACAACTCTCTCGCTGATGTGGACGCGGTTGATATCATACTCGCCACGAGAGCTGTTGTATACATGCTCCAAAGCAATGGCCGCATGCTCGGCAAAGTGAATTCCAGCATACTGCTCGAAACGGCGACCTCTCGCAATGAGAGCCTGCTCTACCTCCTCGACATGAGGGAAGAAGATACGAGGGACAACATTGAGCTTGCTGATTGAGACGGCTCCCAGGTAGGCAGGAATAGCCATCTGTTCGGTTCGGTAACCGAAGCGCTTGCCGTCAAAATCCACCTGCTGCAACTGGAGATTCATGCGAGGGCATTGGCCACACTGGTAGTTCGAGTCAAGCACACGGAAAGCCTGGACCTGGCCCAATACGCGCGCAAATGCAATGGTCTTGGGCTTGAAAACAGTCCACAGGAGCGGGTAGCTCATGACGTTTTGCTCGCGGAGGTTGTTTGCTTCCTGGATAGTCTCGCCAAACTCCTCTTGGATGTGGTTGAGGAGTACTTGATAGTGGGCTGCTGCTTCAGAGCCAGCCTCGAACTTCTCACCAAGTGTCTTGATCTCGTCGAGGTAGTGGTAGAGGAGTCGGCATGGCTGTGTCAGAGCAATGTCTTTTGTGTCGAGACTGACGCCAGGGTAAGATCCGATTGCCTCTTTCAGCAGGTCCTTGAGATGCTGTGAATTGATCTGGACTACTACCTTCTGGACACGCTTGCCATCCTCTGACATGTATCTTGTAACACAGAGGGCATATTTTGTCCACNNCTATTCATTACATCTGTCAATGGTGTTCTCGAAATGAAAGCAGATCCTCTGAAGCTGGACAACTTACCAGTCAACCTGATCTGGGACAGCTTTGTCCTCGACTGTCTCGGCATAGTACCACTGGTGCTTTTCGCTGTACTTGCGGTCGAGGTGCTTCAGTTCTGCCTTCATAGGCTCTGCAGCATCGACCTTTTTCTTTGGGTCGATCTCCTCATCCGAAGCGTCGCTCTTGCTCTCGCCATTCTTATCAGTCCTCTTGTCGTCCAATCCACTTTTGGTGTCATCTTTTGTGTCGGTATTGGTGCCGTTGGTTGTGTTTGTCTCGCTCTTGCCGTCGCTCTGGCTCTTGACTTCCGACGCCTGCTCTTTCAAAGGCTCATCGTCGTCAACGATGCGGTAAGGCGCCATGATCTGTGATTTTTTCGGGGTAAGAAGGTGAGATTGGTTGTAATGCAATGGTAAAAGGAGAAGAATTATCCAGGGTGTTGGGAGATGTTGTGTGAAAGGTCAGACGATGGTAGAAGTGATGATAGAGAGAAAGTAATTGAGAATTGAACAGCGACTTGAAGGTCACTTATAAGTGATGGACGACTCGGTGAGGCTGAGTTATGAAGTTGTTGGCAAAGTCGCATTGGCTGCGGTGTCTCGATCTGCGTGGTTGCCTACGCCGCGCGCTGTCTGTATGCAGCCTACCCTTGGTCTGTTCACGAAGGATCGGAATTTCTGCCTACAATTTGTGGGGAAACACTTGATTAATTGTTAACAGAATGAATCACTCACTTTTGAACGGGACACGTTCGTGCACTCGGTGTCGCGATTAAGTGCGTTGTTGGTTGTGCTGTGTGGGAGCCATCGCCACAATGATGGTTGAGAGAAATACCGCCGAGGTCGAGATGGTCTCACCGGTCGCATCAGGCTGGAGTGAAACAGAATGTTGCCTGATAGATGCAGTGCCTTACGTGGAGTCTTCAGCATTGTTGGTCAGGCTTAGGCTTCAAGCGCAATACGATATGATCTGTGATATCTTGCAGGTCTGTCCACAATTATTGTATTGCAGATGTTTGTCCCTTCCAAGAGTAGTTCTAGTCCGCTACCCGCAATGAGCCTCATCAAGGAATGTCATTGTCGTCGCCATGGAACAAACGTAGAATTGACCCTGCGACCGCCTCACCATCATGTTCCATATCAGCCGTCTCCTTGGCCGCACTAGCGTGGTCCAGATCTTTAAGACTGCCGCTCTCAATGCGCAAATCAATTTGTCGTTTGACCATGTCCTCATCAAAGCCCAAGTGCCCTTGAGATGTGAAAAGGCGGTCCTTGATGTAGATGCCTTGAACGGCAGTATGTTCCGAGCTTCCCCAAATGTGAACTTTNTGATTGTCTTTGAGCAGGTCGGTGGTCTTGGAACTTGGTGGCTTGACAACGTGGTCCTGGTGCATTTGGTGTAGCCTTAACTCTTCGTTCTTTGTCCTGAAGAGTTGTTTTCCGACATCACTGAGCGTGATGTGGGTATGTGAAAGCTCCCAGTCACCGCCAGGAACAGTATCAACTTTTGCTCCAAGCATGCGGCAGAGGATTTGGTGACCGAAGCAAACTCCCGAGAAGCGGATATCGGGACGATGTTGCCAAAGATCNTATTTCTGTCAGAAATGTCTGCTAGATGAAGTTCAGCATCATGTCATACCTTGCAACAATTTTATGAGTTTCAGGATCCACTCGTCATCGCCGTGAGCATCATACATGCTTCCCGTGATCAATATGGCGTGGACGTCTTTCAAATCATCCACCGTAGGCACTTTTCCGCCCTTGGGCTCGACAACGAACTTCATGGCTGTCTCAATTCCAAGCGGTGGGTCGTGGTTGTCACCAGCGGTCTTGAACAACCTGTCGAGTACATCTCCAAATGTTCCCTTATCTTTATGATCCTCAGGGTGCGGCTCGTCTGTCTCGAACACCATCATCCGGACCTTGTTGGGGGCTTCGGACCCTGAGAATTTGTCGTGCATGGTTCTGACCGAGTTCGTAAATCGTCTGACTTGGTGAGGCGGGAAGCGAGTGTTGTACGCTGGTTGAGTAGAGGCGAGGGCAACGTAGTTACAAAACTGGCGATGAAGCGATGACGAAGACACTTGGAAGCGAGCACGAACGGCGCAGTTTGCGAAAAAGTACGACATGGGAATCTATAGGTGCTTAAGAGCCGCAGGGTTCCTGTTATGACTTACATAGCCATTGAGGTGATTCTAAGTTTCGCATGAACATCGTCATTGACTGCGGAAGACTGGATGCCAGTACGTAAAGGCCAAGACCGTTTTGCCTTGGTACGGAGTCAATGCTAGCCAGAAGCAGAGAAAATCATGGCCCTTGGTTCTGGTATAGGTGCTCGGCGGTGTCATAGTTGGCCTTTGCGAGGTCCTTTGCGAGGTCCTCCGCGACATCTTGGCTGGTCACACTGAGTTCCTTGCTTCGAGATGTCGATGGAGCGACCCAACGGTCGCGTGAAGCCTGCTGCGCTGCGTCTTGCTTTGTTGGCATGTTGAGATGCTCATATGCTCCAAGACGGTTCTGTAAATGTATGAGACATTGAAGCGGCAAGGACTGAATTTCGAAGAGTGGAAGAGCGAAGGAGAAAGGTCACGATACCGTCACTGATAAGAAAGATGCAACCTCCTTGAACGGCGATGATAGGGCCGCTGGGTGAGGGGGGCGTTAAGTATCTGTTGGCAATGAGCAGTATCATATGTTGCCAACGTAAGGACACCATCATCTTCGAGTGCCAGTACTGCGAGCACGAGTTATTTTTCATCAATATACATTTCGATGGATAGTATACAATCTGCAGTTAAAAAGATAAAGGCATTGAGATTGCCTGGTCGTGTTTCATTGTTTTGCACATTAGCAGACGACAGCGGTGTCTATACCTTGCATTTCAGAGTGTTAGCTAATGAGACAGAAGCGTAAAACCATCATCCACCTGTAGACGTCGATGAATAGGTCCTGTCAACATGAGACACCACGAGTAACAGCTATATGTCTGAGAGCTACTTCTGACAAAGATACAGCCATACAGAGCCAAAGTTAGGACGGCGATGGTGGTTATACTTGTTGAGATGCTGGTAAGAGATGGCACCCTGACCATACTCTATGCACCGAGCATTATTTTTGTGCAACTTGACTCGACCACATGAGGGACATTATCATAATTTAGAGGAAGAGTAATCTGGTTCATAATACATATTATTCTTCAAGCTACCTAACACATCTATCTAAAAGCAAGAGAAGAGAGCAATCTTCATCGCTACGCTATGGGCCATACTGGCTGTGGGTATCCTAGTCCAAACCGGAACAAACAAGACAAGAAAAAGAAATCGTAACAGTCCATCCTCGAACAACCATCGTAATCATCCTGATTGTGTTGATGCAAACATCGTTTTGCTCGTTCATCAACCTTCCTCCTCATCGTATCCTTCAACGTCTGCCCAACCCCAACCCCAACGAGCGCCTTGACCCTCACCGCAGATTCTCATCTCTCTTGCAGCATTGCGATCCTTCTCTCGCCAGCATCTTGCCGTGAAGTTGTCGCCCAGTGTGACGAGCTCACCCTCAGTACTCCATGCCAAGCTAGTGACCTCGGAAGTGCCATGACCACGGATCAATGCGGTGCCCTGAGTATAGATGGGCAGTGAAGTTTCCTGGTACTTCCCCATAGATTCGTTTCGCGAACGGAAACCTGAGACCTCGTCCTGATCGCCAGCAGGAATAGTGGTGCCTGAGGTGGTCAGTTGGGTTTGCTTCTTCTGCAGAAGGGACTCGTCTGTAGGGAACAGGACAGCACAACCTTCGCGACTACCAACAGCCAGCATCTCGGGCTGAGACAAAGTAGCAGGGCGCAGAGCAGACTTCACGTAGAAGGAAGTTGACTTGAACATGGGGTGACGGAAACCGTACAATGGGCCAATACCGGTAAGGCCTTGTCGAGGTCGGAACCACTTTGAAGCTTGTGTGTTGTTAAAGGCTTCATACTCAGGAGCAGAGCCCAAGATAAGATGATTGGTTGAGTAGGCATAAACAGTGCTGTCGCGACAGAGAGCGTAGAAGCGGCTACCATCACCACTCAATGACAGACTACTAATGCCAAATTGACGGTTCTTGATATGAGCTTCTGGCTCGCGAGTACTTGAAACGGGGACTGAACTGAGACGTGAAGGGCCACCTCGGCGAGATGTGTATTTACCACGAAGATCCCACAATTTGATACTGGCGTTTGCTTCGGTGGCAGTGAGCAGCAAGTGGGAGCGTGAGTCAGACAGAAAGGACAAGGCAGTGATAGAGACATCTGAACGCTCGTGCTGCAGGCCATGAGCGTCACGCATGCTGTTGACAGACGAGGCATACGTGAGGGGGNNATTGTTCTGAGGTCGCGGAACATTCACCATACCATTGCCGGATTCGAAGCTGACAGCAAAGTCTGCGACCGGAGCATCCTGACCGCGACAACGCAAGTCCCAGATCATAACACTACCGTCACGACTCGAGGTAGCGACAATGCTATCGTTACCAGGCTGAAAACGAACCTGCTTCACAGATGATGTGTGGCTGCGCATGATGTATCGTGTTTGCTGAGTGTGCATGTCGACGATCCTGGAAGTCTGATCACCTGAACCGGTAGCAAACAGGTAGTCGTCAGAGGAGAAAGCCATGTCCATGATAGCGTTGCGGTGAGGTTTGAAGCTAACGTGGTGGTGGGAGAAGGAGTTGTCCGCATAAGCCGAGTCAATTAGTCTCACACCACCTTCCTCATCGCCGATAGCAACGAGAGAGTTGGTGTTGCAACGAGTCACACAGAAAGGTAGAGCGTCACCACGGTAACTGTGGCAGTCATCGGGGCGAGAGTAAAAGTCAGCGGTTTGGGCACGCCAGTCTGGCACACAGTGGTCTTGGATCCTGCCACGGCCGATGTTCCTTGAGCCACCGAAGCTTCGTTGCAAGATACGGCTGCTTGGTCCAGTATTAGGCAGGCGTGTGATGGGTGTCGGGTAATGCTTTTCTTCTTCCTCTTCCTCTTCGTCTTCTTCGTCTATATCTGAAGCATCAAAGTTGTAGTGCTGCTGGTGGGAGAGATTGGAGGGGTGGTAGTCGAGTGGTCTCAATGGCGAGGAATCGAGTGGCTGGACAGGCGAGCTGTCAGGAGTAGGTAGTACCTTTCTCTTCTTTCGTGGTGTCTCAAATTGNGGAAGGTCGTGGAAGCCATTAAACTTGACTTGATTGACAGCGTTCTTGGTGATGTCCTTGAGTCTCTTGTTTGACTTTGATTTCGTGGATGAACGTGATGTGATGGGGGTAAAGAACCTCGTGAAGCGTCGAGGTGTAATGGATGGCTGGCCCTTGGGTTTGCTGCTTGAAGATGCAGCTATGGGAGAGCTCGGCAAAGCAGCATTGCTGCTCTGAGATGAAGGCAGCATGCCTAGACCAGACATGATGCAAACACGGTGTTATCAATACTCGACAAAGGTACAAGGCGACGAGTTGGTGCTTTGAAAGTTCCGCCACGAAGACGCGATTCTGCACGACCTCGACGCGTTCAAACCAATTTAGCTGAACGATCGTGTCGGCATCGGAAATGTCGGCGTTTCGGAGCTTGGCCGCATCTGCCAGCTCCAGATTTTTTGAGCCGGTGCCAAGACAAGGTCCAGCTCTCCCGACCGCCCGGCAGTACCTTGAACCAAAAATTATCTGACCCGCAGGCGATAGATTCTATTGCTAGACATTTCCGTGGTTATCAGCCATGGCTCCCATTAAACGAAAGGCTCAGACCGAGGAGCGCGATGTGAAGCGCTCCAAGGCCGACAGCTCGGCTCCGGCCAAANAGAGACAACCTCCGGAGACCAAGGAACAGGGCGACAGAAACCCCGTCAAGGCCTCGATTCTGTCACAAGAAGAGCGCGCTTTCCCTCGTGGTGGTGCCAGTGTCTTGACCCCTCTGGAACACAAGCAGATCAAGATCCAGGCCGAACGCGACGTCCTTTTCGAGCAATCTGGAGCAAAGAAGCAAAAATCAGACGCCTTCTCCGACGACGACGATGAAGATGCAGCTGCTGGCGCCGAGTCTGGTGCTGCACCCAAGAAGAAGAGAAAGACAAAGGCCGATAAGAGAGCTGCTAAAGCCGCCGAAGACGACAAGCCCACAATCAAGATCCACGGCCTGAGTTACAAGAACATCACTGTTGGAACCCTGGTACTGGGTCAGGTCACCGAAATCACATCGCGCGATGTTGCTCTTGCGCTGCCCAACAACCTCACAGGATTCATCCCATTGACGGCAATCTCGGAAAAGGTCAACCAGAAGATCGAGGCTCTGCTGGCTCAGGCCGACGAGGATGTCAAGGAAGAGAGCGAAGACGAAGACGACGACGATCTCGACCTCAAGTCGCTTTTCCACGTTGGCCAATGGCTCCGAGCAATTGTTACCTCGACTGCCGACGAATCCGCCGTCAATGGCCTGCGTAAATCANAAAAGAGAATCGAACTCTCTGTCGACCCGAAACAAGTCAACGTTGGTCTCGACACCTCAAATCTTCCCACTCATGGGACTCTCCAAGCCTCAGTCCGCAGTGTAGAGGACCACGGTCTGGTCATGGATCTGGGTCTGGATGATGACTCTGTCAGAGGTTTCGTGTCCAAGAAAGAGCTAGGAAAGGTTTTCGACATTTCAAAGATTCACGAGGGTCAGGTCATGCTTTGCGTTGTTACAGGCAAGGCTTCGGACAACAAGGTCATCAAGTTGGCCCCTGATTNNTTTACAAAGATGGGCGACATTAACAAGCACTGCCTATCAGACGCTCCCACGATTGATGCTTTCCTGCCTGGTACCGCTGTCGAGGTCCTTATCACTGAATCAAGCCGTGGAGGCATTGCCACAAAGGTCATGGGTATGCTCGACGCAACAGCAGATGTCATTCACTCAGGCGCTGGTGCTCGCGTAGACGATGTTTCGAAGAAGTACAAGATCGGCTCCAAGGTCAAAGCTCGTGTCATCTGCACTTTCCACACAACCGAGACCAAGAAAATCGGTATCTCCTTCCTCGATCACGTCAAGACTTTCAAGGCGTTCGCCCTCGGTAGCGAGAAGAAGGCCGACAAGATCGGCCCTTCATCAATAGTTGAGGATGCCCAGGTTGTGCATGTCGAGCCCGCAATGGGTCTTTTCCTCAAGCTCACCGGCTCTTCAAACCCTGGTTTCGCTCACATCTCTAGAATTTCTGAGAAGAAGATCGACACACTTTCTGAGACCATTGGCCAATACAAGCTCGAATCGACTCACCGCGCCAGAGTTCTTGGTTTCAACCCCGTTGATGCTGTCTATAACGTTTCCCTTGAGCAGAAGATTCTGGATCAGCCTTTCTTGCGCATCGAAGATGTCGAGGTTGGCCAAGTCGTCAAGGCTACAGTCATGAAGATCATTCTTGGAGCTAAGGGTGTCACTGGTGTCCTCGTTCAACTTGCCGACGGCATTGATGGTCTTGTCCCTGAGTCCCACATGGCCGACGTTAAGCTGCAACATCCCGAGAAGAAGTTCAGAGAAGGTTTCCCTGTCACCGCTCGTGTCCTTACCGTCGATCCCGAGAAGAACCAGATTCGTTTGACCCTCAAGAAGACTCTTGTCAACGCCGATGCAAAGATTTGGAAGTCATACGAGGACATCAACGTTGGAGACGAAGCACCTGGTACCATTATTAACATCAAGCCCAATGGTGCTGTGGTTCAATTCTACGGAAAGGTTAGAGCATGGCTCCCAGTCGCTGAGATGAGCGAGGCATACATCTCGGATCCTTCACAACACTTCAGACAAGGTCAAACTGTTATGGTACACGCTATTTCTGTTGATGCAGAGAACAACGAGCTCAAGGTTTCCTGCAAGGACGCTTCCGCTTTCGGCAAGGNNGATGAGGAGTCCGCCTGGAACGACTTGAAGGAGGGCACACTGATCAACGCATCTGTTACTGAAGTCACTGGGGAGAGCGTCATGCTCGACTTGGAAGGCTCAAATCTGAAGGGTACCCTCCGCCTGACTCATCTTACCGACGGATCTGAGGCAAAGAACAAGTCCACCTTGAAGCAGATTAGAGTTGGCCAGAAGCTGAATGAGCTTGTCGTCTTGGAGAAGCTGGACAGAAGACATTTGGTCATCTTGAGTAACAAGCCTAGCTTGGTCAAGGCCGCAAATGCCAAGACTCTGGTTAGTGATTTCAAGAGTCTCTCGCAAGGTCAGGAGCTTAGTGGTTTCGTACGTAACATCACACCTGACGGTGTGTTCGTCGAGTTTGCCGCTGGCCTTGTCGGTTTCATGCCCAAGACTCAGATCACACAAGAGAAGCTTGCTTTGCCTGCATTCGGTCTGCGCAAGGATCAGTCAATCTCGGCTAGAGTCCTGTCTGTCAACAACGACTCTAAGCGCTTTGTCCTTACCATCCTCCCCGCCGAGAAGAAGGAGGAGAAGCCCCAAGCCGCTGTACCTACCACCGTTACCAACCCTGTAGATGGAGTGTCTGCTTCGCTCACCGATTTCACACTTGGAAAGGAGACTCAGGCACGCATTGTTTCCATCAAAGATACTCAGCTCAACGTCCTCTTGGCCGACAACATTCAAGGTCGTATCGACGTTTCCGAGGTCTTTAACAGCTGGGAAGATATCAAGGACAGAAAGAAGCCTCTGCAGAAGTTCAAGGCCAAGCAAGTTCTTCCCGTCAAGGTTCTTGGTATCCACGATGCCCGCAACCACCGCTTCCTGCCCATCACTCACCGCCACTCCCGTGTTCCCGTTCTCGAGCTTACTGCTAAGACCAACACTACTCTGAAGTCCGAGTCTGACATCTTGACTCTTGATCAGGTTAAGGTCGACTCTACCTGGATTGCCTACGTCAACAACATTGGTGACAAGTGCTTGTGGGCCAACTTGTCTCCCAATGTCCGTGGTCGTATTGATCTGCTCGATGTCTCCGATGATGTCTCACTCCTCCAAGACATCCCCAAGAACTTCCCTGTTGGTTCTGCCATCCGTGTGAAGGTCAAGAGCGTTGACGCTGCTGCCAACCGTCTGGATCTCGTTGCTGCCTCTGCTGCTTCATCAGCTCCCGTCACACTCAAGACCCTTGCTGATGGACAGATCCTTGCCGGAAAGGTCACCAAGGTCAGCGAGCGTAATGTAATTGTTCAGTTGAGCGACTCTGTTTCTGGCATTGTTACTTTGACCGAATTGTCCGATGACTTTACCGAGGCCAACCCTACCACACACAGCAGAGGCGACATCGTCCGTGTCTGCGTTTCCGCCGTCGACCTCCCCAACAAGCGTGTCTATCTCAGCATGCGTCCTTCTAAGGTCCTCAGCTCGGCACTGCCCGTTGAGGACCGTCAGATCACCTCTATTCCTCAGTTGGCTGTCAACGATATCGTTCGCGGTTTCGTCAAGGCTGTCACCGAGAAGGGTGTCATTGTTAACCTTGGCCCTCGTGTCGATGCTTTCGTCCGTATCTCTGATCTGTCTGACCAGTTCGTCAAGGACTGGAAGTCAGCAGTCGAGATCGACCAGCTCGTCAAGGGTAAGATTTTGCAGGTTGATGCAAACCTCAACCACGTGCAGATGAGCTTGAAGCAGTCTCATGTTGACAAGGACTATGTTCCTGCCAACTCTTTTGCTGACCTCAAGGTTGGTCAATTCGTCACTGGTAAGGTGAGAAAGGTTGAGGACTTTGGTGTCTTCATCGATGTCGACAACACAATCCCTCGCGTCAGTGGTTTGTGCCACAAGAGTCAGATTGCCGACTCTGCCGTCGAAGATGTCAAGAAGCTTTACGACGCTGGTGATCTTGTCAAGGCTAAGGTCTTGCACATCGACACTGAGAAGCGTCGCATCAGTTTCGGCCTGAAGGCCTCGTACTTCAAGGACCTCGATGGCGACGAAGAAATGGAGGACGAAGATGACGAATCTGATGGCGAGGGTGTCGCCCTTGATGATGACGTTTCCGAGTCTGATGACGGTGTTGACATTGACATGTCCAACGTCCAAGACATGGAGAGCGACGAGGAAGCTGCGTCCGACGAAGAGATGAGTGAGGACGATGCACCCACTACCCGCAAGTCCATCCTTGGCGGTCTTACTACCTCCGGTTTCGACTGGAGTGGTGCATCTGCTCTTGACAACGATGGCGCTATCTCGGATGCCGAAGAAGCATCTGCACCACTCAAGAAGCGTAAGCGCAAGGCCGCTATTCAAGTCGACCAGACTGGAGACCTTGACGCCAACGGTCCTCAGTCCGTTGCCGACTTTGAACGTATGCTCCTCACATCTCCCTCTGACTCGTCGCTCTGGATCCAATACATGGCCTTCCAGCTCGGTCTGTCCGAAGTCCAAAAGGCCCGCGATATTGGTCAACGCGCCCTCCGCACCATCCACCTTCGCGAGCAAGATGAGAAGCAAAACGTCTGGGTTGCCCTGCTGAACTTGGAGGTCGCCTATGGCGATGCCGACTCAGTAGACGCCACCTTCAAGGAAGCCTGCAAGGTCCAAGACAGCTTCACTATGCACGAGAAGCTCGCCGCCATCTACACCTCCTCGGGCGACTTCCGCGCCGCCGAAAAGATCTTCGACGCCATGGCATCCACAAAGTCGTTCCGCCCCAACCCCAACCTCTGGCTCAACTACGCAACCTTCCTGTTCGAGAAACGCGATGCTGCTTCCCAAGCCCGCGCTCTCCTTCCTCGCGCTTTGCAATCTGTTGCTTCCCACGACCACCGCAACCTCACTGCCAAATTCGCAGCCCTCGAGTTCCGCACCTCTACCGGCGAACCCGAGCGCGCACGCACAATCTTCGAGTCTATGCTCACGCAATGGACGAAATGGACTCAAGGCTGGGATATGTGGTGCGACCTCGAACGCAGCCTCGCCAAGCAAACCGGCAAGCAAGAAGACGTGGAACGTGTCCGCGACTTGTTTGAGCGCATGGCCAATGGCAAGATGAAGAAGCGTCGTGCTAGGTTTGTGTTCAAGCGCTGGTTGGAGTTTGAAGAGGAGCAGGGGGATGCCAAGCATGTTGAAGCTGTCAAGGCCAGAGCAAAGGCTTTTGTTGAGAAGATGCAGAACGGAGAGGATGAGGAGATGGACGAGTAGATTGGTTGCATTGTCGAGCAGAGCGTGAAGATGGACATAAAATCATGGCGTTCTTGGTGGGATTCGAAAGCTGTTTATACCTTTTGTTTGTTCTTTTCGTATCAAGTATTATTCTTTCTCTCATACGCTTTCTGCGGAACTTGGTTGTGTCATCGTTCTCAATCAATTCATCGTCTATATATCTTGTTCGCAGAGAGTGACTTGTTCATGTCTCGTGCTGCATTTGAACCACGCCATGCAGACTTTACGACCACGATCTCATGCTCGTCCATGTGGCTGAGAAGCTGTTGGTCCGATGGCCACTTTGCCTAAACCCGACCACACACCCAGCTCAAACAGACCGACAACTTCGGAGACATCATCTTACAACACAATCTCGCACTTGTGTGCTTTCGGCGAAATGAGAAAGTGATTGATAGGCCTCATACTCTCATCCGTCGTCGAAGCCGCCAACCTCGCACCCTTGCACTCACGGAAAAACGTCGCAGCTCCCAATCTCAACTCCATGCGTGCGAGGTGCAAACCAATACAAACTCTCGACCCAGCACCAAATGGCGAAAACACCGCTTTGGCCAAAGGCGAGAGTTCCTTTGGAGATAGCCAACGTGTGTGGTCGAATTTGTCTGGGTTGGGGAAGAGGTGGGGATTGCGGTGGAGAGAGTAGGATTGAGTGCCTACAATTGTGCCGGCGGGGATGTAGTGGTTGGCGATGGTTGCGCCGCCTTTGGGGGTCAGGCGAGGGAGGGTTGCTGGTGCGGCGCCGTAGAGGCGAAGTGTTTCTTCGATTACGGCGTTGAGGATTGGTAGTTGCTCTAAGGATGCATCGGTGAGCGGAACATCGGCCGAGCTGACTTCTTCCTCGAGGGCTTTCTGTAGTACGGGTTGCTTGAGGACACACCAGGTAAGATACGTCAGTGTAATGCCTGTAGTATCCGAGCCGGCGACAATCAGGTTGCCGGCTTCTGCCTGAATGTCTTCATCTGTCAGAGTTCCATCGCCCTTTTCCGTCTCACTGATGGCAGTAGCGAAGATGTTTGAGGTGCCGAAATCTTGGGCTTTGCTGTTCTTGACTGCTAGACGGCCTTGTTTGAGCAAAACTTCATTGGCGTAGAATATGTCTCGCATGGCGGCGAAGGGCAACCTGCGACCGATCCAATACACCAAAGGCAGCTCCCAGCTGATCGCAGAGCATATCGAGGCTGTCTCCAAAGCCACGATGTATGGCACTCTTTCACCGCTTTCGAGCATGTGGAAAGATTCACCAAACATCAGGTGAGCAGAGACATCTGTAGCGAGATAAGTCCACCACTTGAGGATATCGGCTGTTCCAGAGGTAGCATCAGCCTTGATACGAGCGACAGCTAGATCGACCCTCCCACGAACAACGTCTTCCCATTGCTCACGAAGGTGTCGCTGACTGAAGCCTTTGGCCAAAAACTTCCTTCTAGCAGCATGATCTTTGGGGTTGGTCATCTGGAAGACACCAGGAGATTTGCCAGGTCCGCTAGTGCTAAGGTACTCATACCAAGGGGTCTTGTTGAAGCCAGAGCCGATCTTGTGGATGTCCTTGAAACTGGCCGGATCGTTGACGGCAACTTCGTTGGGTGTGATGCGTACAATTGGACCGTACTTTTGGTGGAGAGCGTGGATGTAGTCTGCTCGAGCACCACTAAGGACGGCGATTTTCAGGCGCCAATTGACAAAGACAGCATGCCATGGCCCTGGTATGCCGCGAAGTGGAGTGAAGAAGGCTCGATGCACAAGCNNTATCGATGTTAGATAGGAGATTCAGAGAGCAGTGAGTTGGCGAACCTTGTATGAGATATAGAGAAATGTGGCAGCGAGATAGATAGCCACAATATTGGAGTAGGAGAATTGTGCCATTGTCAGCGATAACACACAAGTCTGGATTTGTTCGGACACATTTCTGGGCGAGAGATGAAGCAGTCTTTATAGTAGCGAGCAAAGTTTAGGAGGGACAGTACGCAGGTCCAACAACGAGATTGTGCATGGTCGAAAGGCAAGTGGGCACTATGTATGTGGAGCCGTCGGAAGGCATAGTTGCCGTGACCGAGGAGTATGATGACCTACCATGACCTACCCCCTGGCTTTCTTGAATGCAGATGCCCTGAACGAGTGTGTAAAGTATATTGATGCCCCGCAGTGTGAGCGATTTCACGAAATAAAAGCCATGCCCGCGTTGTATTTCTCTCCAGGTTTCAAGTGGATCTGTGGCTTGTGTGGGGAGGAATTGATGATCAGAAGCGGGTTTCGGGTTTTGATGAGAGAAGGCGGGTTTCGGAGTTTGAATGATCACCTCTTGCGTTAATCGCTATCGTAGAATATATTGCACTTGTTCAACCATGATGGGATCGAGTTAGTCGCAACAAGAGGTTGAGATAAGTTGTTCGATGATGCATGCTGCAGCAGTCGAGGGCGGGAAGTGGAGTGATTAGGAGTAAGAAGAGTGCCAAGGTTGGTTGCACGAGCGGGCCGCGGGCTGCAGGGTCTTTTGGCCAAGACATGCTTGAGTGTTGCCATCATGTGCCTGAAAATAGATTGGCTCACCAAGTCGACGAGCGTTTCCATTTTGTTACCCCTCGAGACAGGCGCCGTCTGGCATTCCACTCGCTCGACTTTCGCTCGCTGTATACCACCAGTCGCTCACTACCACACCGAATTCACGAATACCACACATCACCTATAATACAACTCGGGCCAAACGACAGAACAAAAGGAGGATGGGTTTCGGCGACTTCGACTCAATATGCAGGCAGGCGGCCTTGCCTCTGTGCACAATGATCGGTAGCAATGGTGTCGACGGAACCAAGGGCATACAACCCGCTTGCTACTCGCGAACCATCGAGGTGGCCAACACGGTCATCTTCCAGGGCGCTGCTGGCATCGCCCACATCTGTGCCCTGCTCATGACTGTCATCATGATTGTCCACGTTCGAAGCAAGTTCACCGCTGTTGGTATGTCGCTTCCCCCACATCATGCGCTAGCCTTCCTTCGTAGCTAACACGCAGACAAGNGTCGCAAGGAGATCATCAGTTTCTTCTGGGGCTACTTCTTGCTCACCATCGTTTCGCTACTCGTCGACTGCGGTGTCGTTCCTCCCGGCTCCGGCGCATATCCCTGGTTCGTCGCCATACAAAACGGTCTCGCTTCCGCCACTTGCATCTCCCTCATGATCGCTGGCTTTGTCGGTTTTCAGTTGTACGAAGATGGCACATTCTTGAGTGTCTGGCTGCTCAGAATCTGCTCTGCCACAATGTTCGCCATCACCTTCATCATCAGCATCCTGACCTTCCAAGGCTGGGCTGGCCTGGGTCCCGACAACACTGTTGGCCTTNTTGTCGTCCTATACATCTTCAACGCCATCTTCCTCGCCGTCTATATCGTCATGCAGATCCTGCTCGTAGTGGGAACACTCCAAGACAGATGGCCGCTGGGTCACATTGCATTTGGCATCTTCTTCTTCGTCATTGGCCAGGTCCTCATTTACGCATTCGGCAAATCTGTCTGCGAAGGTATCGCCCACTACATGGATGGTCTCGTCTTTGCTACCGTCTGCAACCTTCTTGCAGTCATGATGATCTACAAGGTGACTACTTTCTCTTCTCGCCTTCTTGTTCGTCTTGTGCTAACCGTCTGCCAACAGTTCTGGGACTCCATCACCAAAGAAGACCTCGAGTTCTCCGTTGGCGCCAAAAACAACAACTGGGATCTCAAGGCCCAACTTTTGAACGAGGNNGAGGAGAAGAGAGCCACCATGTACATGGACAGCGAGTACGACAGTAGTCTCTACTACCAGGCTCCTCGCCAACAGTCCATGTACGGAAGCTCCAACGGGAACTAAACACATATTCCATCAGTGGAATAATACACAAAGCGTCATTTTCATCACATAGAAAAGCATCGCGCACGGAGTTACGAGTTTTATTCTTTTAATGATCATCAATTGTTTCCAGAAGCGGTAATGGAGTGGTGGGAACATAGGTACACATCTCTGGTTTGGCATTTATAGCTCTATATAATCCACAAAACCACATGCCTTGAAGGTTGTGATGGTTGTTTCGAATTGCATCTGCATTTTCACGTGGATTCACTCGTTGCTTGACACCCTGAATGCTCTGCAGCAGGCATTCTGAATCGTGCCTTTTACATCGTTCTCAACAGTTTTCTCAGGCATGTGCCTAATTTGTTCTCAACCACTAGCCCTATTTTGTTCTCGATCTTTGGGCTGCCGTCCCATTGGCATCCGACATGTTGCTTTGCTAATCACAAGCGAGCGTAATTGCTACGATTTCTGATCAGTGAACCATGAACGAGAACTCGTTGTGAATATGAGCGAACCTTCAACGCACCCCCAGCAGCCGAGTAGACATACCCCAGGATCAACTTTAGACAGGCGACCTCCACTCCATCGTACAGCCTGCTTCAATTGTCGAGCGTCCAGACAAAAATGTGATCGACAAAGTCCATGGTATGTATAGTTCATTGATACCACTACAAGAGACCAACTGTGACCTTATAGTGTGCGATGTGTCTCTCAGCAACGGCGATGTGAGTATCCTCAAATTTCTAATCGAGGCCGCAAACAAGGAAGTGTCAAGTAAGTCGATTCCACGTCGTACGTCGCGTTATCTTACACGANNAACAGTAAGCCAGATACTGTTGAAAAACTCCTGCAGCGTATCAAAGATAGTCCAGTCGGTGAAGAAGTGATTGCTGCAATCCTTGCTTCGTCTCGAAATCTACAAGCTTCGGATCCTGCTTCGAATCCTGCTTCGAATACAATTAGTGGACGAGATTCGATGGAACATACTCCCGAAGCCAGAGCTGTGTCTGCGGCATACCCTTCTTCGAGATCTGAAGAACTTTTGGCAGAACACAAACGCACGAATGGTGATGCTGGGAGCTCATTGGTCTCACCTCTACATATCCTCGCTGACGCCGTGGAAACCGAAAGGCTGGCATCTCTGAATATCCTCGATTCCACTCCAAGTTTGGATCAACCTGAAGATCCTCTGCTGAACGAACCAATTAATGCATGGCTTTCTCGGCAGTCCACTGAGAGGTTGATTAAATACTTCAGTACGTTGACTAGCCTCCACCGACCACCAAAACGCTGACAATCTGTCTCTATCAGGANNCCTAGCTCTTTGGCTCAGAAAGACTGGCAAATCTTGGCTTCACAGCCTCTCAATGCTCCCTTGAGGCTTACTTCTTTGACCTGCGACCCCATCAGTTCGCGCATTATTGATGACACCGATGCCGAGAGATACTTCGACCTGTAAGTCTAACCTTGCAGCTGTTCTTCGTAGCCACGAAGCATGTCGCTGATTGGGCCTTCCAGATTCTTCAAAATTCGAAATCCACTCGTGTGTCTGCTGGATCCTATTCTTCATAAACCAGAAATCGTACGCCCCTTATCCTTCACTCTGTTCTCTGTTATCTGTGCACTAGGATGCGCGGTTGCCGATTCACAGAGAGACCGAATGTTGTATCCTTCTCTTCTAGCTCTGGCCGAGTGTAACATCAAATGGTCAATAGCATTATCTGTAAAATCAGTGGAGACTATTCAGGCCATCTTCACCATGGAATACTGGTCGCCAATTCATGAAACACAAAAGGATGATCCATATTGGTTGCACATAAGTCATGTAAGGAATCATGTCCCATAATCACAGTTGCATACTAAGTTTACTGTGAGGNCAATCTTGATAGCGAGAGAGCTGGGCCTCAATAAAGCCAAGGCTGTAACAGATCTGGTCTCGACATACACCTCTACCACGGCTAGCTCGGACTTCAAAGAACGGTTTCGTCGTAACATCGAGAGAACTTGGCTTGCTGCATTCTTTGCAGAAAAGAGCTTCGGCATTGTCACTGGACGTGTGATGAATGTTGGTCGATCAGAAATCTCAGAATCGATATCTGACTGGTGGAAGAAGCCAATGGCGTGTCCCTTCGATCGCATTATTAGTGGTGTTGTAGAGATGCGTATCCTACTTGTAAGTCTAAGTCAATATGATGACAGATCCACTTGTGAAACAAAGATTAACACAAAGCCGACCAGANTGCGATTCTTAGAAGAGCGGGAACACATGACCAAGACAGAAGAATCAATAGAAGATTGGCAAGCCAGAGGCTTCGACGCCCTGCAAGCTCTCCGTGAGAAGCGATGCACTCCTAACGGCTCACAAGAAGACTCTGCATCAGCAGAATATCTACCTATACTCGCTTACTATATGGACCATAGCATCTTGGTCTTAAACGCTAACGCTCTGAGAGACTTCGTTGCTGCCAATGCATTGGAGTGTCTAGCCAACCCCTGCAAGATCTCTCGCCAAACCGTCGACGTTGCGTGCAGGTCTTTGACACTCGTACTTTCTGATCCGGTTCTGCTAAAGCATATGTATGGTACTCACAACAACCAACTTATCATGATCTGCCATGCATCCAGCGAGATACTGTTTGTAAGTCACCCGCCTTCGGCTTGATCTGTTAATGCAAGCACTCTGACCAATATCCTAGNNGCCACTACTCGCGGATGCCTACCACCCGATGTTATCGAGAGAGCTGCTGAAAAGGTTTGCGCAGTGACCAGACACATGGAAGCAATCGCGCGCGGTCTACCAAGTACCTCTGCGGCCTCTCTTTACACTACGCTCTCGAACATTTTCTCGCAGCAGCTCGACAAGTACATTTCGACTAGTCAGGCTAGTTCTGAAGTTATGCAAGAGTCGATACCGACTGACTGGTGGAATGCGCTTGGTGGAGACATGCTTGTTGACATGAACGACCTCTTCCCTGAGCAGTTGTTCCCAGAGTTGGCTGGACATGGTAATTCGTACGCGATGCCTAATTGACGAGGTGCATCTCGATATACTGGTGTACAATGGATATAGTTATGCAATAATTATGCTGTACACTGTTTATGCAAAGGTGGCCTTGGGATACCTAACTACCGCTTTTGGAGATATCTTCCGAACGGCAGATCCACCCCGCCTTCTCCACCTCTACATAGATACACCAATTTGAGCTCTTCATTCACGAGCGATGCAGCAAGCATCCATATTGCGTGCTAGGGTGCGGTGGCATGAGCTAGGTAAGTGCATCCATGATCCTTGGAAAAGTTGTAAGTAAAGGCAGTCACCTTCCTCCTTGCGCTTTCCTTTCGCTCCTTCTCTCCCAAATCTCCCACAACTCGACTCCCTACGAAACAGAATCAACAACGTCGACACAATGTCTTTCAACCTCCACCCCTCCATCAACAAAGGCATCACAAAAGGCACCTCATCCTTCTCGGGCGGCTCCCTCCACTGCCACTGCAAAACCTCTCCCGTCACCATTTCTCTCTCCTCAAATGTCGCCCACAACCACGCCTGCGGCTGCTCCAAATGCTGGAAACCCTCTGGCGCAATCTTCTCCATCGTCGGCGTAGTGCCCCGCTCCTCACTCTCCATTTCCTCTGGTGCCAACAAACTCTACATCGTAGACAAGACAGCAGTAATCCAACGCCACGCATGCAAGGNNGACTGTGGCGTCCACATGTTTGGAAGAATTGAAACCGAGCATGCCTTCCATGGCTTGGACTTTGTGCATGTGGAGTTGAGTGAGCAGAAGGGCTGGCAGGAACCTCAGTTTGCGGCGTTTGTGAGCAGTGTTATTGAGCAAGGGTTGATTGCTCCTGAGCAGGCCGATCAGGTTAGAAAACAGTTGAAGGGCTTGGGGTTGGAGACTTATGATGCGCTGAGTCCGGGGTTGATGGATGCGATTGCTACTTTTGTGGCTAAGAAGAATGGAGCGTTGAGGGAGTCGAAGCTGTAGAGCTGGGATTATTTTTACTCTGGCTCTTTTGGATGAAGGCAGGTATAACTTTGGAAGTGGCGAGCTTGTTCGCCCGATTGGAAATATTTTGGAAACCACGAAGGATTTGGACAATGGAATGACTGCCATACAAAATCCACTCCTGTCGTTTGTGAAAATGTAACCCCACGGAATGTTCAGAATAAGCAGAAATGATATTGGTAAATCAGAAACCTGTCAATTACTAGTCTACATATCGCTTCGGGGAGTGCATATATTTCCCCAATGATCATCGAAACTAAAAACCAAACAAAAGAAAACGAACAGATGACCAAATTTTCCCCATCTAAACGAATGCTAGAAACGTTATCCCTCTCTCATTGCAAATGTCAAAATCTACTGGATATGCTTCTCTCACATGAGACTGCTGCTACTGCAAATAAAATCGGGAGCGCATGAGCTGACGTAGCCAGTCGTGAACACAGTAGTGGTCAATGTCTGTAAGACAGGACAAGTGGATGGACGAACGGTAATCGTGACTAAAGCCGATGTCAGTGTAATTCCAGACGAAACAAGATCATAAGACTTACTGGGACCAGTGTAGTATGAAGACGTCGAAGTCGGAGGCATGGCAGTGCCTGAGCGACCATCAGTAGCGCCGCTGGGTGTAAAAGTGGATGCTGCACCAGAAGTAGCTGTCGAAGAAGCAAATCCAGTGCCACCAGAAGAGGCTGCGCTAGACACGAACGAGGATGCAGCAGAAGAGGCAACGCTTGAAGCAGCCGATGAAGCGGCAGAAGAAGCTGCAAAGGATGCGCCAGAGGATGCAGCGAACGATGTTGCGCTGGATGCTGCCGATGAGAATGCCATAGAGCCACCAGTGGAGAAGGCAGAGGAATATGCAGAAGAGTAAGCTGAGGAATAGGCCGAAGAGAACGCGGACGAGAAACCACTCGAGTAGGCAGACGAATATGCAGTCGATGAAGCAGTAGAGAACGGAGTACCTGACCAAGTGGTGTACCATGAAGTAGAAAACTCAGTGAGCACAGTCGAGACGCTGACACTGATCGGAACGAGCGAGGTAGAGATGACCGTCGAGCTGGCCGGACAGCTAACAACGTCAGGAGGACACGAAGTGACGGTAGTCAAATCAGTGCTGTAGATTGTTGAAGTAATCACACCCACAGCGCTGGAGCTCGTGGAAGATGCCAAAGAGAGTGTTGAAATCGTCACGCTGATGGGTACAAGCGAAGTTGACACGATTGTTGAACTAGCAGGACAGCTCGCGACTCCTGGCGGACAGGAGGTGATAGTAGTGAGGTCCGTACTATAGATCGTCGAAGTTACGACGCTCACAACGCTCGAGCTAGTGGTAGATGCAGTTCCTGAGCGGCCACCATCGGACGAGCTTTCTGTGATAACACTGGCACCGATTGGAATGAGTGTGGTAGAGATGACAGTCGAACTTGAAGAAGTGACCGTAGTCAGGCCAGTACTGTAGATTGTGCTTGTCACGAATTCTGGTGCTGATGATGTGCTAGACGCAGCTACTGCCGCGGAAGATGTACTAGACGCAGCAGCACTAGAAACAACAGTGCTGGAGGGACTGCTAACACTGACACTGATCGGGATGAGCGTCGTCGAGACCACAGTCGATCTTGCCGGACAGCTAGTGACGTCTGGAGCACAAGACGTGACGGTTGAAACATCAGTACTGTAGATGGTGATTGTCAGAGGTCCACCAGGATTTGTCAGTCTGGTAGCTCTGTATCCGATGACGCCAGGAGGGAATGGAGTGGTCGATGAAAGATCGTTCGCATTGTGCAAACGACACTCTAGAGTGTTCTGGAGCCAGGTGGCAGCCAAGCACCCAGCCACCTGACTACATGTGTTGACACAGACATTCAGGTTTCGAGAGCTGGTTACTGTTGTAATGCCTACAGTCGTGTAGTCGCTCGTGCAATCGACGCTGTAATTTTCTGGAGGGCTCTGTGAATCCTCAAAGTATCCACCACAATAGCTGAAGTAGTCGACCGCAGTAGCAGTGGCAGCAGAAGAAGAAACTGTCACGCTGACGGGCACTAGTGAAGTTGAGACGACTGTCGAGCTGGCTGGACAGCTCTGCACGTCTGGCGGACAAGACGTGACGGTAGTAATATCAGTACTGTAGATAGTAGAGGTGACAGGACCGTCTGCTGGAGCGTCCTGAGCAGGAGCACGTTCAGCAAAGAGAACACCAGGCGCATATCCCGTGCCAGAGACTTGTGCAAACATCTGGCAGTCGTCTGTATTGATGTTGTACGTAACTGCTCGGCAGTAGCTGACACTGTCGCATTGAAGTTGACACTGTTGGAAAGCCGCTTGCTGTGCATCAGTTTGCCGCTTTCTCAAGCCCGCCTCTTTATCCTTCCTCAGAGTACAAAGTCATCATCATGTCGTCGAACATAAGTAGTTCAGCATCACGCTTGGAATTGTCGCTGCCGGCCATCACAATGACAGTACCACCGCTGACTCCAGTATCGCATGAGTGGGCATATGCCTTACCATCAGCATCGGTACATGTGACGTTATTGACATTGGGACATGCAGGCTGCGTACATGCAGGAGCTGGAGCTTCCTGCGAAACATACGTGGCGGTAGCAGAGTATGATGAGCCAGAGTCGAATGTGCTGTAAGCCGAAGGAGTGATCGGAATACGGGTCTCAGTTGTAGATGTGGATGACAAAGTTGAGGTGGACGAGGAATCAGCAGTTATCGTTGAGAACGAGCCGCTAATTGCTGAATTGGATGCAGGTAGCGAACTCGAAGCAGCTGCGCCTGCAGGAGAATAAATTGTAGATGACGATGCTATGAGGGTAGACGAGCTAGGCGATGCAACGTCACTGGAGGTTGCTGTCGCTGAACTTGGAGCAGCAGAGCTAGGACTGGCAGTCGATGATGCCACCGAAGTCGTGCTGGATGATTGGCTTGAGGCAGATGAACTACTGGTCGAGGAGATCGACGACACGGAAGAGCTGCTTGACTGTGACACGTTAGAAGAGGACGAGGGATTTGAAAAGACACTACTTGCTGAAGATGACGCGGACGAGGAAGAATCAGATGAGGAAGACGAAGACGAAGAAGCAGAAGATGGATCAGACAACGAGGGAGAGCTTGGCTGAGACACATTGGGAAGGGACGAAGAGCTTGATTCACTAGTTGTGCTCGACGTTGCACTGCCGGTGCTTGATGGCGCTGCAGATTGTACCAGGCTCGAAGATGACGATGAGGAGCTGGCGGTTGACGAAGCTGAAGCAGTACTAGAAGGAATGCTAGATGCCGAGCTTGAAGCATCACTTGACAATGAGCTTCCCGAAGACGAGGAGCTTGATGTCAAGGCAGATGAAGAACTCAGACTTGACGACGAAGAGCTTAGGCTTGATGAAGAAGAGCTCAGACTTGATGACAGAGAACTCGAGCTTGACGAAGGAGAACTCAAACTCAATGAAGAAGAGCTCAGGCTTGGTGAGGAAGAACTTGAACTCGATGGAGATGAGGTCAGACTCGATGAGGGAGAGCTCGGACTCGAACTCGAACTCGACGAGAGGGTACTCGAGCTTGATGACAAAGAGCTAGATGTCGATGACAAGGTCGATGAGCCCGAAGTTGAAGTCGAAGTGATCGAAGATGAGGAATCCGAGCTCGACACCGAGGAACTAGATGAGCTGGAAGAGCTTGATGTTGTACTGGGTGTCGTCGCGGTAGTAAGAGTTGTTATGGTCGTCGGCGTAGTGGCTGTCGTCGGCGTAGTGGCTGTCGTCGGCGTGGTGGCTGTCGTCGGCGTAGTGGCTGTCGTAGGTATTGTAGCTGTCGTAGGTGTGGCGAGAATAGAACTCGACACAGAGGACGCGCTTGAGCTACCGCTGCTGGACGCCGAAGACGAGCTTGAACTACTCGAGGACGAAGACAGACTTGAACTGCTCGAGGAAGACAGACTGCTCGACACCGAAGACGAACTTGAGCTACTCGAGGACGAAAGACTGCTCGACGCTGGAGACAAACCCGAACTGCTCGAGGATGCAAGACTGCTCGATGCAGAAGACGAACTTGAACTACTCGAGGACGAAGACAGACTAGAACTGCTCGAGGAAGAACGACTGCTCGACGCTGAAGAAGAACTTGAACTGCTCGAAGACGACGAAAGGCTTGAACTACTCGAGGAGGATAGAGAACTGGATGGGGTAGATGAAGTGGTGGACACAGTGCTTGATGAGGTGGAGGAAACGAGCGCGGAAACAGACGAAGAACTTGAGCTCACCGAACTGGAACTGGATGAAGAACCTGAGCTAGAGGATGAACTCAAGCTAGAGGAAGAACTTGAGCTCACTGAACTCGAGCCAGAGGAACTCGAAGAACTGGAGGAAGAACTCGAGCTAGAAGACCTCGAGCTGGAGGAGCTACTCGAGCTAGATGAAGAGGTTGGAGATGACAGAGTGGACGTCGTCGTCGTCGTCATCGTTGTCGAGCTGATAGTAGTGGAGGAAACAACCGTGGCGGTGGCTGCAAAGCTCTGATGGCTGCCGTGGCACCATTTCCGGGCTGGAATACGATGTTTGGGTTATTGAGCTTAAGATAGCAATTGCCAGTCCAGGTAAAGCCATTGCATCCTACCGTGCCATCGCAAAATCCGAAACAGTCGTTGAAGCTTCTGCCGCCACTAGCCAAAGTGCCACCTCCAGTAGTGTCGTTACCGCAACCAAGAGTGTAAATATAGCCATTGACGTCGGTAATTCGCTGCTCGTCATTGGCTGGGCAGGAATAGGTCGCCTGAGAGATCGCTGGTGCGAGTGACGTACTTGTAGTAGAGACGCCTCCAGCTGTAGTAGCACCTGGAGTCACAGTCACCAGATTGCCTCTGACAGGATTTTGTGATGCTTGAACGAAGTCACCACCCGAATAAGTGTACGGCGAGTTCACGCGTTTGATAAAGCAGGTGCCTTGATGGAAGGTGAAGGAGGTACAGGTCGGGTAACCGTCGCAAATAGCAAAGCATTGCTGCCACGTCGTCGCAGCAAAATTAGTGTTTGCTCCACTGAGGAGATCGTATCCACACATGATAAAGTAGTAGAGACCGTTGGGGACACCAGTGCCAGTATATGGATCATAGTAGTACGTTCCATTACTGCCAGGGCAACTTGGTGTCGTGGTGTATACTGGATATCCGTTCAGACTTGTGCTGACTCCATTAGCGGACACAGCCGACGCAGAAGTGACCGGAGTTCCACTGCCAGAAACCGTGATCGCCGTAGTTAGGGAGCTCGCCGGAGTGATGGCTGGAGTGCTAGAGCTACTGCTGGAGGTAGTCGTGGTGACTGTGCTAGAACTCGTGCTGGTGCTTGTAGTTGTTGTGGTGGTTATGGTAAGCGTGGAAGGGCAGGAGATGACCCTAGCACTTGTGGTCGAAGCATAGATTGATGATAGATAGTCCATACTTGGACCAGCCGGATTGGTCCATCTGTAGAAGAAATCCATCGAGAATGCCGCCGCGTCGATAGGCCCACCATTGCTTCCAAGAGAGTACTGATGCGGCCAGTTTGCGAGGCGGAATTGTGTAACAAGACCGAGAAGTCCACTAGAAGATCCAAATTCGGCTTTGGTCACGGTGCCATTGTTAGTCACGGTAGTGGTATTGTCAGTCGTCAAGCTGTTGCGTGTGGCCCAATCTTGAGCCCAGTGAGGAATGGCGGGCAAACAGTACCCTCTACGGCCGCCTCCGAAGTATGGAATCGTTCCATCACCATCACCGTGGAACTCGATCATCGGTACACGTCCCGAAGGGCTGCAAGTGCTGTGAACAAGATCGTTGGTCAGAACTGTATTTGGGAAACACACGGTATTCGAGTCGCCTGTCTGCGTGTAGTAGGCTCCCGAGTGAGGCGCAAATGCATTGAACACTGTTGACATGGTCGGATCGCAAGCCAGCACATTCACAAGTCCACCACCGTTGCTGAAACCAGCAGCAAAGATACGGCTTGTGTCAATGCAATATTGAGACGAGATGTTGGCGACCAGGGTTCTGACGAAGTTCAGATCGTTGATGGTTGAGTTGCCAACCCAACTCGGATCTCCCTGCCACGTAGGTTGACCAGTTGAATCCTTGATGGCCGTGGGATAAACCGCAATACCGTAGGGGTTGATTCTCCCAAGCGAGAAGCCAGTCCCGCTTTCTACGGCAGAACCACTATCACCTCTTCCGTGGAAGACCAAGATCAATGGCGCTGCTGAGTTGGGATCGTAGCCAGACGGCACGTGCACGTTGTAGCTGTGCAGATAACCGTCGGATCCATTGCCGTAGAAGACTGAGCTAGCTCCACCGGGACTGATTGCAGAGTTCAATGGCGTACCACAACCGGAGCTTCTGTATTGTCCATTTGCAACAGGTGCAGGGTATGCGGGTGGTGGGTAATAGATTGTGGCAGTATTGCCGCCTGATGGTCGGACGATGTTGCTAAAACTCTGCTTCAGATAACAGGTTGTGCCGACGTAAGTGACTGTGGTACATGTTTTTGGTCCAGCCGCGCTGCAGTAACTCATACAAGTGGCAAAGTCAGGAACATTGTTGAGGGATGCATACGAGCCAGGCGAACTGTCAGCTGAACAATAGACTGTGTATTGTTGACCGCAGGAGTCTGTGTAAGAAGTTGTGCTCGCAGTGACGGAACAAAGTCCATTGGTGCTTTGAGCCAAAGCGAAAGAAGCGAGTGACAGTAGCAGCGTTGTCACCCGTAGAGACACCATCTTGGTGACAGGTTACGAGGAAGAACGCGATTACGAGAACGAAGAAGCAAACAGTGGGAAGCCAAAGTCATATTGTCGAGTGCTTGTTGACAGGGAGCTCAGGAATGCAGGCAATTGGTACCTGCATTCCAGGACAAACGGGAAGTTCACTTACCTGTGGACCCATCATGATGGCACAAGCAAGGAATGGTCCCATCCGCTTGGTTTAGAAAACCCATCGAGACCCCTCGACCAATGTTCCTGTCATTAAAGCTAATCAGGCAATTTTGCGATGTGACGATCACTTTTCGATGGTTTCATGCCTCCTGATGAAGTAACCCTTGACACTTGCCTTCTCAAGATGGATCTGTTGAAGTCAAGAGCCATCCAGATTACTCTACCTTACAGTATCGTGAGAGTTGCAGGTCGAGCAGCAAGGAAGTAGATAAAGCTCAATGTCATAAGAGGAAGATTTTAGGCCAGCAGTGTAGGCGTTGCACACAGAGCATGAGAAAGCAAGAGTACAGAGGGAAGCCGAGACAGACGCGTGAGCGAGCGTGCCATATTTCGCCTGCCGATATCGGGTGGTTTTTGGCTGCTTAGACGACCCTGCCTACCACCACGCCCTGGTTTTTCTAAGCACAACAATCATCATTCTTATTAGATAAACTACAGCTAACATAATGAGAATGAGAGATAAACCCCTCATAGAAGTCTTTGTCAAAGTCATGTCGAGGGATCTACGTCTATCTCCCTCTCTCTCGCATTATAGGGATTGGTGGTCTTCACGCGCAGATTACACTTCTTCTTGATCATGATGAATTCATTCAGGATGAATTGATGAATACAATATTCTTCTGGGAATAGGCTGCCAAAAGCAGACAGAAACCATGACGCGGGTGTTCAGAACAGACTTATCACCTAGAGAAACTAGATACTTGCATATATCACGTCCATCATGGCCAGATGGGCTCGTGATAAGAACGATGCTAGCTCGACCGTAGCTCTGTAGACAGAGGTCATAAGGAATGCTTCGCTAGTTTTTCTGGAACTCAATTTGGACCAACTCGAGACGCGTAGCATCACGCTGAATACTTGAAGCTCCAACATAATGCTAGGCTAGACTGGAAGAAGCGATGTATTCGAAAACATCAACTACAGCTTTGCCTTCTCCGCCCGACTCAAGTAAAGTTTGACCTCGACACCCTGTACGCCCACAAGCATACGCCTTAAGATCTTACCACTTGGTGATTTTGGCACTGCTGGTACGAACACAACATTACCAGCCAACCACTTGTACCGCACGGTCTTGCTCTCTACTAATTGTTTGATATCTTGAGCCAGGGCCTGGAGTTCCGGTGTGATAGGACCATTTGGTGTACACTGGGCCAACAAGTGTTTTGAAGAAGGCACAACGTAGGCTCTAGGTAGTTCGGATGCAAGACCAGCGTCGAAGAGACCACATACAGCAGCATCAGCTACTGAGGGGCTACCGCAAAGGATGTTTTCGAGCTCAGAAGGTGACACTTGGAATCCTTTGACCTTCATCACATCCTTCAACCGATCGGTGATCCACAGATGGCCGTGAGTATCAACTTTGCCGACATCGCCTGTGTGGAACCAGCCTTCACTGTCGAGAGCTTCATCGGTGGCCGCCTTGTTGTTGAGGTAACAGGTCATGTTTGTCGGAGATCTNGCACCATGCACTTAGCATCATAGTAGCGAATAGAACACAAGAACAACCGACCTTATCAGAATCTCGCCTTCGAGACCCTTGGCTACCACTTTCGTAGGGTCATCGACAGACACAATCGTGAGCTCGATACCAAAACAAGGTACACCAGTGTTGCCGAGTTGCGGTTGAATGACCTCCCAAGTCTCTCCCACTTGATTACACACAGATCCTGCTTCTGACAATCCATAGCCCNNTAAGGAATAATGTTAGGGCAGGCACACAGGTATACGTTGAGTTGAACTAACCAGTTTGATCAATATACCTAGTCGTCGGTAGACCTGTTCGACGATTTCCGATGGCAGAGGAGCACCTCCACTGACGGCACCTTGAATACTCGTCATGTCGTAGTCATCCAGCATGGGCGATTTAGCAAGCAGCACAGCGACTGGAGGGGCCATGTGTAAGAAAGTGACGCGAAAGCGCTGTACGTGGCTAAGCATGAGCTTAGGGTCGAATTTCGGCATAACAAAGATGGTAGCTCCAGATGCAACCGCGAGAAGCAAGACATTGCAGAGTGCAAAAATGTGGTAGAACGGAGCAAAGCCTAGCCATCGTTGGTTCCCATCGAATGCTTGGTTGATATGCCATAGTGAGTGCACATTGCTGACAAGAGCCTGATGAGACAAAACGACACCCTTAGATTTACCCGAGGTACCCGATGACCAGAGGATGACTGCCGTTCGTTCTTTGTATTCGCTGGACTTGAATTGGACAGGAGCCCTAAGCGGTTTAGGCGCCAACAGAGCCTTCCAATCTTGTGAGTGTTGATCTAGATCAGTGCCCTTGGAGTGTGAACAAGGAAGACCGTACTCGTCATGAGCAGGATCCACGATGTAAACACGGCGTGTATTGATGAGATTAGCCTTGACCCTAGGACTATCACTCTCGGTTATAGCTGCATTGAGGACCTGCAGACCTTCTGGCGTAGTCACGACAACCTGAGGCTCAGAAGACTTGAGAATCCAAGCCAGCTCACCAGAAGTTAAGGCAGGATTCGCCATAGTCACAGTCAAGCCCGAAGCCATGACACCAAAGAGCAATGGCGCGAAGGCTAAAGAGTTAGGCAGGTGCAACAGGACGACAGGAGAGATGATGGGGGTATGTCCAGTTGACGAGTGAGGTACGGCAGGGNNGGAGGGCTGCAAGCCCAGAGCTTGAAGTCCAGCTGCGATACGTAGGGAGTCGATTCGCACCCTGTCCCAACTGACCTGAGCAGCTNNATATGATGTTGGTCATAGGATCAAAACAGCAAGATTTGTAGATTACCCACCGGTGAGAGGATCTACAAGCAGAGGCTTGTGAGGAGCTATGTTGGAAATGACATGGTTGCGACTTTGAGTATCAGGAGCATGGTCGGAGACTGGGCCATTCTTTCTCAGTGGATTCGAGAAGATGAAGTCGAAGATGTTGGCAGAAGGAAGGGTTGGTGGTGGGGCACCGATGTAGGATAGTTCGAGATCAGACATGACTGCAAACAGCACGAGAAGAAGTATCGGATCGAAGGATTCAGATGGCAAGAGCTAGCTACCTAGCTGGTCTACATAATATGTTGAGATATCAGGAAGGAGAGGATGACCTCGGGGATGCCAGATTAACCGGGGTAACGAGTGGATCGTTGCCGCTCACCGCCCTAGCCACGCTTGATCCAAAAGAGTAAGGCGCAAGGGTGCAGCTGGGCAGGAACGCGAGACAGCAGGGGGAAATTATTACTGAGGTCTAGAGACTCGTACGAGCAATCTCGATCAATTCAAGTCTTTTTGTTGCTTTCTCTGTGAATTGATCCTTCCTATCGCTCTACACATCATGGCAGACACCAAGGTATACCGCGCGAGCACTTTTGCTCCTGTGAACATCGCCGTCATCAAGTGAGTCTGGCTCGTCAACAGATGAAGCAATTGAGCAGACAGCTAACGACTACCAAAGANNTACTGGGGCAAGCGCGATGCCAAACTCAATCTTCCTACCAACAGCTCTCTCTCCGTGACACTGTCGCAAGACGATCTCCGCACCCACACAACTGCCTCGTGCAGCAGCCAATACCCCAAGGACTCGCTCACCCTCAACGGTTCAGACCAGGACATTTCCGGTGCCCGCACACAAGCCTGTCTCGCTGAGTTGCGTGCTCTTCGTCGTCAGCTCGAAGAATCAAACTCGTCGCTTCCCAACCTCTCCTCCCTACCTCTCAAGATTGTTTCGCGCAACAACTTCCCTACTGCCGCTGGTCTTGCTTCGTCCGCCGCAGGTTTCGCTGCCTTCGTTCGTGCAATTGCCAACCTCTACGAGCTGAAGTCGACACCAACCGAGTTGAGCCGCATCGCAAGACAGGGCTCTGGTTCAGCATGCCGCAGTCTGTTCGGTGGTTACGTCGCATGGCAGATGGGCGACAAGAAGNATGGAAGCGACAGTGTCGCTGTTGAGGTCGCTCCTGCAGAGCACTGGTCCGACATGCGTGCCGTCATTCTCGTCGCATCTGCCGAGAAGAAGGACGTCAGCAGCACTTCTGGTATGCAACAGACCGTTGCAACTTCGACTCTCTTCGCTGAACGCATCGCAAACACCGTGCCACGCCGCATGCAAGAGATGGAGAAGGCCATTGCCGACAAGGACTTCGCCGCTTTCGCCAGCCTCACCATGAAGGACAGCAACTCATTCCACGCTACTTGCCTCGATACTGAGCCTCCGATCTTCTACATGAACGATACTTCTCGTGCCGCTATCCGCATGGTCGACATAATCAACTCAGAAGCAGGAAAGACTATCGCTGCATACACCTTCGATGCCGGCCCGAACGCTGTCGTCTACTACCAGGCTCACGAAGAGGCCAAGGTCGCTGGTGTCTTCAAGGCCGTTCTTGGTGACAAGGAGGGTTGGGAGGGTGCTCGCGGCAAAGCTGTTGAGGCCACCAACGCTCCCAAGGACTCAGAAGTAGCTGCCGATCGCCTGAAACAAGGTATCAGCAGAGTTATCCTTACCTCTGTCGGTCCTGGCCCCATCAAGACCGACGAGAGCTTGATTGATGAGAACGGCAACACCATCTAAGATGCTATGTTCTTTCTCTTTCTCTGTTCTCATTTGATAGACATATTCTTTATAATCACGGACTGCAACAGGAGATGCACACTCCAAGCGAAATGCACGAGATACCATTTGTTTTGAGCCAAGAGCTATTTCTGATCTATAAGGTTGTCATTTCGAGCGGGTATAAGCAGTGATCTCTTGCTTAGATATTCCAAGGAGGTTTTAGAAGCCTGGAAAGATCGGTAATGATGCCCCTCGTCTTTCTGTTGTGTGGGGAGCGTCGCAACCCACTCCTGCACCTGGATGCCAGCCGCGTGTGTACGTGCCTGAATCCTTCGGGCATGATTCATGTACATTGTGGTAATCGTAGTGTGAACCTCCCATGTCTTTCCTCGTTATCAAAATCATCAATCTCTCTGTTTACTCAGTCGAGTACAACCATGTCTGAAGCAAACCATGAACCCCAACGAACTCCAACGCGCATCACGACCAAGCCACAACGCACGCTCGCTTGTGCATCCTGCCAACAGCGAAAAGTAAAATGCGATCGTAAATTTCCTTGCAGCACTTGCGTTAAGGGCGGTGTGCAGTGTATCCCAGTAACGTTACCACGGCAGCGACGACGTCGGTTTCCTGAAGCAGAGCTGTTGCAACGCGTCAGACATCTAGAGGACTTGCTTCGACAACACAATATAGACTTTGAGCCTTTGCATGGTAATGCCGCTGAGAAGAATACTACTCGGAATGTTGAGACAAACAACGGCAAGGAGGGAGGAAGAAGCAGTCCGGAGATCAAGACGGAGACTACGTATGAGGCAAAGTATGTTTATCCTCTTTCTAGATCGCTGTATGCAACCTTGATTAATCGAGGTGCTCTANGAAACCTTTGGCAAGCCATGAAACAACAAGTACGACCTCATCGCAATCTCTCATTGATGGAGGAAGCACTGATCGCCACTGACCAGTCTCCCAACTCGAACGACCAGGAAGACGAAAACGACGACAACAGCGAAGAAGATGACACCAATGACCTTCGAGACGTGGCTGGAAGTAAAAGCTGGGATCAACTGTACAAGAACAGTACTGACTTTCTGCTATTTGGGTCTTTGATCACAGATCTTGATCTTACGGTTCTGCATCCTCCTGATCATGTGCAGATCTTCAAACTCTGGCAGGTCTATCTGGAGAACGTGAATCCGTTACTGAAAGTCACGCATACGCCAACTTTACAGGTCAAACTGATCACTGCGACTGGGGATCTCCGAAATGTCGACTCCAAGCTGCAAGCATTGATGTTTGGTATATACTGTGTGTCTGTCATGAGTCTTACTGATTTAGAATGCCTGGATATGTTTGCGTCCGAGAGGGATGGGCTCTTGCAAAGATATCGGTTTGGGTGCCAGCAAGCATTGCTCAAGTGTGGCTTCCTCCAATCTGATGACCGAGACTGCTTGACGGCTTTGTTCTTATACCTTGTAAGACAGACTAATACTTGTTATGCGTAGTCAGTTGCTGACTCGTCTAGGNTCGCCGTGAGACCAGATACGGATCCTCGGTCTTTATCATCGTTATTGGGCCTCACTGTACGCATCGCACAACGCATGGGACTGGATAATGAATCAGCAAATGCAAGTTGTGGTCCTCTGGAAGGTGAGATGCGCCGTAGAATATGGTGGGCGCTTCTTCTCTTCGACAATCGCGTCTGCGAGATGGGCGACTATAGAGCAGTCACTCTCACTCCATCGTGGAACTGCAAGATCCCTGCAAACCTTAACGATTTTGACCTCCAGGCAGAGATGAAAACACTGCCAAAAAGTCATGACAGACCCACAGAGACAACTCTGGCCGTCTTGCGCTACGCGGTGGCAGATCTCGTTCGCCACAGCTCATTCTTCCTCGACTTCACCAATCCATCGCTAAAGGTCCTTGCTAAACCCAAAGACCATGGTGGCGACTTGGTGACCCTCCAGCAAAAGATTGAGAACGAATACCTTCGACACCTCAATCCAGAGAACCCACACCAGTTCTTGACTCTCTGGCTTATACGAGGCCACATCGCCCGCTACCTCCTATTCCAACACTTCGCTGTCTCACCAGATAAGCAGACACAACAACAGTGCGATGCCTCCATCAACTACGCACTGACAATGCTCGACTGCTACAACAAGATTCTAACCAACCCCTCCACAAAACGACACGTTTGGTTTCTGTACTTCCACTATCCGTTCCCTGCTTTCATCCACATTCTACAGCATCTGAAACGTGAACCTTTGGCAGACCATGCACAAGACTGTTGGGAGGCCATGAGCAGCAGCGCCAAAATCAGATTTGCAGAGCGCGAACATACTGCGATTCCTNTTTACAAGACGCCCTTGTTCAAGGTGTTTACAAGAATTGTCGTCAAAGCTTGGGAAGCTAGAGTTGCAGCTTTGCAGAACCAGGACAAGCCAGACGAGGAAGTACCGTACATCGTCGAAGAGTTCAAGAGAAGGGTGCAAGGATCGGAGTCATCTCCTTCAGAGGGTACGAGCAGCAATGCAAATATGTCTTCCAGATTCGAGGCAGATGAGTCGATGATGCCGTTTCCGATGATGAACTTCGGAGGGCCTTTTGACGAGTTCAATGGTCAGGGTGCTTCGAACCTAGGAGGTGGGGACGCTGTGGATAGTCTGATGGATGTTGATATGGGTGCTCTTGACCTAACCGGGACAGAGTGGCCTCTGTTGAACATTCCAGGGTCCTGAATATCAAGAGAAGGACAGCAACCAAGAGGGGATGACGAAGGCCGGCGCTCGACAACAAGGGTCAATCACGGTTCTGAGCACGCACCATCAGCTTGACCATCGGAACCATCACAGTCATGACCAATACTCACCTCGAATCTCTCACATCCACCTTCATCAATAACACACCCAACATCTCAAACAGTCGTTCACACATGCAGGCCGGGAAACCCGCTTCTCCACGATGCACCCCATGACTCACGACGTAAGAGCAGACTTGAATTGAGCACGATGGCATCAAAACAGAGGGATGCTAATGCGAAGGTCTTTTAGGTCTCTCGATCCCCTTGAGGAAGGCAGAGTAAAGCGATGTGTCGCGTGGCTGCACCGTCGCTGAAGGCTTCGCAGTAGTTTAGATGATGATGGGTACGTTTTGATGATGATGACGATGATGGAAAGGTAGAGAGGTTAGAGTCGTGGGAAAAGGAAAACACAAGAACGAATTCGCAAGATGTTAAGGTTGGAAGGTGCGGCTTCCGCAAAGATCAGGAAATGGATTTGCAAGATGTAGAAGTTGGAAGTTGCGACTTCCGCGTGCTTGCTTCTCCTGGAGCGACAACTTTCAAGGTGACCGAAATTGCATGTACCACATTCCATTTCTGCTCAAAAGCAGAAGGAGCATGACATCATGCAACACTCGTAGTTGTTGCCTGAGAACCACCCTGCCATACATAAGAAAGACACCGCCGAATTCAAGCCTCACCACTCAAATCAAGAAGTATCGCCATCAGCGCCTGCCTCCATCTATAACCATTTCCGAAATGCAATCCTCACCACCGAAAGCTGAACCAGCAATGGCATCTTCTTCACAAAGCACGACCAGAGATCCCCTCACCCTCCTCAAATACATAGAATCCGAGATTTCCTCCCTGTACACATCCGCATCAGCGAAACCCACAGACGAGACGCCTCCACATCTCGCTCGATCCAAGTATCTGGACATCCACACAGCGATTCACGACTTCGACCTCGCAACAAAGAAGCGAGACTCTGCCATCAGCGGCGAATATCTCTACCACTGGCTAGGCTCCCAGATGAGAGACTACTGCACAAGCATGCGAGGTTATATATTTCGCGATCAACACGATGACAATGATGCGTCCTCTTCGCGTAACTTGTTGACCGCGTACCTGTCTTGTTACCGCAAATTTGGAAGATTGGCAATCTTGGTGGCGAACTTGATGCAATGTTGGGAAAGACACTGGCTGCGCAGGGCGAAGGATGAGAAGAAGATAAGTGTTGGCTCTATAGAGGAGTTGCATAAACTTGTGTGGAGACAAGAGGTGCTAGAGAGTATTGCGCGAGATTCGGTGTCGAAGAAGGTGTTGGAGGAGTTACATACTGCAATGGAGGTGTTGGAGGAAACACGATACGGGACGAGAGAGGGGGATTTGAGGATTGTCAAGGATGTTGTGCAATCTCTGTCTTGTCTTTACAATCGAGAGTAAGATTCACCCAGACAAGGGACCAAGGGCAGCTGAGAGTCTCCTTTGTTCGGCCTCCGCGAGGCGATCGACATCAAGCCTCTTGATACCATCTCCTAGTCTCTCGATCTCATGGTCTAGGTGTTCCAGTCTATGCTTGGCTTTATTGTCTGCTAAGTGCACAGTGGTGTGAGGTGAATAAGCATATAGTGCTCTCAACAAATTCTGCAAATCTCCATCTGCCATATTTATCGACTCGGCCACTTGTGCAGCGATAGATGACTCGGTAGATTCTTGCAAATCTTTGAGACGTGATTGACGTTCGAGCATGGCTGAATGCAGGGCTTGAGAAACAGCCTCGGGGTCTGTTTCAAGATCGACGGTTAGACGTATACCGTAGTGTCCAATTATTTCCAGAGCTGGATCTTTGGCTCCTTGGCGGTGCAGAATGGGGTTCATTGTTTTCTTAGGCGAGGGGCCTCTGGTTGATGGCTTTCTATCGAGTCTAGGCGGTGGCTGTATTGGTGGTGGAAGTGTCTCGGCGAGCGCATTTGAAACCTGGCTGATTGCAGATGTGTAGGCCAAGGCGTCTTGTGTACAGGAGGCCAGATCCTCAGTCTTGTGGGCAAGCTCATCTAGTGTTCTTACAACCTGGTCACTGCGTTAGCTGGGGTAACCTAAGGTCAGGAGGCTGATGGTGGTACATACGTATTCTAGCCAATTTCGTTGTTCGAGCTGAGCTTGTGTGTCAGATAGATTCAGAGCATTGACGATAGGTGCTCGGTATCGCCTGCTGATGGTCATGTCGAGCACCGAGTCCACTTCCGTAATCAAACTTTGAAGCTCTTCAGCCAATTCATATGCTTCATGGGCTGTCTGTGTACTGTTCTGATGCTCAAAGTCATCAGACTCGTTAGCCAGGCTATCAAGAGCCTCAAGGTAAGTAGCATTCGTTCGATCCTTGATAATTTTGCTTTCCAGTTTCATCAAAGCCCGCGACAAAGCGTTGAAGTCCGGAAGTTGCTTTTCACTCGTCTCGAGCGGACCGAGTTTGAACATGACTTTNTGCAGTCCATCAAGCAGGCGATCGTCTTTGTCTAGTTGACGTTGGGACGATGTTTTGAGCAGGTTCAGACTCGAATCTGCGTGTCGTCTGGTCACAGTGACGCGCTGCTGAATATATTCGGTGAGCTCTTTGGTTTCCATATCCAGCTGGGCTCTTGCTCGTGCCTGGCTTGATCGTTTCTCGTCATTGTCGGAGACAGTCGACGAAGGCTCCCTATTCAGATGTTGTAACTTTCTCAAAGCATCTCGCTGAGCTTCCAATCTAGCTGTCTGCTTCTCTATGGCTGCAGTGCTAGCTTCCAGAGAGTCGATGGCAGATTCAAAATCAGGTTCTCGCATAGGGCGCGGCATTCCATGGTCAGGTGGAATTTTGTAGTTTGACTGGGAAATGTATGCATGNCCTTCAATTCATCAGTCTAGTCCTGGTGCCGTATACTGAAGCACACACATATCGAGTTCTTCTGGGCTAAGAAGAGTAGGTGAAGCTAGATATTCATGAACCCATGATACCATAGAGTCCCTGGTTTGAGGAGAATCGAATAACCAAGCCAGGTCATCGTAGCCTAGACCAATATCACGCTCGGCCAGAACGGCGAGGAGACGATTCAGGGATGTAGCTGAATCCATGATTATACTCGACAATGGTATAGTGGCATGTCGGTGTAAGAGGCAGCGAGGGAAACAACAAACACGGGCCGAGGCAACCGAACGCGCCCCACCATTTCGTCGTGCCAAGCCGAAGCTCTCGTGCCTTGAGTTTCAAAGTATCGGTCGAGCAAGCAAGAAATCATTCAAATCATACAAGCACAATGCAGTCGCTGCGAGTTCTACCAAGGCTGCCGACCTCTCGCATTGGTCTGCGATCAGTGCAGCCATGCATCCAGCTCCGCACAGCAACAAGCTCCTCCACAACCTCGACCTCAGGGCCTACGCGAAGGAGCGTCACTATCGCCAACGATACCGGTCGTGTGCCTTGGTCAGAATTGTCGTGGCGAGAAAGAGGTGCTCGTACAACACAACAATCAGCAAATCTCGCCGTCATTCTTTTAGGTCTTGCTATGACGGGTGGCGTTGCAACTGTTCTCTACCTCGAAGTTTTTAGCAGTGACAGCAAGACTGCCGTTTACAATCGTGCCTTCGAACGCGTACGAACCGATCCCAAGTGTATCGAGATACTGGCAGGAAGAGGCAAAGGAGGAGAGATCGAGGCTTGGGGAGAGAACAGGGTGCGCAACAGTCGCTTCGCAAGAGATACCATCTCGTAAGATTCATCAACTTGTTCAAATTAGGACAGCCGACTGATATGCACGAAAAGATCCAAGTCTGAAACCGACGGTATCGGAACAACTCACATGAGAATGCACTTCCATGTTGGCGGTAGCCTAGCTACCGGCACCGTCAACGTGCACATGACGAAACGCCGCGACGAGAGTGATTTCAAGTATCATCACCTGGCTCTCGACGTACCCGGTCACGAACGGATTTGGCTGGAGAATGCAGAAGCTTGGAAACTTGACAAAAGAAGCTCGGGCAAGATGTTTGGCGTTCGCTGGTGGTGAGAGTATGACGCTTGTCGCTCGCTCAGTTCGGCCTCCTCCATCGTCGTCTGCGATAGCCTGGTTGTCAAGACTACATGGAGCTGAAGTGGATGTCCGATATGCATCTCAGCGACTTCCTCCGCCGATCGCAGCATGTAAGAGGAGCATGGCCATTGAGCCGCTTAGCCTCTGAGCATGCACATGATCGAGATACACCTCCCAGATATCTATCTTGGCGTGTGTTATGCGATACACTAGGTCAACGCATCCTGCTGTTCTTGACCGGTCTCTGACCGCCGCAATTAGAACAGCCACTTACTGTGTGGTTGCGTTATCTGGGGTTGTTTGGTCAATGCATTCGATCACTGCATCGATACACTCACGCAAGTGGCGCGAGGTGTTATTGCGGTCTCTCGGGGTTGATGCGAGTAATCGGATGGCTTGTTAAAGGCGAGCTGAAAGAAGGATTTAGTCCGTCGCCCCGGAATGCGGGAGTGCGATATGCTAACAAGCCATCGGCTTGATTGCAGAACGCGTGCGTGCCCTCCGGATGAGCCTCTTCCATCACGACTCGAGCAGAGACGCATGTCTGTCCGTTTTCGTACGCGCCATAAGAGGGTTGACACTTGTCGGAGGGAGGGGCATCTGGTGATTGTATCAGCTATACCAAGTTACCTACACCGTCTATATCGACGATCAGACTCAATCCATGTACTCGTGTACCCGACAAAGGTAGATCGCAAGTCTGTGTAGAGGTCAGATCGTTGCATTAGACATCAAAAGTTAGACGTTCTACTTCGAGTATCCAAGAAGGGAAGCTGCGAGCCCTATCGCTTCGCACCTTCTCCTATTGCAACTCTATTGGTCAAAGTACCGAGGTGGGAAATCGCACGTTGCAACACCTGCTCGCATTGCTTGCCTTTCCTCGTCTCCATGCACAACACAAACCTAGAAACTTCAAAAACTCAACTTTGATCCAGTTTAGGAGTATCTCGGTCGAGGATATGCATGCAAAGTCCAAGATGGGGTTAAAGATAGACGAGAGAAGACCTATCCGCAAAAGCTTACTGGCGACAAAAAGCCAAGATTCAGTTCCTCTGAAGTGTCTTTTGACTTTCACAAAGAAGCTCTACCTTTGCGCACTCTCGCGGAGAGTTGTTCTGGAATGACAAAACTCCGTCCTTGTGTATTCTGCCGAAAGCGCTTGCCTTTCTCGAACGCAAGGACGACACTCCGAGGAGTCGGATTGGAGTGAGACATGTGAGGTAAGCAACTTGCATAGCATAACTCCCTTCTTGCCGCCTTTGCACGCTCGGCAATCACTATACAAGGAGATTTTATATCTCTCTGCTCACGTGCAACCGCGGACCATTCGCAAGCAAAGCGCCAGAAAACGTGACTTCCTTCCCTGAGCGTGATCGCTTAACCAACCTTCCTCCTTCCTTCATCGTGCAACCGACCCAAGATTCGATCAAGACTCAAATCGATATCTTATCAAAGCATCCCGTAATTAACCCTTGCTCTGCCTTTCGCTTAAACCAAAGGATAAACTACTCCTGTTGAGCAAACACAGGGGAGGTTTAAGAACGGTTTACACAGTTATACGTTTTGCGCGTTTCGTGTTTAAAAATCCCCCTCGAAGAGTGGGGGAAAGGAAGCCGTTTGCTTTGTTTTGATTCCATACCCTGGAAGCTGTTTTTGTTTGTTTATCGCAACCGCAACAATCAAACCAGTAGATACGAACTCACACGGGAAACTTTGAAGCAAAGAAAGCCAAAGAAAGATCGAGAAGATTTGGTTTTTGAGTTGTGAAAATTTGATTGTGCTTTGGTGTTATGCTATTCAGTGTAGATTCCCTCCCTGGTGTCTCTTTGCAAGCTGATAGGAAAGAAAAGCCAAGATCATGGCGAGTCTGTATCATACATAAGAAAACAAAGTGATTGGATGAATGCACATGTTTTACATCAAAAGCTATACCTCAGAATGCATCTTTCAGCATGAGGATTTTGAATTCGTACATGATTTCTCGTGAACGAATGGCACTCTGCAGTACCTCGGCGTGCCTTCGAGCATTGATTTTGCTCGGTGGCTTTGCTGTGCGTTGCCTTCGTAATTCGTAGAGGTCATGTCGAAGAGTGCGGCTTGTGAAAAAGCCTGGTGGTTGAGTGATTAATGCTTAGCCTGTTGCTAGAGGCGATAGACGAAGCTTTGCGAAGATTGTTCAAGGCGATCCCAAGAAGCCAGAGTGAGCACAGTTCTCGCAGGCATCGCCGCTGGAACTGCCAGAAAGGACGTAGCCATTGCAGTTGCGGGCGTAGAAGTAGTAGCAGCGGTTGAAGCTGATGTCAGGCATCATACCAGGAGTGGTGGGCATGGGAGGAACGTCCTCCTTGTCGTCCTCAACAGTGCGGAAGAGGGTGCCCCAGCGGTGTTGGTTGCTGGTGCTTCCCTTACGGGATGAAGGGCGAGAAGGCACTGGAGGAGCACTGGCGTTGATCTTCTTTGAGGCAGCCTTGAGGTGAGTGAGAGAAAGAGCTGAAGGACGTCTGCTGCTGGTAGCAGAGACGGTACCGTTGGTCTTGACTTGGCACAGGTTGTAGTCTCCCATGACTGAATCGGTGCGAGAGTCACGAGTGACGCTGTAGCCGCTCTTGGGAGATGCCAAAGGGAACTCATCTTCAGAGTGTCTGTTAAGCAGGCTGCGGAAGCTGTAGCCACGGTGTTGACGCGGCCTTGAGGCCTGCTGGATGACAATTGTGTTCTCCTTTCCTGACTCGTCCTCGTCGAACGAAGGTGATCTTTGGAGGCGGAAGGGAAGAGGAGGAAGAGACTTGTCCTGTCTGCAGGACATGGCAGTGCTTGGTCGGCTCACAGGTCCTGATGAAGCCATGGACTCTGATGATGAACAGTTGCGAAGTGCAGGAAGAGCTGATGGTGTTGGGAGAGGGGGAAGAGCACGTCTGGCATAGATGTTTGCATTGGCAGGGTACTCGAAAGGCGTAGAAGGCGTAGTAGGGCGGTCATGGAAGGCATCAAGGCAGCGGAGGTTGCTCTTCTTGACCGGCGATACCGAGCACTCGTCGGGCTGAAAGTCGAAATAGCTCATAACGGCAGCTGGAGGTTGTTGGAGAGAAGATGTGCGAGGATGCATGGTGGCAGCCAGGGTTAAATGAGGTGAAATTGAAAGTCGGTTTGCTCAGTGAATGTGGATGATGATATATTGATAAGGGAAACGAGTGGCTGGCTTGGTATCGTGTCGATCTGATGTGGCGGGAGGATTAAAAGGAAGGAAAAGCCGTATTGATGATTCGGATATTAAGATGCAGAGGGCGAAGCTTCAAGTATCTATACAGATTCGTCTCACAACGAGACACCGTAACTTACCTCTTACATCTATCTTGTTTGCCGTTGACCGTTCACACTGGCATACCTGCAGCACCGGCGAGCTTAGAGTTTCGAGGGGGCCTGGATGTTGGAGCTCTGGCACGCAAAGATCACCCCTAAGGATTTTGGTGTCAAGAAGACGTTGACACTTGATGGCGACTGGATTGCGACCTTGACAGCACCGGCGAACGGCACTTGTGGCCCGCCCCGCACCACGCTCTCCCTTGTTTCGGTGCGAATTCCTGGAAATCCTGGTTGGTTTCCGCTTTGGCGGCGCGCTAAATGCGGTTGCTAGCCGCAAGCTTGCACCCCTGGAACCCCATTAGAGTTCTGGGCTTCTGACCCTCTCCACAAGTGCCCGTTTCTCACTCTTTCTCGCGTCCTCGGTCCTCTTGCTCCCTGCTGTAGTCCTTCACCCATCCACTCTTCCGTCGCCTATTGAGCGTTGTAGTCGCTTCCTGTTGGCAGCGATGACTCGATCTACTCCGAGTGCCGCGACCAGACTGGCCATCTGGTGACTCGCGAAATGATGACCATCCCCACAATCTAAAGCACTGTTGATGGTCGTCATGAACCTGTCTCTGCCTGACGCAGCTGAAGACTTGACATCATCCTATATGCATGATCTATTCGTGGGAATGGTTAAACTTGGGTGTTCAATCTATCTCAACCCAGCTACCATGCTCTTGGAGGTGAATTCAAATTCCGAGGTCTGGTCTTGCCAATTGACCCCTCCTTTCGCGGCCCGAAGTGGGACAACTGGATGTTCCTTGAGTGTGTATGCGAAGGCCCACATGCAGGGAGGTCTTTAGGGTCTTTGTTGTGCAAACGTCTCCCGGTGGATATGTCCAAACAGGAGGTATCTTTCTCACCAAAAAAAGTCCTTATTACCTTCCACGATCGTCGGTGACTCTTCTCTTTTCACCCCAGGATCGTGGATCGAGTGCCTAAAAGAATTCCTCGTAGCCGTTGTACACAATGTCAACACAAGGCGAGAGGACGCTCGAGCATATCTGGTGTCGACTCCGTCGATTGTCTGTGCAGAATGTGTCATGGGGAGATTTGCACCGCTTGTGCATACAACCACCACACAACTCCCTCTATTTTAGTTGCTCGTATATGGTTTCCCTTGTCGATAAGCATCACAAATAATCCACCCACCAAGATAACACTAAGATATGCCCTTTTTGTGATGAACAAACATCCATTGGAACCGTTTGTTCATCTTGTTGCTGTGCACAACCAGAAAGCCAGAAAATCACCTTTGAATTGATGATGGGTCTTGTGGAGTCTCGATTTGCCTCTGTCAATGGTTGCCAGGGCCGTCCAAGATGAAGCAGAAACTGGAATAATGAACAGAGATCTTGTTCAGGTTATGCACAATGATTCGTAGGATCTTAGTAGATCAATAATGCATCTGCCTATTGTAGAATGTGTTTATCTCAGCTCTAGGCGGATGATTCGGGGTTGCATCTGCATCTGGGCTTGGCCTCTGTTGGTACTGCATATATCCACAAACGTGACCCAGGCCATGGCCACGAGTGTCTGCATGATCAGTGATCACCCTGCAGTGCAGGTGCAGCATGTGCACTAGCCCGTCTGCATGGGCAGTGCACGATTAATTCTCCGAGAACAAGTTTCAAGTCTTGGTGGCCATGCATCCGTTTCACACAAAACGCATTTCATCTTGCACATTGTAGTCGTATTCCCGCACAAGAGCACAAATCTCCCCTGTGAGCGTTCACCAAGGCCTCGGATATCGGGAGACCCCACTCCAAGCCTCGCTCGTTTTGCCAATTCCACAAGCTCGTCTTGTCAGGGAGTTCGTGGTGGACTCTTGTCTGCTTCGCTTGCACGAGCGTTACTCCCAACAATTACAACTTAATCAACATAGCACAACGAACACCATATCATACTTTACTGTGTAGTCTCGGTCAGACATATCTGAGTTCAGAAACATGCCAGCTGAAATTCATCCTATACGGTAAGCATTTCGTCATGATTTGCATGGGATGACGGACTTTATCAACACTGAAGATACACATTGATATAGCTGAGGCCAAGGTGACCCGGGCATCTGGTTCAGTTTGAGATTGAGCCTCCCCACTTAGACCAAACGCCTGACCATGATGTAAGAGCTGTCAAAAGATCACCCTACCCCAAGCGCTTAGAGATTGGAGATGCCGGGCATAAGCAGTTCGACGCAATTTCCCAGCATTTCACTCGCCTCGTGTAGCAGTTCCCATCTGGTCTTGCTGAAGATCTCTTTCAGGAGCATCAACATCCCCAACATCCCATTGCGTTGCTTGACGTGCTGCAAATCATCGGCCGATCTGACCCCGCCTACGCGGCGAAGGAAGCCGCGCAGGTCCCTAAATTGGATCTCATGCGTCCTGAGGGTGTATGTAGGCAACGGTGGTGCTATAGGTCCATCCAAGCAGAATCCGTAAGTCCACACGACCAGGGCAGCGAAGTAGAGCACCCAGGGACGGTTGAGCGAGTTGTCGTCACGAGCTGAATATGCAAGTTCTCGGGCACCAAGATTTAGTCCGGAGGAACCGTCTCCCTCTGGTAGCAGCACAGCCGACAAGAAGCGTAACGCATAGAACACCGCATCACGAGCTCCATGCGATGGAGCCCAGGTCTCTCTCAACTTTTTCGCTGTCGACGCATGATCATTGGCCGTAATCACGCGTCCCAATGAGCGTTTCGCTCCAGCAAGAATTTGACAGTCAACGATGTCCACATGCATGGCCATCCGCGCCAGGTGGTGTAGCACAGTACGAGATTCGAATACCTTCTCCTTATCCATAACGTCGCTCAGCATGCGATCGTGCAAGTACACTGGTATGTTGGATGATGACTGAGCCAAAGATGCATCAAAATCGCGCCTCCAGAAATTACAGGCAGAGGCCAGCTGATCAGCCCAACTGCCTTGTTTACCAACTCCAATCGAACTTGCTCTCACATCTTGCATTCTCATGTGCCAGCTGACACTCATGAGCCCTGCCATGATAGTGACTCGGCCGAAGGTATTGGTCTGCACATGTTGACCGTTCAGTGTTTGCTTCAATGCTTCAAGGAAGCTCATGGGCCTGTAACCACTAAGTGTAAGACTATGCTCAAGGTTCCGCACCTCGGCCCCACTTGAGGCAGCCCAAAGTGCCTCATCGCATGGCAGAGGTATTCGCATCTCGTGGGCGACCATTACCGCTGCGTGACCAAACATTGTCGCATGAGTCGTGTCAATGATGAACGCTGCAAAAGCCGTTCGACGCGTAGCCTCGTTGCTGATCCAATTGTTCCACCACTCGTCCTTGGTGTTACGACCACATGTGTTTACACTGCCGTTCGGACCAGGTGGTGTCCTCGTTGGGTCTGTTGGGTCAACATCGTAAGGGGCGAAGTCCAGTGCCGCTCGTCCCACTAATGAGCTACCTCGCCTCATCAAAGTGAGAGTGGTGCAATGGTGTACATGAGCTCTCTGGTGCAGGGTCGTTGTTGAGAACATCTTCTCAAAAACTTCCAGAAGCAGCAAGGCTTGGAATATCCACAATTTGGCTGGTGGGATGAAGTCTGGGTCCTCGAATATCATCCGACGGGTATGCCATGCTAGAAAGGAGGCCAGTTCGGCGGAAGCTTGAGTCAGCTCATATCCATAAGATGGCTCTAAGCAAGAAGCCCCCAAGATCATTATGGCGACAAGCAAGAGATCTGGACATGTTTCGGTCGAGAATGTGGGCCGATGCAGAATCGGTAACTGTGGGTGTATGTTGAGCCAGAACGAGCTACAAAANACTTGCATCATGCGCAAGCTCAGCACATGTGTGTCTTCGTCGTGATCACCTCTCAGTATCTTTTCTCTTTGAGCTGTGACATGGGCATGTCTCCCGTCTCTGAACTCCGGAATGACCAGATCGAGGAGTCGTTGTCTGCGTGGACCTGAGAGGACACACTCTGGTTGTATGCTATCTTGCTCCGTCTTGGCAATTGGATTAGGTCGAACAAGAGACTCAAGATACAAGTCACCATTCGAAGTTTGCATGTTCTCAAATGGCATCTGCAGATTCGAGCCAGGGTTGTAAGCTGTCTGAGTTTGTGGTGAAAATACTGCATTCTGGTCCCCTTCGAACAACCAGCTGATGAATTCTGCACCCGGCATATCTGAGGGTGACGGTCCATAATCCTCGTTGAAGACTGGCACTGTCGCACCTGTAGGTAGATTGTTGAATGTGGTAGGATCTATAAGGCCGACGGATGGATGGTTGTTTAGCGATGGTCCTTTGGAGAGATATGAAGTCACCGAGTCTGATCTGATTCCGGCTGGTGATGGCACCTGAGCGTTGTAAGGTTGGCTGGAGTGCGACAAGGTGGGCAAGTTGGGGAAACTTGGTGGAGACTTCAGATTACTTCCATTGGACGGTGAGAGGTAGGGTTGAGGTAGGTAAACGCCGGAAGCATTACTAAATGGTGTAAACATGTTCTGCATCGGATTCAGATGATACATATCCATCGAAAGTGTAGGAGGAATGTTCGGTCGAGCGAAGATAGCGCTGGTGACCTCATGGCGTGCACCATTCATTGGCTCAGTCATCGCTGCAGAAGTCGCTAAGTTGTTGGGTGTGGCGTGTATCGTCTCCGAGTGACTCAGATGAGCCGCCAGCCGAGATGCTATAGAACTGCTGACAGGATTTGATATGTTGTCATACTGACCATTTGCTAGAGTATTAGGAAAAGGTACAGATGGCATAGTTGAATCAAAATGTCTAGACTCGGTCGTCAAACGTGGATCTAATGCCATAGGATTGAAGCCTAACAGAGCTTCATTCGACTTTGAGACAGTTGGCTGCTCGGTGATCTGTTGCTCGGAGCTGTCTGAACTCGTGGTGGACGCTGTTGGTTGAACCTCTGACGATTGTACTTGTTGAACCTCAGGGATATTGGACGACTTGAGTTTGCCATGCTTGAAAGCGTCTCGGCGATAAAGGTGTGAATTTTCCTTTGTATGTCTCTCCCGATGTCTAGCACAGAGATCCTGGCGAACAAAATGCCGATCACAGCCCTCAAAATCACAATGGAAAATCTGCTTTGGGGCGTCTGGTAACATATCAGTAAACATGCCAGAACTTGGATCATATTACCACTTACGGTTCAATTGATGTCTGTACAAGTGTTCTGCACGTGAATAACTCTTATCGCAGCCTTCATGAGGACACTCATATCTCTTGTCCTTGGGCTTGCTAGATGTTCTTTTCTTCCTTTTGGCTGGTCGAGGATCTGTACCATCCTCATCAATTGGGGTTTCATGACGCTCGTGGGAAATTCTCGCCCCTTGTCGCTGAGGTTTGCTGGCTGTTCTCGCTTTTGGTTTCATGATACGTGAGAAGTGGCTGGTTGTGCCGAGGCAGTTTCCAACGCCAGGAATTCATGAACGAGACAACCTGACAGTATGGATGTACTATGAATCTTGGAGAGTTGAGATTGGTGTCGGAAAGTTTCTATACTGAAGAACAACCTTACTTCAGGACAGAGTTTGTAGAATCATAGAACTGCGGTCAAGGCTGGCTCTTGTGTGACCTCAGATGGCATGCGACCCCGGATAAATGAGAAACAAATGCGGAGAAGTGAAAGCTTGAAGCGGCAGGCGCTGGGTCATTGGGTTCGATCCGGCGAAGAGGTCTCGTCAGGGCATGAGCGGCTGTCGACAGCAGGTGCGAACTCGAATGTAGAAACAGGAACGCCTTGAGCAACGAAGACAGACACGTCGACGGATGATCACGACGTGATGAGCGGCGGTCGCCATCACGCGCCCGCCCGCTCGACGGCATCGCCAAGCACGCAGCCTTGTATTCGTCAATGCTAATGGCAGGCGTAGGCGATCACGTGGGAGCTATTGCATCCTTTTGAAACAGTGACTTCAATGCTCATGAAATTGATCGTACGTACCGTCGCCGGGTGAATGTGTACAAAGCCAATGCAAATCCCGACGCCTGTCCCTGTGTAACCCTGCCACGAATGCGCCGTGAACCTGCTGGATGCATCATGTATGAGAGAACCTAAACCAATCGCTTGCTCGTAACAATCCCAGCCTTCAAGCAGATGCGCTGCCGTTCTTGCTGTAGTATTGTTGATGCTGCTGCTCCTGCTCCTCGTTCAAAGTGCTGCCGGTTGGTGTCTTGTTCAGCTCGGCCCAGAAAGCCTCCCTCTCACGCAACAAGTCGTTGCACCATTCCTTGACTTCAGGCAACTCGATCTTGCGAGCAACCCAGGAGAACTCGCCGAGGTCGATGCGGCCTTGGTGGGAGCGTTCGTACTCCATCATCTGGAGTAGAAGCTCAATCTTGTCCACGTCGTGCACAAACTTGCTCTCGAGAGTCTGGCTGTCTTCGTACTCTTGCCACACAGCGCGCATCTCTTGGCCCGACAGACCACCACCAACCTTGCCAAGCAAAGTCGAGCAGATGTAGTCCATGGTTTCAGCCTCTCTTCTGTTCTTCTCGGATTTTGGAACGCCATCTACGGGAGTAATGTCTCCGACAAGGGCTTCGGCCATGTCGTGAATCAAGGCCATTCTTGTGCAGCGCGGTACATCGAGGCGAGACGATAGAGAAGCGGGGCAGAGCATGGTGATTATGGACATGCGATACATGTGATCGGAGATGGATTCGCCGTGGTTAATTCCGAATCTGCGCCAGCCTTCGCGCTTGGTTGTCTTAAGGCGCTCAAGAAGGTGAAAGAAGGGTACAGGCGATGATGAGTGCTTCTCCAGCGGAGTCATGGTCGAAAGGACTGTCTCGGGGGTCCATTGCGAGACTTGGCTCGGTGTGAGTAGGCCAGAGGTAGGCTCNTGTGCGACAAGTCAGCAAAGCTCCAAGAGCGTGACAAGTGCCGGCAGAGCGAGCATACTGGGTGACGAGTTTGTTTGAACGGCGTCTTCAACGATACTGGGAGCCATGACTGAGGATGAAACGGCTTTTGTCGCGTGCGCTTTTGATGTAGAAGAGTAGTTATATCGTGGAATTCAGTAAGAACGAATTGATTGTCAACAAGAAAGATGGATTCCACTACGGCGTTTGTCGGCCTAGACCCCAAAGTTGTTGAAGCATCAATCCATGCGGCACAAGCCGGTCCTTCTGTGTGATGGAGACATGGTAATCGCACCCCTGCATACCAGTCTTGTACAACGAGAAGATATTGTAGACATCGATTTTCATCTGGCTTAGAGGCTGAGGCACAATATTTGCTCACAGTCCGAGAGCATGGTGAATTGCTGCAAAGAGCGCGGAGCCTTGAGATTGGGCAAGCTGTTCTGGGCGTCGTTACCGCTCTTGACCGATGTTTACTCAGGTCTGTGTTGATTGACTTCTTCACTTGCCAACGCAAGCCGAGTTCAGCAGCGCGCATACACTAGGTAGGGCATGGTCTCGTTCTAGCTAATCCTGCAGAGCACCACTACCGATTCTCATGTTAAGACCCGAATCTGTGGCTGGGTCAACCNCCAATCTCAGCCATGCACCGAGGCCGCTGGCTTCAAAATCACGGGCAATGTCAGCCTCAAACATATCACTCTTTGTTTCTAATCTTCGATTGTTAAATCTCGACAAACGACAAGACTGGCCTGGCATCACGGTTCAGACCTTTGATACCAAGGATGCACTCCAAAATCAAAAGAAGCGTGTAGCTTGTGTCGAATGGTCTCTCTTTCGTCTCTTTGAGCTTTGGGACCGGGAGACTACACGTGAAGTAAGTAAAGTTCTGTCCATCATTGTCTACTTTTGTTTATATCAGACAGNNAAACTTCAACCCTTCTTTCCACCTCTCGAGCCGATTCAATCTCTCAATTTGCGCGCCGCATTATTCAGGTGTCTCAATGACTTGAAGAAGAACGATGTACTGGGCAGAGAAGCTACACTTCGCAAGACCATGCTTGACGACTGCAAAGGTGATAAATTTGAAGAAGTGTTGCTCTTGTTCTCTACTATTGTCCTTCGTAAGCAGCTGTTGTCGTCACGTCGTAATCAGCCATCATCCATTGGAAGGAGCCTTGCCTTGTCAAAGAATATCGATAAGCGTGAGGTTAGTACTATCAACACTCTCGCGCTGGCTCACCGCGCATCTCTGGCGAAGACTCTGGAAAGCCGAGCAACACTAGATCGCACACTCAACAACTTTCGTACTTCGCTGTATGAGAAGACCAATGACTATCATGAGCGTCATCTCATGCTGCTCGAAACTCAGAATGCATCGAGCGGGACTCTTTCGTCCAATACTGAGGAATTGATCAGACGCGAACTTCGGCAGAATTGGGTTGGTAGCATAGAGGGCTGCGATGCATTGTTGGCAGGCGCTAAGGCCGCCTCTGCTGATGCATATATGGACTCGGGGTTCGATGAATTGTGGCAACACTTCCGGCAAGGCACATCTCCCCAAGTCCCTCCTGAAAGGATTTCCCTGCTCGAGACTTTGCAATCTCGTGTTGTTGAGCAAAACGATCGCTTGCGCATGTGGAAGGCATACAAAGACGTTTTCGAAGAGATCAACAAGGCGGTCAACCCTTTTGAGGAGGTCCGCTCTCCACTTGGCCGGAACAATACAGCAGAGGCTCATGGTTTAGACATTTTCACCAAACACAGAAATGTTCGTGTGGAACAAACATCATCCGTTATTATGGACCATCCCTCGGTCAGTCCTGTGATGGATTACGAACGAATCGTCCAGGACATGAAGCAAGGTTTGTCCGAAGTACGCAAGAGAAAGCAGAAACAGCATGGAGGAGCAAATCATGCAGCGCCACCAGTCGACAGGATACGACGTACAAACACCATACCAAGACAGGCACCTATACCAGTGTTTCTTGGAAGCTCGAAGGATCCTAAGGAAGACTTGTTCTCGCCACTCAAGAGACCGTTGCTCGAATCTACAAACTCAACTCCAGCCACTATCCACGGACTACCACGTCAAACACACCAGTGGCTATCGCGGACTCATAGTCAACCTGCGACCACGCCTCAATCTGTGAGGGNNAGCGAGTATGATTTTGATCCCGGCTCAAGGATCAAAATTCCATATGGCCCTGCTCTAAGCCCACGAGATTTCACAGAGCCTAGCCCTAGTATTCAAAGGGACAGGGAAAGATGTATCAAAGCATCTACGCCAAATTCCACGCATGGACGTGAGGTCAGCCCGAAGAATGAAGAGACGTCTCAGCATCGAATCCATCTCGATTCAGCAGAGAACAGACACGAAGACTCGATTGATGATCCAATCACGTCACTAGGACACAAGATCGAGGAGATGAACGTGGAGGATCGAGAACGATTATCCCCACCTCCAGAGCTGTCAAACTTCTCAACACCACTACCGTCATCAAGTCCATCAGCAACGATCTTCAGACAGCAGAGTCCACAGGAACAGCTCAATCTCTCCGAGCGCGCTCGGATGTCCATGGCGTCTTTCCGCAGCAGTGAAAACAGCCATTCACTACCCCAACCAGCACCCGATGCTCAACTATCGATCGAGAACGAGGAGATATCGATCGCTGAATCTCGGCGTACCTCTCTCACCGAGCGTGCCCTATCGTCCATGACCCAAGCATCCCTGAATCCTCAGCCGCAGCGCCGCACAACTACCAAGGAACGTCCCAAATCATCCTTCTTCCCTTCTACGGCAGCACAATTCTCTACACCTATGAAAAGCGGCAGGAACTCTCTTGGAGGTACACGCGATACGACACCCAGAGACAAATTATTCGATCAGGATGCGGAGTACGCCAGCGTCTTCAAGTCTAGACCAAAGATCGCCATGAGTCCTGTGCTATCGCCACAATTGGACTTACAGATGGAGGACGCGGAAGACTTTAGTTTCGAGGGAGATGCAGATGGTGCTGAAAGCATGATGAAGCTGCATAGTTCACCACTAGGAAAGTTTATGTGATAGCGATGGTTGGACTCAAGTTCATGTGACCATGCAGAGCATACAGTAGTCAAAAGATGGTGGAAAAAATCATTGCCTAGTCGGCGTTCGCTGAATTCGACAAGCCCATTTGGTGTATGTCTATCTATCTGTAACAGCAGTAACAACAGTATGTATGTGATATCAGCGATGTCATGCAACATTCGGAGGGCATGAGTTTCGTGTCCAAAGGACAGGGTTAGTGAGTCTCGGGACAGTTGCCCTTCTGGGAAGTGATGAGATTCGACGCGGCGCGCGGAAAGTGCGACGCGTCGTCCTCGATCACGTCGGCTACTCTTCAATCCGCCGACATTTTGTATAATCAACACAAACCAATTGCATCATGGAGGACCAGACAGCCGAAATCAACGAACTCTTTGCAGTACCAAACACAACTCTCGAACGCGATGTCTTGGGCGAACTCAAATCAATCTTGCGAATCCATTCGCTCAGCCCCCAGGAAATGTTCTTCAAGTGGGAAGCATACAGCTTGAAGATGGGTCCCGAAACTCAGATGAACTACAAGACAGCCAGAGAGTTCAAGAAAGACTTGCAAGATGCGTTGGAGAGGGAGTCGAGGGGCAAGGCACACATGCAGAGCGCCCAGAAAAGAAGCACAAACGGCACCCCGAGGAATGCCAATACTGGCGATGTCTTTGGCGTGTATGGCCATCCTGTCTGGCGAAAGGAGGTCCACTGCTGACCATGTTATAGTCTAGACGGATTGGTTGCTGGCACGCCATCTAGAGGACCTCACATGAAGCGACGAAATGACTTTGGCACCCNNCCCTCAGCGAAAGCCTCCAAACTCAACAACACAAGCTCCCCAACAGGCGACAAGACACCTACACTAGGTGCTACAGCTGAACCATCTCAGTNNCAGGGTACTACACTACCTACATATCTACCTTGCTCGATGCAGAACTGACACCAAGACAGAGCTATCCCCTTCGCCGAACGTCAAAATGCTGGTCAGATTGTCGAACAACTCAACGGCCACATTGAAATTCCTCCCACTCCCGCATCAGCACCTGCCGAAGCTCGTGTCAGACTAAAGGCCAACACCGACATGGCCAAATTCAGCTACCGACCAATGGCCATGAAACTCTCAGAAGCCTCCGAATTCCTTGACGAGCGCATTGATGAGTTTGTTGAAATTGTACAGAAACACCACCAATTGGAATACTCTGCCTTTGGCAACCCTGCCGCTATGAGCCCGACCCAGATTGTAGCTGTGGGCCGTATTGCTTCAGATACGAGCGAGGGAAGAATGAATGCAGCTTCTATGGTATTGGAAACCAGTCGTCGTATGGGCGCTGGCTTGCGTGTACCTCTACGTATGGAGAAGGGAGGATATGATCTCTTCCCTGGCAAGATTGTTGCTCTTCGTGGCAACAACCCGTCAGGAGAGTACTTCAGTGTCACCGAGCTTCTGGCTGTACCCTCCCTTCAGCCTCCTGCCACAGCACCCACGAGCATCGACGTACACAACGAACGCTTGCAAAGCGACGATGGTACAGAGACACGCCCTCTGAACGTCATTATTGGAGCCGGGCCCTACACCACAGACAGCGATCTGTCCTTTGACAGCTTACACGAACTCTGCTCGCAAGCAGCAGAAACCAAGGCCGATCTTCTCATCCTCAGCGGACCTTTCATCGATATTGAGCACCCTAAAGTTGCCAGTGGAGACTTCTCATTGCCTGCCGACAGCAAAGTCGACCCTTCATCTGCCACTCTTACAGACGTCTTCCGCGTTCTCGTCTCCCAACCACTCTCTCGCCTCGCCCAAACATTACCTAGTATCACAATCATCCTAGTACCATCGGTTCGCGACGCTGTGTCAAAACACATCAGTTGGCCGCAGGATCGTCTAGCCCGCAAAGAACTCGGCCTGCCCAAACAGGCAACCTGTGTCACAAATCCCATGACAGTATCTTGCAATGACTTCATGACTGCAATCAGCAGTCAAGATGTCCTCTTCGAGATGCAAAGACAACGCGTCGTCAGTGGTCTGAACAGCGATGCCCTAGCATCTCTAGCCCGCAATCTGCTTACCCAGCGCCATTACTTCCCAGTTTTCCCACCGCTACCTAGGGACGAGAAAACTTTGACCGTGGGAGCTAGTTTGGATGTTGCATATATGAAGTTGGGCGAGATACTGACAGTCAGTCCGGACCTGTTGATCTTGCCGAGTGTGTTGACGCCGTTTGTCAAGGTTGTGGATGGTGTGCTTGTGATTAACCCTGGGCAAGCGAGTAAGAAGAGAGGCGCGGGTACATATGCGAGGTTGATCATTGGACCTAGAGAGTTGACCGAGGATGAGAGGGAGAAAGACGAGGATGTTGATCATCAATTGTTCAACAGAGCTCGATGCGATATCGTCAGGATATAAAGAAGAAAAGCAGCCAAACCCAATCTAAGATTCTCTACTAAAACATGCCTGCCCCAGACTTCTGACTCTTCAACTCACAACTTTGCCTTACCCTTCCTTTCCACAACCGGATCAATATTCGTCTTGTCATGCTCACACGTACTACACACCCTCCCCCTCCCATCCCTAATAACACCCCTAATCGCCGCACTCTGCCTGCCCACATGCACAACCTCACACTCCACCCTCACTTCCTGCCCCACCTCCACTCCCNNCCTCACATACTTGACATCCAACACCCTACTCACACCCCCCAACATCCAAAACCCCGGGNNCTCGGAAACAGCAGCCAAAGCCAAAGTGGTGCAGTTATCGTAGATCAAGGCGTGAGCCGCCCCGTGCAGGTTTCCGAGCGGGTTTGCGTAGTAAGAGGCGAGTTTGTAGGAAAAGGTTACCAGGGAGGTTGTGGGTGTTGGTGTGGAGACGGATAGCAGACGGAGGGATTTGTAGAGGGGGGAGCTGAAGCGCTGGGAGATGGGATACAAGTCAGTCGATATGCATTCGCGGAGTTTTAATGTGGTATGAAGTGCCTGGTGAAAATATGGTGGTGTAGTGTCTCGTATATCAATCATTCTTATTCTATCGACAGCATGACAGAATGGAGTAAACCATCAAGGACTTTGATCTCGGTTCTTTTGGTGGTGTGCAAAAATAGAACTGTAAACTTACATCTTCACCTTCATGACCGCTCTTATGTATCGACAACATACGCTCAACTTTCTGGCGCGGTGACAATTCATCCCAGCCTTCATAACTCTTATCCGCAAACATATCTTCCGGTGTCTGTGGCATTATGAAAATCGAGAAAATTCTGTGGTTTGCTGTCGAATTGACACCAGGCATGAAAGTATGCGATTGATACAAGCAAGAATTGATAAGTCGAGAATGTAGTAGACAGAGAGGGAGTGAGAGGAAGGAGCAGAGTGTATACAGTTGGGTCGAGACTGCTTCGATGCGGATGCGGAGAGCAAAGTGTCAAAAGAGCCTCGGCCCATGGGTGTCGTCTGGATCTGCAACCATCCATCTCTCCTATCACATAGCCCCTTTCGGGATTGGGTTGAGATATATAATCAAATGCACATAGACAGGTATTTCATAGAAATAAAGACATAGCCTGATTCAAGAGAAATCTGTCTATGAGGGAACTATGCGAGGTAAAGCAACAATAAAAAAGCCCAGTACGCCTCGCTGACTTTGGAAAGAATCGAACTACACTGTAAAACAACCGTCCCTGTGCCATCGCAAAAGATAGAAGGCAAAAACATATGTACAGACCTCCCTTATTCAGGAAAGAACGACTCCACATGTCCCTATATACGTATGCCCATATCCCTTTTTGATACTATGTACAAGCTTTCCTTATTATTCCTCATCATTTCCAGGTTCAATCTTTTCTGTTCTTGCCCCAGCGCAGACGACTGGTCCGGCTGGTGGTAGAGTTGGCAGCTTGCTGAGGCCTCTGTGGCTCAGCAAATCTGATGTTGGTTGGCGGCTGGCGAGGTTCNGTTGTCTTCGTCCTCGCTGTCGTCCTCCTCATGGTGATACCAAGAGCACCTTCTCTACGTCGGCGCTCTGCAGCTGTTTCACCTTCGGTATCGGAGTCTAGGCGAGATTTGGCAGGGCGTGCGCTGCCGCTTGCGACTCGGACGTCGCGGGGACGGCTGAAGTAATCAGATTCCGAATCGGTTTCTACACCTCTTGCAAGTGCTCCTTCTCTGCGGCGGCGTTCAGCGGCTGTTTCGGTCTCGACGTCAGACGGATAGCGAGCCTCTGCTTGTGGACGAGCGGGCGGAACCCTGGCAGTGCCATCGTCTTCACTATCCTCTTCGATGGTATCCCGGTGTGATTGTTGTGCGCGCTCGCGTGCTTCTCTGCGTCGCTTCTCAGCTGGTGTCTCGCCAGCACCGCTTGATCTGCGAAGATCACCGGTCACATCGTGGAAAGGTACAACTTCGTCGTTTGAATCAACCAGAGTCAGGCCTTCGGGTCCGGAGGGAGCGTCTGCGTGACTCGGCATTCTCTTGACCTTGGCGTTGTCCGTCAAGTCAGATTCGCCAGTGACTGCAGGAGACTCGCCTTTGAGGCTCGTCCCAGCATCTCTGCTGGACAATCTGACAGGTCTGTTCTCAGGCATTGACTGCAGGCGATGAGGAATAGCATCCTCGTTGCCCTTNTTGGCGCCTTCTCGTGCTTCCCTCTTGATGGCTTCGGGCAGATCGCTGTCCTCAACAATCGAAGCACGCTGCCTGGGGTTGAGACTCGATATTTGTCTGACAAACTCGGCTTTGCTCATCCTTTGACCACCGGCACCAACAGTGAAACGCAGGCGCTCATCATCCTCCGCCTCCTGCTCAGCCTTCTTCCTTCTCTTCTCCTCCCTGGCATTGGAGGCACCTTGCTCCGTCTCATCGGCCTTACGCCCTGTGATGCTCAAAGCAGTTCCCATGCGAGCGAGACCACGTCTAGTAGGGCCTGCAGGCTTGGGACCTTCAGCCGATGCGCCGGGTTCTCCTTCCTTTGCCTGCTTCGATTTCTTGGGTGGAGCCTCGATGTCGTACTTCTTCAGAACCTCACCGTCTTCATCTTCCACGATGATAGTGTTACCAAATTGGTAAGCACGTGCAGGACCTCGCTTGGGTGCAGGCTTCTTGGCAGTCGGCTTGTCACCATGATCCTCCTTCTTACGAAGGCCTCCGAGATGAGCCATCTTCTTGCGCCATTCTTTNTGAGGGTGTTCCATTGCTTGCATTCCTTCAGCGCCAGCTTTCTTGAATTCGTGCATCACGTCTCCTTTCTCACTTTCAGTGTGATTGTCCTTTCTGCGGGCAACACCGTGGTGAATATCCTGATCGTGCATCAATTGCTTGAGTTCGTCTCTTTCACGTTTCTCCCGTTGTTCGTCGGTGTCGCCTGCGTGAGTCTTCCTGACAGCAAGGACATTGCCTTCTTCATCTTCATAGACAGTCTCGCCACCCTCTTCATAGACTTCACCTTCAGGCTCACCTTCTTCGTCAGGCTCATCATCGTCGCGCTTGGCAGGACCCAATGGTGGCTTGCCATTTCCAGAAGTCGGCGAAGCATCAGACTCGCTACGAGAAGTGGACTCCTCGAGCTTCTCGCTGTCGGAGCGTTGAGGTCTGATGGCTGATTCACTGATAGGCCCACCGGCGCCGTATTGAGACTTTCGTGACCTGCGTCTGCTCAGGGGGCGTGCAGGAGTATCATCCTCACGTTGGCGACGAAGGAAGTTTGGAGGAAAAGCGCCATACTCTCCCTTCTCTGCGAGCGTGTCGTCCGTGTCATCAGGTCTCTGTTGAGACATGGATGTTTTGGAACGCGACTGGATACGAGGAAGACGGTCCATCCATGATGGGTCGTTAGCTTGAGTGTAGGACATCGTCAGAGTGAGAGTGTTGATGTGCTTTCCGAGTGTGAAGACAGCAATTGAGGATCCGTGAACCAAAATCGAAGTGATGACCAGGAACGTTGTGATGGGCCAAATGAGTTCAATGATATTCAAATGTTCGAAGCCAGGCTCGGGCAATTCTCCAAGTGGTGTTGTGGTCTCAGTCTCGAGCTCGGCTCTAGCGAGAATGGCGACAAAGATTGCACCGACACCAATGGGACCAAAATGTCCGGCGAACAGCGCTTCTCTCCATGTCTTAATGTCGGGAATGATCGGCTTTAGTGCAAGCATGATAGGTATACGACGGAACAGCAGAACCAGAATTGCGATGACAACCAATCTCCAAGCACTCAGGCCGATGACCTCAGAGTCAAACTGAGCCCAGGGAATGATGGTGCCGAAGTAGACGAAGAATGCCAAGTTGATGAGCAAGTCGATAACGTTGGAGACATGAGATTCCTCAGTCTTCTCTGTGAACCAACCATCGTTACTGAAGCCGACTCCGCATGCAAATCCAACGAGCAGATCGTCCACACCCAAGATGGATCCGGAACCAGCACAGAACAGGGCCAAGACGAAGTAGAAGACCAGGAAAGATTCACGATCAATCAAATTATGTTCGTGTGCATATCTGACAGCATGGCGAGCAATGTAGCCAATGATGACTCCGTAGATAGCGCCGAAAACACACTCGTACAGAATTGAAACGCAGAACCATTCGAGAGCAACTTCGTTGGGGTGATGGTGGTAGCGAATGATGTAGATAGCCAGGTAAATGAACGGAAAGGCCATGCCGTCGTTGCAACCAGATTCAGCAGATAGCAAATCTCTCAAATGCTTGGGGACTCTCTGGGCGAACTTGCCCTTACCAACGACGGAAGAAGCAAGGACGGGATCAGTAGCAGTGACACAAGCAGCGCAGCAAAGACTGTCAAGCCAGTTGAGTGGCGGGACAAGAGCCCAGATGAAAAGACTAGTAATGAGCCATCCGAATGTCATGACGGGAATGAGGAGAAGGGTAACAGATCGCCAATGACGCTCCATGTAGAACTTTGGCAGTTCGACACCTACAGCGAAACATTGAACGACCAAAACGATACGGGCAAACTCCAGAGTGATGCGGTCCTCATTTCCCCATGTGCTGGGGTCGATGAGGTTGGCGGCATGAGGGCCGAAGATGATACCACAGATGGTGGCGACGGTGGCCTCGCCGATGTATAGTTTTTCTTTAATGAGGGACGAACATAACATGAACAGACTGGTGAAGCCGCCGAGAATGATGTAGACCAAGTGCGGCTTGTCGATGCTCAGATGTTCCCAAGCCATGTTGGCAGAACGAGGAAGTGATAGGTAGTGATGACGAAACGATGGTGGTGTTTAGGGTCTCGTGTCGTGGTTGTCGAGATCGGGAGCCAGGATAGATGTCAACAAGTGCATGCGGTCGTCGGGTGCGCCCAGTCGCCGCTCCCAAAAGCTATGGTAAGGTGTGTCAGGTTGGTGTGTCGTCCTGAAGACGGAGGATGCTTACGAACGAAACGAAGGCAAGTGGTTCCAAGACCGAAGATGCGAGATCCAGGATCTGTTGACCAAGGACGAAAGTCTTGTCGCTGACTCTTTCCCGACCTTGGCGGGTATGAAGCCAAGCAAGCACGTTAGCAGGGATCAAGATCGAGGCGTGATTGTGCTCGTCTGAATCTGCCAGAAAGTTCAATCCTTGGGCTGCGGGTTTGCGTCGCTTCTGTCGTAACTCCAACAAGAGACACGCGATCGCGATAGGTTTACATGCGGAAGGAGTCAAAAGAGAGTGTCAAGAGAAATACCAAACAAGCGGCGAAAAACGGGCAGAATGACGACGTTTGGCCCTCGCTCTACAGGAAACCCCACAACGACTTTCCACAAGCGCGCCTCAGACGCAAATGTCCTTCTTGGCAGAGAATCAACACAATTCCTCTCATCAATTTCCGCGTCATTGCCTTGCCAATACTTGGTTTAAGCAATTTCTGTCAATATTGCCTGATATGCGGTGAGCATCTTCTTGACTCTTAGTGACATACCGTTCAGTGATGATGCTTGGTCTCGTCTTATATTGGTTTTGGCTTTGCCTTGTCCGCAACTCTCGAGTGGGGCTCAAAACCAACATCCCGCAGAATGCCCCAGAGCGGTCATCGGAAACCCTATTTTTTCGTTATAGGAGTCTACAATATCTCGACCGACGCCTCCTGAGTTGGCGCTGCTATCCAGAACGTTGGAGACGACACATTTTGCGGTTGTTGCTCTGTCCACCACTCTGATCGATGTATGCCTTTGCAATTAGATGTAGTGGAGACCTGGTTGCCTGAAAAAAAAAAAATAGGATGGACTTTGATGTATTCTCGAATGCCGCGGAACGTTGCTGCTTCTATCCTTCTGTGACGCGCTGTGGGAGCTTTTGTTGAACCTTCGCCGAGGAAGGAACAATGATTCAGAAAACAAATAAACGCCTGCCCAAATGCTGCTCTAATCATGGTTTTGGTGAGGCTCTGCCAGCAAAGCCAGACTCTGTATCTTGACCTCAGACCTTCAAACTAGCAATGTCGGGAGTCTCGTTGGTGACATTGACTCCCGCAGTCTCCTTCTCCAAGTTGCCTGAGAGGTCACGCAGGCACTTCTGCTCGCCTCCGCGGAGGTAGTCTTCGTACTCGCCAATCTTCTTGCCAGCATCGACCCAGCGTTGCTTGTATGCTTCCCGGCGTCTATCACATTCTTTGTTCAAGGCAGGCCAGTAGGCCTTGTGGTCGTAGTCGAAGTCCAGTTCACCACCGTAGTCCTTCCAAAGCTGCTTTGTAGGGACGTATTTCTTGAGATCCTCGTTGAACTTCATCTTTTCTTTGGTAACTGGATCGATGAATGGCGAAATGAGCTTGAAGAAAGTGCTGACATACCAAGGCACTGTAGCTAATCAGCGATCTGTATGCAGCAAGGATGTACGGGTCGACTTACGCTGGGAGATGAGAGCTCTGCCGAGTCTCTCTGGATTGTGGTTTTGCAGGATGTTCAGGACCTGTCTGGCTTGACCGACACTAGGGGTACTGCCACTGGTAGCACCCTTGAAGTTGATAAGGAGGGCAGTCGTCTCTTGCCCAGGGCCCATCATGTCGATGACTCTATCCAGCATGAAAGAAAGGTGGTGAATCTGGCGATCGCTGTTCTTTGTGTTTTGCTTGCCAGGGTTGAGGTAAAGACAAGGGCGAGCGTTGATGTCGTAGCCCATGATGACCTGCTTGCCCGTCTCGTTCTCAGGAGAAATGTAATCGGCAGTGAAAGTGTCAGCACCATACTCGCGTCTCCAGGAAAGGGTTCCTTGCAGACGCTTGAGGGCGCTTGGGACGTCCCATTTGGTAGCGCGAAGGTAACGGAGGAGACACTCGCGGGTCAACCACATGCGCTCGTTGTCTGTGATAGGCTCGTTGGTGGCATCTTTGAGAGTATTGCTAGGAATTGTGGTCCAGGTAGAGACGGTCGAGAGTACTGAAGTATATTTGGTCTCTTGGTCAGCAGTCAAGACTGCAGGGGGATTGGGCTTGCACTCGGGCAGAGCGACGGTCAAGGGAGTCTTGATGGGACCAGCTGGCGCGGGGTCGGTAACAGCCTCAGGGCCAGCTAAGAGGGAGGGAGCCTTGCTCGAAGCCTTTGATTGTCAGACGCTGCTATACTGGAGCACATTCTTTGCCGTTTGTTACCTGAGATGCCATATTTGGGTGTGTGTTGGGAAGCTCTTATCAATGGAGGGGTAGGTACTTTGCGCAAGGCGGAGCAGGATCTGATAACGTAAAAGGGTGCTGAAGATGCTTCGACAACGACACGCGATATGTTGGATACAACAGATGGATTGCGAACTTAAAAGTAAGAGATGGCACAATTGCACAGAGCACTCAGCTTCTTAGGCTAAGGGATGCCCAGCAGCGATGGCGGCGAGAAGGAGCGTCATCTCACTATTTTCAGCCACGCTCTGACGATGGCCTTCGCTTTCGGAACTTGCATCTTCGGCTCCCGGACGAATGCTCGCCCGACATGCGTTGGCACATCTACAATATCACAATCATCTGGCCATGCAGACGATGTGAACTTTCAAAAGCTTCAAGAGGGTTTGATCTTGAGTTATCGAAGATGTTCACACGATTAAGACATAATGCTACCTCAGAAGTAGCCTTCACCGCAGACGTACTAAGACTTCTATGCGAGTAGCTTCTGCTCGGTTCATGTTGAATAGGCTCGTTAGAGAAAAGGTGTCATCGACAATTGTCAACTCCAACGCAACCTGACATCGAAAATTAGACCTTCAAAGCACGAAAGTCCGTCACAAAATAGTTTCAAACTTGAGAAACATGGCGATATGCCAATTACATACAGATGATTCCAAGAACAAAGATGAAAAATGTTGTCGAGTATGCAACCCTGTCTCTATCAAGAAAGACTATTGCATCTGGAAAATGTCTGTAGATTACAAGAGTGTGTACTCTGGAACACTGCAGAGTACAGGAAGTGGGGTGCTAGATATTTATGCTTCATATGGTCTTGCTTTCGAGGATAGCCGAAGAGAAGAAAACAAACGCCAGCCTTCCCTATAAGCAAGGGTATGAACGAAGAAGAAGAAGGATGATGATAATGATGAGAAAGATGTCAGACAAGCAGAAAGTGCGCCATGATCCATGCTGGGAATTGAAAACAGGAAGATAAACCATCTACAGGGAAAGCACCTTTGGAAAACACCCCTCCTCTGCGCCAAAGACTCCGTCCCAATGATATATGAGAAGAGACAAAGGACGTGGCTATGATGCAAATACCCGGACGTTCAGATCAACACTGCCCGTCGCAATGACACACCGAATGCTGACTTTTGCCGTCTCATCACCTGATTTGGACCCGTTGGTAGCGGCATCGTTGTTAGCAGCAGCTGCATCTTTGATCACACCTGGTGCCCAGCGCATACTGCTGACGAAATGACCATGGGCGTCTTCGATGGTCTTGACGCATTTTCCTTCTTGTGATAAGTCCCAGCAGCGTATCGTTTTGTCGTCAGCGCAACTGAGGAGATATTTGCCTCCTGGGTGGAACAGCAGAGCTCGCACCCAGTTGTCGTGGCCGACAAGTGTCTTGATCAGAGTTCCTCTGGCGTCCCAAAGCTTGATGAGCTTGTCACGACCAGCAGTAGCAACAAATTCGGCCGAGCTGGTTGGCGGTGGAGCTTTCTTTAGTCCAGCCATTGAAGCCAGATGGGGATATGCGGCAGCAGGAGCAAATGTGCAGCACTCAATAACATGCTCGTGGCCAACAAAAGTGACCTTCGCATCACCAGATTGGGTGTCCCATAAGCGAGCAGTTTGATCGTTTCCAACAGAGAGCAGCCAGCGACCATCGAAACTAGGGGCGACATCGCGTACCCAGTCAGCATGGCCGCGAATGGTCTTTACACAGTAACCAGTCGTGACGTCCCAGATCCTGATGGTCTTGTCTCTACTAGCACTGGCCAACAGATTTCCACTTGACGGTGCGCCAGCGGCGCCAGAAGGAATAAAGCGCACAGCCGACACACTATGATCATGGCCGGGTAGGGTACGTATGTTTTTGTACTCGTCGCTCGGGTCCCAGAGCTTGATGGTCAGATCGGAACTACAGCTGGCCAAAAGAGTGCCTCCGCGCGGACCACCATAGTCGATGTCGAGAACACCTTTGGTATGACCTTTGATTGTGCGTTCAAGCTCACCTAACTCCCAGTCCCAGATCTTGATTGTGGCATCTTCGGAGCCTGAAGCCAGTGAAGAGAAGACAGGATGGAAGGCAACACATGTGACGGGTTGACGGTGAGATTGGAGGGTGTGACGAGCTGGGGATCGTGGTAGCCATGTTGCTGGGTCCTGATTGCGACGCGACAGCGAAGTCGGAGTGGCAGTATCGAGTTCTGTTTGTAGGGTTGTGTTGCGTGACTCAAGGTCCATTATNCTGAGGAAGGGTAAGGTGTTTGGTCGAACAAGTCGCGTTGGACAAGGACAATTGCTCACCTTCTTTTGCAAGCGGACGACACTGGTCCACTTCTTCTCGAGGAGACCCTCATATTTCTTTCGCGTAGCATCGTCAAACTCAGTGCCAATGTTGAGTTCTTCACGGAGGGAGGCAGCCGTGTTTGTCAAGCCGGCGGCTGTAAGGTATGCAATTAAGGACTTGTGGNNCTATCAGCACATCAGCCAACAGCATTCGGTATGGTGTCTGGTGACGCACAGTTCTTCAGCCTGTCGCTGAGTCAAGAGATTGGACATTGTGGTGGTTGCGCATAACAACTCTTTGTCGCGAGTGGCTGGTAGCAATCACGGAGGTGGGGGAAGCTGGCAAGCAAGAGCGGACCTGCGACAAGCGGCGGCGGTGAGGGTGCCTGAATCGATCGAAAAGGGGAAGTCGCAAGTTTCGGGTTGTGGATTGAACGAGCAAACGAGACAATAGGGAAGGCACAGGTAGGTCGAGTGAAGTGGTGGATTCAGTCGAGTCTCTTCGCTGTTGTCGCATGCTGCCCGATGCCGTCAGACGGAATTTGGCTTTGGGCTTTGGCCTGTTGTGTTTGTTGTTGTCGGGCCTGAGAAAGCGATATTCTTCTACCACAAATCAACTCCCATGTCCTCTACGAACAAGACTTGAACAAGACGACACAGCGACTTTCTGTCTGTAGTCGCTTCTCACACATCACAATCCGCGCTTTGTTTACAGCCGCTCTTCCTCCGGACCAGCTACTACCAATTGCGCTGAAACACTCCGAGAAACCGCCAACATGGCTGAAGAGCAAGAGGACTTTAGCAAACTGCCCTTGGCCGACCGCTTCGTCCACAAAAACTGGAAGGTGCGCAAGGAGGGTTACGAAGCTGCCACAAAAGAATTCAAGACGGCGCAACCATCCGACCNNCCCCTCGTCAAGGACTTCATAGCCGACTCGAACATCTGGAAGGGTGCTGTCGCCGACTCAAACGTTGCTGCTCAAGCTGAAGGTCTCAATGCTCTGAATGCTTTCCTTGAAATTGCAGGCAAACCTGGCTGTACTCGGTGCGCTACTCTCCTACACTCGCTTGCCCCGTCTTGCCTAGCCCAGCTAACACACACTCCTCAGCNNACTCGCACATCTACAATCCAACCCATTGTCGAAAAGGGTGTGACCGGTCGTCCCGCCGCAAAAGCTGCTGCCATCGAAGCCCTCCTTCTCTACATCGAACTCGATATAGCCGACCCTGTCATCGAGGAGCTCATTCCCCTGCTTTCTGCCAAAACTCCCAAGGTCATCGTCGCTGCACTACAATCTCTGACCGCCATCTACCACGCATACGGCTGCAAGACAGTTGAACCCAAGCCCGTCATCAAGCTCCTACCTAAAGTCTATGGCCACGCAGACAAGAATGTGCGCGCCGAAGCACAAAACCTTACAGTCGAACTCTACCGATGGTTGAAGGAAGCAATGAAGCCCCTATTCTGGGGTGAGCTCAAGCCCGTTCAACAAACGGACCTAGATAAACTCTTCGAGAAGGTCAAGGACGACAAACCGACACAAGAGAGACTACTCAGATCTCAACAAGCCGCGCAAGAGGCCGCAGAGGAGGCAGGTGACGCTGGAGCTGAAGCCGCTGAAGAAGAGGAAGAAGACGGCGCAATCGATCTGGAGCCTGAATTCGAAGCTGTCGATGTCATGTCAAAGGTACCGGCTGACTTCAGCGAACGTCTAAACTCGTCAAAATGGAAGGACCGTAAGGAGGCTCTTGATGAGCTCTTCACCGCCGCCAATCAACCCGCTATTCAGGAAGGTCCATTTGACGATGTTATGCGTGGTCTTGCAAAGAGCATGAAGGATGCCAACGTGGCTTGCGTCACTGTGGCTGCAAACTGTGTTGAAGTGCTCGCTAAGGGTTTGAAGAAGAGTTTCTCGAGATATCGTTCCACCATCATGTCGCCTATGCTCGAGCGTCTCAAGGAGAAGAAGCAGTCCGTTACTGACGCTCTTGCTGCCGCTTGCGACGCCGTCGTTTCAGCTACTGGTTTGACCGATAACCTTGAGGAGATGCTGGAAGCTTTCAAGCACAAGACTCCTCAAGTCAAGCTTGAATCTGCCCGTGTGCTTGTGCGCTGTCTGAAGAACCTCAGAGAGGTACCACCACCCGCTGAGCTCAAATCCATGGCCGACGCTGCCAAAACTCTGCTAGCAGACTCTCAAGCACCACCTAGAGAAGCAGCGGCTGAAATCCTTGGAACTCTGTGGAAGATCATGACTGATCGCAACATGCTTCNNCCTCACCTCGACGGCATTGACGATATCAAGAAGAACAAGATCAAGGAGTACTGTGATAATGCAGAAGTCAAGGTCAAGTGGAAGCCTAAGGCTGCTNCCACCCCTAAACCTGCTGCACCTGCTGCAAAAAAGCCCGCTCCAGGAAGACGTCCTGCGCCAGCCGTCAAGAAGGCTGCACCTGCGCCAGTCAGACCTGCTACACCCGAGGAACCTCCAGCTGCTGCACCATTGGCCGCTCGCCCAACTAGCAGACCCGGAGTCAAGCCTGGCCTCAAATCTGGACTTGCAGCACCTGGGTCAAAGATGAGGAAGCCTGGTCTAGCTCCACCAGCCGCTTCGCCCCGAAGAGTGCCTTCTGAAGATGTTGAAATGCTAGACGACCCGCCGACACCTGCTCCTGCACCTCGTTCTGGGCTCGCAGCACCTCGTAGTCTGGCCGCCAGACCGCTAGGCAAGCCAGCCAACTCATTCAACCAGAGCACAAACGAGCCCCCACAGGAATACGCTCCACCTCCACAGGCAGCTCCATCAGTCCTGAGCTTAGCAGAAAGATCAGAGCTTTCGGACCTGCGTTCAGAAGCCGAATATCTCCGTTCTCAAAATAGCGAACTGAGAACGGACAAGATGAGGCTCAACAGCCAGATCCACGAACTCCAAAACCAGAACGCACAACTTATTGAGGACCATACTCGCGATGTGCTGGGCATCAAGGCTAAGGAGACTCAATTAGTTCGCGCGCGAAGTGACGCTGAAGCTGCTGAGGAACGCGCAGCTAGTCTCGCACGCGAAGTTGACAGACTGAAGCGTGAAGTGGCTCGCTTGGGGCGTGTGGAACGCGACCACAACCAAGATACTGAGATGCACAACAGTGGCTACTCTGATAGCAATGGTGCCAACGGAATGAGACACTACGACACACCCATGGGTGGCATGGGCCCACCTCGACCTCAGTTCGGGCGTCCGGGCGGCGGCATGTCATATTCATCATCTCGATCTCGAGAGCCCAGCGGCGAGACAAAGGAGCACATCAACGCAGCAGCAGGCATCGAACGCATCACAAGTCCCGTGAGTGGATTCAGAAGTTCCAATGCGCCATCGATGGATCACTCAAGCAGCGGCCGCGCTAGTCCCGCGGTTTCTGGCTTACAACGCAGCACCAGTGGTAGCAGACCTGGTAGTAACATGGATCAAAGCTATGGAGCAGGTCTGGGCGCAGAGTCTGGTATGCAGCGATCCTCCGTATCCAGAACACAAAGCGGTGAAGGCGCAACGGGTGGTGTTGAGAGTTGGCGACGTGCTGCTGAGGTGACACAAAACCTCAAGGCCAGGATCGAAATGATGAAGGCAAGTTCATGTCTCTGATCGCGACTAGAAGTGGTATGCTAACGATTTCCTCCAGNNGCAAAACAACAGAGCCTCCAACGTAACCACTAAGCAAGCTGTACGGTCAAGAGCATGGAAAGGAGTATTGGCAGGAATAGCGCCTTCTTTTCTTCTTTCATCTTTTTTTGCTACTTTTTTTCTTTTCGATACCTACGACCTTTTCTTTCTAGGGCATTGGGCATCGGAGTTGTGTGTTGCTTACTTGGCCATGGTCTCTTGGGTCGTCCGCGAACTTGTAGTTTCGCTGATATCCCATCCTTTTCGTAGGCTTCAGGTGGCGATGTTCGGGTTTCGCCATAGGCCGTAGAACATAAAAACATGTCAGAGCCAATTGATCTTTATTCTCCGACTTCAGCCAGATTGTGTTCCATAAACTCTTCGATGCACCGACGACTCTGCCTTTACCCATTGCAGGCCCCACAACTTCTTGGCCCTTCCATTCCCCCCCTCTTCCATCGCCTACCATCCAAACCTCAAATGTCTCGGAGAAAAGAACAGAGTTCAAAGGCTCATTCTAAAGCCACAAAAAGCTTCAGAGTCAGTGAGGGCTGGGAATGTTGATACGACGATACTTGTATACCTTTCCCCACGCCACATACAAAAATAACCTTCTCTCCACCCCCCTCACAAAAGTCCGAAGCCGTCGTGCCCAACGCCCAAAGTACCATTTTTGACATTCTTGTACCACTGAACAGCAAAACTTAAACCTTGGCTTCTTGTCAAGCCTACATCCTGATTGAACCAAGGGACCTGGCAGTAGTCTGAAAGTTTCGTGTTTTTGTGTTGGTTTTGCTACAACAGGACAGGTATCGGAGTTTTTTCTTTTTGGCTTTTTGGGAGGATGCAAGGGCAAGAAGATACGAGCGATCGAAGTCGTTTTGAACGTCGTGTCTTGGAATTTGTATGTGCTGATATAGTGATGGAAGTCTGTGTCTCCAATTATCCCCAAACTTTGAAAGCAGCGAAAACATGTAAGTTCAAGAAATAGAGAGGAATAGTGTCAATAAATTTGGTCTTTTCTAAACCGTCGAAAATCACATAACAAGAAACATAGTCCCACTCGTAGTAGTTGAAACAGCAAATCTTTCCTATCCCTTCCCAACCAAGAAACCCCTCCCTTTCAAGAAAACATCTAGCAAAACAAAAAAGTCGTAAATTAGCCACGCAAACAAATTCTTCCATCTAAGTCATTCTACCACCCTTGGCGGTACAGGCAACAGCGGCCTGTGAGTTAGTGCTGGTGACTGAGATTCTGACGGTGGGCGAGGAGGTGACGGTCTTGACGGTGGTGTATTGAACAGTCATGACGGTCTTGGTGGTGGTCTGTTGTCTGAGGGTGGTGGTCACTACGGGAAGAGTGGTCATACCGCTCTTAACAGTGACGACAGGAGGTGTCGAGGTCGAGGTTGAAGTTGCAACAGCTGTGTGAAACGTTAGCTCTGTCTTTCTTTCGGGGACGGAGATGCAAATTTGGGATAGCTTACTAGTTGATGTGATGGTGGTGGCATCGGTGGTGGTGACGGCAGTGGAGGTAGAGTAGAGAGCCTAGAAGAGTAGAAGTCAGCAAGATATATCAGAAATACGTGGAAGAGGATAAATCGTACAGTGTCAAGCTGAGTCACGGTGGTGGTAGCAGAGTCAGGAGCACGTCTGTGCAACTTCTGGTTTGCTTCTCTTCTAGCCTTGCGCTCGGCAATTCTGGCTGCACGGTCAAGCGGCACTGCGCGGTCGAACAGACCACGGCGAACCTTCTGGGCAACGGCAGAGGTAGCAGCAGCAGGAGTGGCAGCTGCAGCATCAGATTCAGCAGCAGCATCGGTGGCAGCCGCAGAAGTGGCAGCAATTCTAGCTGCGCCACCCTTAGATGCGCTCGAGCTCGAGCTGTCGGTTGACAGAGCAGCAGCAGTGACCAAAGTAGGAGTAATGGTACAAGTTGGATCGGGCCAGCGCTGCGAAGGAGGCATCGAGCAGCGGGCAGTTTTCGTGGTGGTGACGAGGACGGGCTTGACAGTGTAAGCTGTCTTCCTCAATGTTGCCGTCTTTGTGACCACAACTGTGGAGATAGCTGGTGTAATGGTCACAGTGGGAGACTTTTGATACATGTTAACGAAGAGCTGTGTGAATCAAGATCAAATGGACAAACATACCTTGGTCACGGAAGCAACTGTAGTGGTCTTTGCCGGCAGCGTTGTGATTGAGACGATGGTTGATGTTGCGGTGATGACCACAAGAGGTGTGGATGTCGAGGTGACGGTCACTGTGGGCGTGTATGTTATGGTTGAGGGAATGCCAACGCTGAGATAGAAATCACGCTCGTAGGCAATAGGGTCGCCATCTCCGTTGTTCGAAATGATCAAGACGGACCAGTCACCAGTCCACATCTGGTCCTTATCCAGGGGGCATGTTGACAATTCAATTACATCGTCAGGTTGGAGGGGAGTATCTGTGCATTGATATTCATCTCCATTGGGGTCAACAAGGATGTTATTGGCAACATCGTTTTGACATCCTTCGAAGAGAGAGGCGAAGGTGAAGGGGGTTGTCGAACTGATGTTTTGGAAGTAGTTTCCATTGGTCTGGAAGTCAACACCATATGACAGACATGTCTGTGCCACAGCGCGAGAGCCCAGGAGAGCAGTAGCTAAGAAGCCACTAAGTCTGAATGCGGACATATCGTGAAACGTACGACACGAGAAGAAATGAAGATAAACGAGAGTCAGTTGGAACTTGGGACAATGGACAACATACGGGGGCAGGGCGTCTATTAATCTAAAACTCCATCTTTTGGAATATCCGAACACAACGCGGACTCGCCGTGCCATAGAGGAGTAAGACTGCGCTTGCCCTGCTAGCTTGTTCAACGCCAACCAGGAAACCCGAAGATGCTCTCCGTATCACGCTATCGTTAATGGCCTGTTTGGGAATGGCATAGCAGATGTGTCCGGACCAGTTGCCTTTGCTCAGGCATGGGCCAAGCAGGAATATCCGGGCGCGGTTCGCTAAGCGCGATATAGAACAGACCCATATTGGTCTCGAAGTGGGCTAAACACGCCGCATAAGTCGGATGCAGCGTGATTTCCGAAGAATGGATACCAGAAATCGATCACCTATCCTGATTTGTGGTGAACGAAAACGAAGCCATGGTAGGTTACGCGTGTCTATTGGAACGTGGCATGGCCCGATATCCAATTGAGGTGGAAATGCTTTCCGATAGCACGAGAGCCTTGCGTAATGAGCACGAGAAAGGCATTGTTTACGGGTCCTGGCATCCGAACTGACCTCTGTTTTCTTAGTCTAAGGAAGCGACCACGAGAGCCAAGATCCATTTCTGGAATGATAATAGACGCTTCACATGCGGTGAACAGATCTTCAGGGTTTCCACATATCGGTAGGATGTCCAATGACATGACAGCCTTCGCTCAGGCCACAAGAGCGATGTTTGCTGGCACTCGATATTGATGCATGGTAGGGCTCGGGACAGCAAACGATGGTTTGACGTGTGAAAGCCGGACTTCATGCGGGGACTCCGACTCAAAATAAAATCGAGACCTTAAAGAGGCGCGTTACACGGACCTTTCTCGTGATGCGGCTCAAGCAAAGCAAAGGCTTGACATGTGGCCAACATTGGATGGGTAACACAGCACTGCACTTTCGCTGCACCGCCAGGCTTCGTAGGTAAGGCAAAGGATCGAAATCGAGCCAACAAAACCTACATCACACTGCCGGATTGGGAGGAGCTCCCGATTAGACTTCAATCATACGAATGCCGCCGGATGCGCGTTTGAAGGATTCTCAGAAGGTCATGAGTATTGAGGGCAGAGAAGGAGAAAAAGTTGTACAACTTCAGTGCATGGCGAGGATTGTTTATAGGGAGTGCAGCTATCAGCACATCCCAGAGATGAGATTGAGATCGTCTTGAGCAAGATAGAGCAAGATCTGCATCTACAATGAACAGCCAAGAATGCGAGTGTGGCTCTTGATGCTAACCTCCGAATGCCGCACTCGTATCTGAGTTGACGATACAAACCAGTCCGCATATAGACAAGCCTAAGCGGCCGGGAAGCCACACATGTTCGGAAGTCTTTGGCAAGATCTCTTCAGCCCTAAAAGCATATCGACACGAGCTTTTTGCTATTCAGGCGCCTCAATGTCCGATACGCACAACTCGAGCCGGTCGATGTGTGTCGTGAAAGGGCAGACTTTGTCGACAGCGTGTCGACGTTGGAGGCCATGCACGGTTTCCCGCATGGATGCCAGGTGGATCCCCGCATGCTGAAGCTCGGGCCATTTCACCCACCTCGGGCCACAAACATGCCACGATCTGTGACGAGTTGTCGTTGATGAGGAGAAGCTGTTCAGTGCAAAGGATCCGTTTACCAGCCGAGAGCGGAGACCAGGCAAGGGAATGCTTTCCGTGTCAGACTGTACGAGCTATCGACGCCCTAAGGATCGAAGGATTGATGTGCCTTGCAAAGGTATGCTGACAAGTATCGGCGGGTTGGATGCTATTTACGGTAGGTACAAACCGAAGAGCGATGCGGTGTACCTATAATCAGGCTATTTCAGTATGCTCGTGTAACTACACGGGATAGACTCTGAGCCATGCTGTGTCTGTAGATTCAGAAGATGCTGACTATAGATGACCTTCTGTTTCACGACGCTGATATTCGATGCACGGAATGCTTCTTATAGAGGCACTTTTTCAGATCAATGCAAACACTCAACGACAAAGCAGCTCGCTAGGAGGCATGACAGATTTGGCATACCACGGCTTTGGACTCACTGCGCGATGAGGAAGCGACGCCTCCCCCAAAGCCGAGTCCGACGCAGGCATGCAGCTTCTATGTATGTACGTGAGTACGAGCTTACTTTGCCCCAAGCAGAAGCTTAGATTCAGCCAGAAGCCTTCCCGTGCGTCAGATCGGCCCTTGCTCAGAAATGTCCTATTGGTCAGGTCAACCTCCGTCTTACCACACATCATGATCTTTCGCTGCTTTGGGCCTGACTATGAGGCCGGAATAGGGATCCACCTTGCACTCTCTGTCGCTGCATGCAAAGGTACATGACAGCAGGATGGCTTTCGGAGAGAATGTTCCCTGCCAAGTTCATCCATCCAGCGAACCAGACCGCTTCGCTTCCAAGCCGCTCTCTGCCCTGCCCGAACGACACTTTCGCCAGCAATATGGGTCAGCATGCAAAGCCAAATTTCCCGAGACTTGCAATCCTCATTGATCCTTGCTTAGGCCGTCTTGGATTACCGGAAATCGACGTAGCGCCACCGGGATGTACAGTATAGCGCACGACCTTGCTCACCGGGTGCGCTCGTGGTAGTCACTCTCGATGTGGAGAACGAGCTGAGTAGCAATATTCACTTCTGCTAGTTCAGTCATGTTCAGTCTTGGTCTAGAGCATTGACTCGCCCGCCTCCATGTGGAGGGCTTGACGTGGGTGTATTGGCTCGAGGCAATATATATACGAGGCTCGAACCGGCTGGTAAGGTTGGACTATCCATTCATCACTCGTTGAATTTTCTCAAACTACCTCAATCGTTCGCATCTCTTTCTATTCTCAGACACACTACTGTCCAGGGTACCCACTGGCTGACCCAGATCTGACTTTCAACTATGCATTTCCAGAAGCTCACTGGCATCTGCCTCTTGGCATTTGCCTCAGTCTCATGGGCTGACGCAACACCTGAAGGACGATACCTATGGGGAGCTGACCGTATGGGCAAGATGGTCCGTCGTGCAACTACATCTACCAGCAGTGTATCCTCTTCCACATCATTAGTCGCTGATGCTGCTTGCACGAACGGGCCCAACTCTCGTCAGTGTTGGAGCAGTGGCTTCAGTGTCAAGACGGACTTTGATCAGAAGCATCCTGTTACCGGAAACACCGTAACTTACAACCTCGAGATTACAAACACAACATGTAACCCGGACGGCAATGGTGCCATTGAGTGCTTCCTCATCAACGGTCAACAACCTGGGCCCGTCATTACTGCTAACTGGGGTGACCAAGTCGTTATCAACGTCAAGAACTCCCTTCAGAACAATGGCAGCAGTTTCCATTGGCACGGTGTCAGACAACTCAACAGCGTGGGTTCTGATGGTGTTGGTGGTCTTACGGAATGTCCCATTCCCCCAGGCGGAAGCAGAACGTACACATTCCTTGCAACTCAATTTGGTACTTCTTGGTACCACAGTCATTACTCGTCTCAGTACGGTATGGGTGTTACTGGCACTATTGTCATCAACGGTCCTGCTACCTCCAACTACGATATCGATCTTGGTCCTTTCCCTCTCAGCGATTGGTACTATGGTCTCGCAACTAGAGTTAACGACATCACTCTCTACAACCTTCAGAACAATGCGCCCCCGCCAAATGGTGACAATATCCTGGTGAATGGCAAGGGTATGAGTGCCTCCGGTGCCGGAGCGTATGCTCAAATGACCCTTACCAAAGGCAAGAGACATCGTCTGCGATTGATCAACACATCTGTCGACAACGCCATCCGTGTCAAGCTCGATGGTCACAATCTCACGGTCATCGCTGCCGACTTCATTCCCACTAAGCCCTTGACTGGCCAAGATTGGATCCTGCTTGCTGTTGGTCAACGATACGATGTCATCTTTACCGCCAACCAGACTCCTGGCAACTACTTCTTCCGCGCCGAGGCAGCTACTGATTGTTTCAGCGGCAACAACAAGGGTGGCCGTGCTCTGTTCACTTACTCAGGAGTAACAGCTGCCAACCCTACCGACAGCAACGAAGTTCCTCCTTCAAATGGCTGCACCGAGTTGAACACTGTTCCCTACTGGACCCAGGCCGTTGACCAGACTCAGTACCAAGCTCAAGTTAAGACCCTAAGCACTGGTGTTGCACCTGGCCTTACCACCAACGGTCAGAACTTCGCCCTTTGGCACTTGGACACAACCGCCATGATGGTCAACTGGGACAAGCCCACCCTCCAATACGTCTTCGAGCAGAACACTAGCTACCCCGACCCCTACGCCGTCATCGAGATCCCTACAGAGGGTACATGGACCTACTGGCTCATTCAGATGGGCCAGCAGAACCCTCTACCTCACCCGATTCACTTGCACGGACACGACTTCTTCGTTCTTGGTTCAGGTGCTGGTGTCTTCGATTCGAGCACCGCAAACCTCAACTTTGCCAACCCTCCTCGCCGTGACACTTCTATCCTTCCCGGTCTGGGTTGGCTCTTGATTGCCTTCCCAGCAAACAACCCTGGAATTTGGCTCATGCACTGTCACATTGCATGGCACATCTCAGAAGGTCTCGGTGTCCAGTTCATCGAGGCCAAGAACTCGATCCAGATGCCCGATCAGAGCCAATTCAACTCCCAGTGTGATGCTTGGAGAAGCTACTCAAAGGACATGGCTTACCCTCAAATCGATAGTGGTCTCTAGATGGGTTTTCTATCGTCTCGCATTCCTTGTGGAAATGGAAAAACAGGCAAAGGGGAGATCTAGGGTAATGCTTGGTTGACTGGGTTAACTTGTTGGGGTTTTATTTGTCTGGGCTTCATTACAATCATTTGCTATGCTTGGGGAGTTTTTCTGTTCCTAGCCTCTTGTGGCACACAATCAACTTCTTGTTCCATCTTTCAAGGTCTTGTCTACTTTCCTAATCATGGTCATATTGCACTCAGAAAGTTGAACAGTTAACCGATGATGGTTGGTGAATGTCCGAGACATGAAGGTGGATGGCCCAAGCTCCCATCTCCGCCATCCCCGCATGACATCAAGGTAAAATGTAGTCACTGTGACCACATCGTTCATGCAGGTGGCATTGACCGAAGACTAAACAAATGAAGATACGTAGTTGTCTCGTCCCTTCAACATTTCCTCTTCGAAACAACACCAAATGCGTCCTTTTACTCCTCGCTACATTCAGCAAACTGCCAACATCTTAAGCAGACCAGCAACTCTTCAATTCGCAAGAACTCAGCCTTTGAACCAGACACAAGCCGCAGCCATGTCTTCGGGTCTCAACATCGAAAACACCAACATCAAGACTGCTCCTGGAGTTACTCTGGAGGAGCAGCAGAAGACTTTGGTCGGAAGCGTTCTTGATCTTNTTGCTGGTCGCCCTAGTTTGGAGAAGCTTCAGCTTTGGAAGGNNGATGAGGGTGTCTTCGAGGACCCCATCACTATCGCCGAGGGTCGCAAGCGGTACGAGGCACAATGGGTGCGTGATATCTCTTTCTCAATTATGTGTTCGGTATGCTAACGCTGTTGTTCAACAGNNTACGGTCTCCAGTCAGCGTTCAGCGAGATTGAGAGACTTGACCACGAGGTCACTTCATCCGGCAACCCTATCAGCATGAACATGAAGACACGCTACAAGGTCAAGGGTATCGGTATGGAGCAGACCATCTCTTCGGTCGTAAACATCTTCCACGAGGGCGGCAAGATCACAAAGGTCCAAGACAAGTGGAACGGCAAGCTTCCCGATGGTGCCATTGCAAATGTGAGTACTGCGCAATTGATGAACCCGTTTTGGTGGACTTATTATACATGGGCTTGGGCGTTTTACCTGTGGAGTTTTGTGTGGTGGACACGACCGTGGCTGGTGAGGACGGCTTCGTTTTGTCCAGCTTTGTGGTTCGTGCTGTTTTGCAGAGCTTTTGCTGACTATGCTCCCTACAGGNCCTTCCGCAACCTCAACTCGGTCACAGTGCCCAAGATCATCTCGGTGCCCAAGAATAAGGAGGAGGATGCTGCAAGAGGCAACTAGATGTTTACATGAGCCATGGCCTAATACGACATGTGTATGACTAGAGAATAATTTGTTTTGTTATTCGTCTTGGTCTTCTTCTTTGATCTGGTGACCAGCGGTAGCGACTTTTAAGATGTCTTCCTCTAAACCTTGGACGTGAATGACTTGTATACCAGCGTCCTCGAGCTTACGTCTACCCTTGTTCTCGCCTACGAATTTCTCAGGCTCCTTCACACCAATGTAGACCTTCTGAATACCCTTGTGGCCGGTACTTAGACTGCTTTTCGTCAACAGCACACGCTCTGTACATGGCAGATTACCACTAAGACGGAAGTCGCAAGGTTCCATGGTGGTGTAGAGAACAGTATCATCAGGCATGATGGAGCCAACGTGTTCTTCAGAGATGTTCATGCTCTGTGCTAGCTTTCCGAGACAGCATTGTTCGGCGTGGGTGTTGCCCGGCAGCTCGAGAGTGTAGCCGGTTGCGAGGATGGGCTCGGGGGATGAGGGCGAGACGAGGACGGCGCCGACACAGAAGTTTGTGGGCTTTGGAGGTGATTTGCGGGCTTCGTCTAGAGCTAGGCGCATGTAGTCAAGATGGCTGAGTTGTGTCATGGTTGTGTTTGAGTGAAGAAAGTGAAGGACAAGAGCAGTTAAGAGCTACGAGGACTGTACAGTGCGAGGCTCGGTTGCTTGGCCTGCTTTTTGATTGAATTCGCGTGCTCAGAGCGCGTCATCCTGCATTGACGCGTCTTGCAGTCCTTCTGCGCTTGATTCATTCTACAACACCAACATTAACCATGCCGACAAACATTGACGATCTTGAGCTCGACGAGCCTCCCACTGTCGAGCCCTACGAGGTTCTGGGTGTCGAAAAGACTGCCACCCAAGACCAGATCAAGACTGCTTACCGCAAGGCCGCTCTCAAGTGGCATCCTGGTAAGTCACTTCACACCATCTTCCAGCACAGTCTTCTGACCCAAACAANNGACAAGGCAAAGCCTGAAGACAAGGATGCCGCCCACACCAAGTTTCAAGAAGTCGCTCTCGCCTACGCCGTCTTGAGTGACGAACGCCGCCGCACTCGCTACGACAATACTGGCCGCACCGACGAGTCCCTCGATATAGACGACGACATCTTCAACTGGAATGACTTCTACCGTGCCCAATTCGCCAATGCCGTCACCGAGGATACCATCATCTCCTTTACCAAAGACTACAAAGGCAGTGATGAAGAACGCGAAGCTTTGCTCTCCGCATACACAAAGTACAGGGGAGACATGAACAAGATCTACCAACAAATCATGGTCAGCAACCCTGCCATTGACGAAGACCGTTTCCGCAACATCATCAACGAAGCCATTGAANAGGAAGAGGTCCCTGCCCATACCAAGTTCACTCAAGAGTCCCAGAAGAGCATCGATCGTCGCATCGCAAGCGCAAACGAGGAAGCAGAAGAAGCAGAGGAGCACGGAAAGAAAACTGCCAGCAAAACAAAGGCCAAGGCCAAGGGAGGAGACTCGGATTTGTCATCTCTCGCTGCCATGATCCAGCAACGCAACAAGGCGAGAAGCGAAGACTTCCTCGACAACTTGGCCGAGAAATACGGTGCAGCACCCAAGAAGAAGGGCAAGAAGAGAGCTCAATCACCAGATGAGCCTCCTGAGGAAGCCTTCGAAAGGACTGCGAAGAGAAAGACCAAGAAATCAAAGGCATAGATAGGCAGGCATGGGATTCGGATGGTTGCATACAAAGGCTGGGCTAGGACAGAGAACTTTGCATACATTTACAGCGCGGCGTTGGTCGGATCTTTTCTCGAGCAAGGAGGCACATGTCCATACCTCTACTCAATGCGATGACAGTCTCCTCAAATGCTGTTCTCATCTTTGCATATTCGTAATGCTTTATTGACAATAGACGTTGCATGTACTCTTGTACCACAACATCCGACCTGCATCTCAGCAAAGCGGTTTGCGGCTCAACATTTGCGCGACAAAAGCTCTCGACAAAGTGACATCCCTGTCTGCCTCTTATTCAAATACCGACTTACCTTCAGGAACGTAAATTCACCGAGTGGAGTCGGTAGACGACTCCACGCGGATCCACGGCATCGAGAAGAGCTAAGATTCTAGCATCTGATCGTTAACCTTCTTCGAAAGTCCGAGATCGACATGAACTTTGTCATCCACAACATCTATCCACTCTCACCGACGCATGCTTTTGCTCTTCTGTTCTCGTCATGGTTCGGCCAGCCTTGTGAGACATCTTGACAGTGTTGACGTGCTTCGAAAATGATGACAGCTTCCAGGCTCTCTGGACTCTCAATATCTTTGTCTGAGGATTTGGATATACTGACTCAGTAGGAGGTCTGATGGAAAAGGTAAAAGCAGATCACGGATCGTTCTTTTGAGATACGGTTGTCTCGGTCCCTTTGGTGATCACTGCATCTCGTGCTCTTTCTCCACCTCGCCACCTTGTTCATGACTACGTGTGCACCCAGCTTCGGTCATCATCTTTCTCAGCCCGTCGAGCGCAAACCGCAAACGTTAAGAGGGATGACAGATCACCATGCTCGCATGCGCCGTGCTACGTAGTATGCAAGGCACGGTTACTTCGCCCTTCGAGCAACCCTCTTTTTTGCTCCATTCGACTACACTGCAACGGGAATATGACGGCTTAGAGTGCCGAATTTAGAACTCTCACTGGCAGTGGTGCTGCTCTGCCGTGCAAACTGCAAAGCAATTGCTGCTTGCAAGCCTTTGTCAACCTTGATCTGCCTGGTATATGCATAATCCTGGTTCGTCTTAGTAGGGCTTTGTTGAGCAGCTGTCAGAGTGGACCTCTGGATGTCCGGACGAGATCTATGCTCCATGTGTCCATGACGATCAACTCTGATGGCTATTCCGAAGTGCTGTTTGCTTGGACGATCGATTCCTTTGGCAGAACACATAAGTAAGTCATGTATCTGCTAAGTGATCGAATCATACTCTTGTAGGTCTATCGTCTGTGTTTCGTTTCCTCTCGGGTCGTCGCATATCACCACCCTCAAAAGACTTGATATAACATTCGCTCAGTATGCGATCGACATTACTCTTCACTGCCGCCACTGTTGGTGCCAGATTCGCTTCTGCGCAATGTGAAGTTTACGGCATCGATATTCAGAACGGTGGCACATATTTCGAGAATGTCGAATTGACCGTCCCCTTCACACTGGTTCAGGAGTTTTCTGGCTGTGACAACGATACTGCCAATGTAAGGTCACCAAGTCATTGGTTTCGAGCAAGACTAATCAGGAACTGCAGANATATCCTTGTGGATCCTAATGGCGACCAATACGAATGCTCAGACACACCATTAGTACCTGCCTATACACCAGAGACAGTAACCTGCAGCGACTGGCCACAAGACAAACTCTACTCTGGCGACTGGTCACTAGTAGTCATCAGCAACAATGGCGACGGCGATCCCATTGCCTATCAACGAGACTTTAGTCTCACAGTCGGCACACCCACAACAATAACTATCACGCCCACAGTCACAGCCACCGACCTCGAAACCAGCATCTTTAGTATCCCTTCCACGACATCGAGCACCATCACAACAACCCTGGTGCCTCAAACGACCACGAAGCGTGCCTGGATCGCTTTTGCAAAACCTACTTTGCTGTCTCACCCTTTGAGTGTACAGGTAGTTACCAAGGACTTGTTCACAGTCACTAAAACACAATACGCACCCCAAGTCACCCAAACCACCGTCGAAGCCCAAGCCTCCTGCGCCTCTCCAACACCAAACTGGGTACCCGACCCGATCGCCAAGATCGAAATCACGATCCTCAAGACCATCTTCCAGCGCACAAACTCTGCAAAGTTCAAGCGTGGTGCTGCGGCAGACGCAGCAGCCAAGCAAGAATTCGTAGAAGAGAGAGCTGCGGGATTGGCAGGTGGTTTGGAAAGAGAGCTCCCGATGCAAGCATGGTCACCGTGACAGCAACAAACACAAACGACTTTGTGACCGAGACCAGCACGCAGTGGACGACAATCACCAAAACCATTCCTACGACTTTGTTATCTACAGTGTAAGTTTTGTTTTCCTCAACCCTATTCTATCTTCCGAAAAGCTAACGCAAATTAGTACCTCAACACCAGCGGTTGTTACTGTAACACAAGCTCTCCTCAACTTTGCTGCTCTGCAGACGCTGATTCAGGATCTTGTTCAACCTACGATTACTCACTGGGATGTTGCGCATGTGACAACCACGAAGAGTGTGCCTTGGACAGTTACCATTACTCAAACCACCACGCCTTCTGCTTGGGCTGCCGAGTGCACGAACAGTGGTGGTAAGGTGTGGTAAGATGGTTGTGATGGAATTTGTATGTTTGATGTATGAATGAAAGGGATTGTATGATTGGATACAAGGACATTGAGGATATTTTAGGGGGTTATCTTGCTTTCTCTTTTAGTTCCCTGTTTTCTTTTCCATTTCTCTGTGTTATATTTTTATCAACAACTTTTCTCTATCTTTTCACTCCTCGTTTCGCAAGGGAAGGTGTTGTAAAAGACACTAATGACTCGTGGAACAGATGCATTGAATTCGTGATTACTTCTATCCACTAAAGTTGAGAAAGGCTGTCATTACAAATCGCTTTGCATGGGTAGCTTGGACGAAGAAAGAGACCAAGGAGATGGCAGGTAAAATGATAGTTGTATTATCTAATCCGCAAAAACCAAAACACTCATATATTTCCATCTCATGATTTAAACCGAGCATTGTAAGAACAAACAACTCCAAAAGTTCTAAGTCCAAAACGAAAGAGAAGCAAAGATACTAACATCTTCCCCAACTGGCAACACTCCTCCAAAGCATCCTGCTGCCATCTCCTGAATTCGTTGTCTTCTTTCTGCTTATCCACATATCCCCTTGACCGAATCTCCCGGTCCACCCTGCCGGAACGCCATTGTTGAGATGCGATAGGCTCTGGCGACCCATCCTGGAATACTCTGAAAGAGGATCTATACAATGGATCGCGTTTCGTTGTAGCCCGAGCTGTACCCTGAACGTCTCGAACGAGCATGTATTGCAGCGCTCACTGCGCCTACTAAAGCCATTGCGGCTGATATCTTGGAAGATGGCCTTTTCAAGACAGGCGTGGTCAAAAACGTTGTTTCAGAACTGGTGAATTCGTAAATGGCGGTAATCATGTTCTGTGTGTCTGTTCCTCCAGGCTTGATGAAGGACGTGAATTGGAAATCAGGGAACATGAAAGTTACTGTTGAAAAGGTGCAAAGCAGATGGGTGTGTTTTGCAGAGGCAAAAGACCTACAAACTCTTATGTATGTGGTTCATTTGCAACGTTATTGAATCACATTGCCCACTTCCTAGTACTTACCAAGACAGTGGCTCTAATTGCTCGTCGATTCAGAATGGCAGTTACAGTATCTCTAGGTCGAAGGTTCCTTGTCTGCAAAAACCCTCCCTATGTGCTAGTGTCTACAACGCACAATTACAGAAACGCACAATAGCAACAAAAAAACAAGACAGTTCCACTGGTGATGCAACAATCTATCGGTTCTTTGTGGAAAGCGCCATATCTCCGAATACAACTGTGTCTTTTCATAGGTCTTAACTATATTTTGGTCTTGGTTGTAATCGTCGGAGAACAGTGGACGTCATCATATTTTAGCAAACGGCGAGGGTGAAAGCCTTCCTTGCTTAGAACAGAGTGCTTGCGGGAGGTCTGAGGGTCCGCCCGTCGGTTGCAAAGTACTGCTTCTAGAGCAGCTCATAGATCCGCCAAGTTTCGAATGAGGTCCCTGAGGGAATGGTACAGTTTACATGCTCAGCAATCTGACAATCTGCAGCATAGCGGATATGAAGAACGAAAGGAAAGTTACTGTACAAGCGTACGTGCTTTTTCCGAAGTAGCCCGACGCAAAAGGAGAAGGGGAAAAAAATTGTAGTCAGACAAAAACCAAAAGAAGGATATAATTTCGTTTCCGCATGTGGAGATGATAGTGCGCTGTAGCAAAATCTACCTTCTGGGACCACCGACTCTGCCAAAGCCCAGGTTACTTCTGGCAGTAGTTGCGATCTTGTGGATACCAGTACGTTTCTCCCAAGCAGAGCTGCGGCCCTCGATGATGGCAACAATCTCTTCGGCGACACGTAGAGCAAACATGTCACGGCCACTGCCGCGTGACTTGCGCTTGGAAGCAGCATCCAGGATCCACTCGAAGGCAGTGCGACGGCGTTGGCGAAGACCNAATGGGACAGGGATCTGCAAGGCGACACCACCACCGGCAGCACCACGCTGCGAACGAATACGCATAAGAGGAGCAATGCTGTCAACAGCGAGTGTGAGGTAAAGGACAGGGTTCAAAGGAAGGTGGGATGGTGGTGCTGTGGAGAAGGGGTTAGCTAAAGTACAGGATGAATGGATATGAACAGACTTACGGGCACCGGGAAGAAGAGGTCTACTGGGACTGTAGTTGGGAGGAGACTGGGTGCGCAGATGTGTCAGGATGGTAGACATGTTGCGCTGGGCGACACTGAGCTTGCCATGCTGCATCATGAGGTTGGTGAACTGGCGCACCACGGGGTCGTAGCGGTAGTCTTTGTGTGCATTGCTGGGCAGTGGCAGGGCGGGCAAGCCGAACTTGTGGCCNGACGGGGCAGCAGTAACAGGAGTGGCAGGTCCAGAGAGTTCCTGAGCACCAAAGTTTGTGTTTGCGATCAGAGCATCATCGAAAGGGTTGTCGTTGTGCTGGCTCAATTCCTGGTTGCGGCGGGCGTATGTCGAGAATGAACGGGTTGTCGAAGGCTTGGGAGGNGTGGCGCCAGCCTTGATGCTGTCCTTGAGCACTTGGGGTGCCTTCTTCTGTGCCTCCTTGTCTTCCTCGAGCAGNCTGCGGCTTGTTAGTCTCTGTCCACTCGATCCACAACGCTGCACTTGACACACCTCCTGCACCGGTGTGCCCATTTCCAAATCCGGTCCTGAGCCTCCTCGAATCTTTTCAATCTTTGCTGCCTCCTCGCTGATGTGCTCTTGCTGGTTCATGTTGGGTCCAGCGCCTCCCNNGCTCTGCTTAGGGTCTGTTGCGTAGTTGCGGCGCCATGATGCTGCGATGGGGCTCTGGATGGTCGCGAATGTCCTCGGACGGAAGGCCAACGCCCTTGATGTTGCGAAAAGGCTCATTGTGATGTGTAGTGGTCGAGTCTGTCGTCGTCGCTGCTTTCTTTCTGACGATGACTTCAGTTTCGAACGTCACGTGCTTCTCTGATTTATGCACTGCACAACCCACTTCGAGCCAGCCGATGTCGCCCTGCCATCTCTTTTCTTGCTTTAACTCCTACGCACTTCTGATCTCATCACCATGCCCATTAGATCGATCGTAAACGTGATCAATAACAGAAGATGATATAGCAGTTGCATTGGCGAGTGTTGGGGGATTCCTGCAGTTGCAACCAAATTTCATATGAAGAGATCATCGAATCATGAAACCACAAGGTAGAATTTATCTAGCTACACCTCGGGCAACGAGAATACTAGAAGACGCTTTTCAAGTCGAATTGTCATCTTTGATACTCTTGCAATCAAAGAAAGATAAATGCTATACATGTGAAACCAGCTACTCATGACCACACCATGCACCTTTGTAGAAAGCATATGAATGTATAGACAACAGGGTCACTCCTAATACATGATCTGTTTTTTTTTTTTTTTTTTTGGAAGCAGACAATCTGACACTAGCAGATAGGAGGCTAGGAACTGGGTTCAGTTTACCAATTTGAACAAGTTGTGTTCGGGTAACGGTCTAGCCCTGGTTGCAGAGGCCAGGCACCAAAGAAGCACCACGACCGACCAAGCCATCAAAGTAAGCCAAGAGATTTTGTAGAGGCACCATATCGACCTCATTAGCCAATGCGGGGCTCGAGGTTCTCATAACCTGTCCTCCCCACAGAATGCGAACAAACCACTCATGGTGCTTGGAGTAGACCTCAAAGACGACTTCGGAGCCCATGCCCGGCCATACCATCTCCTGAATTTGGAGCAAGGCCAGCAAGCGAGCAATGCTGCCATCATGGGCAACGTCATGTCTGTAGATGATAGAGTCGGTGCCATTCTGAACGGCACGAAAGTGGTCTGCCAGCTCTGCGACCCAGATTCCATAGCTGCGACGAGCGTACTCAAGAGTCTGAGGTCCAGCTGAACGGTACAGGAAGTTGTACTCGTACTCGCCCAAACGGAACACCTCATTTGCCTGAGACTGAGTGACGCAGGAACCGGTGGTGCTGTTGCAGGGTAAGGGCTTCGAGTGACAGAGACGAGCAGAAAGATTGTCAAAGTAGTGATCCCAGGATTGGTGCCAGGCTGTCGAAGTGGATGAGATGCCAGAAATAGCATCTAAAGCACGAGCAAGACCAGATGAAGCAGTGAGATGAGCGGTCCAGTTTGAATTGGTGCTGCCCACGCCATAAGATAAGTAGAGGGTGGACGCAGAAGAGCATGTATAGGCGGGCTCCAGACTATCGATCGAATCAGGCTGAATCAATAAGGGAATATTCTTCTCACTGAGCGAGGGAAACATTCCAGGGATCAAGTTGCTCGCGACTTGAGAAGTGATGACGTTGTTGGTCACACGGAATTGCATCTTGCGGGAGTCATATTTTGCAGGCAAAAANCCAAGCAGACCGTGGTAGACTCCGTAGATATCTTTGCCATGTTGGTGGCTGTCGTCTAGACCTCCCGCTGTCAATTGAGGAAATTGGCATGTACCATTGAAGCCTTGAGGAGCCAAGGGGTTGGAGGGGGAGGTAAAGACACTCCAGTATGTCAATGCCGAGGAGTTCGCATTAGCACCCGTGAAAGTATTGGCGTTGTAGTAGAGGCCCTCATCTGAACACTCCCATGCATACGACTCCCGAGGAAAAGTATTTGCTGCATAAGGAGTACGCTTATGGTGGCGGTGAATGACGTGAACGTATTCGAGCTTGTAACTCGAATTGACCTTGGGATACTCAGTGCGGCGGACATGAGGCATATTGCACCAGTTATAAGTCGCTATTAAAGTCAGCAAACGATGCTCATACCATTTGTCAACATGCTATTCGCCATAATATATAGCACGCAGCTCAGCTTTAGGTTTGGCGTGAAGACTCGGGGTTCACGAAGTGTTCGGCGTGGATTAGTGAATGCATGACTGCAGGACAGCACCTCCAAATTGTATAATGGAATTCTCAACAGCCAAATGATTTGACGAAATGAACAGAAAAGGTAACATCATGTCCAACTTACAGTATGGCAGACCTGCCGGAGTGTTCGAAGAGTTGAATATGAAGTCCCATGTGCCAGTGCCATTGATGACAGACTGAAGGTCGCTGACGTTGGTAGATGGCGGTGCATGCCATGACAGATTCACTACAGTTGTGTTCGAGGAAGACACAACTGAAGCAAAAGAGAAGAGGACAGGGAATGAATACAAATAATGCATGGTGAACCAGGTAGTCGAGGCGAGCAGTGCGAGTGGAAGTAGAAAGGTTATCTGCCACATTCTGGGCAGGCTCACGGCCTACCTTTTATAATGAAGCTGAAGTTCGTATTGCAGGTAGGTTGGAAGGTATGGTTGTATCTAAAGTGGAGTTCACGAAGATGAAGCTCAGCGTGCAAGACTGGAGAGACACGATTGGCTTAAGTAGGACGGGAACGAGCGGCCGGGCATGAAAATCATGCCTGAGCCTCCAGGGATGAATGACTCTCGGCAATCATAACACTGTCCAGGTTGTTAAAGTGTTGCAAAGACATGATATACTTTGGGATGTGGTGAAGGAAAGTCAAGATGGTTGCAGAAGGTGGGGGTTCCTTCGTTGAGCGGCGTCTTCATCAAAGTCCCCTCGGAAACAGCAGCAGCCAAGACGTGGAAGGAACCATGGCCGTCGCTACACAACATAGAAAGTCAACAGCTATCTCAGTGTACTCGTGCCGCATTGCAAAGCTTCTTGGATTTCGAAATTTCTGAACAAGTTAACCAAACACCACTTGATACAGAAATTTGGAGGCATCCAGTTGAAGCATCCTTGACGCAAACAAGGTCTGTGCGCATATCTAAGTGACGACCGATAACAATCGTATACTCGTATGGCCTGAACGATGCCTTTCCGGATACCCAAGCGCAAGGAAAGAGGATCGGGATACACTGCTCTGGATGGACGATGGGTCGACGGTGACAAGGAACGCCTTTCGGACGACGATGACGCCTCAGACTCGAATGCGACACCAATGCTGCGACGTGCCTCTGGTGCTCGCAGTGCTACTTCCTACNCCCTGCCGCCACGTCGCTTCACAAGATACTTCACCTTGATCATCGTCCTAATACTAGTTGGTCTTGGTCTCACACTGGCTCGTCTGAGCGCTCTTTCCGAAGCATCATTACGATCTGGTCTGTCTAAACCACCACCTCCACCACCGACTTGGGAAAGCTTCCCCTTCTTGAAACGCTACCATGGCGGTATCAGAACTCTGATCTCTCGCGCCGACAACGAACCGGAATACCCAGATCCCGAGAACAACTCGTTGGAATCTACTGTGCAGAAAGACCAGGAAGAGCAGACCGCTCCGTCAGAAGAGAAAGGCTTCCAGAAGAGGTATATACCACAAGGCCAGAGGTTCAATCCTGTCAAACAAGATGGCGTTGTCGAGTGCTACCTCGACGAGGAGAGAAAGAGCAATGTTCCGCAACTTTTGGCATATCCAGGAGTACCCAAAGGCTTCCCAGATCCTATCATGGGCTCCTATGATATATTCGGGATGAACGGCGATATTTGCTTCGACCGTTACGGAAGGCTCGGTCCATACGGTTTAGGCTACAGCAAGAGATGGGGCGGCAGTGGTGCTGGAATGGAAGGCCATCTGGAAGGAGCAGACCAAGTCTGGGGCGGCAAGACCGAGATTGACTATCGCGAGGTCAATTGGGCTCAAGCTCAGCAAAGATGCGCTCAGAAGAACAAGAACCGCTACAAGCCTGTACCAAAACCTCGAAACCACTTCTTTACTGACATGCCTGTCGGAGGCCCTGAGGACGATAAGCCTAAAAGAGAGGAGAAGCAAGACAAGAAACTGCTACCCAGACAAGCTGTCGTTATTCGAACTTGGCACGACTACCAATATGATGATGAAGACATGTTCTATCTACGCGCCCTCGTCAATGAGTTGTCTCTTCAATCCGGCGGCGAGTACACTGTCCATTTCCTGGTCCATGTCAAGGACAACGACATGCCTATATGGAGTGATGACTTTACCTACCAGCGCGTTCTCAATGATTCTCTCCCTCTGGAGTTCCGTGGCATGGGTACACTCTGGTCAGAGAGACAGATGAGTCTGATCTATGGAGGAATAGCAGAAACCAACTACCGTGATCTGCCAATCCACGGTGCATACAGATCGACAAACATGCCCTTGTCTTACTTTGCTCATATGCACCCTGAGTACGACTTCTTCTGGCATTGGGAAATGGATATTCGCTACACCGGCCACTTCTACCATCTCTTTGACAAGGTCGGCAAATGGGCAGACCAGCAACCCCGCAAAGGTCTCTGGGAGCGTAACGGCAGATTCTACATTCCATCTGAGCACGGCTCCTGGGAAGACTTCAAGCAAATGGTGCGCGTACAGACCGAGCACGGCACAGCTCACAAAGCAGGCATGTACGAGAAGGTATCCGGTACCGAAAACGCGCAAGCACGCACGCCTCCTGTCTGGGGCCCAATGCCACCTACCGGCGAAGGTGATAGGATAGAAACGGAAAACGACCCTCAACCTCCCACCACGCCAGACAAAGACAACTACTCCTGGGGCGTGGGCGAACCAGCAGATTTCATTACCTTTAATCCTCTCTTCGACCCGCATGCTACAAACTGGATTTTAGCAGAAGACGTCACAGGCTATAACACCTCTGCAGGCTTCCCTCCTCGCCGCACAGCAATCATCACTGCATCACGTCTCTCCCGCCGTCTTCTCGAAACCATGCACAGGGAAACTGCTCTCCAGCGCCACAGCATGTTTTCTGAAATGTGGCCTGGATCTTGCGCTCTGCACCATGGACTCAAAGCCGTCTACGCACCTCATCCAACCTATATTGATCGCAGATGGCCCACTTCATACCTCGCTGCTGTGTTCAACAATGGGCTGCACGGTGCTTCTGGAGGTGCAAGAACGAGTGTATTTAGTGATGAACGTCAGCACAACTTTNTAGGAACGACTTGGTATTATCATGCTGGGTTCCCAGGCAATCTCTGGAAGAGGTGGTTGGGATACAGAGTCGATGGAGATGGAGGTGAGATGGAGGAGGTCGAGGGTGAGGGTAGAATGTGTTTGCCTGGCATGCTGCTGCATCCTGTGAAGCATGTCGACTTGATCTACGAGCACAGAGAGGGAGAGTGAGAGACGTGGGTATGAGAGTCGAGGGCTTGCACAAAGACGTAATGAGTAAATACTGTAATTGACGAGAAAAGAATGCTGTACTACTGCAACGGAAGCACAATGCAATGAAGGTGAACAAGCCGACAAAATCAGAATGAAATGATCACAACGCTATGCAATTCCCCCTTGCGCCCAACGAAAACCAGAAACCCTCCATGCTTTTGTTTTCCACTCTGCCAGTCCCAGCCTGCGCAGATATCAGACATCAAATATGACCTGGTAGCCTTAAGTCATCTTCATCCACAGGGAACGCATCCCGATCTCCAAACTGACTACCCACACCATCGTCGTCGTCATCGTCGTCATCATATTCCTCGTCCTCATCACTCTCTTCCTCGTCATCTTCTCCCTCTCCATCCTCTTCTTCCTCTTCCTCGTCAGACTCTGATATCTCCCCAAANAACACGCCCGCATTGCCTTCGCCCCAGAAACTGGTCTCATTTGATTGTGCCGTTTGTGGCCGCTTGGAAGACTGCTCGGTGTCTTTCGGCGCTGTTGAGTCTTCTGGGACTTGAGATGGGTTAGCGGTGTTCGCGCCAACATCTAAGCCTTCGAGGTAGTAGCGCATAGGAGAGAGGCTTCTGCTGAAGCGTTGAAGTATATCGTAAGGAAGGTTGCGGAATGCATCACCGGCACTTAATGCGCGTTCGGTATTGCGAAGACTTTCTTCATGTTCAGCTTGAAGGAAGTAACTTCGTCCGGTCGGTGAATGTGGTGCGAAGACGGGTTGTTGGACTGGTAGTTGCTGTTGGGGGACAGGGATTTGAGCCGGCGAGGATGGACAGCCATAAGCGCTATCTGCTCTTTCTTCGTCGCTGATCACTGCAGCTGGTAGTACGTTGACGCCAGCGAAATCGTGACGACGGACGATTGGTCGAGTACCGGGAGTCTCGGAGCCCAAGTAAGCAGTCTGAGATGTGTTGTAGCCGTCGCAGTGAGGACACTTTAGACCAAGCCAGTGGAAGGCAGACCAGCCTCTTCCACCACAATCATTACAGCCTACAAAAACTTTTCGAGGGACTCGTCGATGAGCAGGGTTGGCTCTTGCCGCAGCGGAATCCTCGAATTCATCTTCTGGCATAGGCTGGAGACGGATCTCGTCGTCAAGTTTTCGCCATTGAAGCTCCATGTTGACAGCAGATTTGTTGCATACCGGACAGCGATACGTGACGTGCATAAGATCTTTGTAGCAGCTTCCGTGCATGTAGTGACCACAAGCCAGACTCACTACAGGCAGCGATGAAGAGAAGAGGTAGTCGAGACACAGAGGACAATCACAGTCGGTTGCTCTCTCTACGCAGGGATGTGTGCTGCTGGTTGATATGGAGATACAGACGTTGCATCGCTTGCAGTGGACATAGTCCTTGCCCAAGCCCTCGCCACGACGGCAAATGCCACAGTCGTCGCAGTGATAGATACTTTTGGTGCTGTCATTATCCCAGAGTTTGCATTTGGAACAGTAGTAGTAGGCAGAATCAACGCCACAGTTTGTGCATGTGGGACCAGCAGGTTGAGGAGTGCTGCATAGCATGCATAGCATGTTCCGTGTCATTTTACGGTTAAGTCCGTGAGGGAATGGCAGATTTGGTGAAGCGTCGTGGCAGTGTCGACATGGATGCCATTGGTTGCAGTCGAAGCATTGAACCTTGACATTCCGGCTATAGTGCGCACACCCCAAGCCAGTGCCCTCATCGTTGATATGATCGGAACAGTAACTAGGCTCGAGGTCTTGTGGGGTGATATTGTATGGGTTGTCGTTTGAACGGACAGGGTGACATAGGGGCCCTTGTTGAAATAGGTCGGGCATGTGGTGATCGGGATTGTTCATGGTGATGAAGTCCCTTGTCATGAGCAGATGCATTGCTCTTGCCTTCTCTTCTGTTGAAGCAGCCAGGTTCCGGATCTCGTGCATCTTCAGTCGTAGTGCCCGCATGCCGTCGTCCTCGGGCAATGACGTGCCGGGCGTCGGTGACGAGGCCCTCCGGTCAACGTCCAGCTCGAGGAACTGGGATGTGTTCGCGTTGACAGCCATGTTCAAGGTGTTCCTCCTCTTTTCCTTGTCCTTGTCCTTGTGTTTTGTACGAAGGCCAGTGTCGAGTCAATACGTGTTTGAGGGCGGGCTATGTTGGTTTCAGCCCCCCAGTCGACGGGCGTTGGGCGGAGCGAAGTCAAAGTCCAAAGTCAAGTCTCGACACTTTCTGCTGGTGGATATGTATATATTTTGATGACATCTGGAAAGAATTGCAGGTCTGTATGTCACACGACAGGCAAGAGCAGCCCGAGGCAATGGAAAGCCTTTCAGACCGCATCGTGGCCATTGGTCGCTGTCATACGATTTCCCGCGCCATTTCATCATTGTTTCCCATGTGAAGTGCATGTGATCGCCAAGACCCATCGCCAGCCCTATCCAAAACACCTCCTGAGCTCCCCTTGCCTTCTGTAACTCCCTGCACTCGGTCATTTCGCCTCAATTATCCCTATACGCACTTCTTTCACATGCTTAGCATCAACGCTTTGACAGAGACCGCGTCCCTCTTTGTCAGAATCAACGAGTCCCTCGTGCCTTAATCGCAAGAATTACTTCTTTCGACATCGAAACCTAATCTCGCGATCTCCAAGTCCACTTCAACATCATGTCACAAGCAGCATGAATCTGTTCTTTCCACCGCCATTCTGAAGAACGGACTCGGAAGTCGTCTTTTCGACTTACTCCTTCATGTGCCGATCTGTTGTTTGGTATCATGAAGATTGTCAGAAGTGATTGAAAGAGGCACACTTGACTTGTGATCGAATCGCATAGCGATTTCGTCAACAGAAAATTTCTGCTGCAATCCTAGTGTTTCTGGTTGATGCAGGCTTGATCGAATCTGCTCACCTGCCGAACATTGATACCACAGCTTCTACCACAATAGTCCTTCAAACAGCTTCGACCCGGCTATTTGATTGGTGAGATGGCAGAGCAAGATGTTGACACATACTTATTGCTTTCGAGATCTATTCCAAGCACGTACGGCCACAGTCAGCTGAAAACTGGGCATCCNNCGTCCGCTCTGCCATACATAAGCAGTTGAACGGCAGATTAGTACTCTGGTGGGTGACCACAGGGGAATCCCTGCTGCTGTACGTTTTGCATCTTCTTTTGCCGATCGACCACGACAAACCGAACCCTTCACGCGCTCTTCGCTTTATCTTGCCAAGCTTTCATTCCTACTTTGTAGTACTTGAAGGTCGCCAACCCGTTGTCTACGACTAGCAGAAACAGAATCAAAGCAATTCTGCCTATCGTAAGGTACATGAAGCAGAGAGTCAAGTCAATAGACAACCGAGCCATCCTCAGAAACTTGGGATTGTCCTTGAGTGCATCAATCCCAAGGCCCACCTGCATTGCTGCAAGGACAATAGATGCGTAAGCGAAGAAAGTGAAGAGGACATCTAGATTGTGCTTGAATCGTTGCGAGTATTCGGTGTAAGGGTAGTAGTACCCGCGGTTTGGTGCCCACTGACGACCAGGCAAACAAGGATTGAGACGAAAGAGCCAATTGACGCGCTGGAGACGCAACTCTCCAAACTGATACCTCCTGTTGATTAGAGATAGGATGTTATGATCAGTGTCAGTTGAGATGATTCCATTGACTATGTCGAGCCACGTCTGCCATTCCAGCCCTTGAGGAACAAGTTTCTGTTGCAAGGCAATGTCGAAGTCCGATTCATGCTGTATCAAACGCATGTAGGAGTACATGAATCCCAGCGCGGAAGACCAGAGCTCCCTTTGTAGACAGTAATTTTTCTTCTCAAAGTCCAAACAGTTGCAGTCATCCGCACATACGAGATTGGCTTGCCAAAACCGGGCATCCAGGATGTAACGAGGTAGTGGTTTCAGATATATGGTAGAGCCCTCCCAGAGCAGATGCATATCTGCCTGCTCTGTTAAGGTAATAGTGCGAGAATAGGCGACTTGCTTGTGTAATGGTCGGATCTGCCAGGGTCGTCCTATCCATCCGAGCCAGGAAAAGACGCAATCATTGTCAAGCCTTGTGACATCGAGATCGCGTCTGAGGAAGTTAGCGAGGATGTCTGCTGGTCTGTTGAGCCGATGGTCTTTGTGGCTGAAGAAAGTTGCAGGTAACAGGCTTCGAAGTTCTTCAGAGCTCAATGGAGATCGAGTCTGAACTGGACTGGGTCTATTGGAAGCTCCCAATTGCTTGAATGGAGCAATTGTCCTTTTGTCATTCTGGGGAGAATTAAGTGATCAAAGGCCTTTCCGAAAAAACACGTTCGAGACAACGCCGAAAGAAGAAGGTTATAGCAGACATTGGGGTAAAGTTGCTGAAGAACTTCTCATAGCTTCTTATGCATGACAAGGTCTTGTGCCTGAGGCATGTTGTTACACAGCCCCAACTGCGAAGCGTCGTCGAATTCTAAAGATATCACGGACATCACGACCGACACAATTAGCTTTCGGAAAAGATCAAAAGAGAGCGGCTAGCTCATGGTATGCCGTGTCGAAAACAGAATCGGGAAGCTGTTATGCACCTTCGGTTCGTGTGGCTTTGTTCTCAGCCGCCCTACGCGCGGAGAGTTCTCTTTGGGTGTCACCGCGACCAGGACTCTAGTCCTAAATCCACGTTCCTCAGATGCTTTTTAACCTCGAAATGAAGTGTTTCTGCTTTCCAAATTCTCAACGCAGACGAAAATTGACAAGAGGTGCCTCTTGCCTCCGGATGCCTGCTTGCTATGACGGGTTTTGCATGAATCCATGGTGCATTCTGCGAAAGCCACAGCGTCAAGAATGAGGCGTAGACGCTGCAATACCAGCTGAATATCCCAGTATCGCAAGAGAGATGTTTCTATTCGGGAAACAAGATCTATATATTACTTCGGAAACGCTCATGCATTGCATACAATCCACAAATACTTCCTGGATTCTTGCAGACGAAATCACTCTGTTAGGCTGTCAGGTCGACTGAAATCACTTATTTGAAAAACGAAGACCAGCTGGACGACTGCTTCAAAGTATCTTTTTCTCTTCAGTATCTTGTCTTCTTTGATCATACCGGTGCAAGCATGTTCGACTTGTTCAGGTCTGCCTGCAATTTAGCGATTTCATCCTTTAGCAACATCCTTTTCGAGCCTTTCAATGGACTCTAGCATCGATCAAACCATTCCGATGGCACCAATTTGTCACGAACCTGTGCAACACTCGCAGAAGTACTACAGTTTCTCTTATCAGAGGCATCAGAACGACACTAAACCGGTTGACAAGAATTATCATCTGGACTCGGAACGTTTCCATGAAGATCGCGAGATACTTTACTTACTTCAACATCACCTTCGCATTGGGACGATTCTTCTACAGAAATGGCCTATCGTCTTTTCGGTCATTATAAAAGGGGCTAGGGATGCTGACCATTCTCTCGGTAATTGGCTCATCCGCATAGCCTTTATTGCCTTGCTGTATCTACAAGACTACGGGAGCCACGGTTTTGCTGATTTATACGACGCAACCAGGAAGGGACTGGCAAAGCTGCTTGTCGGCTTCTGGTCTCTTTGGGCGAGCATGTCCACAACGCAAAAGACCCTCTTTCTTATGTTACTCGGAGCTGGAGCCTGGCAACTCAATGCTGGAGCCTGCGTCGTAAAATATCTCAAAGCTGGAGCCTTCGTCATGTATATCCTCTGGCGAGGGTTGGGTATTGCTACCTGCACCTTGCATGTGGTCTTAGCAAGGAACATGTCCCTGACTAGCCACATCGTACCTACCGTCGTCTTCAGCTATCTGATACTGGTCGTTCTCCTGAAGTTCCAAACCAACAGAGGACGCTTGAGGCGAGCCGAGGAGGAGGAACGGATGGTCCAAAATCGCCAACAAGTTTTCTGCTCTCAGTACAGTTCATTCAGCCGCCTGAACCATCAAGTCATCATCGTGGGAGATCGGAAGTACGAGCTCAGCAAAACGTATGGAGGCCGCGTGATCATGAAATCCGAAGAACTCAGACAGCCTGTTAATCACGACCATCGATGCGCAGCCCGGTATAACGAGGAGCTTGAGGACAGTGAGCATCACACTTTTCTCATCGGATGGACCTCCTTGACCCACGTCGAAATCCTTACTGCTGGAGATGCTCTGATCGAACACTGGGACTACCGACTAGCCGCGCACAACTGCATCCATTTTGCCCGGGCACTCGCAAATGAGACTATAGAAGAGGAGTTTCGCGCTGCCGACTGGGGGTATTTCCAAGGGACGGATCTCGAAACGTACCACCTTTGGACAAGGTACAAGGCTTTCTTTAGGATGCCTTGGGCAATTTTCTGCGCCGCCATGTGTACAATGGGTCCTCGGTAGGATGAAACCTTGTTGCTGTATCCACTTCTGAGAAGCGCTCATCTGGAGACTTTCGTTTGTCGCGCTGTCAACGATGTTGTAGCCTAGATTTAATCTGCTTCTACTTGTTACTTTCATTCTTAGTCGACCCATCTGCACTGACTATTACATGGCAGCATCCAGTCTTTGATGCGGTGCTGATCCATTGATCTGCCCATCCGTATCTGCGTGTCAGTCTCTTTGCCGTGAGAGTCAGGTAGGTCGATATACGCTGAGGGAAGATGTCTCTTAGCAGTATTGAAACGTTTGCAGAGCGTTCAATTTAGCCTTGTCTGGCCTACGTCTCTCTTCTCCAAATTATGTGTGTTATTCAGTATATGATCTGCGATAGCCTGCGACTCGGAACTTTTTTTGTGCTTCGGGTCGAAGTTTAGGATTATCGCTGGAGATGTTCTGTCCATTCTATTCGGCTCGAACACTATCTTCTTGGAAAGAGACACGGAAAGACCTGGACCGCGATCGTCACTACTTGCTTGAACACTGGGATTCGGTAACAATCTTTGAACCTCCTAATACTAAACATCCAACCAAGCATATTGACACAATCTTGCTCATGGTTGTGTCTCGAGCTTGCTCGAACAAAGAGGGCACTCATTTTGTGATACTAGTAAGTAGTATGGTATCCACCTCGCTCACATCTCCCTGGGCAGATACCAGACCATTTTCGTTATCAAATCGTACTCTCGTGTTGCCGAGGGATGAGTTTGAGTAAACAACTCGATCTACAGTCGGAAGCTTGAGTCCATCAGTGGCAGCTCCAGCAGCGCTAGCGGCTATGAGGCATGTAGAATCTGTGGGATCGAAACTCCCAACATCCTTGATTCCGGAAGTCATGCCGTAGTAAACACAATAAGCGGCGAGGAGAAGAACGATGAGCAGCTGTGGCGCGATAGTCATGAGTGCCTTCCAATGGCCTTCATATCCCACACGCCACACGGTAAAAACACCATCAATGCTTCTCAGACCAGGAGCGTGGTTTGCTGTATAATACATGCGAAGGTTTGTACCTTCGTACTCAATGAAGCCTCGGATAGCTTCGGCCAGGAGTTCAGTAAACGGAATCGAGGCATTTGCAGCATGTAACCCTAGGAGCGCATCAACAACCATATGACCCTATTCATCATGGACGTCAGCACAATTCGTAGGTTTGTCATATGACGAGATCATTGACAGCCTTACCCAGCTTGTCACTGCAGAAGCCATCAAATTCCTAACTGCATCTACAGTCTCATTCGGAACGAGCCCAATGTTGGAGTTGTACTCCACGATCTCTTGACGAAATGTGTTGTCGCTGGATCTATAGGAAACTTGATTGAGGGTGATTACTGGAGTGATCGAACAGGTAATATTGTCGATAGCCCTTGTGCTTCTAAGATCCGCATAATCGTCGAATGGTCGCAGCGAGTAACTGTAGTGCTTGAGATCTGCGTCGGGCTGACACATGAGATTGGCAATAGATGCCAGCGAAGACGAGATGACTTGGTGATCATCTACAAACGATCCGCAATTATTCCTGTCAAAGGTGAAATGCTGGTAAATCATCTGACCGCCTGCATCGGAGTTTGTGACGTTGATCTTTTCCACGATGCTTCGAGAGATCGGACTTCTAGACTCAATTGTACATGTGACATTCGCAGTAAGTCCCTGTTGAACCAATGAGTAATTATAGGATGGATAAGTCGTATCAGTCCAATGGGCAAACTTGGTAACTGCAAAACCTGGTAGTCCTGCCCATCCGATGGGAACAACTCCTCCTGTAGATGCGTCAAAGATCTTGTCGACGATGTGTATCGAAGAGGTTGAATGATCCAGTCTCGTTTGTGCTGCTGATATACCCGCACTGACCATAGAAGCTGGGTCCTGCATTGCTGGACATGTTGGGAAAGTGACTGAGCCTTCACTCGTATTATAGTTATACCAACGTCCGCACCCTCTGAACTCTCTCTTACCGGCATTGTACCAGTTCCAGAACAGCTCAGAGGTGAAATCGATTTCCTGACCTGTGACATCCTCGGCTAGCAGAACATCAACAGGAGTTAGAAGTGCGGTGTATCCTGTCGTCAAAAGTTTGCCAGCGAGCCATATTATTGAGATAAGGCAAGAGACTGAGAGTCTTTTAGAGTCCAGAAGGTAATGGTCGTTGATCAGTCTGCTCCACACTAAACACCAGTAAGTCCTAAGATAAAAACCCCAACACGACAATTCTATAGACTGACATTCGATGCTCGAGAGTTTAGCACCGGAACAGATCCGTTGCTTCGCCATAAGCAAGACAAGGTTATGCAGCAAGAACAATGTAATAGCAGAAAATGCCGTTGCTATTAATGTCCATATGGTCGCGGCGGTCTTTGGGTTTCCCCTTAGCATAAGACCAACCTCATAAGGAAGCAGGTGTGGCTCCCATGCTGAAGCAGCCCAGAACCCAACACTGGAAAGTGCAAGGACTATGAGCGCCCCAGAGTACACGACAAACCAGATGACGGGCCTATTTGAATCTAGCATTAGTCACATCCATTTGTGAATATGGTATCTTAGGGGATAAGGGACTTACCGCACCCTCTGGTCCATAGTTGGTTCGCGGTGGCGGTTCATAGCAGGGGAGGATGGAAGAATGCTTGGGAAGGCAGCAACAGGACCTCCGGCCTATACCAGCTACTTATGGCTGCTCATGGTTCTTCTCGGTCTTAAGGTTTCAAGGCTGTCTGCCTATTCTCAGATGGTCGTGGAGCGCCATGATATGCAAACCCCACTCTCAGCCGCGCGAAGCTGAGCTTCTTCAGGTCTGATCGGACAACAAATCCAGCCACCAAGTTGTAAGCAGCCTACCCCGGTCAATCAAGCCTTTGCGAAGCTAACTGCACTCAATTCTTGTTCCTCAGCTGTAAGCTTTTGTGACCTCTGAACTGGCGAACTCCTGTGACTTGTGCGGCTAACCGGAACAGTGCTCTCAGGAAAGGTCAGTGGGCATGGACATGCAACAAGAGTTGACTACCGAAGCTGTAACCATTTACTGCTAGCGGACGTACCGCGCCGTGCCAAAAGCTTGTGTGGCTCGGAAAGTCCACTATGGGCTGCTTATTATAGCCACAAATGCGTGCTTGATCGCGCTTCTGCACCAACGTTGTCGTTGCAAAGACAACGCCATCCTACTCTGTCCATTTGATGACCTCGATAGCTCTTCCGAAACCTCATGCAGAGTCTCGGTAAACTAATTCCTGCCGCACTAAGAGTTGCATTGAATCAACTCTCCCGGACGAAGACCTAGGCAAAGGACAGCTGCAGCCTGATGCTGAGATGCTTGTAAGTGCGCTCATCCCACATTCAGAGAAATGAAGTAGGTGCTTGGCCAAATCGACAGAAGTGAGAGACCTAGCTCGACCGAAGGCAGAGGCCCTCACTGGATCGGGGCAGTTTTGGATAAAGCTTGTACCTTCAAGCTTCCAGCGGGATATTCAATGCATGCTGACACCACAGCGAAATATCTACATTATCAGACGTTGCAATTTCTGCCGCTTGTTGCGAATTGTTGTCGTCGAGATACAGCCACCGGCAACCTCGTCACACCGGACAAGGGAGTGTTGGAATACGTGGACCGATTTTCATCGGAAGCGGTCTGTAGAAGAGCTTGTCGCCTCATTCCTGGGGCTATCGCAGCACATCCACTAACGATTCTCTATCATATTCACACTTAGAGGTCGCAGCTCTTGATACCAGCGTCCAGCAGGTCAAGAGCAGTTTCAAAANNTTTCCCCTTCCAGCAGCGTTTGATGAGACCGCCAAAACGTAGAGCGTTCACGTCTGGGTACTCTCCTGCATCAAATTGCTCAGTAACCGTCTCTCCTTCCAGTTCAGCAAANGGTTTGTCGCCAACTTCGAGCTCATACAATGATGAACCGAGCGCGAAGAGATCTGAAAGCACAGTGCTGTTGGTCTCTGGGTCGCGCGGCATGAAGTGACTATACGCCTCAAGACCAACAGACTTGCTCTCCTGTAAACCCAGTTTCTCGTTTGCGTCGAAACCAGAGGCGTTGAAATCGCATAGACGAGCATCAAGTTTCTCATCCAATAGCCACTGGTCGAGTCTGAGATCTGAGTGCCGAATGCCGTTTCGGTGGATCTCTGCAACCCCTTCTATCATCTGTCGCGCCCACTTCCTTAGCTCCGTCGGGCTAACACTTGAGATTTTCGCAAGGTGCCCTCTGAGGTTGCCATGAGGGTAGCACTTGAGAATGATCAAGTCCTTACTGTGACTGACGTAGAGACATTCTGGNATTCGAGGGTGTTGTCCAAGTATGAGATATACGCTTGCTTCGTTACTCATGGATTTGATGTTACCCTGAGTGACCAACGCCTCGTCATCGATATCAGGCATTTTCAGCACTAAGTCGTGCACCCTGTAGGTCTTTGCAGATGGTCCAATCATGAGAAGTTCGAATTTGTGAGTAGACACCTGAAGTGGTCGAGAATTGCCACTTCTTGACTTTAGAATGGTCGTTGTGACGAGTGCGCCAAGAGCGAAGGCCATGAGAACAGGCATGGCTAGTCCAGAACGGAGTGGGATCCAGTCAGCGAGGCTCATTTTAGTGCCTAAAGGTGAAGGTTGCATGTGATTGGAAGTGCGTTGATTAATTCAAGTTCTTCAGTGTCGGTCGCACGTGACAGAATAAGCGCTGGTCAATCTGCAGGTGCCACCCTGCATGAAACACGATCCATGAGGTTTAAGTATTCGGCAGTCAACAGCTTCGCTGTGAACTAGTAGTATCTGATATCAAAACCGTCATGTGAATCAAAGTTCTGCCTTGAGTTGCGGACAGAGGGGTACACAGATCCGATTGGAAATTCGAAGCCAGTGTTTAGCCAGAGGCCACAGATGTCGACCTTGGAAGAGCCATGAACGTAACAATTGAGTCCTAGAGGGTCGACCCAGAATAACATTCGATATCTCCATGTTGTAGATACTGTGCTGTTCAGGCCATCTCGTGACATCCCCATGCTCAGGGTAGCTTCTTGGGATTGATGCCATGGAGCTGCTGCATTCTTGCAGCCATTTCTGTCACCGATCTGCAATCTTCGTAGCCTGTAGGCATAACATCTGTCCAATCTCTTTTNGCATAACAAGAATTGCAGAGATGGTGGTCACTGTCGTGAGTCAACCAGAACAGCCGACTTCCGCCACACCTTGCCTGATCACACCCAGTACAGTGAAGCGCAATGCTCTGAGGATAAAAAATCGGAGTGTGAGTTCTCCAGGGTAACTGCTCGCGGACTCAAGTTTTCTTTGTACACTAGTTGTACAGGTAGCGAGCCTTCGCCAATCCTGTGGCATATTTTTCTGTCTGATAACGGGTCCATCTTTCTCGATTCCATCCAGGGTCTTGAGCTATTCTATTCCTGCACCAATCGCGATTTCGCACCCGTCGGGCCTCGTACCATTTGGGATCCTCCCGCTTTTTCTTCAGATACCATTTTTGATATTCATCCTTCGTGAGGGTATCGACACGGCTGCTAGAAGAGAACAGGCGCACAGACTGTGGTACGAGACTCGATGGTCTAGGATGGCCGAAGCATCTAGTATAAAGAAGCGAGAACATTGGGTCAATGAATATTTGTTAGCATTATTTTAGAAAGTTCCATGTGGCTGGTCGATTGGAGTCGCAAGAGTCGTTTCGTATTGGCCGAAGTTTAACCGGGACATTTCTGCTTCACCAAACACGGCAGACATTCGACCTGTTCTCGTGTCATCGTAAGAGCAAGAGATCTTTGTTCTGAACGAGGCTTGTTATTCAGCTACCATGCTCCGCCGTAGGTAGAGGGCTTGGAGTAGAGCCCCGCTATGAACCAGCCATGTTGCATGAACGAGGATTTGTGCAACGTTGGATCGATGGTCATAATGTCGTGAGTGCCATCACCATGAGGGGAAATTTGCCAATTCGTGTCAACCCACGATCTGGTCTTACCAGTAGGAATCATTCCATTGGTCAACCGCTAGAGCTCGTTCCTGTACCTGAACACAATGCGAGTGGAATGACCATGAATTATGGAAGAATGACCAATTGGCTAGCTGATGGGGCAGTTGCGTCGCATAGCTCCTGCTATTAAATAGGTAGCTTGTTTTGCCTTGTCCTACCTCTTCGTTCCTACTTTCCTGTCTGCTCGCATCTTCTCATCCCTACATCGAACAATAACAGAACAATCTATCAAAACATCCAAACATCATGCAGACTTCGAGATTCCTGTTTCGTGCTTCGGCACTGGCCATCAAGCCAGCCACCTTGCCATTCTCTCGCACCTTCGCATCTTCCTCCGTTGTCACACAGCGTGTTTCGGAACTTATCAAGCACGATCACGATGAACTGAGAACCTACAAGGACAACATTCTCAACGCTAAGGACGACGATGAGAGAGTTCGCTGGCAGAACCAGTTCACCTGGGAGCTTGCCCGCCACAGTATTGCTGAGGAGTTGGTCGTCTACCCTGCCATGGAGAAGAACTGGTATGACCTTGCTTCATCACCATGTGCAAACGACTCCTAACACAATCGATNNAGCCCTGGAGGCGAGACAGTTGCCGACAAGGATCGCGCCGAACACCGCAAGGTAAGGACTTGACTCCCATAGCACCCGCGATGCCAACACTAACCAAGCTCCTCAGNNGTCAAAGAACTCCTCAACGAATTCCAGCAACTGAAGCCCGATGTGAAGGACTTCGAGCCCACTCTCAAAGCTCTCTGGAGCGAGCTAGACAAGCACATCAAGGAGGAAGAGGCCGACGACTTGCCTCTGCTCGAGAAGCACACACCTGCCGATGAGTCTGCCACGTTGGCTACCAGCTTCAACAGAACCAAAATGTTCATTCCTACCAGAAGCCACCCTGCTGCTCCCGACAATGGTGGTCTGTTCGAGACTGCTGCTGGACTGATGGCTGCTCCAATCGACAGACTTGGTGACTTGTTCCGCAAGTTCCCCAAGNTAAAGATGGTCCCGGACATCTTGACGGATGAGATGATCTTAATGCAAGTGATTGTCTCAACAGAAAGGACTATCAGGTATGAGGCGATGCTTGTCCTCACTAAAACTATTCGAAGAGGACGCAGGACGAGATGAATAATGCTGCCGCATAGTTAGCATGACAACAGGTCTACTCTAGCTTTGCTCCACGACATAGACACACAATCAGTACCTATTTCATTCCATCTGAAGCAGCACCTCTTTTGTCGCATTGCTATTACATGCTGGATAGCAGTCTTGTGAAACGTGTTTAATAATTTGAATAGTATACATGTCGTGCTTTTCTGACCAAATGCAGGTCTATTCATTCCCCTTTCCTCCTATGATATGCCGGAGAGCACAAACGCCAGCCATCCTGACTCCCTTTTGATACAGACATGCGAAAAATGCAAATAAAGATATCGAATAACAAAGCGAAACCTTTCAAGCTTGTGCTTCACCAGACACAAATCTCAGGTTGACAGTCCAGTCTGCACCAAACTGCACCTTTTCGCGATCGCTGAGCACGACGTTGACGCCAGTGTCCACGGCTGTAATCACCCAAGCACTGCCCTCGCCTTCTCTAATTGCTTCAATCAGTCCCAATACTGGGACACCCAGTGCGAGTACAGCCTCAGGGCGAATAGCAAGAGGTTCGCCATCCACGATACTCGAGCTGCCATTTACGTTGTCAAAGCCAGAGGGGATGTTGATGCTGACGACACCAGCACGAGAGCGGTTTGCCCAGTCGATCATCTCACGTGCTTCAGCGCGCAAATCTTCATCGCGGATATCAGCGTGGCGTTGGCCATCCAGTAGAGCGTCGATGATAACGACAGGCGGTCCTTCGAGCTTCTTGATCTGACCGGAGGTGCTGCGCCATCCTTCTATGCGTGCTGCTTTGCGGCCTAGTGCTTGAAGCGAGTGAATGTGCTTGGCGAGTTGCGGGTGCCAGACGCTGGGGTTTGAGAAGTCGAGCACAGAGATGAGCACTTTGAAACCGCGGCTGTAGAGGTGACGTGCACTGGCTATCGCGCGAGCACCAGTCACATGGTTACCCGCGAGAATGACTACCACAGGTTTCGAGTTTGAATTAGGTAGGTTGTTGGCAATTTTGGAGTTGCGACGAGATGCGCCAGGCTTGAGGGTGCTGGTTAAAACGCACTCCGCAATACCGCGGGCAGCATTTTCGGTGATGGCATCAGCGCTGATGCCAATGTTTGAGATTGCGTCGGCTTCGGCTTGTCGTAGGCGATCAGGGTGATAGAGTGAGCAGGGGTATCTTGACTTTGGTGTCTTGAAGTGAGGTCGAGGTGATGCTGCAGCTTGTTGTGCGAGGCTGATTTGGTCTAGGGAATTCATAGGAGATTGAATGGACGGAGGAGAGCGAGCACGGTTAGGGTTAGGGGAAGAAGCAACAACAGATGAGCCTCTCAAGGAACTCATGGAGCGGTTGAGGGCAGTTGAAGCTAAAGAGGCTGCTAGAGGATGAAGGATGTCTTCTGGTAATCCACTGTTGCTCATGCGCGATGGACGCTTGTTTGATGTGCGAGAAGGAGCACGTCTTGAGTTAGGACCGCTGCCAAAGTTAAGCTCTGTGTCGGCATCTGACGAGGACTCGAGTTCGCTTCCATGATGCTTAGGCTTCAGGGTTGGAGAGAGGACGTTTTCTGTCGGATGTAGGTTCTTGCCTCCGTATGTGCCAGGTCGTGCGAGTCTGTTGTGCGAAACCAGTCTGTCCTCGTCTGCAGTCGTATCCTCGTTACGGATCTGATCGAAAACGGTTCTCTTGTCGAACTTGGAAAGGTTGGCTTCAAAGTCAAAGTCGCCCATGTCGTGGATGTCGGTAGCTTCTTCTGTGGCCCAGCCGTTTTGATCTCCGGCTCCATTGAGTGAACGCTTCGCCTTTTTCTTGGTCTTTGAGGATGCAGCTGAGGTAGGTTCTTTGAGCAACGGAGTCGATCGCCATCCCTTCTTACTAGTGCTCGGAGTGATGGTCATGTCATTTCCGTTGCGCGACACATTGGGCGACAAGGTTTCCTTGACAGTCTGTGCCTCGGTGGCTGCAGCCAGCGGAACTTGAGTCATTCTTGGGCCCCGTCTCCCGCGTCTTGTCTTCTTGCCAGACTGATTAGCGTTGTCTTCGGCATATTCCTGCTCTTGAGCGGCAGGTGGCTCGGCGGCATGGGCGACAAATGGAGAGGTGTTTGTAGGAGGAATAGCAGCTGCAGCAGCCGACAGAGCTTTCTTGCTAGGTGTGACGGGAGCGGAAGGTTGCTGTAGAGCAGGTGGTGGCGGAGGCTGACTACGTGCAGCAGGAGCAGGCGATTTGGAAAAGCTGAGGATAGCTGGGTCGACGAAGGAAGGAGTCTTCTTTGCTAGAGGACTTTCGACGCGGGCCTCGGGAGCAGGGACAGGGAGAGGCGCAGGGAATTGAGCGGAACCACGCGCGGCTGAGATGTTGGCAGCAGGCGCATGAGGTTTAGAGCCAGCCTCGAAGTTGGTCTCAACAACATGCAGGTCCGAGATCAGATGGGCAGGTACGTTGTAGGAAGGCACATGGTTGCCAGATTGCGGGAAGAAGACTTGTTCGAGGGCCAGTGTCTGACCAGCAATAACGTGGGCGACTCGGCCGATCAGGACAGCACCAGGAGGTTGCTGCAGAGTGACACTAATGGTCATACCAATAAAGTCGGCCATGATGTCGTGTGTTGATGCGATGATGCGCAGGGCAATAATTTCATTGCGCCAGATAGCCCTCGACGGGAGCCTCCAATTCCTTATCGCTTATCGCAAGAATTAGCGCGTCTGCACATGCGCGTCATCCCAATTCAAAGTGAAGTGTCTTGCGACACATGGCATTCTTCTATTTTATCTATAGCTTGATCTCACCCTTGAATCCAGGGACGTGTGCAAAGTTTGCTTTGAGTGCTGTCACACTCGTCTGGCCCTGCTGCACTGCCCAGCCATCGTTGCCAGGTCCCGCTCTCTCGACACTATCATAGACATCCTTGAACTTGGGTGCCCACTTGTAGTGTCTTGGTGCCCATTTGCTGTCTTCTTCCGTCTCGTTTTGTCCCTGTCCGCTCTGCTCTCCACCTTTGCTCTCTTGCTTCCTCAGTTTAGTCTCTTCTCTGTCTGCATCTTCGACCGCACCAGGCGTCTCGTCGAAGCAAGAGCTTGATGACCACTGGTTCTGCAACATCTCTGTCCACACTACGGGTTGCTTCTCCACACCATCCTTGACAGGAACATTGATTGTGTAGACACGACCAGCATCCCATTCCTGATTCTTGGCCAGGTAATCAATTACTCGCACACCTTGTCTGCAGCTCTGTGCGACTATCTTGGGGTCGTTCAAGCGGTCGAAGAAGGCGAATGAGATAGCAATTGCCTTTGCTCCACAGACAGCCGCTTCAAGAGCAGCACCGAGGGTTCCTGATGACAGGGCGAAGATGGCTGTTGTGTTGCGTCCGTAGTTGGGTCCCGACACGACAAGATCGATGGGTTTTCTGTCCTTGAAGCAATGCGCCAGTCCAAGCTGAGAGCAAGTGGCTGGTGTTGAATTGACCAGAACCCAGGGCTTTCCCTGCTTCGACACTTGTGACTTTGGTGATCCATGCTCTTCAGTCTCAGGCCAGTAGTATGTTGCTTGTACCTTCAATCATGTAAGTACGCTATCTCTACACGATCATGGCTCCTTCTAACGAACGTTCTTTCCAATGATGTGTGCCTTGCCAATCCATGATCTTTGTTCGCTAGGCAAGATCACAGAAACCTCGTGTCCAGCTTCTTCCAGAGCGCGTACGAATGCGAGGATATAAGGCGACGACTCGTTCGACGGCGGGCCGTCATCGTTTGTTACCTACGCCGGATTAGATTGAGTTGATGTGGCAGACTTGATCAACGTACGAGGATATGCATTCTGAAGAAATTGGTATATACAATTTACAAAGACAAGATCGTCAAGATGTTCGTTGTTGACAAGCAAAGAGGGTGCTGCCAAGCTCCGCTTTCGTCATCGGTTTCATGTCTTTACAACTTCAACTTCAACTTCAACTCTGACACAACATATCTCTTCATTGGTTGTTCTGTTGGCGAATTTCCTGCTGGTCAGGACTATTGCATACAGCATGCCTTCGAAGAAGAAAGAAATGCCCTACTCATGGGAGTACGTCGTCGAAGCGAATCATCACGGCACTATTGAAGACCTCGACCTTGCTCTTCTTGCTGCTTTTGAGGAGTCAGAAGAAGCATACAACATATGTGTCACCTCTGCTCGTGCAAACGCATCAGTAAAAAATAGAGCGGATCATATGCAATACTTGCTTGATGAAGGTCATATCGACATAAACAAGATAGGTGCTGCGTCAGTCACCTCTACCAGCTTCGAATCGTCTCCCAAAGAACTCGCAGCCATGTTGGTCTCTCGAGGTTGGGACATCAACCAACGACAGCCTATACATAGAACATACAACTTTCCAGCAAACACGGAGTCCAACAAANAGCTGATTCAGCTCGTTTGTCGTGATGAGGAAATGGTCCGTTGGTGCTTGGACCATGGAGCACTTGTTGACGAAACAGATGAAACTTTACTTGCAGATGTTGCGTCGTTTGGTAGCCCCGACACTTTCAGACTCTTGCGTGACCATGGAGCACCAATCAGCGAGTCGACTCTGGAGAACGCTGCCTGGCGTGCCAGACCTGAGATGGTCACCTTCCTTGTAGATGAAGTTGGGTTGGATATCAACAAGGTATACAATGGACGACATGAGCCAATGCTTAAAGAGCAAACACCGATATGCTCTGCGGCAATCTCTCCATTTAGAGACGCTGGGAGAGTCATCGAAATCCTGCTCGAGCGAGGAGCTGACCCTAACCACAAGGACTGTGACGCTTTCAGCATGGCANAAAGCGATCTGACTATCGGGGTTCTTCGCAAATGGGAAAGAAGCCAGGAAGAGAAAGATCGCGAAGGACCAAGAAAAAAGAAGCAAAAGACTGCTCCTGTCGGTTCGACATCTTCCAAGAAAAGTGGCTAGATGTTAGGTATAGTGTCTCATGGTCTTGCTCGGAAGGCATGAACAGAACCATTGTTCTTGACCGATCATCGCCAGCTGCATCATGAGTTTTATGTTAAGATGAGTGTACCGCCTGGTAAAGCCTTGCGTAATTTTCAACCAGTACAAGACAGCAACGCAATACCTACGCTTTGTGAGGTTGTGTGGGCTACCAGGGGAGAGACAGTCGATGATGTCGTGTGTTTCAGAAAGCTCCGTTTGCTTTCACTTCAACATGTCGATGTTGTGGAAGGCAACACAAACCGCGTTGTGTTTGGGACAGACTTCCTCTGGCCTGGCTTCTGACTTTCCAACATTTATAACTTACATTCAAGCATCTTCAACTCAGCTCTCCTTCAGCATCACCACAAAAGGAATCATGGCGACTTTAACCTCTTTACCAACCGAGATTCTCTGTCAGATCGCCGAGCATGTCGACTGTCAGGATCTTATGAAGATGCGTCTCGTTTGCAAGTCGCTTCATAGTGCTGCGAACAAACCTTTCGGCATCACGTACTTTACCATTCGCCGTCATGTCCTCTCCATGGAGAGTATCGAGGCTCTGCTTGAGATTGTGTCCCACCCTGGCCTGGGTCCATACGTCTGCTCGATTGCCATGACCGCCATGTATCCTCTACCGCTTGGTCCCCGCAGCCCATATCATCAAGAATGGGAAATAGCAGACGACTGTCTCAAACATGTATTCGTCAACTCACGCTCCTACACGCGTTTGATGAAGCAAGTGTTCGACAAGCTCTCCAAGCTCCAAACTTCCGTTCACATCGAGATTTGCGACACTCAGTCTGGGTTTGGCTGGAATGAAATGATGAACCACCCTCCCTTACGTTTCCGCCGCTGTCACGTCGAAACACTTGACCAAACACTTCTTGCTGCAATTAGAGCCAACTGCCAGATCCGCTCTCTCGAGTTGGAGATGTATCAATACAGTTTCGAGGTCCTTCATGATGCACTGGAGGACCTTCTCAATCCCTCTCGGCNNCCCCCCCTCAAACTGACTATCCATTGCGACCGCAAGCGTAATCGAAATCTCCACAGTCCTTACACGATCGTCTATGACCAAGCAGACAAATCGTTGAAGCTCGATGGCTGCGATGTATACGAGCTTGACATGGCCAAAGAAGGAACCTGCATCAAACTCCTGTTCCCCTTTCTGCTTTCTCAAACCACCAAGCTCATCTTTGAAAACTGTCATCTCTGCTCAGACAAAAGATTCCGCGCGTTCCTTGCTTTGGGTGCCGAGACCCTCCACAACAACCTGACCAGTATACGCATGCATACCTTTCGCCCATGTCGCACAAGAGCAGACGCAAGACGCCATTGGTCTGGGATCCTCAAATCCCTGTCTGAGCTTGCTGGCCTGAAGCACTTTGTGATCGAAGGACTTCGCGGTCCTTCTCGCTGGGTGTTGTTTCATCTACCATCCGGCACCGAGAAGTACGAGGTCAGTGGTGGGGATGTGGCAGAGCAGCTGGAGGCCTTTGCTTCTCTTTTANCTACGGAGCCTACTCACCAAGATCAAGTTACAAGTACGGAACCATTCTTTGACGGTCCTACGGATGGACTTGGTGACACTTTTTGTAAGACCCACAAACACATCAGATATTACCAGATGTCTTGCTTCACGACCGCCATATCTCTTTTCTTTCTTTTGTTTTCATTGAGCACGGTTCAGCGCGGCTGTTCCAGAAGATTGCGTTCCTCCAGCATGAGAGAGCATGGGCAAGAAACTGAGGTTAGAAAGAAAGTGGAAGTCATAGTCTTCTTTACATTGCTACATTGCTTTAGTTTCCAAGACTTTCAAGGTATTACATAACTCCTGAACCAAGACGCCTGAGACCCAGTGATATACCATTTTAAACGTAGATTGAAACTCTTATACAGACATCTTCATGGCGATACCCTTGTGAGGATCGTATCCAATGACCTTGAAATCCTCAACTTTCCAGTCATCAATTGAGAGGTCATCATCGGACTTTTCAATGACTAACTCGGGGAAGTCTTTCGGTACACGCTCGATTTGAAGCTTCAGAGCATCAACGTGATCGCAATAGACGTGCGCATCACCCATTGTATGTGTGAAAGTGCCAGGAATCAAGTTGCAGACCTTTGCCAGCATGTGTGTGAGCAGAGCATAACTGGCGATGTTGAATGGAACACCTAGACCCATGTCACAAGATCTCTGGTATAAGATGGAGTGTAGAGTGCCCTGCTTTGAACCATCTGCCTTGGTAGGTGCGTCCTTGGGGAACGAGACGTAGAACTGGGCGAACATATGGCAAGGCGGTAGAGCCATCTTNTTGAGGTCTGCTGGGTTCCAGGCGGAGAGAATGATGCGACGATCGTAGGGGTTGTTCTTCAACTTGTGTACGACCTCTGCTAGTTGATCGACACCTTGACCGGTGTAGTCGGTCTTTGCATCTTTGTATTCTGCACCAAAGTGACGCCATTGGAAACCGTAGACGGGGCCAAGGTCACCGACTTCGCGATGTGAGAGGCCGACTGAATCGAGGTATTCACGCGAGCCGTTGCCGTCCCAGATCTTGATGCCTTGCTCGGTGAGGGGTGTTGAGGATGTGCTTCCGGCAACGAACCATAAGAGCTCGGCAATGACGGCACGGAGGAAGACGCGTTTTGTGGTGAGAAGGGGTAGGATCAACTTTCCAGTGTCCTTGTCGGAAAGTCTGAATCGAAGTTGGTTGGGGGCGAAGATGGAGTATGTGCCGGTGCCAGTTCTGNNACTGAGAGTCAGATATGTGTCAATGGTATGTCAGATGTTTTTGTACCTGTCTGGACGGTGCTCTCCTTCCTCGAGGATGTCACGGATCAAGTCGAGGTATTGGTATTCTTCATGTGCAGCATGTTGGCGAGGAGCCTTGTGTTTGGGAGTCTCTTCGGGTTTGAGTTGGACATTGGGGCCGCTGGCAGGGCCGAGTTCTGTTGTTGCTGAAGGAGACATTTTGTGCTTGTGATATTTTTGTGTATATCCAAAGGGAAGGTGCAAACAGAAGAGTACAAGAATTGTCAACAGCGGAAGACGCGACACGCGTAAATGGCTTTCGTCGTGCCTTCCTCGACTGAATGTCCGTGCACAGATGATGGAATTGCGCATGTGAAAGTCGTTTCGACGCTGGACTTGACCGCATTCGACATCCTTCAACATCTTGGATAGTCACAGCAATCATGGCAGGAGACAGACGATGGGTCACCATCGTCCAGGAGATTGCCATTGCGGCAGCCGCTGTATGTGCTGAATCCATGAATCTTCTTGGGACAGCCATAACTGACGACAAGATCCAATAGCCCATCATGGCCTTCTTCATCATGCGAAACCTACTGGCGCGAATGGACCCCGAAGCTGGTGCCAAATCAGAGGCTGAGAAGAAGGCTTCAGCTGCCGCTTCTCGCTTGTCATCCATTTTGCCAGCTCTCCCGACGACGACTGCGACGAAGACGAATATGACCAAAAGTTGGAATGGGAGAAGCGCACAGCGAATTTGACTCTGACACCTTACGAACAAACCATTGCTATGGAAGTCGTGTCGCCCTGGGAGATTCCTGTCTCGTTCAATGACATCGGTGGTCTAGACGACATTATCGAAGAACTGCGCGAAGCCGTCATCTACCCTCTCACCATGCCCCACCTCTACTCTGCTACTAGTTCTCTTCTCTCTGCTCCCTCTGGTGTCCTCCTCTATGGTCCTCCTGGTTGCGGAAAGACCATGCTCGCAAAGGCCCTGGCTCACGAGAGCGGTGCCTGCTTCATCAACCTGCACATCTCTACCTTGACCGAAAAATGGTACGGCGACAGCAACAAGCTCGTTTCCGCCGTCTTCAGTCTTGCCAGAAAACTACAACCTGCTATCGTCTTTATCGACGAGATCGATGCTGTCTTGGGTCAGAGACGCAGCGGCGAACATGAGGCCAGCGGCATGGTCAAGGCAGAGTACGTTTTAAGATGGTCCAGTTCGCTGATCGCTGCTAACACATGTACAACAGATTCATGACACAATGGGACGGTCTTACATCTGCAAATTCACTGGGCGAGTCTCAACGAATCTGTGTATTGGGAGCAACCAATCGTATTCAGGACATCGATGAAGCCATTCTCCGCCGCCTTCCAAAGAAATTCCCTGTCTCGCTTCCCTCGGCCTCTCAACGTCGTTCCATCTTCTCTCTTACTCTCAAAAACACTCGTCTATCCCCTCAATTTGACCTTGAAACTTTGGTCAAGGTCAGCGCAGGCATGTCTGGTAGCGACATCAAGGAAGCTTGCAGAGACGCCGCTATGGTTCCCGTCCGAGAATATATCCGTGAAGCCAAGTCTCGCGGTGCAAACATGAAGGGCGTCAAGGCCGAAGATGTCAGAGGCTTACATACCGACGACTTCTTCGGCAGGAAAGGTGGCGCATTGCAAATGAGGACGCAACCCGAAGTCGATGAGTGGGAAGACTCTAGAGCCAGCCCAGAGACCGTGTCAGAAACTGATGATGACCCGCAAACTTCTGTGCCGGCATGACGATGGTATCTGAAATCTCACGACTTGTTTGCATATTCTAGGGCGTTCTTTGTGGTGCATGTCAATATCTTGACTCTCCTATTCTTCTTCTGTTCTTGATATACCCCAATCTAGAATGCAATTCTTCTGCTCTGCAACAACCTCACTAGAAAGATTATCCAAAATCGAGTTTTTGCATTTGTGTTGAGACGAGCCTCAAAAGTATTTTTCGCCCTGCGGTGCTGCGACAGCCTCTTGAATAGAGCTTACTCCAGTGTCAACCCGGCAATCCTACTCGATCAACTCTCTGGTTCTAGATTTTAGCCTCTCGTAGTCGATTTTCTGCATGAACTGCCAGTGCTTAGCCATCCTTTGTAGCGTCTGTGTCGCCGCCTCAGTGGTCTCCTCAAGTTCTCGCTCTGGCATGTCTTCACCGAGTAGCTCTGCCTCCCACCTCACTTCTACGCCCTCAGGTATGGACTCAAAGATCTTTATCATCAGTAAATCGAACCCAAGGCTACACCAACGGTTCAAGGCATGTTTGATCGCGTGTGCAGGTACACAGCACACAAATCGAAACAAGACCACTTTGACGCAGACATACTTCAAACTCTGCATTGTTGCAATGTTGGGGAGTTGGATGGCTGGGCTTATTGCTTTGGTTGCTCTGTAGCTGCTACGACTGGCTCTGTAGCTGGCTAGGCAGTCGACGTTTACCGCCAACTTTAGTCTTTCGATCCTGTGGATTGCGGACTCTTGTAAGTGGTTTAAGAAATTGCTGTCGGCGAGGGTGAGGTTTTGACAGCAGTGCTTGCACGAGCGACTGGTTTTGAATAGTCGCTCGGTGTAGGCGTATTGTAAGGCTTCGAGGTAGATTTGGCGACAGGTACGCAAGAGGTTGACACCGAGATCTGGTTTTGGCATCCTGCGATGAGAGCAGAGTGGAATACTGGTGGTTGAAGGTAGGTGCACTTGATAGATCATTATGCGGATCTCGATAGGCAGGGAGAAGAAGGTTATTGGTTTCTTTGTGGAGACGGTCAGCTCGTTCGTCGAAGCTGGTAGAGTATCGTCCATTTTGGTCTTGTCACTGCGAGTTGATATATCGTGGTATATGCTAGACTGAAACGGCTGCCTGTGTATAGACGGCAGCGTCTGCGGGAAGTTGACTTCTGAAGCTCTTACCAGCAGAAGCAGTGATGGATAGTTTCTGATAGCTTTCTAGGTTTTGTAGAAAGCATAAGATCAGTAATGACTCGTGCATTTCCGGGTGCGTCCGAATGCGTTCTTATGCAGTGAGTCACGGGGTTGTTCGGGTTGAGCAAGTTATTTGTTCCACGCGAGAATTTAGGTGAGGTGGCTCAAAGATGACCAATCAGTATGTCAGCAGTGATTGTGTTGACTCCCTCACAAGACTCGGCTGTCGACACTTTGCAATAGCAAGAGAGCGGTGGTGCAACCTCTGAAACCAAGTCGCTTCTAAACAGCTCAGCCTTAGGCATCAGTTTGGACCTCGTGTCTGCAGAAGCTCTGGTTTCTTGGGGCAAGGCGAACCGGGTCTTGGTTCTTGTGGTTCCTTGGACGCGCCGCATTTTGCCGATCATAAAGCAGCATGAGAAAGCACCAACAGTAAAACCGTAAAGCATCAGGGAGACGTATATCGTTTCGGTAAAATGCGATATTATCTCCCAGATTCCATTCCCTCGCAAAGGTTTGTTCTCGGCAGTAACATAAGTCCATTGCCATTGGTTCGAAGGTTCTCGATCCGTATCAGCTGGGCAGGGTCAGCATTGGCTTGAGTCGACGAGTCCCATTGCGATCGATGGTCCTGGTGTTAGTAGTGGGGTTCTTGGTCGATATGAGGACATTGATTTTTTGTTGATTTTTTAAGGCGTTGTAAGACCGACATAAGAGATATTCCTTTTCTATCATGTGTATATGCGATATCGTTACTGCGTGGGTATTGGAAGGAGAACTGATGAGGAAAATAATCAAACAAGGAAAACTCCAACCTGTGATATCCTAGGCTTCTTTGGTCCAATCTTCCAGCATGTTTTCTGGAGCGTCACGAACCAGAACATGGATGTGGTCAACACCACGTACACTCTGCAATGCTACCCAGTTCTTGAACCAGAGGACGTGTTCCTTGCCTTTACCTGGGCCAAAGACAGTATCCAGTTTGACTGCGAAAGTGTTGTGGACAAAGTCTTTGATTAGGGACCTGGAGTGGTCGGTGACATCACCAGTGTTAGGGTCAGTCTCGATGGGTGTCTTAACCCAGACGCAGATGTGGACAATGCCTTTGTCCAGTCCATATGGCCAGTCGTTTTTCAAGATTCTGAAGTCGTCCTGGTCCTTGAAAGGCATGGGATTACGGAACTCAAATTTAGGTGGTTCACCAGGAGTCGAAGAGGGCAAAGGGGTCCAGTGTAGACGCTTCTGAAGGACGAAGTTTGTAATGGTACCATACTCTGCTTTGGTTTCCGAAGACCATGCAATATAACGACGAAGGTCCGAAGGACGACGTTTTAGCAATTCCAGGCGATTGGCAGCTGATGCTTGTCAGGATACGAAGCACAGCATGACTCAACGGAAGATTGTACCAATAATTTCCTTGAGTTCTTCCCATGTGACAAGAGAAAAGTCGGCGTCGTTCATGGCAAGGATCTCGCGGTCAATTGCCGTCAGCGGAAAAGCATGGTTGTTTATGGCCATGATGCAGACTCGTCGTAACGGAATATGGCCGTTCAGGGCATGTGGAAGAGAGGAAGTAGCACAAGAAGTACGGACCAAATACCCCGATCAGGCAGCGTGATGGACCAGTGGGACCAACCCCACCATCGGCCGCGACCCTGATCTTCCCAGCCCCAGAGCAACTTGGAAGCTTCGAAAGTCGCGTGTTCTTACATCTCGGTCTTGTCTCTCTCCTCGTTCAACTCGACCCATTCAGCAACCCGTCATGTCGTCGAAGCACACTTACAAGCCCACAGGGCCTTTTGCACCTCAATACATCCAGGGCGTCTATGCTCCTTCGGCAGTTCTGATCGTTGGAGCCGCTCTGGTCAACAAGACTTTGGTGCCTGTTGCCATCGCCATTGCTGCTGCCCTGGCCGGCTACCAATTCTTCAACAACCGTGAGTGCCTTCTCTCGCTCTCTGTAATTCTGAGACAGTACTGACCAACTTGTACAGAGGTCAAGAAGGTCCTTGATCCCACCACTTTCCAGCAGTTCCCCTTGACCGAAAAGATTGTCCTCTCGCACAACACTGCCATTTACCGCTTCGGTCTCCCGAGCCCCACCTCTATCCTTGGTCTGCCCATTGGCCAGCACATCTCCCTTGCTGCCACCCTGCCCGTCAAAGACCCCAAGACTGAGGTCACCTCCAACAAGGAGATTCTGCGTTCTTACACTCCCATTACCGATGACACTACTTCCGGCCACTTCGATGTCCTCATCAAGAGCTACCCCACTGGCAACATCAGCAGACACGTCGCTGAGATGAAGATTGGTGACACTATCAAGGTCAAGGGTCCCAAGGGTGCAATGGCTTACCAGCCCAACATGGTCAGCCGTTTTGCTATGATCGCTGGTGGTACTGGTATCACTCCCATGTACCAGATTTCCAAGGCTATTCTCCGTGGTCGTGCCTCAGGCGACAAGACTCAAGTTGATCTCATCTTTGCCAACGTCAACCCTGAGGACATTCTCATGAAGGACGAACTCGACCGTATGGCTCGCGAGGACAGTGGTTTCAGAGTTCACTACGTCCTCAACAACCCCCCTGAGGGCTGGACAGGTGGTGTTGGATTCGTCACTCCTGACATGATCAAGGTACGAAATATGCGACTCGCGCTACACTGATTGTGAACCCAGTTGACTGATTGTTTACAGGAACACTGCCCTGCCCNNCCCTCGCCTGACATGAAGATGCTCATCTGTGGACCTCCTCCTATGGTCGCTGCCATGAAGAAGGCTGCCGAAGGCCTCGGTTACCAAAAGGCCAGACCTGTCAGCAAGCTCGAGGACCAGGTCTTCTGCTTCTAAGCAATGCAATTGATGGCAGTTCGAGCTGCGTTTGCAAAATTGGTCATGTCCTTGAGGACGGCAAAAGTGTGTATAATTGTCACGATCTGAACGTGGTGCATTCATGGAGCCTTTTCTGAGACGATTTTATGTCCGTATATGTATAGTTGTATGCATATTATCTGTATTGCATCTTCTGACCGCCTCTCTTTTCCATCTTTTGTTGACGCTTGCTTTGTGCGCCACTCGAGGCACCCTCGGCGGGCATAGCACCACCACCCATGAGTCCCTGACGTGCTCCTGTAAAAGTTGTGTATGCCAACCAAGCCGAGTATAGGGGGATGACGGTCNNTTCAATGCGAGTCAGCACAGAGGGCAGCATATGAGCGGTGTAGGAGCAACTCACGAAGAACCACCAGGCCCAATCACCCAGCAGAGTGGTGAAGACAATGCAGCCCCATGACCAGTAGACAACATCCCACATCCATTCTGTCAAACCCTTGGCCTCGAGATCTTCTCCAGCTCTTTTCAATTCCTTGCCATTGGGACCCTCGGCGTATGTAGGGCGACCGACGCGCTCAAACCAGAATTGAATGAGCAGGGAGGGAAAAGACAGGATGAGGTATGCCCAGAAGGAACGGCGCACAAGGGTGAGGCGCAGGAAAAGGTGGAAGCCGTGGACACCCAATGCGATCAGATGGGTACGCTGGAGAATGGCGGCATTGCGGGCTGCCTGTGACTTGAGAGCTTGCTGTTGTGGTTGTTTAGAGAGCTGACAGCGGACAGAGTGGTATTTGGATGCTGACCCTGGCCATTGAGACGGTGGTTTGCGATTGCGAATATTCTGGTGTGGTGATTGCTTTGGAAAGCAGGACAGAGACACGCGAGCTGGCCAGATGCAGCTGGTGGGGAAGGAGCGATCCCTTGCCGGGTGGTGACGATGGAAGACCGTGCGCAGCTGTTTCTCAGTCAGGTTGTATCAATAAACACAACTTGTCAACGCGCATACACACCCTACACATCCTTGCCTGCGCTTCCGTCGGCTTGTGATCATTTTCGCATTGTTAATAGCTGCAACATCGTCGAATACATCGAATACAGCGACATCCTCCTCTACCTCACGACTCGACGCGACTTGATCCTGCCTTCCATTCTATACCTGCTTTCGCATCCCGCATGGACAAGCTTCTTTAAGGAAGCCACGCTGTGGACAAAACAACATCTTCGACTCGATCACTCCGCTACGCCTACCTACATCTCGTCGCTTCTTCCACGACATCTCGCCCATGTATCTTCACCAGACATTCATCTCTTCGATCCGTCCCTTCACCTGTGTCCTCGACGCCTCGACCTAATTGCTTGTTCTTTTGGCCTGCCGTATAGAAACTCGCTATAACCATGTCACATACCTCGACTCTGGCTGTAACACAACTTAAACAGCTCATATACTACCACTTGGACAACGAGTCACCAGACAATGCAAACTTTCTTGCCGAACGACTGATTTCCATTGATCCTCGAAACCCGGACTCTTCACATCTCTTGGCCCTAACAAATTATCGTCTGCGGCGGTTCAAAACAGCCTACGACTGCAGTCAGAAGAGCGGCGCAAATGGTAGACACCTAGGCTGTGCCTATGTTTTGGCTCTAGCCTGTCAAGAGCTTGGGAAACACAACGAAGGCATTGCAGCTTTGGAANAGGCTAGAAGCCTTTGGCAAGGCCGTAGCCATTGGGGTGCGTTAGCTTGGTTCCTTCTAGGAGCGCAATCGGCATGCTGATTCGGAAAATGCANNGGAAAACACACAGAGTCTTCAACGAGGCATACTCCAGATGCTGCTGCTGTAAACACTCTGCTCGGGAAGCTGTGGCGTGGCCATGGTGATTCCCGGAGAGCTGGCGACTGCTACATTGAGGCGCACAAGAGCAACCCATTCACATGGGAGGGTTTTCAAGGTCTTTGTGATATGGGTAAGAATCCGGAACCTTAGATCGCTTATGTGAATGCTGACTTTTCAANNGGCGCCGAGATCGATTTAGCAGGTTCATTCAGGATGACTACCGAACTCGCCTCTTCCATTACCAGCGCTTCAGCGTCAATATTGAACCAAGAAACCATCAAAGATGAACCTCCGCCCACCGCGCCAGTTTCGAGTACGAATAACATAAACAGCATTCAAACCCTCACTCCGACCAACGATCCCTTTAATCCTGTGAAGAACGGTGGAAATCTCGTCGCACAAGCCCAGAGTAATTTTCTACTGCCGAGGATCAAGTCGAAAGGCATATTTGGCAACAATGGATCAAAGCCTACCAACCAGCAGTCGTGGGAGACTCCAACTGCTAATGGAATGTCCGGAGATGAGGATGTCGAGATGGGAGGCATACAACAAGAAGCAGTCAATGCGGACGAACCGCCAGCTGCTCCAACGCGGCGATCAAGGACTGCACTCCAAAGGCTTGGACTCGATGCCGGTAAAGATAGCCAGAAAGCTCGCGCTGCAACAGTCAGGAGTCAGGCGAAGCCTAGCTCAGAATCAGTGGATATCGATGATGCGACAAATGGCGCGCAGAGACGTTCGCAGCACAAACGGACAATATCTGGACACAGCGCACAAATCACAGATGCCGAAACAATAACATCTGCTCCAAGGAGGAGCAATCGTTTATTCAGTCAGATCACGGGTTCGAAGACAGCCAGTCGGGTGCCCGCCGATAGCAATTCCTTAACAGCAGCTAAGCGCGACGAAGTGAAAAAGGCCAAGGCTACGGGGACGAAAGGAAGAGGGCCTGCTCAAGTGGGTCGTGTTGTTAGTGGCAATCGGAAAGTCATGCCGCCAAACCCAGCGGAAACAAAAGATACTCGTGCACCGAGTCGTAATGCCGCAGCTGCGCCTGTGCCATTGCAGAGACAAGCTCTGGAATCAACGGTAGCTGTCGAGATGGCATCGACAGAATCGTTGCTGGCCACCTTCAGGTCTTTGGGGGCAGCTTACTACCTTCTCAGTCGCTATCAGGTATCATCTGCGGTCGATGCTTTCAAAGCTCTACCTTCGGCGCATCGAGAATCACCATGGGTGCTTGCCCAGCTTGGCAAAGCATACTACGAAGCATCAGAATACTCTTCAGCAGAAATCTGTTTTGCAAAATTGTTAAAACTTCAGCCGACACGTATCGAAGACATGGAGGTGTATTCGACAGTTCTATGGCAACTGAAAAAGCCGGTGCAGTTGGCTTTCCTGGCGCATAATTTGAGAGACCTGGCATTCAACTCTCCACAAACCTGGTGTGCAGTGGGAAACGCTTTCTCCTTGAGCAGAGAACATGAGCAAGCCATCGCATGCTTCAAGCGTGCGACACAAGTAGATCCGGAATTCAGCTACGCTTGGACACTCATGGGCCATGAGCTTTTGACCAACGAGGAGTTTGATNGCCGCGCTTGCATCTTCCGTAAAGGAGTCGGAAGTGAGAGACGTGGATTTGGAGCGTGGTATGGTTTGGGCAAGTGCTACGAAAGAATGGGCAAGTGGGATGAGGCACAGCGACACTACCGTATTGCGTTCAGCATCAATCCCAGCAACCCTGTACTGGCGGTCTGCATAGGAGTGGTGAGTTTGACAATCATCCGACCAAAGGTATGCCAGCTGACTAAGGACNGACAGATCATGGAGAAGCTCCACCATCCCAAGGCAGCTTTGACACAATATTCGCATGCGCTGAATCTTGCGCCGAACTCGGCACTCGCACGATTCAAGAAGGCGCGCGTGTTGATGAGTCTGAAGCTCTATGAGGATGCTCTCGTGGAGCTCGAAGTACTAAAGAATCTAGCACCAGAGGAGGCCAACGTGTTCTTCTTGCTCGGAAAATGTTTCAAGGGTCTCGGAAGACGAGCAGACAGTGTGCGCACCTTTACTACTGCGCTGAATCTTGATGCGAAGGTGAGACTCGAAATCGATATGCTGTAGGCATCAGCTAACGGAGGACAGGCGTCGCAATATATCAAGGAGGCCATGGAAGCTCTTGATGACTCTGACGAAGATGATATGGATGACGACTGAGCACATATGATTGCTCGACATGATGAGGCAGCACGAAACAGCATATCCAGGGGCGTTTCTGGAGCAACTCAGGCTAGCATTTTGCAATGGCGTTGGTTGATGGCTTCTCGGATTTAGTGAGGTCCAAACGCTGTGTTTCGGCGAAGGCGTTGAATTGGTTTGAAGCAAGCTCCAGGCTGCCAAACAAATGGACATGGAATAGCTTCTCTAACAGCTGGCGCAAGGCACAACCGCCGGGACGTGAGGCACATGGTTTCTCTCTCTCGCGTATTCTGTATGAAGACCTAGGTTCAGTGAAGGCATGGTGAATGGAAAATCACATGCATGGGCAAAGCTCAGCTTTTGCGTCACGCCAAGCAAACAGTGCAAAGTCGAGCTCGATTTATCAGCACCCAAAAAACATTTCCACCCAGCAACGCATTGTCACTTTTGAACCACTTCATACCTTGAACGAATTTTCACGAACCCATACACAGCATGTCTGCTCACGAACCGCATGACGAGGNNGACAACAATGTCCCTGAGGACGACGACGAGATGTTCAACCCCGAAGACATGGAGGAAGAATTCGAGGGCGAGGGAGAGGACATGCCCATGTCCGACGACGAAGAAGGAGGAGCCATGGAGGAGATTTTGCTGCAAAACGACAGCATCGCACACTTCGACGGACACAAGGACAGCATTTTCTGCATTGCACAACACCCAACGCATCCACAACTTGTCGCAACCGGCGGCGGCGACGATGTAGCCTACCTCTGGGACTGCTCTCCGCCGCAAGCCCCTGTCCTGCCCGCCTCGTACGAGAGCAACCCTCAACCCGTCGAACGGCACAGCCAGGAACCTTACGTGAAGCTCGAGGGCCACAGCGACTCGGTCAACGCTATTGCTTTCTCGCTGCCCGACGGCAAGTTTGTCGCTTCTGCTGGTCTGGATGGCAGACTCAATGTCTACCACACACCGCAACAACCACAGGCTGAGCCTGCAAAGGCTNTTGCCTCTGCCGCCGAGGTCGAGGAGATTAACTGGCTGTTGCCTTGCCCTAACCCTACATACCCCAACACATTCGCTCTCGGCGCCAACGATGGCAGTGTCTGGGTCTACACTGTCAACGAGCAAGATGCCGCATCGCCGCTCACAATCGTGCAAGCATTTTACCTTCACCAAGCTTCGTGTACCGCTGGTGCATGGACGCCCGATGGCAAGCTGTTGTGCACTGTATCCGAGGACTCGACTTTGTACGTCTGGGACGTTTTCGGCGATGCTGCAGCTGCTGGTCTCGCAAACCCTTCTGGCCAGGCTGTTGTTGGTCTCACTGGAGATGACGAGCGTTTCCTCGTCGAAGGTGGTTTGTACAGTGTGGCTGTCTCACCCGGTGGTGCTCTTGTCGCTGTAGGAGGTGCCGAAGGTCAGATTCGCGTGGTCGGTCTGCCCCGACTTTCCATGCCTGCAGGACAATCCGCCACCTCAGGAGCAAAGGGAGCCGGTGCTCGCGGCAAGGCTGGCGGTGGCAAGCAATCAGGCGGTCCTCGTGGCGGCCAATCTAGTGCTGCAGCCGGCCAATCTGGAGTCATTCTCGCCTCACTCGCTGCCCAATCTGACGGTATCGAGACTCTGTCATTCGCGCAACCGCCATTGACTCTTCTGGCTGCTGGCAGTGTGGACGGCAGTATCGCACTTTTCGACGTCGCACACAACTTTGCCATTCGCAGACACATCAAAGACGCACACGAGGAAGAAGCAGTCATCAAGGTCGAATTTGTCAATGCAGGACAAGGTGGAAACAACTGGATGCTTACATCTTGCGGCAATGATGGTGTTGTAAGGAGATGGGACGTCAGAGGTGGCACTGCTGCTGCCAACGGTGGTTTGAGTGGAGAGTGGAGAGGCCATAGAGGAGGCGGTGAGGGAGGTGGTGTCATGGGCTTTGTCCAAGGCGGTGGTGGCAGAGCTATTGTTACCGCTGGTGATGATAGCGTCTCGCTTGTCTTCAACGCACCTCCGCAATAGAAGGACAGGTAGAAGCTAAAGAAGAAACAGATGTTGTAGATACCCTTTATGGATGCTCAGCGCTCCGAACGAATTCTCTCCCAAACAGTTTCTTCCTCCCCGTGTGCTAAAGACAGTCACAACCTCACAACTGACCCCTTCTCCATCTCGAGGTACGAGGACTATCACAAGCTGTTGAAGTACACAGTTTTAATTCGAAATTGAGTCTAGCCATGGAGATATCCTTCTAACGGGGTTCTCTCTGTGGAGACGATATTCTTCCGGATTCTATTATGCATTTTCTACAGCTACACTGTGGTGGTCTTTAGCGCATGGGGAGGAAGGTATAAGAGTTATATAGGCTATTGCATTGTACAGTTGCAATCCGACGTTCGAAAAGTAAGTCAGCCTAGGATGGGCCTTAACAATGCTTGCCCTAAATCTCACATTCGCGGAAAGTTTGTCAAGTTCGTTCATTAAGGCTTGCGGCATGCCTTGAAGAAGAAGAAGAAGAAGAAGAAGAAGAAGAAGAAGAAGAAGAAGAAGAAGAAGAAGAAGAAGAAGAAGAAGAAGAAGAAGGAGGAGGAGGAGGAGGTTGGTGATGTCGATAGGCGTGTTCTCTGAAACATAGCTGACGAGCTCAGTGTGGTAGCTTCCAGGGGTTTCCATCGACGAGGGCCCAGATGTTAGAGGCGATTGCCTTAAACTTGGAACGAACGTCGCTGTACAGAGGTTTTTTCCTTTTCGTAAAGTAGACAAAGTCCCCTTTCGGCTTTCGCTTCGGCATGATGGAAACGGTCAAACGGAGTTGCAAGATGGAGAAACAGGATTGACAAGTTAGGATAGGAGGTTCAGAGAAAGCGTTGTCAAGACCTCCTGGGTTGACTTACTTTTCGGAGGCCGGATTGCAACTGTGCATCTCAATAGCTTATATAACTCTTATACCTCGAATGGCCTCTCCGTATGCCAGAGACAGTCATAGTGCAGCTGTCTAAATGCACAGTATCTTCGCGAAAACTACGGTCTCCACTGAGAGAACCTTGAAGGGTTATCTCGGTGGCTAGCCCTCACATTCGAGTCAAAACTGCGTATTCCGATAGCTTATAACAACCCTTATAGCTCGGGATGGAGAAGGGACCAGTGCAGAATTGTGACTGTGTTTAGGACATGGGGAGGTTATCACGCCTCAGCGATGACTTCCGCTTTAAACATGTGGTCTTCGTCCTGCGCCTCTACAGTGTCCAGCTTACGAGCTCTGTTGACGCGTTCCTCGTTCAGAAGATATGCTCTAGGTAAGCCTTCTTCCACAGCCCTCTCTACAGCCATGTCTGTATTGTCCCCAAGCACCATGGTCGCCACACTCTTTCCACATAGCCAGGCATTAGGCATACCATGACCTGTGTATCCAGCAACGACAAAGACACCTTTGTGGTCTAGAACCTCGCCTACCCAAGGCAAGTTATCGCGCGAGAAGCCCATGATGCCTGTCCACTCGTGAGTTGCCTTGAGTTCTTCTTCCCCTTTCTGTCCTTCACCAGGAAGAAGCAATCGAGGCAGTGCAGTACGCAGATACTTTGCAACATTCTCATCTACTTCGCCATCATCGCTGATTTCTAGACTCGGACCATAACTCCTTCCACCGCCAAACATGAGGTGAGCAGAAGACTCATCGGGTCTTTGGATAAGATAATCATCCATCTTCGGGCCTATGAATGCATAACTTGTTCGGGTCCTAGAGGAACCAGAGAATGCTTCTCCAGGCAGTAAAGCAGACATTTGACCTCTGCAAGGAACGATCAAATCGGCCATGGAAGGCAAAAGATGAGAGGTGTATGCATTAGTAGCCAAGACCACTTTGTTCGTTTCCACGATTCCTCTGTCTGTGTGGAGGTTACAGTTGCCATTACCAGAGGGAGAGATGGAAAGGACCGGCGTGTGGGTTTGGAGGTTTAAGCAAGGGTTAGCGAGGACAGGCTCCCAGATGTTGGTTACGAGCTTGTAGGGCCAGAGTCTTGCTGCCACGTCTGTTACTACAGCGCCCTTTGCTTCTGGCACCGCTAACCCCAGTCTCTGTAATTCATCTGCTGTGTCCACTACCCTACACATTCTGCCAAGGGGAGGATTGGTTTGTTGGAGAGTTGTTACGGCATGGTGGGCTAGGGTTACTTCTTCGTCAGAGTAGAGGCCGCGGATACCTGGTTGAGTGTTCCACTCGCAGGCGATGTTACGGGTAGATATCAAATCGGACAGAGCGAGGAAGTTTGCGTATTCGAAGTTGGAGATTGAGGGGTCGTGAGGGTGTTCGTAGAACATTGGGAGGCAGTGGCCGCCGTTTCTGATACAGGCTTGATTAGTCCTTGTGTGGGTTCGAGTACAGAAGATGCTTTGTGCTTCTTAAGAAATTGGTTGCGTAGACTCCCAGATCCATTGATGTTTCGACTTTGTGGTAGCCGCTCATTTCAATTGTCTGGTCGTACCTTCCTAACGTCGAGTTGGACCATACCGATTCAGACCAGGCAGGCACGATCGAAACAGCATAGCAACTTCTCACAAATACTGATCGCAGACTATTGCCTACGATCCAGGAAGGGAACCAAAGATTGCAGAATAAAGTGACTGATAGCGAGAAAAGGAGATATGGATATAGTTACCTTCCAGTCGCACCCCAGCAGATCTCTCTTGCTTCCAGAACAAGCACACTCTTCTTCTCAACTCCTCCATTGTTCAGATTCTCGAGAAGATGATGTACCACACTGGCCCCACTGATGCCACTTCCAATGACCACAATATCGGCGTGTTGAGGCAAGTCTTGAGTTGTGCGATGGCCGAGCAGTTTAGGCTCGGTGTGCCAGAATGAGGCAGAAGCACGCTGAGATGGCAGACCAGCTGCTCCCGACATGGTTCTGGAAAGAGTGATGAGACGTCTGTTATGGAAGAGGGAGCGTATGCATTGGAAGTCAATGTGTCCAAAGCGGGTGATAAGATAGCGAAGGTGGGTCTGACCAGGGTGACCCTCTAAACTGGAGATTCACGAAACAATACTACTCGATAATGGCTTCTGGTATGATGATGACTATTACGCATTTCTGTGTAGCCTATTAGGAGCAGAAACTGCATTTTGAGAACTTGCAAGGTCTCCACAGCCGATATTGTTTCGTTCATCGGCTGATTGGTAAATGAATGTTCGTACTTCGAAGCAGGTCAAGATCAATGAGATATTTGTAGCCTTGCCGTTTACCAGCTACTGATCTTTGAGTACAACATGAGTTAGAGCAGTCTCACATCTCATACTGTGCAATATTGGAATCTCCTCGAGCATGCGTTTGCCTAGTCGGGCCAGATCTTGATACTGATAAAGGCTTAAAGACAAGCAACAGAATAATACCGAGGCATCTGACTTCCGGCAAAAGGCGGCTAACATTTGAGACTTCTCCGCATGCAACACCCCACAAATGTGGGGGAGACAGGTCCATCTTGCATCAGAGACAGGAAGTGAGCCGCGGCAATTAGAGTTTTGTGTGACTGCGTCTGGAAAAGGCAAGACGATAGAGCGGAACAGACGTGCCGATAGAACGATCACGGGAGACATTGCAGTGGTTGGAGCATGTCTGCAACTTTTCCAATTCTTCTACTGCAAACTCCTCTCAATCCAGTACAACATATCTCGAGACTTCCAGCAAAGTGTTATTCCCTAGAAAATGCCTTGGAAAAGTCGTTGGCACGTTGATGTACCTCAGGTGTCCTTGCCGACCTATGTCTTTGGATCGCCTTCTGCTGCTTTACCGGAAACACCTCTTCTTCTCGATCCGGAGAAGCCAGACAAGTATCATCTGTCAGCATCTGATCTGAGGCAATGGTGCAAGCGATTCGCATCTGGTCTCCAGAAGGCCGGTCTGAAGCCGGGTGATCGCGTGCTATTGTTTTCGGGAAACACACTCTTCTTCCCTGTGGTTTTCTTGGGTACAATCATGGCTGGGGGTGTGTTCACAGGTGCCAATCCTACTTATGTGGCCCGCGAGCTGGCATACCAGCTACAGGACTCTGGAGCCAAATTCTTGATCTGTGCGGAGGCGAGTCTGGATACTGGTATCGAAGCAGCAAATGCAGCAGGCCTCTCTCACGACAAGGTCTTTGCATTTGACAACGGCTATGCGACATTCGACAACAACGGAAAGGGACGTGGAGATGTCAGGCATTGGACCAGATTACTTGCCAGCCCCGCTGAGAGCCGTGACTTTGCCTGGGAAGAGTTGAGCTCTAGCGAAGAGTTGAATCGCACCATCTGCCTCAATTACTCGTCAGGAACGACGGGTGTACCAAAAGGTGTTATGATCACCCATAAAAACTATGTCAGCAACAACCAGGGCGTAGTTCGTGTTGCAAAGTCTGTTCCAGAATATGAACAGAACAAGAAGACTGCAAGGTGGCTCTGCATGCTTCCAATGGTAGGTGCCCGTAGCTCGAGTATGAATACACCTTTGCTGACACTTCATAGTNACCATGCGTATGGCCAGACATATTATTGTGTAGGAACCATCTCACGACAGATACCGACCTATGTCATGCAANAGTTCGACTTTCTCAAGATGTTGAGCTATATCGAGAAGTACAAGATCACCGACTTGAACATGGTTCCCCCGATTGCCGTTGCGATGGCCAAGAGTCCTGCTGCCAAAAAGTGTGATCTGAGCTCAATAAGGTATATCGGATCCGGTGCGGCACCACTCGGAAGCGAGGTCTCAAAGGAAGTCGAACAGTTGTGGCCGAAGGGTAAGATGAACTTGAAGCAAGGATGGGGCATGACAGAGTAAGTAAGCCTAGCATCGGCGGTATGTCTCAAAGCTGATTATGAGTAGANNGTGACTTGTTCAGCATGCAGCTGGGATTTGACCAAGATCTCGAAGTCCAATGCAGTCGGAGAACTGAACCCCAATGTTGAAGCCATGATTGTAGACGTAGCATCGGGATCCGAGGTTCAGAAAGGGCAAAGAGGTGAACTCTGGGTGCGAGGGCCAACTGTGATGAAAGGCTACTGGAACAAGCCAGATGCGACCAAAGATACTCTAACCTCAGACGGTTGGCTGAAGACTGGTGATGTAGCCTACCTCGACGAAGAAAATCATCTTTTCATTGTAGACCGCATCAAGGTGAGCACGCAGAAGACTGAACGGCACGGGGAAAAGCTGACAAGATGATAGGAATTGATCAAGGTCAAAGGTAATCAGGTCGCACCTGCTGAGCTGGAGGCACTGCTTCTCGACCATCCCGCTATCACAGATGCTGGCGTAGTTGGAGTAACAATGTATGTGTCTGAAGGTCAGAAGTGAGACGAGTCGCATTCTAACAGTTCGCAGANNAAGGGTGAAGAGCTGCCTCGAGCCTATTTGGTACGAAGCGCAGACCAAAAGATTGAGGCTCAGGATATTCAGGACTTTATGAACAGCAGAGTCGCGAAGCACAAACGTCTGGCTGGCGGTGTTGTGTTCATAGATGCAATCCCGAAGAACNCCTGTAAGTGCTTCACAATTCGATGCAAAGGATGACAATTAACATCAAAACAGTCAGGCAAGATCTTGCGCAAAGTGTTGCGTGATCAGGCAAAGGCAGAAGTGGGAGACTCTGAGGCTAAAGCAGCGCGTCTCTAGATTTGGGCAATATGTTTGAAGATAGCCGAATTCAAGACAATGCATTTTACTAGGCAATGTTCATTGGAAGTAGTCAAGCACGCGACATGCCATAAGTAATTGAGACATTGTGAAGATGGCAGGAGAGACTGCTATGTGCTTCGGTAAATATCGAGAGTCTACAAATTCTCGAACAGATTAGATCATGATTGTATATGAGATTGGTTGACAAAAGTGATTGATGGTCGAGTGAAGTTGGGCGCGCGGATTGCTGGAGTTCAGAAGTCGCCAACTTTGGTCCCTAAAATCTTGGCATGCTTTTGTGCTCGCTTAAAATTCTGTGTGGATAACATCAAAGCCGCACGGATTTTCTTGCCTTTTCACGCCCAACGACCCCGTCAACCACCGACAAGATGCCTTTCGTAAGTGTCACCGCCTGCTCCTGGAGGGCCCTGTGGCCATCGCATTGATGGCAGAGAGTCTCTGCAAGATGCTTCGGAAAAGGTTCTGAAGCGCAAATTGCTGACTCGAGGATGTTTTTAGACCAAGCTGGTCAAGAACGACGCCTACTTCTCGTAAGTGCACACCTGTAAAACAACTGACGAGTGCGACTCGAAATGCTAACAGTCTCTCAGGCGCTACCAGGTCAAGTACCGCCGTAGACGCTCGGGCAAGACCGACTACTACGCCCGCAAGCGCTTGATCACCCAGGCCAAGAACAAGTACAACGCCCCCAAGTACCGCCTGGTCGTTCGCTTCACCAACCGCGACATCATCGCCCAGATCGTCACCTCCGAGATCACCGGTGACAAGGTCTTCTGCGCCGCCTACGCCCACGAGCTCAAGGCCTACGGCATTGAGCACGGTCTTACCAACTGGGCTGCCGCCTACTCCGTCGGTCTCCTGATCGCCCGCCGTGCCCTTACCAAGCTCGGCATCCAGGACTCTTTCACTGGTGTTGAGGAGGCTGATGGCGAGTTCACCCTGACCGAGGCCGCTGAGGTCGACGGTGAGGAGCGCCGCCCCTTCAAGGTCTACCTCGATGTCGGTCTCACCCGCACTTCCACTGGTGCCCGTGTCTTCGCCGCCATGAAGGGTGCCTCTGACGGTGGTCTTTACGTCCCCCACTCCGAGAAGCGTTTCCCCGGTTTCGACATTGAGACCAAGGAGCTCGACGCCGAGACTCTCCGCAAGTACATCTTCGGTGGTCACGTCGCTGAGTACATGGAGACTCTTGCCGACGACGATGAGGAGCGTTACAAGTCCCAGTTCCAGGGATACATTGACGACGACATTGAGGCTGACGGTCTTGAGGAGCTCTACCAGGACGCCCACAAGCAGATCCGCGAGGACCCCTTCAAGAAGGTTGAGGGTGAGGAGAAGAAGTCCAAGGACTTCTGGAAGGAGGAGTCCAAGAAGTTCCGCGACAACAAGCTTACCAAGGCTGAGCGTGAGGCCAAGATCCAGGAGAAGATCAAGGCTCTCTCCGCTTAAATGCATTTTCAGCAGCATCAAAAGGGGTATGGGGTCGTCGAATACGGATGCAAACTCGTGACGTCTTGAGGGTTTCGTCCACGTTTATGACAGGAGCTTTCGGCGTCAATGGCCTTGCTTTAAGGATATCATGGGTGGGACAATGTGCTACGGCAATTGTGGTTGCTTTTATTTTGAATCAAAAGTCTGCAAAGCAAGGTCATCAAACCTTTCTGTTTCCCTGTGAATGATATTGTGATGTGGTGATTTTGAGACTGTCTTCTTGCTCGATTTACATGCTCGATTTACAGAGTGGTAAAATTCCTATGTAGGCTTATGGCTTATGACTTAATTGACCGCAACTCGTGATCGCTCGCTCATAAGCCATTGAAGCGCCGCATGATTCCAACATGCATCGGAAGGAAAGCTAGCCGAAGGTACATCACTCCACCCACTCGTCACAGCTCGCGTGTCTACAGCATCAGATATGTTTGATCAATGGAAAAAGCAATTTCGGAACAGCGTGTATGTAACAAATTAGCGAATGCGTCAGTCTTCAACTAGTGTGTCGCCGATGGCGGACCACATTTTCGGAGGTGGTCCAGGTACTTTGGTCATGTCCGAAGCAGAGAGCGTGGAGCCGAAGCTCTGAAATAGAAAATGTCCGGCCTCCTCACGCATGCAAATAAACACACGAGGACAATTCTATACACTCGTTACCTGAAGGTGAGACTTGGTCTAGTCCTGAGTCTCAAGCAGCAAGTAAGCCAGTTGCATTAGGATCGACTGGCGACAAGTGGGAGCAAGAGGAGGGTGCATAGGCACGATCGACTTCTCCACCTGATCTGGACCACCGGCCGCTACACCAGTTTCAATTTCGATAAAGACCCCTCCCCCAGGCCAAGTCCCTGTCGCATTTCTATCAATTACTGCTGTATACCGTCGCACCACTCGCGACGACCTCAGATCAAACCGCGAATTCAGGAAGAGCATGGCTTAGTACACACGACCCCATCAACCAAAGCACTCGACAATGGAAACCGTCCACGGCGTTGACGTCAGTTGGCTCCATCAGCCAAACAGAGAAAGAGGTGCGCTTTCTAAACATGCTGTATCTTCCAGCTCGCATAATCAACCTGGAACAGAGCACCCTGAGCATGAGCCCCATGTCCACCGAGCTCCTGGAGTTGTCGACGACGCACCTCCGCCCGTCTCGTCGCATGCCCGTTCTCGCTCCGCCTCGCCTGTAGAGTCCAAGAAGGCGCCTCAATTGCCCTCGAAGACTCCATCTCCACCCCGAGACGCGACACCAGCCCAGCCTCCGCCTTCAAATCCTACCGACTCGCCTAATGCAGCATCCAAGACTCCGTCCCGTCGACCAAGTATCTTGAGTCGGTCCTCTTCTCAACGAGACAGCTCTGATGGTACCAAGAGCTCACGACGAAACTCGTGGATCTCTAATATCAGCTCCAAATTCTCCTCACAGGCCCCTCCCTCTCCAAGCGTCCCTCAGACTACCAAGTCGCAAGCCAATGGCACCAACGCTGGTCCTTCGTCGCAATCTGCGAGAGACAATCTAGTCACAAGCCCGACGCAAACAACATCAAATCGTGAGCCCGAAGAACTACAGCCGTATGTTCCTCAACGGCCAAAAGATTCTAACAGTTCCTTCTTCTCAAACCTTACTCGCCGCTTGTCTTCTGGCGCTCAAAATGCTGGCAACGTTCGTCCTGGTGAGAATGGTGGCATGTGCCCACGTCGTGTCCTAAACGTCAACCAGGGTCGCGAGCGTTGTCTTCTTCCTGAGCTAGACTCCGCCAAGCTACGTCGTGTCGCCTTTTCCGTCGATGTCGAAATCGCTTCTGGGCCGCGTTACAAAGATGATGGTGGTGTGGATGTGTCGAAACAGAAGAAGACCAAGGACAAGAAGATGAAGGAACGAGGAGAGGGTGAGGCTCTCAAGAATCCACAAGCAGTCACCGAACGCAAAGAGCAGTCTGATGCTGCCGCTGCTTCTACTGACGATTCTACTGCTGATGGGTCTGGAGCACCTGAGACAGACCTCGAGACTAGCAACAGGATTACAGCCTATGGAGATAACTTAAGTTTGTCGCCCGAGGACGATGTTGCACGTAAAGAACGGAAAGAGAAGAAGAGACAGAAGGCCGAGAATAGTGGACAGGTTCCACGTGAACTAAATGGCGATACTTCTCCGACTCAAGGTACTTCGACCAACCCAACACCTACTGTATCAGGCGCGACGACTCCCAAAGACCGCCCAACAACCGATCCTGTGAGAATATACAGAAGATGCTGTCAACTCAGGGAGTCGCCTATTCTCAAGCGTATCACCGAACAGCTTATGGCAGAGGATTGTACTTCGCCTGACGATCCCGGAACTGTTACACAGCTCAACCTCACCGGATCTCGTTTACAACTAGCCGACTTTGTAACTTTGAGCGACTGGCTCGCCATTGTCCCTGTGAAGAGGCTGTTGCTTGAGGATGCAGACATCAGCGATGAGGGTCTGCGCGTCGTTCTTNCTGGCTTGCTTGCCTCAAAGAAGCCTCAACCCACCAGGCGGCGAAATGGTGCTCGCCAGATTCCTGCCAAACCAACGGGTGGTATCGTGGAGAAACTCACTCTCAAGAACAACCCGAGAATCTCAAAAATCGGCTGGAAGCACATCTCGATCTTCTTGTACATGTGTCGATCGATCAAGGCTCTCGATGTTTCGATGCTACACTTCCCTCAAGAACTACCACCAAGCGAGCCTGATTCAAACATCAAAGCACCTAGTCAGATGCCCAAAACAACAGGCAAATCAGTTGATGCTGCAGAGACATTGTGTAGGGCGCTGTCTGGAAGGCTTGGCGGGTCTCGTCTGGAAGAGATCACCATGGCAGAATGCGGGCTTGTGCCTGGTCAGATTCGAAAGATCGTTGACGGAGCCACAGTTTGCGGCATTGCTAGGCTTGGATTCGCTGGCAACAAGCTCGATGATGAAGGTTTCGAGCACATACTGCATTACGTACGATCAGGTGTCTGCCATGCTCTTGATCTGGGCAGCAACGATCTGAGAGGCAAGCTTGGCAAGCTCGCAGAAGCTCTTACACACAACCCCAACTGCCCGGTCTGGGGCCTAAGTCTTGCTGGTTGCAATCTGGATACAGATTCATTGAGAGAACTCTTGCCCACCTTGACAGCATTGCAGAACTTCCGCTTCATCGATATCAGCCATAACAGAAATTTGTTCGTTGGCGATGCCTGCACCCTCCAGCTACTTAGAAAGTATCTACCCAAGCTGGACAACCTGAAGAGATTGCATCTTGTAGATGTTAGTCTCTCGGTGAAGCAGGCCATATCGTTGGCTGAGGTAAGATCATCTCTTCCAAATTCTTCATGGTTGATGCTGACTTGTAAAAGGNTATTGCCAGAAGGTGTTTCACTTGCCCATCTGACTATACTGGAAAACCCTCAGCTATCTGCTTTATCTCAAGCAACTGATGAGGCTGGCCAAGAGGAGGCTTGCGCCTTGTATGCTTCGCTGTGCGCCGCTGCACGAGTGTCAAAATCACTGGTCTGCATTGATGTCGATGTAAGTCACAAAGTTGTCTTTATATCTCGCTCCAGCACTGACAGGTGTGATACAGNNGTTCCTGGCCCTGGTCAAAGCGAGGTAGTCAAGGCCTTGGCGAAGCAGATAGTTGCATACTGCCTGCGTAACATGGACATGACTATGGCTCAGTCATCACTTCTGCCTGCCGCCACTATGCTATCCAAGCAACATGGAGTCGAGGATGCCAGACAAGCACCAGTTCCAGATGTGCTGGTCCATCTTGTTGGACATCTGGACGGCGATCAACTTTCAGACGCTAGCGATGACGAAACAGCACCGGACGACGACTACATTGTTGGAGGTAACGGTATAATCAAAGCACTGGAGTACTTCCTTGGACAAGACCGATCGGAACAACGTAATGGTAGCATATCGCTTTCGGGAACCACTACACCCCGAGACATTGGTAATCCAGCTCAGAGCGAAATCAAGAGGAAAGGAAAGGCCAAGGAAGTCAGTAGGAACTTGCTTGACAGTGCTCGTAAGCTTCGAAACCGGTTGAAGCCGGCTCTTGCCAAGGAGTTCGCAGCTGGTGATGAGCTGAATTACCGTCGTCTGCTCTTCCTCGATCAGACTTTGAGTGGCATGATCGAAAGATTCGAGGACGAGTTCCCAGAAACGCGCCTTCATCTGGACATCCCACCTCACCAGCAAAGCTTTTCTCTGTCATCTTCACTGGAGTCAACGGAGTCTGGACCACTATCAAACGACTTTATGGCAAGCTCTGCTACGACATTCGGGACCGAGACGTCAGCTGTTGAGTCAGATCAGGATGAAGAAATACATGCTGGTGGCTCGATGAGACGCAAAGCAAGCGATGTCAGTCTGGCTTCAAGAGCACTCGCGATTGAAGAAGGTCGGATTCATCGTCTGGGCCACAAAGTGCGACAAGACATCATTGATGTGCCCACAGCTGTGCAGACGTCCGAGTCAGATGGGCACGGCGAATGGGCACCAGGATCTCACATGGCAGAGATTGCTTCAAAGCTGGAGGACATGTCTGGTCCAGAGCTTCGAGTGCTTGTGGACCAGAAAGGTGGATGGGAGGGTGTTATGGAGAAGATGGGGGCCAACCTGGAGGAGCTCCAGCAGTTGCAGATGAAAGATCCTCAGGGATGGGAACAGTTCAAGGAGAGTCAGCTCAAAGCGCGGGCCAACCGCGGGGCACCGATCTACCTGTGATATTCACGATGTTTGTTGTAGTTGATGTGTTTACGAAGGGTGGGCAGAGGGAATAGCTCTCAGAGGCGTTTGGATGTTGGGTTTATGGCTGGAGCGATATTTATCATCGAATACCACAATGGCATTGTTGAAGACTCGTAATAATGAGTGTTTTGAAGACAAGGTCCCATTCCGCAATCCGAAAGTTTATGTCACGCGAGAAGGTGCAGTTCGATTGTCTGGAGGGGTGGTGGCTCCAGGGGGTTTCAATGTGTGGGGAAGGAAGGAGCATGTGAATTTGGCAGCTTGACACCTATTCAATAATTTGGTCACCTTGACGACTCTGACCATCCATTCTTTCGACCCTCTATCTGATCTGGGACCTTCAAAGATAAAAGGAACCGCACCAGATCCGCTATTATCGCTGGGAGCGACTTCACCAACTGTCCAGCGTTCGCAAAATCGCATCGCTCCTTATGCAGCAATCCGATCACTAAATCGACTCGCTTCTTGAACCCATTCGCATTGGCTCTCGGGGCTCAACAACATGTCGTACGCTCTTCCACGCACCGGTCCTGATGCGGGACGATCACGATTCCAATCGCAAGATGCTTCTACTGCCAGTGCAGGTGTGGCTGAGAAAATAGGAGGAATGTTTGGCGATAGGAGGCCCTCGTTGCCCATGTACAAGGACAAACCCTTTGCAACTTCTTCTCAAAGATTGCCTTGGTTCAGGAGGAAACGTGTCCTCGCTGCCTTGCTGGTCGCCTTTACCACTGCCTTTTACTGGATGGGCATGTTCAGTGCTTCCACCCCTACCCTTCTGAAGCCTAAGAAGCCTGCAAATTGGGAAGAGCGAAGGGACCAAGTAAGAGATGCTTTCAAGCTGAGCTGGTCGGCATATGAACAACATGGCTGGGGCTACGACGAATTCAAGCCTGTCTCACAGACGGGCCGTCATATGGTCAAGGGTGGTATGGGTTGGATCATAGTAGATGCTCTCGACACCCTCATGCTCATGAACCTCACTACCGAGCTCTCCCACGCCAGAGACTGGGTCTCGACCGCCCTCAACTACGATATTGACCATGATGTAAACACCTTTGAGACAACTATCCGTATGCTCGGTGGTTTATTATCTGCTCATTATTTGTCCACCACCTTCCCCGACTATGCTCCTTTGACAAGCCACTCCGCTACTGGTGCTTCCATCAGCGAAGACTTGTACCTGGAAAAGGCCGCTGATCTGGCTGATCGTCTGCTCGGCGCATACGACTCTGAATCTGGTGTTCCTTACGCCAGCGTCAATCTTCACACTGCAAAGGGCATTCCTTCTCACGATGATGGCGGTGCTTCTTCGACCGCTGAAGCCACCAGTCTCCAACTCGAAATGAAGTACCTGGCTAAGCTGACTGGTGAGGTGCATTACTGGGAAAAAGCTGAGAAGGTCATGAAAGTCGTTGACGACAATGGCATGGAAGACGGTCTTCTACCCATCTTCATCTACGCCCAGACCGGAAACTTCAGAGGCAACAACATCAGATTGGGCAGCCGTGGTGACTCTTATTACGGTATGTTCAACTGACAGCACAGATCGACCTTATGCTGACCTTTACAGAATACCTCATCAAGCAGTATCTGCAAACTTCAAAGCAGGAGCCTGTTTACCAGGAGATGTGGGACCAGTCTTTGACTGGTATCCAGAAGCATCTTATCACATATTCCGAGAAGGCCAACCTCACCATCCTTGGTGAACGCCCCCAAGGTCTCGACCACCCGATATCACCTAAGATGGACCACTTGGTATGTTTCATGCCAGGTACTATTGCTCTGGGAGCGACTCAAGGTCAAACCCTTGCCGAGGCCAGAAAGTCCACAACATGGGGCAAAAAAACAGGAAGGCGAGATCGAGCTAGCAAAGCAGCTCATGAAGACCTGCTGGGCGACGTACAAGGTCACTGCCACCGGCCTTGCTGCAGAAATCACCCACTTTGAAATGCACGATCCTCCTGCCATGATGCCTGATGGCATTCTCCAATCACCAGACACACTGTCTGACGACCACGAAGCCGAGTGGAAGAAAGACTTGATCATCAAAGGCGCCGACTCGCACAACCTGCAACGTCCTGAGACTGTCGAGAGTCTGTTCTACATGTGGCGCATCACCGGCGACGACATCTACAGAGAGTGGGGCTGGGAGATGTTCGAGTCATTCGTCAAGCACACCGCTGTCGATCACAATGGCGGCTACACGAGTATCAACGATGTCACTTCTGTCCCTACAACTTCGAGAGACAACATGGAGAGTTTCTGGCTTGCAGAAACATTAAAGTACTTCTACCTCCTGTTCGGACCTAACGATGTCTTACCACTAGACAAAGTTGTCTTCAACACTGAAGCTCACGCATTCCCTACCTTTGAATTGGGCAAGCTTTTCAAGACTGGATGGAAGCGCAAGCCTAGAGACTCTAATGGGCAGATTGTTGAAACAGCTGCTCCTCGCGATGCCATCACTGGCGATGTGAAGAAGGAAGCACCGGCTGCAGCTGCAGCTGCAGGCATCAAAACAGTAACGGTAGAGGGTGCTAAGACATTGGCGGTCGAGAAGCCGGTCAAGGTAGAAGAAGCACAGTTCTAAGAAATGATCAGTACATGCTATGAGATGATTGTTGCATAGCGTTTTGTAGACTTAGTATCCAAAAAGTATGAAACACTTTCAGTCTTCGTCCAAAACGATCTGATGTGGCTGTTGCCACACTGGTTGTGTCTGCTACAATTTAGAAATGATGTGTCTATATTGCTTGTGACGAGCGGTTCAAAGAGCTTGAGGTGGATCTTTCCTCAAGCTCGTTGTTTCCTAAGTCTCCTACATATCCACACCATCCCGAGCATCAACAACTCTCTTCGCGATGACTAACCCCTCATTTCCCTCTCTCAACATCTTTACCAACGGAAAACGGAAATGGGCATTGTAGATATCTGCAAGTCTGTTTCACGCGAGATACACCTCCCCCAGCGACTGTCCTGCGCGTCAAAGGCGCTCAAATAGAGCGATTGGTATTTCTTGGGTTTGGGCGCCAAAAGCGAACTTGTTAGGTGTCGCGCACAGGCTTTTTGATTTACAGCGACTTCGGTGATGAACGACAGAAGAGCTGAGGGCTTTGGCGACAGGCTTCTGCTGAGCAGAGAAGTTGGTCTGAGGAAGTGTCGCTGGGTGACGAAGGTGTTGTCTTGTCTACGGCTATCAGGAGAATGAGATAGTCTGGGCAGAAGCTCCAAGACGGGCTTAGCGATCGTGGCGCTGTCAACGATTCTTTGGAGTGTCAAAACTCGACATAGCAAGGAAGGTGCGAATGGCCTCAGACTAGACTGTTCTAAACTCGATCGTGGGCTTACCGTATAGATAGTCTAGGCCTGATAGAACTAGGTATTGCCTGCACGTGAGATGGTATAAGATAGTATGCTTTGAGGTTGAATAACAACATCTCCCTTTTGTTCATTCTTATAATATCAAAGCGAATGAAAAGGCAGACAAGAAAAAGGAAAACAAGCTATGAAAAGGCGAAGAAGAAAATGCAACGCTTGCTAGCTGGTTTGAGCAAATGTGTCAAGACCACACAGCATGGTATAGAGAAGAAGTGAGAAATGGTAGCATGAAAACACAGAAGATGAGTAGTAGTGGGGAAGAGAAGAATCGAAGAAGAAAAGTAAACAAGCAGAAAATAAGTTTTCATGTTCATCTCCCTTTCCCAAAAATGTAACGCCGTAAGAGTGTCGTCAAAACAAAGGAGTCAACTTCCCTATCGTATCGGGAATTTTGTGCTGTGGTAAGGACGATTCTATACCGGTTGTCCCCCATGCAAAGGGAGGGTGATAGCTCGTCGTTGAATATGTCTAATATTGTGCAGAAAAGAAGGGTGACAAATGAAGTGGGTCGTTGCGATGGTGTTGTCGAGACACCGTGTTACAGCACGTCGAAGATGTTGCGCTGGATTGGGAAAGCTCCCTTTGCGGCGGGCTACGCGGATCTTCGATTCCGTTGACAGCGGTAGTAGTAGACCTCTCTGCGTCAGGTTCTCCAGGAAGATTGGCGAAGGGGTTTTGGGTGAACTCAAATGCACGTGGTGATGCCAAAGCGTCCATAAAATCGGGCTCGTCATGCGTCAACTCAGCCTCAAGTTTTGATTGCATATCTTGCAATTCTCGCTGTTCGCTCAAGCTAGGCGCACTGATCTTGGGTCGTAGAGTAAGGCTTTTCGGTACTTTCTTCTGTGACTTGTGTGCGTTTGGGGCTAGATGCTGAGATCTAGCTTGTGGAATGACTGCTGGACCCATGCCTAGCGCACCAAGCAGAGACTCACGATCAAAGGGAGATTGCGAGAACTCTGAAGCGCGTGGGGACATCAAGCCGAATTGATCAGCCGAGTCTGAGTCTTTTGAGGGTCTGAGCGGCGCCATCGCAAACTCGGTAGCTCTAGGAGACACCATGGGAGTGATATGTCTTCCTGAGTCCTGCCTGATGTGTGATTCGAGGTTCAGTGATTTCGGTCGGTCTTTCAGCTCCTTGGTGACTTTGGGCTCGAGGATGGGGTGATCTTCTGTAACTTGTACAACGGGCACTGTGCGACCATTTGGATCCACGTACGCTGCTTCATTACGAGCAGAATCTTCTGACTTCTTGGACACAGGCTCGTCATGGTCTGAGGGCCAAGTGAGGCCTGAGGGCGCTGAAGAAGGACCTGGACTTACAGCCAGAAGATCAGGGTTGCGCAAGAGCTTTGATTGTGCCGTATCTGGTGGTAGAGGTGCAGTCTTCGGTGATTTGATTCCAGGCATACTGCTGCCATCGTAGGATGCTGGGCGTCCCATTTCGGTGAAACCAAAGGGAGGCGAATTAGGGCTGAGCCCACGAGTATTGCCAAACCTGCTCTGGGGTCTTTGTAGAGTCGATCGGAACTCTTGCAACTGCATGATTAAGTTCATGTTAGGTCCAATCCACCTGCTTCGCTTCTTCACATCATCGTATGCTTCCTGAACGCTCATGGATGGGTTTTTGTAAAGAACATAGGCCACAACCAGAGTTGCTGATCTGCTCACACCGCATTGACAATGGATAAGAACATGCTTTCCAAGCTGAATGCGCTCGTCGATAACCTTTACTAGACGGATGAGGTCAGGAACAATGTCCGTATTGTGCTCCCACGGAATGTGGATGTACTCTGGCTCCGTTTTTGTGGACTCTTTTGGTTGAGGCGCAGAAGTGACGTCTTTCAAGAACGGGTTTGCCTTGGGTGTGGTTGGTGATGATTCGTATACTGGGCTCAAGTTCTCTCGACCAAGACCATGCTGAGAAGTCAGGTGGTTGCGCTTAGGGGCGTATTGAATGCCACCACCACCATCGAGACGCAATTCGGGCCCTGAAGGTTGGAATGTTGCGAAATCGAAGGGGTTTTTTACTTCGCTAGCAACATTCAGGATGACATCGTAACGAGCAGCTTGCTCAACTGTAGGCTCCAGATAGAGGTCCAAATAACGACCGTAGACACAAATTGGTCCATCAGGGTAAGCTTCGGGCTTTTCCTCTTTCGATTGAGGTATGTCAAAGTTCTGATCCGAGTCGTTGGTCTTGAGAGGGCCGCGCATGTGTAGAGGCAATGCAAACTCTTTCTGTCCTTGTTGTGCTTCTAGCGACGGCTCTTCGCGAATCTCCTCGGTGATGTGTAAGGGTAGGGAAGGTGATGACTGGAAGTGACGAAGTACGTTGGGTCGTGCAAATGATGGAGTCGGAGGTACAGCGGCGCGTCCGTTTTGAGGCAATGCCTTGGTGTTTGCTGGTGTTAAGATCGTCAGACCGAGAGTTTTGCTAGAACGTCTCTTTGTAAGACTAGGAGGCTTGGAGAAAGATTGACCAAGTCTGTCCGGATTCGCTGTACCCTGAAGCGATGATGACATGGGTAAAGATGTGGTGGAGGCGGCCCTAGACATAACGAAAGCACCCGACGTGTTGACGGCAAGATTCTTCAGATTTCTTCCTTTTCTTCCAGGAGTGGTAGATCGTTGTAGTTCGAAGAAGGGTTGTGATGAATGCATCATAGCATTGTCTGAAGTATGCGGTCTAGTCATGCCGAATGAAGAGGGATAAGGTTTCCCTAACGGCGACTCTGGTGAAGAACCTGGCGACATCTCTGTGGCCGAAGAGTCGTCGATTATGGATGCGGTTGTAGTAGGAGAAGAATCGGCTGAGGTCGACGCGGATGTTGATGCACTCTCTTTGTGCTGGTGATACGACTCAAATGGTTTTTGCAGGTTGTGCCTGCTCGCGAGACATCGCCGCCTGGTAGCGGTTTGCTCGTGCTCACAGGTCCGTGGAAGTCCCCAATCATTGCAGTGTCACACAGACTACTTGCTGGTCAGACTGGCAGACTCGACAAAGATGTGTAGCCAATGCTCGGAAGAGGTGGGGTGAAGGAATGTTCTGGATCGTGATTAGATGTGTGGTCTGTTTGTGTTGCGACTGAGATCGTCAGGATTTGGAACAAGAGCGATCTTACGAAAACAAAAGTCGGGCCTTCGCCAGGAAGAAACTCTGCAGATCGGACAGAGACAGCCAAGGGTCGATAGGCAGGTGCAAGATCGTCAAGGAAAGAAGGTCGCCAGCAATGATTTAGCGGACAAATGAGAGCAAAGTATTAGAAGCAAGATTGGCACTATAAAGCCATTGCTCGAAGCAGAGATCGGCGAGTCCGAGCAGGCGGCGGATTTGTGGTATGGTAATCCGTGTAGCTGAACAAAAGGCTTGTCAAGATAGGATGGTTGGAAGTCTGGTTGGTCGGACGAAATGTATTAGCAGGGCGCTTCACCGAATATACATGCGTGGTTGACCAATCATAATATGAAGCGGCTTGTAGCCGCGCTGGGGTCATGCAGCGGCCGCATTGAGTGCAGTAGCGCCCGAGACTCGTTGTGACGAAGAATAAAGGCCCTTATAAAGATTGAACGCATTGTTGAAGGGTATACATACCAGGGTTTGTGACAGTCGAGTACAATCGACGTAGAAGTATTACACGAACGCTAATGTATTTGCAGGGCGTAGACTCGTTCTGCACAGGGCCAGGACTTGTTGTTCTTATTCGACGTGGAGTGCGATATTAAGGACTGTTCTAGGAGCAGTTTGGCGGCTGGGAGGACGAGAGTTGGTTGTGAACAACGCGCCGGCAGTTATTGTCTTTCGAGTGGAAGCCGCAATTTGATGCGAAACCGTACTGGCTAACGGTGGTCGCAGGGAGACAGGAGAGTCGAGGTTAAGGTATCCTTAGAAACGGTCGAGAGAGAATGTCGAATGCGTATGGCGAGGGCGAGAGCGGGCAAGGAAGGCGCGAACAAAGAAGAGGCTATGCCGGGCGCGGTTGTGGTCGGTCAATGTCTTGTCGGGACTTCGTGCGCGAGCAGCGTCAGGGTCGCTGTTTGTTATGGCAGACAAAGCAAAGCCAAAGTAGGCGATATTATGGAGTTTTTGTCAAAGAAGAAGCAGAAAGACAACAAGCAAAGAGGATAGGAACCGGCCAGTACCGACCTAGGCGCGTTTGAGAGAGGAGGAAGATGCTAGCAGGGCCACAGAAACGGTTGTGGAATGATGGAGGGCGCCAAGGGTGCAATGCTATTTTTAGTGGCCAGCTGCTGGGTGGATGGTGTTTTCTGTGCCGCTAGGTTTCAGCATTCGAGAACTTGTCGAGTGCTGAAACGCTGAGTGGACTATTGCAATTTATATCAATGACGACTGCCACGATTGCCGCAGAGAGCAGCAGTGTCGATATCACCTCGAGGACCAATATAATAAGGATGTACTCAGTGCCGTCTTTGCGTACCCACATGTCCAACGGCACCGTGGATTTATTTCTAATTCAACACGAGGTTTGCGGGCAAGTCGCCGAGGCTCTTCAAGCTTGCCATGACCATTGTAAGGAGCCAACGGCACATAGACTGCTTACCTGGTGCAAACGGTCCGCAGATTGCTTCGCTTTCCCTACTTTAGCTCTCGAGCATGTAGCGCAAGACGAAAGCAAGGGCAATCTTGCGACAGCAAACACCTTTGACACTTCTCGGCGTGTCAGGCATTATAGGGCGGATTAAGCGAGATACGAGTTTGAGCTTCGAGAGATGGTGGTGATATTCTGAACGATGATCGAGAGTTGCTATGGTAGCGATGCAGCAATGAACCAGATCGAGTCTGAGTTGTGGCAGGAAATTCTCGATTGATCGGTCTTTAGTGCTGGGGTGGCTAGTCATGGTGGTTTTGGCAAAGGAGGCTGAACAGTGAAGCGGACAGCGGGCTTCGACCACGCGGAAGCCCGTCACGGCGGGACCTTTACACAGGCCATCTCCTCGCTGCTGTTGCTGCTGCTGCTGCTGCTGCTGTTCACCACCGTCTCGACCGCTACAGCCCGAATCACGTCTTGCCCAATTGTTGCCGTCTCGCCAAGTTCACTCGTACCTACCTGTTATCGATTGCGCGCGTCAAAAGTTTGTCGCTTTGGTTGGAAGAGCTTGCACGCAAAGAAGGAAGCCAGAAAGGAAAACAAACACAGCGCGACGACGCAAATTAGGCGGGCCACCTCCACGTAAAAACGAGGATCGCGTAGAAGAATGCTCCTATGATCACCTCGTCTGGAAATGTCGACAAGCGATCATGACAGTACAAGCCAAAGTAGGAGGGTAAGCGTTTCCAGGATGCGCCAGACAGTCAATCCCACCGACGATCTGTTTTTGAGCCTCGCCATGGACGGCCCCGATGCAGCACATGGCANNAAGGTATGCCAACCCTCGACTGCACTTCGCTCAATCCACGCTTATGCAGTCCCAGTGCCCCTGCGCAAGCCATTGAATGTGCGAGAACGTGCTCCATCCAACGAGAGCCTCAATGCGACCAGACTGGCAGAGTTGCGCGCTCAGCACTCCCCAAGTCCTGCCCACTCTGAACACAACAACATCCGTACTCCCTCCCTGCGTGCCTCGATGCGTAAGCCTCGCTATGCTATCGGAACAACCTCATCCTCTTCCTTCGAGGCTGCTGCCCGCGAGTGGAATGCCTCTCCCGATGTCCTCAAGTTCCCTTCCAAGCGTCCTACTGGCTCTGCTATTTCCGAGGCTATACCAAGACAGCGCCGCATGTACCGTGTCGGAAAAGCATACGAGCCCTTGGCTAGCTCTCGTAATCTATCCAGTCTCTCTGATCGTCTTGCCCAAGGCCTCATCACACCGACCATGTCTCCAGCCCCTACTGCTCGGAAGGGATCCAATGCCGAAAGTGAATCTGTAGATTCTGTTAATGCTCCTTCCACCGTATGGGACGAACTTGACGATCTCAAATCCCGCATCCGTAGTCTCGAGATTGGCGGCAAGCCTTCACCTTCTAGTGCAAATGCCACAAATCAGTCCTTCGAACGCCCTCGCACAGCAACCACTGCGCCGACTACAATATCTTCCTCACCGAAGCACACTCGAAAACAGAGCAGTGTACCGGCCGATGTTAACATCTCTGGTCCATCTACAGCTAATTTGCATCCTCTTCTACATAGTGCTCTTGCAAAAGCTAAAAACGCCGTCAGCCCACAACTTTATCGTTCTCTCGAGGCTACCGCTTCCGACGCTTTGGCACTGGCTGCCATGACGGGTAGTGGCGGACCTCAAGGTACTGCCTTCACGGCTGCATCCATGGTCAATGGCGCTGCCGTCTCCGATAGACACATAAGGAGAAAAGCCGACAGCATGTGCAGGAATCTTACTGATCTTTGTATTGCACTCTGCGATGGCAAGTCGGACCTTTCAAGTCCCACTGTCAAGCCCTCCCCTATCAATAAATCTCACACGCAAGCTGAAACGCCATCATCGCGCTATGCTCGTAGATCGAGCCTCGGCCTGCAGGACCTTCAACTTAGGATTGAGCCGCCCAGATCTGTGAGCCGTCTCGACAGCCGAAGAAGTAGTTTGCTTGGCTTGGGATTGGGCAATACCATCAGCAATAGTCCGCTTGAAGCAAACGATCAGTACTTAAGTCAGGAATTGTCACCTGGTCACGATCAGACTGATTATGCCGCCCGCTATAATCGCCCTGGAACCAGTATGCGGAGGTACTCGAAAGCCGAAGAAGATGCTGCTCAAAATTTGCCTTCGCGTGCACCATCTCGTGCCATGACGGAAAGTGGTCACATGAGACAGTCCTCGACGCGTAGAACAGATTACGGTGGCGGTTCCCCTAGCTTGCGAGAGACTCTAGCAGCTCGACGCGCAAATGCAGTACCAGGCGAAGGCAATCAGTATGCAACTTCTTCTCATTCAGAGGCAGCAAGACGCATCTTGGAGCGCCGTGCTGCCGTTCAGCTTGAAGAGAGCCAGTATGTGCCTAAGAGGCGCCGCATCGCAAGTCTGACACAGTACTCGCCATTGAGCCCCCGAATTGGAAGCGAGCCAGTCCGTACGAGCAGTCTCTCGAGGAGACGCAATCTTGTCGTGGATCAACGAAGTTAATGGTTTTCTCTACGACTTTTCCCTTTCTTGTTCTCTTCTAGATACATACATATACATAGGGCTTTGGGCTACTTCTGCGCCAACGAGGCTGCATTTCTTGTAAACCTGGCTATGAATAGCAACTCTTCACCATACATTCTTGCACATCAGGTCACACGTCAAAAGTTGCCATTTCATATTTTTTGGAAGGGTCACAGTGGACTTTGAGGATGATGAGCGACCAGCCCAGATTTTTGGGTGGCTGAGCGTGACGCACCACACGGGTACCAACCAACGTCACTGTGCAGGGAAGCGGCAGAGCATGTGAAAGACTTGATATCAGTCTGATTGAAAGTGTGACCAATCTCAAGACTTGTGATACAAGAACAAAAACATCTCGTCTCTTGCCTTTCTACATCCAACTCTGCCTACCGCACTCAACCATCAGGCCCTCAGTCGCGCATACACAACTACAACAACATGGAGTGGTCAAAGAAGCAGTACAACCAGCAGTACGAGAACTGGATGCCATGGATTGAAGATGTACGTCAATGCTTTTCTCTCGACTTACCATTCACTTGTTAACCCATCTCGCAGAACGTTCTCTACTACTTCACCAAGGACAACAAGGCTTCATACGCTACCAAAGGTATGATTCGCTTGCTGTGCCATACTCCAGGCTATCATGCTAACTNNCTTGTCCAACCAGACCAACTCAGCAAGACCAAGGTCACAGGCGTCGATCAAGTCGACAACCTTCAAGATGGCGTGAACAACCTCGCAGCTGGTCAAGTCGGCCAGGGTGGACTTCTCCAACCCGTTGGTGACCATCTCTCCAAAGAGGGCATCAACCGCGCCGAGAGAGGAGGCAAGGATGATAGCGGCAGCTATGCTGGTGCAATGGGCTCTAGTGCTCAGGCCGGCGCCAGCAAGGTCACCGAGGGCGCAAAGGGCGCAGGCAGCTACGTCGGCAGCTTCTTCGGCGGCAAGAAGGAGGAGAAGAAGTGATCAAAGATTGCTCTACTCTTCCGGTTTCACGAGTATCATGATGGGATTTTGACGACTCTGTGTTTCGTTTTCTTGGGTTTTGGGTTTCGGGTTTCGGGAGTGGTCAACGGTATACCATAATAGCTTTGCGGAAACCTTGCTTTCTTCGACTTCAAGCCTTGATGCTTTTCGCTCCATTTCAAATTCCGCATCTTGCCGCCGCTTCCATGTGTTGAAGCCTGTCACACCTGTATGCGCAGTGCTCGATGCCTTTCTATGAGCATATCCAGACTGGCCCTCTCACATGCGACTGCCGAAAGGCACTTAGACCTCAGAGGACAGATATTGCCGGCATGGCTTATCTATCTTGCTGCAACACCACGACAATGCCGATGGCAGATGTGACCGATTCCAACGCGCGAAATAGATCACCGACGGCCTTGTTTCTACCTTGCGTATCTAGCTGTCTCGACTTCCCGTCTCTTGATCACTTCCAAGATTCTGGCACCAGCCACACCTGAATTTTGACGTCAGATGGAGAGCAAGCAAGTATTGCCGAATCAAGCAGATCGCACTGGAGATCGCCCAGAACAGCTCATCCACCATGCATAACGACCTCATTGGAAGTTGAAAATGACAGCGGGTTTGGGTTTAGTCACCAAGATAGGTTGATGGGCCGTCAGCATGTCGTCGATGCGCCCAGGTTGGCTGGCGTTAGATTCTCTCGTTCTCTGCAACCCTTTGACTCTGTGAATCTGCTTTACCCCTTGCAACTCGCGACTTGCGCTCTTCATCATGGTGCACCTTGACACTCCTGGTCCGGATACTGGCATCTTTACAACTGAAGAAGTGCGACCGCGATCGAAGCCTTGCAAATCGACGTCACGGATTATCTTCCTACCGCGCAACCACTACAAGGAGCCACCGAACTTGGCAGCAGGATTCAGGTCTCTCGACTTGTCCTGTGAAGCACCAGTCAGAGCGAACCTGGTCGCCGACAAGATTACCACAGACTCATTTCGCGTGACGTTAGAAACCTGGGGCGAGAAATCGCTGCTCTACTCGGCAAGTGCGACATGGATCGAGCACAAAGCCTACGCTAAAGACTGCTTGTTTGGCCAGTTCGACACACACGACTTACCAGAGAACCGCGGTGCAAACAAGAGGGGGGCACAACAAGAGAACTCGCGGGAGTTCGTTTTTCCACAACCCTTCAAAGATGATTGCGAGGTCATCTGCTGGTTAAATCGGCTCGATATGGCATCCGGAGATAGAAATTACCGCATACGGGCCTATGCGACCAATGTCAGCCGCAAAGGCTTCACGGCACATATCGACACCTGGGGTGACAGTTTGCTGTATGGAGGAGCCATGTGTTGGATTGCTTTTCCAAAACGCAAACGCTATGTTCAAGCTGGAAGCTTCCAGACAGGAGACGTCAGAAGCTGGAGCAATCCAATACCTGAGACAAGCTCTCAGGTCAAGTTCGAAAAAGGTGTATTCAAATTGCACAGGCCTGCTCCGACGGTCTTGTGTGCCTTGAATTTCATTGACATGGCGGGCAACGCGGATTTACGAGTCTCTGTTGACGTAAATGACATCGATACACAAGGCTTTCGTTGGTCGTTGAAGACTTTCGAAGACAGTACACTGTACGCTGCTGGTGCGAGCTGGATAGCTCTTGGTTTCGCATGAGCGAATGGCAGGTGTTCAGGCTCGAAACAGTCAAACGCGAAATCGAGTTGAGGTCGCGACGAGCTAGACCTCTGCTTAGTAACAAGGAAGTGCAGAGAACGAGGACTTTGTGGTCAAAGAGGATTTTGCAGAAGTCGCTAGTATTGTATAATATCTTGTAAGTATCTGCTGCGGTATAACAGGATGTAGTTAACAGGTTATTTCAAGCACGACACAGACTTCGCTCAACGTGTGCTTTGTACCGATATAAGATGATCCCCTGTCATGCTTCCTTCAAGATCCACGATTGTGTTTCTCGCAAGGTGACAGCCGTGGGGGAGGGGCCATGAGGTCGAATCAGGGGCAGTGTAACCAGAATGGCAAGGCAGAAGCACGCAAACGACGTATGTAGTTTGTGATGTTTCTTGCTTCAGTCATTTTTACGTCTGAGCCGCGACCTTGTCAAGTGAGAAGAATTCTTGATTCGCTGTGGCTGTTTCGGCTGACCGGTTTGCAGCCAATGACTGACTTGACAGCCTTGGTGAACCTTCACTTCCAGTTACCTTTTTCTGTCACACCCGACCAGCAGCATTCTGTTATTGTCCGTTTATTCACGCAAAAGCATATAATGCGCGCTTCTGCTTCTTTCTTGCCAGCTGCCGCTCCATTCGTTGTTTGAGCTATCCGACCATTGATGCACCATTCACCACGTCACGCCAACGCTTTGCTATCTATCACGCATCACGTTCTGGAGTTACAAAGGCAATGGCACCCAACGTTTCCCTCAAGCGTGCTCGCTCGCCAAGCGGTGGCCGTCGCAGACAACTTCTTCTTCCTGCAATTCTTCAACACATCTAAGGCGCCCGCAACGAATCAGACTCGGCCACTTTGAAATCCATCAACGACTCTGTCAGCATGTCATCATCCATCGACCTTTCTGATCTTTCGGACGCAATCGACTCCCCTATCTCATCAGATCAACGCAAGGAGTTGGTCAAGGGCAGAGGAGTTCGCTTCAACAACAGAGTCAGCATTGTCGAGATCCCAGCCCCCAAGCAGAAGCACAACCGTCGCGTCAGCTTCAGCGACGAAGTTATCGACATCGACACAGCAGAAACCACACATCCATCACCTTCGCCCAGTCCTCCCAGGAAGCGTGTTCGCTTTGGCTGCCTCAAGACCAGCGCGCGCAAGCATTTCTCTCACACCTCCATCTACAAGATGAAGAACTTCGAGACCATCAGCCCTCTCATGACACCCAAGAAGAGAGTTCGCTTCGGCTGCATGAAGTGCGAGGCTCCTGCTGCCACTCAGACCAACTCCGAGGTGACTGAGCTGCTGGCTGAGGAGGCTGCCACATTCAAGCGCGAGAAGAGAAGAGACTCTGTTTGGGACCCTGACAGTGAGATGTCCGAGCAGACTTCTTGCTCTGAAGATATCGAAGTGGGTTGAACGAGTGCCACAGGAAGTAACGACAGAACGACAAGGGGCGCTTGCTTTTGATGTCATGACCAAGGATGTTACACCAGGACAAACAACAACGAGGCAGGGTGGCTATGCTGTTGGTTTGCTGAGCAAAAGCCAGCGTTTCCTAGGTTGAGTAAACGAATCATGAGAGCCGCTCCGATGAGAGCTGCACATGCAAACAAATATACAGGGACTGGGCTGGACTACAGTTAGACCTGAGCACATTGCTGCATGCATGTCGTCAAAAGAGAATCAAACAAGACATAACCTTTTCCCTTGGTGGGCCTATTTATGTACCACTGTAGTCCTCACTGGAAACGAATGAGAAAGCTACCTCTTCTACTTTGTGACAACAACAGCAAGATGAAATGATGCCCAGTGAGAGCGATGATGCCCAAAAGTTTATCAGTGGTATAGAGTCCGTGCACTGTCGCGTGCCGCGGTTGTCGGAGTTAAGGTCGGATGACATATCTCACTGCCGCTTCCGGCCCTGGAACTTTCGAGAGTGTTTAGTTACTCGATGCGACCAGCAATCTTAGCATCGAAACAACCGCCCTTCTGCAAGTAGTCGCTGCATGCCCCGCGTGTCAGATCGGCCATAGTTCCTCTTGAACCGCCAGCATGGCCCACCTCGCCGACAAGCTCAAACAACAAGGCAACGATCTATTCAAGGCAGGCGACTACGCTGCAGCAGAGGAGCAGTACACGGCCGCAATCACAAAGTTCTCGCGCAATCCTCTATTCTTCACCAACCGCGCACTCGCTCGCATCCGTCTCCAAAGATGGCAGGGTGTCATCGATGACTGCCTGCACAGCATCTCCCTCACACCGCACAATGGCTTCAACTTCAAGTCCTACTTTTACCTCGCTCAGGCTCAACTTGCTCTCCACCATCCTAATGAAGCACTGTCTTCGGCCTTGACCGCGTACAACCAGGCTATGAACCCTCCTCCTGCCGAAGCAAATAAAGCCACTGCTGCTCTCCCTTCCCTCTCCGAACTAGTCCTCAAATGCAAGAAAGAAAAGTTCGCAGCCAGAGAACGCGAGCGCAGACGCAAGAGAGGCGATGTGCTCGCCGAGCTTGAAGAATCCCTCGAACTCAACAAGCGCAACGAACTCCAAGAAATCGAATCTTCACTATCGTCCTACAGCATCGGTGTAGTCGAGGCTCAAGAACGCAGACAAGAGATCTTGGATACACATCAGAAGAAGATCGACGAACTCAAGACTGTGTTTGCTCTGGCAGATCCTGAGAACCATCAAACCAGAGAGGTGCCTGATTACTTGGTCGACACCATTTCCTTCGAGATCATGCATGATCCCGTGATCACTAGGACGGGCCACAGTTACGAGAGAGCGACCCTGCTGGAGCACTTGAAGACCAATCCTACGGATCCGCTGACGAGAGAACCATTGACGGCAAAGGACTTGCGGCCTAATGTTGCCTTGCGCCAGGTGCTTGAGGAGTTCTGGAAGACGGCTGGGACATGGGCCATCGATTGGTAAAGAGTGCAAGCGGAAAAAGGACCTCTTTACTCTTTGTTTTCTTACCTTCATTTCTCCTTCTGTTATTCCTTGGTTGGTGGGCTGCATTCTTCTTTTCTTTATCATTTCCTTTTTTCTCTTTTCTTCTCTGTTGGGCATAGCAAAACGGCGTTCACTATCTGCATTATACAATCACCTTTCAATTCAGCATTCTTTCTACTCTCTTCTTTCTTGCATGTCAGGCTAGCCTTACGACAATCTCTTCCTAAATCACTTCAAGACGAGAAAGAGCCTCAGCTATATCTCAGGGGTGACTAATCCGTTCAACGACTTACAATTCAACCCCTTTCTGGCATATCTAGAAGCGCCACAAAGCCCACCAGAACGATGACTTGACTTTTTATGATCATAGGATTGACAAGGTGAGCAATATTGAATCTAATATCTTTGGAAGCAAAGATCGACTCGCTACGTATCAGAACTTGCTGGATGTTTGTGAGTTGGCAACGGCAACAAGATGTAGGTACGAAGGTCGTCAATGGTAGTTGCCTAGCCTTAGAAGGGCAATGAGCTTTGTTGTGTTGGAGTTCATAAGGCACAGTAGGTTGCGAAATGGTGAATGGTTTCTGATTTTGTGAGTCTCGCATACATCTGGCATATCAATTATACTAAACAACATAATCTCTGCAACATACTTACTGATATGATCACACTATTCATCACAGATCGAGCGATAGTCCTGTTTTTGTAAGCAGACAGCATTAAGGATAAGTTTGGTGCTGAGCATCGATTTAGCCTGGCAGTCGAGGGGCGCACCGGGGCTCTAGAGCAAGAAGTACGAAACAGAGTCCATCTCAGCAAGCTTGGCTTGGACATCACTGAGCATGCTTCCAAGATCCTCTTTTTGAGTGTCAAGCTTAGCAGCGTCTGTTGATGTGTCTGCCATTTGTAGCACTGAGAGAGAGGACAAACGTACGTCTCCAAGGTAGAAACAGAGAAGCTTGAAGATCATAGATCCAGCCATGATCACACGCGGTGCGGTACTAGAAAGAGTCCTAAAGATAAGCAAATACACAGAATCAACAGAAATCAATCCGGAAAGTACTTGGGTACTTTACTGGAGTACTCCATCACGTGCGATGGTCCATCGACATCATCATCGGACATCATCCTTCTCGATCTTCTGACCCTCTTTATAGCTGAACGACCATGCATATATCGATTCCTATCCCATGGTTCCTTTTCCCTGCCATCGGACGCTAGCACGAGCCATCAAGGCATGCCGGTAGACGTTTTTGCTTCCTCCCTCTCTTCGCCCGCCGTTATACCCCTGACACCGCACAGAGCCCACCTTACCCGCACAGCCCGTTTATAAGGATTGGCCCCCTATCCTGCAACAAGCATCCGAGTCTCGAAGAAAGCCTGAATCAAGACAGTGGAGAACCTTTACAGTTCAGGAAGGTCTGGAAAATTGATACGATGGTACAAAGATAAAAACGATGATTTGAGATGTTTGAGGATGAGAACCCTTCCCTCAACCTTACGGAGGAACCCAGCCTTGCCGTCTTGATGGAGAAGGAACGCATCTCTGGGTGTGCTAGAACTACAAGTACAAAGAACGCCTAACTAATAGATCCGCCATATCTTCCCATCGCCTCGGCTGAAACCACCTCTGCCTTCCCGGCCACACTCAAACAAAGGAAAAGATAAACAAGGAAACAAAACAAAGAAACAAATAGAAACAAAAAGCGTCATCAGGATGCTCGACCTCGAGAATCAAGGCCACCCGGGTGCCGTAACGGATGTGCATAACGTCTTTCTTCCGCCCCCTTATCGTTCTTGAAAGGGGGCGCGAGCGTTCGCCTCTGTCCGTTCGAATCGAGCGGCCTAACAGCTGTCGAGATCGTGATCGATACGCTGATGTCCATGGTGTGTTAAACACTAGAATGAGAAGTGTGTTTAGAAGCGATTTGAATGAGATGCTTCGAACAGAATGTGATGAAAGGTAGAACGGTAAGATAGAGAAGCTGGGTCTGAACGAGCAACGCTTCAGAAGCAAACCATGAAATCGACAGAAAAGGAAAAGAAAAAATATCGGGGTATACAAGAATCGGAGAAAAAGCGAAAGATGAAGAACAACTCCTAACCAACCCGAAAACATTTCCACCTGGTCCAAATGGTCCGACTCAAAGAGATCGCAAAGGTAAGAAGATAATTGGAATCAAAGATTATCCGGCAAGCAAACGAAGTGAGCACCTTAGGCCTCTCGCTCGCACATGTAGTTCGTAGCCAATGATGGCTGTTGCTTTTTTGATCTTTCCCCCACCTCAGTGGGGGAGATACCAGTCCCGCCAGCAGGCTGTAGTCGAAAGACACCTGCTACTTCACAAGCTGGCGGGATCAATAGTACCGTACTGCACGAAACTTGACATGTCAATCTCCTCGCCGTGTTGGTTGTGTTGATCGTTGGCACCCAAACTAGGGCTGTGATACAAATCATGGTTTTGAAGATGCGAGGGGTGGTGAGCGGGTGTCGAGAAGTTGGAGTCGTGCATCTGAGCAGGTGATTGATACATCTTGCTGTCCTGGAACATGCCAGTGGCATTGACTTTGGGGGTCTGGTAAAGATTGTGGCCGTGGTCACCGTGACCCATATGAGTAGGCGATTGGAAAGCGATCGCAGAGTCTTGGTGCATGGCCAACTGCGCAGGGTTAGGCGACTGTTGGTGCATAGGTGTTTCGTTGGGCATGCGGAAAGGCAGGTTCATCTTGTTCGCAGGGATCGGCGAGTTGTAGTCGTAGTGGGCATCTGAGAGAGAAGAGTCGAAACCCATGTGCTCGTCAGGAAGAGGGCTGTGGAAACCCATACCCATTGACTTGTTGTATACATCGGACGAAAGGCAAAGGGCATCGTCACTCAGACCATTGTCACCTCCAGGTGTGTTGAAGATGTCATCAGACTGGCTGCGGCCAAGACCGGTAAGAGGTGGTGATTGGTCTGCGATGATAGGATCACCTCCACTGAGGCAAGAAACGGGTGTGTTGCTAGTACCGATCATAGCAGATGGGTCAACAGAAAGGAAAGAGCTCGAGTAAGGGGTGTTGAGGTTAGAGTGAGCCATCATGTCGCTGGTAGGACCAGGGTTGAAGAAGCCAGGAGTACCGAAATCGCTAGGAGAGTTGAGAGTGGTGGCAGACATTGGACCAGCGAATTGTCTGAAGTCCATGCCATAACCAGCAGATGTATCGATGCTGAGATTGTTAGGGCCCATACCTGCCGAGAAGCCATGGTGATGTTGCGGCTGAGGGGCGAAGATAGCGTTGTCTTGTAGAGGCTGAGCAGGGGTGTTGGGCTCATGCTGAATGAGGAACGAAGGCATGGGGTTGTTTCTGAGCATCGAAAGATCAATGGCAGCAGGTACGGAACGACTGCGCTGTCTCTTGTGACCGCGAGGAGCAGGCGGGCCCATAAGACCGATAGCAGAGTCTTGGAAGACGCCTGAGTGAGGATGTACCAAGTGGTTAGGCTGGCTTGCAGGTCTGAAGTTGACAGGTGAGACGGGAGCAGAAGCAGCAGCCATGGCAAAGTGAGTGGGGTCGAGCAGTGTGTGGCGGTTCTGGAAAGAGTCGAGAGACACGAGCTTAGCCAGTTGACCGCTGAGAGCCTTGGAAGGGCCACCAAGCTGATGAACCATAACCTTGCTAGCTTGTTGGTCCTCGGTGAAATCGCCGCACTCGTAGAAGCCGCCGCTACCTGAGCTGTCCATGTAGAACTTAGGGGGACGGACCAACTCGACCACCAGTGCGCCTAATCTTTGCGAAGCGCCCTCTGCAGCGCTTGTAACCTCACCCTGAACAAGGTTGATATTTTTGATCCAAGCGAATGGGTACTCGATCTTGTAGCCGGCCGAGTCGTTGTTGATGTAGTATGTAACACAAGCCTTCTCGGGTGAGTAGAAGATGATCAGATCCATCTGACTCTGGCCAACTCTGCGCCAGGATCCAATCGAGAGCGAACGACATGCAAAGTGTTGGATGACTNNGGACAGAAGTTAGCCATAACTGTATACATGTAGATGTGCGATTTCAAACATACCAACTTTGCCGCTGCCAGCATCAGAGTTGAGACTCATGGTGCCGGGAGTGTATGCGTAGCCATTGCTGGTGGGACCCATCATGTTAGGGAAGAATCCCTTGCCAGACTCGAGTGCTTGCATGGCGAGATGGCGGCGCATTGACTCAGGAATGCTCTCGCAGTCCTCGCCATTTTCGATACTCTTTCTTGCGATGTTCTTGATCTTGGCACGTCTGTCATGTCATTAGATATGCGGATTGCAGGGTTGTAGCAACGAGAGGGTCTACCTGTTCTGGAACCAAATTTGCACTGATCTCTCAGTCATGTTGATCTCGTCGGCAATTCTCTCACGGACAGCGGCAGTGGGCGTGGGGTTCTTGTTGAACTCCATCTCCAGGGTGATTAGCTGATCTTGAGTAGCACGTTGTCTCTTCTGGTTCTTTTGTTGTTGGGTGAGAGTGCTCTTGCGCGGTGGCCTTCTCGAAGAAGATCCGCTTGCGGTAAGAGGAGTCGCGGGCGAGGGAGTGCCAGGCGATGTCGACTCCATTGAACCCATGTCCTTGGAATCCATGGCGTTCGTATTGATGATTATAGTAGGCCAAAGGCGAACTTGTGAATGATGTTGATTATAGGCCGCCGATGGCGAATGCACTTGGGCAATGTCAAAGAACCTAGCAGGCAGTTCAGGCCGAGGCTGAGTGGTGTTGTTCGAGAGTCTTTGTCTGCGTGTCAATCCGTGTGCTCAATCGAGACAATGCCGAGAGCAACAGCTGGAGTTCAAGCACGAGGGTCAAAGAGTCGGATTAGGAAAGATGCAAGGATGTTGTTGTTGGATATAACAGGAAGGAGTTGACAACCGGAAGGAGTGACGGTCTGTCGAAACTGGCCAAAGCAGCGGCTAACAGAGCTAAGAAGCAAAAAGAAGGATAGAGCGTGCGTAGAATTAGGCCGGCAGCGTAAGGGAGTGATGAAGCGGCGCACAGGAGCAATAGAAAGAGAAAAGAGAGATGTTGCAAAGGGAAAGGCGAGGATAAAGACGGAGGTGCTTTGGGCAAGCGAAACACAGACGAGGAAAGAGCGTGCCCTCCCCCCTTTGAGACTGACGGCTTCCTCGACGAGTCGGAGCAAAGTCAAGCACAAGCACAGGCGCCAAAACCGCGCGAATCACGTTTGAAACGCACGAGGCAGGCACGACCCACCTCGACCATGCCGCTTCGGGCTGCGACCTCCACGGCCGCTCGCTCTGTTTTCTGACTTCTTCCAACCGCCCGACCGGTGGGCAAGTGATGTTCCCCTTGTGCCGTCATTGGCGTTGAACATCTGTCGTGGTCGACCTCTCATATCTACGCGTCCAGCTGTTGCTATCGCACTTATCGAGGCCGTGCCTTACAAAAGCCAATGTGTATCAACTGCAGGCACACGAACTCTTCCTTCGATCCACTCACTGTAAATAGCTGCTCTGTTGCCGCCGTCAGCCGTCATGCTCCTCCACCTTTTGCCAATGCCAGTCGCGGATGTCGCGAGACGACTGCTTGCCCTGCATGCATCCACTGCATCGTGCCGTAGGTTAACCTGGCTCCTCCGCGACTCGGTCAGCTTCTCGCTGCCTTGGCGACCAACTCGCGCCCCCATCCCCGTGCCCAAAACTAGTCTGCGAGTAGCAGTCTACTGTCGTGTCTGTGTCCTCTACTTTGGCTGCTCTCGGCCGCGTATACGGCACGACTAGTTCTATACCCCAAAAGAGACTACGACTAGGGTATCTCCTCACGAGTCACGAATCGCATAGAGACATGCTCTTTTCGCAGATGTCATCTAGATACAACGCTCACATGCAGTCCATACAAGTCTTTTGGTCCAGCTCTTTGTCACACAAGCTGCGTCGACGTTCTGCTATCTCTCTGTCACGGTCGATGCCTTCATTGTTTATCGGCCGTATCTCCATTTCTGTCCTAGCTCTTTCTCGCTCTCTCCCTTCTTGCTGCACGCTGAACCGACGTCACGTCACAAAGCGCCGTGCTCTACCGGGTGTTGGTGCTCTTCGGACTCTGGCTCGCTGACCTGATCGGCAAGTGCTTTGTCTTGGCCCCCTGACCCCTGTTCTCGTGGCTTGACGATCCTGAGAGAAAACGCAGGCACCATTCAGGAACACCCGCCGCCAGCATGCACGAGCCTGCAACGTCGGACCCACACAAGAAGCTCGAGGCTGCCAACGGTCGGGGCAAAACACTAGCGCAGCGCGCCGCAGAGACATCGGAGTTTTACCGTCCGGGTCTCCGGCCGAGCCCTTCACATCCCTTGACCACCAGGGTCGCTGGATCTGCGTGCAACAACAATATATTAATTGGGGTGACTGACTTACTTCCCCAGGAAACCAAGCGGAACTTGGGTGGTACGAGTGCTTCGCATGCTTGACTGCATATTCACGTTGTTTCTTCGGGAAGATTGTGTCTTGAGCAGTAGCGGGCTCGCTTGGGCCGAATCATGGATACGAGTGTTGGTAGACTTTCTATTTTTGCTTCACATGTCTCTAGCGTCGGTTCTTTGTACCTTCGAAGGTTCCCCAGGCCTCGAAACATCAGAAAGGTACCAGCGAGGAATACTTTTCGATCGGATCTGTATCATGATTCAGTGTATTCGATCTGTACGGCAACTAATGGTTGCGCCTTGCTATGTTTCGACACACACGATGTCATGCCAGATCAAAGTCTGGTTTCGTATATTGGAAGGGGCGTTCGGACGGGAAGATGAAACACCACGCTCCCGTGGAGAAGCTATACAAACCCATTAGTCTTTTCCTAGAAGTCCTCTCCACGAGTCCTCGTTACTGAGCCTATCTTGCTAAGTCAGGAACACGAGAGACTGCATACTCGAAAGAAGCTTAGGAAGCAACCAGTGGAAGCATCGCACAATAGTGCACTACATGAATCGCTTCCAGCTGGAGACTGCTTTTCCAAGTTTCATTCGACATCCTGCTCACAAGCCCATGCGCTGAAGTCAAGACAACTGCCGGATAGGCAGCGCGAACGCTTGGTATCAAGTCCCGCTCCTCTGCGTCAAGGCCACGCTAGAACGTTCTCCCACCATTCTACTGCCAACATCTCAGCCTTGTCCGCAAGGCCACCAACATAGGTTCCCTCACCCGAATCTAGCCTTCTTGTCGCACCATTGAAAGATTACGCACACTTCCAAGATTGGCATTGCCATATGATGCCCAATGTGTATGCCACTCAGGGCACTCGCGGCATTCCAGAAAGCGGCTCTCCTGCCGATGTGTTTGGCTGAGAACGGATAGGGCTGCCGAGTTTCCAGTATGCTTCCTCCCCGTGTACCTGTAGAAATGCAGTATAGTAATAGAAAACACGATAGTATGCGCTGAGAGGCAACGAGTCGTCGACTCTCTGTGGACATGCTCTGTTTCTCATAACAATTGTGCCTTTTGATAGTCTAGATTTTGCTCTGAACTATAGTCGGAGTACGGTGAAGTTACAGACTTTAGTACACGGGGAGGTTGTGGGTCACTGCCACAAGTCGTTAAGAGAACCATTCTGAAATCATGGTGAAGCAAGGGACCGCTTGCCTATACAGCCTAAGATCTAAAAAAGATCATCGAGGGCTTGGGGTTTGTCTACATCGACGTCATGATGTAAACACTCGAACGACGGACGGCCCGCTCGAAGCGAAAGTGTCTGGGCCTGTCAGACGACTCGTTGGCTTCATGAGTAATGCCTGTTCACCGCCATCATGATACAATCATGTCGACTTCTGTATATGTGAGTCGAGCTGTCACCGTCCTCGTTGCATGACATGTAGAAGGCACACGTTTGGACATCAACAACCACTATGATCCGTGAATGTAACCGGCATGAAGGATAGTCTCATCCTCCGAGGTCCGACTTGTAGAATACAAGCTAATCCCTCCGCACGACCGGACGATCTTGAGAGGACATCCCAAGAGATCTACAGTCATCTCGATCAGGTGATTTGCAATTCCACGGGAGATGGGAATGCTTGGTCGAGCTGAAGGATCTTNTGCCTGGGCCAGTCAAGGTGGACAGCTACTTCTGGGCTCAAGATGGAAGCGACGTGTTGGAGGATAGCTGAGGGCCATCGTTCCAGCCACCAAGTGTTTGATCTCAGCCTCATGAGTGCGGCATAGTATGCCAACACAACAAGAGCTACAGAAGATCGGTCTGCAAGCATGTCAAGAAAGTGCGCACTAACGTCGATAGGCCACATCTGGACATACATAGCGCCTGGAACATCCCGGTGATGTGTCTCCATAATGGCCATGTAGTAGAACAGTTTCTCAATAGCGTCCAGGCAAGAGACTGCTTCGTCGTCTCGACAATTTTGCATGACGAAGTTCCGGAGGATTCGATACATAGGATAAGTATCGTCTAGCGTGGCTTTGAGTGCAGTGTAGTCCGGGAGCGCAGTGACCCTCTTGATAGGTTCCTTGTGTTGAAGCACATCCCACTTTTGCATAAGAATGGTTTTAATGCCCCTACCAAGGTGAAAAGAGTTAAGCAGTTCATCAACCGGATCTCGGGCCAGACCAAGACCTCGAGGGTCATACGCAGGCTCGGCCAGCGCAAAGATAGAAGTGACGGCAGCAAAACCGAGTATTGCTTGACTGTGTTCAGCCGTTGCTTCTACGATGTGAGGTCGCACCTGAGACAGCGCTGCGTGTTGATGAGCAGCCGCCCTAGACAGTAGTTCTGATCGATGAGGCTGTTCGGAGTAGAGGTGCAGCGCTGCCAAAGCTAAGTTTGAATGCATCAAGTAAGGAAACCGGAGAGGCAGTCCGCTTTCTTCCTCATCGGGTTTTGAGTCCGGTGTGATAGAGTATCGAGTGCGTGTTATGGACTGTTGGAGTAGTTCAAGATCTGCCATAGGTAAGGGTGACACCGCGTCACCATTGTGGTTGATGATGTTGTGTGAGATGGCGTTGAAGACCTTGGTATTGACAGACACGTCCGAAGCAGGACTCTGGGATGTAGTGAAGCTGCATTCAAGTTTTCTCTTGGTACATCCACCGCATGAGGGCTTCCCTTCGTCACACTATGTTCACATTAGCTACGGTCAACCCAGTTATCCAGACATCGAGACCTTATAGTGGCGCTTCTTGCAATTCTCGCACCCATTCCGCGATTTTTTGTGATTTTTCCTTTGTCGCGGTCCTATAGGTCCGCCCCTCATTGTGCATATCCAAGCTGTAGACGTACAGTACCTTCAAGGTCGAAGTCCTAGGAAGAAGAAATGTTCAAGCGAAGATTAGACGAGACAGTGATGGACTCGAGGATAACGACGCCCATAATTCTACAGACCCCCACTGAACTTGGAGCAAGAGGGGCTATGCCTTGCTCCATCATCATCGAAGACATGGACAGATACCTGGTATCTTAGGATGTGCTTGAGTTCAGTTCTAGAATACACCAAAACTATCTTATAATACCTTCAGGATATCCTACTGTGGTGCCAGGTAGGAGCCTACCTCCCTATATACTAAAGTATGTAACGCCTATGGCTATAGAAATGCACAATAGTAATAGGAAATAAAATAGTATCCAGTGAGAAGCAACAACTTATCGACTCTCTATGGATACGTCTCTACTCCCGAAAACGATTTTGCCTTTCTAGAGTCTCTATGCTACCCTTAGCTACAGTTGGAGTAGGGTGTAGTTACAGAATTTTGTACACGGGGAGGTGGTAGGGGCTAATGAGACATGGGCATCCTAACCTCGGCAATCATAGCCGTACGTCGAGCCCTAGTTCGTTGGGCCCTTGTCCCATACGGCCCTCAATACGCGCTTGACACTTTCCAAAATGCTTGATGTTATTTTTGCATGCGATTGCGCAAACAGCGAGAAGATGTCTCAATGTTCATTGGTCGCTATGCTGATGATAACCGCACAACCGTTTTCTCTGCGTATGGACACGTAGAAGGGGAAGAGATATTTAAGAGGACGAACTCCTTCTTCTGACCTTACACCACAACCTCATTTGGAAGTTAACATCATCTTGCTGGACCACACTCTTCGACTTTTTGTCCCCGAACCCAAAACAATCGACGAACGCAATTCTACCTTTGCAGAGGACCAAGATTCCTCAAACAACATGGCTCTCGCTCCAACCAACATCGATCCCAACCATCTGGTTTTGTACGCATATACGCCAAGTGCTGCCGCCGCTGGCACATTCATGGTGATCTTCGGTGTCGCAACTGTCACTCACATATTCTATCTTCCAAAGTTACGCCAATGTTTCTTCATTCCGATGATCCTTGGTGGTGTCATGGAGACTGGAGGCTTATACGGTCGTTTCTGGGGGCACAGCAGCAAGAACGACTTTAGAGCGTATGTGTTGCAAGCGCTACTTCTCACTCCTGCCCCAATTTTTCTTGCGGCAACCATGTATATGACACTCGGCAGAGTCATCGTTGCTCTGGATGCCGACAGGGACCATACTCTCATCCGCCCGCGCTGGCTGTCGAAGATTTTCGTGCTGTTCGATATCGTCTGCTTTCTCGTCCAGATGGGCGGTATCGGCATGCAATGCACTACTTCGTCATCGGTACAGAAGACTGGCCGCACGGTAACCATCAGCGGATTGGTTCTCCAACTTTTCATCTTTGCCTACTTCATCATTGTGGCTCTTGTCTTTCACAGACGTATCAACGCGCGTCCTACCTCCATCTCAGTTCACCACAGTATCCACTGGGTTAGGCATCTGCGTATTCTGTATGCGACAAGTGTTCTGGTACTTGTCAGAAACATCTTCCGGGTTGCAGAGTACGTCGAGGGTTCAGATGGTCCGATTGGACACTCAGAGGTGTATCTTTACATCTTCGATTCGGCGTTAATGGCAGGCCTTATGTGGGCATTCGTCATTGTCCACCCTGGCAGACTTCTTAGGGCCATTAAGAAGCTGAAGAATCGTTGTTCTCTAGAGAAGGTCGAGGAAGAAAACCTTGTGGCCGAAATCGACAACCAGCAACTGAGCGCTTGAGGAGAATGATGCTAGGGTACCTTTGACTTCTTGATGAGAGGAGAACAGCATGCATCGGCTTGCTTTCGAACAGAATAGATTTCATTTGTCTCGTTTTCTTGTTCCTTTTGTTCTAAACAGTTATAAGCTCTTTGCTTCTCAGCAGATGCGAATAGAGAATTGTGGTGTCGCCATAATATTTTGTGTCAATGAAAAGGTTGTGTACGTCAAGGTTCAGCACATGTGAAGAAGAAGGTGAAGTGTGAAGATCATGACGGGAAGGCAAGACGTGATTGGCGCGACGTCAGCATCCATCAGCATCAACCGCATCGGGCGGAAATTGTCGAGAGACGCGACTTCCTTCAAAAACGCGGGGTTCCATCCATCACACGTCGCTGTGCCATCATTTGCCTGACCTTCAACATAACCACAACTATCGCCAAAATGCCTGCCGCCAAGGTCAAGGACGTACAGCCAAAGAAGCGTGTGCTTGTCGATGCGCCATCGTCCCGCCAAAATATCCAGAATGACAGCCCTTCCAAGCGCCGGAAGCTCAATGGCCAGTCCAAGAACTTCAAGACACCAGGCGGTCCTGGCTCTAGTCAAGTCAAGAGCCGGTTTGAAGAGGAGGTCCTTGAGAAGTTGACACAAGACATTGACGATCTCAAGCAACACAATGCTGAGAAAGACCAACAATGGGCCCGACCGAGTCTGGACGACTTTGACGAAACAAGGGATAGTTTGTGCTTCCAGCAGATCGAAGCCGAGGAAGGCACCCTCCATGGCGGAAAGACATGCGTCAAGTTGTTTGGCGTTACTGAGGTAAATCCACCATTGTCTGCACTCGCTGTAGACAGAGGCTGACCACACCAACTTAGANCCGGCCACTCAGTGCTACTACACGTTACCGACTTCATGCACTATCTATACGTAGCTGCGCCCTCGTCATTCCAACAGAGTGACTGCGAGCCCTTCAAGGCCTACCTCGAGACCCATCTTGCACAACATCAACCTGCCATCTACTCGGTACAAATGCTCCTTCGCGAGAATTTGTACGGTTTCCAAGGCAATGTGAAGAGTCCCTACCTCAAAATCACCGTCACCGATCCCAAGTTTATCAACAAGCTGAGAACTTCAATCGAGAGCGGGAGTGCCAACTACAAGGGTCTCTGGAAAGGTGCCGATGGTGGCGTCCTGACCTTTGACAATATCCAATACGTGCTCCGTTTCATGATCGACACCAAGGTACGCCGGACTTGCACAATAGCTCTCAAACATGTTTACTGACAAATTCAGGTCTCAGGAATGTCTTGGGTCGAGACTCCCGCATCGAAATACACCTTGGTTCCCGCTCGTGACAGACATTCGAACTGTCAGATCGAAGCCTTCTGCCACTACAGAGATCTCATTGCCCACCCTGCCGAAGGAGAATGGGCCAAGATGGCCCCTCTTAGAACTCTCTCGTTCGATATCGAGTGCGCTGGTCGCAAGGGTATCTTCCCAGAAGCTAATGTGGATCCTGTTATCCAAATCGCGAACGTCGTCACAAGATATGGTGAAGACAAGCCGTTTGTGCGCAACGTTNTTTGCTTGGACACGTGCAGTCTGATCGTGAATACACAAATCTTCGAATTTGCGGACGAGGACAAGATGTTGATGGCCTGGCGAGACTTCCTGGAGAAGGTAGATCCGGACGTCATCATCGGTTACAACATTGCAAACTTCGATTTCCCCTATCTGCTGGACAGAGCAAAACACCTCAAGGTTGGAAAGTTTCCCTTCTGGTCAAGACTACGAAATGTCCAGTCTGTTGCAAAAGACACCAACTTCTCAAGCAAGCAGATGGGCAACAGAGATACGAAGGCGACTAACACCAACGGACGTCTGCAGCTCGATCTTCTCCAACTCATTCAGAGAGATCATCAGCTCAGAAGTTACACACTGAACTCTGTGTGTGCCCACTTCTTAAATGAGCAANAGGAGGATGTCCATCACACAATGATCACTGAATTGTTCAACGGTACTCCCGAATCACGACGGAGACTGGCAGTCTACTGTTTGAAGGATGCTTACCTCCCGCAACGTCTTATGGATAAACTCATGTGTCTCGTCAATTACACGGAGATGGCCAGAGTCACGGGTGTACCGTTCAACTACCTGCTCTCTCGTGGCCAACAAGTCAAGTTCATCAGTCAGCTTTTCCGAAAGGCACTAGAGCAGCAACTCGTCATTCCTAACCTTCGTAGTGAAGGAACGGAAGAACAATACGAAGGTGCCACAGTCATTGAACCCACCAGAGGCTATTACGACGTGCCCATCGCCACCCTCGATTTTGCATCACTGTACCCAAGTATCATGCAAGCCCACAACTTGTGTTACACGACTCTTCTCAACAAGAATGCTGTTGACAAGCTGAACTTCAAGAAAGATGAAGATTACATTGTCACACCAAATGGTGATCTTTTCTGCACGGCAAAGGTCCGTAAGGGTCTTCTCACACAGATTCTGGAAGAACTGCTGGGTGCCAGAAAGCGAGCCAGAAAGGAATTGACTGTCGAGAAGGATCCATTCAAGAAAGCTGTCTTGAACGGTAGACAGTTGGCTTTGAAGATCAGTGCGAACAGTGTCTACGGTATCACAGGTGCCACAGTAGGAAAGCTGCCCTGTCTTGCCATTGCCTCAAGTACGACTTCCTATGGTCGTCAGATGATCGAGAAGACCAGAGACGAGGTCCAGAAGCGGTACACCATCGCTAATGGATACAGCCACGATGCTGAAGTCATCTATGGTGATACCGATTCAGTCATGGTCAAGTTCGGGCCCAACGATCTTGCCAAGGCCATGGAGCTAGGTGAAGAAGCGGCCAATTATGTTTCCTCCAAATTCATCAAGCCTATTAAGCTGGAATTCGAGAAGGTCTACTTCCCCTACCTTCTTATCAACAAGAAGCGTTACGCCGGTCTGTTCTGGACGAACCCTAACAAATGGGACAAAATGGACAGTAAAGGTATCGAAACTGTTCGAAGAGACAATTGTCGTCTTGTGCAAACGGTCATCGAGACAAGTTTGCGTATGCTGTTGATCGATCGTGATGTTCAGGGTGCCCAAGAGTAAGTAATGCTAAAGATGTGGATCGGTCATCTACTAACAGGTCACAGCTTCGTCAAAGAGACCATCGCTGAGCTATTGCAAAACAAAGTGGATATGTCCAATCTGGTCATCACCAAAGCGTTGACCAAGAATGACTACGCTGCAAAACAGGCTCACGTTGAGCTTGCAGAGCGTATGAAGAAGCGCGACGCAGGTTCTGCACCTGCGCTTGGTGATCGTGTAGCGTATGTCATGGTCAAGGGTGCTGCTGGTGCAAAGAACTACGAAAAGTCCGAGGATCCCATCTTTGTGCTGGAGAACAACTTGCCCATCGACACCAGATACTACCTTGATAACCAGCTTGCCAAGCCTCTTGGTCGTATTTTCGAGCCCATCTTGGGTGAGAAGAAGGCAGGTCAGCTCCTGACAGGCGAGCACACACGATCCATTAGTGTCGCTGCTCCGACCATGGGTGGCTTGATGAAGTTTGCCAAGAAGACCGAGACTTGTATGGGCTGCAAGAAACCCCTCACTGGCAAAGATGAGAAGAACGGTGCCGTCTGCGAGAATGACCGTGACCGTCTTGGCGAGTTGTACCAGAAGACGCTGAGCAAGGTTGCCGAACTCGAGGTTCGCTTCGCTCGACTTTGGACGCAGTGCCAGAGATGCCAGGGCAGTATGCACAACGAGGTCATCTGCTCCAGCAGAGATTGTCCCATCTTCTACATGCGTATGAAGGCCAAANAGGATGTTGAAGACTCTGGTAAGGAGCTTGTTCGCTTCGACAACGACGGTGCTCTGTGGTAAGGAAAGAGCAACTCTAAGCAAACAAGGCGTTCATGGCGATATGGGATACAATGCATCAAACTGTTTTCTCGGGAAGAAGGGTACGGAAGGAGGTACAAGCAGTGTAATGAGTCTTGGGGACGTGAGGAAGAATAGCATCAGCGTGTGTAACGATATATAGCTATTGCGAGCTTTCATTAGCGGAAACATGTTAGTCAACAACTCTTGCTCTTCATTCTCAATCAATTCACTGCATGCCTTACAACAGACTCGATAGACTCCCGCATTGAGGATATAGGGTACGATATGGAAGACGAGGTACACGACAGAAGCACTTGATTTTTTACAGAGCATATACCTACCCAAACATAAGAACAAGGGAAAGACTTTCTTCTCTCACAGCCAAAAGGACAAAACTCGATACAAATGGAGGTAAGTAATAACAAAAGGGACAGAGAAAGAAAAAAACAAGATGCAAACACTGACACAAAATAAAAGACCGCGCTTTCCCTTTCTTTACACCAACGCCTGCTTGCAGAAACAGAAAATCCCGAGGAGCAACAAACAAAAGGAAAGAGCAATCAACAAAAACAATAAAAACAATGCTTTCCTTGCAGAAAACCACCCCAAAACAAGAGACAAAAGGGAAAAATCGAAACTTCCTACAACATGTGCGATCCGGTTCTTTTCCACAGTTCTCCTCTTCTGTGTGCCTCTCTCCTCTTGACACTTTTTTGACCCGGGGTTGTTGAGCTTCTTGGGCTTTCGATTTTTTGGCGTTTTCTTGTTTGACCCTTCAGATGCTCGCATATACTTTTTCCAGTCCAATTTCATGCTTCTTCTCCTGCCACAGCTGAAGGGTAGAAGATGGAAGGATTGGTGCGATTCCTAGCCTCACCGTTCCGGGAGGGCTAAGAATATAGAGAGCAATGGTTGAAACAGGGTCGAAAAAGCGGTGAGCAGCTGAGGACGCAAACTGAAAACGACAAAAGAACGCGCAAGGGTGCAAACTTTCCTTTTGATAGAACAAAGTATCGAAAACAAGAGCGATCGCGCCCCTCCGAAGACATTCCCAATTTTGTTGCTCAAAAAGGTCCCCGGGTTGGTGTAAGTATTATGTATGGAATGTATAACAGTAATGAAAAGAGATACAAGGGATGTTGTTTTTGCGGCCTCGAGGTCCGAGCATAGTGATCAGACAGTGCAGTGTAGACGATCCTTGTGGTATTCCCTTTCTCTTCTTTCAACTTCCCTGAAGCGCTGCATAAGATTCGTAGAGGCGGCTGAGAGAGTAAGGAGGTGAAAGATACAGAAGAGAAGTTGGAGGGAGGAGAGTGATAGATGAAAAGGAGGATGATGGACGAGATGGCACGAAGCCTCATCGGATAGAGCTGGGTGTCTAGCCACAGCACAGCGCCTTGAAGAACTTTGACATTCCCGAAGGCTTCTGCTCAGGCTGCTGTTGTTGCTGCTGGACACGCTGTGCCTGAGCTGAAGGCTGAGTGGTACTTTGCCTGCTGGGTTGAGTGTTTTGCAGACGCCCGGGGAGGTTACCAGAGCTGTTAGCGAATTGCGCAGCGGTAGATCCCTCTGGCGGAGCGAGGTCACCACCTTGGCTAGTTCTCTTTTGGGCGTAGTCTTGGCTATAGTGACGGTTGGTGCCCGACTGGCGCTGTGCTTGGGCAGGGGATCTGACGGCACCAGGCTTGGGCAGCTCCTGCTCGAGACGACCTGGGGGAATGGGTGTTTTGCTGGCACGGTTGGCGTGGACATCGCGAGCCGAAGTGTTGGCAACGTTGTTGTGGTGGGCATGCAGGTGGGCCTGGCTGGGGTGTTGCTTCATGGCCTCCCAGCCCTTGCCGTTGTTCAGCTTCATCCAGTCGTACTCTCCATCTTCCACCTCGCCACTATTCTTCAATGCCTGGGTGAAGAGATCGCGCAAGTAGTCGTAGTCGGGTGTGTCCTCAAAACCAAGGTTGCGGACGTATGACAGGTACTTGTTGAACTCCTCTGCAAGACATGTTAGCAACAGCTTGTATGCCCGGGACGTNACTGTTTTTTACTTACCAGGGAAGCCCTCACAGAGATCCTTGATGGCGGTTGTCTGCTTCTTCTCACCAATCTTCTCGTACTTTTGCTTGTTCGTAGCAGCTTTCAGACCCTGCCAAGGCAGACCACCTCGCAGGAAGTACATAAAGACGTGGCCCAATGCCTCGAGGTCATCTCGACGACTCTGTTCGCGACCCAGATGGGTGTTGATGGACATGTAACGAGCCGTTCCGCTGAGAGACTTGCGCTCACGGTAGGGGATGTGTTGCTTCGTCTTTGGGTCACGGTATTGCTTGGCCATGCCGAAGTCGACGACGTGAATAACGTTGGCGGCCTTGGTTCCAGGACGGCCGATGAGGAAGTTGTCAGGCTTGATGTCACGGTAAATCAGGTTCTTCTCGTGGATAGTTTGTACGCGCGACAGCATCTGCTTGGCGACCATGACGACAGTCTTGGTAGAGAAGCGACGGTTGCAGTGGTCGAACAGGTCTTCGAGTGAGGGTCCTAGCAGATCGATAACGAGAATGTTGTGCAGACCTTCTTGGCCAAAGTAGTAGACATTGGGAATGCCGGCTNNGCATGCGTTGTTAGGATTGATAAAGAGTGGACGGTAGTGGGACTGGGACTCACGGCATCCTACGAGGATCTTGTAGGTGCGGTACTCGTCACGGAGCTGAGGAGCGTCGCTCTTACGCGGTTCCTGTTGGGATTAGGACTGGATAGCGAGAACGGGGAGATGTGTACGAGGACGCACGAATTTAATGGCGACCTGGGTGTTGTTCAACAGGTTGGTGCCCTCGAAGATGACACCGAAAGAACCCTCGCCAATCTTCTTGCCGACGCGGTAATGCACGCCGACGACGTTGGATGATGAAGACGACATGTTGTGGGTGATGGCGTGGACGTGCCGGACGTGTCAAGTCGCAGAGGTGGTCGTGGTAATGTTGATCCGAGACTAGACGGGTCGATTGGGAGGTGGAGAAATATTTGCACGAGGCGTCTGCAGGCGCAAAGGACGCCGATGGAGATGTCGTCGATCTGGGGACTTTGCAGAGAGACTGGAAAAGAGGGAGGTTGGGTGTTACGGCGGGCACGGGGGACAACAGCCTTCAACGACGGCGGAACGGGCAGGCAGGACTCGGTGGGCACAACAGAATGGCAGCGACAGTGACAACAGACGACGGGCGCACCGGACCGTGGGAGCGCTCGCGGACGGGCAGAGCAAGAGAATGCGGTGTGGATGGATAATACAGTCAATAGGCCTCCAAGGTAGGTCAAGAGTGTTGTTGTCGGGCCTTGATCCCAGACGCTGGAGGAACTTCCCGCGCCCCCTTAGACTTCGCAAGACCGCGCGCTAGCAACCACTTAAACATGGAAACACCAGAAGCCCAGACCCTAGTCAGGAAAGAGCCCGCGACTATCCTTCACCACAGAACCACTTGATCCCTTGCTTGACAGCTCCAACAACAGACAGGTCCAGATCAATTCATCTATCCTGCTGCTGCTGCCACTCAGTTTGCCTCCCACATCTTGTCACGTCTTCCAGTAGCACACGACGCTCGCAACGCGTCTAATCTATTTGCTTGCCGCACGATCCCTTTAGACTAGACAATCCGTCTCAATTTCGCTTGTGCTCCGGCCAACTCGACCAACCCCCAAAATTCCCCCTCTGTTGAATGACCTTATGCTGGACTATGCCCTATTGTGTAGCTACACTCTGACTACGCCATTTGTACATCGCCGTCATCTGCACTCTGCTGCTCTGCCTGTTCTGACTCGCCTCCCGCACTGTCAACCATCTGTGCGTCCATGTTCGTCTCGGCACCGTCGTTTTCAGCTTCCTTCAACGTCTGTTTCAGTTGCTGCGCAGCTGCCTCTTCCTGTGCACTTGTCGCTGCCTCTTCTTCCAGTTTCTTTTGGCTTCCNTCCACACACACTGCATGCCAGCGATCCGCGTTGCACTTTTCGATCAGCTCTTGTAACTGCCCGTCTTGAATCAAATTGTCGTGCATGATCGGGTCACGGAGCTCTTCGCCCGGGAATCTGCTTTGCAGCTCTCCGGCCGTACATCCTGCCCCCAACGTCTCGCTAGGTGTCATCATGCGAATGCCTGAGCCTGGGTGGAACAATGCTTTTTGAACGTCAGCCGAGTTCTTGTCTTTCATCTTTTCAAACTTACAAAGCTCTAGCCCACGCATCATTGTTTGACACGCAAAAGTGTCTCTGATGTGCCTCGAGATAAGCTTGTCAGTTCGCTTCCTCGTGTTGTTGATAAATTCCCAATCGTCTTGCAGATAGCATCTCTTCCAGATCATGCGGAGATTTGTCTCGAATCGAGCTTCCTCCATCTTGGACTTGCCTGCTTCGAGCACTTGCAACGCCATCAAGAACTGCTTGCCAATGATGTTGACCTCAGAATCTTCACTTTCCTTCGTGTCCATGAGGGTCAGGATGTCGATCATCTCCTCTACTGACAGGGCTTCGTTCCTGAGCATATGCATTAGTGATGCCTCAAGCAGGCCATACAACGCTGGAGTCTTAAGCTGGAGGTATGCAGCATAAGTGTCACATGCTAGTTGAACCTCGGCCTCGATATCGACTGCCGCATACAGGATGTATTGCAGGTGTTGTCTGATGGCTTCTTGTGTGTTGACCACCGTCAAGTCGTCATTGAGTCGTTCCTGGTTTCCTTTGGAGCCCTTCTCCTCCGTCGCGGCCAAGGATGTCAGCTTTGCGAGTGAAAGCTCAACTTTCTTGTTCCAGAATTTGATCTCTTTCTCTTCTGCCAAAGTTGTCAGTGTCGTGGAGGCTTCCTGGAAATCGCCTTCACGGAGCACGTCATTGATCCAGGACAGCCGACCACGAGTCTTTTCGGCTCTGAGATAACGAGTGAGCGGTTCTCTGAAATCCTCTGCCTCTTTCAGTAAGCCATAGCTGCGGCGACTGGAAAGATGATTATCGAAGAAAGCGTTTGCCCACTCTTCACCAAACATCTTGAAGTAACCTTCCACCTTGGTCTGCAGTTTGTTCATGTTGGCCTGAGTCTCCGTCCTATCGTGAGAAACAGTGCCAGGGTCGTTCAAGATGTTCGACATGAACTGAGATTCTTCGATGACTAGCTGCACGAGCGTTTGCATATCCCTGTACTTTTCGGCAATGCTGATACCAGAGGCAGACTCGCCAATCTTATTGAGGGAGCGCAAGTGGTGTGCTCGGGCTTGTTCGAAGATCTTTCCAAGGCTGATTGCGTAGCTGGGACTGTTCTGCTCGTTGTGTACCTTGCTATAAGCGATACGCTCTCTATAGCAGAGGCATAAAACGTTGACCATGCGGACATTCTCACTGACGATCTTGTCGACAGTCGCCATATCCGAAACTCTAGAGGCGTCGTCAAAGGAATTGACTGCGCGTTCGCGCGAGATGTCGATAAATCTGTTCAGTGACTTGAGAACTTCGTACTGCGAGGTCCAAGGTTCTATGAGCTCTTCGTAGCCTTCTTCCAGAACGCCGTCGTCGAATAGAGTTAGATCCATGCCGTATATCTCGGCGTTCTCAGTGCGGAAGCTGAACACAGCGTCGTAAAGGCTGAACAGAATATCGTCGGCTTCGCTGATCAGCTGCATTATGTTTCTAGACTTGCCATCCTCGTGAACGTTGTTGATCATCAATAGCACGAGGTTTCGCAGCTTGTCAATGTTGGCGACCTCCTCGACGAACCAAGACCTCATCGAGTCGGCGTTGACATCGATAGACTGTTGTCTAGATTGGGATCTGTAATAGGCTTGGATGACGATAGGAAGCAGAGTAGACTTGGAGGAGCGCTCCTCGCAAGCGATCCAGATGGCTTGAGCGGCGGCTAGCTTCTCTGCATCGAGCAGCAGCCTCCACGATGTCGGTCTTGACACTGGTGGATAATCGCTACGAAGGTGGAGAATTAAAGCACGAATAGCTTTGATGCGATTTTGAAGATGAGCCTCCATGGATGAAGTGAGTGGTGGGATGAAGTGTGAAGTTGAACGCAAAATCTCAGCACTAATGGACAATGCGGCTTCTTCAGTTTCTTCAATGTCGTAGCGATCGTACGGTCTGCGAGAGAAATCAAGGACATTGTCAGACATGGTTCCGTAGAATATCGCTTGTTCAATCTTGGTCTTTATTGAAGAGTGGGACGCATTCGTCTGGGTAGCGGAGACGCGAGCAAGACCATGACCCTTGATAAAGATGGCACATGAAGAAGTACCCTTTGTATCAATCAGGTCTTCTTCACAAGCCCCTTCAATCGTGACGTGTTTGTCTGATCTCAGGCGTATGGCATCTTGGAACGAACTCGACTTTGTGATAGAAGCGAGTATGATCTCATGTTCAAAGATGATAAAAGCGGTATGTCCAGGCTTAGGCAAAAGCAGTCGTGGGCGAGATGTGGCTGGCGAGTCAGGCGATACAGTGTTGATTCGAATGATTCCATCGAGGCGAGCACCGTCTTGTGTTTCCATAGTCACTTGAGCCATGGCGTATGAGGGAGATGAGGCAGGACCAGCCTGAACAAACAAGACCAGTTGCAGCGGAGCGTCAGCAGCCGAAGAAGCAGGAGTAATGGCCATGTCGAGCAGACTGATGATGTTCTCGCCCAACGATATGGCCAACTCATTCTGCAAAAACTGACGGAAATCGAAAGCGCCTCTGAATGTGGGTTGGCCAGACCAGGCAAGGTGCCAGGTGTAGATTTGGCCAGTCTCGGTGGCAGCGATAGCCTGTATCTCGCGTCTAGCAGGAAGCGGGCGGGTGCATACTGACACAATATCACGTTTCCAGGGACCAACACCAAGGACGTTTTTCAAGCTGCCAAAGAGACCACCACTACTAGCTGCCTCGGTCGAGCGCAAGAAATGTGCTGAAATCTTTGGTCTGCCTTGGTCATCGATCAGACTCATCTGAGCAATCCGGCCAGAGCTGAGAGTAACTATGAAGCCAGCATGGTCGGCAGAATCCAGACGAATGACGGTCTCTCCGCCAGACAGTGAGCCGATGTTTCCACTGACGGCTGTGTTTTGTTGGTTGAACAGGGTCAATGACTCGGCTGTGTCGATGTTTTGCCAGTATGTGACATTGCCCGTGACAGCAGATATTACTACTAGGCCAATGTCTCGTGTAGGTGATGTGACAAGGGCAGCGAGTGGGAGGGGATCGGCAGAGCGGGCTGGTCGGGGGACATCAAATGTCTTCGGATGTGCAACGGGAGATGGAGAGGTATAGTCCCAGATGTAGGCGCGTTCGCGGGTGACAACTAGAGCGAAGGGAGGTGATGAAATGGTAGATGCACGGTAGTCTGGGCTGTGGTCAGACAAGATGAAGGATGGGTCGTCGGACGGGAGGTTCGTACCGCTGGCGCTGTTGCGCAGGATGTCTGGTGTGCTCGGAAGATGGCGCACACTGTACTGATCTGTTTGCGCCTATCATCCTATTAACAATTGGAAGCCAATGAGATAGTTGATGAGAGGCAATACCAAGAGAGTGCTGTTGTCGCTCTTCAGCGTTCTCTTGTGACGCGTTCCGGCATCTCCATTGCGCGAAAAGGAGGCTGATGTCTGGACAGCGAGAGCACTCAGACCGCTGCGAAGGGACTCTGTCGTGTCGAGGGGCAGCGATGCGTCGGCGGGTTTGTTGGTCAATTTGCGTATCTTGCGCTGAGGGCCGTTCGGGCTGTTTGAGCCTTCAGTGATTCGAGGTCGTCGCTTTGGATTGCGCACGGCGCTGCGGCGCATGCTATCGCCGCCGTCTGTCGTCGTTGTCATAGACATGGCCGGGCGTTGTGAATGAGTGGAAGGTGGCTCGCGTATGGACAGAATAATTCTTGACTTGTTTTGATGATGATGGCCGGAAGCTGCTAGCTTGGCTTTGGGGAGCAACACCTCTGGAGGCTGCAAACTCGACTTTCACTCCTTAATTCCGCTACCCTTTATTCTGATGTCCGACTGTTTCACTTGAGCAACTACTTGACTTTGCCGCTACGGTGTGAGGTTCAGTCAAGAGTGATGCTTTGCACGTCTCAGTCGCCTCTGCTCGGCAAGGGGAGCCTGTAAAACGCGACACTTCTGCAATTCATGGCTTTCGATCCCGTACCACGTTGTTCTTTCGATCTGAGTCTTCTACGCCCGTATCCGCTATGGCCATTTCCCACTATCCACGAGCTCTCATGCCGGAGATGTCCCTGCCTGCGACACCCAGCCGCTCACATAGTCGAGTAGCATTCTATGCTGAAGAGTTATGAAACTGCTTCATAAAACAGCACAAGTCTACGCTACCCCGCAAATCTGGGGACATGTATCATCCGCACGGACCCGCGTCCTAACGTTCTGGGTCTGGTGACGATGTGGGACAGCACGAGACACCCGACATGAAGATGGCAATCTCCATCCAGAATGGCAGTCTAGTATGAGCTGATAGAAACATGATGTGCGTTGAAACGCAGCATCCTAGCTTGTTGAAGCATGCCTATCTACAGTCTTGCGAGCTGAAGGAATGGATGTACAATCTCTGTGACATCCACAAGTATTCGGCCATAGCTCCATTGGCCCCCGCATCCGATCTGCATTGCTCACCATCAAGTAGTTCGATGGCGTGAGTCCACGTCCACCCTCGCCCTCTTCCAGGTAGAGAGAGTGAGAAGCACACGGAGCGCGAGGGATAACGATCCACCAGATAGGGGAATATCATTGGCCTCCGAGATGTCTTGATAGTCGTGTAACACCGGTGTGACTCAAAACATCGTTGGTCGGCAGTTATTGACACTTTGGACGAGGACAAGCTTCACGGCTCCGAGGGGGAGCTGTCACGCGAGCAACGTAACTGTCGAGCTCTTGCAGTCCCTTATATTAAGCTTTGCTTGCATCCAACCTCAGCTTCTCTTCCTCTTCTTCTACCTGCCTGATTACAGGTACCACACGACATACCCGTACCACCACAATCACCAACCAACTTCCTTGCAATCACACTCAGACTTACCGGATATCATCGTCGGCAGCCAGTAGGTCTTCCTGTCTGATGTCTTGTCCATTGAGCGTACCGATGCTTCTGGCATTGCACGCGACCTCTTTCACATACTAATAGCCTCTTCTTGCAGTGACTCGTTCTCGCAAACTTAATGACCGTGACCACGTTGGCCTCGCCAATGGCACTGCTCTCCCTGAAGAGCACCTTCCTCGCTACTTTGCCAAATCCGGCTTCAATGCCAACAATGATCCCAACAGAGTCAAGAAGTCCGGCAATGGCAAAGGCAACTGGTATGTGGTCTGACTATATATATATCACAACGTACTCACGTCTTGTAGGGGCCGCCACGGAGAGGAACTTGAGGACATGGATGACTTCTACCGTCCTAGCAAGCCTCGCCGCCGCAGCAATGCATCCGCCCAACTTCTTGATGCCATGACCTCCAAGTTCGAAGTCGTTGAGGCTGAGCCCATGTTCAAGGAAAACATTCACGGCCCATCGGCTGACGATTACATCCTTCAAAAGACTATGTCTATGGAATCTGCTCCTAGTGAGGCCGGAACCACCACTTCTTCCGAGGGTAGTGACGAACATTTGGCCAAGTAGAGGTGAGGAGATAATAGATTGTATGAATTGGGCATGGGGCATCGCTGGCGTCTGTCTTGTGGACTTACCATTCAACTAGAGGTCACTTTGGCTTGGTGGATGATAAGACTTGATGTTTTGCACACCGATACCAACCAGAGACCTTCTAGTATGTATTACGAAATGAAATGAACTTAATCAAACGACCATACGATATCAGTGCCTCGTGTTCAATTTCATATGTTCTCAGCTCACGTAGCGACGCAACGCTGGTATAATTGTCTAACGTCTCGAGTCTCTCGACCTTATGGTCTATCAACCCGACCTATCATGCGAAGTGTCATGACAGCAGCTACATAGCATGAAATACTCTTTTTCACCATCAACAATATGCAATCATACAACAGACTGTGCTGCGCTGCCCGAATGGATGGTTGGGTTGTGAAAATCCATGTTAGCGGTATGACCCTGCTCTTTTGTGGATATCATGCAACGCTTCAAGGCCGTCGCGTTTCCCGTCCAAATCCTTCGAGGACTTCACGATTCAGGCAGCATTTCAATATGACGTACGAGGTCAGGAATCTGCTTCAACAGTCCTGGAGAGCTATATGTTGTCTTTGTCAAACGATTAATCCTAAAAAACAAACCGATCGATCATGGCCTCTGGTCCGCCAGTTCAACTACCGTCACTCGCCATCAGCGTCCTCAGCAACATCCGCCACGCAGATTTGTCTCGAATAGAAGTGTATTTTCTCTCGTCTTCGAGTCTGTCGGCGGCGTCACTTACTTCAGTCTGTGACGCTTTGACAGAGTCATACGTACATGATGTATTGTACGATGAACAGGTGGAAGATTATCACCAATTCCTCACACCTATCCTGACACCTTTCGAATCTGTTCAAGACTGTGTCGAAAGGCACTTTGATGGTCTAGACAAGTGGCTTCTCGGGCACCCCAAGCCAGACGAGTCTTCAACCGTCTATCCTCGCGGCATCCTGGTCTTTGACAAGAATGAGCAGGAGACACTACTCGTACACATCGACCCTATAAACAAGAAATGGCATATAGGATCCATCTATCTACCCATGACAGAGCTCGGACTCGAACTCACCAGCCTCATGATGGGCGATGAGTACATGGGAGATCTATGCGCTAGATACAATGTTAAGGTGCCTCAAAACGACCCTGACGTCAATGAAAACTACATGGAGCACCAGAAGGACGAGACTGGCGCATGGAAGAACAACCCACAACGTTTCGCTGTCTTTTCAACAGGATGGAACCATCCGCTTCCTGTACTAAGTATGCTAGACGATTCATGGGTAGACGTACCACATGGCCATTCCCATGTTGGCCTCTACTCTCTGACTGGATCACAACCATACCCTGCAGATATAGACAAAGTCAAAGAAAGATTCCCGGCGTATGTGGCCGCTGACCAGAGGGGCGAAAGGAGACATGAAGGCAAAGGACCATGTGCTTCCTGCAGGCCTTTGCACAAAACGATCTTCATCGACGTCGACAATCCTGAACCGATGACCAAGGGCGTGTTAGTGTGTACAATGGACTGGAATGCCAACACTGATGGCAAAAGTGACGACCAGCTAGCCGACGTAGGATTGAAGGCGAAGATCGAAACAAAGAGAGTTGGTGTCGCGTTTGCGGTGGCCACAGCGAAGGCCATGTCCTCAGAGCAGGCTGATCAGAAATCTCAAGACTGGCAGGAAAAGATCTAGGACAAACCCAATCAGATTGAGTATTTCGTTGCTATGAAAATCTACTGCCCCTTCTTGGCAAGCGACTGTGCTCATGATTTGGAAGCATCGTTCTTTCTGTTCGGGCAATGCGCTGTGCCAATACGGGCTTGGAAGTCATGTCTCTAGATCCTGTACATTGCGTCTTCTGATGATGGGCAGTTAGATGAGCCAACAATATCTCTTGGTAAAGCATATCTTGCAACAATATGCTGTAGCTCCAGTGGAAGGAGCCTGTGTGGACCAAGCCAGGAGCATATGGTCCCCTTCCGGACGTTAAGGTCCCCGAGATGACTAGATTTGGTTGCTCACCGTGTACTAAAGTCTGTAACTTCACCGTACCCCGACTATAGTGAAGAGCAAAATCTAGACTATAAAAACACACAATTATTATCAGAAACAGAGCGTGTCCACAAAGAGTCGACAACTTGTTGCCTCTCAGTGGATACTATCTTGCTCTTTATTAATATTCTGCATTTCTACAGGTATACGCGTTACATACTTTAGTACACGGGGAGGTTGGAGAATAGCTAGATGTAGGCTGATGACACATATTCAGCGTACGGTAATAACGTAGAATGATCTTTTTCGCCGAAAAACGGTGACAAGCCTTTGAAAAGTATGCGCGGGACACGTGATAGGACACGACTGCTGACAAGTCATGTTCAGGAGCATCCTCCGTCTAAACTGTATCTCCAATAGAACCTACCTTATGAATCTGACCAACGATTTAGCATGGAAGATAACTCCGAGATTGGAAAGGTTGTTGAGCCATGTTTCCAGTCCCTGAACCGGTACGATGACATTGGCAGACATTGGCATGATCAGAAGGATGCTGTTGATCAGAGTCGGTGAGTAGGTGGAGTCCAGATTGTCATAGCCTGCATTGTGGCGTCAGGTCAGTTGTCGGTTGCTTGCGGCTGAGCGCTGGGCTAGACATGATACGACCAAGCATCTTCAGACTCAGCACAGTAAGGATTCTTGACCTGAGTGCTAATGCTCGTGTGATTCCTTGCAAAGAATATCACCGTGCTTGGAGGATCGATGTACCATCAACAATACGGGAATGGCTGAAACTTCAAGCTCATCTGGACAACCAAAATGTAGACCCTTCATTTCAGATCTCGATTACCGTCTATGACCTTGACTTGCCCTCATACGCCGATGTATTGTGAACGAAAGTAGGTATTAAAATTGGAGAATAGGATTACTATTCCCTGAAAACTCGGCTTGCGCCACGACATGTGGCATCAACGGTATTTGCTAGTCTACCAAGAAGTTAGAAGACATATAGTCGCCGATTAGTCGGGCCGGGCTTTAAGAACAACGCGGGGTTCTCAGAGGAAGTCGTAGACGAGGAGTGGTGATTTTGCATCGTGATAAAGGTACTTTGATGTGAGATATGAGCGCCCAATGTTTCAGCCCTGTGGCTTTAGATAATCAGAGGTGTCCATTGTTCCTAAAATGTGTTGGCAGGACCACTGGTTTTGGTTTCAAACATCTGCGAATGCCTGCCAATTCAGGTAAACGCTCTATCCTCCAGATTGTGGGGTGAATTGCGCATCAATACCAAGCGGACGGGCGGACTATGATCTGTGTCCGTGCCTACCTAATCTTACCCATATCCGCGGGAGAGATGCTGGCGCTGACTCGGTACGACTCTGGAGGATTGTACTTGTTGAGAGTCTAAATAGAGGAAGCGAGTCATATTTGGCTTCGAAGAGTTTTTGAGAGATCTTCGAGCGCTACAATTCTGCGATTGATGGTTGTCGAAGAGCACTTCTCGAGATAGGCAAGAGCAAAAACAATCGACCGAGCCGTGGTCCTGTGTGGTGCTTGTTTGAGATCGGAAGAGATAAACGAGCAAGGACTGAGGTTGCGAAGAAGCACAGATCTCGAAGGCACGTGCGCGAGATTCATGCCGGATGTTGGTCGATTGTTGTGGGGTCCGGGAAGATCTTCCTTGTTCCCTTCTCACAGCCTCGAAATCTGCATCAACCGTTGAACCACCCGCACAGTGTTTCAGCAAGAGTCAAAGAATACACTGAGCAGTACTTCCGAGTCATTTTGATCCAAGTCAGCAATAGTTTCTAGCCAAAGCATATTATAAGTGTCCATGTACGTAACGCACAACGCTTGTGACTTTGCAGACTCAGAAACTTGAGGATGCGATATCTATCTGGAGCCTGACTGCCGGATAACGTATCCTTGTAATCGGCTATCGTGAGCTACGTGCCGGTGTTTGACGATCAGCCACGTTGATGCAATACATATGGTGCCACAAACCAGTCTTTCTCCCTCCAGGCTCCAGGACGGATGAGCCGAACGAAAGCGAGTCGTGATGTAGGGTAGGCGAGTCAATGCTTGAACTCTTCGAGCACGTCCTACACGGCGATCATCTTCCTTCGTATGATCTTTTGCCCCAGGAAAATGTTGGACTCTTTCATAATCCTCGAATGGCCCTTCCGCATGGTTCGTTCTATCATCGCCGGCTGACCGTACACACTCTCCACTCGTCACGCTTCTAGGATTTGGATATTGCCTTCCATGGCATCTCTCCTTGCTATCAGAGATATCGTCGAGGGGGGTGAATNNAGCAAAGTCACTAGTGAGACGGATCTGGCCATAATATCGATAACCTGGGGCTTTACACTTGGATTCGGCTTCTTGACAACATGGACCGCCATCAAACAGACAAGACACATGTGGAAAAGACGCAATGGTCACCTTAATCATCCGTATATCTGGATGGTCTGGGCTGAGTTGGTGTCAAGTCTTGCACTGAGTATCCTGTGTTGGCTTGTTTTACAAGGACCTCTGCCTCTCAAGTAAGCCATTGGACAATCATTTGACAATGTATAGTAACTGACCATCACAGCGTCTACACTCTNNTTTGCGATCTTGAGCTGCTGGGTAGTCCAAGTTCATTGTCTTTTCCAGATCATCATCAACCGCGTCTCAATCTTGATGCTCAACCGGAGGCGAGCCAAGCAGCTCAAGATCAGTGTTGTCATCGGTATCTTGTGTCTCAACGCCACTGTTTTCTGCATCTGGATTCCTGCAAAGCTTCAAGTCAACCAGACATACGAGAGGCTCAATGTTGTCTGGGATCGTATTGAGAAGGTCATCATCCTCCTTGTTGACGCTGGGCTCAACTATTACTTCATCCGTGTGGTCAGAAAGCAACTCATCAAGCCTGGTCTCACCAAGTACACGCCGCTCGTTAGGTTCAATCTTTGGATGATCATTATCTCGCTGGCGATGGATTGCTTGATCATTGGCATGTTGTCCTTGAAGAACTCCTTAGTATATCTGATGGTAAGTGACTTGCACGGCTTTCATCCTCGGGATATCTAGCTGACACAAAACCAGTTCCATCCTCTAGCATACATCGTCAAGCTCAAGATCGAGTTGTCAATGGCCGAGCTCATTGCCATCGTGGCTCGAAACCAGGAGAACGGTCCCATCCGTTTCAACAACCCGGGCAGCTCGAATGGCACAATCAACGGCAAGGGGCCCTACACATTCAGTACCCAAACCACCCAGAGCAAACGAGCTTCTGTACTGAAGACTCCTGCAACACCTAACGATGTCGAGCTCGGCAACGTCAGACCAGAAACGCCGGAAGCAATGCACAGCCACTTCGGCATCATCGAAGAGGAAGAAGAGAGGCGCAACCATGACATCGATAACGGCTTTGTGGTACACAGGCACAACGAGATCACGGTTGAAGTCGAGAGCGCACCTTCAGAGCGATCGGAAAAGAACGACAGTCAAAACGAGAACTTTGACTCGAGGAGACATACCTCGGAGAGTGATGAGGCCCCCTTGCGCAAACCGACAAACACTATGGGTCTCAACACAAAGGTCTGGGGTCGCTACTAGACTCGAGATCACTTGTCTTGAGTCAGGGCATGAGGCCATCTCAACGTTATCATCGCTCGAAGCAAACTTGATGATCTCCCTGGTGTATCTATCCATTTCTTTTGTTTCTGCGGGCGGACAGGACTGCTGTAAATTTCTTGACGATAGGTGTGTCGTCACTTATGATACCCAATTACATTCTATAGTATTTTATTTAGGACCAGGTCCACATCATTGTTAGTCACAAATCAAGCCAGCTCGAAGCCAGTCCCAATGTTATCGTCCAATCATAACCTGGTGAGAGTCTTGACTTGGGGCAGTTGACCTTCAGATGCTCAGCAGAGCCACGGAAAGGCTGGCCTGAAGACACGACTGATCCGAGGGTATTCAATATAAGCGTCGCACTGTCGTGTTTGCATAATTTTGCTTGCCAGGGCAATATTTGTCTACTAGCAACTGCAACACGCAGCCTCCAGTCACATTATGTTCAGTTGCCCAAACTCTTAACAACAGCAACGCCCAGCGTTACGAAAGCAGCCAGATCAACAGTCATGCCTCTGAGTCTGTTGTACCATAGCCACTCGTCCAAAGCGATATTTGCGTCTCTTGCAGGGTGGTTTGTGCGAATGGCCTCCTTGGATGCGATCATGAAAGGCATAAAGATGAAATGTGTGACTGCGAGGATTGCTCCAGCACGGTACCAGGGCCGTGCCGGGCTTCCACGGGAGTAAAGGTTGGCGATAGAGGCAACAACAGTCAAGGAGACCGAAGTCAGACGGCGATAGAAGCCAGCATGAGAGACGACGGGAAAGTAGGAGGAGAGAGCGGCGTTGCTTTTCGAGCGCGTTTCGGGCTGGTTCAGCGCCGACAGGAAGAGGTTGCTGTCAAAGGCATGGTCGAGGGTCAAAGTCGCTGCAATCAGAGGTGTGATTCTGAGGAGTTGAACGGGGTCGACGGACTGACGGCTGGCCATGTTTGCGACGTTTTGGGATGAGGATGTGTGAGGATGGGAGGAAAGACTGGAACAGTGGTGGAAAAGGGGTGATAAGGGCTATGAAACAACCTACCTCAGGATGGTGATCGATTCTTATTTATTCGGCTTGGTAAGACCCACGGCGAAACAAGGATTTGCACTGTGACGACGAAGCCGACTCACGCTGCCGGGCCTTGGTACCGCTACAATTCTTCTCCTGAATGACAGGTGATCGTCGTTTTCAACATGCTGAGGCTCAAACACTGCGCGCAGCTGCCCTGAAGTGTTGACTCAGTACTGGATGTCCAAACAGTGGAACTCTTGTCGAGCGAAGGGCTTTCGCGACATGATCGCTCGTTCCATCTACCTTTATGACACTCGTCGCATCAACGCCATGATGTTGAAACGAGAGTGCTCACCGAGCAAGTATGTACGTGAAGAATGATAAGTTCTGTCGACTCGAGGAAGATGGTGCGGAGGTCTGAGGTCGAACACGAGGCTCGTCGCGTGCGGCATCCATCTGCCGAAACGCTGCTTCATCCTTCTGTCTAGACTTGCTGCCCTCGCGCATTCTTCCTCTAGGCACAAAAGTGTGCGACAAATTGTCAACCAATCTCGACGACCAAATATGTGGAGCACACGCAGTTTGAGAATGCTTTAACACTCAGACTCGCCGAACCTAGAAGGTATCATGGTATTGTCATTAATGCTGTAGTCAACTTTTCTGCCATCAACTCTGTCGTTGCTATGCTCAGCCAGCATATCAATACCCCTATCGCATCAGTCACACTCAATTCTTTCTGCATGGAAAGAGGCGCCAGAACGGTTCTGGAGAGTCAATGGCAACTGGAGGACATCTACCGTTGTCCAGACATAGGACACGATCTGGACAATGGAGATCCCTGGCAGCAGGATTCGATCACGAAGTACCCGTCTGATCCCGTTCTTCACGATCTAATTACATCGCTTTGTACTTCTGAAGCGGACAGATTGGTCTACCTTGAGGCGACGAGCAAGATCTTCTCGTTCATCACTCTTTTGGGGGCCAATTTCGATCTACACCACAACGCAAGATTGATACAAGTCCGATCTATCGAAATCAGGAAGCGCTTTCTCAAGATGTTGAATTGCGAGGAAACCTATTGCTCTATTGATTCTTGGCTACTGTTCTGTCCTCATGAGATGGAGCTAGGATACCATGTGGACCTTCGACGCTTGACCCGCAAAACCTTTACAATCGATCGAGGAGGCTCTGGGCGATGGTTGGGGCGAGTAAACAGGGTGGCCTAGAAGTAAAATGCTGTCGTAGGTGGTGTCGAAACGCTTTCTGTAAGTCAGGTGCCAAGTTGGTTGGACGCTAATATACAACGATCGACTAAGTTGTACAATCTTGGGATGATGAATCTCGTGAGTGGAGAGCAAAGCAATGGGTGAGGATGTGCACATGCTTGAGCAACCTGAAAATTTGCTTCTGTCTCTAGACGCGTCTGCGATCAGAACGGGTATCGTTGGGGTTCCAGAGTCGATTGGAATGAGGGCTGTGAACATTGTAGCAGACTCTGCAGACTAGGCCACGGCAGACACCACACTCGATCTTTGCAACGCTTCGTGAGGAGGTCAGTATGAACTGAATCACCATAAGAATTGGTTACATACCCTTTNNGCACGGCCTGTTGGAGTTCGTGGGGTGACCGCGTCCGTCTTCACATTTAAATTTTTCGTAGCGTTCCTCGCGTCGTGAGATGTAGTGGCTGCGCTTGCGAAGACCATGCTCGCAGAATCCTGCAACTGAGCATTTATGGTTATTGCGAAGTGGTTTGGCTGTGGCACATTCGTTCTGTCCTTCTTTGGGCTAGGAGCCGGCCAGCCAGGTATCCAGAGAACACAAGGAAAGTATGAAAGACTTACGTTCNGAGACATTGTTTGGTGAAGACTCGAAGTGAGAGGTTCGAGTTGAAGCGGACGCAACCATGTGTGTTGCTGATTGCGAGGATGCAGCCATTGCCGTTGAGGGTGATGGATGGCTGTAAAAGTGTCTTAGCGCAGATGTGTGAAAGGGTTGTATGTCAAGCAGAGTTGGAGTAGTGCATAGGCGTGATGCAGAGTAGATGCGGTGGGTAATGCCTAGACTCGATGCAATGAGTACAGGTGATGCAGTAAGTAGACGTGATCAATCTAAAATCAGAGATGATGGCTCGAAGGTGAAGCAGGAGAACAAGTCGCGCAGAGAGTGGAAGCATCACCACGTGTCGAAGTAATGCTCTGAACATGGCAGGTGCGATGTGTGGTGCTTTCACTGATCGAGATCAGATGCAAAATCTATAATTACGAACGCTCTGCGAGGCGTACCTCAACATGCTCTATATCTAAGCACTGCCATTACTGCCGTTAACACCGTTGGTCTCTCCTGCAACCTTCTCCAGGGCTGCCATGACATCCTTGACCAAATCCACACCCTCCTCAACACCACAGCTGATTCTGACCAAGTCGTCAAAGACACCAGCAGCTTCTCTTTGCTCCTTAGGGATACCCATATGCGTCATGCTAGCAGGGAGCTCGACCAAACTCTCAACACCACCCAGACTCTCAGCCAAAGTGAAGATCTTGGTTGCTGCGCAGAAACGCTCGGCGGCGGACTTGCCACCCTGAATGCGGAAGGAAAGCATACCACCACCGAGACCGTCTCTGTGCTGCTTGAGAGCGATCTTACGCTGAGGGTGAGAATCCAGACCAGGATAGTTAACAGCACGAACGTAAGGAGATGCAGCCAAAGCTTCAGCGACCATCTTGCCGTTGCGGCTGGCCTCGCGAGCACGCAGATGCAGGGTCTTGACACCACGGTGTGCGAGCCAGCAGTCAAATGCGCCGGGGACGGCACCAATGGCGTTCTGGAGGAAGCCCAGGCGCTCCTTGAGGTCGTCGCTGTTGAAGGCAGCGACACCCATAAGAACATCGCTGTGGCCGTTGATGTACTTGGTAACACTGTGCACCACGATATCTGCGCCGTGCTCAAGGGGGTTCTGGATGTAAGGGCTCATGAAGGTGTTGTCGACAACAACGAGAATACCGTGCTTGTGGGCCACAGCAGCAACGGCAGAAATGTCAACCAGAGAAAGAGTAGGGTTTGATGGTGTCTCAATCCAGACAAGCTTGGTCTCAGGCTTGATCAAAGCCTCAACATCCAGCTCGATGCTAGGAGTGAATGTGACATGGACACCGTGGGCCTTTGCGACCTTAGTGAAGTAACGGTGGGTGCCACCGTAGACATCAGAAACACTGACAACGTGAGAGCCAGTAGCAAGAGACTGAAGGATGATGGCTGTGGTTGCAGATCCAGAGCTGAAGGCCAGAGCGTACTTTGCCTTCTCGAGAGCTGCAATGCAGTTCTCAAAGTTGTCGCGGTTGGGGTTCGAGCTGCGAGTGTACTCGTATGCACCAACAGGTTGACCAACAGCAGTCTGAGCATATGTTGTTGAAAGGGAGATCTGATAATTAAGTTAGTAAGTACAACTTAATCATTTTCACATCCACAAAGTCTGCCTCCTTGTCATAACCAGAAGATGATATACAGGGTACGACCAATATTGTTGAATGTTCGAGCTCGAACATCGAGAGAGGATATTGAATCCTAGGCAGACTTGTGCTTAGAAGATATCACTTACGGGTTCGATCACGGCACCAGTGGTAGGGTCGTGTGGGGACCCTGCGTGCACTGCGAGTGTGCCGAAGCCGTGTTGTCCATGTTCCGAGGGCTGCATATTGATACACTGAAGGATATCGTAGACCTTGTGTATGTAGAAGTAGAAAAATGAGGCGAGAAGTAGGATGTGAATAGAGTTTTAATCCTTCTTGTTACTCGAGAGCGCTGCTATGTTGTCGAATCACGCAATCCTTCGCTTGAGTAAGAATAGATAGTTGTTCGCTTCCCTTTGAGGGAGTTTCTCGAAGGTGGATTTGTAACGAAAGAATGCAACACGATGTCTCTCAGGCAGGTACCAAAGGATGGCGAAATCGTTCCTGCAGCTCACAATAAACTTTTCGACTGCAAGAAAAAAATTGGGATTGGTTTGATGAGCAATAGATCCTCACAGGGCGCCGTACAAAACGCCTTTCGCTCGGCGTAATCGGAGACTTCGGCGTTCCTGACAGCTCGAGACCAAAACTTGACTACAAGAAATCAAACTTTTTCTATATACGGCCCTTAGAACGTGGGGAAGGAGGATGCTACCAGCAAAGGAAACAGATAGCGATTTATGCAAGTCATCCTTGGTGGGCATGGAGGTCGCTGAATATCCTTATGAACCCTTGTATGTAATCAACGGTATGGTATACCTTCACCCACGAAGAGGTCATAGCAGGTAGGCCGCATATATCCTTCCCGTGTTCAGAAGTATGTAACACGTATAGCTGTAGAAATGCATGATACTACCAGGAAAGTGGATGGCTCCCACTGAGAGGAAACAAAAATGTACTCTCTATAAAGAGTATTTGTCTCCGCATGAGATTATGCCTTTTCACAGCGTGTGCCTCACTCTATTTGGTGCTCAGAGCATGATTGGAGTTACATGCTTTTGAACACGGTGAGGATATAGAGACGTTGGTATAACGTCAGTTGTAGCGATGATAACGTTTGTACAGTTGCATAGAACCATATCTATATCTGTACATGTGAATGGAAGTATCGAGGCTGTGGCCAGGGCAGTATCAATCTAACTTCTATGCCGAACATTACTAGATATCAAGAACATGGTGCCTGTGTTAGATAGACATCACAAGGCTAAACAGTCTAAATCAGCATGGATGGCACTTGGGAGCTACGACGTGGGTTGACGACTTGAAGAAGTCCAAAGCTTTCAAAAGTCAGATAGCAGAAGAAATGATGGCAAGAGGTGGTTGAAGTAAGTGCCCACAGGCACCCTGGAGAAACTGATTCATGCAATTCGTAGCAATAATGCTAAGAGTCCGGCCCAATGCATTCCCCTTCGCTCCCAGAAACAATAAAAAAAGCAAGATTAATGATAGAACGCCTCCAATGGGAACGGTATACTCCAAGACAGTTTGTAAGAGGGACGAATATCGGGCAAGGTATCGAGTATGTATAAGTCGGGGTGTGTCGATATTTCAATAAGTGCGCTTCTTTTGTTTCGAAGCGAGTTCTTCCAGCTTGCGTTTGCGCTCAAGCTTCTGGCGCTTGAGTTCATTCTCCTCGGCCAGGGCTATAGCATCTTCACGCCTGGCAATGCGTGCAGATGCTTCTTCTTCTTCGTACATCTCATCGACGCCAGCCTCCATATCAGATCCTGATTCGTAGTCATCTTCGGGCTCATCATCTTCATCTTCCTCTTCCTCATCAGAATATGAAGCGTAGCGACGACCAGCGCCATAGCCAGACCTGCTGGATGCTGGGGCTTTGGGGAGCGGTTTACGAGCAGCAGCAGCACCTCCAGGACCTCCCATGGTACCACGGTAGACGGGAGCCGCAGGGGCATTTGAACGCATGGTGCCCTTGTATGCGACCTCGACGGGCTTTCTCTTGTCTTTGGCTGGCACGCCAGTCTTTGAATCGATCAAAGGCTCGGCACTCTTGCCTCTAGCTTTCAGACCGGCCTTTGTGTCCTTCGCCAGTGGTTTGCCCTTTTGCGCAGCACGAGCTTCCNNCTCGACAAGGCGTTGGCGATCCTTTTTNGTGAGCTTCTCAACCGGTTTATGCTTGATTTGGCCAGCTAGTTTGGCAGCTTCAGCATTCTGCTTGGCGGCTTCCAGAACAGCCAGATAACCTCCTTTAGCAGGTGCAGGCGCCGTCGAAGAAGCGGTAGAAACTGGAGATGGCCTCACAGGAGCGGATTGAACAGTGGCGGGTTTCGTCGTTGTTGGTTGTACTTTCGCGGAGGGACCGCTGCCTCGGTATGGGATGGCAGCCTTGGGTGGCGGCACTGCGGTTCTTTGAGCTGGAGAGGAAGTAGTGCTGCGTGATGGGGGCTGAGCGAGAGAGGCATTGTGTTCAAATCGTGATGTGTTGGTATCGGTTCTTGCGACCTTTGGTTTGGAGTTGCTAGCAGCGTCGTCGGCTTTCCGTTTCGGTGGCACTTGGTGAGGAGTAGGATTTCGCGACGGCGGATTTGATCTTGCGGTGGAGGGAAGTGTTTGTGAACGGGGAGGAGCAGGTTGATCGCCGTTGATAGACGACAGAATGGAGTTGAGGAGCTGTAAATTGCGTCAGCCTGGTCGAGCAGAGCGACAAGCGGTCAGGCTTGAAACAGAAGACTCACACTCATGGCTACGGAGATATTCAGAGATAGCGAATTGTCGTCGAGCCAGAACCAGACATGCTGTAGTAATCGCAGCCGGCGCTGAAGAGTCGCAGAGTGACGGAGATGCGACTAACGGGGGGCGACAGAGAGATGGAGCGGATGAATGAGAAGTGAAAGGAGACTGTCGACTTAAGTACCTCTAGGCTCTCACTCTCGAGCCAGTTCCGCAAGCGGTAACCAGAGGCGCACAGACCATTGGCTGCCAAGGCGGCTTGGCGTTCCCACACAACAATCGCGGCTACCTTTTTCGCTCGCGAACTTCTCAACTCCATTCACGACTCTCACGAACAGGAAGTCTCAGTCTCCGCTCAAGACCCGCGGTTAAATCGATTGATTCTCGCTGTTTTATCAACTCCCACCGTGAGTCTTCCTCTCGCACAATATCGACACCATCAAACTCGCAATCACCATTCGCATCGCACAACCGACCAGCCGCTGACTGACGTTTTTGCGCGCATCCAGAAATTCAAAATGAAGTACCTCGCAGCTTACCTCCTCCTCAACCTCGCTGGCAACGAGTCTCCCTCTGCCGAGGACATCAAGTCCGTCCTCTCCTCCGTCGGTGTTGACGCTGAGGGTGAGCGTCTCGACAAGCTCATCTCTGAGCTCGAGGGCAAGAACATCCAGGAGGTACGCATACATACAACAAACTGCAAAATCTTTTCGCAAGCGCAATACTTACACCACACACAGCTGATCTCCGAGGGTTCCGCCAAGCTCGCCTCCGTTCCCTCCGGTGGTGCCGCCGCCGCTGGTGGTGCTGCCCCTGCCGCTGGTGCCGCCGCCGAGGCTGCCCCCGCCGAGGAGAAGGCCGAGGAGAAGGAGGAGTCCGACGACGACATGGGCTTCGGTCTCTTCGACTAAGCGTCTCGCAACCTCTGTTGAAAAAAACTGGTGCGGAAGGGTGGATCTGTTTGTGGGAGCAGTCGGGCGCAAGGGAAAAGGACTCTTCGCTACAGCCGCAAAAGGCACGGCCATCTCTGAATACTTTATGTATTGCCAGGGCCACGAATGGAGACCTTTACATTTCCTCCATGATCATCTTGTTCCGTTCTTATTCACATGTGAAATCTGAGCTCGTGACTTGTAAATTGAACTCGCATACTAGAGAATGGACTACCGCTGTCGAAGGCTCGCAACACAACGAATAGTATGCGATCTGATCATAATAGACATGCCCAGCCTGCAGCGCATAGTAAACACATGACAGATGACTTTATCAAGGTGCTTGAAGATTTACCCTCACTTTGACGGCGGTTGCGACCAGGTCACGTGAGAGCACGGACGCGCGAAGCGAGAGGCACTCGATTTTGTTCGAATTTGCCCACAGCCCTTCCGAAACCAGCTTGCGTCCGACAACTTCGACCACCGACACCTCGACACAATGGCCGACTCTGAATACGTACGTCTACGCCTGCGCATCTCTCTGTGTTGCTCGAACACTCGCTGACTCGCTTTTTACAGAACGCCGAGGAGGCTGCCGGTATGAGATGACTCTTTACGCACCGCACCCCTTCGCGACACCGCGCAATGGAATAAAACCCTGTGGACAGGCCACGAAAGGGGTGCAGGAAGATGGAAACATGGACTGACTGAGCCGTCACAACAGCCCTCAAGGCCAAGAGATCCTTCAAGAAGTTCACCTACCGTGGTATCGACCTTGACCAGCTCCTCGACCTCTCTTCCGAGCAGCTCCGCGATGTCGTCCACGCCCGTGCCCGCAGACGCTTCAACCGTGGTCTCAAGCGCAAGCCCATGGGTCTGATCAAGAAGCTCCGCAAGGCCAAGCAGGAGGCCAAGCCCAACGAGAAGCCCGACCTTGTCAAGACTCACCTCCGTGACATGATCGTTGTCCCCGAGATGATCGGCTCCGTTGTCGGTGTCTACTCCGGTAAGGAGTTCAACCAGGTCGAGATCAAGGCCGAGATGGTCGGTCACTACCTTGGTGAATTCTCTATCTCATAGTAAGTTGCTCCGTGTTTGCAGCCAGCATCGACCAGCTCTTTAACAACCTTCCAGCNNAAGCCCGTCAAGCACGGTCGCCCCGGTATTGGTGCCACCCACTCTTCCCGTTTCATTCCCCCTCAAGTAAGCGGGACATGTACTCGAAGATGCTACGGTCAACAAAAGTTTGGGAATGGATTCATTGTTGTCTGGCGCTGGCATACAGTGCTTCAAGATATCCATAGGCCGCAATGAATCGCCTCATGAAACTCACGTCTTTTCTTCCAATTCTCGTCTTGCTTGCGTGCAATCGTGACCCATCCCTTTTGAATCCAGTTCTTGCCGTAAAGAACGGAAACACTGTCACAGCCACGTTCGTCTGTCGGAGATGTAACATGGTCGGTTATGTTGCATCGGAATCCCATCCTTATCGCACCTTATCATCGACCAGCATTATTGTGCTTTTTCTCCACCCAGCCCCGCGATGAACGCCTATCTCTCTCGGCCGGGTTGTGCGAGTCATTCCAGAACCTCAACTTCTCACCACGGCACGCCTTGACCTTCCTTCTTCTCTCAACTCCATATGATTATATATCCTTATCTCTACCTCGAAAGACTTTCTGTCGGCAGCTTTCGGAAGCGATGTCGCTTGCATTGTCCATGTCTCTACGACTGCCTAGGCCGCTGGGTCAAAAGCCAAGCTACCAGCTTCATCGGTGTCGTGATAGGCGTGCGTACATGCCCAATTCGTATTTGGTAGGGGTAACAGAATCTCTTTAGACCATCTTGCTGAGTTACCATTACCCCTACTATATTCAGCCAGGTCAAAATCGCTCACCAAAGCCATCTGCTCACCGTGGTCTGAGCCACAGTAAAAGCATGATAGTCTGAAAACGTGCATCACCTTCTCCGATAGTGGACCGTCTGTGTGATTCGAGCAGGCTTTTTGTTGGCAGCATTGGGATGCGAGGTCTCAGACCTGAAAGCTATATAAACCCATGGGTTCGTCGTAAGTCTGCTTGGTCAAGAACCAGTTTCTCTTCTATCATACTCTCGTTTCTCTATCCCTCGCTCGACAGCGTTCCTTCGTTGCATTTATACGAGTAATATCCTGCTGTTCGACAACATGTACACATCTCTGTCTCTTCTTGCTACACTTGGCTCTCTGAGCTACGCTGCTGCTTTGCCTGCCTTCCCCCAGCTTGAAGTTCGTCAATCGGCAGCGAGTGTCAATGCTTCGCTGGGCAATGTCACAATCTTCGGAACCGGTATGTTGATGTCCATTGAGAATGTTAATCAGCTCTCTAACGATTCATAGNGTGGCACCATTGCTGGTTCAGCTGGCTCCGGAGTTCAGACCACAGGTTACACTGCAGGAGCAGTTGCCATCCAAACTTTGATCGATGCCGTCCCTCAGCTGCTCAACATCTCAAACATCAATGGCGTACAGGTCTCCAACGTCGACTCAGGCAACATCAATGCCACTGTCCTCTTGGAGTTGAACCGTCGGATTACCGCCGAGCTTGCTAAGAACACCTCGACTGGTGCTGTGGTGACCCACGGCACCGACACTCTTGAAGAGACTGCTTTCTTCTTGGACCTGACCGTAGCATCCAAGAAGCCTGTCGTTGTCGTAGGAGCAATGCGTCCTTCTACTGCTACCTCTGCAGACGGTCCTCTGAACTTGTACCAGGCCGTCACTCTGGCTGTTACTCCCGAAGCCAAGGGCCGCGGCACCATGGTCACACTGAACGACCGCATTGACAGTGCCTTCTACGTGGTCAAGAACAATGCAAACTCTTTGGACACCTTCAAGGCAATTGAAGAAGGCCATCTTGGCTTCTTCTTGGACTCGGTGCCTCAGTTCTACTACTCGGCCGCAACACCCCACGGCAAGCCTTTCTTCGATCTTGCTCCTTTGAACCTGACTTCTCTGCCTCACGTTGACATCCTCTACGGTCACCAAGACAGCAACCCCGAGCTCATCCGTGCTTCCGCGGAGTCCGGTGCCGAAGCCATCGTCTTTGCAGGCACTGGCGCCGGCGGCTGGACCACCAAGGGCAGACAAGTTGCCCAAGCCGTCTACAACGAGACTGGAATTCCATTGGTCTTCTCCACCAGGACTATGAACGGCTTTGTCTCTCCCGAAGACAACGACTGGTCCATCTCCAGCGGCAACCTTGACCCTCAGAAGGCTAGAATCTTGCTTCAGTGTGCTCTTGCTGTTGGTTACAACACCACGCAAATCGCCGATATCTTCAGTGCTCTCCAGGTCGAATAAAGGGCGAGTGGTTTGTTCTTGTTGGCAAGCAACTGCTGTTTTCGAGATACAAGAAGAGACGAAATTGATCAAAATATGAATTACTGTAATGATATGCTGCAATTGCAAAAGCACCGATTTATTTTTATGAAGAATTAGTAGACAGATGAAAGAACATTCATACCTCATGTTGATCTTTTCTTGTACATGTATCACTCTGACAACGGTTTTGTGCATCTTGACAAGTATCTTTGGCTTGGCTGTTGACACGGCGAACTGTGTTGAACACTCTCAAGTGGAGCAATGATATTCGGACCAAGTAAAACCCTATATTTGATTTGGAAACGAGCGACTACCATGGATATCCTGCTACCACGAAACAAGAAAAAATCAACGACTCCATCACCCACATCAATCCAGATGAGTGTCAGGAAGGTGAGCTTCGTAGGCACCTGTCCTGCAGCCTGAGCGAAAAGAGGTTGGTGATATCACCTCTCCTTCAACGCTCCCTTTTAGTTCAAGGGATTGTTTCCATTGTTGAGAGAAGTACAATTAGCAGCAGTGGACACAGTAGAGCAATCGATGTTGGCACAAGCATCCTCGCGTCCTGGAGTGAGGTTGACCTGATCAGAAATACCGCTGTCAGTAGCAGAGTCCAGCCAAAGGATGTTGGCATCAGGCAAAACGTTGCAACATCTAAAGGTGTTGATGTCGTTGATGGCGTGAGTGATGACATCGCCGTCACTGGGTGACATGATAATGGTTCTGAGGTTTTGAAGCACGTGAGTGTCGAAGACCACCATCAGGTCCATGGCAGCACAGTTGAAGGCATCTGTACCGCCGCCAATGAAATCGCTGTTGCTGATCAGGGTCTTGAGCTGACAGGGTTCGTCCTGAGCGAACAGCAGGGTTTGCATAGTCGCATTTTGAATCTCCATGCCGCGGGCCAGTCCACTGGCTTCGTTGAGGAAAGCGTTCACAGTACTGACATCGGTGTTCCATTGGTCGATAGACGCTTTGATATCGTCCGTCGAGGGATTGCTGGTGACCGAGTCAACCATGCAGACATCAGCTGCCTGGCGACGGTATTTGGTGGCATGACCTGCTGTGGCAGTGGTGATGATGGCGCCAAAGGCCAGTATCTTGGTCGCGGTCGAGAAATGCATCTTGTCTGTCCGAAGGTTCTGATCTTTGTTTCTTCGAGAATGTGATAACTGTAAAGCTATGTATCTTAAGATATGATTCTCGAGTGTTCTGGAGTGAAGTTGTGACTTGATGGTTGCAAAGAAAACGGCCATCACTTGAGCATTTATACCATGACTTCCAAAGATTCTCCGTTCGTCAAATTTTCTTTCTGAGAGGGTAGTTGCGTTGTCGCAATCTCCTTGCGTATGTCCATAGATGTTGGTCGTCACCAACCTGTGACTCCTGAGTACACAGTTGGTAGTTCATTCTCTACACCTAGCAGCGAAGAAGACGTGGCCTGGTCAAAAATAAGCCACCAGGGACACACACTCTATGTAGTTTTCCAGAGACGTTGGAAGATGCTGAAGACAGCTGGTTTTATTGGGCATTGAGAGATCATGTGCAACGTAACATCCTATACGCGTGAGTACTTGCTGTCAGGTCTGACAATCTTACAGCCAAGAATAGCAACAAACTTCAATTATCGTCCCAGCTCATACTTTGGTTTTCATGGTAGCTTTGCGATTGCGAATTCTGCCCTGTCATACAAGGTCATCTAGGGTCGAGCAGAAAGGCTGGAATCATGAGTCCTTGTTAGCGGGCATGTCGCTGTGTTGGTATGCTCATTGATCTCTCCCACAGGATAATGGGTCGAACCAATCGTCCATAGACTAACTGACTTTTGGTGTGCTTGTCAAGGATTGTCATGCTTCTGATGGGATCGTGCGGTGGTGGATACTGTGCAGATGGGCACCGGGATGGATGTAAGGCAGGGGTTGACGCGTCCTGGGAAAATATCATGTTGGTTGTGTCTGACTCGATTACAACGGCAAGAGCGCTCTACCGCAGCTGCCCTCGAGTTTTTGCGTGTTTAAAGCTTACATTGAGCAGTCTCATGTCGTCGCGACATTAGCGAGGAAGCAGCGATGACTTCGAATCAACAGAAAGCCACGCTTGTTGGCATCGAGAAGCCATCCAGGTTAGCATTGCTCATGCTTCGTGCTAATGCATAACTATGCATGTACAATACCATGCGTTCATAAAACCACAAACGACGATGCAATTTCTCAAGATCATGAAACACCAAGGATATGATAGAAAGTTTTCTGAATTTTGTGTTCATACAGAACTTTTCCTGTTTCTCTCTTCTTGAAAGTCATAAAAGCATATCAAAATCGTGTCTAAAATCGGCCTGTGAAACCGCATAGAAAAAGCCCCCAAATCGATAAAAAATCGTGTCCAAGATTGTGCGGCCTGCATGCAGGCATTTTTGATGGGCACAACCGGAGGAGAAAAAGATGAAAAACTGCTGTCTTCAAGACAGGAGAATGAGAAAAGTGTTGGTAAAAGAGTGACAAGAAGCGAAGGGATGTTTGTTGACTGGCTTCAAAAGTCGTGAAACCTTCGACATGTCGAATGTCTATGCATGACTTAGACGGCAGCAACACGAGCACCAGTACCGTAAGCAATGTTGGTGACGTTCTGGGTGGTAAGGGGAGTGTTGATGCCGAGGATGCTGTTTCCGCATGAAGGCTGGTTGCTGACGCTCAAGTCCAGAGTGCACTGCTCATCGACGCCGTTGGTGCAGGTGGGGTTGTAGATGTTCCAGAGACCGTAGTTCTTAGCGACCCAGCTGTCGGGCTCGCTGATGCAGGAGGCGATGAAGTTCATGCTGTTGGCGGCGGAGAAACCAAGCTTGCCGTCAGAGTCGTGAAGAAGGTGAGAGCACTCGTCCATGTCGACGCTCTCGTACTCCATGTCAACACCACCGCCCATGGTAGGGTCGATGGTAGCGTTCTTGCCAGTGACAAGAGTGTTCCATGCATCGTAGCTCATGTCGTAGGCACCTCCAGATTGGTCGACGCGAAGGAGGTGGAGAGAACGGCCTTGGTGGCTGACCTTGACACACATGTTGTCGCAGCCGACGCTCATGGGCCAGTAGGCAACTCTGTTGGTGTTGATCTTGCATCCGAGGACACCAACACTGGAGCTGTACTCAACGTGAGGAGTAGCAGAAATGGTGCCTCTCTTCTGGAGGACCTTCTCGGTAGGCAGAGCAGCTGCAGTGGCAGCAAGAACGCTCAAAATGGTGGAGATAGAGAACTGCATTTTGTCTGATTGTTTCTTCGTGGTAAAAGATGTAGACAAAGGGAGTGTAATGCCGAGATCAACTGGCTAAACGAGTATACAACGATGTTGGAGTGATGGTATAGAAACCGTAAGGAGTGTCTGCCGATTCCGCAGGAACCTGGCGCAAAGAGAGTGATTGAGAGAGAGGAAAGTAAAGACTGTTGGATGGAAAGAGAAGACACAATTGGGAGAGAGACCTACAGCAGTATATATACGCGCGCATAATGGACGTGCTGGCCATGCTGAAGTCTTTTACCCAAAGTTTTCAGGACCTCGTTCTCTCGTCGAATCGGCGTACAAGCCCACCATCCACAACGTGTCAACGACGGGGCAAGCAGCAACGAATGAGATTGGCAGAAATGCGAAAAGAAGAGGATTTACCTTCTGGCAGCTGCAGGCGCGGTGCGCTGTGCACAATGCGGTTGACTTGGACTTCTCTCGGCGGCAATCCCGCGCGTGTTGGTTGACTGTGGGTCACGGCCCGTCCGGTGCGCAGGGATGGACCATGATGGGTTGATGTTCGGATGTGGAGACAAGGTTGAAAAGTTGGCTGAAGACGTGCGGCTAAGGGCCACCAAAAATCCTGAAGAACGTGAAAAGGTTGGAGCCACGGTGCGGCTTCCCAAGAACCTGTCTCTAGATTCAGGTACCCGTCGACTTTCGACCTGGCTAGAAGGGTTGTTGTGCATCTGGCTTTGCTCTTGCCTCACGCAAGCGCCAGGAACAGCCGCGAGAGAAGAAACACTTTCGCCTGCTTGCCATGAGCTTGGTGAGCCAATCATCACATGTCAAGTCGACTCGTCGTTCATCATTCGGTGCGCAGTTGGACCGGGTGCCCCGTTGGTGGACTTCTCCGTAGCCTCTAACCATGACCATCGAGGTCACTGTGCGCAAGTCGTCAAAGGTAACCCTGAAAAAATTGTGAAAGCGGAGTGATCGCCTCTCGCTCAGGAACCGTGCAAGAAGACCCCACTGGTGCTGCGTATGCACGAAGCTCGGCGTCACCTCAACGCCGTGACCAAGAACAACCATTCATCTATCCCTCGGATGACAAGCAGTGCAGAGATGGCTGGGAAAATACACCTCGTCCTACTTTTTGTCCTTGCTGCATGCGGCTTTGGTCATGCGCCTGCCTTGCTGGGGAGTTTCTTGTCGTCATGATCGTGGAAGCTTGCGGATGGCCGATTTCCAACACGAGCAAGGTCCTTCTCCACCAAACACCGAGGGTGGCCCAGGTGGATGCCCAATGTGTTCTGACAGCAGATCCTCCTTACGAGGGTAAACAACGTCCTCGTTTTGATGATTATCCTCATATACACATTTTTCGTACCTCCAAAGTGACATCTATACAATTTTTTGCAAAACGCGACACATCTTTCTGCAGCTTCTGCCTTTGTGCCGTGCAGCCAGTGACTTGCAGATAGCAGGTCTTGTTCCTTGTCCTTGCATCGGTTGTCGACTTCCGATCCACGATCAACGAGATCGACAGAACCTTGACTCGTTTCCCAACTTTGCACCGCATGGCGTCTGTGATGGGAATGGCGCAAGCACAAACCGCACTTGTTTCCATGCTCCATGAAAGAGTGAACATGGCGCTAACCAGACACCGCGGACTACAGCACATCATCGACTTGATGCTGTGTCCTCAACCATCTTCGACAAGTTGAGGTCGAGTAATGTGATTTTTCTGTTTGATGCAAGTTTCCTGCAGCTATGTCGTGTCAAAGAGGATCACGAGATCCATCATTGTCCTGAATAGAATGCACATGCAGATGAAGTGAGTGTGAAGAGACATGTCACATTTGATAGAAGGGAAGGCACGAAGACGAGTTGAATGGAATGGGCTTTCTTTCTTTGTGTATACAACTAACAGAACAAGACTCGCAAGTACAATGTAATGCTTAACAATTTTGATCCAACTCGCACATGCATCTTACCTCATTAAAAACCCACAAGGCGAAAGCCATTGCTCAAGTGGGAAAAGAGATACAAGAAATAAAATTCACATGCTCACAAACACCACACACCACCACCATAATGTCTTTTTTTTTTGCCGTCTTACAATTGTTCGGTCCTCAATGTCAAAGCAGGTACCTCGTAAGGCGTTACTCTTCAACACTTCTCCTGTACATCGGCTTCTTCAGTCATGCTTGGTTCAGAGTCCTCAGACTCTTCATCGTCAGAAAANGAAAAGTCATCGTCGAAAACCATGTCGGGTTCGCAAAGAGGAGTCTGAAANATGTCGGGCCAACGCTCATCATACTCCTCAATACGGTTACGATAGAATTGCTTGGTGGGTTCGGGCAGTTTCATCTCCCTCCACAGTTGTTCGATGTCGATGTTGTCTGACCAGGTGGTGATGGGGTATTGGGTGTTGGTTTCGGCGTGTCTCTGGGCCAAGGCGACGAGGGCTGTACAATGACGAGCCCAGTGAAGACCATCGCTGCCGTTGAGAGTGCCTTGATGTTGTCTGAATTCGACAGTGGCTGCTGGCTCGTTTTTGGTGATGTCGCGAGCAGCATATGAAAAGTTGACGATGTGACCCTTGTCGCCCATGAGGTTGACGAAGGCTTTGTAAGGGTCTTCTGCTGAGTCTACATCGTCAAACAGGGCTTTGCGGATCTGCGACAGCGACTGGTAGTTCCAGACGACTTCCACAGATCCTTCAGTGTTGACGCCCTGTTGGTCGCATAGGAATGCGTGATGTGATTCCGGTGATGGGCACTCGGTTGCAAAGTCGGAGCGATTCGATCTGGTTTCGAAATCGGCTCCACGCTTGCGAGGTACAGTCATACGGGCAAATTCATGCTCGTAGATCAGAACCAGGTAAGCGAGATGTTGTAGTGTCTTGATGTCAAAGCGAGTGCCGTCCTGTTTTCCGACGTGGATGTGCATGGCACATTCATCGTCAATAAGATAGTCGAGGCCATCACTACGAAGTGCTGCAGAGATCTTGTTGGCTTCATCACAGGCTTCCTGGGGTGAGTCGCGAGGNGCAGTCACGATCTCCGTTCCAATGAAATCTGTGGTATCGGTCTGGTCTGCAGTACATAGACCAGTAGCGATCTTGGCAGCTTTGTTGAGGCCATTGAGACTGGCATCATGGGTCAGATAAAGAGGGGCAGAGGAAAAATCTGCCTGCTTACCTTGACCCTGGTAGATAGCTGTTGCTTCGTAGCCAGAAATGTCCTGGAGACGTTTTTGAACGATTCTGAGAGCCTCCGTAGAGTACCCGCGGAAATCGCATTGCTCTCCAGTAACCTTGCTGACCAGAGTTGTTCTCTGGGGATGGTCGACGTTGTCGCGGAAAGCGAAGTTGAGGTAATCGTTCTGGAGATACTGGGGTCCAACCTTTGAGAGGCGAACTTGACCAGCATCGGTAACGACCTCGATGTTTTTGGTGGAAGGGTCACTCTGGAGCTCCTTTTGGAGTTGACTTGCCGTGACACGGAGCTTGAGTTCGTACTCAAGTCCAAAGGTAATGTTGTTAGAGAAAGCCATTATGAGTTTTGGCGAGATGAAGCAAGAGAATCTAGTTCTGGTGCGATGGAGATAGTTGTTCTTGAGTATTTAGCTGTGAAGCGATATGATAATAGCTGTAAGGCGATATGATAACGAGACTTTTGCTGGAACTACAAGAGACAAAAGGAAAAAGAAAGGGTGTGGGAAACAGGGCGATCTTATACCCCGAAGGCCCAGCACTTGCTGACTTAGCAAAAGCATATGTTCCTGGGCAATTGGCTCGAAATTTGAGCAAGATAGAGTTATTCGAGGGGGAAACAGGAATAGAGCAAAGTAGCGTGAATAAAATCTGCAAAGCACGTGGCAATTAACCGGTGATAGGTCGACTTACATTGTTGCAGGAAACAGTCGATAGGATATGTGCTGGCAGGACGGTACAAACAGCCCTAGAACATATATGCCATGTCATTCGTGTGGTGCGTGAGCCTTGCCGGCCTGATAAAGGAGCTCTGAATTGTGTCCCAGTATACTCTATGAAGCTTCGTCAATAGAAACGCATCTCCTGTACGCCGAGAGGAACACCCAATAGAACGTCAAGTCAGAGGCAGCAGCCTCAGATATAAGCTGTTTCAAGTGTGCAACATTCTCACATTATCCGGTCTTTCCTGGGTTCGCTGCGGCACCCGAGATCTTGTCGGACACCGTATCGTAAATCCCGGTCGCCCAATCTTTGGCGCCGTCGAGTTTCCCTTTGACCCAGTCCCACCACAAATTCGTGTCTTTGCCATGTTCATCTTCGTCCTCCTGGCTCACATCATCATGAATGACTGGCCGTGTTGGAGCAGCAGCATCGGTGGTGGCGATTGTTGGACGTGAAGCTTGCGTCAGGGATGAGGTTGTTTCCGCAGCTTCGGACGACGCTCCAATCGACGTCGAGATCAACGCGTCGCCTTCTCCACCAGAAAAATCGTCTTCTGGCATATCTTCCGGGATCTCTTGAGGCGGCATAGAATCATGCAAACCAATAGGTTTGAGCGGTAGACGGAGGGTGCCATTGTTTGGCTTAGGCACAATTCCGACAGAATCGCAGACAAAATTGTAGACCTCAATATTCTGGAAGACGTCCACTTTGCTGCCAGGCGTATGAGGGAAAGCAGGACCTCTAGCCACGAAGATTGCACGCATTAGTGGGTGCTCATGGTCGTATCCGTGCACACCTCGAGGGTGATATACTTGGCCAGTCTTCTTCGCCTCTTCGATGTTGAATTCTTCTTTGACCACGATGGCCCAGCCGGTCCAGGGTATCACCCAAAGCGGTGCAATGCGGTCGTTCTGTGAGAAATGATAGCGTTCAGGCATGTCGCGATCTTTCATATAGACATCGAAGCCTTTCATACTCGCTGCTTCTTGCTTCNNCAGTTTGTTGTACAGAGGCTCAATATCTGAATCATTCTTCGGGCGAAGTCCATAGAGTGGCCATCCATCGGTACGTTCGATGATGGACATGTCGATGATGTCGTCGAGCTGGACCAAGCGAGAAGTCGATGTCGTGGCCATGCCGTGGTCAGAGACTATGACTATGTTCACGATGTCTGTCAGGTTTCGCTGCTCTAGTCCAGAGAACAGCTGACCCAACATGCTATCAACACTAGAAATAGTGGACCTGATTTCGGTACTGTTAGGACCATACAAATGACCATCACGATCAACATCCGGCACATAGGCGGCGATTAATTGTGGTCGTGGAGTATCAGAGCTTGCGCCTTCGTCATATGGCCCAGGAAGGTCAAGCAGACCAAGGATGCGATTGACCTTGTTTGTAAGTAATTCATGACCTTGGTATTTGTCGACAAAGGTAGGCTCGATGCCGATATGAGCTTCGGATCCAGGCCACATGTGAATTGCAGCGCGAACATCTTGCTCTTCAGCAGTAACCCAGATAGGCTCTCCGTTCCACCACTTAGGCTGCATGCTCCTAGTAGGATCAGTGTAGAAGAAATCCTCTTTCAACTCAGGGTCCCAGAAGCTGTTTCCGACGACTCCATGAGCTTCAGGATACAGGCCGGTTACGAGGGTGAAATGATTGGGGAATGTGACAGAAGGAAAACTTGGCGACATGTATTCTGGCGATACACCAACTCGAACGAATGCATTCAACGATGGCGTAATGTTACGATGGAGGAAATCAGCGCGGAATCCATCGAGCGAGATCAGGATAGTGGTTGGAGCAAAAATTGAGGAGCCATTGGTGAGAGTGTTCGATTGGGGACGAACGAGAGGTTTGTGATTGCGAGATGCCATATAGGCACCAAGTAGAAGGCCAAAGAAGGCGATAATGATAACGATGCGGATGGCGGTGAGCTTCCAGAGTCGTGAGCTGCGGCGTTCGATGGGTTGTGGCAGCTCTTTCAGTCTCAGCCTGTCGACGTCTGATGAATTGGCCGAGTCGGAGCTGTCCTTATGGCCTTCCTCCATGTCATACATGAGTTCACTCTCTTCCTCCTCTTTGTGTTGTTTCCTTCCTGTACGTTGTGCCTCGCGCTGGTATCTCCTGCGCTCTCTTTTGCTCAGTTTCACGCCGCTCGACGGCCCATCCTTACGTGCAAAAAGTCCTGGGAGTTTGCGATCTCTCTGTTCACCTGCCAACAGTTTCTCCGCCTCTTCCTCTCGTTCCAATATCTTCAGGTCCAGCTGTCTAATATCGGTCGAACTGCGTGCTCCACGCACGAGGCCGTCGTGGTCGGATTCACTTGCCGAGTCATCGCTAATATCGGCTGGTGGCGGGCGGTGAAATTCTGCTCTACCGTAATCGGACATGGTTGTGGTAAGGTGTGTACTAGAGTTGTATCGTAGGTTATTGTCGCTCGAGGCGTGTTGTGACGCTCATGGGGCACCCATGGATGTTCAGGCAAAATTGAACCTGTTCGATGACTGCTTCAAGTCGCGTCAAATCAAGACGTTAACGAGCGTTGTCAATGTGGAAGTTCGTGGTCATTGGGGAAGGAATGTGTTGGGTCGCGTTAAGGTCGGGCAGCCGAGACAGGGTTACGCAGACAACAATCAACCTGCCATACATTACTGGCGCTTGTGTTGACACAATGCTCTATCAGATACTTCATGGAAAGAGACCAATGGATCAAAGTTCTCTCAGTGGAGATCATAGTCTTCGGGAAGATATTGTGTATTTCGGCAGCTACACTGTGACTGTCTTTACCACATGGGGAGGAGTGATATGAAGACGAGAGACGATGGTGTGGTGCGGGGCAGGAAGGGTCCAGACAAGATGACATGATGCGACTGCCTTGATGGTTTCGACTTTCCAGACTCGACGGCTCTTTCTTTCACAGCAACCATGTTTTCATTTCGCTCCAACTTCTTCTCAAATCTCCTATCTGGTGGCTATGGCTCTGCCCTCAAGCTCGACTTGCCTCCGGTTAAGTCCATCGACATTGAAGAAACTCCCGAGAAACGAGCTCGAACTCTCAAGCACCTGATCAAGGCTAATCACATCAACCACTCGATTATCTACCACCACCTCGAATTTCACAATCATGCACCTCACGTATAACTCTCTTCCTTGCTCATTTGACAGCAGACCGTACTGAGGTTACATCCTCTAGNNATCCTGGGTTCCGCCTACTTCCTCGGTGCCAATGTCGACCAGCTAATGGACATTTATGAGAAAGAGTCCAAAAATCTTGAGCCATGGGAAGATTCTCCTTCGGAGATCTCGAGACATGACTGGCGCGACTACCTGGGAAGAAGAGAGTATGAGACATCTAGAAACATGCACAACCACAGCGGCTGATGACACTACAGGTACCAGCGTGCATGGGTAGACTTTCTCGAGGACCAGCTCGTTCAGTTTGGCTATGATTGGCGGGAGCTCCTCGACGACTTTCTGTACTCTGGCAAGCAGCCTCTGATCAACAACTTGATTGCTGGCCGTAAGCCGTCGTCCCAGCCTGAACAAGTGCCTTTCTAACCTGCGTCCANNGTCGCACACCCTCTCATTCACCTCGGTTTCGCCCTCGAACTCGCCTCCCCTACTGTCGCCATCGAATCGCTGGCTCTAGTCGCCTCATTCTACAACCACCAGCATGTCTATCTCGATGACCCCTCATACACGAAGCCCTCGCCATGGTCGTCACAAGATCCTTTCGAAGTCATCCAAAAGGTGCATCAAGACTCTCGCCTCGACTCTTTCTTCGAAAAGCCTGGAGAAGATAACTATACTCCTCTAACCGAGGACAAAGAGAAGGAGGCCGTTCTGCTCGAATACTGGAACAGCTGGACTGTTACGGATCCTAAATCTCAGTTCGAAGCTGCCCAACGTGCCGCCGTTGCTTTGCTGGTCGGTACGCACGAGAAGGGCCAGAAGTTTGACTTCTTCCTCGTTCACATCCTTACCAGCTCACACGCTGTCCGTGTGATTGCTCCCCTGATCCGCGCCACATATCACCTTTGTCTTCTAAGACAGTGGTGGTTGTTCTTGCTGACTGCTTATGTCGGTCAACTTCGCCCAGCTATCGATAAGAGCAAATTCACAAATGTTGATCTCGCAGGAAGAGACTGGAAATGGGTAGCCGACCGAGCTGTCAACGGCAAGTGGGCGCAAGATGCTCACTTTGTGAAAGGTATGCATGGCCAATATTGGTCCCGATCTTCTGCTAACCGCTTTCTTCCTCTAGCCTGTCGCTCAATGCAAGAGGCCGCGAAAACTTGGGGTGACGAAGACCAATATTTCCTGAAGGCTGCTGTGAAGTTGTCTGAGGAGTTCAATGGTTGGGGCGGTTTTAGTGCCTCGTCAGAAGATGAGGCAGAAGCTACTGCTTCAAATGTTGGCTTTGCCGCAAGACATCATGGTTGAGTATATAATTTGCTGGAAGATATATGAACAGCTTCGTGAGCGCTCATCATCAAACTATCAAGACTACTATTATTGTTTCGCCATCTAGTAGCTCGAAGGTCAGATGACTCGACCGCTAATGGCTTTTGTCTACGAGTGTGGACGTGTGATGGGAAGGTTGGTCAAATGTCTGATATGAGTCTATGCTATGTACAGATCTATGCTACACTGGACAGCAATCTGTCCTCGACGCCATCGAGAAGGCAGTGATGCTCGAGCACCTCGAGGTTTTCTGCTTCGTTCAGGAAATCTTTGTCGGGATCTTGACCACCCATAGGGTTGGCTCCCATCTGAGCCTGAGCCATCTGCTGCGTGACCTGACTGGCCGCTNNGTATATCTCGTCAGTTACTAATAGGACAAGAGCACAGCGAGGAGACGTACCGTTGTTACTGCCAAGGATGAAGTTGTAGACGGGCTGCAGACCAAAGAGGGTCAAGAAGTACCAAGACAAACTCGAAACCCATCGGACGTCGAGGTCTCTGGTACCAACACCGGACTGCAACATAGACTTGAACTGAGGAGTCAGAGGGAAGGGAAGCTTCATGATGACATATCCAGAGAAGAAGGCATTGATCCAGCCCATGATCAGACTCTGAGGGACCATCATGGCGACCTGGNNCCCTTCATCATTCCCATCATGCCCTCCATAGCAGCAGGGTCGGCCATGGGGNTTGCCCTTGGGCTGACCACGCATGTCAGGCTCGGCGAGGAAAGTTCCGTCTTTGTAGGCTTGGATCATGTATGCCTTGCGAGCAGCGAACGAGGAGGGAGAGAGCTGCTGGTAGTTGTTGCGAAGGTTGACACCGCGCATGAGCGAACGCTGTTGGCGCACTTGATTGATGGCTTGCTGCTTAGGGGCGGACTGTAGAAGAGTCGAAAGGTAGTGTCGCAAGATACCAGTGAGGATCTGATGTCGCTGTTAGCTGTGTTGGTGCAAGCTGGAGAGGGAGAGACTCGCCATGACGACGGTGATGGGCAGCAGGATCCAGTAGAATAGGGCAGGATCCCTATAGATGGTCTGCACCACAGGCTCAGCCATGACGGGCGACATGTTGGCAGAAACAAAGTCGCGATGTTGATGTCGTCGGATGGTGCTTGAATGAGTTCGATTGAGCATGTCGCAGCCTCTCCGCAATGTGGAGCTCCGGCCACGCTTCATCTTGAACTCTGTCACCATCACCGACCAACACTTTTGACTCACTTCACACATTCGCAAACATGGCAGACGAGACCAGAATATCGCCATACAATGTCTCTGGTAATCTACCTCCTCATTTCCCTCGAACGAACCAGAACTGACCATGTCGACAGNACTGCAAGAACACAACAGACGATGCCCTGCAAAACTACCTGAACGGCCTCAAGTTCCGCCAATCCCACTGGTACACCGACGTGAAGCTCGCTCTAGGATATACCGCTGTCATCATCGCTGCCGTCACCTTCGCCCTGGACTACAAATATGGCTTCGAAGCTACAAAACAATTCACTACAGCCGCTGTCGTTGTCTACTTTCTCCTGAACGGTGCCTTTACCTACTGGATCTGGCAGGTCGAGAACGGTCTCATCTACGTCGGTGCTTGGAAAGGTCGCAAGGTGAGCCACTGCTATACTTCTATACCGCTTTCGTTCAATCAGCTGACTCTTCCAAACAGANTCACCATCTCGACCCGCACAGACAAGTTCGAGCCTATCTACAGACTCAGCGTCACATACCACCCTTCGTCACTCAACACCATTCCTCCTGTCAGCAAAGAGATCTCGGCCCCTTTCATGCAGTGGTTTACCGCCGATGGCTTCTTCGTTGCTGCTCCTTTCCAACAATGGCTTGCTACAAACATCGACATGGTTGGTGACGCTGATCCAAAGAACGTTCTCGACGAGGCTGCCGGTGTAGTCACTGCTCAGTCAGTCCAACCTGATGGTCTCAAGGATCTGCTGAATGTCATCAAGACTGGTCCTCCTCCTGCTGCCGCTCCCAGGAAGAGGGGTTAGTCTGCTTATCTCCAATCTAGATATACTAGTCAACATTTACGTTGCAAAAGCGCTTTTTCTCCCAACTATCCGTACAATCGCCATACTTTTGTTCTTTACGCTTGACTAAATTTTTGACTGAGGCGGTGTGTTCTACGATGAAGAGCTGATATGAGTGAAGTAGTATGATCTGTTAGTAGCTCTGTGATGGTCATCCACGTGGCGTGAGACCTTTACAATCATTTGAGGTAAATACCCGCTACCATGACTCTTCAGCTGAAGAACATCATATAACATACCACATCAGCTTTCCCTCCCTTTCTAATGCAACTACTCACTCAAAACTAGAAACCATCATGTCGCCAAAACGCACCAACCCATGGGACTGCGACCCTCCCCCAAAAATACAACATGGCCATTTCGAACGACTACATGACTCTACCCCCCAACAGAAGACACAGTCACCCCGACCCAGTGGGATGGAAACACATCCAACACCCCAGTCCCATCTTCCACTTCTGGTCGAAATCAGTCAGAGATCCTAACATCGTGGTTCCCCTACAGAATACTGCGATTGTACTTTTGTAGACTTGAAAAAAGGTAAAAAGTGTGTTAAAGGCGGTAGATGGGCTTTCAGGCTTTTGTGTTGGGTGGATGCGTGGTTGGTTAGGAGGTATATGAGACAACATGATGAGCTTTGTTCTTGCCAATGTTTTGATATTCGAGTCTTGGATTCTGAACTCCCATCGTACTGTTGAAGTGGTCGCGACAAGAGGGGCTCCACGGACTGTGCCTGCAGACTCCGACCTCCCAGTGGACGAACAACCTGATTTGATGACTGTCAAAATGCACAGTAGCTTGCGGGTTCCTTCGTGTGCCACTGAGAGCTTGTCGTTGGTTCACTCTCAATGGAGAACCCCATCTCAAACGATTACATCCTGCATTTCTACAGCATCATGTTCGATCAGGCAAATGGTTGGGAGAACAGATTTTGCTTGGTAGCCTGGATGCATACTCCCAGGGAGCCCAAGGTTATTGAATACGTCATATTCGTCCACTCTTCAAGGACGAGATGTAGAGCTTTAATAATGCACGATAGTTTCTGATTCCCGACATATGTCCAAGGAGAGCCTACCGATATCACTGAAACGGTAATCCGAAATCAGGCAAATTCATGTTCAGGAAGTCGCCAAACACAGCATCCATGTCCATCAACCCGTCATAGGCAATATCAAAGCCACTTAAGCCACCGTCAGGCTGTTGGTGTTGTCCCGCGAGTGAGGCAGCAGCGTTGCTTTGTTGCAAACCAGCTGGATCGCTGTGGTGATAAGGTGGTCCTGCAGGCCGCCACTCAGCGGGTCCAGCGTGCATTCGTGATGTGCGACGCAGCTCTGGGGATACAGACACGCCGGCTACTTGTGCTGTCTGCTCCAATGCTTTGCGCCCTAACATGGCCATGTTTTTCGCTGGTTGTGACCACTCGCTCAACTGCTCCAGAGCTTGTACGCAGCTGTCTATGTGCTCACGAGCTGCTGTGCGTTTTATATGGCTGCGAGCGCTACGAAGCTGGTTGTAGAATGTGGAAACCGCGAGTGATATACCGTAAGGTATTAGAGGCAGCGGTACCAGATTTTGGGGCGAGATGTGACGGAGAGTGGTGACTATTTGTAACGCAGAAAGCTCCTGCCGTAAGCTTGAAGGCGTCGGAAGCAATGGCCGAGAAGTCGCGCGAGCGCGGTGAGATATGATTGCCACACCATGATAGTAGATTTCCAAGGACGCTGGACAGACGAAGTTATCAGACTGGAGCAGTTCATCAAAGATAGCATAGGACTTACTTATGACATTCGGTTCAAGATCCCAGGCGCCACAACGGTCCAGGATGTTCTCAAAGCTTTCGTAGTCTTCCTCGATACCCATAATGTCCAGCGCGGCTGTAGGTTGATAAAGCCCAATGATTTTAGTAAGAAGTTGTGAGATAGCGAGCAATATCCGTGTTCCTGGCGCAGAGATCTCGTATGCTTCTTCCAACTTGAGTCCGATATCCAGATCCAAGATTTGACGTGGTCGTCCATTCAGACCAGCGTTAAAACTGGACAAGATCCACAAGGCCCAGAACAATCGCGTCCGACTGCCTCCATGTCCGCTAGAACGACCTAAATGTAGTCCAATCGTCTGACCATGATGTATCGCTTGCGATAGATGCATGGACGCGTCCACTGTTCCGTCTGGACCTTCAGAGTACAGCGACATCAGAGCTAAGATCTGTATCAAGTTGATTTTGTCACGCTCGCGTTCCAACTGAACTCCCCAGCGTAGTGAGGCATATACTCTCGATGCAAACTTCCTTGGCGTAAGTGGTTCAGGGCTCTCCAAGAAGCGTAGGTAGCGTCTTGCGTTTTGATCTCGTGACGCGACCAGACACATGGCGTACATGACGAGCTGAGATTTCCTTTCTGTATTTCGAAAAGTGGCTTCATCCACTATCGGCAGTAATGGGTTTAGTCTCGCAAAGTATATATCGATGAGTGAGTCTCTGTCTTGCGTATTCATCAGAGCGGACGGCGGGCCTTGGTCCTCACCACCAACCAGACCTTCCCTCTCTGGAGAATGAGCATCCACAGACTCTCTTTGNCGGTGGTCATGTTCGTGTCGGACATCATAGGTATGGCGTCCAACCCATATACCAACATCATGTCTGTCGCGATTTCCACTGCCAGGATCATGTTCCGCTACCAAACTGGCTTCCGGGTTTAGATCTCCAATAAACCTCGAATTGGATGGGTGTTCATAAGGTCGCGCGTGATGTTGCCGCTGCTCGTCACTGGAGATGGTTGACTTGTCCCGACCAGACGAAGGCGGATCCAGATTTTGCATTCGACCTGGAGTCGTAGAGGCAGTACGAGGATCAGACTGATGATTTTCTGTCTCTAGTCCATGTGTGCATCGTTTCNNTATTATTGCTCGACTATCTTAATCACCGGATGCGTGGGAATCGAAAGGTTAGATGTATACCTTTCGTTTCTTGCAAGTTTCGCATGCGCCTTGGGGAGCTTTCCTCTTGCGGCTGTTTGGGTCGCCATTGATAACAAACGTATAATCCATTGTTGGTTGGTCGTCTGGGAGGAATGGTCACTGAGTCGGAGGCGTATACTCGTATGGGGTGCTAAGGTCCGAGCTTTGAGTCGTTGCAAAGCATAATCTTCTGGCCCTAACCCTGTCCTTTCTCCTCGTGTGCTCCGCGTGGGCTCAAGCACATAATGCATGTAGCTATAAAATTGTATAACATCATTCGGAACCAGGGCAGTCACTTTTGAAAACGAACTTCACCGGCTCCATTTGGCCAGAAATTGCATCGAAAAATACTCGTGACTTTTGCCAGTGTACAACGCCACGGAAATAAGGTATATTATATTATAGATTCCTAAGTCATCACGCAGATAAATTACCAACCACAAACTACTCCTTCTCATAAACGTAGCCAACGATTTTTCTCCCGATTTTCTTTGGCGGCGGCAAAACCTCTCCATGACCACATTCAGCACTTCTAACCATGTTTATTCCCTTCACCGCTCCAAGGATCTCGTCCAGTTGTCCTTTGAATGTTTCCTGCTGTTTGTCAAGCTGTACTGAGAAGTTCTTCTTCATCTGTTGCACCTGCTTGTCCATCTTAGCCTCCAAAGCAGAAAACTTGGTGTCCTGGGCAGAGGATAAACGGGTAATTGAGTCTTGGGTTGTCTGTGCTAGCGCATGCGTTTGCTTTAATTGCGTGGTAAGTAATCTCTGATTTGAGATGGTTGTGTCGATAGTGGATTTGAGGGTCGAGAGCTGTTTTCCTGAGGCTTCCTGGTTGCTCGACAAGGTTTGGAGAATGGTCATATTCTTGGTCATATCCTTCTGTAGTCGTTGAAGGAGATCTGTGTTCGGTGCTGTTGGTGCTGGTGGCTCTGTTGCTGCCAAACGGTCTGTGATACCGCGCAAGATTGCTGTAGTCTGTGATGCCTCCTTATGTAGCTTCTGCAATGTCTCATTATTGGAAGCAGGTTCTGGGCGATCTGTCAATGCGCGGATGGCTTTTGTGTTTTGCAAGAGCTGTTTCTGCAANTTTTGAAGACTCTCTGCTTGAGCAGGATCACTCTCTGGCAGTGGACGGTTGTAAAGATCTCTCAGCAGTGTCGAGGTTTGCGATACCTCTTCCTGCAACTCGTGCAGGATTTCGTGATTTGGGCCCGGTGTGGGAGGTGGTTTGAGATAAAGTTCTTGTACACGCGAACAGGTCTCTTCGATAACGGATTGAAGAGAATGAAGAGCAGCTGCTTGCTGATGTCGGTACTGGACATCGCTAGCGGCATTGTTCGCTGTAGCGGCTGCCGTCAGCTCGCGCAGCACTATCTCGTGGTCTTGCTGTCTGCGGGCTAGCGCTTCCATCTGCTGTGTCATGCGCTCTATCGTTGCAGACAACTTCTGGAAGCCTCTAGCACTGGCTTGCTGGCCTTCGAGAAGCGCATCTAGTTGCAAGGTTGACTGGCTGACGGACTTTTGAATATGATCCGAGGCCAGATTCAGCTGGGCAAACTCCATGTTGCTTGCGCCTGCTGGGGTGAAGGGGTCTTCGAGTCTTTCGAATCCTCCAAACACATGGCCTTCGCTCAATGTTGGCATCAGAGGCGTACGGGCAGATGAAACACGCCTATGCGACGACACCTGTTGCTGATTCGAAGTTTTGTCGTCTTTTCCATCAGTCTGGCGATATGACCACCTATCTCTCAGATGCGCAAACTTGGGATTCTCCCATGCCTTGATGGGAGTGCGGTCGTTCTTGAACGAGAAGAGGTTGGAGCTCTCGCGCAAAGTATCGGGATACTCAGATTGCATCAACGTCCACCACTCCTGCGCGGTCTCGGCATCGGCGAAGCTCAAGAGGTAACGAGCTTTGTTGATCTGGAAGGGACTGATAAAAGAGCTCCGCCTGCGTCCATAACAAAGATAAGGCATCGTTGGGCTGCCAACGAGAGAGTCCAAGGGCTCTTCCGAACTGTCGCTGGCGATACTGCCTCGAGTTTTTCTGCCCGTCAAGTCCACATCGCCCGATGGCATGTTGGCATCGAAGCTGTCGTTACGCATCTCTGGCGTCTTCGGAGTTTCGGGTATGGCCTTGTCGAAGTTGGGCGAACCCGATTCCATGGATGTGTGGTGTAGCAATGTCCAGTTGATCGAACAGTAACTTGCTAAAGGTGACAAAGAGAACAGTTTCAACGGGGACGTTCTTCGTTTTCTTGCTAGGATGATCTGCAGGTGNCTGCAGGGGAAGGAGTTTGGATGATGCTTACAAGGAGCTAGCCACGACAAACTGCGAACGATACACTGGGCCATTGTGACCGTGACATGTACTTGACAACAACTGTCTACTTTCCTGGATTTTCTATCTTTCACGTCATATTCAATTTATTCGTCCAGCCCACGTTTGAGAGTGCGGCTAGAGCTGTCATTTGTTGTTGTGTATCTGGCCCGGTGGACGGGCCAACCGGGAGTCCAGTTGCCGCGTTCAGGTGTGACACGCCAGGGTCTTTTCTGCCCTGAGCCGCTCGAGACGGGAGCAAGAACGGTGTGCAGATGTCAAGTTTGAGGTGTGGTAAATTTGTGATTTCAGTCGGTGTATGTCAGAGGTAGAATGAAGAGGCTGAGAGCGTTGCATTCCTGCAACGTTTGCGCAAGCTTGATCTGGCGTTGCGATCTGCTGCTTTTGCTGATCGTTTGCACCCTCAAGACTGCCACAATCTCGGGATTGACCTCTTCCTCGCTCTGAGGTTCAGGAATCTACAGATCGAAACACAGAGTTTTGTCCCGAATACAGGTCTGACAATGGAGATGGCCTCAACGAGGGTCTCTGTGGAGACCACTTTCCTTACGAAAGTATTGTGCATTTCTACGGCTACACTGACAATGGTTACCACACAGGGAGGCCTTACGATATTCATCTTCAACATGTCCTGGCAGGTACCTGCATACTAAGTGCTGGCGTTCCATGGATGCTTGGTTACAGTTGAGCCAAGTCGTGGTTGGCGGTCTCTGGCCGAGACGTGGTTGAATCCTTCGCATCCTTGCGAGTCATATAAGGACTGCTTCATCTCGAGTTGTAGAGGTACGGCGCTTACAGCTTTACTGGCAACAAGCATGTTCACAATTATCTTGTAGTATGTGACAAGCTGGAAGAGGCCATCAGAGTCGCACATGTGCGCCATGTAAGTTCAATAGGCTGTGTTGGTTGTTCTTCTATTTTCAGATGTAGTCAGGCTGGGTGGCTTCATGGATAGGTAGGCTGCAGTCGAAGGATGGCGCGATGCGAAACAACTTCTCCTTCACCACTCGAAATCAGGTGTTGGCGCCTACAACTTTCCGAACCTGGGACAAATTCAGGCAGCTGCGGCTCTTTTCAAGCCTGCGGCTCTTTTCATGCAGTTTGGTGATAAATAGCTAAGTGATTCCTTCTGCGGTTGCAACTCTATCAGATCGTTTCTGCTTTCACTTTCTTCTACTGCTTCACTGAAAGTCATTCTAGAGGCTCTCCTCTCTCATCCTTGCGCTCCTTCCTTGTCATCACGCACATTCCAGACTTCTCTCGCAACCATGGGTCTCATGTCTAAAGCACGCGGCTTGGGCCTGGGTATCATCATCTGGGCTTTGGCAGTCCCAATCTTCCTCTTCACAAGTAAGTGGTGCGCCTACTCATCACGACTAGCAACCACTAACAGTCGAGAAGTCTTCCCACTCGTCTCCTCGACCTCAACCGGCACCAGCGGAATCTATCTGCTTGAGTACAAATGGAACGATGAGGATCATAGCTGGTTGAGACTTGGCTACTACGTGAGTCACCCTCGACTGAATGCATACTATATGTTCTAGCTAACAGTGATCATCAGGNGCTTGTGCATTGTCCACAACAAGCACGGCGGTGACCGCTGTCTGACCACTACTGGCCGCTCAAGCAAGAATCTCGTCAAAGCCTTCCACATTGATACCGATCACTACTCAATCTTCGACTACCCACTGAAACTCCAGCACGATGTTTTCGTCGCCTTCCTTACCGCCGGCGGTGTCATCTGGTTGATCTCGCTCATACTCATTTCTCTTGTCATTCTCAAGGGCTCGTCTGCCGGACGTCTGATTCGCAGTGCAGCAAAGATTACCAGTCTTGCAGGTGCTACCTTGATGATTGCTAGCGCGTGGGCAACCAATTCGGCAGTCAAGGCATTGGAGGTGAACCCCGTTGCTTCGTTGCAGGGCGGCACGCTGCTCTATGGATTGCAGTGGGTGGCTGCTATCCTGGCATTCATCTTTGCTTATGCAGTCAGCTCTGTGGCGGACTCAGAAGATGGCGGAAAAGCCTACTACCTTGGACGTGTCTGATACACCCGAGGTGACTAGTCAGCACCTGATTGGTACCAGACATCATAGTCTATAGAAGAAGACAATACTTGAAACAAAACGTTGGTTTAACACTCCACAACGACACATCGCTCTTGACCATTTATCGTGAAAGCAGACACTTTCGATTGAAGTGAGCGTTGTTAGCAGAGAGCCTCTGCTTGATTGCATCTTTGACGAGATTATATCCTTCTGGTCCTCTCTCTTACCACTCATGTAGTAGTTATGATGTAGTGTCTTCATTCGTGTTTATGAGTCGACTCCCAGGATACAAAAATGGACTTGAGCGATGTCCGCCCAGTGGTCGTGTGACATTAGAACTCCATAATCTCCATGCGCTTATAACTCCAGTGCTCATGCAGTGTCCATCTTGTCATCATCGCCATCCTTCTTCTTGTCGTCTTTTGACTCTCCGCTACCGCTGGGCTGACCGCTCTGATCAAGCAGAGGTTGACTCTCAGAAGTCTCTGGTACGCTTTCCAACTGTGTCTTTGCGTCGGCACCTTCTACAGACTTGTTCTCGCGTGCCTGACGAGCAGTCTCCTCCTCCATACTCATACGCAAAGCCAGAGCCAGTTCCGGGTCCATGGAAGGGTCGACACCAAACTCAAAGTCGCCGCCACCAGATGCCGGTGCGCCACCCTCGCCTCCAGCTGAACCGCCACCCATACCGCCAGTCTCGCCAGCCAGGATTGGTGATGCGACGATAGTGTCAGAGAGAAGGTTGGGGCCGGGTTGGACGATCTCGAGGTATGAACCATCACCACCCTTGACGGCTTCATTGAAGGCTTGAAGCTTCGAGGTGACATCGTCACTAAGATCACCAAAGGCAACGATGTCGATGCTGACGTTGTTCTTCTTCATGCGCTTGGCCAGCTTGACCAGTGATGATTGAGATTCTTGGGCGGAGTTTAGCGGCGAGCAGGTAAGGACGATGATGCGTTGACGTTGACTCTTGTTTTGGCGGTGCTTGAGGGCGAGCNNTGGAAATGATTAGTGATATGGCCCGATGGGTGTTTCTGGGTTGCGACGTACAGAGGCGATCATGATGGCGGTGTGCAGGTGACTTTCACCACGGATCTTTGTGCGATGCAGACCATCAAGGATCTTGCCAGGGTTTGTGGTAAGAGTGGTGAGGACTTCAGGACCGCTGCCGCCCATGGTCATGAGGCCGACTGAGGATTCGGGGTTGGCTTGTGTCTTGTATTGGAAGATCAAGTTGGCAGCATCTGCTTGGGCATCCCATCTCGAAGGTACGTAGTCGCCGTTTCTACTGCTTTCGCTGTTGTCGACACTGCGAACAGGGTCAGTACAAGATAGTGGGAGTGAGTTACAAGCTGGACATACACAATCATAGTTGCCTCCAAACCCATGATGGCGGTTGTGAGGTTGGACGGTTCGAAAAGAAGAGGGGTGCTTCGCGGCGAGACGGTCAAGGTGTGTCGGACAAGATGGTCAGGTGAAGATGGAGTTGGTCGTAGTGAGCAGTGAGAGATGTGGTGGGTTGGATGGTGCTTGATGGATGGTCTCGAGCTCTCTCAATGACGCCCGCCGCGCCAAGAAACACATCCGATCCCCAACTTTGGTGTTTGTTGATGCGCGAGTTCCTTTCTTTACCACTGCCACTCCTCGAACAGCACATCCCACCATCGCATTCTATATCATACGCCAATCTTCACACACGCGCATATCTATACAGGAAACTCACAACTGCCACCAATCGCCAACATGACGAGCCTCGTCGCGACTCCCGACGCGACAATGGCTACAGATCGAGTAGCCCACATCACTGAGACTCAGAAACAAGCTCTGATGGACAATCTACAGCTTGAGAGTGAGTCGCCTGTATTCCGTATATTGTAAGCAATGTTCTGAAACGTCTCTANNGTTGCCGACCGCGCCCGCAAACTACGCGCCCAGTACGCCCTTCAAGCCCAAGGCCTACGCACTCGTCTCGAGATGCGCATCAACCGTATTCCTCGTAATCTTCGCAAAGCAACTATGGGAGATCTATTGGAGAAACATCTCGAAGCCCAGAAGAAGACCCAGCAACGTCTACCCAGCCCTGCCAAAAGAAAGAGCTTGAAGCGCAAAGGTTCGTCCAACTGCTTTGCTACGACCTTTTCTCAATACTTATTCGTGCATAGTGAGGAAGCAGCTATGGCTGACAAGGAAAACACTCAACCCACCTCTGCAGCTCTCGCAAACCCAAAGAAGCGCAGCAAGCATAGCCCTGGCCCTACTGGCATTCCTACCTCTCCTAACCTAGGACGTTCTACGAGACCCCAACCTCTCAACCCTACCGTTCTCTCTCCCAAATCACCCAACTCGCGCACACTACCACGTTCTCCCTTGAAGTCTCCCACCACAAAGTCTCCACCACCGCTTCCCAGGCCTTGCGGTGCCGCAGCTCTTCAAGCAGCACAGTCCATCAAGAAAGGCACGCTTAAGAGACCTGCCACTGCACCTACGGCCACTGTTCTAGACGCAGTAGCATCTGCTGCACAACCGAACACTTCTACGCGTCGTGCTCTTCGCGCCAGCAATGCCTCTGCAGAAAGCACCAGCAGCGAGAAGACCACAATCATCAACAAGTCACCCGCCAAAACCAATCCTCCCAGTCGCCCACACACCGCTATGGCTCTAGCATCGCCTAAGAAGTTGCCTGTGCCCACTTCGCCCGTCAAATACAACTCGATCAGAGACAGACCATTGCCAGCACCCGCTGCAGCACCAACTCCCGTCGCAGGCACGATTAAGAAGGGCACCTTCAAAAGCGCAATGGCCTCGCTCACAGGCAGCAAANAAGGGAAGAAGGCGACCGCCGCAGCTGCCTTTGGCACCAACGGTACGCCTCCACCTGCTGGCAGAGTGCTCAGAAAGCGTGCTCCCTGAGACTGATACTTGTATTGCTTTGATTATGAATAATGACCTTTCTCATCTTTTTGTTGTTCTTGTTCTTGCTCGAAATCAGACGAGCAAGACCTCTTGGATTGTTGAGTGGATTCTATAATAACGAATGGATACCATGTTCGCCAGTATGGGCGTGTTTTGCATAGCAAGAAACAGTTTACCACGCACCATACGTGAGACCACATGTAACATGAGGTAGCCAGAGCATCTCGTAAGAAAGGAAGTCGAACGGCGCACCTGAGCTATATGATTGAACTAATCTCGACAGCACGAATGCCGATAAGCACAGAAAATGTCTCAACTCAAGGACAAGCACAACGATTACACATGCAAAGCGATGAAGTAGTGTGTGGGATGACAATTGTATTTTGTGATGATAGCATGGGCCATTACATGCCAGCCCACTCAACACAGAAAGCTCTGACTTGGTCCTCGCCTTGCTCCTTGTCCTCGGTGCCGCCAATGAGGAACCCTTTCTTGACACCAGTGCCCAGACGACCACCTCCAACCAATGTCAACAGATCAAACTCTTGATCCCAATCCATGCCATCGCACAGGAAATGACTGTGGAAGCGCAACGGATCGCCAGGGTAGGCTGTGTATTTGCAGCCGAACCTGATACCAGGGGCCATAAAGTAGCCCTTGGAGTGGAGGTGTTTGAACAGAGGGTAAGAAACGGGGACCTCAGGCAGGGGTAAAGGTGATGAGGACGTTGATGATGTTAGAGGAGGATGTGAGGTTGTAGGTGTAATCTTCATCGTTGAAGCAGAAGATGACGCGACAGATGCCTCAGAAGGAGCAATGGAAGGTGCACTGGGTGCGGGACTAAAGAGCGATTCTTCATCGTCTCCAGCGACAGTCTCGCCAGCAGCAGCAGCCTCAGAACGCTCTTTTTCAAGCTTTGCAGCAAGGGCAGCGTTCTTAGCGGCAACCTTCTTCAATGCTGCAATCTTTCTGTCGTCGGCACTCTTGGTTTGCATCCTTGTTGCATCGCTGCCTTGCTTTTTCAAGCTACGCAGGAACTTTTCCTTCTCCTCTTTACTTAAAGCACCTTGCACGAATGCTTGCTTGTGAGCAGCAGCATCGTCGACAATGTATGCGACACCTTTCTCCACCAACAGTCGTGCTTCTTCAGGCATGAGCTCCAAAGGGATACCTAAGAAGACGTTCTGTTGGGGTGCTTGAGGCAAGCCGCCGATCAAAACACCAGTGATGTTGTGTACACGGCGCGCATGGCTGACGGTGTTAACGTCGTAAAGCGTGTAGCGGCCAGCAACCAAGAAGATTGGGAAGGGCTCGGCTACTGATGGACTGGCCATGTTGATACTAGATTATACCGAGACTTTCGTCAAGGCTTTACAACATAGTCAGCATGTGTCGTGCATAAGCGAGTATGTGTATGAAGAAGAAGGGTTGAGGAAGCATGTTCATAAAGAGCATAGCATTTTTCTGTCGTCAACGACCGTAGTCTCAGGGGATTGACAGATTGATTGAAAAGATGTTGTTTAATCATTGCAGTGGGCGTGAACAAGAAGCAGGAACAGACAAAACATACCCTTTGGATGTGTAGAGACAAAAAGAGTCTCGCGATTATTTCAACCCATAATGCGTGGAGTTGCAGAAGCTGCAGGAGGAAAGAGCTTTCGGCAAGATATAGCCCAAGGCGCTCGGACCCCTTCGGCGGCAGGGCATCGGCAGAAATCATCTCCAAATTCTCCAAACTCTCTGTCCAGACTTTTTTGTTTGGTAGACAAATTTATTGTTAGACAACAAATCACACATCCAACATGGCAGCAGACAGCAAATCTCTGACGACAAAGGTCGCTTCCGGCTCCCCCTACCAATTGGACCCTTCGCAAACCCTCCGTGCTGCCACTGCTCTGCTTAAGAAGATCGCCAGCGACTCTGTTGCGCGCAAGGACAATGGCGGCAAGGCCAACCTGCTCGAGGATGCCGACGAAGACGAGGACAGCGACGAGACCTCGACCACCGTCTGGCTCAACGTCACCACCAAGAAGCACATTGCCGACCAACGCAAGATGAAGCCCGGCAAGATCATCGTTCCCTTCCCTCTGCAGTCCGCCGCCTCGCCTTCTCTGCGCATCTGCTTGATCACCGCCGACCCCCAGCGCAAGTACAAGGACATCATCGCCAGCGAACGCTTCCCCGCCCAGCTCTCCTCCCGCATCAACCGTGTCCTCGGCACCGAGAAGCTCAAGGCAAAGTACAAGACCTACGAGTCGCGCCGCCAGCTCTTCGCCGAGTACGACATCTTCCTCGCCGATGACCGCATCATCACCCGTCTGCCTGCCCTCCTCGGCAAGGTCTTCTACGGCACTGGAGCTAAGCGCCCCATCCCCGTCGCCATGCAAGGCAAGCCCGAGAACGCTCGCGACGAGGCTGGCAACAAGCGCGTCAAGCTGTCTGAGGGCGGCGAGAAGCTCAAGCGCTCAGAGATCACCNCCGAGGCCCTGGCCCACGAGATCGAGCGCGCCGTCGGTGCCGCTCTCGTCCACCTGGCACCCAGCACAAACGTCAGCATCAGAGTTGGCAAGAGCAGCATGACCGCCGACCAAGTCGCCGCAAACGTTGATGCCGTCGTCACCGTCCTAACCGAGAAGTACATTCCCCAGGGCTGGAGGAACATCCGCTCTCTGCACGTAAAGGGCCCCAACACCGCCGCCCTGCCCATCTGGCTCGCCGACGAGCTCTGGACAGACGAAGCCGACGTGCTCGAAAGCCTGCCCGCCCCCGTCGTCAAGGACAAGAAGAAGAGAAAGCGTGCTCTCCTCGAGATCAACGCCGCCGACGCCGCAGAAAACGACGACTCAAAATCCGAGACCAAGGCCAAAAAATCAAAGAGCGACAATGCCGAAAAGGCTGCCAGAAAAGCCGCTCTCAAGAAGCAAAAGGAGGAGTCAAAGACTGCTATTTCAGCATAAGAAATACGACCCTCGAGAAAAGTTATTGATATGATTTCGAAAGGGGAGCCTCTTTATATCCTGGTTGTTGTTTGCATTGCATGGCGCTTTGGGGTGGTGTTTCTTTTCTACTGGGGTTCACAGATTTATATTGTTTTGATTCACAGGGGTGATCAGTCCATCCAGAGGTCAAATGTACATGTCCCATTTTCCTCCCTTCCTCGTCATCATGAAAGAGAATCCCTCCGTGGTGACCACATTCTTCACAGAAGTATCGTGTATCTGTGAATACACTGTGACAATCATTAGTAAACGGGAAGGGATGTTAGGTGGAGAAAGAGTGTTTTATGCCACAATCAAACACAATTGACCACGACCATTTTAATCATGTTTTCCTTTCATTGAGTACGAATGAATTTATGCTGCACTGTCCCACTGATTGCCTGCAATACCTCGAATCACCTTTTGTGCTGTGCTTCAATCGTTGGAGATGTTTCACGGCTCTCCTATGTCCACTAGAAAGGTAGAGCACCGAACGATGAGGTCTCGCCGGCTGGTCCTGCGCCAGCAGCACCCGGGCCCGGTCCGCCGCCAAAGCCTGTCACAGCCATATCTTCCTGCTTCATCGTACCGTTGAGCATCGGGCAAAGCCTTTAGTGTTGATTGTCAGCCATTCTGTTTCGCAGAGTTGAACCCATAATATGAGGCAAAAGACACGAATGAAAACGCAAAAGAAAAGCAAGAAAGCAGGTGCTGAGTGAAAGATGGTGACTTTGAATCTCTCGTGTTGAAGTCGAGATTCATTTGGCTCAAAATTGAGCCGAGTCGACAAAGAGCCAGTCGTTCGCCTTGGGAGCGGAAGTAGAATCATTGCTTGTTTGCTTTCTCTTCCTGCCCCTCTGACTGTTTACCTGGCCAGTCGTGGCAGACGAGGACTTTTTCTTTGCCGCTTCTTTCTTGCAGGAATCGGAGCAAAAGAGATCACTTGCTGACTTTTTGTTGGTCTTGATATGGCCCACTTGACCACAGTTGGCACACTTGCGGGCTGTGCCTTCGGTATTCTTCTTCGATCGGCCCTTGCCTTTACCGGTCGGTGCGGGAGTCGCAGCGTCGGCACCGTCAGCACCATCGCCTCCGGGAGATGCTGCGGCAGAAGGCGAGGCGGCACTGCCAATACCCTTTGCACGTTCGCGAGCCTGTCTGCGGCCCATGTTGCGTTCGAGACGCTCGATTTCTGCCTGCATANNCTGTGTAATCTCGTTAGCGAATTTTGTAAAAAGATAACTCGGGGTACGATACAGTTGCTTTTGAAGCGCGTCGAAGTCTTCGTCGCCAGTCGCTTTGGTGTTCATGATGNNCTGTGAAAACATGTCAGCAGGTGTGCAAATCATCACAAATAAGAACCCATGGGTTTGCTGCAAGGGGTGTTCGAGGGATTTCAGGCAAACCGAGATCCCTGGCGCCACTTGCAAGCTTGACAAAACGTACTCGATTGCTTGGCTTCGTGCCAGCAGTTTGCGCTTCTTGTAGGCTGCAATCACCCTTGGATTGGTGATGGTTTCCGTTTGCTCTTCCACGTTGCCATACTTGTCGCGCACGCTTCTCTTGATCGTCATGAACTTGTTGTTCTGACTCATACTGTTGCGACTGAACTGACTTGCAGACTCGTCGTCACGTCTGTTGTTGCCATAGACAGACGTTCCCATGGAGGATCGGGGTGTGCCGGCTCTGAAACTTTGGGCTGGTTCAGGCTCATCGTCAACGTCAGCTTCACCCTCCGAATTCTCCATGTGTGATGAAAGACTATCATGCTGGGACCTCCATATACGACGAATGGATTCATCGTAGGCTCTTTGCTGCTTGGCTACGTTGTAGCTGTGGCCTCCATTCTCTTTGAGTCGTTTGGCATCAAGTCGTTCTTCGATACTCTCGCCTTGTGCTCTAAATCCGCCTTTCATTGAAGTCTTGATGAAACTGAATGCTTCACCTCTGCCAGATGGGTCGCCTTCGCCATGCAACTGAAGCATAGCTTTGCCTTGGCAAGCATTGAGGAAGTTTTTGGTTGTGTTCCATGGCGCAAGTTTGAGCTCAACGTTTGTGCCTTCTTTAGCATCGTCTTCCTCGTTTTCGTCATCCTCTTTCTTGAGGCCCAGATCCTTGAGATACTGCACACCGACTTGCATCGAGTCAAGAACACATATATCTTCTGGCTTGATCCAACCACGAAGAGTCTCCGAGTCAGGGACAGAATCACCCGCCTTGAGATGCCATAGCTGATTGTTCTTGTCGTATTGCATAAACTCACGCATCTTGCCACGGTTTTGTGCAACGTCACTGCCAGGTAGATGAGCTTTAACGACTTCGTTGGTGAGAGGCTGGCCCCTGATAGCCGGGTCGATGCTCTTCTTGAACACACGGTAGGATATTGCGCGTAGACGACGTTTAGCGGCATCTGTGACCTTTCTGGAGTGCTCGCCAGGGACTTCCACTGATGGGAATTGCTGACCAACAGCATATAAATTCTCTACGTTACGCATGTAATACTTCTTGCCGTTCTTGTGTGTCTCGTTACAGATGACCAGGAAGTCGGTCGATTTTCCCTCGTGACGAAAGACAGGCGCCCTGTAAAGACCGTTGTGTATGGTAGGCACCATTTCTCCAGGATCGACTTGGCCGAAGTTCGCGAATGGACTACGATCTTGAGGTAAGAGAACTTGGGTTTCGCCAATCTCCTCCTTGGGTCTGGAAGAGTCTTCGGCATCTTTTCTTCTGTAATAGTTGATGAGACGATTGCCCATACCAAAATTGGAGAGCATAACGGGATGTTCTTCCGAATATTCAAGGAGCAGTGCACTCGAGTTGTCAGCCATAGATAAGTCTTCGGACTTTGCAAAGAGAGTTGCGACATCCTTGCCACGCATCTCTTTCCTCTTGAGCTTTTTGGGTTTGCTGAATACGATGGTTCTGTTGGGCCTCTCGCTAGAGAACACAGGACGGTGGAATGCGCGTTTCTGCTTGTCATCCAAACTGACTCTGTAGAAGGGGNNGAATTGCAGCTTGGTCGCGGGCAAACTATGCTCGACGGCCATACTGCCGAGTGTGCTGCGAACCTTGTGCTGGTGATTCTCTTTGAGAAGTTCGTAAGCTTCGTCGTTGGATATATTGTATCTCTTGGTCATGTCACGAGCCATGGCAGTCCTGGTCTCCCGACGCATGTCGCCAGGCACATGACGCAGTCTCTTAGGCTGAGTCGTGGGAGCATTCTCGTCTAACAAAAGACCGGGATCGTTCATGTCGAGTGTGACTCGCTTAGCAATGTGTGCAGTTGCACGCTCTGGTTCGTCAAGAGAAGGATATGTGTGCGATATGGCGACTGCAGCCTTGAGATCAAACCCAACAACCTTGAGCTTCTTCGCGGTTGGCTCTTCCAAGTCAAACCCAGGAATCTTGCGCTTAGCTGCTGGGGGTGAGTGCGAGTCTCTTCCCATGTCGACACCGCTGTCTACAACCGAGTAGTGGCCGGGCGATGATGCAGCACTTGCCATGTCCCAGTCCTCACAGAGCACTGTCAGGTCTTGCCACGAGACACCACCGATTCGCTCGTTCGGATCAATCTCATCTAGGTCGACGACATCTTCGGTATCTTCTTGCTTCTTGGAAGTGTCCTCGACGCGAACGACACCCGATTGTTCGCCGCCCCCTTCTCTGGCATGTTTACCCATGGTAGCAGCACCCAGGAGCCTGAAACCTTTCTCATGATCGTGTTGAAGATCGAGACTGAGTTTTGTTGGTTGTACGGGCTTGGGAGGCTTGATAGGAGTCTTCCAGCCATAGATACCTCGTCTAGGAGGAAACAGCTCGGTGAAGCGTGGGCGCTCTTCTGGGTCGTATGATGGCCAGATAGAATAGAAGACCTCCATTTCTGTTTCGGGAGCAGTTGGCGGTTCATAAGATCCTCCTCTCTTGCTTCGCTCAACTCTTTCTTGCTCCATGGCAGCAAAGAGAGCCTTNTGCCGTAACCAGTCCTCGTCTTCTTCGTCATCCTGCTCCTCAATAACCTCTGCATCTGCCATTTGCTCGTCTTCGATCAGATCGTCCGACATTTGGGGCAGAGCGAGAGATGTGTAAGCNCCTGGCAGAGCGATGGCAGATTTGGAGGGNAGAGCCAAACCGCTGTGGCTGATAGACGGAGGCGGGTTGGCGAAGTCATGTTGGTGTGTCTGGTCGGATGGTTGGGAAACATCGGGTTTCGCATCTTGATCGCCATCATTGTCGTCTCCGAACAAGTCGTCTTCGAAGCCGAAAAGATCATCATGATTCTCGTCTTGCTCAATCGGCGCATCAAGCTGTGTCACAAGACCATCGGCGGGCGAGCTCTCAACCTTTGGTTTGACATCTGTCTCGTCTTCGGGCAAATCATCGTCGCTGATGTCTTCGAAATCGATGGCGTCGTCGGCCTTCTCGCCTACTTCCAGATCGCGGTCGAAGTTCAAGTTGTTGTTACTCGGATTTTCATCGTTGAGAAGGCGCGCAATTTCGGCATCATCGGCCTGGTCCTGAAGCTCGAATTCATCGATAGCGTGCGGCATGATGGGCGGGTTGACGTGATTTGCAAGTGGTCGAATGTGTCGCCGAGCACTGTTCTAGAGAGCAAGACGATGCGCCATGGATATAGCGCGTCTGAGAGGCAACTGACGCCGAGTGTTGTGGAATGGAGCTGGTGACGATGTCGCGAAAGTGTAGTAGTGAAGGCGGCGAGAGGGTATTTACGGTGAACCAGATAGTGGTCGCGGGATCTGCAAGAACCAAAAGATGTCTTCTCCGGCTGTCGTGGACGATGTCGCAATGCAGGCGCTTCTGGTCGTTGTGACGAGAGATGCTTGCTTGCGACTGCCTTCACGCATCAGCATGCCAAGCCCTTCCTGAGCCATTGTCCGCTCGACACTCCCGAGACCGAACGCGACCTGACCTGACCTACATGCACAAGTGATGTCCTTACTCGCCCATTGTCTGTCACCTCATCCTGATACATGGCCTTGCCATCTTGCAATCTAATCCTACCACCCTACTCTCAATTCACTACAGTGCAATTTCTTCCCGACAACCAGATGGCCGCCTGATTATGCAGGCTAAGATGGACACGGTTGTGTCTCTTGAACAGTGCTGCCACTTTACTTCTGAGGCTACTTCCCCATGTGCTAATAGAACTGTTATAACATCGCGATTGACTATTTTCCCATCCCCATGTACAAAGGCAATGTGAGCTGCCAGAATGCACAATCGCATTTCGAAAACGAGTCTGATCATAGGGACGCCCTCCGATGGGATTCTCTGTGGAAACAATCTTCTTTTGCGAGAGTATTGTATGTTTTAGCGAGTACGCTGTAACAGTCTTTGATACCCAAGAGAGGATGATCTTTCTACGGCCGCATGCAGTCGATCATATCATATCAACTTCGACATGCAATCGTCTCTCGCGTGCCTGCACAATTCAAAGTGTAGACAGGTGCCAATTGTACGGGATGCAGCGGAATTCAGCGGAAGCACCTCGTGATGAATCTCCGGCTGGCTTGACTTTGGACGCTGGAGAAGTTTGGACCACACTAACCGCTGTTCTCATGCACATAGGCTTCTAATAGAGGAAATAAGAAGGCGAGGCCCAAGATGGGCCTTGCCGCGGCCATGCATGATGATTGACGCTTGTATTACCTGTGTATTCCCGTAACTAACTACGCGTACTCTGTACACTCATACAAGCAAAAGTAGGGCAAGCCTCGAGGCACGTAATTTGATGGCCACAGAAGAGTGCTTGCACCAAATGATTTGTGTGAAGCTGAGACTTTGAGCCGCGGTCCGCCATCCAACTTGGAGACATGAACAGGGATCCGCCTGCGTTTTACCCTCTCCTTCGGCACCGCTTTCTGGACTAAGAGCGACTCGTATGATACACCCGAGTCATTTGCCGTTGGTGAAGCATTGATACCTCGCATAGCATCTGCCAACCTTACAGGTTGGCTAACTGTTGTAACTTTGTCGAGTCATCTTGTGCCTGCTTGATTACTGAACACAGTCTTCCACCAGTTTAACGTCAACAAAGTCAAACTCCTATCCTTTGTTCAAGCTTCCGAACCATGAAGACTCGCCTATCTTGGCACCTTACATACCGGCCTAGTCGCAGTCGCTATTGGATTCGGTCGCGGTCGGGTCGACGGTGACATTCTGTACCATCAGATACGTTGACGCTTCATTAGGGTTTGGCTTTGGTGACCAAAGTGGCGAGACTGCGGCGCAGAATAAGCACCCTACCTGAGCGTGATAATTGATTAATGCAATGTCATAAAGTCGCTGCGTTTGTCACTTCTACCTCTCTACAGGTAAATTTAACAGTTGCTGACGGCAACGGTCCTGCTTATCGCAGCTGCATAAAGAGGATCGGGGCGGCATAGTTCTTACCGAGCTCGTGGTTCCTTCCATCATAAGCGCCTACAACTGACCGTTAATGCCAGACTAAACAGCTTGAATCCGATTATCGGCCAGCCTAGACCGAGATACGGCGCGGCACGATCTATATGTGAAGGCTCAAGAGTTTTAATTATACTCGGCACTGTCGCAGTTTCCACCTATCGACTTGACTTGAGTCTTCGTTTCTTCCTTTCATCGTCTAGCGCATCTATCTGGGAATGACAAATCGACCGAGCGAAAGTCAAAAATACGTGCATAATATTAATCAACTAAAACAATAACGGAGGAACCCTACTCGTACCCTGCTGCGCATCTGCTAATTACCCTATCCCTCCCCCATATACTGGTCCCAGCCACTTTCTTTGCTCCGATCACTTGGCGTCCAACTCCAGACTCGAGTCGAGTAAGTATTCTTTCCTTCTTTGTTCTTCCTTTTCCCTTGATCTGTATCGTTCCGTGTCCTTACATGTCGATGCCTACAGGTTACGCGAAACTCTCGAGCTCTCCAGATTTCTACCAATAACCTGTACTATTTTGAAGGTGGGACCACACGAGGCCATGCTAGAGGAGCATCGGCCTGATGCATCGCACGCCGGCAACCATGTCGACAGTGACCCAAGACAAGTAGCACCGCCTACTATGCTTCCAGGCCCGCGCGATTCTCTTNTGCTACCTCCGGAGTCGTCGCAGCCACGAAACGCAACTTCATTGCAGCTTCCTTCATTATCTCAACAACATCCTGTAGCACAAGATGGAGCCATCTCCCAACTTCAATCTTCACTACAATCTCAGCTTCACGTCCACAGCCAGATACTTGAGGAACAGAGACAAGAAATCGAAAACCAACGGCACCAGATTGCGCGTATGGACAGCACGATAGAAGCTCTGCGTCACGAACAGAGGAATATTTATGCCGTGGTAGACGAAGTCAGACATGAATTGCGAGCACGGGGCCCTGCACCAGAACACCATCATCCTGACAATATCGAGCTAGACATCTTGACTCAAGAAGTACAAAACATATCAGCCAAGGCAAGCGAGATTACCGGCCTCAAGATGCAGCTGGATATTCTTCGGAGTCAAGTAAGACGTCTGGAACAAGTAAGACACGACTCTCCTGGAGCAAATGGTGCGCCTCCCTCGGAACCATTGGGCCACGAACATGTGAGCCATGCGGCACCTGCGATACCCGGATTTGCAACGAATACGCCATCGGCACAAGAACCAAGACCGCTCCTTTACCAGACGCCTATCGAAAATCGACTTCCTGCTCCGATCGCCGCCAACCCCGAGCTGCCAGATCCTCGTGTTCAATCAGAGTCGCGCACACTTCCCGGCATCCGCTCTATTGATCCAAACACTCCACTCTCTTCATGGCGCCCTGCCGGCGCAATTGCTCCTCCACCGTCGATGCCCTTGGTTGGATCATCGCCACAGATCGAGGCACCAGCACCTGGAAGTGGATGGGCAGCCGTCAACGCAAACACTGCGCCTAAGCGTTTAATCTCGGAGCCGTCCTTTGAGTCTACGACACCTGGATCGCCCAAGAGACAGCGTTTAGCTCCTCTTATGCCTCGGACTTATGACCAGCAGAGCCCTGCGCAAGGCTCGTCACCTTATCATTCAGTCTCTGGTGATTCCTTGCCAACGGTTCCTACCTTGCAATCGACCCAGAATCCATCTACTGAATCTACTGGAAGCGTGCCTCCTCAGCCTAACCCTCTGCGTTTCGTACAGTTTGCAGCGGGATTGGAATCTGCACCAGAAGAGTCATGGCGCCAAGGACAGGGATCAGCGATGGACAGGACTAGAGGTAGCCCAAGAAGAGGAAGAGGAGGTAGGGGCCGCGGTGGACGTAAAAGTGGAGGCGCAGAGGGAGATCGCGCTACACCAGAATGGGAGGCACGCTCCGACAATGTTCAAATTTTGAATCCCTCTGAAGGACATGGAGGACCGGTTCAAGCTCCTGAACAGTCCGGCGAGACAACAGCTGGCATGTACCCTGACCCGCATTTCATGCCCATCACCACGACCGCTGATGTGGCTTCCTCGAACCATCCGACCAAGAAAACCCGTACTAAGCCTGTACGCAACGCAGATGGTGTTCTGATTCGCAAAGACGGAAGACCGGACATGCGTAGTGTAAGCAGTGCCATGAACCTTAAGAAGGTGCATGCGAAGAAGGAGGCTGAACGGGCCAACAACAAGGAGAACTCTGCCGCGTCTGAAGACACGAAGGACAAGTCTACACCTTATTCGGCATCAGAGCATGATGCAGGAGAAATAAGCGCCGCTAGTCCCAGCGTCGATGGGCATGCGACAGATGGAGAGACTAGCATTCTGGATCGTCATCAGGAAACCATGCGTAAGGTATTCCCTCACGGCATCGACAATCCCAGCGTACCGAGTATGGCGCAACAATTCTTTCCCAAACCGGATGATACTCGCGCTGCCCCTCAGGTCAAGATCGAAGCTATGGTCGAAAACGATACCACCACAAAGGAAGCATCTCGAGGACATGAGGGTCCCAAACCTCTGATCGATGGAGAAAGGAGCATGGTCCATCACACCGCAGGACGTGTGGATGTTGAGATGAACGACGCTAAGTAGGCATGCATGCATCGTTGTTGATCATCATGCACACCGTTACGCCTCACGATCTGCTTGGGCAGAAAAGACACGAACAACAAAGCTGGACTCGTGTGGATAGGAGCCTCTCAGTCAGAGGCTAAAACTATGCACATAAGTCGACGCAGAAACAATTGATCTGCTACATTTGCTTCTTGGACCAACAATTTCGCTCGGGCAGCAACGACAATGAGGAGATGGATAGTCTTTGTTTGGATATGATTTCGAGAGCCCTGGTTCGTCTCATTTTACTTTACATTGTTTCAAGGCTTTACATTATTCAAGCCATTTAACCGTACACATATACCCAAGGCGCGCTGGCTTCCTCAGGCGTTGGGATTCATTTCGATAATGCAAAACAACACACCGAAAACTACTTTACATACACTTTCGTCTACTTTTGCATCATTCTACAGTCCTCCGAAGGCAGACGCCACACTCGTATTGATAGTGATGTTATCACTCTTCGCTCTATCTTGCAGCATTTATCCTATTCCCGGACCGAGAGCTGAGCGGCTTACAATCCCAAACTAGAGCGAACCGACACAACACTGCCTCGCTTGGATGAAACCCGACCAACAACATCGTGAACTTTGCTCCTTCGCTGACTTTGGCATGTCGATCCACTCGCCAATTCTGTTCCTTTGGCCGCGCATGCGGTATCTTTCGGCTTCTCGTTTGCGCGTTACGAGTAGTTTTCGCCTTTTGCTTTTACAAGATAGGTAGCAGGTTTGCGATTTTGACTTCTCGTTCTCTGCTCCAGCTCGTCTCTTTTTACTTGTTGCGTTGGACAAGTCGCAAAGGCAAGTCAGTGCGAGCCGTGTAACACATTTTCTATCTCGTAAAAGTGTGCAACGCGCTCTTCACTGCGCGTAGCCAGATCTAGCTCCTTCCTTCTGGTTTCCCTTCGAACAACAACATGTGTCAAGGAAAGAGAGCCCGGTCCCGCCCTCCAGTCGCTCGGAGACTTTGTACTTGGAGTTTCATTTTGCTTCACATGATTGGACAGAACAGCCGTTATGTCTTCGGCTCTTCTTTTTGAGCCTTGGGAGTACGGGGCTGCTCCCGAGTCTATCGCTGGGAATAGCAGGTGCTTTGGCTTGGCATGTTCTAGCTCGCGACTCTTTCCATTCGCTGCCTTTCGGTGATGTCCACGTAAGCGATGCGCCGACGGCGACAGCGATGGTGAAGGCGAAGATGGCGATGACGGTGATGGCGAGGAGGTAGGCAACGCCGGGTACAGCAGGAGGACTGTTGACGTGGTCCTGACTGCTCAGTGCTCTCCCATGCTGCAAGGCCTGTAGGATTGCGATCTGCGATGGGAAGCAAGAGTCGTTTGCGAAGCGCTCAGCTACACCGTACACGTACCTATTTTACATGTTTGATATCGATCATCTTGAGGCTGTGCATTTCCAGGTATCATATCAAGACCAGCGTTTGTATATGTATAGTGATCCTTGTATTGTCCTCGTGTCGGTACTTTGGTTGCCGGAGGACGATCATCTTATAGCATGTTGATCTGCCCTACTTCTACACGACCACCTCATTCGGTCTTTGTATCATGAATCGATTCAGTATCGCATTCGCACTGTTAGCACCTTCATGTTGCTTGCCTTGAAGTCAACGAATCGTTTTATCAACAATAGAGAAACAACTCCTTGCTGTTTGATCAATTCTTGATGTTCCTTCCATGACGGCGCATCCAAGTCCGCCCGAAGCTTTCCACAAAAGTTATGCATGCTCCCACTTCAATACACCACAACTCCATCAATTCTTGCCCAATCTCTCCCATTCTTTTTCTCTGCATACAACAACTCGAAAGAAGTGTTCGACGATGCTGAAAACAGCAAAAGAACGACGCCTGCAGGACTCGAACCTGCGCTCCCGAAGGAAATAGATTTCTAGTCTATCGCTATAACCACTCAGCCAAAGCGCCGGGATGTAGATCCGAAATTTCGCCAAATCCGGAAGGATCAGTGTCTTGGTGGATCAATGGAGGAAGGAACGACTGGCGAGTATATGTAGCTCACAAACCAGAAGGAGCGTTCAAGAGGAAGGCGCGATTTATCCCTCGGGGTCAATCTGGAAGGAACCATGCTCGAGAGAGTCGCTGGAGGAAGGTGCGACTGTGTGAAATATTCAACTCACAAACCAGGAAGGAGCGAACGCCCAGCTTGAAAAGGAAGCCGCGACCATCTCGCTCCTTCCTACTTTGTATATGACTGCGTGGCATTTTCCTGAGATACCAAGGGAAGTCGACGATACTTGATCGATGCTGGTGGTGATGAGCACAACTGGAGAGGATGAAGGTCAGCAGTGTTATTCACGTAATGATTGATCGGTATGGTCTGTGCTTCTAGTCAATGCTAATGGTACAACCCTGTCAACAATTTCGACGGCGAGTATGTGTCTATCACGCACTTCAAACATATCACAAACAGTGTTGTCTAGCGACATAGCACCAGTGCTCTACGACGTAGATGCTCTTAACCACTTGATGTAGCTTTCGGCGCAAATTGTACTAGAACAATTTCTGATCATAAAATGGGCTGTTTCCATCACACATTCTGATGCATCTCACAAATGTGGATGATTGGCCCGTACAAAGTTTCATACACCTAACACACGTCCAGTGGCAATGGAGACTATCACATTTCCTAGCACGGATTCTACTCATCGAGAAACACTTGTTTGTGAAGTCGTGAAGACATTTGATAATGTGATGGATGACCGGCTTGGAGGTAACCCTGTCTTTACAGTGTGTCTCAAGACTCAACAAAGAGGAAGTAGAAACAGATAAGGCAACAAGTCTGCAGTGACGAGAAAGAAGATATCGCAGAGATAGGACCTGAGTTAGCAAGTAAACAAGAAACGGACATTGAACTGGTCCAAAGAAGAATCGATTCGCAGAGCCATGCAGAAGAGGACCAAATTGAGATGCGAATCTGGAAAGGGTCAAGTAGAGGTCGAATCCTGATCGAATCGTAGTGAATATGATGTTGTATTGCAAAAGATAATTGTGAGACGAATCTTGCCCTCTGGAGACCCTCCAGTATAGAACCTAACACCATCGCTAAAAGACTGCAAGAAAGAGAATGAGAAAGAGAATCATAGTGTCAGCCAAGCTGATCCTGAGAGGGGATCACTCCTCATTGTCTTCGTCGTCAACCTCCATGCCAAAGTTTCTGCGCTTCATGGCGAGTTCGCTCTCGAGACTTTGCAGCTTGTTGATGTTGCGCTGCCTGAGCATGGGGTTCATGGAGCGCTCGACATTAACGCGCGCATTCGCAACCTCCTTCTCCAGGTCCTCAATCTCCTCGCGTACTTGAGCTTGTACGGCTTGTTCTGCTACCATCTCTTCATCGATAGTGTCTGGTCCTTCGTCATCATCCTCATCGGACTCTTCAGAATCATCATCCTCATCGCTTGATGCTTCTTGAGCTGGTGCAGGAGTTTCAGCTGATGCTGCTGGCGTCGGTGCTTCGGTTTCCGGTTCGGCTTCAGCCATGGCGGTTTGTACAGCGCTCATTTCGGCGGCCGCATCGGCGGGTGGTAGTGCAGGTGCATCCGCCATGTCTTCATCGAATAGAGCAGCACCCAGCATGCCTTCCAGATCTTCGTCGTCTTCTTCCTCTTGCAGGGGCTCTGTAGTGTAGGCTTGACCATATGCGTCCTCAGTCGTCGTTCTATAATCGGCGGGTTCTTCGTCGTCGTAGTCGTCCATATCCTGGTCTCCTTGTGCTTGCTGATCAAGGGCGTCATTGTCAACGATGTCGTACTTGACAGTGCCTCCTGACTTCTCAACCAATTCGTCGGCCTTGATCAGACGCTCCACCTCATCATCCACATGTTCAACAGACTTGTAGCTAGCTCTTTGCCTGAAGCGCCTCTTGCGCACCCAGTGCATTGGCGGTGTCAAGCCGTGTGCATATGCAAATGTGTTTTTATCGACTTCGCGCGGCAGGGGGNNAGCGTACTTGGCTGTTGTCTCACCCTCTGTCGGACCCAAGACAAGCAGCATCTGGCAAATATCGGCGACCTTCCACCATCCACGTTTGTCCCAACTCTTCATTCCTTCAATGATACATGGTAGATCGACCATGACTGCAGCATAGTTGGTCTTGTTCACAGTGACGATGGCGCGGCGCAGATCCTTGTCCAAAAACTTGACATTAACATAAGCTCCTCCACTTTCTGGCTTCTCGCCCAGCGTCTTGTTGGTGATGGCCTCACGCAAGTAATCGCAGTCAGGTCCTGGCTCCATGCGCAAAACCCATTGCTGCTCAATAGCTGGATCATCTTCTGCATCACTCGCTTCTGAATCGTAGCCAACACCAACAGGTCGCTTAGGCACATATTTTCGAGATACGATCGAGATAGATTTCGGGCCAGCACTTTGTTTTCTTGCGTTCAATTTGAGGCGGGTAGGAGTCGAAGTAGCCGATTCTTGTCCACCAGCACTACCACTAAGCTTCAGGGAGAAGCGCTTCTTCGGAGGGACCTGGGTGTTGATAGTGGGACGTTTGGGAGCAGGAGAAATGTCGTCTTGAGCGGAGCGCTTCTTGGTGGCATCGTCGGTNGGGTCCTTTTGGTTTCTTAACTTTCTTCGGAACGGCTGAAAGTACTGGCTGNNAGGTGGTCGCGGCGGTTGAGATGGCGTAGACTCGTTCTGAGGAGTGGGTGGTTGCGAGTTCTTGATCTTGAATTTGAAACCGCCGCCAGTGCTGGGAGTGGCAGCAGCAGGTGTTGGTGGTACTGATGGCGGCGCGTTGGGATCGGCCGGTTTGGCCGAGAGCTTTAGTTTCATGGCCAGACACGGCACACCTGGCGTAAATTCGAAGGCTGTCGATGGATGTGAAAGGACGAGGAAAGTGTGTACGAGTGTTGCGACAGTGCCGAAGGTTGGCAGCAGCTGGCGGAAAGAGCAAGCGCCAAGCCAGGTGAAGTCAGGCAGTTGCATTCGCATGTGAAAGAAGGAAGCTACCACCGAAACATTCCATTCCTGTTCTCTCTACCATCCACACCGACATCATGTCGGCGACACAACAATTACACACTTCACTACTGCGCGCACCTATTCTACACATCCTGCGCGCTCAGGGCTTCCACTCAACCCGACCTTCAGTTCTGGACACTCTAGTCAACATCACCGAACGCTACTTGTTGCTACTAGCCGAGACGACCAGAGATCATGCCCTACTTAACCACAACGACCCCATCCCGACCGTCACTGATGTCCGCATGGCCTTGACCGACTGCGGTACTCTCACTCCCGTCCTCACAGCCGCCGAACAAGACTGGCTAGAAAAGTTCAGACGTCCGCTAGAGGACTTTGACGATCTCAAACACGGCGACATTAGAAGAGAAGGAGAGCTACGGCGACGCGATGAACAGGATACCCAAGATGTTCGCGATTTCATCAAATGGATCGTCGGCGACCAGAATCGTGAGATCCGTCGCATTGCTGGTGTCTTGCCCGAACCTGGTCCTGGAGGCACTGTCAATGGTGAAGACTACTTGACGGTTCTGAAGAAGAAGCACAGCAAGACAGGAGAGGAGTCACGATTCCAGGGCACGGTGCTCGGAAAACCAGCTGAGGACAGACCAATCAAGATCGAAGGCGGCCCAGTTGAGACTCTGGCCGAGTGGAACAACCTCATGCACGATCACTCTGAGCACCAACTGCCAACTACTAAAGATGCTGCTGAAAGCCCACACGAAGCTGAGATAGACGAACAGCAATTGTTGATGGATGTGTCTTGAGCTGTGACAGGATCTCAGTATTACAAGATTCAACAACAACCACACCAACACCGCCTACTGCCACTCATCGCGAGCAAGCGCAAACGCCTCCATATATGAGGGATGGAAGAAGCTGCCGAATCAGCCATGGGATTCTGCTTGCAGAAGGGCTCCTTCACGTTGCGCACCAGTTTTGTATCGCAAATGCTTGGTATACACCAACATGGAGGTGTGCAACAGAAGAAGCGGTTAGGAAGGGTGGAGGTCAAGGAGATAGCCATATGCTGCCAAAATGGCCAAGGGCCAGCGTCATCATTATATACTGTGTTCAGTCATGCCATGCTGGACAAGGTTTTAGACAGCAAGCAGACAACCCAAACAAGAATCAGAGATTGACATGGCAACTCTCCAATCCTCGATGATCATCCTTCCGACGCGCGACAGCGTAATATAGATAGATACCTCAGCTGTGCATTGTATGGCTGTTGCTAGCGCTGGGTCAGAAGGCCCTACTAGGCATCCAATGGTCGAAGCTGCAGCCCTTGTGAAGTGGCAACTCAAGTTGAGGCCGCATGCTTGGAGAAGAAGCCGACACCACCAAGATATTTGATGGCCTGCAATGCAAGCTTATTTTCCTCGTCCATCTCTTGCTCAACAAGCNNTATCTCAGATCAGCATATTGTATCAACCAAAGAAATTCAATCGCAACTTACTCTCTGATACAATGTCTTCCTCTTCCCCTTTTCCTGTCCAGAAGATGCATCGTGCTTGTATCTACACTTGTTTCCAAATTTGCATCGTCCTTGATTGAGGAAGCTGATGCATTGTTTGGCCTCAGGTTGTTGCTGTTTCGGCTGTGCTTTATTACCAGCGGTAGGTGGTGGAACGCGGACAGGGTGTGATAACTTCGAGGATGTCTCCTCGGGTGGTGCGTCGCTGTCTGAATCCGAGAGGTGTTGGTCGTCTGCAGGGGCATCTTGGTTTGAGTGTTCGAGAGACTGATCAATTTCCATGTTGTTCATCGACGCTGCTTGCTCGTGTTGTTCTGTCGCTTGGGCATCTTGTTCAGCCGTTTCAGTGGCAGCTGATTCTTGCCCTTGTCCCTTCTCAGCCAACAGCTTCTGTAACTCCTCCACTTTCTGCATCTGGAGTGCAAGCTCTTTCTGCGTATCTTCAAGCGTCGATCCTTCGTTCTGTCTCGCTTGTCTATCGGTAGCAGGTTTCCTCATCTGCCTCTGCGAACGATCATCCCTTCTTTCCACAGGTTGATACTCGCCTCCCGAGGCACTAGCAATAGCTGCTCGAGTTTCTTGTTCAATACGTCTGCGCTCTTCCATACGTGATTGGACTTCTAGCTCTTTCTCCTCCACTCTGCGTTTGCTCGGCCAGCGCTTCTTGCGCTCTTCAATCCATTCGGCAATATCTGCTGCAGACCCCAGTGTTGAAAGTTCTCCATTGAACTCGAAACTCAGAGGCCCGTTTTGCAAAGCACTCAGAGCGGCTTCTTCGTCAACTTCTTCTTCATCCTCGTCCTCATCTTGGTCTGAGTTCTCTGGTGATCCGTAGTCCTGGGGAATGAGACCGAGTCCGGTTGAAGGTCGTTGTTTTATACCACTTCCAGATGAGAGAGGCGCTGGTGGTTTCTGGGGAAGGATTGGAGCGCCAAAACTAGGGACTGCAGGTGCAACTTGAGCTTTTGGTGCGCTCGATGGCTTCTTCATGGGATGTCCTCTGTTCGAGTTACCGAAAGCCTGTTCTCGTGTCCGTTTGCCTCCAGGTGGTGAGTTGGAATGACTAAAATTTCCGTAAGATTGTTGATTAGTTTGTCCGGCAGCATATACGTTTTGCTGAACATATTGAGGCATTTGAGGTTGTGAATGCGCTTGCATACCACCAAATGCAGGATTGACATAGGATCCAGGTGGGGCTTGATACTGTTGTGGCATCTGATGTTGTTGCTGTTGATTGCCATAACTTGGTTGGTAGTTGCCAGTATTTTGTCCATATCCACTAGAATTGGTGTTTTGATGCTGAAAGTTTCCTCCACCCCGTTGAGATGCACCTCCTCGACCTCTGAAAGAACCACGGCTCCCCCGTCCCCCTCTTCCGCCTCTACCTCCTCGATTGTTGAATTGGTTAGGAGTTTCTGGTTGTGACGATGATGCTGCTTTAGGTGGAGGTGGAGGAGGCGGTGGAAAAGAGAATCCGTCCATGTTTCGTTTGTTTCCGGTAGAGTTTCCAGATCCCAGCGAGTTTTCCTAATCAATGGTATCACAATCGAATCCGATTTATAAAAATGGTGTTTGTGCAAAAGATAAAAAGAGAAGCATTTAAATTCTCGAAAGGCTTTGGAGAGAGAGCAAGAAGACGCGTGCCAAGACTCGACCCAAAGCGCCATCATCTCGTAGGGCTGAAGAATGGCCGACCCTCGAGCAACCAAAACTCCGTTCGGTGTCACTCACACTTTTGCACACACATCACTGAAGGAGAAATAATGTTATAGCGACGTTGGAGCAGTTCTGAGAATTATTATGCCTTCTGTGTTGGACCATCATTTGACCATAACGCTGCCTGAATATTTGACCTGAAGAAAAATCTGCCAGGGCGCTGTCCATCACACATCAAAAAGATGTATATCATCGTAAGTCTCGAATCTCTGTTAAACGTCCATGAGAGAAAGAGCGGGAAAGAATCCACAAGGATAAAAAGCAAATTACTGGTTGCGATCAAGAACTGATGAGAATATCAAAAGGTCACAATCGCGGACTTGATCCAAATCTCACCACAAGACTTCGAAAAGCGCAGCGCGCAAGCAATCGAAGACAACATCAACGCCAAATATGCCGACAAAGTAATCCACCGCGTCGGCCTCTGCGTAGCCCTCTACGACATACTCCAAACCAGCGAAGGTCTCATCGGCCACGGCACCGGCATCGTAAACGTCAATGTCGACTTCCGCATGATTGTCTTCCGACCCTTCAAGGGCGAAATTCTGATGGGCAAAATCCTCTCCGCCTCCGATATGGGAGTTAGAATCTCCATGGGCTTTTTTGATGATATCTTTGTGCCGGCCCCGGGGATGCTGTTTGATCCTGCAAAGTATATCCAGACTGAGGATGAAGAGTGGGTGTGGGTCTGGGAGTCTTCGCCGGAGAATTTGCTTTACTTTGATGTTAACGAAATGGTTCGCTTCCGCGTCGAGGCGGAGACGTGGACGGATCTGTCTCCTGAGAAGCAGCCTGCACCTGGCGAGGAGGTCGAAGTTTACAGACGCTCACCATACGAAATTACTGTGAGTGGCAACGAGGACATACGAACCGTCAAACGGCATGCTGACTTCGAGAATAGGNCATCCATGCAACTCAGTGGTCTCGGCCCAGCTCTCTGGTGGAAAGAGCCCGATGAGGAAGAAGTGGCTGAAGACGAAGAGGGACTCGATGGTGGCGCAGAAGACATGAATGGCGATGCTGTCGATGAGATGGATGAGGGAGCTTAGTACGAACCCTCCATGCCAACTCGTCCGCTCGCCCATAAGAAGCAAGAGCCAGAGTCTGAGGCGGCTCCAGTCGACCCCAGCCCTAAGAGATTACCTCGCAGAAGTGCAAGAAGGAAAGGCTAGATGACCTTCTCTGCCGAAGATCTTGAAGATGGCCAATGATCACAAGCTATGGAGACCGGGTGTTTTGGCGTCAGATGAAAAATTCTTCGGGCTGTTCTACACCATTGTAGAAAAAAGAGAACAAGAGGAGAAAGAATGGTCCAGGCCATGGTCATCCTTTGCAATCAACTAGAAGTGGGAAGAAAGTACAAAATGAACATATCAAATAATTGTCAAATTGACAAGAAACTTTTCAGCGCTGATCATGCGATGCAAGATATCTAGCTAGAGTGGAGGCCCGTACCATCCTTCTTATTTGAGCCCTAATCTGACCTTCAACACTCCTTCCCAAGCATCTAGAGCACTTGCCTCAGCCTTGGTAGCAAATGCTCTGATACCCTGGCTCAAGAACTGAGCCTCAGCCATAGCATCACCAGTCGCTCCCTCGCGCAATGCTTGTACCATATCCCTTCCGTCAATCTTGGCTTTCTGTTCACGTGCGAGTGTCTGCAGAGCTGCAAGNTGCTTGGCCACAGCATCACGAATACGCTGGATGGGCTGTGGTGGCAGGCGGTTGCCTTGACGCTTCTTCTTCTCTACCTCGGTTGCGACGTTGCAGAAGAACGCAGCACTGCGGATCAGATCAAGTAGCAGGAAATAGGGCTGCAGCGTGTAGCTTGATGGGGGCAAGCCAGATGACTTCTGCATGCCAAGAATGTCTGATGTGGATAGCTGCTGAATGGATGTGGCCAAACGGTCGAGCAGACCAGCATCAGGCTTGGTCTCGTTAGTGCCCAGAAGCGACTTTGTTGCTTGAAGTAGTTGTGCCCATGGCTTTGCAAGAGACTTTTCTGTCGGTGTAAGCTCATTACTGCCTGCCTCTGTGAATGCAGCAGCTTCCTCTTCTGTTACATTGCTTGGCTTAGAGCAGACTGTAGGCCTGTTAGAAAGCAAAGCCCACACATCTTCGCTAACGATAGCCTGTGAGATCCAATTAACGTTAGGAATCTTGCCTCCGCTGTGTAATCTGCGCTCAGGAGTGCTTTCGGTTCCGAAACCGTCAAGGTTGAAAGTTTCCGCGTAATCTCTGCTATCCTTAAGGTTCTGAGTCCAGTACTCTAGAACGCTTGGGCGGATATCGGGAGTGCGAGGATGGAAGGGATTGTCTGTCAAGCGAGCCATTCTGCATTGCTCAAGAATGAGCATGCGCCTGGTAAAGCTGTGCTCAAGAGTATCGCGCAGCTCTTGCAGTTCGAGAACCAGATCGCATTGTCCTTGCTTCATAAGTGACGACTGAGAGTGTGCGAGTTTCTTGTCGGTGGCAAAAAACATGTCTAAGGCGTTGTCGATAATCTCGTAGGGATCGACTGATGCCTCACCTCTTTGGTCAAGTGCGAAAGGATGATTGATAGATACCCTAGTCAAGAGAGAGTGGGCAATAGTCTCTTGCTGGATTTCCCTAACACGCAGACTGGCATACTGTTTCATAGCCAGAGAGTGTAGGCCGAGTTCAGTTTCGAGATATACGAGCAAAACTTTACCAGGGTGTGCATCCTCAGTGACAGGTCCAGTCTCGAGGAGATATGCTGCTTGGAAGAGATACGTGATGTCCTGCTCGAGTTCGTAAAGTCGAATGAGCGCTGCAACAGCCAAGTAGCAAGCATCTGACAGGCGCAACTTTTTCTGAGAGCTGGTCTCCATGAGTCGGATACACTCGCAAGCAAAGTTTTTAATAACCTCTGCCTCTGGTTTCGCAACTCCGATGTTAATACGGTAGTTGAACTTCAATGAGTTGATCTCAGCAGTTAGTAGATCCGAANNCCCTGGTTTCTCCTGTCAGTGAATTGCTGAATCAGTGAAACGATTGTTACCCACCTTCGCTGACTTCTTGTCGTCAGGACTTGATAGCTTCAGTGATGACTCAGAAACGTGTTTCAAGAAATTTTGCTGAGCTTCATTTGACAGGCCATCCACAAATTCCTTGATATCGCCATAGCAGAATGGGTATGACTGCCACTCGGTGAAAAATTCCTTTGCAGACTGCAATGTCTTTTGGGACTTTACGTCTGTATCTGTCTCTGCTTCTGAGAGAGCAGTAGCCTGTACCTTGGCCATCATCTGTAGTCGCTTGATTCTCCAGTCGTCTTTCTCGTCAATGGTAGGTATGGCATCTTCCTTCCCGAGCTTGGAAGCAGCCTTCACCAGACCATCCCAAACGACCCAATCGTCTCTGACTCTNGTTGCTCGTCAGCTATTGATATTTCTGTTGAAGTTCTCGGCTTACCTCAATGCACCTTCCACAGAGCTTTTCCCAAGCAAAGAAGAGCATAGGTCGAAAAGTTCCTGCCAACGAGACTCTGCGATATACAGTTGAATCTTCTCTCTGGTAAAAGGCCAATCGGTCATGATCTGCTTGGCCAATTTGTCGTCTGTCTTGTCCTTGAATGAGTCCAGCACTTCAATCATGTCTTTCTTCTGACCCTGTCTTCGGTAGAGGTTCATCATAAGTCTCAATTGTGCAGAATCTTCAACGGGTAGTTGCTTCAAAGTTCGGAAAGCAAGAATGCGGTTCATGCCAGCCACCTTTTCGTCCTTGTCTGCCTCACTGAGAAGTTGTTGAATGGCGATATGAGCGAGTTTGTACTTTTTATTAGCAGGGTCGGCCTTCTTCATGGCGATCAATGCNCTGTGTGATAGTCAGCATATAGTGATCAAGAACGATACTGACCACCTTACCGTAGCGGCATCCTGCCATCTTTGCTCGCTTACAGCGATTGTGAATCTCTTCTGGTTGATAGCGATCACACCATTCTTGCCTGCAGCATTCGTCGCATTCGTCCATAATTTGCCAGCACGTGGACCATTGCTCAGAGGACGTGGATAATCATCCATCACAGCCATTGTAGCCAACTCATCCACATCCGAAATCAGATTAAGATCCACGATAGGAGGGTTCCTACTACAAAGCTGATCCAGAATCTGATTGCCCTCATCCAGTTGCATCATGCTGAACAGAAAGTTTGCCTTGAAGTACAGAAGCTGATTGTTCGCAGGAGACTTTTTCAACAGCTTGTTGCACTTGCTCAATCCATCTTTGTACCTCCCGGATTGGAGGTAGTCCTCCAATTCTCTTGCGGCAGCCATGGCGATTGTTTGGGGTCCAGCCAAAATTCTGCAGATGTGTGTAGATGCGTGTCTAGAGATGATAACAACAAATGTCGAGAGAAGAATTAGAAGCCAAGACATACATGTCAAATCTGCTCAGACGATAATTGATGGACCAAAATATGTATATGGTCAAGCCTTTACGGAGGAGGAGTGATGGATTGCAGAAAGTTGGTCATCGGACTTGCCGAGCAGCATCCGAAGGTCTGTGCACATGTTCGAAAAGGCAGGGTCACCTTGATCGGACTTATAAGTTGGCTGCAATCATACCGGTGACCATACGAAACGTGGCATTCAAACGCTAGAGACAACTGAATTCTTGCAAGGCGTCCTACATACTCATTGAGGCTTTCCCCAACCTTCTGTTGCCACTGCGTCATACACTTCGTTAATGAGTTCGACACTGCCAGTGATAGAGGTGGCCGCGCCCTTCGGTCCTGGGTTGTTGAACATAGGTACTACACGTGTGGTTTCATGGCCAATTTCCAAAATGGTCCCACCCACCATCTCTTCATCTTCAACCAATTTTAGCATTGCCTCCGCAACCTCTTCTGGAGTCGCCCAAAGATCCTTCTCCTCATCAAAGTACCTCATCTTGTCTGGGTTGTCTGTCCAGAGAGGTGTCTTGATGATCCCTGGACAACATGCATTAACACGAATGCCAAACTTCTCATCCAGACCGGCCAAAGAGCGTGTAAAACCGACGACTGCATGTTTGGCCGCGTGGTACAGTGGAACCAGCAGCGAAGCACCTTGGCCAGCAACACTACTAATCATGACAATACGTTTTGGGTTCTGCAGAGTCGCTTTGGATTGCTGTGACATAAACGCTGATATGGCCAGCTGGGAAGTTCTGATCGGATGAGTGAGGTTGATGTCGAGAGATGCATAGCGATCTCCATCAACACTATCCTTGGATCCTGAAGATCCAGGGGGGAACNNCCAGAAGTTCGACCAACTGGGTTCGAAGACACCTGCACCCGGACACACGAGGTCTGTTCCGCCAAACTCTTCTTGAGCCACCTCGAACATACGTGAGAGCTGTTTCCAGTCTGTGACATCTGTCTTCTGGAAGAAGGCTCGAGGTTGACCTGCAGATTTCTGAGAATACTTGTCGGCAACGGCTTTAGCCTCCGGACGTAAGGCAAGGTCAGCGAAGACGACATTGCAGCCTCGAGAGAGCAAAAGAGAAGCAAAGCAAAGATTGATGCCTGCTTGGTTGTAAGTACATAAGTATACACTGGGAAGAGCTGAACTGCATACCNNAGACCCCGCTCCAGTAACAATCGCAGTCTTGCCTTTGACAAGGAATGGTGCAAGTTTGGAGGCCATATCGAGATATGTTTTTGTGTGACGTAAGTCTCTATCTAGATTCGAAGCACTTGAACACTCAATCAGTGTGTGATGCGAGGGTTTACTCGAGGAATTGCTAATTGATATACACTACGGCAAGCCATGGCGAGGGGTAGTACGAATGGCGGGGTCAACCTCCGGATGCTGCAGGAGCGACGATCTCCAGTTCGGAAGCACCTTTTGAGTAGTCGACCGAGTCTTACCAAGTCCTACCCAATCTGTCGCATCCGAAGCCACGATTGATGTTAACTGAAAGTTCGATGAAGGTAGGGTCATGCTAGCCGAAAGCCGCAGACAGGGGGAATGACTGTGGAATCCAACATGTCTTGTAACACTTCCATGGTAATGTTCCTGATAGAGTCCAGGGTTGCGAACAAATTGTTCTTAGGAGGAGTAGCGATTTTTGGATAATGAGACAAGTGGGTATCGTTGATTGCAGTGGTCTTCTTCACCACCATCTGCCTTGCTTTCTCTTTTCCTCCTTCATCTCTGCCATNCTGCAACAAGTCAGCATATGTACATGATAGCGAATTCGTGTTTCCGTTCGTACCCATTGCTTCTTGCACTCGCGGTACGCNTCTGTTTCGTTGTTAGTCCATACGTCAGAAGACAAATTTGAGTGTAGACAAGCGTACTCAAAGTAGTCAGAGCAAAGTGCTTTATCACCACCATTTCTTCGTAAACACCTCAAACTTCTGTCGGCAGCTTCTTGACATGGATCAAAATATTCGCTGTATGCTTTGCTACAATACAAATGCTAGGTCAGCTTTCTGTATGGTGGCGGTGGTGGACAAGAGCGAAAATCACATACCTGCTGTACTTTGCACCGCCCTTCTCCCATGCTTTCTTGTTCTCCTCTTCGTGACTCGTTGTTTTCTTGTTCTCTTCTTCGTGACCCATTATGATTTGATTTTACAGATTATGTTCAGAACTATCAAGTTAGTGGTGTGTTGCCACGAGGGTAGAGGGTCGAAGATGGGAGAGGTCTGTGCTTTTCGGCAGATCTTGCCGTTCTACAAGTACTGACTTTGAGCATTCGACCTTCAAGCAACAGGGCCCAGCGTAGGGTTCTATGGTAGGCAGAGAACAGAACATTTATGGTCTCTAGATGAGTTGCACTGAGTCACTTGCTTCACGTCTGTGATACTACAAAACATATTCTTGTGCGTCAAACTTGACTCATTCTCTAAGAGGTTCATTTCTGATGCTTTTACTTCTTTTTAGGAGCGGCATTTCCTCTTCTCCTTTCCCAAACCATTACGTATGCTTCCTTTGTACTCAGCAGTTCGGCTTCGACTCTGCCGACCCACAGATCCTGCATCTCGACCCAGCGGTCGGTATCAGCATTGCTGCCCTCTTCCCTGCCTCTGTCCAGCAGCTGAACGCGCCAGACCTTCTTCTCGGCCTCTCCCTCAACACTATCGTCGCGCACACGAACGCCTTCGTGCGTGATATTGGCTACCAGGTCGTATATGATAGGCTCTGAAGGCGAGTGAAGTGATGGATTAGGTTCGACATAGGGTGACATGTCCAGCGAACGCGGTGAGAAGGTGACGATTGTTGGATTACGTTGGGTTTGGAGGAATTTGTTTGGTGCGAAGCGCTTGACATGCATAAGTAGGTAGGGCGGTAGAGGGTGAAGGAGACGGTAGCGGAGACGTGTGTTGAGGCGTTCCTGTGCGCGAATGCCATCGTATTTGCCCAAGATATTTGTCAGACTGACTTGAGGGATGATGTTCTCGTTTCTGTCGTCTTGGAATAAAGGTGCGGCCGGGAGATCCAGGGTAAGCATCATGAAAGGCGTAACAGCGCTCTGAATGGCGGCGTCTTCGAAACGCAGGCGATCCTGTGCATCGGCGCGCGCAGTGATAGATTGCGACTCGACACGCAACTGGCCTTGAAAGATCTTTTGTACAATACTACTACGTGGTTTCGAACGGCTTCCACCCAGGCCTGTGTGTAGGTTGTTCAAAAACCACGAAAGGAAGTCGGCAGGATCGGCTTGCTCTGTCAAGGAGAACTTCTTGTTGGATCGCTGTGAGATTTCTTGTAACAACTCGTGAGGAGAGACATGTGCTTTGAATGAGCGCGGATTCCAGATCTTGCGCAACAGAGTACCGAAACGCTGTACAAGCTGGGGCCGATCGTGCAAATCCTCGAGCATGAAGTAGTTGCGGAGCGGAGGAACGTGAGCCAGAGCATGGCAGACGACGTTGAAGTAGTCGTTGGCCTTGATGTTGTTCATACCGACATAGCCTGGTGTGTACTTCTTCCCTTGGAGGTCCCAGGCATGTAGTCGCACCTTGTCTAGCTTGGTGACATCTTGTTTCGAGTACTTCGGATCGACAACAAACTTGATATCTTCCAAACTCTTGTGCTTGACCTCGTAGCCATCTGGCAGAACGTAAACCTGCTTGGTGTGCATGTTGATGAAGACATGGTGGCCGATATCGAGGGCGTGGAAGTAGGCTTGTGATTTGGGGCCTCGACCTTGATAATATGTGCCGCAGACCAGACAGGCGTATACGTTGATATTTGATAGCGTGACACTGCACAATTTCTCAAAGTCAAAGTCCAGCACTCCGCGGTTGATGGTGTCGAGGTACAAGTCCGAGTAACCCTCAGCCGGCGCTTTTTGTCGCGTCGGCCCAGAGACAGCAGGTTGATCGTCTTCGTCGTCACTGTCCAGCTCGGCCTCCTCTAGCGCTTCGTTCTCTTGCACGGCAGCGTCAGCTATGCCGTCAGTATGTCCATTCGTCGGCTTTGTGGTGGTAGTCGCAGGCGCATCCTCGTCGACAACATCTTCGACCCTGGCGCGTTTGGAGAAGGGCGACGCGGTAGATTGTTCCAGTGGCTCATCTGCCGGGCGCTTGCTCATTTTGTATGTAAATAGTGACAATAACCAAGTTCGGAGGTTCTCGATGGTCGCCGCAAGCTCTCTGTAAACGCCAAGGCTGGAGCATGACAGCGGAGTAGGAATTTGTGAGGGCAGCAACAACCAAGTCCAACAATTTCAGGTTGTCCCTTCCTCATCCACACATCCCACGTACATCGCAACGATGGTCTGTTCCTTCTTGAACTTGTCAATCTCTGGCTAGCTTGCTGACACCTTCCAGTCGTACAACAACCCCACGCAAATCTTCGCCGACGATGTCACAGAGGAAAAGGGCGAGAATGCCCGTCTGTCAGCCTTCGTTGGCGCTATCGCTGTAGGAGACCTCGTCAAGACCACTCTGGGTCCCAAGGGAATGGACAAGATCCTGCAATCAGGCTCCACCGGTCAGATCATGGTCACCAACGACGGTGCCACCATCCTCAAGTCAATAGCCCTCGACAACGCCGCCGCAAAGGTCCTTGTCAACATCTCAAAGGTCCAGGACGATGAGATTGGTGACGGTACCACTTCCGTCACTGTTCTCGCTGCCGAGCTGCTGCGTGAGGCTGAGAAGCTCGTCGACCAGAAGATTCACNCCCAGACCATCATTGAAGGATACCGCATCGCTTCCCAAGCCGCCCTGACTGCCCTCGCAAAGACCGCCGTCGATAACAGCGCAAACCCCGAAGCTTTCCGCAAAGACCTCGTCGCCATTGCCAGCACCACCCNNCTTAGCTCAAAGGTCCTCTCACAAGATCGCGAATACTTTGCCAACTTGGCCGTAGATGCCGTCCTGCGTATGAAGGGTTCCACCGACCTCTCCCACATTCAGATTATCAAGAAGGCTGGCGGCAAGCTGTCCGACTCATACCTCGACTCTGGCTTCATCCTCGACAAGAAGTTCGGTGTCAACCAGCCTAAGCGTCTCGAAAATGCAAACATTCTGGTCGCAAACACTGCCATGGACACGGACAAGGTCAAGATTTTCGGTGCTCGCGTCAAGGTCGATTCAACCGGCAAGTTGGCAGAGTTGGAAAAGGCAGAGCGCGAGAAGATGAAGCAAAAGGTCGAGCGCATCAAGGCACACGGTATCAACTGCTTCGTCAACCGTCAACTCATCTACAACTGGCCCGAGCAGCTCTTCAGCGATGCTGGCATCTGCAGCATTGAGCACGCCGACTTCGATGGTGTTGAGCGTCTTGCTCTTGTTACTGGCGCTGAGATTACCTCCACCTTCGACCACCCCGAGCTTGTCAAGTTGGGTCACTGTGATCTGATCGAGGAGGTTATCATTGGTGAGGACACTCTGATCCGCTTCTCAGGTGTCGCCGCGGGTAAGGCCTGCACAGTCGTCCTGCGTGGTGCCACCGAGCAACTGCTCGACGAGGCAGAGCGCTCTCTTCACGACGCCCTTGCCGTACTCTCCCAGACCGTCAAGTTCCCCAAGACCACTCTCGGTGGTGGTTGTGCCGAGATGGTCATGGCCAAGGCCGTCGACCAGGCCGCCCAGAACGTTGCTGGCAAGAAGGCTATCGCTGTCGACAGCTTCGCAAAGGCTCTGCGACAACTGCCCACTATCCTTGCCGACAATGCTGGTCTCGATTCCGCCGAGCTGGTCAGCCGTCTCAAGAATGCAGTATACAGCGGTATGACCAACTCGGGTCTCGACTTGTTGAAGCCCGGCGGCGGTATCACAGACATGCGCGAGTTGGGTGTTGTTGAGGCTTACAAGCTCAAGCACGCTGTTGTGAGCAGTGCCAGCGAGGCTGCTGAGCTCTTGCTACGTGTAGACAACATCATCCGCGCTGCCCCGAGGAGGAGAGAGCGTATGTAAAATATTCAAAAGTTCAGATACCCGACGAGTAAAGAAAGTCTTTCGGAAACCCTTCAAAATACTGTCCCTGTTCACCATAACCCCTGAAAACGATTTCCATCGTGTACGTATGTTGAATTTGATGGATCATGATAACAACCTGTAGTATACCCTTCCCTACAACATCGCTCTCAACTCCTTGGCCTCACTCCTATCCAACCCCAAATGCTCCACCACCTGACCCAGATGATCGAAGCCCCAGTACTTTTCCGTCACACCCTCTTTGTTTGTCGCCACAAACCACGGCAAGCCGAATGCGCCCTCTTTGAAAGCCAACTCGGTATTGGCCTGCAACTTTGCCTTTGCCTCTGGCTTTGTGCTCNNTACCCACTTTTGTCAGCAAAAACTCTTAACTCACTCCACTGCCAACACAAGGGCACTAAAAACAAAACATACCTGTTCAACAACACTCTTAGCACCCTCTTTCCCCAATACCTCTGCAAGCACGGCTTCAAAGACTTCAGGTTTGTGAGTAGTTTTTCCATCTACCCACATGCCTTTATACAAAGCTGCGATCGAATCAACCAGTTTATCTGGTTGGTGTTGCTCTACTACAGCCAAAGCTCTCATTACATGTAAAGTCAGTGGTGGAAAGTCCTTGGGCATGTCCTTGCCAATAGGGATATTAGCGTATTTGGACCAGCGCTTGCGGTCGGATTCGATGTAGGCTGCTTTGTCTGTTTTTTTTGCGTCCAGTCAGTGATGTTTCTACAAGAGAGAAAGAGTATAGAGGCAAGCAGTGCAAGAAATTGGCTTACTGGTGATGGAGATGGGAGGACGGTTGTCACAGGCTTTCATCACGCCGCCCAAGAAGATAGGGATGTAGGTTATCTCTACTTGTTTGAAGATTTGAGAGCGTTGCAGGACGTGGAAGGCCATGTAGGCGAATGGACTGACTATGTCCACGAAAAGCGTGAGTTTGGGTTTCTGAGCCATCTTTCCTTTCGTTGTTGGTTTTTGGTCGATGGAAAGACTCTGGTATAGAGGTTGAGAGGAGATGATAGTTGGTCTAAACAGAGTGTTGACTCAACTGTTATTTGGGTAGTCGTCGTCCTCGGATGAAGGTTGCTTTACCTCTATCTATGAGCCGAGGTGCGGGGGTGAGAGTGGACGTTTCAGTTCACATGGGGATGGGAATAACACGGTAATAAAATAATCAATATCAAGTCCTGCTTCTGAGAAGGCAATTCTGATAACATAAATCAAACATTGATATATGGTTGTCTACAATTTGCGAGCACTATCGATATTTGTGTTGGCACTCAAGTATTTGACAGCAAGATAAATACTCATTAAGCGCTGGGAGACTTGTAGATGTTGAGAGTGGCAGATCCACCACACATCTTGGAGGAGTCACCCGTACATGCCCTGTTACATCTAGAGTCGTCGGACAACTTCGCAGCTCCATTGATGAGCTGGATAGCATTGCCGCANCCTGTGGTATTGATATATCAGCATGCTTGGTTCTCGAGCGATTCAGTAGCAGGATCAAAGACTCACCAGCACTCCTGCCCATATTCAAGTCCAGCATACTTGAGGCCGCGAGCCTTACAGAAAGACTGACATGCCGGAGGGCTCATATTGTTCGAATCGATGTAGTATGTTGAGTTCAAGGCACGGTTATAGTTGGTGGCCTCGCTGTAACATCCTACGTAGCCCCAGTTGGGGTTGGCGATAGGCTTGACGGTATTGGTGCAAGTGGGTGTAGCTGGCAGAGCCTCGCCGACGAATCCACAAAGCTGTCCTGAGAATTGTTGGGTGAGGATCAGATCTGCAGAAGAACACGAAGAAGCGACACAGCAGGCCATATCGTTCATGAACTCAGGGTGACTGCAGATGCACTGAGGATCACCGCTGCACTCGGCAGGGAGACTCTGGGCGCATTTTNNGCTATGTTGATGTCAGATCATCCGTATGCCACGCTGTATAGAGAAGTGGCAGCTACTTACAGCGCAGGCAGGGACCTGGGCGACATTGATGCTGAGAGCCTGGCTCAAGCTCGCAGGAACAGTAGTAGTAGCTCTGGCCACTGGAGTCAAGGCAGCAGCAGCACCAAGACAAGAGGTGAGAGCTGTGAAGCCAAAGAAGAGAGTAAGAGCTTGCTGCATGTTGATTCGACCTACGACTTGGTGCAATCAAGTTGAACAGACTTGCATGAGGGCAGGAAAGGCGGATGGTTGAAATATAGGTACAGTAACGATGCACTTGGTGACCACATGACGAAAGTGATTCGATTGTCTATGAAAGAAAAGACACTCGGTCAAGGCTCAATAGGTTTTCCGCTCGCGGTGTGACAGTCGAAAGGCGGGAGTTCATTGTTCGAAGTCGCCGCATGCAGGTGGTCGAGCTCGGCAGACATTTCCACAAGCAAGCCTCTAAGCCTCATATCTCCATGTGCATAGCTTATTTCTCATTCATGACCGGAGCTTTGGGCCATGTTACATCTCTGCCGAACCATGTACGGCGCGCTCGCTTGGAGGTGACCACGGTGGCTAGCACATCTCCCGACCAGTGACCTTGGTGTGGGGGTGAACAAAGGGCTGGTTCCGATCTGGAATGTAGATTGATCGGTCTATGATGACAAGGAATGTAGCTTGTTCACCATGCTGTTCGTCATGAATATCCATCGACTTTGGCTTTTTCTAGACGTCTGAGAAAGATGTTGGTGGTAGGATCTGAGTCGAATGATCCAGTGATTCGACCAGCGAAGCTGTCGTGGTTGCAGACGCAATCAAGATGCCGTTGACCGTTGGCATTCTTAGGGAACTCGACTTTCAGTATGGTGTTGTGGTGGTCAAGACTTGAACAGCATCATCTTCTTCAAGGTCGTCAGAACGAGTATCGGCATCGGAGTCTTCCTCGCGTCGCTTTCTTGGTGGTCTTGTAATGTTGAAGCGAAGAATCACCGCATGAGTCGTTGCTACTTTTGTGCAGAGACTGACGAGCGACGGAAACGCAAAAGCTAAAGCGACGTCGTGTCTGGGAAGTGGCTCAGGGGCTTTGTTGTTTCGAAAATCCGTCAAAGAGGAAGGAAGGACATGCAATTGTGCACGTAGTCTCCACAGGTTCTGACGGATGCTTGATGGTATGATGTTGACGTTTATCACGGCGAAAGCTTGTCTGGTGTTTCGACAGCTTCGGAAGTAGCTATAGCAGTATGGTAGATGGACGGTCTTTCTGTTGTGATAAGACTGAAAAGGTGCCGATGCTTGTCGCTTGCTTTGGCACTACAAAGTTAATTTCAGTCTTTTGAGCGATGACGATTGAATATTTCATATCAGCTAGTGCGACTGCCCTGAATGCAGTAATGCGTATTCAAGCTTGATGTTCAAAGTCTGGACCAGGATTTGTGTCATCAAAATTGAAGCCACGCCTCGATATGCCACCATGAGCCTCTTTCACTGTGTTTTCTTCCTAAGGGCTCATGCCCCTGAAAGATGCTATGCCAGTTCTCGACGAGACGAACTCTCTCTCCAATTCTGTTCTTTGTAGATCTATCATGCTCGCAGTCAAGATACCAGGAGCCATGTCTGTTGAGTTCCATGGAGTTCTGCTCGCCGAGAGCCGCTTCGGCTTTGCGTAAGTGAAAGCTGGATTTGAGTGAGTTTCGACGAAAAGTGAACGGCATCACCACAATAGCAGCCTAATGTTTCCGACAACTCACTCACTCACTTAGTAAGCGATGGTTAGTCAGCGGCGAGGCCAGCGACGAATATAAAAGCAGGTCTCCTCTCCCTCTCTTCTTCCTTCTCTCATATTCCCCATCACGACACACGCCATTGCCCCTGGCACCTACTTCCAGCTGGCTCATGGGAACCACAGGTTGCAGACTCTGACGCGGTGGCTGTTGCTTCTGTTCAGCGCATCGAGCCTTCAGTGGCATCGGGTTCAACACCCGTTCCACTGAGTGTGCTCTGCTCTGACCAGACGCCAGCTTCACGCTCAGAAGTCTCCCTCTGGTGACCCATGACCTAGCTCGAAGTGGTGTGCAGGTGGCCTTGCGACTCACCTATGTCATCCACCTTCAGCGGCTTCGGCCGACTGAAGAGTGGAAAGCACTGGGTGACGAGCTTGAGCGCTGTGTTCGCTGGTGGGGCACCGATTATCTCAGCCGCAGTCGCGAAGCGTGCCCACTGTGCTCAGATGCCGCGGCGGCACTATGGTTCAACCCCATGGTGTCGTCCCATACTGGGTAGTGGTGGGTGCCACGACTTAGGGCGAGAAATCGGTGTCCGGCACAAGCTCTCACCTCATCGTGGTGTGTCGGTCTAGTAACCTCTTTCAGGGGTGAAGCCAACGAGAGCACAATTTTCTTTTCATCAGTTTCGACTCTGGTTTCTCAACTGGAGGCTGAAGAAGAAGAAGACATCGGTATACAGCCTGTGAGGTGTACTACCGTCTGTGCCCTTGTCTCAGTCGTTGTTGTCGTCGCTGTCGTCATTGTCGTCGCCAGTCCTTCGCCGAGCGTGTAACCATCCTCCGCTGTCTTCGTGAACGTCTCCGCAGCATTCTTGAAAGGCGCTCTTTTTCTGGATCCTCGACGCGTTGTCGCAGTATACCAGCTCCGCTCTTCAAATTCAAGGTTACCCAAGCCAGAACCAGAATTACACAGCATTCGATTATTCTTCATCATTTCGATCGCCTAGCTGGTTTCGCATGAACGGACTCTTCTTGAACACACTTCTCTTGTAGGCGAAGATCTTACTGCTTGTCAACTGTGTAGGTTCGAGAAGGGAACATGTTTCTTCAAAGACACAATCAGGGGCACAAAACCTTTGCTGGAACCAAAATCGACCTTGCAAAATGCGTGATATACAGCTGTCGAAATACACAATATTTCCAGCGCTCAGACTCGTGTCCAGTGAGAGCAACTGCTTGCGAACTCTCGACACTGAGTTGACTGATCGCGAAACCATCATGTTTCCTGACAACCACATACTGGCACTTGACGAGGGCAAATACGAGTGTCATAGCACAAAAGTTCTGCAGCCACACTGATCTTATGGTACCACATATTTGTGTCGATTAATGCTTTTGTTATTGAAATATATATACATACCACAAGTAATGGCGGGTGTGAAGAAGCGTGACAGCAGTACTAGAGTTGGTCTTAGAAGTTGGATCTGTTGTATGCCAGCCATGTTTTCCATGGCTGTCGCCAGTCGGTCACTCTAAGCTTCGGAGCAAAGACGTCGAAATCGTGCTTTTGCAATCTCTCAAGCCAGAGACTCGTGGGCACAGCAGAGAGATAGACAGGGAAGGCCTGCTGGATCTCCTGTACAGGTGTGGATGATTGCGATGGAGCGTAGTTCATGTGTTCCTCCTCGTGGCCATGCTCGAAGTCGTGACCTGCGTCTTGACCGGCGCGAATGTTCTTTACCATCTCTCTTGCAGTAATGAGATGGTCGCTGGCTCTTGTTGCGACCTCGAAGACAGCATCACGAAGGCCAGGGGCTTCAGCACCTTGACGGAGCACTTGTTCCTCCCGTACACCGTGTCTTGCCATGACATCCAGGGGTAACATAACAGAGCCTTGTCTAGTGGCACCAACATCGCCAGCCATGCCTCCTTGATTCGAGTGGTGGTTCGCCGGACCTGGGAAAGCAAGCAACGGCAGACCTCTCAAGATGGTGGCGATACCAGTTGCTTTTCCGATATGCGAAGCGACATGGTCGGCAGTAAGAGAGGCCATGGGCATGGCTTGGAGGGTCAGGTACATCAAGGTCGAGTAGGTGTTCTCGGCGTATGACTCGACAGCAGCCAAGTCAGGATACGGCGGGTTGGTCAGGTATTGCTCTCTCGTCGAGATAATCCTGTGGAACCAGCTCTTGCTAAACTTTGATTTGCCATTGGTCCTTCGTTGCAAGTCTTCTGCGGCATAAGCGAGCAGAACAGCGATGGGTTGTTTTGGAGGAGTTCCAGCCAATGCTTTCGATATGGCATCTCGCTGGAACTGCAGACGCATTGAACCGATAGTTGGAGTACTCGTTGTGTCGGCAGTCCTGGCGACTTCTATGTTGAAGGCACGGATGGCGAGGTAGGCATCGCGCGTCTTGGGTGGCATGTACGATTGAAGCAGGAAAGAAGGAGTGTCATACTTTCTNAGGGTACAATTAGACAAGTCATGCGACAATAGATATATATAGTCTTCTCACCTCAGGAGATCCAAACAGTAGGCTCTCGCTGAGCCTACCTCTGCCTCGGACGACACTGTCGCAGCAGGCTGCTGCACCTCGGTGGCATATGTCCTTCGAAATTGGCATTGCTGTCTGCCAAGCGCACCTCTCAGAGTACGGCAAGCTGTGTGGCTCCTCATTGTTGAAATATTACAGATTCAAAAGAAGAAGGCAAGATGCTACAGTATGGTTTCATTTGTCAAAATCATGACCGCAAACCATGACGATTTGTGCCAGATGAAGCTTAGTCTTTCATAAGTTTCACAAATTCGCGTCTAAGTTTCACCAGGGTACACAAAATAAAGTAGGAAACACGCTCCAACGCGTCTTCCTGTCGCATCACTCTTTACACCGAGAGGCGTTTACAAGTTGACGATTCCGTCGTTCCGTGGAGACAACACAGAGCACTTGAAGACAGTGCGGGATGAGCCTATCACACATGGACGAGCGACCAAACAAAAAGAGACGCTTTNTTGCCGACAAAGACTCAACTCAGGATGCTTCTTTCGCCTCCGATCCCTCTGGCCCAGACGAACTCAATGCACTCAACGAGAACGATCAGAACGCCACTACCACCGCACAACTCGGACAAGAGCCAACATCAAGTGTGAACCGCTTCGACGCATCTCTCTTCCAAGCTTTTGTCGGCAATGACGCTCCTCAAGCTACCATCAACGCCCTACAGCGCATATGTGGCAATGATGTCGAGCGAGCCGTCAACATGTACCTGGACGGCTCATGGCAGAACCATCCTTTGATTTCGAGTGTTTCTTCACCCTCGTCGCATCCCAGCCGGCCCAAGGTCAAGGACACTACACCTAAATCCACACTAAAGACCGACCTGCCCAAAGTAAATCTGGCCGCCATGCCAACCAAGAGATATATTGGTGCCATGGGCGTCATTGGCTGGACTACCCGCAGCGGTACTGGCATCATCACATCAGGAGAGAAGGTCAAGATTGAAAGAGCCAGGCCGTCACAGCAAAAGGTTGGTAAAGGAGGCAAGTCGCGAGCCTCAACACGTCAAGATGTCATTGTGCGCTTCACCAATGCAAAAGGTGAAGAGGTTGGTCGCTTAGAGCAGGATTCTGCCGCCTGGATTTCCACCCTGATGGACCAGAACATATGCCATTTCGAGGGCCACTGTGTCTTTGCGCCTGATCGTGTGCGTACCAACGACACTGTCTACCTCCAACTGCGATGTTTCTTCCTCAAGTCGTGCTTTAGCGCTGGCAGCTTGATCAAACCATTGGACAATAACAGAGAAACTGGTTTATATGAAGCAAAGGAAACTCGAGACGAANAAGACCTCCGGCTGCGTCAAGTCGGCCTTGTGAAATTGTTTTCAGAAGTCAATCTTCATCCATCACGCGCCAATTCTGCAACCGAGAAGCACAAANGGGAGGGCATTCTGCGTGCTGCTGAGATGCCCGAGCAACCTGAACAGAGTACTGCCAAACCAGTCAAATCATCCGACCAAGCTGCTTCATCTCCTCCTTCGGAAGATGCTGAAGATGGTCAAGAGTTGGAGCAAGACCAGCTGGACAGTCTATACAAGAAAGCTCAATCCTTCGATTTCAATACGCCTGTCATGCAACCTGCCGAAACATTTGTCATGGATCTTCGAAAATATCAGAAACAAGCTTTGCACTGGATGGTAGGTAAAGAGAGGGACCAAAAATCGGACCACAAGGAGGCGTCGATGCATCCTCTGTGGGAAGAATACTTGTGGCCTACAAAAGATGCAGATGACGCGCCGGTGCCCCAGGTTGAGGACCAGCCAAACTTTTATGTCAATCCTTACTCTGGTGAGCTGTCATTAGACTTCCCTGTCCAGGAGCAGAATTGCCTTGGTGGTATCCTAGCAGACGAGATGGGTCTTGGCAAGACTATTGAGATGCTCAGTCTCGTACACACACATACTTCAGAATTCGGTTTACAAGGCGCTAAGATGTCAACGGTTATGGACCTGCCACGTTCGCCTAAGAGCTCTTCTGGTGTTGCTCGAGCACCGTGTACCACCTTGGTCGTTGCTCCTATGTCCTTGCTGGCACAATGGCAGAGCGAAGCAGAAAAGGCTTCGAAGCCCGGAACACTCAAGACTTTGGTATACTACGGATCAGACAAGAACGTCAATTTGAAAACCTTGTGTTGCGAAGCCAATGCAGCATCGGCACCGAACGTCATTATTACCAGTTATGGTACTGTACTCTCGGAGTACAACCAAGTCGTTGCTGCTGGTGGTGACAGAGGATCAAGCGGTGGATTGTTCTCCCTCGAGTACTTCCGCGTAATCCTCGACGAAGCCCACATGATCAAGAACCGGCAGTCAAAAACTGCTCGTGCTTGCTACGAGATTGCGGCAGAACATCGCTGGACTCTGACAGGTACGCCTATCGTCAATCGTCTTGAAGACTTGTTCAGTTTGGTACGCTTCCTTCGCGTTGAGCCATGGAGTAACTTTTCTTTCTGGAAAACGTTCATCACCGTGCCCTTCGAGTCGAAGGACTATGTTCGAGCACTTGATGTAGTTCAAACTGTGCTTGAGCCTCTTGTGTTACGTCGCACGAAGGACATGAAGACTCCCGATGGAGAGGCACTGGTCCCATTACCACCGAGAACCATCGACATTCAGAAGATTGAGCTCTCGAAGGTCGAACGAGATCTTTACGATCATATCTTTGCTCGAGCCAAAAGAACGTTTGCTGCCAACGTTGAAGCTGGAACTCTGATGAAGTCATATACTACAATCTTTGCTCAGATTCTGCGGCTCAGACAATCATGCTGTCACCCGACATTGGTGCGGAGCAAAGGTCTTGCTGCAGAGGAGGAGGACGCAGAGGCAGCGGCAGACATTGCGAACGGTCTAGCGGATGACATGGACCTGCAGTCCCTCATTCAACGCTTCGAGTCTGAGGCCGAAGAGGAAGATGCAAGCCGCTTTGGTGCCAACGTGCTCAAACAAATCCAAGCAGAGTCAAGCCACGAGTGTCCGATATGTTTCGAAGAGCCCATGGAAGAGCAATCCGTCACAGGTTGCTGGCACAGCGCGTGCAAANAATGTCTTCTCGAGCTAATCGAGAACGCAACCAACAAGAACGAACTGCCACTGTGCTTTAACTGCCGCGAGCCTATCAATGCTCGCGACATTTTCGAGGTCATCAGATACGACGACGAAGATGACGAAGAAGCTGGTGTAGCCAAAGACAAGGCACAAAACAGTTTCGAAGACATCTACACAGCAACACAACCTAGTGACTCGACAGACTCGCAACAACGTCTCCCTCGCGTATCCCTCCGCCGCGTCAACACTCTTTCCTCAGCCAAAATCGGTGCTCTCCTGACCCATCTCAAGCGCATCAAGAAAGCTTCACCAACCACAAAATCCGTCATTTTCTCACAATTCACATCTTTCCTCGATATCCTTGAGCCCGCTCTTGACGGAGCCTCCATCCCCTACCTCCGCTTCGACGGCAGCATGGCTCAAAAAGCCCGCGCCGCAGTCCTCTCTGAATTCGCCAACCGCACAAAAGGCTGTGTGTTGCTACTCTCCCTCAAAGCAGGCGGTGTAGGCTTAAACCTCACATGCGCAAGCAACGTCTTCATGATGGATCCGTGGTGGAGTTGGGCGGTGGAGTCGCAGGCTATCGACCGCGTGCACCGTATGGGCCAAACCCAAGAAGTCAAAATCGTGAGATTTGTGGTTGATCAGAGTATTGAAGAGAAAATGCTTAGAGTGCAGGATCGCAAANAGTTTATTGCTAGTTCGTTGGGGATGATGAGTGAGGATCAGAAGAAGTTGCAGAGGATTGAGGATATTAAGGAGTTGTTGAGTTAGAGGAGGAATGTGGTTCGTACGGTTTCTGTTTATCATGAGCGGAGGAAGATCTTGGGTGCCTTTGCTTCTGGGTTGAGAGAGCATTATATGGATCATAGCGTTAACAGCATTGTGTAAATATACATTCATCAACGGTGTAAATACTAGACTTTGTTGCTATTCTTTGCTTAAGATGCTCGCCATGTATCGCACCCTGATTGTGGCCGTCTGTCTTCAAGCGCCAGAATCCCCCCTGCTCAATGCAACTAAATATGGTCTCTAAATATCATGATAATCTAACATGACCATGACTCTCCCCAAGAGTTCTCCGTGCGAGCGTATATGTTCGGCAGCCGGATAACGAAGCTACAGCCAAGCGCCTGTGCTATCCAAGAGCTGGCAGATACGGGTCTGTCGAAGGGAAAGGTCGAGACATCGATGGTGCTTTTCCATCGATTGTCCAACCACGAAAGGGTATAACAGTCAATGCCCGAAACTGGCCAGTGACTACGTAGAGTCAACCGACAGACTGGTCTCCTCGATTGTCCCTCTGGCACATACCAAAGGCCAGTCGAGTCGTGAACCTCGGAGTTTCTCAAGCCGTTCTGCGTCTGTGGCCAGTCTACTAACTGCCTACGAATGATAGACGACCAGAGCAGAACTCAGTCTCGCGCCATAGCTAATCCGATGCTACAGATCAGATGTCGAAGAATGAAGCATCGAATTTGCTTTCACCACCTTCACCTGTGGCACTTCCAGAAAATTCACCCAGGTCAAACTCTGTAAAGTTCATAATGTCATCAAAAGTGTCGTCTCTGTTGCTTATGTCAGGTTGCTGTTGTGCATTCTGCTTGGCATCAACTTTNTGATCCTGCTGCTGTGGAGCACTGCCAAAGTCACCAACACCCGCTGCGTCGAAGATGTCAAAGTCTGCAGGAACCGATTGGGAACCCGAATCTGTGCCTCCATTGCCGCCGCCAGAGTTTGCATAGCTCTCCAGACCAGGAAGAAGGGAGGATATGCCATCCGTGTCTTGCATGTCTGTATCGGTTGGACCAAAGTTTGTCAGATCGGCAAAGTCGAAGTCGTCATTACCATTATTGAAGGACGCTGGCTTGATTGGTTCATCATCGGGAATGGTCATCGTTCTGACTGGAGGCGGCTTTGTGTCCTGGACTGGGGGATTGACTGGAGGTGCCTCTTCTGCCTGGGGCGGAGGTGGTGACGGAGCTGGTATGTCTTTGGGACTCGCTCGAGATGCAGCGTCTGCACTGCTTGGGTCGTTGAAGAGAGACTCAAAATCGAAATTGCTGTATGTACCAGTATTCTCATCGCCAGGGTGGCCTGGGGCTTGGTGGTCCTGTCCAGGGATATCAAGGTGAAGAGAAGAAGTTGACTTGGTCGTTTGCTCTTCTTCCGATGATGAGACTGCTTCCTTGGGCGGTGATGGCTTAGCATCTTCCAATGGGGACTCGCCCATGACGATGTCATCATCCAGACTTATGGCAGTTGTGTTGTCTGTGCCACTCGCAGGCTTCACTGGGTTGGCATCTTCGGGGTTCATTCGAACTGCTCGCTGAGATTGGTATACAGCAAGGTCACGACGCATGACGGCGCGTGCCAGAGTNCTGATAACATCGTCAGTGTTTGCTGTTAATTGCAAGTGATAAGATAGGGCGGAAACGTTGTAACGGAAATTTTTGAACGGATAAGATAGAGGCGTGGGCTCCAAAGCAAAAGAATCGTGGCAACCTACCAGTTCACTTTCTAACTGATCAAGAGCATCGTGGAAGTTGTTGTTTGCGCCAGCAATGACCTGCTTTAGTCGCAAGGGATTGTTGATCTGGCCATGATTCCTCGCGTTGTTGGCAAAGAGACGACCTGTGTGTTCTAGNCTATTCACGACATGGTAGATTAGCACGACTTGTGGTGATATTGAGCGCAACTATGCTTGGATACGCACGACAAGATTGACCTGTGCCTCGAGCTGGTCCAGCGGCGATCTGACGGCTTGGGCACGATCCATGTCGAAATTATGGCGTGACACGTGCCGGATGGGCAAGTGCGCGGTGCTTGGGACTTCACAATGAGGGGGCAGATGTCAAGTAAGAAGCAGTTGCAGCGGCTCTTCTCAGAAAGAAGCAGGTGTCGGCGAACGACGTTCACGGCAGGCGTAGCGGCAGGTTCGGCCAGTAACCTTGTTCGCGCAAGTGCAGGCAACTTAAGCAAGCTCAAAGTGCGACAAAGATGAAGCACGGTGCGGGCAACAAGACCCTTGCGGGCGGCGCGCTAACTAGGATTAGCTAAATGAAGAGCCAGCGCCAATCTGTCACCTTGTGACAAGCTACCACTTGTCTCCGCTCTGCTCTCCGTCTCCTTCTTTCCATCTCTTTCCTAGCTACTGTTACGTCGCTTGTCCTTTTTCTCCTACATCTCTTCCCTTTGCGTTGACTCGACATTTCTGTGTTTTGTTCAGCGTCCTGAAAAGTTGCTTCCCTTTGGCCAAGTCTCTGACTTTTTCCTTGAATCCGCCGTCTTCTTCTCAGGCCGCCCGCCCATCTCGACTTCAACTGTACCTCTACAGCTCGAGTTGCTCCCACCAACTCTTCCCAGCTCGTGCTTGTTGATCTTCACGACAAAGAACCTTCGTCAACCTCGTTGAGCAACATATCAACAACCCCGCCAACGTCCAGCTTCTGCAGCAGTCAACACGCCCGCGAGTCGAAGCTTCAACCCCAGCCTTTGTTCGATTAATTGTCTCGGCCTGTTTCACCGCTACTCATCCCGACCCAATTTCTTTCTCTCGTCAGATCAATCTCAAGAAAAATGTCCGACAACCAGAACCAGATGCAGATGCCCGCTGCCCCCTCGGCAGGTGGTGCTCCTGGCCAGTACCCTCCGCTCAACATTCCCCAGAGCACCATCGAGGCCAACGCCATGACCGATGCCATGAACAACAACGGCAATGGCCTGAACTCGCCTGGTAGCGCTGGTGGCCCTCGCCGTGCCGCCCCTGAGCCAAACAAGAGAGCTCTCTACGTCGGTGGTCTGGACCCCAGAGTCACAGAGGAAGTGCTTAAGCAAATCTTCGAGACCACCGGTCACGTTCAGAGTGTTAAGATCATCCCTGATAAGAACGTAAGTACCAATCGTACTGCCGCCTCTCCCTCTATCCCGCACGTGGTCGTGACGGTGAACATTGTCTCTGCTGTCACATACAGCAATCATGGTTGCCTGGACTGCATGCGCATGCATGCGCATGCATCATGCGGATTCACGTGTTGTTTGCGCCGTCTGCGTTGCGCTGGCCACGCCGCCTATTCTCACCCTTGCCAACACGTTTTGTTGTACTCAATCACCATTCACTGACACTACCTTCTTCTAGTTCCAGTCAAAAGGATTCAACTACGGCTTCGTTGAGTACGACGATCCTCTTGCCGCCGAACGAGCAATGCAGACTCTTAACGGAAGACGTGTCCACCAGTCGGTAAGCACATTGTCGCTTCCTGCGCGAAGAGGTGAAACGATTGCTGACACGTGATGGCAGGAAATCCGCGTGAACTGGGCCTATCAGTCCAACACCACTAGCAAGGAGGACACTTCTGGCCACTTCCACATCTTTGTCGGTGATCTTTCCAACGAAGTGAACGACGAGGTTCTCCTCCAGGCTTTCTCCGCCTTTGGCAGCGTGTCTGAGGCACGTGTCATGTGGGACATGAAGACTGGCCGCTCTCGTGGCTACGGCTTTGTTGCTTTCCGCGACCGCGCTGAAGCTGAGAAGGCTCTCAGTTCCATGGATGGCGAGTGGCTGGGCTCTCGTGCTATTCGTTGCAACTGGGCCAACCAGAAGGGTCAGCCCTCATTCGCTCAGCAGCAGGCCATGGCCCAGATGGGTATTACCCTCCCGGTCCCTTCGGTCAGCACCACCAGTTCCCTACCCAGGGCGTTCAGTCCTACGACACCATCCTCGCCCAGACTCCTCAGTGGCAGACAACTTGCTACGTCGGCAACCTCACTCCCTACACCACCCAGAACGACCTTGTTCCTCTGTTCCAGAACTTTGGCTACGTCACAGAGACTCGCTTCCAGTCCGACCGTGGATTTGCTTTCGTCAAGATGGACTCTCATGAGAATGCTGCCATGGCTATCTGCCAGCTCAATGGCTACAACGTCAACGGCCGTCCTCTCAAGTGCAGCGTAAGTTTGTTTCTCTCCGCGCTGCTGAATTTCTTACTGACCGTCTTGTATAGTGGGGCAAGGACCGCCCTCCTACCACCAACTTCGAAGGTTTCTCTCCTGCCGCTGCCGCTGCTGCTGCTGTTGGCGGTAACGCCGGTTACCCACCCACACCCCAGGGCTTCGGTTTCCCTCAGTACGGTGCAGCTGCTCCCATGTCTCCTCAAGGTATGACTATATCAAGATGTCACAATACCAACTCTTCTGACATCCTTTGTAGGCCCTAGCCCTGGTGGCTTCCAACAGCCCGCTGCCCAGTTTGCTGGTGCTAACATGGCTGCTTACGGTCAGATGCCCCAGAACGGTGGCGGCTTCGGTCGCGGCAACTATATGGGTGGCCCTCAAGGCGGCGCCTTCAACAACTACGGTGGCTACCAGGCTTAGAAGGCAGGTACCCCTAGTGCGTCGACCAAGGCTCAGCAACTGGCTCCAGCGCTGCGTAGCGGAGATGGCAGATACGACCAGAAACCGAGATACGCCGACGATTAAAACATCGACGACATCGGCTCAAGCGAGTAGCCGTCGACACGAACATTTCCTTGCCGGTCCTGTCGTTGGATAGGAAGTCCTTTTTCAATTCTGACATTCGTCACTCGATGTTTCCAGCTCTTTATACCCTCACAACTTCTTGCACACAGCATGGGGTTCGTCAAAGTTGTGCTTTTACTTTGCATGTGGGAAGCGGTTTTGTTTTTTGCTTTCAAGGAAAATTAAGCATCTCCTTTCGATTTCATGGATACAGACAATGTGCAGAACAAGGCACAAGGAAAGATGGATGGATGGACACATTTGGAGGATTCGAACAAAGGAAGCGTCTTTATGTAGCTCTCTGCCTTTTTCTCGGTTTCTCTTCTTCATACTTCTCTCTTCCTCTTTCTCTTGGTAATGCTTTGCATGAACATGTCTTTTCCTATGTTGCTTTCTGTTCAGACTGACGAAAAGCACCTCTCATTTCCTGATGCTCTATACCCATTTCTTAGATATGTTTCTTGTCTGCCATTTACTTACGGGGTCCAAAATGGTACATAGTTGGCGAGTGGTACAAATTGCAAATGTTGACGCCCTTTATTTGACCCATCAATGACTCGCCTCGGTGATAGAGATATGATCAAACATAGGCATGCAGACATACGATCAAACATGTACAGGGTATGAATGAATGGAAGGGGCAGACACGAGACACGTGAATGGCAGCCTAGAACCAAACCGGTAAATTACCGGCGCGTCGAGACAAAGTTTACGCGTATCGACTCGATGGCGACAAAAGTGGTTTACATTCGAGAAGACGTGGGAGTGGTTGAAATCGTCGCCTTGATCCTATTAGCGCTGGTCGTGGTGTACTGCATGCTGGGAGGAGGTTACAGCGCTACGGGATTGCTGCGCGGGTGGATTGGAAGAAGGACAATCGCCAGAGCTGCTGCCGCCCATCGTCGACAACAACTCGAAGCACAAGTACAAGCACAAGCACACGCACATTCCGCCGCCAGTGCCAGGTCGCACCCGAACCCACGCTCCTTTTCCTCGCACGACGACCGTCTGCGCTCTCGCAACATGCTCAGTGCTGCCGTCAACAGGCACAACGCCTCGAATGCTGCCTCCAAGCCCCTCGAGCAGCTTTTCTCTTCTAGCCCTCCAGCGCAGCAGCAATCCCAAAAGTCTTCCGTCTTGTCTACAGCCTCCAAGAATTTAAAGTCGATCAACGGTATCAAGCGTACACACAGTGGTCTCGCAAAACCTTTGGCAATACTGCCTCCTTTGACGATGAACAGAATCAGCCCGTCGTATGCGCCGTTCCCGAAGTCACCAACAGCGAGTACTTTGATGCCGATGATTTTGACGATGACTTCGATATCGATGATTTGATTGTCGAAGAGCCGAGGGCCAAGAAGCTTACTCCCAGAACCTCCAAAGACACCATCTCGTATCCTACCCTTCCCAAAATTACCGCTCCGCAACACTCTGCCTTTCATCCCACTCTGCCAAAACGCCAGGTTCGCGATTCTGTCGTCACCGATGATTCCGGCTACGTCTCTACTGAGCATACTCAGGAGCAGCCAGTCCAAAAGTTCGAAAGTAGTGCTCCTTTGCCCTGGTCCTCATCGCCAACCGAACACTTGAACCCCTCGATCAATGCTTCCTCACTCAGCCGTTTTGCGTACAACACAAGTAATGGCCCTGCCGCTCCTCGAATACAGCCGACGTCTGCTTCTGTGAAGACCGAACCCGCAGCTGCTTCTAAGCGTAGAACATTACCATGGCTCAAGCAAGAGACATCGCAACCAGAACAAGATCTACATTCAATTCCTCCTTCAAAGAGACGCGTTGTCGATTCGACACCTGTTCAGACATCCAAGAAGAGCGCTCTTCCCTGGAACACGACCGCAAGTGCTATCAAGGAGCAGAAGACTAGTCTCCGCGAGATCAACAAGAAGAAGTCCAAGTTCAACGAGCCCTCCGACGAGGTCATCCAGAAGGCAAAAGTCAGGAGTCGCAAGAACATGGTGGCTCGTGTCTTTCTCAGTGACGAACAGCAACACGTCCTTGACTTGATCTCTGAGAAGAAGAAGGCTGTTTTCTTCACTGGTGCTGCTGGTACTGGTAAATCCGTCCTTCTACGCGAGATCATCGCGACCCTGCGCAAGAAGTATCTACGCGAGCCCGATCGTGTCGCTGTCACGGCTTCCACTGGTCTTGCTGCATGTAACATTGGTGGTGTTACGTTGCACAGCTTTGCTGGTATCGGTCTTGGTAAAGAAGATGTACCAGAGTTAGTCAAGAAAATCAAACGCAACCAGAAGGCAAAGCACAGATGGATGCGCACAAAAGTCTTGGTCGTTGATGAAATTTCAATGGTTGATGGCGATCTTTTCGACAAGCTTGAAGCTATCGCTCGTCAGATCAGAAACAACGGACGACCTTTCGGCGGTATCCAGCTCGTCATCACTGGCGACTTCTTCCAACTGCCTCCAGTACCAGACAGCGGCAAGATCGCAAAATTCGCGTTCGATGCAGCCACATGGTCGACCAGCATCGAATACACAATTGGACTGCATCACGTCTTTCGTCAGAAAGATCCTGTGTTTGCAAACATGCTCAATGAGATGAGAGAGGGACGCATGAGTGCCGAAAGCATCAAAACATTCCACACACTTAGCCGGCCTTTGGAATCTGAGAGTTCTATCGACGCCACCGAGCTCTTCCCAACCAGAAATGAGGTCGAGAATGCCAACCAGAGCAAAATGAGTCAGCTTGTTGGCGAGATCAGGACATTCGAGGCACGAGATGGAGGCAGTATTACTGACAAGACATTCCGTGACAAGCTACTCGCCAACTGCATGGCTCCTGAACTTATCACACTCAAGAAGGGCGCCCAGGTCATGCTTATCAAGAATATCGATGAGAGCTTGGTCAACGGTTCTTTGGGAAAGATCATCGGTTTCATGAACGAGACACAGTTCGACTCTTACAATAATAATGAAGAGGCATTTGTGGCTACACAAGGTGGAACTCTTAAGGACGAAGACGCCATAGGTGGCCGCGACAAGAAGAAGACAGCCCGTGAACGCATCATGGACAACCTGCTTGGTAGCACCTCACAGATCTGGCCTGTGGTTCGCTTCACTCTTGCAGACGGCACAACCCGAGACTTGCTATGTCAACGCGAAACCTGGAAGATCGAGCTGCCAGACGGTGAAGTCCAAGCCTCGCGCGCACAGATTCCTCTCATTCTCGCTTGGGCATTGAGTATACACAAAGCTCAAGGCCAGACATTGGACAGAGTGAAGGTAGATCTCGGCAAAGTCTTCGAANAAGGACAGGCATATGTCGCGCTCTCTCGTGCGACCAGTATGCAAGGTCTCCAGGTGCTGCGCTTCGATCCACGCAAGGTCGTTGCTCACGAGAAAGTTCGCACATTCTACTCAAACCTTTCCCGGGTGGAAGGTTTGGAACAGAGCAAGCCCAAGGCTGAAAGAGGCAAGACCACCAGTCGTGGTAACGGTGTCACTGCTAACGAGTATGAGCGCGGCTTCGCTGATGGAAAGATGTAAAAGAGATATTCATGGCTGCTTTTATTTTCATTTGTTTCGGATGCCTGTATTAGGCTGGTCGGCAGGCGCTTTTGGGGCCCATGAGTGGCATCACCGATACCCCTATTCTCATGTTACGTGTATCTTATAAATCGAACATTATACTCTTCGATGCTTCATTCTCCTCTTAGCATGCTTACAATTTGCGATCAGAAGCAAGTAGCCTAAACTTCTGAATTGGTAAGAGGCACAGGTCCGGGTAGTGTACTTGGGCTCTGGGTCGAATCCAGTCCTATTTATGCTTGTCGATGTCAAAGATCCCTGTTGATAGTGTCGCGTCTTCCGCGTCTACAAAACATCACCGGCTACGTCACCTTGGGCTCTCGTATCCTACTGCTTTTTAAAAGACAAGTTCTTCTTGTCCGACATATATAATTATACCTACTGCCTAACTTTCACGATGCATCATATTAAAGATGCTTTCGAGCACCTGAAGAACCGAAACGATCCTGGTCAACAGCCTCTCCACTCCCATCATCAAGGTGGAGGATTTCCAGGCAGCCAGGTCCAACAACCAACTCGACCACAGCAACCGCTACACCCACAGCCTCCCACAGGCTCTCATGAACAAAGTCCGTTGTCTGGAACAACTCAAGGTGCCATCGATGTTTTCATGGCTTCCAGACAACCCAATGGCGAGATTGGTGGTATCGGTTACTGGCAGACAGCCAACGGCTACACATGCATAGCTCTCAGAGATGCTTGGTCTGGCAGCAACCGCAATGCTACACTCCTCCGAGATCGCCTTTCCACTGTGGAAAGCCATCACCGACATTTCATCAACGAATTCAACGACGATACCTTGTGGTGGGGCAATTGTCTGCTCGATGCTTACCTAACCAATCCGGATCCTTACTATCTCGAGAATGCTCGCAAAATCTGGCAGCATGTCAAGCGTAGTATGTTGTCACCAGGCAAAGCCAAGGTGAGAGATATGGACATGGCGGGTGCGGTTATGTGGACCACCAGACCGAACGAAGAACAAGTCAACGCTATCACGACTGGTCTTTTCTCCGAGCTCTCTGCTCGCCTTGCTTTGCTCGAAAGACCGGGTCGAGAGACAGCGGAAATGCTAGAGGCAGCTGAGAAGAGTTTTGCTTGGATTGAGCACTGCCGTTACCGTTCGCATGAGTGTATCGTGCTCGACACTATCAAGCTCCGGTCGCAAGAATGCGTTGACTGGACTTTCACTTATTGCACCGGACAGGCTATAGCTGCTGCCACTGCCATCTTCGCAGCGTTCAGCTTTGGTCATCAAGGCTCGCAAAGCCACAAGTCGCCACACGAGTACCTCGCGCTGGCTTGCAACATGGCACGTAAAGCAATCTGCCGAGACGGCTGGGTGGAGAAGGATGGCACGTTGACTGAACACGGCGCGTATGGCAAAGGCAACCACGAGCCCTGGAAGAACGACGACGCAGTCGGCTTCAAGTCTGTCTTACTGCGCAGTCTAGCTAAACTGCTCAAGGTCCTACGCGATACCAACCAAGAGCCTGATTTGCAGCGACAATTGGCCGAATTCATCAAGAAACAGTTCGACAGTCTACAACAACGAAACACGAATGGCAACCATCAGTATGGACCTTGGTGGAATGGTCCTATGGAGATTCCAACGAGCCATAGTCAGATGGCTGCACTCGATGTTATGGCAGCTATTCATCTTGTTCAACAGTAGTTGGCCAGCTCACATAGATTATGCACGTAATGCAAAACGACACATTGTCCCTACTGCAAAACATTTACCACAAGAGTATGAGGATACCGTGGAGGGTCAAAAGAAATCTCCTCTCTCTGAGTCGAACAAAGGACCTTCTGATGACAATCGAACAATTACAGTCAGACGCTCTAAACCAACTGAGCTAAGAAGAGATTGATGAGGAGTGGCTGGGATTATGCGTATATGATCCGCGCGACGAGGTGGCGACTGCGAGCCTCGGCAAAATGTTGTCTGGTTCTCTAGGCTTCACGAGCAGCAAAACCATTCAAAACACACACAGTTCAGCAACAAGAGCCGAGGTCTCAGCTATCGAAAGCCCTCTCTTGGACTCTCCAGTATATGTGTTCTCTGGATTGCCTTTACCGCGTCTTGTTGGAGATGGGCTCTGTGAGAACTGTAATCGGATACTTACATGTCGAAACTGTACATCGGCCATTTGTTGTACCAGACGGATCAACTGCCACAACACAACTATTGTATAACATAATCCCTTACAGGCATCCAATCGATCTCGACTAAGCTCTCGAACTGTGTCTACCTTCCTTACCGAAGAATATAATGCGTGTTGGCTCAAACATTGGCTCGAAGATGATGCTGAAGGAGCTACCCTGACCCACAAGATGGAAACTGCAAATTCTTCCTTGTACCGAGCTACGACCGAGCAGATTGCCAATTGATCCACTTCCTTGGTTCTTTGAGTTGATAACGGTCCAGACTTGAGAATCCGACTAGTAGGATGATTGTTCCTCTATGTACCGGCCTTGCTCTTCAGGGCTCTCTCTTAATTCGACTATGTACGTTCAAATTGATCCTACAATCATCAATTGGGGTTGTGGTCTAGTGGTATGACATCTTCTTAGCATTGCTCTTAGAGCATTACTGAGTTGGAGAAGGTTCTGGGTTCGATTCCCAGCTACTCCATTTTTGCTTTTGCATGAAGTATGAGCTGCTTCGTCTTGTTTTGCTTTTGCAGAGCACATGGGTAATGTCAAGTCATCTCGCAGAGATGTGATTGCGAAAGGCCAGCGCCGGATCTGTTTGCCAGCAGCTCGAGCAACTGTCAAAGTGCTGAGTATCTCTTGACTCGCCTGTCTTGTCCATCTATATCAGGCGATATATGGTCCAGTCTACCAAGGAACTGTGGCTTCTCAAGCGAAATGGGTTTCATACTAATACTTTCCGCCGCCACAGTTGTTCATGATCCTCCTAGCATTGTATCCAGAGCAGGACAAAGACGCACCTACCGAAGGTCTAGCCTTCCATACCTCAATGCCAAACAAGTCTCAGAACGAGTCGGTCTGCTCGCTCTTTTCTCGCGAAACAATTGAGGAATCGCTCGCTCGGCTGCAATTGAACATTTCCTTCAAATGCCCGTCGGCTCGCCAATGTGCTGCACGGACCGTAGCCGTATTGTAGGCACTCCGCGTGTAGAGCTCAGATCATGCTCATCCTGCAGGTCTTTGTTGATCACTCAGATTAAGTCTGGAGGAGGAGAGGAGGTCATCAGCAGGCGTCAGTTGTAAGAGACCTGTACGAGTTCAAGACGTTGAACATGGACTGTCCATATTCCTCACGTCGAGGCGACTTCCAATCGAGAACGTCTGCCGATTTTAAGGCCGCCGAGCCCACGAGATCGCCAGGGCCCACATGTCAGATTAGCGGATAGCGACACACCCGAGTCACCAGAAAGCTTCCAGCCTGACTCGAAATTATTTTTCAACTTGACAGTCGCAAATGGCAAGGGTCTTACAGCCATCCACGAAGTGGACAAGAGTCTCTATTTCGAAGAATGTCGAAGCTCGAGCCGTCTCCACGTCTTGTTGAGTGGCCTGCTTTCCATAAGCGTCGTAACCCATGCAAATATCTGGAGATGTCTTACCAAAACAGCTCCATGGCTCTTGCGTTTCATGGTGAGATGGAGCCGTGCTGACCGGCCTAACGCCTACATGTTACATTACAAACCATCATGGTACCCTCGAGGTCGTATATAATCCTTCAGCCCCGCAACCATCACCTGGAGTTTGAGCATCCATCTTTCGTTCTTTCTCTCAATTGACTTGTTTCCAAAACTCACAATCACAATGTCTGCCCCCAAGACTACCCGCGCATGGATCCTATCCAACCCTCCCACCGATATGCCTGATGACAGCACCTTCAAGCTTGTCGAGCAGGACCTGAACGAGCTCAAGGATGGCGAGGTTTTGGTCAAGACTACTTACCTTTCCAACGACCCCGCTCAGCGTGGTTGGATCCAGAAGGGTGTTATCGCGTNNGAGTACAAAGCAACGGATAAGACAATAAAGAGCCTCAACTGATATGGAAACAGTGACCGCATGTACTTTCCTCCTGTCGAGCTTAATGCCTCCATGTCTTCCTTTGGTATCGCTACCGTTATTGAGTCCAAGGCCGCCGACTTTCCCAAGGGCTCGCTTGTCAGCTGTCTGACCAACTGGCGCGAGTACGCTGTTATCGACACCACCCTCGGTGCCCCTTACGTGACCAAGGTCGAGTCCATCCCCGGCATCAAGGAGACCCACTTCCTCGGCGCCCTTGGCCTGACTGGTGTCACCGCCTACCACGGTCTCGAGAATGTCAACACCACCAAGGACGACGTTGTCGTTGTCTCTGGTGCCGCCGGTGCCACTGGCAGCATGGTTGTCCAGATCGCCAAGAAGCTTATTGGCTGCAAGCGCGTCGTTGGTATCGCCGGCACTGCAGACAAGTGCAAGTGGGTTGAGAGCCTCGGCGCCGACGTTTGCATCAACTACCGCGACGCCGACTTCAAGGAGCAGCTGATCAAGCACACCGAAGGCTACGTCGACGTCTACTTCGACAACGTCGGTGGTGAGATCCTCGACTTGATGATGACCCGCGTCAAGCGTTTCGGTCGTATCTCCGCTTGTGGTTCCATCTCAGAGTACAACAACAGCTCTCCTCCTGGCTTCAAGAACTGGTTCGAGGTCATTGCCAACCGCATCACCATCAAGGGCTTGATCGTCCTCGACGCCGGTGCCCGTTGGCCCGAGATGGTCAAGGAGCTCTGTGAGGCTGCCGTCGCTGGCAAGATCCAAGTCGGCGATGCCAACGAGACCATCGTTCCTACCGCCTTCAACGACATCCCCAAGACTTGGCTCAGACTGTTCGCTGGTGCCAACACTGGCAAGCTTATCACTCACATTGTCTAAGCGTCTCAACTCGTTATGAAACGAACAAAAGCATTTGCAGGAGTTGGACTGTTTTCCCTTTATCTCATCATGACTTCTATCAAGATACCACAAAACCTACATCACAATAATTCAAAACATACTTCATAAACCACTTTCTCGTACTACTTCTTGACTCTCAGTAGACATGGCAAGATAGCCACCGTTGCTATTTGTATACTCTGCATGAACAGCGACGACACGGAATCACAAAGGCAGACCCGAGGATGAAGCAATGTAAAGGTTATTGCTGACGACAAGACATAGTATACATCTCACATTCACGTACACATGAAGAAATGGAACATTGTAAAGCAGCAATTTTTGTTTTTTGTTTTTGATGAATTCTGAGAATCAGAACAAAGACCTTCTGACCTTCTTCTCTTCAAATCACATCAAGAAGACAAACACTGGTAGCTAATCAGCGCCCATCAACTCTGCAATCAAAGATCCTCAAGTCATAGTTACGAAAGTCTGACTATCTAATAAGCAACAGCAAATCGTGATCAAAGTTCCACCACCTGATCCTTGTATCCTCCTTACATTACATAAAAGAATCAACGAAAGATGGGAGTAACGAAAAAACAGACGAGCTTGCCCAAGGACACGTCCATTTTCCCACACTCCATGTCTTTCTCCATAGTAAGGTTGGGAAACCGTTGATGACAACGGAAAAAACCCATCAAACTATTTTTGAACCCCCCTTTGTTTCGTCAGTGTCGTCTGCTGCGTTGACGCACTACCCTGTGATTTGCATGTGTTGCTTTGACAGTCGGATGATGGTGCCAACCTCAAGACTGTTAGTTGTCTACTCGATGCCCTTGGAGAGATGGGAAGCTACGAGTGTTGGTTGGTGTTCATATTTCTGGTGGTTGTTGGTCATGTCGTTGTGTTTTGGTAGAGAAGGTTGGTGATGTGGTGGTCTTCTTCTTCTTCTGCTGTTGTTTGGCAATGATACGAAGTGTGACTCGAGGCCTCCTTCGGTGATGGGCGCGACTCTGTGTTGTTCGTCTTTCAACATGGTGCAGCCCATCTGACGCAGATGCACTGCAGACTGCGCAACCTCTTGCGGTCCTGTCCGTCAAAACAGTTGATTGACCAGGTGCAGCGAGTTCTGTCAGTGATGGCGTAAAGCACCGATAAACGGTGTGTGCACGTCGCATAAGTGGCATCATCTGTTAGGGGTGAAAGTTCCATTGACAGGTGCTTCAACATATGGCGTTTCTTGCGGTATGAGGTGCTGCAAACTGAGTGACTCTGTGTTATGGCTCGTCAAAGTCCAATATGCACGGTTCAGCAGTTTGTCAGTCACTCTCACGGTCTGATTCTGGTGTTACGCTGAAACGTAACTTCAACGACACTGCTGCGGCACTCTTGTCATGGGTGATCAGTCCATGACACGGTGCGGCAGGCTGACAATGTCGATGACTATCCTGCCGAAGCAGGATGGTTGTAAAGGTGTAAGGTTTGTGTTGATGATGTGTTTGGTTTTGGTTGACTTGTCGCCTCAGTGGTAAAGATGAGTTGGTTGGCTAGTCATGATTGAAAGTCTGGTCTTGATGATTGACTGAAGTGTGACGAGGCTTGGTGTGCCGAGGCTTTGACGCTGTGGCGGGTTTGGAGTCGAGGTAGGGAGGGCTTTTGGTGAAAAGGAGCTGACTATGGTGAAGACTGGACAACCCGAAGGCTGTCGCGTTAAGGCGTTTTGATGTGACCCACGCTGGTATCGGCTTCTCTTCATATTGAAAACTGTACAGCACAAGAAGGCTGTCGCGCTCGGGCATTTTGATGGTACCCACGCTGGTATCTGTTTCGGTGTCTGGCTCGGAATTCGAGGAAGAAGTGGGTGCTCCAGTGTTTTGTTTTGGTTGCTCGATCTTGTAGTCTTGGTGACGCTGACTTGTAGGTGTGGTGATGAGGTCGCCGTAGTGATGATGATCAAAGAGATCAAAGGATGAGAGAGATAAGAGATGAGAGACGACAAGGTGTCTTTTGATGACTTTTGACCGATTCTTTTTCGGTTTGTTATCGATTCTTTTTCGATTTTTTGGTTGCGATTCTTTTCTCGCGTGGATGACTTGAAAAGTCATTTGGTTGGTTGACGTAGTGACGTGGTTGGTGGTTGACGTCTGGCAGCGAAGAGCTGGCTTGTGTTTTGGACGAATGGCTGCAGTGGCAGCGATATTCTTGTTCCGATGGAAGAAGAATGAGAAGATGAAGAAGCAGAAGTGAAGACCTGTAGCTCGGTAGCTACAAAAGTTCAATCATGGTCGTGGTACTTGGAGCGTACGATGTGTTGGAAGCAACAGCATGATAGGTAAGTAGGTTGATGATGACTGATGATGAAGTTGATGTGGCCCCCTGAGGAGGCTTGATGAAGTGGCTCTATGAAAGAGGCTTGGTGTTCATGATGGTTCGGTACTGTTGAACAGTACCAATGAAGAAGACATGTGGCGAAGGAGAGCAGAAAGAAGTATGAACACCAAAGTCTTGGTGGAGAAGTTGGATGAAAAGGAATGGTTCAGGGGGGCCTGGGAGGTGTTTATATATCTCTTCGAGGGCCCTCATCCTTACTAATCGGCTGACTAAGGTATTTCTCTCTGCTCGAGAGCAAGTATTCGTATATTCGTAGGCAGCAGTCACAGGACGAAGTGTGTTTCGTCAGCTATACCACTTGAACTAACTCATCGGGAGAAAAATTTGCTGCGGCTTAGCGATTCCGCACCACAGTATTGGTCGAAACAGATTTCCATCTTAGGCAGCAGCGAGTGTGCCTTGGTAGTTGTCGGAATATCTCAGATGAGTTCATATGATTGTTTCGATGGAAGGTTGGAGAATGTCCGACAAGAATGGTTCGCGGATGGCCACTGAGCTGCTACTGGTCGACATGATTATGGGATTCCAGCAGAAGTCCAGAATCAATCGAGAGAATTTCACACCGTCTTCCTATCAGATGGCTTTTTCTCTATCTGTTTCCTGCTGTGTATGGTTGTGAGTTATGCTTGTCGAGAAATCCTCGAGAATATATTGTCATTCATACGTAGCTGTGAGTACTATTTCCAGACCGTCGCCTTGCTCCTTAATGATTCTTTATCAGCTCACAACAATTGCAAGTGTCCATCGATCCCTATTATGTCGTGATGGATGACAAGTCTGCTCGTGATATGCATGACAAGGTGTTTCTAAGGTACGTGATGTCCATGAGAGCGCTCACCAGCTTTCGAGCCCCATCACGAAAGAGATGATCTTGGCTATTGGGATGAATGAAGTTGATGTTTGCCATTGAGCGTTTGGGAGTCAGGCATAGGTTGTTCTGTACTGAGATATGTCACAGTCAACTGAGTCCAGTCTCCGCGGAATTTGGATGCCAAATCTGTGGTAGAGGTTTTACTGTGATGTAAGTGTCCGGCTTATGGCTATCACCACATGAATAGCCGTCGAGCCTGGCAGAGTCTCCTTGAGCAGCACTTTTGATGGATAAAGATGGCAATAGCGACGGTCGTTGGACATTCAGACGATCCTACCTCTTCTGGAAACATGTGAAGAAGCAGATGGAGAAGGTGCAGCCGAGGCATGATTAACCTCGGTATGTACGAGTATGCCACGTCCTCTCGGCCAAAGACTCTGTATAGCGATACAAGAGCTGCCTTCGTGCCGAGGGAGATAGAAATCAGCAGTGTAGGTCGACTGTCATTGTATCTCTGACCTGTCCACACTCCGACACTTGAAATCGATTTGCGCCGCGTTTCAGCAGCACCAGCTTTCGCAAGATAGCACTATCGCGAGTTCCATCCTAAAAACGCAAGAGCTCCTTTCCCAGCAACAGAGACAAACAAGATGACTTCCGACATGTCGAAAACGAACCTCAACAACCTTGCGCGTCTGGTCGCAAGCAGAACCGACACCCTCATCAGTCGCCTTATTCGCGTCCTCTCCACACCAGCAGGAAGAGACAAGACACTCTGCACATTCCAATACCTCCTTATTGTCATCTACACCCAACTCTCGCGCCTCCAAGGCGTGAGATACCGCCGCTTCCTCCTCTCCGTCAGTCGCAAACTCGGCGCCGTCCTACTGCCTGGAGAAACAGTCGTTGCGACATTGTCACCGCCCGAAGACAAACTCAGCCATGTCATCAACGGCAGCAAAGCCCTCTCAGGGTTGATCAGCGACTTCAGATGCTTCTCTCGTGTCGTAGAGTCGCTGGATCTGTATACCTGGGCCAAGGGCACGTGGAACAGTCCTCCCGAGGACGGTATCGTCAAGGCTGCTGTTTGGGGTCAGATCTGGACTATCACCGCATATCAGTGGTACGAGAACGTGGCCTATCTCGCCTCAAAGGGTGTACTGCGCGGTGAGAGGTTCGATACAAAACAGCAGAACAAGTGGTGGGTGTGGAGTTCGCGTTACTGGATGGCATACATTGCACTAGAAGCTGTGCGACTCGCTCGTGTCTGGCAACTCAGCCCAACAGTCACATCCTCAAGAGATGGTGCTGAGAAAGACGCACAGACATTGGAAGCTGAAGCTCTTTGGAAAAGACAAATGACTGTCAACATGGCCTGGGCACCCGTTTCTTACCACTACAGCTTGGAGTCTGGTGCCTTGAGCAAAGAATGGCTGGGTGTTCTCGGTTTAATTGCTGGTTCCACTGGTTTCCACAACTTGTGGCGCCAGGCTGCTGCTGCATAGATGTAGTGATGAATGATCTGACGGCCCCAATATAGATTATACTATCAAAAAATGATTTACAGCTTTGTATACAACAACTTGTCATTTGAAGGTCTGCTCATGCTCAAACGCCGTCAGCCTCGTGAAAAGACATGTATTGTCTGTCATGCTAGGAAATGCCTTCAATCCGCCCGAGCGTCATCTTAAATGTAACAGCCTTCCCATCAACTCCGAAAACAAGATTCGTTATACATTAAACCTCCTCTTTATCCAAAAGAGGCCTCTTCTCATCAAGTGTCGAGTCTTCCTCACTCCCACAGCCCCAATACAAGCAGTCCCAGCAGAAACCAGCCAATGCCACAGCTCCAGCTCCAGGTGTAATTCCTGTCATAGCCCAGAAACACAGTTGCTCTGGAGCACTACCAAAGACACCCGCCTCAAGACCATACTTGACGACCACCGAAGCGCCCAGCATGCCTCCCAATGCCACTCTTGCAATGCACAGCACACGATCGTCTTTTCTGAGGCACAGTAAAGTGCAAAAGCTGTACAAGCATCCAGAGAGCGAGAAGAAGCCCATAGGGAAGAGGACAATGCCGTCGTACAACATGCGAAACAGCATGGCAGGTGTCACTTTGTCGGACTCGGGCATGTCGAGGTTGAGGTAGTACCAAGATATCGTGACCAGCATGTTGAGGACAAGACAGAACAGAAGAGTCACAGGTCCAGGCTTCTCGAAATTGAGGAAAGATCGTGTCTCATTGTCTTCATCTTGGTCTTCGGTCTGATGCCGTAAGGATAGTGATGTGGAGGTGCTGATGAGATCCATGGCAGCTGTGTATTCTTCCTTGACCGTTGGTGTCTTCAACGGCTCTTCACCGTTGGATAGAGTGATAGTCTTTCCACCGTCCATCTTAAGTCGATAACGAAGTTGGGGAACCGTTGAGAAGAGAATCTGGAGAGAGGGAAGGAAAGAGCCCCAGCTACCTAGCTATGCCAGCAGCTTCTTGGGATATGTAATCTGGATGCTTTTGTGAAGTGCTATCGTGTATGCAGCATGAGCATAGCTTGGCTGAGAATTGCGTGATGGGCAAGCGTGGATTGCGTGCTGTGCTGGATTCAAGACGCGGATTGGTTGCAAAGAGAGAAAGTCACCGTGGAAGAGAAGATCGGACAAAGACCAGAGAAAAGGTTCATGGTGAGCACCAACCTAAATATGTATACTCGAAGGAAGACAGAAGGATCCTACCTATTTCTAGTGGTCCGGTTGGTCCGAGTCATTATTCCCAAGAAGAGAGGGAAGTTGCAGCTGAGAAGGTCCGGCTGCGCGCGCTTCTTCGGTCGGTGCGGCATCCTATTCCAAGCCACAAGAGGACTAAATATTGGATTAAACTCAATTGAGGCATCGTGCTTCCTCCAAAGCGGTATGCGATCATTTCGGAGCCAAATGAAGAGCCTCAAATACGAAGAGAAAGAGGCTCGTCTAACAAAGCAGAAGACGTGCATGGAAGGGTTCGGCGTGTGCTTGGACGATTCTGCGGAGCATCGAGGCCCTCGCTCATCACCGAAGCGAGGCACGGTGCGCATACTACGTTTAGCGATGATAGATGGAATTGATAAAGCTATTTGACTGTAGTACGGATACTGTACTACTGACCTGGATCCAGGTCTCGGCCTCTCTCAGTTTGGTATATATCACAACTCGACCACCGAAGCGCGCCTGCAAAGTCGAATCGCCAAGAAACAAGCATATGTACATGAAACAAACACTCAAGGGTGTCATTGAACGACTCGGTCGTTCTATAGTTATCTGCTAGGGTGAACATTCACCATTGGTAGCGGCTTGGCTCCGTCCTCTTCGCCTGCTTCGGGTGTGCTTGTGCCTTGAGGTGTGCCGATGCCAGAGAAGGGAGTGATCGCACCTGATGGGGGCACGGGAAGCTTCAAGTCTTCAGGGCTATCAGGGACGATTTGAGCTGGCACACCAGAGACGTGAATACGTCTGGCTTCATTGTTGTACGATGCGGGGACGATCTAGTGCGCAGGATGTCAGCAAGTCTAGAATCAATGACATTAGATGGAAAAACATACCTCGATAATCTCATCACGAGGGAATTGCAGCTTTGGGATGTCGCGTGCACCACAAGCCATCAGGTAGCCGTACAGCACTCTCAATACACTTTCATGGGCGACAATCAGAAGATCGTTCTGCTCGCGCTCCAGCTCCAGAATGATGGGTTCCAAACGGACAGCCAGATCGTGGTAAGACTGCCAATATGTCAGTTCGCGTTCATAGCTATCAGGGTTTGGTTTGATGCTCACCTCAGCACGAGGGTAGCGATGGTGGTATGGATCAAGCTCATGCTTGCGCACTTCCTCAGGGTATTGCTCTCGGATTTTGTCTTCCGACATCTTCTCGCACACGCCAGGATTGAGCTGACTCATCTGGGGGCGCTGCTTCACACAGTAACCCAGACTCTCCAGGTAGTGAGACGTCTCGACTGTGCGTCGTCTAGTGGATGTCCAGATCGTCAAGGGTTTCAAAGGAATATCAGGGCCGCCTCTTTGGATGAGCTGTTCACGCTCGTCCTCTCTATGTTTGATTAGGGCGTCGCTCATCTTCTTGGAGTACGTGATGCCGTCCTCAGAAAGCGAAGCATCAGCCTTGTAAGAGTCTTCGTCTCTTGTCGTACCAGCTCTAGCAAAGTAAACAGATCGGTGCTTGGTATGAAGGTTGAGCAGGTAGAACACGATGCGCTGAGAAAGGTAGTTGAAGGCACAGTTATTGACAATCACACGTTCTCCAGCGTTGACCATTTTCACGTAATGTAGCTCGGCCTCTTCCATGGACTCCNNAAAATGAGGAATGCGGGCGTTGATTCTGGCCAGGTAGTCTTTGACAGCATCCTTGTCGGACCAACCTTGGTAGTCGGGAGACGAGATCTTTACGCTGCGGACATTCTCTTCAATGATCTTCTCGTCTGTGCAATGTGATTCGATGAAGAGCGTCTGCACGTTATGCTTAGCAAACTCTTTGGCGAGAGAAATGCGACCGGCAGCAGAAGGGTTCACTGCGTCATAAATGGCAATTTGACCATTCTCGTGCTCAAGGAAGTCGTAAATGTCCTCTCTACATTTCCGGAGGATCTTTTGGCGAAGTAGAACGGACGAAGGAGAAGCATTGATGAAGAAGTAGTCATCAGGAACTTCTTTGCCTTCGCCCATTGTTGCTCTCCTGTAGTCACCGAGATGGAATATGCGCGTCTTTACACCAAGCCATCGTAGATATCTAGCCAGAGCAACTGAAGTATGGGTCTTGCCACGGGCGGGCAATCCAACTGTAGCAATGACTATTCTACCTGAATGGAAAAGACGGCCAGACTCGGTGCTGTAAAGTTGAGCAGGAGCCATGCTCTCCTTCTCGGGCAAGTCATGGATGGCATCAACGAAAGTACTTGATCTGCGCTTCCAATTCGGTGAACTAGCCATGACATCGGCAGTACTGATCCGCAGTCTTGTCTTAGTAAATGTATAATTGGAAGCATGGTTGTGAGAAACTACGAAAGGGTGTACTACAGCCATATCTGCAACCGACTGAAGGGACAATGTAACAAGAAAGAAGTCGAGAAAAGACGTACAGAAGAGTATCCATGGTTAAATAGAGCGACAACTAAATGCCGGTAAAACTCAAAATGCTGTGTATGGGTAATTCGGCAGTCGTTTTTAGCAGCGTGATGGGCAAGAACAGGTGAGCGATGAGACAAGCAGCTGATCTTGGCAGTATGCGAGGAGTGGTGATCCGCACAATCGGTAAAGGTGATGGATAGAGCAAAGCAGACAGCTGACGGCAGCAGCTAGAGCAGGCGAGAGAAGAGGCTGCCGGTTGTCAAGAAGGGTATCGAGCTACTTGGTCGTGTAGATAACAGCGAGAGGGAGGGTGCAATGGTGCAGTGGTTGAGGCTCGGAGGTCATCGGTCCAATCACGCCGCTCGGCCTAAATTTTTGGCGTCGACGTCGGTCGCGCAGAAGCAGACACAGACACAAGCGTCAACCAAGTCATCATCGACGCACCGTTCTTTGAGAGAATTGTCGCGCCGCTATATACATCTGAGCCGTGTCAGAGTCGACCCATTGCTTAGGACCTCTCCAAAGACCCTCCCTCGCCGCCGTACGCCGCCGGTGCCCCAAGACTCGCCCACTCGCCCTCAGCAGCAAAAGTCTACATCATGACGTCGCTTCCCATCACCACCACTCCCTACCCTCCCGTGGCTCCTGTCGCCGAGAAGCAGTCTGGCGCTCTGTCTGCCGTCTCCAACAATGCTCTGGTCTCGGCGCTGAAGGACACATACTCGGCTTTCCAGGCACGAAGAGAGGCTCTGGGCCTCAGCAACCCCGGCACTGTCGAGAACGTCGCAAAGGAGGTTCAGCGCGATGTCTTCCTTAACAACCTGTCCTTCTCCGGTCTGCGCGCCGACCTCACAAAGGCTTTCAGCGTTTCGCCGCTGTTCCAGGTCTCGCACGCTTTCTCCCAGGGCTCTCAGCAAATACCTCCTTACGCTTTCCTTGCCCTCTACGGCACCAACAAGGTACATGCCTCTTCTGCCAACCTCGGAAACCATCATATGCTAACACACCTAGATTNNTTCTGCCAAGGTAACCTTGACAGCGACCTTTCCCTCTCTGCCCGCTTCAACTACCGATGGACTCCTCGCTGGGTCACAAAGACCACTACTCAAATCCAGGCTGCCTCCATGGCCGGTCCTGGAGGTGCTCAGTTCTCCCTCGAGAACGACTACGTTGGTAACGACTTCACCGCTCAGATCAAGGCTATGAACCCATCGATCCTCGACGGCCCTCTTACTGGTATCTTCATTGGTAGCTACCTCCAGAGCATCACCCCTAGACTCGCTCTCGGTCTCGAGGCTGTCTACCAGAGACCCGCTGCCCAAATGGGACCTGAGGCTATGATCAGCTACGCTGCCAAGTACAAGGGCGAGGACTGGATCGCCAGTGCTCAGCTCATGCCCTCCGGTGGTGTCCAGGGTTCCTACTGGAGAAGACTGTCTGCTCAGCTCGAGACCGGTGTCGACCTCAACTTGCAGTTCGCTGGCAACCCTATGATGGGTGGCATGAGAAAGGAGGGCGTTGCCACTCTTGGTGCTAAGTACGACTTCAGAGCCAGCAGTTTCAGAGCCCAGGTCGATACTGCTGGTAAGCTCGGTGTCTTGCTCGAGAAGAGAATCGTTCCCATGGTCCAGATCACCTTTGCTGGTGAGCTCGACCACGTCAAGGTAAGCACCACTCTTCGCACCTCTAAACTCTACAGAGCACTGACATTGCCTACCAGANACGCCGCCAAAGTCGGTCTTGCCGTCTCCATCGAGGCTGCCGAGGAGGAGGTCATGGCCCAACAAGAGAGCGCCATGTCTGCCGGCCCCGTCACTCCTCCCTTCTAGACATCTCGCAGTGTAACCTCCCCTACTCTGCCGTGTACATTATAAAATTTGACCCTTTCTCCTCATATTTGTTGTTGTTGATAGCTGGCCTTTGTTTCCTGGGTTGTATGGGAGAGCAGATGATGTTGTCTTTGTCTGTTCTGGCATGGAGATGCCGCTCAATCTTGCATGGTTGTGGTCTACGAAGAAAAGAGGAAAAGGAAGGCTCTTGGACCGGACATGAAAAGGCGGAGTCATGATCAAATATACACTCCCTGTATTCTATGCTCATTTGCAATTGGCAGCTTTGTGCACCTCCTGTGTTGACAACGCTTCCTCTATCGCACTTCCATTCGTATCTCGAAATTGCGTCTCGGTTTTCAGCGGCACAGGTACAGGTGCTATCGATTTAGTGCTTTTTTTACATATGGTGACATGATAGCATAACTTTTGCATGGCAAAGTATGAAGAGTGACATCCGCCCATGACTTTTCTCTCATCTCGATCCCGTCCGCAAGCCCTGCCAACTGTTCACTGGTCAAACGCCTCGCAGCCCGCTACTCGAGTACTTCGGCCAAAGACGGTGAAGACAAGTCAGACCCCACTGTTTCCATCACTGTGATGAAAAGCTCCACCTGTCCATGAGGCCCAGCCTCTTTCACATGCCTGATAAACAAGGAGCATAGACGTGTGTATTTTGTTGCACGGGAGCTTTGCGAGAGCCTCAAAATCTGACGTCACTGCGTATGACGTTCACCCCGCTTGTGCAGCAAAGGGCAAGGCAGCAGCCACCGAGTGGCCAGCTCGACCAGCTCGACCCCCTCACCTCGGCTTGAGCCCCACGTCAAATCACTCATCGGAGATCCAAGTGAGAAGGGGCGTACGCAAGAAGTGTCAGGTGGCTCCTAGTAAGTGAGGGAACAAGGAAGTAGCGTGGTGTGGCTGAAGAAACGCAGCGTAAATCGTCACCCGTAGAAGTGCTTGGATTTTATTGGACCAAGGTGGAATAGGAAAGAGCGTGCGAGTGAGAGCTGTCCTCACTCTGAAAGCGCGTACGTCACTGGCAAACAGAGCTCTCTCACCACTACTTAAGAAGCTCCCATCACACTCTTGCTCCAACCTTTCTTCTTCCATCAACAACTCATCAAAACACATCTTCTCTTCCAAACCAAACAAACCAACCACCAACCACATTCAAAATGTCTGCTCCCAACGCCAACAAGCCTAACGAGGGTATCGTCGGTCAGATCGGCAACTCTCTCAACAACGCCGCCCAGTACGTCTCCGAGACTGTCCAGGGCACCTCCGCCACCGCCTCCAAGGAGGCCAACAAGGAGCAAGCCAAGGGCAACACCGCCGACGACTCCATCTCCGGCCGTGTCTCTGGTGCCATGGGCGCCGCCTCCGACAAGATGGACGAGAAGAAGCACGACACCTCCGCCGAGGCCAACAAGCGCTCCATCTAAGCGTCTTGCTTCAGCAACCTCAGCACACCATCAATTCGAATAAGTCCATTCTACTTTGATGACTTTCGACACGACGGCATGACATGACAACATCTCTAGCTCCCCCTGATCGGGTTGAGCTCAAGTTCTTTGCACGAGGGATTCACTTTTACCACGACACCGGCGATGGAAAGCAATCAAAGCTTTGATTCAATGGTCTTCATGATGTATCAATTATACCCCGAATGATAATACCCCTTAAACATCACTTCTCTGTTCATTCCATTTGTGGCCGTGACTGTATCTGCTGTTATTTACCTCTTGAGATGTCGTTGCTCGTCTCTAACAACCAAATTGCAAGCTCATCTCATCTCTGTCGAGCTTGCTCAAGCTTGATGTTGTTGCCCCACTCTGCCCCTCGCCCAGCTTGCTGCGGCTGACAGCCCGCCGCGCGGATCGGATCCACAACGTTCGTGCGACAGCAACTGTCTAAAGAGCCGCCAAAACTGGTGTTCAACCTGCGCGATAGCTGAAAATCCATACCATGAATATTGCTATCGACAGCCTTTCACATGAATGCCATCGTAGGCACAAAATTTACCACCGGACCAGCCGTGCCGCGCACGACATGAGCGACATGCTCAAAAGTATGATCGACGGTGATCAACAGCCCAATTACGAAAAACGCACAAAAGAAGGCCAACCTCACCTCCCGAACATCCATGACGGAGACCGTACCATGAAACGAAAAGTCCGTATAACAATGCGTGTTGAAGCTCTTCTGTAGTTCTTCGAATCCATCTTTCTTCCCCAAGAGTATTTGACTGTCCATCTACGTGCTAAAAACGACTTCTCTTGACGAAAACTGACGAGAATACGACGACGAAATCATGCACGTTATCAAGACTTTCGCAGCAGCTTTTGCTCTGGCAGCAACCGTATCAGCATTCCCGCTGCAGAAGAGACAAGATGATTCAGCAATCGGCGACCCAAACAGTATGTTTCGTTCATGCGTCTGCCTTTCCGCTTTTTCCCAGATCATCCCGCCACCTTATCATATCCTCTTGCCTTCGACTCACCAACAATATGGGAGTGAAGACGAATAACTGACCGTGCAAAAGGCCCCCTCGNACGACTTTCTCACAAACATCCAAGGAGGACTCCGTGGCGGCTTGGATTTCCTGTCCATCCCTAGTGGCGATGGTGCCAGCAGCAAAGCCAAGCGTGCTGAAGATATCCCAGATGCTGCCAGTGAGTTCTCATCCTCAGAGTTCTCTCAANGGAATCTCGCTTACACAAACCCAGATCCTGTAGTCGATCTAGCAGAAAACGTCAAGGGTGGTTTCGAGGGATTCTTTGATTTCCTCGGTGCTTCTGGAAGCGACGACAAATAAAAGCCCAGAGGAATCGTGTATTTGATTGTTGGTATCTTTTGTGGGTTAGAAGGTGTAATGACTATTTCATGTATATATTTAGGGACAGGAATACAAAGGGTTGATTATCAAATCGCTTGTCGGTGCATTGAGATGACGCTATCTGATATATGTCTTATGGCTAAGAAAAGTTGCTCGAGGAGTCACCCTGGCTTGTAGTTAAAGTACGCAATAACCACATAGTGTTGCCAGCACGAGATCTTCTCCAGGTCGGTAGATGTCCATGGAGTGCAGGTGTACAACTGATGCAAGTTGAGATGTCTTGATAACAACGGGGTTGTGTTCTTGGATTCTGTTCTACGTATTGGTGATTGTTTACGACGCCTGACCATAGTGCGATGAACGGGTTCGACGAAGCCACCTCTCCGTATGCTAAAGCGTATAACGCGTATAGCCATAGAATTGCACAACAGTAAAAGGGAGACAAAACAGTATCCATTAAGAGGCAATCAATGGTCGAATCTCCGTGGACACACTTCTGCTTGTGGAAGAAGATTGTGCCTTTCTATAGTGCAGAGATGCTCTTTGCTATAGTCGGAGTATGGAAGAAGTTACAGACATTAGCACGCGGTTAGGGATGTAAGCACGAGGTAGACAAAGGCTGTTATGTTGAAAGATTGTCATAAGAAACAAATATGTATAACCCCCATTATAAGTAAACCAAACCAATAAACAAGCACACCAAGAAGACAGGAGTCTGAAATGTCATCTGGCGGCTCCCACCCAAATCCAAAAGCCAGATTAGGTACAAAGAAGAAGAATGTCCTTTTAAGCTGTAAAAGATACGAAAAGTCCAGGGGCGTGAAAAGGTGTTTGTGTGTCGTGTCGTTTATCATGTTTTTTGAGAAATGTTTTTGAGTTCAAGAACATTCTTACAGAAGAACGACGGCGGCACCGAGAGCAGCAAGACCGTAACCAGCAGCAACGTGGTTGGCAGCACCAGTGTAAACTGCGGGCTTGGTGGCCGAAGCGGTTCCGTTGGTCTTGCCTCCAGCCGAGGTCATCATGCCGCCGTTGGACGAGGCAGTGGGCATAGGCTTGACCAATGTGCATGGGCAGTCGGTGACAGTAACGGTGGTGGCCGACGAGATGGTGTAGGCCTTGCTGTTGATAGTGGTCACGTATGCTCCGGCGGTAGGGGCAGGGCAAACGGTGGTGTATNNCTGAGAGATAGGTTAGAAAGAAGTCTTGTATTGGAATCCTCAAGAGTAGACATACGCGGTGACGACCTCAGTGGTGTAAACAGTTCCGTTCATGGGAGCAGTGCCGTTGACGTAGGCAGCAGAGGCCGAGGCGGCGAGGGCGAGGATACCGAAGGACTTCATTTTGAAAGATTTGGGTTGGTTGGTTGATTAAAGAGAGAGAAGCGAGTGTAGAAGAGTTGAAACGACTGTGGTTGTTGGATGATGGAGACGAAAGACAGTGGTACTTAGGAAGGCTGTTTATATATCCAGAAGTGCTGTACTTGTGTATGATAGAATTTGGGTCATCGGCAAGGAATGCTGCCCTGAATGGCAGTGCGTGTACAGGAAATGAGATGGCTTCCGTTTGTGATAACAAACGATCGTTCAGACGATGGTTCCCCTAACGGCCATTCATTTTCGTGCTGAGTATGGAAAAGCTTTACTGAGTCGTTGAACTTTTCAAAATTGTGAGGCTGGGAGAAGGAAGAGAACCTGATGTCGACCTACGCTGATGCCTGCGAAGTTTTTGATCGCAGCTCTTGTCACCAACCACGAAGACCTACTTACGCACGAGAAGACTTCGGTATCGAACAGTATGATAGACGATAGATAGCCAGTCCATCGCTTTCGCTCACCTCGTGATAGCCGGGCAAAGCGACTGCATGGAGTCTCAACGGTCGACGTCGAGAAATTGTCCGACACCGGCTATCGAGGCATCACGAACAACCACTGCAGGGCCATAGAGTCTTCGCTGTGCTTCTCCTGGGAGTCCCGAACGCAAGGAGTCGGCCAGTGTGTTCGAGAAGGCGTCAAACGTTCCTCGGGAAAACCCCTTGGGGAAGGGGGCACGCGGAGGGTTGGTTTTTGGGTTCAACCTGCCTGCCCGATTAGGCCTCAAAACAAACAAAACCAGACAACGCAACTGCTCTCCATGACATGTGAAGTCGCACGACAGACTCTGAATACTGTTGGCAATTTGGAAATACGGAGTAAAGGTTTGATTGAGTATTGAACGCACGAGGTCTCCTGTGATTCTACATTGAATTACATGGAGATTCAGGAGAGCCCTAGTGCCATTCTCCCATGGGCACATGTATAAAGACTCGTCCTGTCCTCTGCCCAGCTTTTTACTTGCCCTGTTATCTTGTCAATACCGTCACGTTGCGCTAGTGTTTTGTCTGCGTGACAGTGTTGATCCCATCGTCACTCTCAGGATCCCTCCAATACTCCCAGCCCCCATTTCTTCCAACTCTTGAAGTTTCTCTTGTCGTACTCGTATGTCGTCACCTCAGGAGCAGCAAGTTGATCCTTTCTGCTTCGACTATTGGATCCTCGAGGGCTCTTTACAACTGTCCTATACGTCACTTATCGAGCAACAAACATGAGTCCAGAGTCTCTTTACCCACACGTCAAGAATGATGCCGATCTTCGAGCAAAACAGGTGATGAGTATCCAGTCTAAGCTGTGGTAGACAAATATATATACAGTCCTTGAACTCAAGGCGCATAACGAGAATGACGGGCGGCTATGTACACATGTGCCCAGAAAGCGCCATAGTCCATGCAAAAGAAACGTGATATCTGTCTTGATCGTACTCCGTGACGAGCCCGGTGGCTATAAACTGTAGTGTATTCTGTGGTTGACAATCGGCGTTCGGCAAGCTTGATGCTTGGTATCATTATAGGATCTGGTGTCTGTAAGGAAGAGGGGTCAGTCAGTTATAAGAAGACAAAAGCTGAGAGAACCAAACTTACTTTTGGAACAAGTTCTCAAGAGTGATGGCACTGAGATCGGCATCATCAGGAATCTCGTCGACTACAGGAACAAGGCCTGCAAACTTGTCGCCTCCACGATATGCCAACACAGCAGGCACACCAGCAGGCTCCATCTCAGCATCGAGATAGTGCATCTTGACGAAGCGCGTTGTCTTGTGCTTGCGTGCCAGTTGGCGCATGCAATCCTCGACCATATAGCTGACTTCTGACGAATCGTCGTAGATAAAGACGACCACGACGGTATTTGAAGGACTGCGGTCCACAGCATCCAGGTAGCCCTCACCATCAACCGACACAAGGCCGCCATACGTCGCACGACTGCGAGGCTGGCCGATACTGTTGCTCGCCTGGCGTCCGTTCGCAGACAGCTGATTCAATCTCTTTTGTCGCCATTCGGCCATGAACTCGTCTTCGCTCTCAATATCACTTCCACTTTGACTGCCTTTGCTCCTAGCGTCCAGGCTCAACTGGGCGACATTCGGTGTGTATGCGTAGTTCTGTGTGCTTGCTTTCGGTGATGAGTTGCGTTCCCTGCGTGCGGCCTCAAAGGCTTGCGCATCAGCGATGACACCCTTGGGGCCAGTGTTGGAGTATGATTTGTTTCGCGGAACATGGTCTCGTGAGGGCAGGTTGGGCAGAGCTGAAGGTTGGTCGTCAAAGTCGTCCAAAAGGTCATCGTTTTCTGAAGGGATCGAGTCGTTGTCGTCTTCTGGGTGGTTGGTTCTGCGTGACTTGTCGCGGAAAAGCTCGTTGTATTCGTCTTGTGCCGTAGTCATGGTTGCGTATGTGTCTATCGTACTTGTTGCGAAGGCGACTGCTCAAGTGTTTGTCTTGTTGCTCGTAACGATTGATGGTGGACCGTGCTGGACAAGGGTCTATCAAGGGTCTTTCGTAAATTGATGAATGTGAGTGTATGTGTTCAGAAAGCGGATGAATAGAGTCGAAGTTAAAGAGAACAAGAGTATTGACAGAGTAGTTTGGTCACAAAAGCATTCTTCGAGCAGAAGATATACTCCTGATGATGCAAAGGCGTTTTGGATTTCAGGGGCAGCTACTGCATACACAGAACATGTCAAAGACTCGTAAGGAACTTCTCGAACTACCCTCAAACAAGGCCTTCTGAGCACAATTCTCATGACTATCAAGCCACTGCGCTGGCAAGTACGCTGATGCGAAACCTCCAATCAACCCTTCTTCCCAAGGTTTGATGGATGCAGGCGGACCGAGCACCTCGACATCAAACCAGCACGGTCCTGCATTCAAGCTAGAAGCATGTGAAACAGCCACTTTTCGCCGATTCCCTTCCCCATAGTCCTCTAATCTGTGGCCGTCCACACACTAGCACATTGTCCGTCTCAAACATGGCCGTGAAAGTTTCGCTTCATTCGGGTTTCAACATCACAACATATCTGCCCAAGTTTTACGCTCTAAGACCGTCTCGGTGTGGCTTTAGAAATGTACAACACTTTAAGAAGCAAGTGCTGTCCACGAAGATGACGTTTCTGTATAGTCACGCATCCATCTAGAAAGTGCCTGCATTTTGATACAGTAGCTTGTAATGATTCAAAACTTCAGGTAGGAGAAAGGTCAATTTCGATATCGTGTCAGTCTGAAGATGAGGAAGGCGGCAAGACATCGATCGCAAGGCTTCTTGGATATCGCCGTCTGGCGATGCTCGCACAATGCTGCATTACACATTCAAGAAGGAAGAAGGAAATTATTCTTTGGTATCTGCTCGAAAAGGAAAGAAGTACACTACGAAGAATGCATGAGTGGATGGAGCTCACGCGTTGCATGCCTCGCAAACGTGGAAACAACCGCTATAAAACAACAAAAGAGAATCGACAATCGGGGAACGTGGGAGATGTGCTTAGTCGAAAGGAAACGATGAAGGGCAGAGAATCCGTTACAGCACTTTTTCTCCTTTTTAGCTCCATGCGCAAACAGTTCTCTGCCTTTAACCCAAAGTCCGGAATAAAAGAAAAATTGACGACCAGGGGGGATCTGCTATGGGTAAGACGCCAGAAAAAGTCAGAGCACTGCGAGATGAAAAGAATTAAACATCAGATAACCACCCCCAACCCAGGCAAAGGCTTGTTGTCGCGCACATTTGAGTACACAAGACCTCCATTATGAAACTGGTACGATCCAGAAAGAAGGAAAGAAGAAGGGAACGAAGGTTGTCCTCCTTCGATCCCATGATTCTCGGAAAAAAGGACTCTGCTCCTGCAGAGTACGAAGTGAAAATAGGCCACTATGTTGCGGTCAAGGCGTGGTCTGCATGGCACATGCCTCTCGGTGGTATCGTTTGCCGTTCTTCTGGTATGGTTTGTATGTTCCATTGTCTGGACAGAAACACGTGGTGGCGACGTAGACGGAAAATTACGAAGTTGACAAGACTCGGTTGGAATTAAGGTCATTATGCCCAGATGCGGAGCTGCACGAAGATGTTAGCGAGGAATATGCAAGCTTTGCAGTCGGATTGCTCACCATCGAATCCCAAGAACCTGTGCACAGAGAAAGAGCATCGTTGCTGACGCCCAAGCAGCTGACACGGTTGTCGTGACCCTGCAATGTGCCAACTCTCTCACCACGAAGAGTGTCCCAGACNCTGATAAAAGTCAGTATGTTACATAAGAGTCCAGAACGTTGAGCGCATACCTTGCATTCAAAGTCATCGTAACCAGCGAACAGAAGTCTACCGGAGACGGAGAATGCCACGGATGTAATACCGCAGACAGGCTCGCCAATCNNTAGATTCGAAAGTCAGTTGTGTCCAACTTTCCATATGCATTTGTGGGAACATACGGTATAGCTCTGCAATTCTCTGTCGGCGCGAATATCGAAAAGACGGCATGAAGCATCGTCGGAACCAGTACCAAAGGCATTTCCGTTGGGGAAGAACTGAATGGCGTTGATATCCGAGTCGTGTGCGGCGAAAGTCTGAACACACTTCTGTTGTCTGATGTCCCAAAGCTTTGCGAAAGCGTCGCAAGCACCGGAGACGAATTGGTTGTTATCGAGAGGGTTGACGCTCAAGCTCATAACATCGCCGAGATGGTCGGCAAATTCTTGCAGCTTCTGACCGGTCTCGATATCCCAGAGCACACAAGTCATGTCACCAGAAGATGTCAGAATGCGACGGTCGTTGATAAAGCGACAGCACGAGAGGTAGCCGGAATGGCCGGAAAGTTCTCTGGCGACGCGAGTGGGGCCGTCACGAGCAGAGAGGTTGTAGATAGAACAAATGTTGTCAAGACCACCACAAGCGACGTAGTTGCCGCTAGGAGCGTAGGCACAAGTCATGACCCATGAGGATCTAAGAGGGATGGCGTGGACCTTGTTTGTGCTGTAGGCGTCCCAGATGATGAGCTTGCCGTCTTGCGAAGCCGAGACCAGGTGCCTTCGGTCAGTGGACCAGTGCATGGCGTAGATCTTTGCGAGATGGCCCTTGAGAGTGCGCTTGGTCTTCATCTGTAGGCGGGGAAGAGCCTCTGTGCGCTGGCGAGCGACATCGCGAACTGTGACAGATGGTCAGATGAGCTGCAAGTGGGGTGATGGAGTAAACTTACGCGTTGTGTCGGCGAGCTCATCCTTCTTCTTCTTTATGCGGTCCTTGAGGGCTTCGGCATCTCTGCGGGCGATTGAGATCTTCTGCTGGATAGATTCTGCGCTTCCGTCGGCCATGGCTGTAGATTTATATATGCAAACGGGAAGGTGCGGTGCTAAGATTGGCTAATGAGTGACGCGGTCGTGTCGAAGGTCACAGGCGAAGCTAGGATGATCCGGCGGCGACGTGGGCAGCTTGAACGGCAGCGACAGAAGATTGGCGACGACTTTGGCAAAAAGTGCGGAGCTCACGAGAATGGAGGGTGAGCGGCAGCGACAGGGTCGGCGGTGCGAAGTGCAGGTCAGCAATCAGGCGTTGGTTGTGGAAGCGTGTTTGGTTGGTCGGGCAGAGTCAGATCGGCACAGATGGAAACACGTCGGACAGGTGCTCTCGACCAGAAGACAGTTGAGCTGAGAGATGTGGCCGGCGGTCGTCAGATGGCAGAGGCGGACGGCGAGGAATTGATCGATGATGTCTGTCCGAGGACGTGGGATTGAGCTGGGAGAGCCTGCACGATGCACGATAATGGGGGGAGATGGATTTGGAGAGGTGTCGGCCATCGGTACGAGTCGACACAAAACGCCCGAGCGCTGCGACTAGCAACCTGACTGGCTCGGTAAACGGCCAAGGGTGCGGCTTGGGCCATTCAAACGGGAAGCAGGCTGGTGGAGCCAGCAATCTGAGCAGCCAACTCTAATCACCAAATGTTGCTCTTCATCAAACTGCGCAGGAGAACTCTGCGCCTGTCCGTCTGTGCCGGCCTGCGTACAGATTCTTCATCTTTGTGAGAGCCGTCCTGTTCCTGTGTCTTCCTTGGCCAGTCGACTCTGCTCGATCCTGAGTTTCTAGCCCCATGTCCAGACTCCACCCAAGAGACAACCGTTTCCCTTTCTCTTCACCTCTCTCTGCCTTTTTTGCACCATTCCCGGCGCTGCCCGTTGGCTTCATTTTGCAACGGCCGGCTTGCTGCTCCTAGCCATGAGCATTATTGGCTTAGCTCCCGAGTCTCGCCCAACACCACCGTCTACCTAACCCTCGATGCCCTCTTCTCCGGCCTAGTTGAGCCTCGACTTGGTTACTCACCGTTGCCACTTGCCCGCAGCCAACATCTTCCACAGCCATCTGGAAATGGAGATGCATGAGGTGCTTCTATTGCATTGACCAGCAAGGGCAATAGTGCATCTGCTTCGTTGAACGTTGTGACCTTTTAGCCAATATAATGCTCATATTGTCCAAATCTTTGCCTGTTGTTCTTCCCTTCCCCATGATTGGATCTTGCCTCTCCTCTTTTTCTCCCCTGACTCGCAAACCTCGATACTATGCCTATCCCTGCAAAGCGTCAATCTTCTTGTACAGGCTAATCCATAGCCTTTTCCAACGCAGATACGACTCAGTCGCTCAGGCGATGGCTGTGGCGGGCTGAAGCATTGCACAAGCAAGAAATGTGCATGCAATCTCCTTTTCTCGCCTCCTCGGCTGTCAATTGTGGGTTGTACATTGCCCTTGACTCAGATTCATTGCGTGTTCCGAGTTGAGAGCATTGAGCGATAGATAATTAGACCAAATGTCAACACACGATCTGAGCGACCACGTCATTGATCATTAGAAGAGAAAGGGGAACCGCGTTCGAGAAGTCGCACATAGCCAATATATAGTTGCTATATCCGTCCCTTTCCTGTATGCTGCCGGGCGTAGGCAAGGGATATGGGGAACTTGGCATGACCTTGCAGCTCTTTCATATCACTTGACTGAGGCACAGCCTGCAGGAACTTCAAGGCTCAGTCCGAACAAGGGCGACAACATGCAAGGAACATACGATAATGCACACGCACTATACTGCAAGGGAAGTGACACCAACAGTTCATCAACATCAACACAATGATTTCGTTAGGGCGACAAGAAACAGCTTTTGACTTTTTTCGTTGATCTGCGAGCAGAGGACGAGCTTCATTCCATGTCCGATAGTAAGAGCCATTGAACCCATGTAAAATTGCGTTGCAAGCACCACCCAAGACTCCTGCCATGATCAACTCATCCTCCTTCGCTTGACGTGCGACGACGACAGACCCAACATTCGGGGCAATGCATTTAGCGGTGCTGTGGCAAGGTGTTAGCCTCCGACAGGTGATGACTCCAGAGCGCATGTCGGTTGCGGGTCTGGCACGGAAATGCGTGGATTTGTGAATGCGTACCTTGACGAAGCCAATGTCGGTGGACTTCTCACGGAAGCACTGACGGCAGATGTTCAGGCCGTACTTGCGGATGAGACCAGCCTTGTGGGTGCAGACGCGNGCTGTAGAAGAATGAATTGTCAGCCAGATGTTCTCTCCTTCGGCCATGACCCCCTCGCTCGAGCGCGCGCGCACAACACCAGTGTATCCATTCTCTTTCTTCCCGACTCTTTCTCAAGCAGGCGACGAGGATTGTAGAGTGTGAACGCACCATTCTCTGCTGCCCTTGCCGTAGGTGCGAGGACGCGAGTACCAGACAGATTCGTGAGACATGGTTGCGGTGGATGGGTTGCCGTAAAGGTCCTGATGACAAGAAAAGCGCTTGTTAGAAAAGATCCTCGTGCGATTCCGATGCGAGTGAAGAGAGATACACACTTGAAGTCGTACGGGTTGTGCTGGTTGTCGTCGCTGGGTGGGATGTCGAATTTCGGATTTCTGCTGAGAGGAAAGTGCGAATCTTCGCTTTGCCAAGACGCTAGCCATTTCTGGCACGCGATCTGGGGTAATGTTTACTGGCTCACTGGCTGTCCACTTGTAGCCTCCCAACATCGAACATTAACCATATTTCACACGAAAAGATCCATTGCCATCATGGTAAGCTGCTTTGTGACATTGATTCAATGTCCGTCTCTCATTTGTTGGTAGACCAAAGACTCATCACACACCTACATTCACCTGCATCGCAGCCACCATGCAGATCTTCTGGAGGACTTCAATCGCACTCATCTACCTCATGAAGAGATCTATGTGCCACCTCAACACCAACCTCTCAACCCAGATGATGAGGATGATGTAGTTCCTGAGCAGCATGCTGCTTTCGGTATTCAGAGAGCCACTCAACGTCAGCAAGAACCTGCTTGGCGTGACCTTGGTCTGGACAGAATTTTGAATGAAGGCCCACCAAAGAACCAACGACAGAACGAGCAACTGTCCAAAGTTCGTCTTTTGCGATGAAAGCCTCTAAATTTACCATCGAATGAATCTCCCCTCACGCTTCAAGTGGTGATAGACAACACTTGATGACGAATCACAAACCTACCAACACAGTCTCATTATGGCATGAAATTCCCTACACTCACGGATGCTTATGTCAAACCATCCGGCCTGGACCGACGGAGCTGAGTGACGCCTGGCTCCAATGTTGTCAGATTTTCCGGACTTCAACATCGACAGATGAAACGATGCGTAAGAACGGAATTGCAAAGCAGCTGATGATGATTTCCTCGGATAATGCGAGGTGTGGTAGATGCTGTACGAAGGAGTGGTGTTGCGTTCAGTGACTAAGACCAAAGGGCACAGAACTCAGAATCTAGATCTCTGCATTCTGAATTGTCCCTGGTTACGACCAAGAAGTTGCTTCCCAACACAGAGGGAGTTTCTAGGAACAAGCCCACGTTTTCCACGACCTGCTCTGCTTATCTACCTTTGTGCAAGGACGTCGAAGCTGTGCTTCGAGGGTTTCCCAGTAGCTGTGATAGAGAACGCAATCGAGTCTCTCGTTCTTCTTTCATTACATTACTCTGTGTTCATCCAATTGTGCCAAATCAAACATCGATCCCCACTCTTTCTGACTAATGGTGCATATTTTCCAATAAGTCAAGTGTCGAGCTTCTCTACTATACACCAGGTATCTTCAAATGTGCCGTCTTGATGATTATGAGATCATCTCAACCAGCTCAATCCGTCTTGCTAGGATGGAAGGTAAACGAGAACAGCGCGACCAGCAGCTTGATCCCAGCAGCAACCCACAGCACACTCTGCAAACCACCTTGACTGCGCATAAGCCACCCACTGATAACAGCACCTCCAAACAACAAAACCACAGCTGCAGCTCTTCTATTCCTCTTGACGTTATGCAAAGCAAACAGCTTAGCATCGCCCATCAAATCGCAGTAAGTACTGGTCAGGACATTGACTGGCAACTCGTTATAGCCCAGCAAGCGACTAGTGGCGATCTGCATGCCAGACTGGAAGCCCAGAGGTGGGAATAAGCTGACGATGAGGATATTGTCGATAACACCTCCTTTGTGATAGTCATCGGGGTAGCCAGGACGGTTGTGAGGGACGAGGTTTGCGCTGACAAGGGCGGCAGAGATGATGATGAGAAGAGCTTGGATGAGGAAAATTGTGCTGAGCCAGAGACGGTTACTGGTGATGCCCTTTGGTGAGACCAGATTTGTGCTGCGGAAGGTGAGGAAGGCGCCCAGGAGGAAGGAAGCTAGAGAGACGAGGGTGGTTGTCCAGGCGTGGGGATTATCCGGGAGACCAGCAGTTGAGAGACCCAGAATTACAGTATTGCCTNNACGATTGTGTTAGATACAGTCGATATGTGAAGAATGTGCATGAGGTTTCGATGAGCAGAACAGTATCGAAATCTAACTTGGTCGTAAACATGGATTGACTGCTCAAAGGCAGGCCTTCCTGCTCTAGATTGACGCAATGCATCCTGCTTGAATCTTGCCGAATGTCCACAGAACCAAATCGCCGAGATAGTACGTTCGGAATGGCGATATGAGCGAAAGAGATCAACACCTACCAGTCTGCATTCCCACAAAGACACCCCAATTCGCGAACGACGCCGCATCGACCAGACCAGTCACAAATGAATGCACTAACAGCGCGGCATCTCCATATTCCTTGTCGACAGGTCCCAAGATTCGTCGCCGTGAGAAGAAACCGGGCTTCTTGACGTCCAGAGGCTCAGGAGACGTCTTGGGCGGCGGTGATGTGTCGTCGGCTGCTGCTTTCGCTGTTTGTGGCATTGTCGCAAGATTATGATGGACTGAACAGAAGGATGTGGGAGAGAGGGAGCAACCTTATCTTGTAAGGGCAAATATGAGTCTTGTCGGGGCGAAGTGCGGCAGCTGTATGTATATACCGAAGCACGCGATAGGCGGCGATAGGTTGCGATATGTATTGCTATTTTTCTTTTCCTTCTGCAACCAGTTTGCCGTCGGAAATGGCTTGTGGTGTCTTATCTATCTCTGCCGAAGCTACTTTGCTCTCCTTATGACTTTACGTGTACACGCAAGCCTTGCCCAAGAATTTCTTGTCATTCTCTTTCTCGAATCTTTGGCCGCGCCGGCTACTGGCAAATTTGATGGTGGCAGCGAGGGCTTTCTTGTTTTGGTCCCTCGGTCATCAAGGTACGGACCCGCTTTCTGCCGAATTCGGATTGGTTTTCTTGCACGATGGCTTGGAAGACACGGTGTTTCTATGAACGGCTTTAGTCACGCAATACTAATGATCTATGGCGAGGGCAAACAAGGCCTGCTCTTTGACATGAAGCGTCGCAATGCAATGCTGGGCATTTGGTAAGAGCTACTCGAAGAAAACATTCTGGTTGCTGGATCTCTCTGCTTTGATCCTCGAAAGCTTATCTCGCCTGCCGGTAGCGGGATCTTCATCTCCAGCTGACCCCAACCTCGCATTTGGGGTCGATCTCAGATGCCTGTGTAGAGTTGGGGTCAAAAACATAGGCGGAACAACATGTGGTAGGCGTCGCATTCCACACTCCAACTCTAGATTTGTATCTTTTACCTATGCAAGGAGCTCTCCTCCAGAACACCTAAGTCCTTGTTGATCTTTGTCATGTCCCACGCCCACAGGTTTGTCTTCCCTCTCCATTTGTCAAGCTTACCAGGATGGTCTTCAGGATGTGCATGTCCCTCACCAGCGATACACCAATATTTCCGATCTTCTTCCATCCTTGAAGCTTCGAAGAGTCTATCGTTTGCTTCACCTAGGAAAGAGATCTGATGCGCCCAATGACTGCCTGCATGGTAATTATACCAGACCTGAAGGTTTTGACATTGCCGTGGTTGATGACGACCCCATACATCAAAGAGTCGAATCTCCCTTGCTCGAATATAAGTCTCCTGCTCATCCGGCACGGCACAGCTTGAACTTTGCNNTGTCACAGTTTTCGTGACCCTGGCGACGAACTGCGATAGCGGCGGCTCGACAGTGGACCACTTGCCTAAATTTGTACTGATCAAAAGATCCCATTCTTTGTCTCCTGCCCATCCGAATGCAGTGTTGAGGACATCAACAAGTTGCCGGAAGCTGGTATTGGCAGGCACTCGAAGTGTGCGCGTCACACCCGGCTTACCATTGACAGCATTGACTGTGGCACCGTTCGGCCCTCGCAATACCAACTTGGCCTGTATCAAGAAGCCCTTTTTCACCTTTGCTGGCTTCATCCTCTTGGTTGAATGTATGATGGCGCGGTGGATTTCATGCTCGTCACAAGAAGAAGCATAACCGTCTGATGCGACTTCGTCCATTATAGGAGGAACAGCTGGTGATGGAGGTCGGAACGAACGTTCTTCGTTGTCCACGTTTTCTTCGACTTCCGGCGTTTCTTCGAAATCACTATCATAATAGTTGCGTTTTCGCTCTGCTTGCCTGATCCTGCGATCACGCACCACTACAAAAGCATTTCTCTGTGCGATCAGATCTTCGTATCTCGCCTGTGCTCGGGATATACGACTTTGAGAAGTCGTCGCACCTTCAAGACTAGATGGAGATTGAGCTGCAGGTATGGTAGTCGTAGACGCATCTTCCCGACTGACACTGAACGAGAGGACTTCCAGAGGCGGAAAAGCTTCAAGAAACTTCTTGGACATGATCTGCCAGTCCGGACGATAGTTCAGGATCGTGTGCATGCTTGACACACTGAAGAGTGGCTATCCTCTACGAGGATATCGGCCTGACTTATTCTGACGACTTTGCCACCTCTTCGACGAATCTCATGTTTGACGAGTCGTAACTCGCCTTTTTCGTAGTTAACGCCGAACTTGATCTTGCTGAGCTCGCCTCTTTTGACCTGCGGTGTCCCCCAAGATTCAGCGTATTGTTTGCGGAGTGCAACATTGACCGTGGGTGGAGCATCGATCAGAGGGACATCAGTTGGCTCATCTTTGACAGGAGTTTCGATTTGTTGAGTCTGATCTGTGTTCGGAATGTGTCTGACGAGGTTGGGTGGTTGGTTGAATGGCCAAGACTGTCCTGTACGATCATCGCTAGTCACTTGAACGATGTCTTCGACTGGGGCTGCGACCTCAGAATGATCTTGTATTGTATCCTCGCCCATTGCCTCTGCCGGAGGCATGGCTGGTGTATTAGACTCACCAGCCAAAATCGGTTGTTGTTGAGGTGATTGGATGGGACTTTCTTCCCAATGGCCGTTCGCAGGCATCTCTTGGATCATCCGGAGTAGCCCTGTTTCATCCAGAGGTGTTATTCTAAAGCTGTCAAGTATTGTGATCTTACTCCGACTGACGCCATGGCCCAATACAGAATGTGTCGTGAACTCGTCAGGAATGAGAGTGACCTGGCCACCGTGTTGTTCAATCAACTGTGTGGCTCTAGGTCTCGAAAGATTTGGGAGCTCCCCAGAGAATATAAAGATGCAACCAGTAAGGCAATTTTCGGCACCTTGAGGGATAACTAGACCTTTATTCAGTGGGATCGATGGCAGAGCGGGTGTTTGGCTCGTTACGACCTCCGTACCAACGGTTCGTCTTCTCTTTGACGAAGGGTCTTGTCCAGCATTCTTGGACACAGACCTAGAAGGTTGCTGGGAAGTACGCGTTTGGCCTGTAGCCAACTGTGCAGTCAGGGTAGCCCTGAGTGCGCGGGGGAAATGTCTTGTGGCTCTGGTTCACGAGCAACCGAAGCAATAACCTGACTTAGAGGAGGAAGCTGTTGACGAGCAGCATCATTCACGTTTGGAGTGCTCTGCTGATTGGTAGTGGGTGTTGCCACTTTGCGGCTCTGGTCAGGTGTCGCCGGCTGACTCCGATTGACTGTCGCGGCTGTATAGTAGGCCGACTGAAGCTTGGTCTTTCTGTTTGCAGGCACATTATTGCCATCCGTGTATGTCTTGCTTGGATCTCCGAATGCATTTACCGCGTTTCTGAAGGCCTCAGCAAGAGGATCTTGGCCAGGGGGCGTTGGTGCGCTTGGTCTCACAGCCCTCCAAGGCTCAAAATTAGACATGGTAGTTCCCTTGAACAGAATCAACGTTCCATGTTCCGCGGAAAATGTTGAAAATTAATTCGAGAATGAAATAAACGGTATGCGATAGACGCAGCATGACGCGCACCGGAAGGCGCTCCTCGAGCTTTGACGTCGTTTTTTTCCCTCTACATCCTCCACCACCGACACCTTATTTCGATCTCCGCTGTGCCATCAAACGGCATGGTGTTTCATGCGGCTGCAGAATGAACAATGAGCCGCCTCGGATAGATCACACGCCCCCGAGATCTTGACGAGGTTGCATATCTGCAAGCCCATGCAGAAAAACTCGGTGGATTCTCGCATCGTCATCTTTACTTCATCACCATGATGGCAAGTCTACAGAAATTCCCCGTCAACGCCTCATTGGAGCACCTAACACACCTGCCCTCGGTGTTGGGTAATCTGCAAATTGAGAATGATTTCATGACATTTATTCTTTGTATCGAAGCAGCTACGTAGTTCAAGAAACGCCAGGTATATATACACAGCGTAAGTCGCCATATCTGAAGATCTGTTTCATACATTTCGAACCGCAAACACCAAAGACACAAATCATGCAGCACGTTCTTCAAACCGCACTGGGCTCTGGCTTCTCGGCCACCGAGGGATACCACTCAGAAACACCTAACAAGGTCGACCCCTCTTTCAATGGCATGAAAGCAGTTCTGCCTCAGTCATTCGTTCCCGAAAAGTCGACGCGCATCACGTTGAAAGGCAAGAAGGCCGACGTGAAGATTCCCTGGATGTCCATTGGAGCATGGTCATGGGGAGACAAGGCAACATGGCACTGGGACCCTAAGGAACGCGAGGGTTTGAACGTGGCTTGGAAGTACCTGGTCGACAACGACATTACCTNNGTGAGTCGCGTTCAGCCTGGATCGAGATTGATGAATACTGACACCATCCTAGACATTGACACTGCTCAGGCCTACGGTTCAGGCGAGAGTGAGAGAATCTGTGGTGAGCTTGTCAAGGATATGCCTCGTGACAGTTTCGTCATGCAGACCAAGTACTACGTTGTCCCTGACAACTTTAAGAACATCTTCACGCCAGCATCTGCACCATACAAGATGCTCAAGGAGTCGCTGGAGCGCATGAATCTAGACTTTGTCGACGTCTACATGGTACACGGACATATCCATGCTGGAAGCATCAAGCAAGTTTCAAAGTCGCTGGCTCAATGCGTTGACGAGGGTCTCTGCAAGGTAGTTGCTGTTGCCAACTACAGTAAGGAAGATATGTTGCAGATGAAGGAAGAGTTGGCTCAGTACGACATTCCTCTCGAGCTGAACCAATGCGAGTTCCATGTCATGCGCCGACTCCNNCCTGAGACAGAAGGCATGCTGAGAGCGTGCAAAGAGAACGGTATTCAATTCCAATCATACTCGTCACTGGCACAGGGTCGCTTGACCGGAAAGTGGACACCTGAGAAGGAGCCACCAAAGACATACCGCTTCAGCTCATACCCTATCAAGGATATTCAAGACACACTCGATGTGGTGAAGAGGATTGCAGAGAAGCGCGGTGTCAGCATGGCTGCCGTGGCGCTCAACTACAACATCAGCAAGGGTGTCAACCCAGTTGTTGGTGTTAGAAACCTCGAGCAGGCTAAGAGCAACCTTCAGGCATTTGGCTGGAGGTTGACAGATGAAGAGATTCAGGAGATGGACAGCGTCAGTATCGAGGGCAAGCACAGCAAGCTCTGGCAGCAGGGTTAAGCACTTTGAACAGTAGAAGTCACGAAGGACATGCATCACGAATTTCAGTAGAAGTCTAGTTAGGAATGCAAAGTTATTAGTCAAAGATATCGGTTCAACATGCAATTATGGCAAGAGGAAAGAACGTTTGACGATGAAACATCAGACAGTGGAGAGGTGGAGTCGATCGGGCCGGATCCCTTCGCGTGCCGGGCACCGCCACATACGCCACGAGTCAACGAGTCAACCGACGACGAGGATGAGATTGGATATTTTTCGCATCGTGAAGACGAGTTGAAGTAGGGGACATGTGCTGAGTATCCATCGACCATGTCACCGTCGCGAGACTTCCACCGGAAGCGTAAGAGCTGGGCACGGCGAGTCGAACGCTGTTGCTGTGGAGCGCTATCCTACTTCCCTCTGGCCTTTGTCTATGGCCTGTTGTCGTGGGCTGCTTGGGTTCAGATAAGCATCGGCTTCTGGCCCAACGAGGGAAAATGGACCGGTATACTGAAGCCTCTCTACCTTTGGTTCTCGACTCTGTTTCTAATGCTCACGTCTANNGGCAAGACATCATCCTTGGTCGGAGTCGTACTCTACTCGCTCGCCGTTTCGTGCTATACAATTGCTGTCTTCAAGGATCCTGGATCTCCTACAAACTCGCCAGCCACCGGTGGCTACGCATCCCTCCCTACCCATGAATCTGCAGCACCTACGCCGCTCACGGCAAAGTCGTCGGGCAAACCACGATACTGCAAANAGTGCAACTCGATCAAACCAGACCGTACCCACCACTGCAGCTCCTGCAACCGCTGCGTCCTCAAGATGGACCATCACTGTCCCTGGCTAGCCACCTGTGTTGGCATGTACAACTACAAGGCCTTCCTGCTGTTTTTGTCCTACACATCCCTCTTTTGTTGGCTCTGTTTCGCAACTGCTACCGAGTTCGTCTGGCGCGACATCTTTGACGAAACAAAGATCGAAGAAGGACTACGAATCGTCAACGTCATCCTGCTCGCTGTTCTAGGTGGAATTATTGGCCTCGTCCTGACTGGTTTCACCTCCTGGCATATTTACCTGGCCACTACGGGCAAGACGACCATTGAGAGTTTGGAAAAGACACGCTACTTTAGCCCCTTGAAGAAGAGCATGGAACGTCAGATACACAATCACGAGAGACACTACATGCATGATGATCCCTCCGACGAGCCTACGCTGGGCGAACAGCTCAAGGAGATTCACGCAAATGCTGTTCCTGGCGTGACCAGACCTGAAGAAGGCGAGGAGTCGAGACGCCCAACCNCCTTGCCATCACAAAACTCCGCATTCGAGTCTCCTGCTTCGGACAGCCTGCGTCGTAGTTACGCAAGTCTAGAAGCAGACCGTGAGCGGGAACGCTATGCCGAATATCTAGACGAGCAAGACAGCGACAAGCTACCTCATGCCTTCGACCTCGGCTGGCGACGGAACCTGCTTGACCTCTTTGGCCAAAATCCATACTTGTGGTTCTTGCCAGTCTGTAACACTGAAGGAGACGGTTGGAGATGGGAGGTTAGCGCACACTGGATAGCCCGGCGTGACGAGGTAGCTCACGACCGCCAACTACGAGAAGAATCAGAACGTCGCTCATGGCGCGACTATCAATCTCAACGTGCGCAATGGGGCGCTGGTGCGTATGGTGCAGGGAGATACTTTGGTGGTCCTGCTGCTGCGCACCAACATCAGCAACCCCAACAGCCCCAACAGCCACACCTTCAACCCACATGGGGAGGCGAGCAGGAAGACGACGATGAGGGTAGATACCTGACTACCACTAACGGTGTTACTCGTGTACCTCTTGCAGGTCGCCGCTCTCCCTCGAAAGCAGCCCAGATTCTGGGTCAATATCAAACAGGAAACGGTCCACCTGCAGCACAACGCCGCAAAACAGACCCCGACGATATTGATGACTATGATACCAGCAGCGATGAGGAAACCTCCCGACCGCCGAGTCGACCGCTTCCGCAAACCCGTGATTGGAACGACATCCCAGATGACTTTTTGACGTCTGCTACGGTAAAGCCGAAGAGAGACAGGAGTGGACACAGAACCAAGGGTGATTGAGCATAAGCGTATTCTGTTTCTTCTACTCTCTTATTTGCATAGTTGCACATGGTGCATTTCACTCTTCCTGTGGAATTTTGTGCCTTTGGCGTTCATCTGGGCTGCATTCGAGCGTTGTATACTAGTCTCCAAACACCAGGAAATTCTCGTTGCTCGCTTTTTTTGAGCATAAATCTATACGTGGATCACTTTCTCTTGACAAGCGTGCCGAGCGAGTGTGGGATGGTGTCGTAAGGACCTTCGCCTTCTCCCGCTCTCAACGAGACTTCTTCCCACTCACCTGCTTCGCGAAGCCATTCATCAGTAGGTCTTGCAATATCACAGCCGCCAAAGAAGGTCGGCCAGATCAGATTGACGAAAGCTNNGTAAATAGAAAAGTCAGAAAAGACAGACGGTATAAACCTGTGGCTGCACTTACGTTGCCAGTATCCAACAAAATCGTTATGGTACTTTGTCTTGACATGTTCATAAACCACCCAAGTACCTCCTTTCTTTAGATAAGGATATAAGCTCTTGATGATATCTTGCGGACCAGGACAACTGCATAATGTCTGCAAGGTCACTATCGTATCCACAGACTCATACTCCAATCCCACAGATCCCAGATCCTGCGCTCCTACAGGTAGAATCTCATAGATGCCTTTGAGTCCAGCAGCCTCCACTCGTCTGCGCAACGCAGCGTGGTGTTCGGGATTCGGCTCCACGCCATAGACTTTGGAGACTTTGTTTGCTGTTGCTGCGTAGAGGTTTACCCATTCTCCGCTGCCGGGGCCGATGTCTAGGACTATGCCCGACACGTGTGTGCGTACCAGAGGAGCTACAGTGGCATTGGCGTTTTGACGAGATACGCCGCCGAACCAGGACCAGAAGGTTCCAAACCAGGCGTGTTGGAAGGAAGACCATGAAAGAAGCTTTGAGGGTGACGAAAGTAAAAGTCGGAATATGGTTATGGGGATGTAGGAGGCTGAATAAGAGAGTAGGAGAAGTGGTCGAAGGAGGTTTAGTTGAGGTGGCAGTTCCATTTTGTCTTTTCTCTGTCAAATCTGGACACAATTGAGGTTGTATGTTGGAGCAAAAGGTCCGGAGGGAACAGAAGAAGAAGAGTTTGGGAAGAAGTTTATATACACTATGACTATTCTGTTAGGGCAGAAGCAACACGGCAAGGGTAGTGGGGCAGTCCATGGCGGGGACTTGTTCAAGAGACCGAACCCGTTGGACTTCGGCGACTTTATCTATAATTGACAGAGCGTTATGGTTGAAGGACCTTTGGTAGAAACGCACCCATACAATACTTGGCCTATATATCCGACAATCGTATACAATGGCACGTGGTTGTAGAAGATGAAATCTGAAACAGAGTCAAAGCACACAAGGCGGAGGAGTGCTGGACCCTTGCCCACCGCAATCACACTTCATCTCACATGACAGCTCGACGAACTGCACGGGCGCTTAGCGAAACTACTGGAAAGCGATAAAGAGGAGAGACTGAGCAAGAAAGCAAAGGCGGCTCGAGGACAACAAACATCCAGGTTGTGATCGGGAAAACAAGGTAGCCGAACCACTTTCTTTGTTACACCTTTCTTTCCGGAAGCGAACCAGGGGACGGCCCAGCCCTGTCATTATTGAGACGACCTTGCATGTCCCTATCGACAAACTTTCTGGTTTCCTTACATATACATACAAGCCCGTCTCTGTCGATTCGAGATCCTTGCTTCCGGATTCTGCTATCCGCAATTACTGGTAAGTGCTATACGTACATGCTACCCCTTTCAGAAGCTGGGCAACGCAGCAAGAAAGTATTCTAAACTATCATGGAAAATACGCTATCACGAGTGCATGTTCAAAAATGTGGATGGAGACCAGAACTGACGACCTTGTAGAAGAAACACAATAAACCACATCAAAAGTTCAGAAAACATGGCCGGCTTTCAGAACCTCGGTGCAATAGCAGACGATGCAGCAGCAGTAACTCCCACACCAGCTCGCGGCAAAGAAATGCGCGCAAACCTCTTAAACAAGTTGCGTGCACCACCTCTAGTCCACGCCTGGGATTTCTGGCACGATCGTCAAGACCGCAACACTGCAACCACATCTGCAACTTCTCCACCACCCGCTGCTCCTTCCACCACTTCTCCCACAGACAAACCAATCACCAACTATGAAGACAGACTCGTCCATCTAGCTTCCATCTCAGACGTCCGCACCTTCTGGAACGTCTTCAACAACTTCGATGTGTCTGCTTTGCCTCTCCGCGACTCGGTCCACCTCTTCCACAAAAACGTAAAGCCGCTGTGGGAAGACCCTCGCAACGCTCACGGCGGCTGCTGGACCTTCCGCGTACCAAAGGACCGCGCGCCAGCTTTCTGGGAACGCATCTGTTTGCTTGCTGTAGGTGAGAAACTGCAGGCTGCAGTGGAGAGCGAGAGACAGCATTTCAGAGATGACATTTGTGGTGTGAGTTTGAGCGTTAGGTTCACGAGTGTGTTGGTGCAGGTGTGGAATAGAGATGCTGGTCACGAGCAGGGTATCCAGAGGTTGCTGGAGACGATCTTCGCCAACTTGGAGCCGGAGCTGATGCCTAGGGAGAATGGTTTCTATTACAAGCCGCATAATGAGCATGCAGCTTTCGCAGGCGGCAAGGCTGGTGCGCAGCCAGCGACATTGAAGCAAGCCTGAGAGTAAAGCGGGATGGTTGTTGAACAGACCTTGATAGCATGGGGGACTAGACAAGAGTCATATGAAACAGCTCAAGCACGATCACTTGGGCGATCACAGCAACACAAGATCTATTACAATTCAAGAAGTGGAGATGAGAAATGACATGTATGCTCTACAAAACAAGAAGAAGAAAAAGATACAAGCTAGCAGAAACCACGCTATGCGCACTGCAAGATATCTCCGAGAAAGCCAATAAAGCAGAAATCCAGATAAAAATACTCCTCAAACACAACTGCAAAAGCAAAAGAGAAACCTTGGTATTCTGGGTCCGAAGCAAGAAGAAAGAAAAGAGCAAGAAACCGCAAAGAAAACAACAGATTAGACGAGGCGGGCCAGCCGACACTAGGAGGCGTAGATGGGGTATTAAGGAAGAGAGGTTATTACCAAGCCCAAACCCACCACCAAAACCGTTGCCGGCAAACCCAATGGAAGAGCAGATTACCATGACCACCGCACGCTTTTGAGGCATCTCACTACGAGAGTCATAACGCGCTAAAAGGAAATAAAGAAACTGTAAAGAAACGCATAGAGTTGAGAGGAGAGTTTCCGTCCCAAGCATGTGACGGATCGGAAAAGAGACATGAGATTTGGTCGGAAGAGGGGTCGTGAAAGGTGGAATGCAGTGTTAGTAGGCGGCCACTGCGAGATTGTGGGATGTCATAGTAGGAGCTGAGTGAGCCTGTTCCTGAGCGAGCATGGCTTCCTCGTAACCAGATAGTGCCTGAGCGTGGAGCTTAAATGATTCACCCATGAGCTTGGTGATGCCCCAGACAACCACTTCATCGATCATGCTGCCCCAGATGCGGGCAACCATTGAGCTGAGCTTGCCGTACATTTCAACCGAGTCATCGTCGAAAAGACTACGGAGCTTTTCGTACATTGCGATCTCCTCGGCGTTGGGAGCCTCGTCGTCGTGCTCAACTCGCCAGAGCCAGAGCGTGAGGATGACCATCAAGTCAAGGCCACAGAGCGGGTGTTCAATGCTCCAGTTGGTAGCAGAAGTGCGAGCAACCCAACGAATACCATGCACTGCGGCCACCTCGACACAATCGAAGCAGGCTTGAATAACCTTGAGCATTTCAGGCGAGCGCTTGACCTTGTCTCTGGCGTTGGTCATGGCAGCGGCGACCTCATAGGGGTCGTGGTAGCGAAGAGCCTCCTGAACCGACTTGAGATCTACCATGAGTCTGGCAGTAGTATTGCGGTACACGGCCATGGCATTGAAGATCAGAGGGTGTCCACGGTGAGGTGCACTGAGCTGAACAACGACGGTCTCGGGTTCGCAAATCTCGAGGGACTTCTCCCATGATTCCAGAGCCAGACGAAGCTTGTACTCGGTCACGACGTCCTGCAGAGCCTCGGGGCACCTCTTATGATACCAGACTTCGAGGAAGAGAGCGTTGATCATGACGCGAGTAGCAAAGGCGCTGTAACGAGCAGGCTCACCCTGGAAGAGGTTACAGTGTGATTCCTGGAACGTGATGATGTTCGTGGTCTTCATGCTTTCTTGCCAGATAGCACTCTGGTTTACATCAAGGGCCCAGAGGGTTTCTGATGATGGCAGCTCCAGCGTATCAAACTCGTTGAAACTGATGGCAGGCGTGTGGTTGTAGGTCATAGTTAGAAGGCCAAAGAAGATGTAGACGGCATAGTATGTGCGACGGCAGCTTTCGTCCTCTATCCACTCTTGGTGATTGGGCTGTGCACCCTGGCGGGCCTCGGAACGCAGCTTGAGCTCGTATCTGTTACCAGCGACCATGTTCGCGACAAGACTCTTGACTGAGCAGGCCCACTCGAGGCCCTTCGGGTCACCACTCCAGCTGGCAAAGATCATGTTGAGCAGAGTTGCTTGCATAGCCCAGATGGGGCACTTGCGAGAACTAAAGTTCTCTTTGTTGACCAGGAACTGGTTAATCAGGAGCTTAGAGCCGATATGGAGCATGTATGCAGAATCTTGCTCGAATGCGTAAAGCGCACCAACCGAGAGGACCGACAGAAGCAGGGGGGCCGAAACGTGTGCCGGGTTGAACGATGAGGGGTGCAAGAATGGCAAGTGATGGTGGAAGAGGTTGAAGTACGACGACAGATAGCGGTTGAGATCATCGCCATGGGGGAGGCGGAATGTGTCGAGTAGCGCACCCTCACTATCGCAGTGCTTGATGTTTTGAAGGATACTGGCAATCTGATCCTCAGATTCGACCTGGGGCGGCTTGGGCATCGTGCAGACTTGAGGGGGGCCAGGCGAACGACGATAGTCTACTGGAGACACGGGTCCCATCATCGAAGTAAAGGGAGACAGGGCGCCAGGCGTTCCAAGTGCCGAGAGCGACGGGTTGCCAAATTGCTGCTCCATGAGTGGAGGCAGCTGATTGTGGATGCCTGCAGAAGAATGGGGCAAACGGTTGTCGTGACCAGTCGCGGTGCTTTGAGACGACATTGACTGCGACTTAGCCATGGGACGAGGCATCATAGATTCCATCGTGTCCCAGTGGGTCTGGGATTGCATTTGGGGAAGAGTCATGGAACCGGCTTGAGCGTACGAGGGCTCGGCCAAGATGGGCTCGGGCATAGATCCTTGTGTGGACATGGCGGCCTTCTGTTGGAAGTTGGTCATCAGCATGGCAGCTTCTTCGACGCCGAAAAGACCGTCATCAGCACTCATCTGCTCGATGGTCGCTTGCTCCATGCCCATAGGGAGTTTGGGTGGAAGGGCTTCCGGCGACTGTTTAGACGCGTTACTCCTTCGCTTAGTGTCGCTTTGCAGCGGCACACCTCCATCCCTTGCGTGTACAGTACGGTCGTGGCGTAGGAGAAGATCGCGACGCACAAAGGTGCTACGGCACTTGAGGCATTTGAAGGGGCGTTCCTTGGTATCTAGAGAGAATGGTCAGCGGTTGGTTCGGAGTGCGGGGGCGAGCCAACTTACGCGATCTTTCGTGTCTGCTGCGATGCTCACTTCTGCTNNAAAAGCGCGATTGCAAAACTGGCACTTGTATTTCTTTTCGGGCGCAGAGGCTGAAGACTTGCGGCTGATGGTGGGCGAGGCCGAGCCGGCGGCCGGTAGAAGAGTGGTAGAAGATGAGGCAGCAGGCATGGCTGATGGAGGGGCGGATGGTCGGAGTTCAAGAAAGAAGTGGTGGCGGGCGAGGTGAAGATGTTGAATGCTTCGGGCTATGTCCAGACAACAGAGGCCGACCAGCGCGTAGGGATTAAGTCTTGATAAACTGGGTCTGATTGTAATGATTATGTTGCATGGGCGATATTATGCTGCTCATTGAACGTGGGATTGCGACGATGCCCTTTCAGACGTCTCGACGCAGGATACAGGACAGTGAGGCCAGGCAAATGGTGGCAGGTGGGGGGGATGGGAGGGGGAAGAGAGGGGCACGAGGCAAGAGCGAAGCAGAGATCAGTATGATGTGAGAAGGAAGGAACGAGGGAAAGAACTCAAAAATGGGAAGAGCCAGAAAAGACAAGTGAGAGAAGGCGCGAACAACGCGGGGCAGGCGCACCTCACAACCCTGGCTCTGGATCCGAGTCCGAGCGCTGTCATAAACTAGCAACTAATCATCACCACGCCTGTGGCTGATTTCCTGTTTGGTTTCTTGCAAGTCGCAACTTGCTTGTCGCCTGTCATCCCTTTGACTGCGCATTCTTGCCATTTGTTCCAAGCTCTCGCCTCCTCCGAGTCTATCTGACCATTCAAGCCCAGTCGCCAGCACGTTGACAGCGAAACGAAACGTTGTTCAGCGCCTTCTCGTCATGACTGGCTTGTACGCACGCGACGTCCGTCAAATCAACACCTCTCGTTTGCCAAACAGCACGAGAATCCGTCCCGTCTCCGTCTGATATCTCGACTAATTAGCGATGCCTCTATATTAACTGAACAACTACCATCCTGTGTCGCTGTAAGACTGTCAGATTTGCCACTTCGCCATCAAATGCAGCTTTCTCCAACTACAGTCCAAAGACAACTCATCATGCGCACCCAATTTCCATGCGCACTTGAGCCACTGCGAGTCTGTGCAAGGCGCCACGTTATGCATGTAGCCGGACGCCGATGTATCTTCTATTCCTAACCCAGCCCCCTTATCTTCTCATCACCGCGACTGGCCAACAGAGAGACTGATCCCTTTGTCGACTCGGGAAGCCGAGCTTCAAACTCCGTCATGATCTTTGCATCGCTTGATGTGTCGTGTTTGGACGATCTTCAAGCTGCATGACCCTCTCCGTATTTGGTCACGATCAAATTACTTGTTCCTGGCATCGCGCATCTCGCAGAATTATCGATGGCCTAACCCGGGCTAAGGCATAGGAACCTTGATCCGACAGCTATCTTGGGTGCCAGCGAACTTTCCGAGTCCCAACTTTTTGGGACGAATCTGATCATCATGTTTTGCTTTTTCTGATGATTTCTGATTGACAACTCCACCGAAGCTCGGTTTTCGTTCTCGAAACTCTCAACTTATGATTCAGCTGCTTGTTTGGTATACTCTGCATGATATGACAGCTTCAGAATGTTCCTTCAGCACGTGGTCCTACATACCCGGCATGAGCATGTGCTCAAACACCATCCTGGAGGGGATCGGAGAGAACGAAAAGGTGCGCGGGTCGGGCCATCTGAATGCCCCACATCGCTCCCAGCGGATGTTATCATCCGTTTGCACACCGGCGCTCACCCCTCGCTCGCCGCGAACCGGGATGCTTAGCGCGTCGACTCTTGAATTTCTTTGAATTCTCGACGACGAATTTTGATCAGAGATTTCAGTTGCAAAAGCTAGCTGCGAGTCAGATGGTCAACTCAACGGACATCTCATGGAAACATCTTTCGCGAAGCGAGTCTGGGCGACAATCTTTGTCCTACAGAATTGGAAAGGGGTTGACCCTACATCATTGATAAGTATACCACTGCTGTTTCATTTTAAGTCTTGGGCGGGAAGCCTGTAGCAGTCCCCCAGTATTGGGAGCTGGGACATTGACCCAATTTCGACAAGACCTTGCCGCCCATCTTGACCGGGGTATTGGTCCAGAGATGGGTCTAGGGGAAGCGTAGGCTCATGGACTCGTCTCCTCCAGCTCGAACATAGCTCGGCATTGACGAAGCTTGTTCGACACGAGACGCGTATCCAATTAGTGATTTGCCAACTCATAGTCGCCCTCTGACCTCGCGACGGGTCGTTAATTGAGACTGGCGTTAGCACGGGTTGTCCGGGTCGCTGCGTCAAGGTTCGTAATTCGGATGGCCACTTCTGATCACTCACTCACGATAGTGATCGATCGGTCCAAACAGATTTTGCCCATTGCAGCGTATCAGAATGCTTTAACAAAGGGATGGACGTTGAATTGACGTGCCTGCAGAATCGTTCTTCAGCTTCTAGACTCGACCCTGAACAAGGACGCGGTACGTGTAGTTACCATCGCAGCAGAAGTACACGTATACCTCGCGACTTGCGTTCAACTAGTGCATCGGGCTTGCAGTGGATCTTGCCGCGAGGACGATGTGTGATATCGTCTTCTCGACAAAACATGCATCTTTATCTAAGATGGATATCTAGTGGAAGTGCTATTCTTTTCATATATCCCGGTGTATAAACAACTGGAAAATGGGTTGGTACGACCAGTTCCCAGAACGTTTCTTGGTCGACATGATCGCACAAGGCTCTCCGGAGGGCGATACGGCTTACAAACGCAGGTATCCTTCGATCGATTGTACACTGCTCTAGCTGCTTATTTCTGTACTACACACAAGCAGCAAGTGCTCCAAGCATAGAGGATCACATGAAAGCCCGATATGCATTACGGACAACTCGGAAGCTTGCGATCGTAAGTATATGGGTATCTTAGGTAAGTTGTTGTGTTCGGATGTACACCGTCAATATTCTCCGTGACTTGAATCCATCACAATGCACCTCAAGCCAGAAATCGTGTCGTCTAAGTTATCCTGCATGATGTGGCAGCAAGTCACAAAACAGGGCCGAAGAGACTGCTGCATTGTTGACAGACTGATTGACAGCGGGAGAGCTAGTTGCAGCGGAGGGTGGTTGTTCGAATAGGGGTCGATTATCGGCTCAGGCGGTGGGAAGTGTACATCAAGTAAGGGCAGGGTGGTACTGACAGATCGTAATGGAGGCCGATGGACCAAGTATTCGATCAGTGAAAAAAGATGCAATTCCCGTCATCAGGAAATCGGAGTCGATTTGGCGGCTCGAGATGATCTCACCTACCAGATATAAGCGCTTTACTGACTGCAGTTGTGTCTTGCGACGGAAGATTGCACATTGTGGGTGCCGAAAATGTTGTGCGATCGAATCCAGCCAAGGTACATGCAAGGTGCATGATTGGACATGGCGGTGCAGAGAGGGGCAGGAGTCGCAGGACACTGGTGGACTGGATGCACGAGGCGCGTCAAGGGCCACGTGAGATTCGAGATTGGTAGATCATAGGATCATACACGTAGAGAGAGGGAGAAACGGCATCGACCAACGACCATGCAGACACCGGAGGCAGATTGGACATTGGGCAATGCAAAATTAATAAGTTACTACGAACTGGAATGAACAAGGCCAGTTGAAGCCTCGCCCATCTGAGCTCTGGGCAGAGAGTGGCTATCTCCGACGGAAGAGGTAGATATCAACTCTTTGGCATAGCTGGCTCCTTATCCGGCTACTACTCCATGGATGTGCCAATATCGAGAGTACCGATACAAGTCAGGTAGAGAGCCACGAGCGGTTAGAAGCCAGCCATTCATGGGTTTGCGATGGTGCAGTAAGGAAGAGAAAGGAAGAGAGTGGATAGGCCAACAATAGATAGAAAGTGGCATTGAGGGTCAGCAGATGCAATGTCAAAACCGTATGCTTGTGGATAGGCGAGGGCCAGAGACAGGCTGGAAAACAGACAGTGTTTGGTTGTTGTGTTTTCATGTTTCATTCCTGGAGCTGAGAGTGGTTGTCGTTTGTAGAATACAGCACGAGCGGGCGTTGGTGTCAGACCGTCTTGACAAGGGCGGGCGCATATCGATTCAGCCAAAACACTCGCCCAAAGCGTAACTGGGACCCTTGGATGTGCATCTTGACGCAGCCTTTACTGTGCTCTCACACCGCCCGCTACCTACGTATCACCCATTCTTACTGCAGTCACTCTTTGCGCCCTCGTCGCCCTCGACCCGTCACTGCTGCTTGCCGAAGGATCGTTGGTTTTCCTTCACTGAAGTCTCACCTTCGACCCCTCGCACCAGCCCCAGCCTCGACCGATTTCACTCCGCGCCGATCTCCACGACAACATCGAGACAACTCCGTAACACGCTCGTCGACGTCCACGTCCTCTTTCGCTTGCAGGCTTCGACCGGTCGGCCAGAGGTGCCGATTTTGACAGATCGCGAGACGCCGTAGGGCGTGTTCACCCGACGAATGTCAACATGAATGGCCTGGCATCCTCCCCAATGGGCACCATGTATGTGCGTGCACTCTACGACTACGACGCCGATGATCGCACCAGCTTGAGCTTCCGTCAAGGCGACATCATCCAGGTCATCACTCAACTCGAGAGCGGCTGGTGGGATGGCATTATTCGTGGCGTGCGAGGATGGTTTCCTAGCAATTACTGCGAGCTCATTGTCCAGCCAGGCGATGTTTCTGCTCAGCCTGTCCGCATATCGGATCCGCATACTCATGCCCAGCCTCACGCACGCAATCACCTTGACGATGTGNCCCCCGAGTCTTCTTATCGCCATACAGACACTGCGCAGGATAGTCAGGAAGAGGCTGCATTCTGGATACCACAGGCCACGCCCGATGGCCGCCTCTTCTACTTTAACACCTTGACCGGTGTCAGTACAATGGAGTTGCCACTGGAGAACCCGACACAACACGCCGAACCAGGTCCTCATGATCGATACCATGTTCTCCAGCACGACCAGTCCCGTCCTCCGCCCGAGATGCTTGCACGCGGTTACGAGCGTGCCGAGTCTGAAGCCGACTACGAATCTGCGAGTGAAGCCGACATGACGCGTTCGGGCACTTCTTTGGTAAGTCTCGTATGTAGCTGAGACAAAGAAANNGCTTCCCTAACCTCTACTTCCTTCCAGCGAAATCGGGGCTCGTACGTCTCAAACCCTCTCTCTCCTGCGACTTCGTCCGAGTCGCTCAGAAACACTTCTCCTCTCACCAGATCACGCACCAATGTCGCCGATTCGTCCCACTCAAGCTACGCCAACCACTCCAACATGTCCAACGGCACCGCTATGACGTCCTTCATCAACAGCCCCGCTACACCTGCACAAGAAAAAGATCTGGTGATTTCACGTCGTTGCTTCGATGACTCTCAGACTGTTCTGCTTACCTGGAATACTCTCGTCGAGGACATGCGCCGAGCCGTCCAACGTTATCGAGAGGCAATCGACAACAGCAACAAGAGCGAGTTTGTAAAGAGAGCAGAGGATATTTCGGACCACCTTCGTCTTTTGCTTGCAGCAGGCTCCGGCACCACCGACAACCACTCTGGCAACCCTTCAATCATCTCGACCAACAAAGCCTTGTATCCTCATTTCAGAGAAATGATGTCGAGCTTCTCCAAGCTTGTTCTGTCCTCTCATTTCGCGGCCGCAGACTTTACTACCCCGGACTCGTATTCCAAGTGCTTGCAGGAGGCCGAAGGCTTGTTGCATGGTGTTTATGGTTATGTTGAAGTCGCGCGCCAGCAGCGTGGTGAAGAGATCCCGCGCCTTACGCCTGGCTTTGTGTCGGGTATTCGTTCGGGTGGAAGTTGGCAGAACAATGGTCTGGTTCTTGGTGATCCATCTGCCGCGTCACAGCCCTTCCTACAGCAGGACATGGATACATTCATCGAGCCTACTGCTCATCTTGACCAGACTTTGCTGGAACGTATGGACGACATGAGAAAGAATGTCTCCATTAGCATACGTCGTTTGGACAAGCATCTCGCCTTTGAGGATAAACTGGTCACGCCTAAGAAGCACAAGAAGGTCAGCCAGTTGATTTCCGAAGATGCTAGTCGAGTCATTGAGGCATGTCGACCATATTCCGCCGTTGTCGAGAGTATCAACTTGGCACCACTTGGATCAACTTTCAGGAATCCCCAAATCATTGATTTCCNNAGTACACAGAAGCAAAAGTTCTATGACAACTCTTCAGAATTGGTGGTCGCCTGTCAGACCGTGGCCAGTCCTTTGAGTGACGAGTGGTCTGATAACAGAGGCAGTTCGCTCGAGGAGCGCATAACTCATGTCAAGCTTGTAGCACGTGAGCTCGACAATTCCGCCAGCCAGTTGCAGTTCTCCCTTCAACTGCTCGCGGAGATGATGCCTCAGGATTCAGCTGCCATGCCGAGTGAAGACCAGCGCCACTCTGAAAACGCCTACTCTGAAGAGTCTCGCGGAGGATCAACTTTGAGGGGTAAGCCCAATGGCCTGGGTCCTGCAAAGAGCTTCGTGGAAGGTCCCGAGCCAACTGTTGAGACACCACGTCTTGCTGACAACTCGAAACTGAAGCGCTTCTTTGGCGAAGTGCCCGCGCCGATACAACAACAAGAGGATGTTCCAGACTTCCTCAAGCTCGATCATGAAGGTGAAATTGCTTACGATACCAAGGTGCATCCTCCTCAACTGCGTGGTGGCACACTGACTGGTCTGGTTGAACAATTGACGCGACACGATCGCCTGGACTCGCCATTCAACAACACATTCTTACTGACATATCGATCCTTCACGACTGCTAGTGAACTGTTTGAAATCTTGGTCAAAAGATGGAATGTACAGCCTCCTTACGGTTTGAACCCTCTCGACCTCGAGACTTGGGTCAACAAGAAGCAAAAGCCTATCAGATTCCGTGTAGTCAACATTCTGAAGAGTTGGTTCGACAATTACTGGATGGAGGAGAACAGTGATACGAATCAACAGCTCATGCACAGAGTTTACTCGTTCGCAAAAGAAACGGTTGCATCTGGCAGCACTCCAGGTTCCGGCCCTCTGATGACAGCCATCGAGCAGAGAATGCGTGGACAAGATGCCCCTGGCAAACGCTTGGTCTTGACACTGAATTCTGAGAGAACACCTACACCGATCATCCCGAAGAATATCAGGAAGTTGAAGTTCCTTGATATCGATGCTCTCGAATTCGCTAGACAGCTCACTATCATCGAGTGCAGACTGTATTGCAAGATCAAGCCTACTGAATGCTTGAACAAGACATGGCAGAAGAAGCTCCAACCTAACGAGCCTGATCCGGCTGCTAATGTCAAGGCTTTGATTCTGCACTCAAATCAGCTCACCAACTGGGTTGCCCAGATGATTTTGACTCAAGCCGATGTCAAGAGACGTGTGATAGTCATCAAACATTTCGTGGCAGTTGCAGATGTAAGCTTATACCCATCATTGTAGGAATCATTTTCACAGCTAATGTTTTACAGANAATGCCGCCAACTCAACAACTATTCTACACTCACATCAATCATTTCAGCGTTGGGCACAGCGCCCATTCACCGTCTGGGTCGCACTTGGGCCCAGGTTAACCAGAAGACTCAAGCGACTCTAGAAGTTATGAGGAAGCTGATGGGAAGCACCAAGAACTTCTCGGACTACAGAGAAACATTGCACAAGGCCAACNCCCCATGCATTCCGTTCTTTGGTACGTCAAGGATTGTCGAACGATACTAGACTAGGACTGACATGATGACAGGTGTTTACTTGACTGACCTTACTTTCATCGAGGATGGTATCCCTTCGGTCATCAAGAAGACGAACCTCATCAATTTCGCCAAGCGTAGTAAGACTGCAGAGGTCATTCGTGATATTCAACAATATCAAAACGTCCCCTATCCTCTGCAGCCTGTTCCGGAGCTCCAAGAGTACATTCTCACGAATATGCAAACGGCAGGCGATGTGCATGAGATGTACGATCGCAGCTTGGCAGTTGAACCCAGAGAGAGGGAAGATGAAAAGATTGCCCGGTAAGTCATGCTGACACTTGCGAAGACGAGCATTACGCTGAGTCGAAACAGATTACTCTCCGAATCGGGATTCTTGTGAGCTACCCCAAGAATTGGTCAAGCTCTGTGCGAGAAAACAGACGCGTTGACCTCTGTATCGAAAGTTGAGATCCAGCATCTCACTCAATATTATTACTACGACCAAAGACTGGTGCCGAGCATCAGCATGTCTTAATCAATGACACATTATCGCCCGAGGGGCAATGAAAGTTCGAAGAGTGCTTCAAAAGAACAGATCCGCATGTGCGTCCTACTGAAACCGCTGTTGCAAACGTGTCCAGCGGCAGCAGGAGATGAGGAATTTTCATTCTGGAAGCTGGATCAAACGTCAAAAGATAGGAGGGTGTTTTTCCGGCGTTGGCGCGTTCGAGGTGCTGGCAGGGATAAGTCAGGCACGGGAAATGAGTTACGGACGATTCTTGTCTACTGTTTTTTTCTTCATATCTGGATCAGTGCGGAGTTGCATGTGGTGCGTGATGGGTTCACAGACAGCAAGGCAGACTGAAGATGAAGAAAGAAGGGAGAATATATGGAACATAAATGTTCGACAGATGACAAACCTCACTGCACCGGGCTGCATTCAAGAGGGGCTGCTATTGCATTGGTTGATTAGGTCCGTATAAATGTCTCCCTTTGTTCTCCTTGCTTTGGCCAATTGTTCTGTAGCAGAGGGTTACACAGTAATAGGCTGAGACATGCATGCTTCCTGCATGCTGGGTCGGCAGTACAACACAAGACCCTTTCTCCCCGCTACCCGTTCAGCAGCAAACAGCTACGACTCGACTTACCCCTATGGGTCAAGTGCGGTAAGGCAAAGCTCAGAGTCATCTGGTCCAGCCACTAGAAAGCTAGGAAGTGTTCCTTGTAGAGGGGTGACAGCGCGGAACAAGCCCTTGGAGGGGTGGCTGTCAAAAAGTCTCCAGAGTTCGTCTACTTGTGCAGTCGTCCTTGCCTTTTCGTGAGGTCACGCAAAGCCTTCGAGAACTAAGGATGGCAGGAAAGTACGGTAGACGGACTCGTCATCAAGCATGAGCACACTACAAATCGTCACTTCCTCCCAAGTATGAAAATGGTTGTTGGGTTCTCACTCACTCATGCACGACCTACGCTTCGTCTTCTTTCCACACTTTGATTTATCGCAACACCGAACATCTTTCCAGCTGTCGTCAACATGCAGCTATTCTTTCTTTTACCCAGTGTTCTCTTAGGATGGACCATCATGGCTGGTCTTGCCTGGGCAGTCCGTGAGTTTGCCAATTTCATCTATGGTACTGCTCGCATGCACCTTGAACTACACATTAATGTTCATAGCCAGCGGCACGCCTTCTGCATATCTTTGCGGTCTTCGCTAACTCTTGTGCCNTGAACTTAGACGTCGGACATCCTAAATGCGAGTGTGGCTATACAGTTAACGCCACGAATGGATCGAGTCCTTTCGCTCTCTTCACCGATTTCCTAGAAACAGACTTTCTACACCTATACAACCTACCAGACAGCATCGATATACCTGCCTCAGAAGCTGTGGGCTGGGCTGTACAAACCTACAACGTCTCTCCATCAGCCGCTAGAGGACCTTACGGCAAAGCAGCTGAGATTGATAATGTCATCCTGAATCCGCTCCCTTCACGCAAAGACTGGGGCGGCAATGGAACACTAGGCGGCGCGCCCGGGCTGCAAGTCTGGGTCAGAAGTCAACAGGATCTGCTGGGCTCGACCGGAGACCAGATGGTTCGCTCTGGAGAGATCGACAGTTTGCGTCGAGATATGCGTTACGGGAGCTTCAGGGTTGGTATGAAGATGAGTGATGTCGCGGGCAGCTGCGCTGCCTTCTTCTGGGTGAGTACACAGTCGGGCTGATGGGTAGAGTACATCACTAACACAGTTCGCAGTNATCGCAACGACTCGCAAGAGATTGACATGGAATATCTGAGTCGTCAGGCCATCTATGAGAACAGCACCGGATCGTATCCAATCAATCTTGTCATACAATCGCCAGCCTCTGCTGATGCAAACTACAACGCCATCAACACCAGCACCTTCCGCGTCCAGCATTTGCCCTTCAAGCCTAGTGATGGCTACCACGAATACCGATTCGACTGGACACCAGAGCGGATCGTCTTCTTCGCCGATGGCAATCCCTTACAAGAGTTCGAAAACACCTTCGATGGCGACGCTCCTGACGCTCCAGGAACTCTGATGCTCAACCACTGGTCAACAGGCAATGCTGGTTGGAGTGGAGGACCACCAGCTCAGGACGCCGTTCTGACGCTCAGTTATGTCAAGGCCTACTTCAACTCGAGCAACGTGACACGAGAGAATGAGTGGAATAATGCCTGCACAGGAGGTCGTGATCTGTCTGATCGAACATGTCAGATCCCGGATTTTCCGGCTCAAGGGATTGATCCTCAACGCACGGGACTGAAGGATCCGGGCAAGACCAAATTCTTCGTGTATGACAACTATGTCAATGTCAATCAGACAATATACCCAGCCGCAACAGGAAAGCCCAGTTCGAGCGGTACAGCCTTGACATCACATACACCTGCGACATGGACGTTACTGGGTTGGACAGCGATGTTCTGTCTGTTCCTGCTTGGTGGTTGAACGAAAGAGCTTATGATCGTTGAGATTGCTGTTGTTCCTAGTATTATAGCCTTTTCATAGCTTTGGGTTGGCTCTATTGAATTCTTCAAACCATTACCGCAGTGATTCTGAACACACGAAGGTGTTTCTTGCTTTCGAAAGAGCTTTATTACCATTGTCCTGAAGAACAAGACAGAGCATAAGGTGACACAGCTACAAGCAGGAAAGAGGAAGAGAACAAGCAATGAGTTTTGACGTGTTTTTGGTATATTGGCATACGAAGAGGAAGAGAAAAGTGGACATGTCTATATGCAATATCGCAGTTTATGTTATGGTGAACCAATCATTCTTTCAACAACAAACACCGGGCGGACGAAGAAGGGTATTAGTGTGTACACAGAGACAGCGTACAGAGGAGTTTTGAGATGAAGGGTTTATCGCGTGAGCCCCAGATGAAACAGAAGGACGAACTCCATGCATGCTATGAAAAACGAAGAAGGTTTGGCGGGGGGGACGAGATATGCGCGAAAGTGGTGAAGTTGTTCTTGGGGAGCGCAGGTTGTGTTCGTCCAGATATGGGACGGGTAGGTGGCCTGATGACACAAAGCCATGAGTCGAAGGAGTCGAAGGATTTGGTACGACAGATGTCAAAATCCGAGCGCGTGTCATGATCAACACCCACGCGACAGCGACAGCGATTGGAGAATTAAGGCGAGCAGCTTGGTGACGTGCGTCGATCTACAGCAACACAACGCCCATGCCAGCAGCGACACCAGCCATACCTAAACACACTGTGAACAGCGAGCCCTGAGGCATAACTGATGCTCCAGCACCAGTTGCGGCCTTTGCGATACCGATCTCGCCTGTAATCGTGCCCATACCGATCTCACCGGCGCCGGCGGTGGTCAATTGTCCGGGAGCGGACACGAAGGTCTGGGTATAGAAGACCTCGGACCAAATCTCTGTGCTCAGGGCTGAGTCCCAGTGGTCGGCGATCCAGTAGTCTTGCGTAGCGGGCACTTGTGTTGCTGCTTTTGTGGCTAGGAGGTTGGGGTCTTGACGGAGTNNCTGTTTTTGTTTTGTTAGTACTGAGGTTGGAGCTGAGGCAGAGAGTAGGAGTACGCACTCTAGTACTACATTTGAGGCTTCTGCGTTCCAGGCATCGCCGGGGGCTACTGTTTGTGTGGGCAGTGATGCAGTGCTTTGGCTCTCGGGTGCGGCGGTGACCAGCGGCGTGTCCTGGACTTGTTGTTGTTGTTGAGGTGCAGCGAGGGCCAGCAGCGGTGCAGCGGCCAGTGTGATAAATGTCGAGAAGCGCATCTTGTCAATATGTGCGAGTGCTTTGCTGGTGAGCCTAGCTTAGGATGATATGGAGAGTGTGAGTTTCCAGGAAGCGGGCAGCAAAAGAGATAATATCCAGTAAGGCCGGGAAGACGGCGCCAAGGTGAAGCAAAAGGTGGCTTAGAAAAGCGTTGTTATTTCTATATCGATCCCGGATGTAAAACGGTCTTTTCTGCAATCAATGCTTCGCCCAGATTATGTTGTGGTAAACGATTGTGGACGTGGGGTGTCTGTGTTTGGAGAGGGAGAGAAGAGAGAAAGAGGAACACACAGGGCAGGCAGATTACAATAGCAGAAAGGCCGAGAGAGGCGCAGAAAATCAAGGATAGCGCGATATGTCGGCTGGATGGGGTTGGGGATACGGCCAGCAATCACGAACTCATTTGCGCGTCTGCATCCACCGTTCCGGCCAGCCTGGCCGTCCATGTCTTTGCTCTGCTTACTCTGCAGCTTCCCTCTGTTTCGCACTCTACACATGTCCACCAGCACTGCGCAGTCTCTCCTTGTCGTCGCTGCTTCATGCATCCAGGGCTGTCAACCATGTTTCAGAAACAGTCTGTATATTGCCTGACTCGGCCGCGATCTGCACGAATTTGTGCTAAGGTTCACCGAAAGCTTGCTTAAGCTTCCTTGGCTCCCTCTAGCCGTTGCGGTCGGACTGCCCTCGGCCTTCTGATGAAACACTTCTTTGTGCTTGTTGTTTATCTCTCATACATAAGTGCCATGACCACCTACTCTTCTACCCCTGTAAGCACCACAATTGAATCATGTACGCTCAAGAGAAAGGTGATAGGCATCATGACATGGGAATTTCCTCAGTGCTATCGTGTTGGTGGCTTATCTCACCAAAGTCGCATGAGCCTTCGGATCAATCTGTGCCGGACTTTGGCTCAACAACATATGCCGATTTTGTGCGGTCTTCGTATGCGATCTGCACTCATCTCCGTAGCACGGCAGGGGGAAACCCATGTTCGCACAAAAGTCGACCCTGGATCTCCTTCCCTCTTCCAAAAGAAATCACCATCAACAAACACGGACATCAACTCCCTTTGCCCCTATGCATAACGCTCTGTCGATGCTCATAACACTTACCAAAACTTCCTTCCAAGCTTCTATCATGTACCGTTATCGCCGTTTGCAGTGCCCATTCGTCATGCTCGTAAACCGTCGCACCTTTGGCTTTCATGCATAATCTGCCGTGATCTTGTACCTGAGTATTTCTTGACGACGCGTGTGGAGAGCCGCTTCCGCAATCAGATTCGTTCGTTGACGGTCCTTTTCGACCAACTTTCAAAACACAACTCTTTTAGACATTTTTCAACAATCAAGAGCTCTCGCGAGGTAGGTAGCAGTTAGGAGTTTGCAATGGCAAGAGAGAGATAGTAGGTTACCTGTCTTCGCAATCCCAACGTTATCAACATCCTGCGTCTTGACCAAGATTAGCATCGAACCTACAGAAAAACGGAATCCAGTCGTCATGTCTTGTCATGATCTCCTATGCCCATCTAGTCACTGACAGTACCGCTATTCAGATGGCCATCTCTGTCTTCCTGAGTTTGGATCAAAGTTTGAGAAAGAGGGATTGAAGATCTTGTCAGGGTCACTGGCTTACCAATGCTGGGATTGAAAAAGAAAAAGAAAAAAGCAGCATCACAGCCTAGCAGCTGTATCGTCTCTAGATCAGTATTGCAGGAGAGAAGCAGAGAAGCAAGATTTATGTGAGTCACAAAGATGGGTTATTCTTTTCACGAACATATTCAGCAGCTTCTAGCAGAATGTCTGAATCTGTGTTGGAGAGCATCACAAGACAGCGCGAGGTAGAGCTAGGATATTCTCGACCAGAAATTGGTGCCTTGCTGCAGGATCAAATGGGTGTTTGAAATCAAGTGAGAAAGAGTGTCAGGTGTTGCAGTCTCAGGCACCAGGACAGCGCACAGTTTTGTTTATCAACACCAATTTTTTTTTGAACCTCGTCCACAAACGCAACAACAAACATACTGATACATCGGCCACAAAATTACTCAACGCGAACAAAGATGTATAGCCTGGTAAGTCTCAGTGTCTGCTGCCATCCAGGATGGTGATGCTGATCTTCAAAATATAGCTGATGTGTATCACTCTGATGGTTGGCATGAATGTCGCTATGCCTCTCGCCATTGAGTTCCCAAGCATCACTCTTGATCTCAGTGCTACATCTTCATCTGCTATCTTCAACAATACGATGCTACCCACTGCCTCTTCCTCCATCTTGACCACGACCATAACCACAACCATCACTATCGAGCCCACCCTCTTTGCATCAGTCACCCCGGCCAACAACAGCACAAACAGTAGCCTCGGAGCCTGCGGTCCTGGCATCGGCGCCTGTCCCTCTGGTCTCTGTTGCAGGTAAACACCACCCTGATTCTTACATTATGTTCTCATTTGACAAAGCCACAGTGGATATGGATATTGTGGTTCAAACTCCAGCTACTGCGGCACAAACTGCATGTCCAACTTTGGCGTCTGCGACTTCAATGCTTCTCAGCCCTACTACAACATCTCATACGCTCCTCTCAGCACATCGATCTCCTCAAGCGATGGCACTGGAGCTGCTGGTATTGTTACCGATGACTTCGATCAAGCTGCTTCTTCGACCACCATGTTCAGCTATGCTCCTGAGAGCAGTGGAACGTCGATGGCCACTGCTTCAGCAACTGCGACTGAGATATCGTTCGTGCCGTTGAGCACTACCTATGCAGCTGTCGAGTCAACCTGGGCTGCTAGAAGCTACGCAGAGGCTCCTACGACTACCATCACTGTCTTGAAAGAGGTTGAACGTTGAAACTCGGGCTGTTTACTTGCAAGTCCAGCTGCCCAGTATTGAAGTAAAGACCAGGCACTTCTATTTGCCGAAGAGAGGATTAGTTCATAACTCACCGGGTCTCCCAGTCTTGTCGTATTCAAGTTGATTCAATCAACAAGGCTGTCGACTGCATCTTTGGGGTCATTGACCTGGTTCCTCTGCATCTGAGCTTTATCGTTTTCTTCAGCGTGTAGTATGGTATTGGTTGTTTTTTTTCTCAAGAAAGTACATATCTTGAAAGCTTTATTTATGATTTTCATGACTAGACGGGTTGTCGTTCAGGGGGGAGGCACATGAGTAACATTGTCTTTGCGGCATACAACGCTCCTGTGGATTGAACACTATCATACCAACTCGTGGTTCTGTGTCATTCTCATGTACATAAAGTAAAAGTTTCTTACATAACTGGACAAATGAATGGCCTGTGGCTCAAAACCTAAGATCGCTCAATGCAAGCAATCAAGCATGTAACCAAAACCAAGACAAAGATACTGACAACCAGCTGAGTCGCACTGGTGTGAGATAGCATATCGGCACAGTGATCATCAAGTCGGCGAGTGTCTATGTTGAGAGTATTTATCGTCCATTGCCTTCTCTGTATCGCATCGACGAATGGATACGAAGTAGTAGCGTACATTCGTGATGTCAAGTGGTATGGGTGACGCAAGTCACAATGCCAAAGGTGTGAGTGAATCAAACGGACGAGAATTTGATCATGCAGACTAGGAGTTATACCCAGCAAGCCGAGGAAGGAGTCATCCCACGTGTGTACGTTCTTGGAAGCAGTCCAGTGCAGTACAACTGCTTGGTTTCCGAATCAGAATTGTCGACATACTGATGGCTTAATAACCTTTAATCTTTGGAGAGCAATGTGTGTCTCTGTAGTCAAACAAAGAGGCTTGGATGCATGGATGAGGCTGTCAGATTTCAGTGTCTCGTGATGTATAAAGTTCTGACTATATGCTTTATCTTGCTCAAGTTTCAATGAAGAGGGAAAGCCCGTGACTCACGACACCTTTTGCATCATATGATACAACTGTCAGGGGGAAGGAACGATGGTGCACATCTTGTAACACTTTCCAAGCCGGCACATCAACAACCGTCCCAGCAACACCAACACATCAACACCGAGCTCACCTTCTTCAACAGCTCTTATCTACATCATGACAGCGATTCCAGATTCTCAGCCTCAAGTGCGCGAGCAGCTAAGCGACAAAGACAACACCGTCATGTGTGGAGCAGGCTACGCTCTGGTGACTGTACTCCTGCTATGGCTCGACTGGAGTGGCCTACCTACAGATACTTCTTTCGATAGTGCCACTCGCTGGATCGGCAGCTTCTGCCTCCTCATTGCGTGTCTCGTACTGCTTGGCTTCAATGTCGCAGCCCTCGGCAAGGCCACGCTGCCTGACGACCATGACAAAGGCACGTCTCGGGCTTTTACTGGTGCCCTGGTTACTATACTCGTAGCAATCGGATACGCATTACTTTCGCACTGCCTAGACGACAAGATATTCCTCTACAAGCTCTTCTGGGTACAAGTCCCTACGCTACCTGGAGCATACATCGCAGCCAAATTTCTAGGCAAGGAGATGGACGGCAGAAGAGAGCTCAAGACTCTATGCGGGTACGGATTGGTCGATCTGCTGTTATGGATCTACCTGCACAACATGGACGGAAGAACCAACCCACAGACTGAGGATGAGCTATGGGCTTTCATGGGGTTTCTCCTAGGGCTGTTCGTGCTTCTCATCGCCAACCTCGTCTTGCTCATCATGAACCTGGAGAACGTTGTCGAGGCTCGTGTTGAGGAGATTCCCAATGGCAGAGTCCTGATCACTCTCGGTGCTTTTATCGGCATCGGTATCATGATACTCGGCGTTATGGTACCCCTTGAGCTGGCATTCCATATCCTGGATGGCAAGCACTGGATGTACCAGATCCTTCTGGCGGTTCAGGGTGCACTGCCAGGTGCATATCTCATTGGAGGTTCCGCATGGTTGGCCAAGGCTTATGCAGGTCAGAAGTCTGAATACTCGACAATCTATACAGAAGAAGGTCAACCATAATATACGTTTGGGGCAGAGAAATGGAGTGTTCAACGAGGGGTCATACATTCTTTGAATTTCAAAGTCGAGGGCAGCTGCAGTCCTGCCATGCATCATTTCTTATGACTACGACAAGTCGGAACAGGAAGCGAATCAGAGCGCTGTCATTCGTAATTGTTCAGCAGGTGTTTTCAGAAGCAATACATAATCGTCCCCAGCCACTCATGAATAGATACCAAGAAGCAAATTTCACCACGAAGTCTTGTAGAGCCACACCAGGTGGATCAGAGAGCAAGTCACATTCTTGAGTAGCAGAACTAGCATAAAGCACCAAGCGCGGAATCACTCCATCTGCATCGACGTGTCGAGACCAGGGCTATGCAATCGTGTTTCTGCAATGCCACCCTCAATGCGAGGCCAGTTTCCGGCAGTCCGCAGAGCAAGTTCGAGATCGAAAGCTGGATCAAACCAGCGTTCTCGTCGGGTGAGTTGACGCTGGCCGCCTTCCAGTGCGCTGCGAGCAGCTCGTGTTGTTCGAGCTCGTTTACCCCCTGCGCCGCCACCACTTGTTGATCCCTGACTGCTACCCTGCAGTTTATCTCGGTGCGTTTCTAGAGCGAGGTCATATGCAGCGATGCTGCGGACAAATGGTGCGACATCGGTAACCACGGTCTGAAGAGGGCCATCGAACACGGAATAAGCCATACTCGGCGGACCGCTTGTCGGAGTAGTCATCATGGAGGCTATCGTGTCGAAGGCTGCCGAAATGTCTCCACGAGTGAGTTGAGTTGCTTTGTTATTTGGAGAGTGAGTCTCGACCACACGCCTCACTAGACTTGACGGAGGAGAGTTCACAAGACCAGAGAAGACCTTGCGTGCGAGACGCGAAGCAGAAACCGCGAGTTGGGTGTCAAGGGTACTATAGTCAACAAGTTCTGGTGTCTGAAGCAGCGCCATGCCATTGATGTAACTCGCACGGGCTTTGAGTGGTAGCTCGGGCTGAGTCGCATCAGTCTTGTGATTCTCTTTGCCAGGCAGACCAATTCGACAGAATACATCCATGTCGCTAAGGCTGTCAGATAAGTGCGAATACTGCTGTAGTGCGGCCATCCGTGACTTCGACGTTGACTCTTCCAAGCCTGGAGGTGTGCTTGTAACCTCAGCAAATAATTCTTGACGAGGATCGATGTTCCAGCCTTCCCAAGACTCCTTCAGCAATTCGTCGTCCTCTGTGCCTTCCAAGGAGAAATTTGTCTCATGTGCAACGAATCCCATGCCTGCTTGGTAACTTCTCTCACTGAAAACTCGTATAGGCTGACCATGTTCGTCCAGTCCACTGCCGACCGGCCATCTGGGATAGATCCAGCTGAGTCCGCCTCGGGGGTCGCCAACGCCCATTTGACACCATAATTGCAGCTCTGCGATACTAGCACGCAGGTCATGATGCTTTGCTTCGCATAGTGTCGATACTGCATCTCGACGTAGTAAATGACCCTCTTGAGCTGCCAGCAACAACATGTAGTCTGTAGCGATGTCCGTAGGCGGAGTAGGTAGACGAAGAAGTGCTTGAAAGTTAATGGCTTGAAGAGGTACAAGATCTTCATCGTTGCAGGTCATAATAACGGGACGCTTTGAACTCTGCAGCAAGGTAAAGACAGTGGTCCAGAAGTTTTTGTCTTCCTCGAACATGATATCGACTTCTTCCAGCAAGATCAGTGACTGCTTTTGTCCTCGTGATGGCTTCGAAGATGATAAGACCTTTTGTACTTGGTCGACGTTGAGTTTTGGCTTCTTCTCTTTCTTTGGTTGTGGTGCCGACTTCGGTTTAGATGTAAAGAAAGACTTCATGGTGCCTTGCCTACCAGATTCGAGGTCCTTGTTAAAGGCATCAGACAGTCGACCAGCATCTTCGTCAGCAGATGTGTTACCAGTATCGAGTGAGCGATTCTGCACCAGGTGATTCTCCACCATGTCTCCAATCCTGTCGAGCACATCTTTACCACTGCGGCGCGAGCCGGGATTGATCTCAAATATTTCGAACCCTAACTCCTTTGCCGCAGCGTAGACCATAGCAGTCTTTCCACAGCCAGGTGGTCCACTTACGACGACCGAATTTGAAATTTTAGAGCGGATAGACTGTTCCTTGAAATCGGTGTTGCGCACAAGAGATGGTCTCTTTCCCCGGCACGATTGCGATGGAGGATCCAGTTCAACAAGTTCCTCTGTATCATTGTAGACATCATCGTCGTTAACGATGAAATCGTCTAAGCCTGAGGCCTTCTTGCGACGTTTCTTTTTGGGTCCACGGTCGCGATCTGCTTTGTCATGCTTGAGAACATGTGAACCAGCCGACTCGACTGCACTAATAGTGAGAGCTTTCATCCACTCTCTCAGATATGTTGCCTCTCTTCCCAATTGCAAGACTTGGCTCGCACATTGAGGTGCATACTTCTGAGCCCAAGCTTGTACTTCTGACCGTCCATGATCAAATGGTGTGAGTATGTTTGGTAACCCAAGGTAGAGGCTTTCGCACGCTGGGTGGACAAAATTGCGATAAGTTCCTGGAACAAACTGGAGTTCGTCCGTTGACGGTTGAGTATGAAGTTCATTACAAATCCATTTCTGAGCGAACAAACCAGGAACAAGATGGCGAGACGGAACACGTAGCGAAGATGGAGGATCGTAGAAACCATCAGGCCTTGGCGTGTTTTTCTGATGAAAGTCGAGGTCGCGCTCTACACGGGTCAAAGTACTCTCAGACGGGTCCAGAAGGGGTTTCTTGTACTTCATCTTGCGGGTCGAGCGAGGTATGGCGGCGACTGAATCTCCCTGAGGTTGGCTTGTGTGGTAATAAAAGTCTCCACGAATGTGAGCATGACCTTTTGGCGGAAATGGAGCTTCAACCATGCCGGGTTGTTTGATAATGTTTCTGTCTTTGTTCGCACCGAACTGCGGGAAGCTAGAAGCGTTGTCCGCGTTTCTCGAACCATTCTCTCGTGCTTGTGCCCGTAATTTGCCAGGGGTTACGGCTGACGGTCTTCGTGGGCTAAGCACATTGCTGGCCTTGTGATCCATTTGACCCTTCCGAGAAGTAGTAGAGACTGATTTNGGGCTCGTTCGGTTTTCCGGAAAAGAAAGGATGCGTCGGTTTGGAAGGATCAGCTTTGGGCGCCTTGGGCTTGGGNNTGGAGGAGGCATAGAAGTAGGTTTCGAAATCTTGAAAGTCTCGGAGCCGTCCATTATGCGTGTTATTTGGTGTCCCAAGGCATGATTGGGAGGGTAGCGTAGGGTGACCAGTAGCTTCTGTTTCTCTTTCTTGGGTCTTCCTCGTTTCGCAGGCTTCTTGATCTGAGCGTCCTCCTTGACTGGCAATGGCTTGGACGAAGGAGAAACCAGAGTACCACCAGTGCTCAGCTTCAACATCTTCTTTGGTGGCGTACTTGAAGGTATAGTTTGAGGAGCAGGAATGGGCTCAGATTGTTGTTCTGTATCTTGGTGCTGATCGAGGGGCTGGCTGTTTTCAGGGTGCGACGAAGGCACAGAGGTCGGGCTGGAAGGCTGAGGTAGCATATCTTCAGAGCCTCGATCAGGAACGACGACATGGTTGGTAAGGCTCAGCTTGCGTCGTTTGCGGGCTGTTGAGGTTGCGGACTCGACAGACTCGGAAGTTGAAGTAGGGTCTGGCTTCTGTTTGGCCTTCCTGGAACGAGTCTTTCTGCCATTGTTTGAATCGGGTATGATTGGCAGCTCGGGCTGCGAAGAGTTGGCGTCTGCACCGGGCGAGGCATCATCGTTCAGCGAATGAGTGGTGGCATCGGGGGCTGGTTTAGACGCAGGCACTACTTTGTCAATGAGTAGGTGTAGTGGAGATGGAAGACAAAGTGTGTGTACCTTGAGGCTTCACAAAGAAAGGATGTAGAGTTTTGTTCTGACCATCACTCATGGCGCCGATAGGCCTGCAATAGTTGCGTCTTGGTTGTGAATGGCGGCGCACAGAGTCTCCAACTTTTGGAGGACGCGTCGTGACGCACCTGCCGTCTCGCGCGTTCCTTCCAATTATGGACTTAAAGCGTCATGCGAAGCTGTTATATCCGTGCCAAGAACCTTGAATCTTGAACTTTTCTTTGAAGAGCAAAGAAGGCACCAGCACCTTGTCGCCGTACAAGATTTGTTTGCGCTCCACGACACAAATGGCCGACCGAGCTGCCATCGAGGCTCCTTTTACTTTGGCCTCTCTGCCCAAACCCTTTGATCCCACTGTTGGCACCACCTACGCCGCCCCGGTTTTCGGTCTTCGCGCTCAAAAATGGAGAAAGCGTCCTGAAATTGTCGCAAGTGTCGACGGAGACAGCATCACAATCTACAATGTATTTGTGCCCTCGGGAACTTTTCTTAGCATCTCCCAGTGCTAACTTGCCATTCTAGNNGTGCGTAATCCGCGCTTGGTGACATCGTATGCTCTTCCTCCTCAGACCCGTCTGCTTTGCGCGCCTTGCTCTATCTACCGTAAGATCACTGGTCGCAAAGCCGCCCAAAGAGTTACATATGCAGTTCTTGGTCACACCACTGGCAAGAAGACAGAGGTCATCTGCTTCACCGAAGACACCATCGCCGACTCGACCGACCTTTCTGCCGATCAGCAAGTCAAGACAAGCTACCAGCTGCCCTCTTCGACAAGCTCCGTTTTCGCCATCAATGCTCTAGCCTCGCACTCGGACAACGAAACTCTCGGCCTTGCTCTGGATATTGCTGTCACATACACCGATGGAAGTGTTGAATGCATCGCTGGTGATCTCCAGGAGAAGAGATGGGACGCAGATGCCGCTCGCGCTATCGCTCTGGCTGAGTCGGAAGCCACACCATCGTCTGTCAAGGTCGAATATGCCACTATCACCGATGTGACCTCAGCAAGGAAGGGTCTGCTCAAAAGCAGAGAGGACGCTCTGGCTTTGATTGGAGGTGCCGTCAGCCTCGATAACTCGACTGAACTTAACATGCCCCTCCTCGCCATGGTTACTGTCGACGACCAAAACACTCGCCGCTTCAACCTCTTTTCTCTGCCTTCGAGATCCAAGGATATGATTAGCAGCGCCCACCAAGTTCTTCGTTACTTGTTCAGCTACGAGCTGCCCGCATCCTCTTCTTCTGACAGAGCCACCTTCTCTCTTCAGTCGTCAGCTGGAAAGTTGCACCAACTGCTTTGCGGTATCATCACTACCTATGATCTCTCTGGCACTAATCCCTGTGTTCTTTCCACCCTCACTCCTCACACTCAAGCCCACCGAAGCTTTGTTCGCATCTCGGCTGCTCTGGTCCTTGCTGCCGAATCCACCTCATGCGCTATCTACGACACAAAATACAACTCCTTGCAAGCCGCCCTTTCCCTTGAATCCGACCCTCTTGAATCCGCTGGCGACAAGAGAAAGAGGACGGATGGTGCTACCGAGGGCTCTCTTAACTTTATCACTTTCTTCTCGGATCTTAACATGGCTGTCGCAATCTCTGGACATGCTCTCGTCGGCCTGCAGATCAACTTGTCCGCAACCGCCTACAAGAAATCGAAAGCTAACACCAGTCTGCTGATCAACTCTCTCGGCAAAGGATCCAAGAAAGCTCTTGTTGCTGCTCCTAACTCTGAAGTGTCTTCTCAGGAGTGGGAGAGCTGGAAAGAGACAGTTGACTCACTGGTCGAATCTGACGTAGCTGCCCTGGAACGTTTCCTTGCAGCCGAACTTGAGTTGTCCTCGGTCCCTAAGCAACAGAAGTCAGCTGCGCAGGATACTGAGGAGCAGGATGGCGAGGACAACAGAATGTGGCCTGTAAGAGATTCAAGATTCCTCGTCCAGAAGACCGAGAGACGCAAAGCAGTTTACCTTCTGAGCAAAATGTTCGCCTGGAACCAAAGCACAAACGAGGACCAGAGCTCTATCTCTATGAACTTTTTCGCAGCGAACATCTTCAGGTGGCTTGCTATCACTGGCTACATCTCTGCCATGGCAGTCGAGAGAGCATTGCGTGAGACCGGCGCCATCCAGTCGACTGCTCAGAGAGTTCACCCTGGCGACATTATGAAGGCAGTCAACGAGCTTGACCCAGAGATGCATGTCATGCATGAATGGCTGAGCTGGCCTGTCTACCTGGAAATCGAAGAAGTCATTGTGGCTCTTGCTTCCCTCGTGAAGTCTCTACAAGGGCCAAGTCCTGCTGCAGTGGCCAAGCTTATCACTAGCAAAAGTGAAGAGTCTGGCAATGAGCTTGAAACTACAATTCAGGCGGAGACTGATGCTGCAGAAGCCGATCTTGAGTTTGCTCTGTCAGCCCTGGATACCGGTCTCAGTGTACGAAGCGCTTCATTCCGTACTGTTTTCACTCGCCTCCATTCCTTCCCTTCGCGCAGCATTGTCGAGAGGCTCCGCACTCACCTTGCGCCCCGCGAGGTTGTGTTCTTTATCCAGATCCTCCGTATCGAGCTTGCAGATGGTGGTTGGACATCTAAGTACACCGAAGATGAGATTGCGCCTAGACCCGACGACGCGGGATCGCCCAGTGATCACTCGATCGCCATTATTAGCAACCTACTCAACTGTGCTATCGACGCTATTGGCACATCGGGCTGGCTTGTAGGACTCAGCGGAGATCCAGAGCTCCAAACAGACAACATGCTCGAGACTCTCGTCGCCGAGACCAGTGCTGCACTTGAGACTTGTATTGAGGCATGCAGCTTCGGAGTCTTCTTGAACGACTTCGAGCGCTTCAGCAACACCGTCCAAGCTTCTCAGAAGCAGATGACGATCAAGAAGGTTGATCCTATCAAGACGCCTGGTTTCGAAGAGACTCCTCTCGCCGTCGACCCTGTCCTTCCTCTTGGTTACAAGGCCCAAGGACCCGCCAGCAAGTTGCGTATGACAAGCACTGGTCAGGTCGAGAAGAGCAGGGGTCTTCGCGGCAAGGAGTTGTCGATGCGTGTTGGCAAGTACTCTCTAGACAGGATTGTCGTTTAAGCATTGCATGGGAGGAGTCATGTACATGGAAAGATCTGAATATATCATTTACTTTAGCGAGGAGTCACAGGACAGGAAAAATCATTGTTTTCACATGCATCCATTCATCTTCTGACTCGTAAATTTCTATATCGCTATCCACAAGGTTCCATGATGTCATGTCACTGCTTACCACTCAAGCACGGTCACAAAAGTAGACAACACCAACTCTATGCCTTTCTCGAACACTTTTCTAAACACGTGAAGTCACAATCAAGAAGAAGCATCACACAATCACCATGGGTCTTCCTCAGCAACCAGCACAACCAGCGAATGACGCAGCTTCAAGCAGTGTTCCGACACATGCCGGCGACCTGCCACCTGCAGCGCTCGAACTAGCAGGCAAACTATTCGACTTTGCAAGACAAGGCAAGACGGATGAATTGGCACAATACGTCAGCGCGTAAGTCTACCATGATATGCACGTTCTACGTGTGGTTTTCCACATGTCACTCGGACATGGCCAGCCTACTGGTGGTCATACACAATTGAATGCACTCCACCAGTACCTATTATATCAAAAGCCAAACTAACGACGACCTATCTACAGTGGCATCCCACCAAATCTCACAAATCACAAAGGCGACACGCTGCTCATGCTAGCAGCTTATCATGGTCACGTCGAAACTACGAGGATGTTGCTAGACAAGGGCGCAGATCCAAATGTATTGAACGACAGGGGTCAGAGTCCTATTGCTGGCGCAGTGTTCAAGGGCTCAGATGATGTGGTCAGACTTTTGTTTGAGAGAAAGGCAGATGTTTATGCGGGACAACCCAATGCTGTGGACAGCGCCCACATGTTCAGGAAGGAAGACTATCTCACGCTATTCGGTGTGGCACAGCAATAAACGTCTGACAGAATGATGGGTCTCTATTTCTAGGCAGTGATTGCAACAGCCAAAGGTTGAGAATTGAGGAATGGTTGAGCTGCTGCTTTTTCAGGTGTTTATCAAGCATTTGAGAAGGTGCACCAATCCTTCTCACGAGTTGTGGAGACAAGAATCAATACATTATCTCCCGGCACTTTGATTTGGACGAACCACAGCTCAACAATCATGTGAATGGGAGACATGAAGGGTCCTCGAGGCGTTGGCTACCAGTCTGCCAACGCTTGCATCGATGGCGGCATTTTGCAGCACCAATACTCAGCAGTATTACACAGGATTGCTCGATATTTCACGAGGAAGCTTAGCTGACACCAAACATGTCACCTCAACTAAACTTGAGATGGTCTAAGACTCGACAGTCGATAGAGGGCAATGAGAAGAGTTTAGATATGGCCTCGTCTTGGGAAGAAAAAGGCACCGAGTTCGGGATGACAGCAAGAAAATTGACATGTGAACGCGGGTCATGCCAAGGCCACGGGAGCATGTGATATTTGTTGCCCGTTGTGCAGACCCGAAAGGTGATGGGTTTCATCGACGTCCTTCCCTACACCGTCAATGCCAATGAGCCCTCGCGATCTGCCTCCATCACTTCTCAATCACCGTCGAATCCACTCCGTCGTGTTTTGCTAGCTGCTGCTGCCAGAGTCGTCGCCGACTTGCGCAGGAGCTCTGTCGACGTCAGTGCTACAATGGAATCGCAACGCCAAGCGCCGCCCGGATACGCCTACGAGCACCATCCCGACAATCTCAAACTGCCCTCTGTTCCTACTCAGGACCTTCACACGAACCATGCCCCCGCCGATATCACTCTTCCCGACCTGAAGTCTGTCCTCGCCGACCTCCNNCCCTCCAAGACTGTTCACCCCAATGTCTTACTCAACGCTGCCGCCGCAAGAGACATGGATCCGCAAGTGAGCATGCCTCGCACTAGCATTGAATCAGACGCAGCCAGCAACATGAGCATTGAAGATGGGACCCAACGCTCGACAAGTGTATCAATGGATGACCCTGATGTTCGCCTGGCTGCCGAAGCTCTATCTGGTCTTGGAAACCCTGGTGTGTATACTCGATGTCCACTTGGTTGTCACGTCGACTGATATCATANNGACTTTGCACCTTCCCCCAAGACACGGTCAACAGCTTCCAAGCCTAGCCCTACAAGTGCCTCAGCTTCTTCGAACAAGGACCTCGAACCGCTACTGGATCTTCTGGTTGACGCCCATCCTTGGGTCGGAAATACTGTAAACGGTAGTTTATCTGCTTACAACGCGACAAAGAACTTCTCACCCCGTATCGTCCGATATGGAGTCCATCTCGTCGAGCGGAATGTTGGCTCTCCCGTCGCTAGTACCGTCAGCAACCTCGGGAGACGTACTGGTGTTGAAGGAGGTATCAGACGATACCTCGATAGCAGAAGACCCAGCTCACCAGCTATGGATCCATCGCATGGCAGCAAACGCCGACGAGTAACATCGGATGACATGGACGTCGATCGTGTGGATCCAAGCCTGCAAGATTCACAGGAATTCCTTCCTGCATACCAGGCCAACAAACCACCTTCATATAGAGAAGAAGTGAGCCCTCATGGATCAGAGAGAAGCCGAGGTGTCGAGAGACCTCCTATCAACCGAAGCTGGTCGACCAAGATTTTCATCTCGACTTCTGCTCTCGGTGTCGCACTTAGCGATTCTTCTTTGCGAAGCCTTCAGTACTGCGTCAAGCTTCTCTCTTCAGCCACAGAACATGTTGAGAGCGTAATGAATGCGCTCAAAATGGTCTTACACGAGTATGACCAATCGCAGGAAACATCACAACAAGATCGGGCTAGACAGGAGAAGGAAAGAGAGGCCGGTATTGTGATTGAAATCAAGAGCGGCAATGAGCGTGACCAGTCTACAGAAATGCTTGCAAGACGTATTAAGCAGCTCTGCGACGACATTTGGCACACTATCCAGACTGTGGTCAATTCCGTCTCGACCTACGCTGGAGGCGCTCTTCCCGAGAATGCCCGCAACATCGTCAAAGGGCAGTTGTTGTCAATTCCTCAAAGATGGCGATGTGCCACACAATCGGCAGATGCAGCTTCTCCATCTCAATCGGCCACCAAGGCTGATGGCGGCGAAGACGGCAAGGCAGCTGCCGGTCAGGGTGCAGACGAGAACACTCGTAAAGCAGCACACCGCATGATCGCCTTTGCAACTGAGGGCCTCGACATGATGGCTCAGGTCAACAATGTCGTCGGTATCACATTACAAAGTGCCGAGAACTGGCTGCAGAGCTTGGGTAGAAACAGTCGCGAGGNNGAGGAGANNATGATGGACGCTGATGACCCGAAAGAGTCAACAGCTGAGTAGGTCAAAACCAAAATCGAAATCTATCATTCGCCTTCTCCTGTTATCTATCAGCAACAGGACAGAATCTATTCTACCGCCACGAGTCTACGAAAAAACAGAAAAATTCTGAGGTCTTTGGGCCAAAAAGAAGCAACACAACCCACGAAAACAACAACAAAACCATACTGACTTCTAGGGCGTACTGGGGCTAGGTCCAGTAGCTGGCTACGGCAACTGGTGTTTGAATATGCTGTATGATGTCTCTTTTCGATTTCCTTCAAACCTATCGATATCAAAGTTGCTAGCGGCAGGAGTTCCGCAGGCTAGGGTTCACAGAACGATTTCTTTTCTTCGATCACACTCGTTCACAACGGACAAAAAGCGTGGTATCGTTATCGTCTTTTAGTACAGCCTTTGCCCTTTCTTTCTTCGGCGATATTTTGGGGGTTGTATATAGCAGATATTATGCACGCTTTCTCCCCTTTTTGAATCTTCATGGCAATCTAGCTGTCCGCTCGATGTCCCAACATCTGGTCAGCTGAATGAGCGATTTTGACAGTCAAAAAGCCATTACTTGATTTCTTGCTCCTACCTCTGGGCTTGTGTGTTGGAAGTCAGCGGTACGTCTGGATTCTGAGTTCTGTGTCAATGGTCCCGTGCGTGTAGTGCAGAATCTCAGGCCGGCTCTGCTCAAAGAAAAACGTAGAAGATGATTATGCTACTAGGGGCATAGCATCCAATATATGTCAATGCTGTCATTTCTGCCATGTACAGACAGAAGTATAGGCATTCGACTCTTCTTTTCACTGTGTCGTGTGTTTCTTACTCCGTGCCCCCCTCCCCGTGTGCTCAAGACAGTCACAATGGTTTGCAACTAACCCATTCTCCACTCCGAGCTACAAGGGCTGTTATGACCCATCAAAATACACAGTCACTATCTGAGAACAAGCTCTGGCCATCGAGATGGCCTTTCACTAGGGTTTCTTCCTGTAGACGACAGTATTCTGCACCAATGTATTGTGCATTTCTACAGCTACACTGTGAACTATCCATAGCACAATGGGGAGGCCGGATACCTCTAGAAACGCTGCTTGAAATACTCTTCAAAAGTCNNTGCAACACCATCATCAAGTCAGCAAAATAGCAATTAAGAAAAAATCTAGATGATCAACCATACCGTAGTTTTGACCTTAGGGAACAAATGATTATGATTCATACCCTCAGGACGCCAAAACCTGCCACTCCCCTGCATCCCCTTGACCAAAAACCAAAAATCCACAGGGAAAGAACTTTTGTTTTGGAGTTCTTTTGGCGCTGCTTCTGGATTTGCGAGTACTTTGTGCATTTGGTCTTCACTCATGATATCCATGTTGACTTTNTTGCCAGAATATTTTTCGAGCAGGGATGCGATTTCGGAGTGCGAGATGTGGTCGGAAGGAAAGTTTAGATGCGCGTTTGCAGAGATGGAAGGGGAGTACAGGCAAGCGGCTACGTAGTGCCCAAAGTCAGAGATGTGGGTGTAGTCGGCTTTGGCATTGGGGTCCCCGATTACGTGCAAGGTGTATTCTTCTACATCCTGTTGGGTCCAAGCACACCAAACAGATTCTCGATCTTGATTGTAAAAGTCTCCGCAGCCGATCATGGTATAAGACATTCTGCCGTCTTTGATGGCTGGGTGCTGGATAGCGCGTTCATTGAGCCTGGCTTTGGCGTCCCAGAGTGGATGGATATAGCCCTGTGGGTCGTTGGGTTTGCGGTAGATGTGGTGCATACCATACTCGGAGGGAATAAAGCGTTTGACTCCTGCATCTGCTGCTCCGTCTTGGATGTCGATTTGAGCGTCTAGGACTGGGCCGTTCAAGGCACTGACGACGGCATCAATGCCTTGTAGTGTCTGAGCCATTTGTTGGCGTGATGTGTGCATGAGATCCATTTCTTTGATTGTGACATTGTCGTGAGAGGCTTCGGAGGGTGAAGGTGAGTCCGGAGCTATGATGGCTAGTATGTTGAAGTCTTGCGATTTGCAGTCCACTAGGGCTTTGAGGATTGAGTTGCCAATCTGGCCGTTGGCGCCGAACAGCGCAATGTTCTTGAGTGACATGATTTTGGGAATTGAAATGATAGATGAGGTTGTGAAAGTGGCTCTGAGAAAGTACCTACTTATTGCCCAGTCTACTGGCAGGCACGTAACCATGACACAACCACTATCGCATGGTAGTATTCTTGCAGATGCTGGTCTTCAGACTTACCCAGCATATTGCAATAAAGTATTGAACATCCACGAGATCTGCTCGTAACATTGAACTTACAATGACTGCTTTGTCTGTCCAAGTAGAAGCCTCAGAGCGGAAGAGCCAACTTGTCTTGCAGCACATGCTTGAGGTCCGTGCACTTTTCAGCTGCTGGCTGTATCACCCTGCCCACTATCTTCATCGACGACCACCAAGCTCCTGATAGTTGAGAGGACCCAGAAACAAGGAGATCCTCAATCCTTGGACTCTGTATCATCACTATGGTAATCTTGACGTTGTAGCTGTTGTCGCGGACTTGCTGGAGCTCGGTGACCTGTTTGAACGTGACACTGAAGCTCAAGGTACAATCTAACAATGGCTTGAGCACACCTTAAGCCTGAAAGCTACTCACTTCTGAAGAAAACTGACACCAAGCAGGCAGGAATGTTGTGACGCGTGAGAGCTGTGATCCCATGCTGCTTGAAAAAACATTGACTCGCTGTCAACACCATAAACGGGGGCACATAGACAGGTTATTACAGCAGGATGGTGGCGTCAAGGCTGCGAAGTGGCCCTGCAGGATACGAAACGACACAGGAAGTCCAAGACCGACAAGCGAACGATATGCTGAGGATGCAGGTGGTTGAACATTCGAGATACGCCCCTGCATACATCTCACGCGTCTATCGCGCCCTACCAGAGATGAAGGCGTCTATCAAGAACAAACGTGCGTACCAACCTCGCTACCAGTAGGGACTGTAGGAACGCACTCGTGTAGATCTGATTGTTGGTTGATGTCGTTTCGCGATAGCCAGCTCTGGACTTGTCAGTACTGTCACATGTCGTCTGACCGTTTGGCTGCGCTGCAGATCCAGCGCTCAGGAAGTGTCGGGTCATGTTTCAACAGCAGTAACAGGCAGGTGCGTCGAGGGCTTTCCACAATGTGAGGATCCTCCTGCGTCTGAATAGGAAGGACTTAAGTCTGAGAGAAGGTAGAGGCGTGTTGAACATGATTCTCGGGGCTAGTACCTCTTCTAGGAAGGTGGAATGCTTCCACACGCGCTATGTTTTTTTTCGTGATGTGGTCTCCAGGACTGAACGATTCACCGCCTCAACGAGGCACAGAGGCCCTCATATGGCAGAATTGGACCCAAGGCCACCAACGTTTGCGTCTCGTTATTAGGTCCAGCAGTAGACCATCAAAGCGGTCAGGCAGCACGGTCTGAATGGAAGACGGTGCTGATCTTGTGCTCGGGCGAGATAGTTGTATTCTGCAGACTTGAGCTTGCGACACCGCCGCCTATCAAGGTAAGAATCTACCATGCTCTAAAGCGGATATGTCTTGAGAATCGAGGTCGGATGGTATCACGGCCGAAATGGCGGACCACTGGGTGACAAACACTTGGCATGCTCGATATGGTATTAGAATACGGGCGTTGGCATTTAACCGATTTTTGAATGAGCATCGGCCTGCCTATCTCGTGACGGAATATGAAAGTGTAAATGATTATTCTGGAGCGTCAATCGATCCTGCCACAAGAGGTCATGACGACAATTGTGTTCGAGGAGTTTTCTCGAATGTGATAACATGACAGTGTATAGCGGCATAGCATGCTCATACGTCTCAGGAGCACTCGTGTGACCTTCACAAGCAGAAGTCCGAGACAGCAAACACCATGATGCCCCTGTTTGGGCACTTGGGGGTGTGTTTGGGGATTGCTTATCTTCAACCAATGACAGAAGACCGGCGGAGGTCGCGTGGCAGTCGACTGTCGGGGAAGAAATTCCGGGGTACGACATGACCGTGCTTTTGCTTCTTCTTCTTCGCGGATGATCGGCCTGAAGACAAGGTCCAGATACCCGATCGCGGAACACGAGCGGTTCTGCTTCAGGTTTTGGCGGATGCTGGCGTGGCTGGAGCTGCTGTTTGACAGCAAGATTTTGCCCAACGCCCGCAAGGGCCTTGCTTGGAAAAGGTAACGAGGGAGGGCAAGCAGCCTGGGCAGCCGGCGCTTCTTCGTCTTCTAGAATTCCCCAGCGTCTAAGCTGTTCTTTAAACCCAACTGTGCTGAGTCAAACCGTAACATCGGGTGAACTAGCCAGAAGAGGCAGGAAAAACCCATCGGTGGTCGGCAAAGGACGCCTCTTCCGCTGCTACAATCTTTGTGCAAGGTCATGGCCATGATGCTTATTGCCGTAGCAAGAGCAAACATCAAAGTATTTGGTTATGTTGGCGAGATAAGAAAAAGAAGAAGAAGAAGAATAGAGGAAGCGATGANNTCAGATCTCCACGAGGCCCTCGACAGGCGGGCTGGAAGTCGTCAGGGCCGTTGGACAGGCTCTCGCCTTTCACGCGACGCAAAGGATGCTTTATTAGGCATCCGACTTGTCGATTCATCCTTATCTATCAGCAAGGCTTGCTGTACCCCAAGCCATCCGNGACGCCCTATGTATGTTGTCTCGCGCCTCCCTGGTGAAACGAATCCCTTCTCATCTCGCGTGCACTCTTTCTCCTTATCCCAACGAGGTCCACAAGTCGCAATTCTCAGCGCCCAACTCGTGTTCTTCGAGATTAAGGCCCGGAGGACCCTGTGCTATCGGTGCGAGACTGCTGAACAGTGCGCTCGGCCGATTTGATAATAAGAATCAACGTCATCCGCATTGCCGCCGCTAGCATCGCGCGCTCTGACTCTTCTCTTCAATATGCTTGTTCCGCGCTCTTTCAAGTACTCTTCGTCGCCAGACTCACAAAAACAAAGACCATCTTCGAGAACAAAGTCCAAAAAGTCCTCCGTCACTCCTCCGGCTTCGACTTCCACTACACCCTTACGGCCCAACACTGCTTCCCACTACAGTCAACCACCACCCCACGCACCCTGGATCCTCACGCCCGCCATGCCTTCAACACTGCAACCCTCGAGACCTGTCGAGATCCCATCTCGTCGGAGTCCCAGAGACCTAAGACATGTCAGATCATCTAGAGCCAGCAGCAAGTCATCCAGGACATCGCGGAACTCCGAGACCAAACACCGACCTGATGCTCTGCCTCCGGCCGTCGCTGCTCTCTTGGCTGTGACTGCTATCCCTCCTCCCAAGTCGCAGATAAGACGCAAGAAGAGTCCTGTGCGGGACATGTCTATCGATGAGCTCATCCAGGAATGGAGAAAAGACAGTTCGACCAAGTCCAGTTACAGCAGCGCTTCACTGGACATGCTCCTCGGATCGGCAGACGAAGATGACTACGACCACATGTACTCTTCAAGGTCAACTTCGTGTGACTCGATCCCTTCTCTGGACGGCGACGATGGCTCAGTCATGTCCGTCAGCAACCCCGCCACTCCAGACTCTATTCGAAGCCGAAAGTCTAGCATGGGCAGTTACCGCAAAGAGAAGACTCTCTACACCCCGGAAATTGAAGACTGTAGTGTCGATCACCCTCTTGGATTATCAACATTGGAGTTCGACGAGGATCTCATTCTTATCAATTCGCCATGCCCCAAGGAACGCAAGCAACGAAAATCTGGTGGCTTCCGCTCCAACTTGAGTTCGTCGCTGCAAGCCCTCAAGTCTCGCGTGACCTCGTCGTTTTCATCCTTGAATTTGAATCTGGATGAAGATTCGTTCTCGGATGCTTCGCTCTGGCAACATCCTTACCTGTTTCCGAGATTGAGCTCGGAGCTCAGACCTACCCCTTTCACCTCGACTCCATCAAAGTCGCAACGCCAGTATCTCAATCCCCGTTCGGCTCCGGTCCCCTTCGAGGAGCAACAGCACCACTGGCAACAGGCACTGTCTTCGCTAGACTCACCTGACGAGTTTTCCGAAGCTCCAATGATCCAGATGCAAACCTACAACAAACGGGCCGCATCTCAGCCCCGCCGCACGCGCCGCGGCTCAAGCACTGGCACACCAGATTCTCGTTCGGAAGCTGGACGCGCCATGTCCGGGCACGTGCCCATGCCCTCTAGGCAACGCGAACCTCGAGAGAACAGTGACTTCCTACGTGTCATCGTACTCGAGATGAACATGAGACGTGGGGGTAAATTTGACGAGGGTGCGAGTGGACGTGCCAAAATCTGGCTACCACCACGTAAGCAGCCTGTCGCTCGCAACAGCGCCTTTTCCGACGACGAGGATGAGGACGACATCGTCTCTGTCAGCGATTCCAGGGTTACCTCTAGAAAGATCCCTCGCCGCTGGGTACCAGTTTCGATCGAGTAATCATCGAGTAACAACAATTGCGAAACCCACTTCCAGACCCTGGATCATCCCGGCTCCCGTCTCTGGCCAGTCTGTTGAGTTTGAACCCACTTCATTTCCTCAGAGTGCCATGTTTCCAGAGAACGGCTGTTCGTGCTTAGAGCAAATGGTCGTGATCATCTTCTCTTGAAGGAGACTTCGCTTGCACACGACGCGTTTCGACGTGGGGTCGTCTTACGCCATCCTCGCATATCTTCTTCATAACGACCATATTATTGTTTCTATCTTTTTCTGTTTTGTTTTTCTGGACGGCATTTGCTGTCTTCATTGTTGGTTATTCGGCAAGCGAATGGTCATAGCATGGTAAGGCGTAGCGAGAACGGTTGTCTCGGCGTTATGGGAATATTTTTTTTTGTTGGAGGTTGGGAAAGAGTAACAGCCGGTGCTTGGCTGCGCTATTTTCTCTTTCTTCGGATGTTTCTTCTCATCTTTTCCATGCACGGTGGTGGCATGACTGTGATGCTAGATCTGGGCACAGCATTTGGAAGCGCGGTGTTTTTCTTCCATTTATGATATCTACGACAGACAACATACGGCTTAATGAACGAACATAAACCTTTATACTACTACATCCATTGCGCACCCCTTCCCCTCTCTTCGTTGAACGAACACGCGACAGATTAAAGCCTGTCAGAAAGCTTTGTTTCACGCTAAAAACTACCGTGAGCATATGTATTCAGATGCACAATACATCTGGTTGATGGTTGATGCAGAGTCGCGTGTGGGAGCTATGCTCGATGCACTTCCACTGGACATGACTCCAGCTCAATGCGTGCACACACACAGTTTCCTCAACTGTTCGCTCGTATGTAAGAGTCAGCAAGAACACTTGCTCTTGTCTTCACTCCGAGTCTCCTCCACAAGCACGGACGAAGTTACAAAAAGGCTCACGTCGCACCACATGCGCGCTCGTGCTTTTCATGCGATCAAATTTCCCCTTCTTCTCCAGCCCAACACGCGGAGTCGAGACACCCGACCAACGGCCTATCAGTCAATCAATGGAGATTCGAACAGCGGGTCTGATATTGCGCGTTCATACCTGTCGGTCAAGGCTTCTCGGGCAGCATGTCTCTCGCTGCCCTCCGACTCTCCTTGTTTTGTCCGAAGAGTCCCGAGTAGTGACATTGTCTTGTCAAATGCATACACTACGAGTCGTTAGGGACCCAATTCCCGACTTCGCTCTTGGTATGTCACTGACTCACGGTGCATGCGGCCTAACAACACCAATGCAACACCCGAGTCGTGGGATCTAGAGATGAATGTTGGGTCAATAGACACGAAGGCCACGACTCCACAAGTGTCGGTCAGCAGTCGCGGCCACCGTCTCGGTGACCTCTTGCTTTCTCGTGTCCTTCAAACGCCGTCTCTTATCTATCCAGATGTAGTCAATGTCTGGCCCTGTGCTGATCAGGGGCCTACTCTAACCAAGATTTCACTGCATGGACTGTCGTCCGGTCTGCGGAGTAAGTACATCGGCCGTAGTCCACGACTCGCTGGTCGAACTCCAGCTCGTGTGACAACTCGCTGATCCTTTTGAGAACGCGTCTGGGGCCCAAAGTCTGTTATGCTGAATCAGGATAAAAAAGCCATCTGGCAATGTTTGTCAATACATACAGTCAGGACCCCCGAGCTTTACTTGAGGCTACCTTTCAAGAATATTGCGCCAGGCGAGATTAGCTTGGGAATTACAGGAAGTCTGTTTAGACTTCTGATATTGTACCACCACTCTTGGTGAGGGTTCGATTATGCGACAACGTCTACTCCAACGACATACCATGAAGACGTGCTCGAGGGGATTTTGCTCGAACCACCACTTGCAATCTTTTGCAGATAAGAGCTTGTGGTTGTTGACAAAGCCATTCGGCTAGTTGCTCTCATGCTTCATGGGCACCATCTTGACTACATTGCTGCTGTCTTAGGCATATCCGCATTTTGCGGCTCGCAGATAGATGGCTAACACGAGTACGGCTTCGAGTTCCTCAGCTCGAAGTTGTATCCGTACAGGGAGCAGATACCAATCACTCTCTCAGGACAACCGAGCCGTTATGCAAAAAAGCATTATCAAGCAAGAAAAACGTCCTCTACGTATGCTGAAGTGTACAATGCGTGGAGCTCCTTCCCGTGTCTATGAGTTGTCACAATATCGCAACTGATACCCTTCTCCATACCGAGGTATAAGGACAGTATGAGTCGACAAAATGCACAATTGAATTCTACAATTAAGCCTGTCCATTGAGATAGCCTTTGATGGGGTGTCTCTGTGGAAGTAACATTGTTTGCAAAGGATTTGTGTATGTTTTCAGCTCCACCGGGTCTTCAACATATGGGGAAGCTACAAAAATGCACAATACTACCAAGAAACAAGACAGTACCCGCTGGGAAGCAACAACTTATCAGCTTTCTGTGGATAAGTCTCTGCTTCCGAAAACACTTGTGCCTTCTTATAGTATACACTTTTGCACTTTGCTATAGTCGGAGTACGACAGAAGATACGGGTTTTAGAACAGAAGACTTGATTTATAGGGGCTATTGACTCCATGCGCAGTATACATCATTATCTCCAGCGACGATTTCCAACATTATGCAAGATAGCAGCATGAGAAGCAGCTGCCTTTCGTTTTCTTATACTGCAGACTAGATCTCCCTAAACAGTTCCGTCTTTCCATCTCCTCGTTTTTGTCTATCTCAGAGCTGTTATTTTGGTGGCTGCGTCTTGTACTTGGGCTTGCAAGACCAGTGTTCGGGGTGGTGATCGCAATACTCAGGTCGGCAGAAGTCTGCCAGTTGGTTTCCCTTGCAGAACTCCGAGCAGGGGAATACTTCTGGGTACACATCGCAGTATGTTGAGTTGATATCGCCTCTCTTGGCGACCTGGTGAGGGAGAGCGGGTTCGTCGTTGCGCTGAGCGGCGATGGGAGCAGCACTGGCGATACTGGCGAACAGCAGGCCTGTAATAAAGATGGCAACAGACTTCATTCTGGCTTGGTAGTTTTGATCTTGGATGACGCGAGCAGTTGTGGATAATCCGAAGACGAGAGCGTTGATAGAGAGGAGAGGAATAGAAAGAAAGACACGCTGACTTTTATACTTATCGGATTGTTAGTCATCGCAACTTTCTACATTTGTAGCCTACCCATCGTAAGTAACTCAAATGTGCTCTCTCCGCCAAGCTTATCTACTTCACGTGCGGCGACGATATCATCCATCCTTGACAATGCTTTCTGGAGGGTATTTTGTGCAAGAGGACACTGAAAGGTACAATGCGAGGTCAATCAAGAAAAGTCTTTGCATGTGATGATATCTAAAAGCCGCGTCGTGTTTTCTAGCAGTGAAGAAAGGTCAAGTGAGCTGAAGCGAGCCTATATACACAGTAAAAGTTGCGTCCCTCACAAGCAGCAATCCACCACCAGTTGCGTTCCGTGGCCCACTTGGTAAGTCCCTAAGCTCTGGTGGAGCGGCTATTCTTGAACCAGGGTTCGAACCCCTCTCTTTCAAGGAACAAGAGCCCACTCTTTCGCCACAACCACATAGGTCCTTTCCCCCAGGCAGTGGTTGAGAGTCCCGGTTGCTGCTTAAAAGCAAACCCTTCTCGACACACCTCGTAAACCCTCTCCCCCCGAGGTCGCTAGTGCGGGTTTTCTCTCCTCTAGAGGCTATAGGCCTCTAGGGAGTTCTTTGCTCAAGCTTTGTCGATCATACGATGTTGCGTGATGTGAATTAGTATATTGTGAGCTAGTAGAAGCAATCTGTTCTCAGACAAGATCGAAGGGGCGTTTCGATCCAGGGGTAGACTGCGGAGTTGCGCGAGAGAGCAGGTCATTGACGATGCGAGATGAGAGGGCGGCGCGAGCAGACTCTTCCTGAGCGTAGGCTCTTTCAATAGGATCCGTACGAGGTGTGAAGAACTGCTCAGGGGGCTGAGTTTGCTGAGTTGGTACGACAGAGCGAACAGACATGTCAGCCATGGTCTGGGCAACACGCGCACGCGAAGGGGGAACAAAATCCGGCATAATCATACGGCAGAGGCGAATGATGTGAGGATGTTTGTTTGGCTCGAAAGCATCGAATGGTAGACTACCATGAAAGATGGCTTGCATGAGGGTCTCATCGAGGTCAGACTTGAGAACTTCTTGATTAGCGACCTCGGCGGCCGCATGGCTCGTCTTGGCAACCAAAGGCTGCTCAGTACGCTGCTCAATCTTGATCTTGAGTTCATCAGGAATCTGTCTCAGCTCCTTTTCTCCAGCATTAGTCGAGTCATCGTCAAGCAAGGCTTGAAGATAGGTATAATAAGCTTCGCAGGCGGCAAGATGGGCGACTTTACGGGCGACTATGTTTCTTGCGACCTTCTTATCATTGCAGTGGCGGCAGATGGCCATGGGAGTTTTGGCGCCATCTTCAAGAGCCTCGAATTGGCGAGAGATGTAACCTTGTTGGGGCGGCATGATATGAGAGAGACGTGGAAAATCAGGTTGGCATCAAGAAGGCTTCAGGAAGGGATGTGAAGGACTCGAGAGCTGATGTTGATGTCGCGAGGCAGGAGGAAGCTCGGACGCTCTTGCCTGCATCACTGTGCATAGTTATGCAGCGTTGTACGTATGACGATGTTGCGATTGCCTACAAAGTCCGATATCCGAGTTAGATCAAGTGAATTCTAGTCCTTCGAATCACTTCCATCTACTCTCGACAAGGACATCTCGTCGCCTTCACTCACACAAGAAGAAACATCTCCCGCCACCCTTCGTTCCTTTCGCCATCCAAGTCCTTCGTCTCGGGCTCTCGCGTCGAATAATTCTCACCGACTAGTGGCAACCTTGATTCACGACATCAGCAATCATGGACGACGAACTAATCGCCAACTTTACCGCCATCACCTCAGCGACCCCGGATCGCGCTCGCCAGTACCTCACCCTGACCGACAGCAACCTCGAACAGGCCATCCAACTCTACTTCGACAGCGATGGCGCCGACATGGGTGCTGCCATGCCCCAACAATCTGCCCAGCCCGCTGCTCAGCCAGCATCTCGCCGCTACAACCAGGATGACAACGGCGTTGTGACGATAGACTCAGACGATGACGACGTTCCCTACGAGGATGATGAGGCCATGGCAAGACGTCTTCAGCAGGAGGCCTACGGCACCGCTGGCGGTGAAGACGAAGTCAGAGCTCCCATGGCCAGAACCACCGAGACACTGGTTGGCCCTGGCTCTAGATGGGCTGGCGATGATGACGACGACATTAACGCTGCCGTCCATGAGCAGATGATGGCACGTCAGAGAAGAGGTTGGTTATAGCACTTGCGACAAGCAACCAGTCTGCTAACATGTTGCTAGNCCAACACACGACCCGGCATCTTCAACCAAGTCTCTGTGTGGGACGACGATGCTAACCCTGGCTTCGCTACTCCAATCGACCCCGAAACCCATCGTCGTAACCTTGCTCGTGCCACCGGAGGCGCCTCAGAACAATCCTCTAAATCAACTCTGCTCGCTGAACTTTTCAGACCCCCTACCGATCTCATCTCACACCTATCGTTCCAAGACGCCCGCGACGAGGGAAAAGAGGAGGAGAAGTGGATAATTGTCAACGTTCAAGATCCTTCAATCTTTGATTGCCAGGTCCTCAACCGTGACATCTGGAAGAACTCGCAGATCAAGGAGACCATCCAAGAGAACTTCATCTTCTTGCAGTACTCCAAGGATGACCCGCGTGGCACTCAATATGTTCAATACTATTTCCAAAACAGAGACAACGACGATGCATACCCTCACATCGCCATCGTTGACCCTCGAACTGGCGAGCAAGTCAAGGTCTGGTCAGGTGCTCCCGTCCCGAAACCCTCGGACTTCCTGATGGACTTGCACGAGTTCCTGGACCGCTACAGCCTGAAGGCTTTCGCAAAGAACCCGGTGGCTACCCGTAAGCCTGAGAAGAAGTCAAAGGATGTGGATAAGATGAGTGAAGAGGAAATGCTGGAGATGGCAATGCAAAACAGCCTTCACCAAGGCGGTGTACCTATCAAAGACGACGATCCTGATGCTCTCACCAAGGCAGAGTCAAGCAAGGGCAAGAACGCAGTTGTCGACCCAGACGCTATGGACATCGCCGACACTGGTGTACCAATCGAGAACGCAGAGACGGAACCTTCAGCATCACAAGCCGGTCCTTTCGCCCAGATCGCATCTGACAAACCTCACACTGAGCCTACGGATCCGGCATCATCGACTCGTATCCAGTTCAGATACTCTGGTGGAAGACAAATCAGACGCTTTGGTCTTCAAGAGGAGGTTCGCCGCATGTACGAGTGGCTCAAAGCAACACCTGTCGAAGGCAAGCAAGGTGTCGACTTTGAGCTTGTCTTCATGGGCCGCAACCTGATCGAAGCGCTGGATCAGACCATTGAGGAGGCTGGGCTCAAGAACGGTTCAGTCATGATCGAGTTCTTGGAGTAAGGGGAACAGACTCGTGGTAGTAGTCCGAGAATGCCTCTGGGTTGCTGGTGCCCGGGAGGCAATGCATGGGAGTGAAATGGTCTCAAGAAGGAGACAATGGGATCCACTTTATGGAAGATTCACAAATAGACGGCATAGGATGCTCTAGCTGATGCATAACGCTATAATTATGACAAAACACGATCACCTACGGTCAATCACTGCTGTATAGCCATGAGCCTCAAGACTTTGATTCACCTGTCGATCAAGCATTGAAGAGCAAAAATCAAGGCATAGGATCGTAATCTTGTTGATTTCACACAGACAGCACAGTAGAATTGAACCTGACAAAATGCTGGAGCAACAAGAGAACGATTGATCTTGGGCAGACAAAACAATGTCGCAGCCGTGAATCGAACACGGGGCTCGTGCATGGCAAGCACGAATTTTACCACTAAACCACTGCGACTTGATATGTTGTGCTGAAAATCTGGGCCGAATATCACTCGCCAGAATTTGAGAAAACGTTGTGACGGCTCCTGCTGCCTCGGCCCTAGTCACCAAAGCTCCATCCGCTCCAACGCGACACGCGTGAACTTGGGAAGCTGCGATCATCGCCGTCTTTCTTCGAAACAAGCCCACACATTTGCAACACTCCGGGTGACAGTGTTGCGTGTATTCTTTACTCAGGGCAAGACTTGGACGCGGCAGATGATCTAATTGTCCTCAACGCCCAATCCTTCATTCCTATCGCATCAACGCGCCGAACAGCCATACCAATCTTGTCGCAAACCCGATAATTCGACGCGCCAAATACCTACCGCACTATGTCGTCTCCGTCATCACAGCCTCACGAAGAGGCTCCGGATGCTACTAACGAACGTCGTTCTCGTCGCTCTGGACGCGTCTCGCGCAAGCCCGAACTCTACATCGAGGAAGCACCCGCCGCTTCCAAGCGCAAGCGTGACGCCGCAGATGACGACCAGCTTGATGATGAAGAAGAGTCTGACGAGGAAGAAGAGAGTGAGCCTGGTGAGGAGGAGCTTCGAGAACAAAAGGCCAGAGCGCGCAAGACAAAGGCCGCCGCACCAAAGAAGCCCGCTGCAAAGCGCTCAAAAACGAACGGCACCTCGGTCGCGTTACCTGTGAAAGCAGGTGCTAAGAAGAGTCGTTCGAAGAAGGCCAAGGGCGTGGATGAGGCTGTTGCAGAGGAAGCGGGTGGTCTTTACGGTTGGTTCCAGCACATACGCACACTAGGCACACACAGTCTGACTTTACACCACANNGCTGAAGTTTTTGCCCGAGGCAAGACACTGGAAGAAGCAGCCGAAGGTTGGCTTGCGGCATTTAACGAACATGAATCTGGCGCTGTGGCAGATTTGGTCAACTTCGTGTTGAGATCGGCTGGCTGCGAACTGGAAGTCACAAACGAAGATATTGAGGACCCCGACAACTGTGCTGGCAAGCTCAGCGACCTGCAAGACGAGTTCCAGGCAGTACGTTGATCTGGACCACATCACGCGATATCTCTACTGACTGCCTTGTAGCAAAACGTTTCCGAGTATCCCATTATCGCAAAGGGCAAGGGTACTGCCGCTTTCAAAGAATCGCTGACAGGCTTCTTCCACACGCTGATCAAAGCCATTCATACCACCAACGTCCTTNTTACCAACCCCGAACTGGTCGAGAACATGCAAGTATGGTTCGGCACCATGTCAGCAGCACAGAACAGACCTTTTAGACACACTGCAACTGTCGTCTCTCTAACGATCATCACTGCTCTCTGCGAAGTGGGCAGTGAACTGGCGGAAGAGGCCTCAAAAGCACTGCGTCATAGCGAGACCCAGAGGAAGGGCAAGAATGCGAACAAGACACGAGTCAGCGAGTTGCAGGACTACTCTAAGCAAGCAAAAGCAAATCAGGAAGTGCTCGACAATACCGTGAAGGACTGGTTTGACACGGTCTACATCCACCGCTATAGAGACGTGGATCCTCACATTCGCGTGGAGTGCGCGAAAGCTATTGGAGAATGGATTGTAGCCTACCCGGACTTGTATTTCAACGGCAAACATCTGAGATACGTCGGCTGGGTGCTTTCCGATCCGAATCACTCGACTCGACTTGAAGCTATCAAACAGCTTCACCGACTGTACGCAGACAAGGACAAGCTCGGTGGCCTCAAAACCTTCACCGAGCGCTTCAGAAGCCGTATGGTTGAAATGGCTACCAAAGATGCTGAGTCAAGCGTTCGAGCTGCAGCCGTCGAACTACTGGATGATCTGAGGGAGGGCGGTCTGCTCGAGCCTAACGATATCGATGCCATTGGACGACTGATCTTCGACGCAGAGCCGAGAGTGAGAAAATCAGTGGTCGGCTTCTTCGCCGAAAGTATCAACGACGCTTATGAAGCAAAAGTTGACACACTTGGTGGCCAAGAAGCGCTGGAGGAGATCATTGGAGAAGAAAGCGATTCCTTTGACAGCCCGTGCCAGGAGTGGATCAAGTTCAAGTGTCTAGCGGAAGGACTGGATTCTTACGATTCGGCTGACGGCCCCGTGCCGCCAAGTGTCGAGAGAGGTCCCGGTCAAGGCGCTTATCTGTTGCATGCTGGAACAACAGACTCGCGTTTCATGATTTCTGCAGACACACTCCACGACCAGATCGATGAAGTCCGCGAGTGGGAGAAGCTAGCCGGATATCTTCTATACGACACTTCTGTCGAAGACCAGAATGGTGATGCTGCCAGTGGCGAGTCACAACTGAAACAAGAACTTAGACTTACGGAGAACGAGGAGGTCATTCTTCTGGAAGTGTTGAACTCGTCTGTCAAGCAAGCTGTCGCATCTCTTGTGGAAGCACAGTCCGACAAGNAAAACGAAGAAAACCAAGAGGCAAAGGAAGATGCTGAAGAAATGCAGGAGCAAGCAGCACGTCATCTCGCAAACTTGATACCCCGATTGCTTAAGAAGTTCGGAGAATCACCGCAAACCGCTGCAAGCACACTTCGTCTGGGCCGTGTCCTGAGTCTGGAAGCCTTCCAGGACTTCAGACAAGATTCATCCACATACGCAACATTGTTGAACGACTTCAACAAGCAGTTCCTTTCTCATAGTAATGAGGAGGTGCTAGCAGAAGCCAGTCGAGCTTTGTTACGTGCAAAGAGCTATCACGAGCTTGGGGATGTTCCCGACGAGAGGATCGATTCCCTGTGGGAAGACACCATTAGCACGTTCAACACAATCACTCACGGCAAAGATCTCGAAACACGCGGGATACTTTCTACCACAGTCCTTGATGCTCTTTCTAAAACAGTGCTACGCCTGGAGAAGCTGTCCAGTATCTCTAACCCTGTAGAATACTTCGAGACAGAACTGTCCGCACCAGCTTCTGCACGCCCCGAAATGCCAGAACCCTCTCCACCCATCGACTCCCTGATTGCCCTCATCAATCGTGCCGCCTCACCAAAAGGCTCGGACCCAGAAACTGCTGCCCTCGACGATGCTCTGGCCATGCATGCGTCACGCACAGTCACCTTCTACTTCATGTGGCGTATTCCTGCGTTCATCAAATCATTGCAGACGACGACTCTGCCCGATGTCGAGCTTGAGAATCTTGCTGTGAGACGCGACGCATATGTCAATGCCCTTGGCTCAGTACTAAAGACACGTCCTGTCAACGACGAGCTCAGCACTATAGTGTCCGGCATGCTTCTTGACGCACATACCATCATGGCTACTTTGCGTCAAGTCACTACCGACAAGAATGGTGACGAGTACCTCGTGCTAGCTTTGGAGATGGACGCAGTATTGCAANAGCGCATTCTTCGTGTCTTTGGCTCAGCCGAGGCTGCATTTGCCAAAGCTACTGGCAAACATGTCGAAGTTGAGGCCGAGAACTCACAAGCACAAGAATCTGAAGACGATGATGAAGAGCCTGCCGACCCTGTCGACGCAGACCCTGAATCTGAGGATGAAGCAGAAGACGAAGCAGACGCTGAAGGAGACGATGAACAACAAACTCAAGCCTCTCAAGCAAAACGCGTGGCCAAACTGCAGAACAGTCTGCTCGCGGAACAGCGACTTTGTGAACTAGCGTCTAAACTTGTACTGGCTGTTCTGGGAAGAATGGTCAATGTAGCTGTCGTTAAGCAACGACTCGAACGAAACAAGACGCGCTTGGGACACAACTTTAAGCTTGTGCTTGAGCACTTGGACGCTCAGACCAAGGGCAAGAAGGGCAAGGGTAGAGCAGCAGCAGCAAAGACTGGCGCTCAACAAGCAAAGGCCAAATCCGCCGCGCCACAACAACAAAAGAGCACAGAGGTTGTTGTAGAAGATGATGAAGACGAAGAGGAAGATGAAGAAGCCGTCCGCGCAAGAGAAATTCAAGAGGACGATGAAATGGTGGACGAGCCAGAAGGCGGCAACCAAGAGGACGAAGCACAAGATGAAGTCGCTGCCGATGCCGAGAGCGTAATCGGTGACTAGGCGTACCCCTGTATTCTGGTATGAATGAATGTGGATGTTGTATCTCTCTCTTTCCGTTTTTGTGTTTCTTTTTCTGTACATACCCCTTTTCTTGTTTCTCAAATATCCTAGCTATCACCCAAAACTCACTCTTTGACTCATCTTGACTGTGTTTGCTTCCGTGTGAGTCGGTGACCTCAGTCCATCTTTGATCATATGAATGCCGAACCACATTAGATAAGAGAGTGGTTGACCTTCGTAGTTTCCAGGCAATCGAGCCATGAAGACCACCACGCCTTCCAAAACCATCCCCGAAAGACCACTGGCCTATATCTAAGAGTGCCGAAGCCGTTCGGGGCCGAATCTGCTTTGGAGTCGTCTTTCTTCTCCTACCATGCCAGACCTTTATCAAAGCCCACTTCGGCCTGTAGTTGTAACGTACTTGATGGCTTGTCAAAGTCATCCTCGGGCTTTCTATGAGGTCGAATACATTCTGTTTCACAGGCTGGGGTTCCTCAACTTTCTGATCTTAATATCTCTTTATTCAGAGATAGATTTCGTATGGTGCATTCGGTCATACATCGAAGTTGGCCGATGGAGGCATGTCAAATGTTGTACACAATGGAGGCCGAAGTTGATACCTTGCAACTGCGACTTTGAGGCAAGTACGTCTCACCATTTCTGGCCGAATTTGGATCGCTCCAATTACAACTTCCTACTTTATTATTGCCTAGTCAGAGTTGTGGTGTTAGCATCACACTGCAGTCCGAAGCCATTGCGAAGGCCAAATATCTATAAGCTCAGACGTATAAGAGATACGGGATTGCAAAGGTGCGACAGAAGTGCATTGACGAATTTCAAGCCAAGTATTGATCAGAGATGCACTATGGTTTACATTCTTACTGTCTCGTCGTCTCTCTCTTGAATCATCTTCCAAGACGGGTTCGTGACTTTGATCCAGGCTTTTATGGTGATCTGCTTCTTCGACTTCGCACTCGGCTTGTATGTGTGTGCGGTTTTCGATGTACCAAGATAGCTGTCCTTGGATGATTGAAACATCATGTTCAAGCCTGCGTTTTTATAACGCTGTTTCCAGATCCCTCCGACGCGATTACTTTGGAGGTTCGATGTCGCTTCCATACCTTATAGCGTGCGAGTTCCCGTCTCCACCTGACTCCAAAGGCCTTCTTAGAGTCCTCATTGTTCTCAAACATGGAAGAAGTCCATGTCAAACTCAGGGAAGGCATCGTACTCGAAGGGATCAGAATATTCGGCCACGCTTTCATCTTTCTTGTCGATGTTGTCTCTGTCTGACTCTATGTTGTTGCCAGAAACAGTAGCGGCATTGTGACCGTGATGGAACTTACGGAGATCTTTGCAGACTTACTTTTCAGACTGTTGACGTCTTTGTGATACTTTGACTCAAGCTCTTGATAGCGGGTCTCGGCTGTTTGGATCTTCTCGAGGAGGTCGGTCTTCTCCTTGTTGTGCTCTGCCTTTAGGGCTTCGATGTGGAGTTGGTACTGGGCATGTAGATCGTTGGCGAGTTCCTCGAGAGCATTGGTGGAGATATTCTGATCAATAGACATAATTTCCGGGCTGTATAGATCGTGTGTCAGGAGTGGCTTGCCAGATGTGCAAGGAATATGGTAGAGCATACCAATTGCACGATATGATCTTTGCTCAGATCGGCTTTCAAAGAAGAAATAACCAAGGTTCAAACGATCTATGCCACATCTGGAGAAGTAGAAAGTTGGTATGTTGACGGTGAAGTGTACAAGGGAAAAGATTCGGCCAAGGAGGAGGTGAGGAATCTCTGATGATGGAACGTTACGTGAGCGATGTATGAAAGACGATGAGTGAAAGCTCAAACATGAGAGAGAGGATCTCCGGCTACAGCAGGTGTGTATGGAATGGATATGGACGAGTGATCAAGTGGGAAATGCAACATAGATTCAGACAGCTCGGATCGACGCAGGTGCGCCTGAAACAAGGTTTAAGAAGTGAACAATCAACCATCTCAGGTACTACATAGGTCGAGATATGGGTTCTAGGACTAGGGACACAAAGCATCTGAGGTTTGGGTATTGGGATTGCATTAAACTTTCTTGTATGTTGTCCAGATATCTGAATGAATATTGGAATCAGCTGCTTCTCGTATGATCATGAAACCATTGTTCAGGCTCCCAATTTGTTGATCAATGTCCAGTATCATCAATCTCAACCCCTTCCCATTCCGATCTCACGAAAGCGCTCTCTTTCTTCATCTCGTCGAACATCTTGAGGAGAGCCTCGATGGTCTTCNNCCTAGCAGATGCTTTCTCGACTCTTCTAATGACTGTGGTTTTTCGGCATCTGATGCCTTTGAGGTGCTCATCAACTGTTCCCGTGGCTGTCAGAGAAACTATTGTCGCCGTCTTTTTTTGGCCAATACGGACGATCCTGCCCCTAGCTTGAAGCTCGGTTGACTCGTTGAAGTATTGGTCGTAGTTGATGAGATANTCTGTATCTTGGTCAATAACTGTTCACACAATAGCAGGCGTGCAGACTCACCTTGCAGCCGTAAGATTTAGACCAGTCGCTCCAACACCATTCGTAGCCAACATGATGAAGGTGTTGGGATCCTCGTTGAACTGCTTTATACTTTTCGATCTCTCGTCCTCTTTCATGTCTGCTCTCAGTATACTGAACTTCCACTTCTCTTCCTTGAAAGTATCTGCTAAAAGCTTGTGAGCATCCTTGAAGGTGGTAAAAACGACAACTTTGGCACTGGGATCTTCGGCTGTGGAATGTCGCCAAGCTTTGAGCAAGTCAACGACTGTAGCAGACTTGGTCGAGTAGATGACTTTGCCGCTCTTGTTCAACCATCTTGACTTCTTGTTCTTCTCATGTTCGTCTTCGTCGACTAATGGATAGATAGGTTGCCCACAAAGCTCACACGGCGTATTATCTTCCTCTGCGGAGTGTCCTTGGTCTCGGAGACAATCCTGGCAGTAGGCATGGTCGCATGGTGCCCATTGGAGATTTTCAGCTCGGAGCCCGCATGCCACACAGGCGTTGCCCTGCTGAAGCTCACGCACAGCTATAATGTAGTCAAATGCGTCTGGATCTCCGGTTTTGTCGGCGTATTCGGAGATCGTTTTGTCAATAATGTTCACATCATCGTCTGTCAGCTTTCTGAAGATGCCAGGGTAGATCAGAAGCACATGACCCGCCATCTGTCTCAAAGGCATGAGTAGTCCATCGACAAATTTGCGCGCCTTGGTAGCGTTAGGATTACGCGACCTATCCACCGCAAGTTGCTTCAGGCGTTCACGTACGGTCGAGTATATGATTTTTTCTGGTACCGACAGATCTTTGCACTGATCAATAAGTATCGGTTCTGGTATATCAGTCAACAATTGACCGAACAACTCGCTTTCGTATGTCCAAGATCTCGTGGATTCAAATACGAGCGTCGAGACCCATTCGAAGTTGAACCCTGTTCGTTCATTCATCGATTTCGAGCGGCTCGAACCGCTGCCTCTGTAAAGAATTTTGAACTCCTTGTATGTGAGTTTGCAGATCTTGGGGTGGCGGATGAATTTGAAAACAGAGTACAGGTCTGTCGGATCGTTGGTCATAGGTGTGCCGGTAAGAACCCAATGGAATCTGCCCATAAGCTTCTGGCATGCCATTGCGGCTCCTGTGTCACCATTACGAATCTGATGTCCTTCGTCGAGATAGATAGCGCGAAACTTGAATTGAAAGATTGCCGGGAGCTCTGGCCGAATAACCTTGTCGAAGTGCTCCTCCTTTTCTTCTTCAGACAGACCCGCTGGATATTTGACATTCTTGAAAGCGCTGCAGAGTTCTGGATATGTGACAAAAACCACATCAGCCTTTCGAAATTGTCGCATCTCAGCTTCAAGACTAGTCTTAGGATTGTAGGCATGGATTTGACCGAGACCCGGGGTTCTGTCTGAATTCGAATCAACTGTGTGCTTATCTGACTCAACCATCCATTGATTTCGCAGCCCTGTGGGCACAACTACGAGATTAGTCTTTGGCTCTTCAGAGGAGAGCGACTTTCTCGCATGAACCATGCTCACTAAGGCGCAGACGGTCTTGCCGAGTCCCATCTTGTCACCCAGAATGCCGCCTTTTGGGCCTTCTGTGCTAGCCTCTCTTTCGATCATCCAACCCGCGGTGATGATTTGGTGAGTCCTGACGGTTGTAGTCATACCTTCGACCGACCATTCGCCGTTTCTGAGGTACTTGATACTGTCTGGTCCGATATGGTAGATGGCATTCAGCACTCTTGCACTATCCTTGTATGCTCTTTGCTTCTTTTCTGGTGGTGCTTCTGCGATCAGGCGATTGAGATAACTTCTGATTCTCTTGTCTGATACCCCAAGGTCAAACTTTTCCGGGCCTGTTTCTGAATCTTGCATCGCGTTTTTTTGGAGCTAGCCGAAATTTCTCTCGCTTTGACACTCGCGTGTTCGTCTGACTTGTCTGGTGGTTCGAACATTGGAGATGGAGATCGAGATGGAGATCTCGTTTTGCGTTTCCTACTGCCCGATGCATTTTCGGCGATGATTTGATCGAAGCCTCTTTGGCTAAGTCTGGCCACATATTGCCTATGCAACTCTTCGAATAGCTCTCGTTCTTCGAGAGTCACCGTTCCATTTCGAACCGCAAATTTGATGGCTTTCTCCGCCTCGAGGTAGCGCCATTCAACATTCTCAAAAGGCTCTTGTTCGACTTGCAGTTGATAAGCTTTGGCCCGCAGTTGTGCAGCGAACTCCTGCTGCTCCTTTTTTAATGCTTGATCTTCCTCTGAGAGATTTTCCATTCTCGTAGTTATACTGCATATACAGTCAAGAAGCAAGACGGGATGTGCAAGTTGTGGTAGGGAGCGAGTTGATGAAAAAATCAATTGCCAGGATTCCTCTTCTCAGTGTCTCACAGATGTGTCGACGATACAGTCTGCAGTTCGTCAGGCTGTAAAGTTTGGTCTTGAGAGATGGACGACACCGATGTGGAGTGTGAGTCGTGGCGTGTTCGACGTTGTATGGCCTTTCTGATGATAGAGGTAAAGAAGTGGAAGGATAGGAGATGAAGTGATCCCGATCAAGTGAGGAAGGCAGAGATTCGCGAGATATGTCGTGGCCCCAAGAAGAGTTCGAAGGCAGCATCCACAGAATAGGAAACTGCTGGTTGAACCAGGAAGCGAAGCCAGTATGATGGATGATTACGGACTGACTGTCGTAGGAAGTGAGCAGCGGTGTGTCTGATGTTGTATGTTCTTGTTGATGAAAGTAGAAGAGAGAAGTGTTGTAGTTGTGTGAGCAGGGGAAGGCGTGATATGGAAGAATATGAGGGATGGTTTGGAAGGGGACAGCGTTGAACGGAACAAGAAGGAGGCTTTTAAGGGGACAGAGTAGGATCCGAAAAGCTACAGGGGTCCGAAAAGAAGGAGAAAAAGTGAAGAATGGAAGGTCACTGTTCCGCTGCACAAAGTCAGAATTGCCGTCCTCTGGGGATACTGTGTTCGCTGGACAAACCTGTTCTTCTTCATGACAGAAGTGAACGGGCAGATCAGATGTCTCGAGTGACGCCAACAAGCAAATATCGTAGTGATAATTTTGATATCAATCCGAGGCTCGCCACCGCAATATGCATCTGCATCACCTCAGTCGAGCGCCAAACAGCTTTTCGGCATTGCTGTGATACACTCCATCCTTCTCTGTCGCATTCAAGAAGTCAACCTCTCCCACTTCATCCGCAAATCCCTTGTACACCTGAACTAGCGCCCCAGGCACATATGAATAATCAGTACCCAACACCAACTTGTCCGTGCCAATCCCATAAGCCAACAACCCCTTGACCTGATAAGGAAAGGTCGGACCAGCAGTATCCCACCATAATCTCTGCTTGAACACTTCCAACTGCGCAGTAAACGCCGCAGGAGAAAGACGCGAGAGCATTCTGCTGATTATGGAAGGGAAACTGCCACCAGCGTGAGGCACGATGAAGTTGAGCTTTGAGAAGGTGGATAGAGTGGAGGTGAGAGTGAGGTCCATGAACGTTCTTGCGGTTTCAAAGTAGAGTTCTACCAAGCCATCGGGATATACAGTCGGATTTGCAATGATCAAGCTACCATTGCCATCTGGGACTCTCATGCATGGTTCGTTGGGATGGACGAAGATGATCTCGTTGGCGGAGGTGTTCGTAGAACTGTTGAGGAAAGAGAAGAAAGGCTGAAACTGAGGATTTCCGAGATAATAGCCTTCGTGGTTCGAGAGAAGACCTACACCCGCAGCGCCGAGGCGTTCGAGTGCATATCGTGCTTCTTTGATGGCTGCATCGACGTAAGGCAGTGGCGTGACGGCGAAAAATGCAAAATGAGATGGGTAAGTGCGAGACAGAGCGGCCAGATATTCGTTCAACAGTCTCGCCAGCGCGGTCGCTTTCGCCTCATCGTCTACATAGACAGTGCTCCCAGGTGACGAGATAGATAAGACACTTTTGCGGATGTTGACCGTTTGCATCATGTTGAATTGTCCTTCTAGAGTCCAATTCGGCGTCGGGCTTTGGCCTGTAGTAGGTACGAGCGCATGATACCATGTAGGCACTATGTGAGCNTATCCAAGTCAATTCAGAGTAGAAGTTGGAGATCAATTGTGGCTTGACTCACCATGTACATCAATCCTCGACGCGTTGCTGAATGGTGGTAGGGCGATCGGTATATAAGCATGTTCGATTGATTCGAGAGCAGCAGTCGCGAAAGGTAAAATCGTCAAGTCAATGCCATCTGCTTTTGCCGCTGCATAGATGGAAGTACCTCTCGATGTATTGAAAAACGGNGCATCTTGAGCCAAAGCGGTGGCCAAAAGTAAGACCAAACAAGTCAGTAGTGCCAACATATTTCATAACCAGCAAGACAAATATTGAAGATTGTTGTAAAGACAGTCGAAGGCCTCGATTTCGAAGACAAGTACCGCATGCTGGAATTTATACTATCAGACAGATTCGAGCCTAGATCAGTAAGCAATGTAAGGCAAGTGGCTGCATATTACTCGAGGGCTGAAGAGTTTAGGCACAATACCTAAGCGAGCATGCCGCTTACTCCATAATCCTTGTCACCAAGTCGCGATTGGCCTGGCCTGGGACAGGTTAAGACAACTGTTAGTAGCTCTTGTTTTCTGTTCTTTGTTACATTCTTTTCTTGATCACAACATCTTTCGTTGCGAGGTTGCGGCACAAGGTCTGTGACTGAATATTGTGCATTCCCTGCATATAATACAACCCCATGCCTCCGGCAGCGTGCTAGTCGTACAGAAAGTCGTCCCGATATGCGTAAACTCCAGTGTTGTAACAAAGCCGCCTAGTTCTTTTTCTCAACCTCGGACTTGACTTCGGCCTCAGCCTGAGCCTCCTTGTGCTTGCCCCAGGTCCAGACATCCCAGATCTGGTCCATAATAATGTCGCTAAGACCCTTGCCTTCAGCAAGAGCCTTCTGATCTTCCTGTGCTCTGCGTGCTCTCCAGCCCTCGGGCTTCTCATTTCCGTAGTAGACCTGCTCAAGGATATTTTGCTTGTTCTGCTGAGCAGCCTCGACGCCAGAGTCATCGCCAGCAGCTCTTGCCTCGCGTTGCAGCTTCAATTGACGCTGGAACTCGCGAGCCTTGTCGGTAGGTAGTGATGTGTCGCCCTTTGGTCGCATCTCCTCGGCTTTTGAGCCACCAATGACTTTCCAAATGCTTTGGCCTTGTGATTCGCGGTATAGGTAGTTTGCGGAGAAACCAGTCATTCCGACCAGAGAGATTGTGTAGAAGTCCAATTTGCGCGGCGGCAAGGCGGCGATAGCTGGGCAGATGACGAGACATGCGATGGCAGCGCGATGCAGAGTGACCTTGTAGCGTTCCGTCTCGTCGACGGTGGGCTGTCGCGTAGGCTCCTGAGGGTGTGACATGATGTGTCTTTTATGTCGTTGATCGTGTTCTTCGTGAGATATGTGTTCGTGTGTTTGACGAGTGCTGGAGATTGGGCATAGAAATTTGGAGAGCCACAAATTCCATGGTGACCTCGGCCCTTGATGACGCGCTGCAAGTTGCTTGCAACCGCTTGTTGTCGCACGGCATCCAAGTCCGCCTACAACAACTCCTGGCCACCCATCTCCCTCATCTTTACTTCTTGTTTTCACCCTATCATGATCTTCATGGACCTCGCATGAAAAGGTTAAAGGAGCAAAATGCCGACGAAGAGTTTACTGCTCGTCTTCATCCACGGCTTCAAGGGAGGGGACCACACATTTGATGGTAAACAACTTCCTACATTGAGTCGTGAATTATTACTCAATAAAGACGGTANNGGCTTCCCGGACCACTTCAGAACCCTTGTGCAGAACGCTCTGCCAAAGATCAATGTTCTGTCCATCGTATACCCCAAGTTTGAGACTCAAGGCGATCTAAACGAATGTGTGGCCAAGTTTCACGGATGGTTGCTCAACAAGTGCATCGACCTGGAAGTCGCAAATGGTACCCCATCACCAACCATTGACCCATCAGTGAGGGTCGTTCTTGTCGGTCATTCGATGGGCGGTATTGTAGCTGCGGAGACTCTGCTAAGCATTGCTCGTGATCAACCTGTACCCTCGAGTCAAACGTTCTCAACCACAGGCACTCAAGACGACTCGGAAATTGGTAACAAGACCGCGTCAAACCCGACGTCCAACAAGAACAGTGCAGTCAACCTCGAAGTGCCAGAATCGCAGCCTAGATCCTCATCAGCGCCTCCTCAGGAGAAGCCCTCAATACCCTCTCAGGACACCGATCCAGCCAACGCTCCAGAGTTCTTGTTCCCTTACATCCAGGCTGTACTTGCCTTTGACACTCCCTATCTAGGTATACATCCTGGTGTTGTGGCTCATGGCGCAGAAGAACATTACAATACAGCTTCTGCCGCTCTAAGTGCCTACAACCAAGCCTCTCAATTCTTTGGTATTGGAAAATCTTCCAGCACACCAGCGCCTCCCACAAAAGTTCCTGCAGGCGCTCTTCCACCGCCAGAGGCCGGCGCATGGGGGAAATGGGGCAAGTATGCTATGTTCGCAGGTGGCGCCGCAGCATTAGCAGCAGCTGGAGGTGCAGTGTGGCAGAACCGCGAACACATCTCTAAAGGCTGGGCTTGGGCAGGAGGACATCTTGAATTCGTTGGCTGCCTAGCCCGCGGTGCTGACCTGACCAAACGTGTCGAAAGCGTTGCTGCCCTCAGTTCTTCTCACAACATCGGGTTCGCCGATTTCTACACCTGCCTCGACACAAGCAAGCAAGGAAAGACTTATTACTCGGAGCAACTACTGGGCGAAGAGAGAACTTTCTGTGTAGTACCGAAGGAAGCAAAGGAACAACGAGGTGAATCACCGCTTAAGAAGCGCAAGACAAGCAATGTTGTGGACAAGAAGCTGAAGAGTAAAGGCACCTGGGTCAAATGCATCAACGAGAAAGCGAGTAAGGAAATCGCTGCTCACGTTGCCATGTTCACGCCGAAAGACAACCCCGATTACTACGCCATGGCCGATAGAGCAAAGGTTGTTTTGGTGAAGGCGGTGGATATGGATTGGTATGAGAGTTCCTCGCCGACCCCTGAAGCGACCCCCGAACCCGAGAAGCAGAATCAGTCGGGCGCTGAGTCCGCGCAGGCTTGATGTTTTCCAGTGACAATCGTTTGATTTCAGATATATAGATACCCTCAATGCACGAAAGAACAAGATTCAGCCTGTGACGAGAAGTCGCATTGTCAACTCTAAAAAAGACTCGAGCTGACGAGTGGCATGACGACGCGACCGGAAGCGTGGGAACTCGAAGCCCCTCGATTTCGTTGTCGCAACGGCAACATTTCTTTCCTCTCCTTTGATCAGAAGACAATAACTTAGCCACTCGACCTACATAATGCTATTATAGACACCGGTTGAATATCCAACAGAACTACAACCAGCATGCCCGTAGCTCCAGGACCCAGCCGGCGATTCGTACTCCTACTCATCGGCGTCTCGGCCTTCATCGCGTTCACCTTCGTCTTCTCTTTCCGCTCGCATGAGATCGGTGTCAGACACCCTTCAGCTGGAGGAAGAGCCGGCAACCCGGTTGAAGTCGTCAATGCAAAACTCGACAAGCTCAGACAACTCGAACTGCAAGACTCGACTCTATCCGGACATGTGATCGCCCCCAAGCTCGGTAATGAGACAGCTAAGTAAGTCGCAGTGGCCGGACCTATGACATGATGGACAGTGACTGACAGGTTCCCACAGANNGCCGAACTTGGTCGCGCAGCATGGAAGCTCTTCCATACCACGTTCGCCCGCTTCCCGGACAACCCCACAGCTGAGGAGAGCGCCGCCTTGAACGCATACATCCACTTGTTCCAGCGATTATACCCTTGGTACGGTTTCAGTCACCACATCACACGACTCTAGCTAACATACAAGCTACNNAGCGGCGAATGTGCCGGTCACTTCCGAACGATCCTCGACAAGTTCCCTCCACAAGTCTCATCGCGCTCAGCAGCCGCAGCCTGGGGCTGCCATGTTCACAACGAGGTCAACAAGTCCCTAAAGAAAGAGATATTTGATTGTTCAAACATCGGTGACTTCTACGACTGTGGATGTGCCGATGGTGAAGCACCGGAAGGGGGTGACAACAAGGAGATTACACAGGCGAGGAAGAAGTTCGACCCTCCGGAAGACGTTCCTCTGAAGCTTGAACAGGATGGGTGAGTCGAGACAACTTCTAGGATGTATGGCATTATGCTGACAATATGTTTTCAAGATGGGGCCGAGGAGGGTAATCTAGGAGCCCTGAACCTTCTGCTACCTCCAAACAAACATTTACGAACAATATTTAATCCATTGCCATTATTGGTACCTACGCTTCAACTCGTTCATGTTTGCTGTCCCTTTTCTTCCTCAATACCCCATATTCAAGATTACGCAAGGGCGAGAAGCCGATGGCCGAAAGAGCCGCATCACGCTAGCCTCCGCATACCAAAATAAATAGCAATCAACTTTTTGCTCAAAAATTCCTAGAAAGCCTCATCTCGTCTCACCATTACTCGCCGCCTTCGTTGTTCGACTCCCTGTACCCGCTTCCAAATTCCTCGGTTCCACCGTTCATCGAGTCTGCAATATCGCACAGAGCCGCCACCGCTTTGCGACACAGCATAACTTCACCAACCGCGCGTTAATCCGACATGGTTTCCTTCTCGTGTGAGGTATGCGCTGAGGCAATCGAAACATATGCATTGATTCCGATACTAATCAATCACTCAGGGATGCGGTGACATCCTTACCAAGAAGAAACTCGACCCCCATGCCAACCAGTGCTGGGGCGCATCTTTCACTTGCATTGACTGCATGGTCCACTTCGAAGGCACCTCCTACCGTGCGCATACCAGCTGTATGTCTGAGGCTCAGAAATACCAAGGCCACCTCTACCGAGGCGAGAAGAAGGGCAAGGGTCAGAATCAAAATCAGAACCAGAAAAACCAGGCACTCGTCCAGACCAAGGCACCCGAACCTACCACTACCGATGTCGCAAAGACCAATGCTCCGCCCAAGGCCCCTTCACCTCCTCCCTCTGGTGCCGAGCTGCCCNCCAGCGTGAATGTCTTCGACTACATGGACACCCCTGCAAAGATTGAAGCCGCACCCATTGTCACTCCAGCCTCGAAGCGCGACCGTGAAGACAAGAGCAAGAGCGACAAGAAGCGCAAGAGAGATGATCAAGATATGCCAGACGCCACCCCTGCATTGCACACTGGTCTCACAGGTGGCCTCAACAGAATGCTGTCCGGCCCTGACTTCGGAGAAGACGGTGCTGCTGCCAGCCCTCTCAGCCCCAAGAAGCGTAGCAAGAAGGAAAAGTCAGAGAAGGAATCATCAAAGAAGTCTTCGTCAAGCAAGAGCTCTTCTAAGAAGTCAACATCCTCAGACGCGCGCGAAGACAAGCAGCTCGTCAGCAAACGCTCTCCAGCAGAGTTGTTCTTGAGTTTCGTCGACAAGGGTCCTGAAAGTGAGAGCGGCTTGAGCATCAACAAGGCCCTTAAGCGCTACCACCGCGAGCGTCAAGCCCAGGGCAAGAAGGACGACGGCGACAAGGATCTCTGGAAGGATCTTCGTATCAGGAAGAACGAGAAAGGAGAGTTTGTTCTTTTCATTTGATTGGGTCATGGGGTTTGAGCGACATGTATTATACCAATATTCGTTTATCATGGTTTAGAGGCTGGCGGCCAGTGACAGAATTCAGAGTCGACAAGCGGGGGTGACTGCCCAATCTTCCTTCATCCTCCAGCGCATCTCCAAGTCTTCCAAATCACCGACGAACGCCATTCACAAGTACCCACTGCCATGTGCTGTTCTTGGCTGCGAGCGCAAGCTTTTTCTGGGGCCATTATGCAATCTGAGACGGCTGTCACAGCGTATGACTGATCAGGGCGCTTAGCTACTCGTCGACCCAATGAGGGCTCGCAGCGCATACAGATTCCCAAGCCCGCGCGTTACAAGAGTCTTCGATTGGCAGCTCTGATCGCTACCTTAACGCAACCGGGACTAGACGAGCGGTAGCAGCCAATCCAGAAATAAACATACTCGAGGCGATTCGTGCGGTGACCCTTGCGGCTTACGCGCCGCATTTCTCTTTGTATTGAGTAGAGCTCCTGTTTCGTCCAGTCTTCTTGCATTCCAGGTAAGCATACAAAGTCGACTTATATACTCTCTTTCTTTCTGCTCTCTTGTGCTTTCATAGTCGCATTCACCCGTCCGGCCAAGGATTCACATCTACATTGCCATCGTTCTTTAGTCAAGTCACTCGCTTCATTCGTTCTTTTCCTTGACTTTGCAGTATGACGGCTCGGAGTACCTCTGCTCCTTCGGTCATTGAGATCAAGTCCGGTGACGACAAAAGACCCAAGAGACCGACTCTTCAGACGCCCCTTTCGGCCTCATATCCCTCGGAAGTCAAAAGCCCTTTTCCAGGTACACCAAGCTTCATCAAGAGGGAAGAGAACATCAAAACGCCTGTCACTCCTCCGGTCGCCTATCTGGACTTCCTGAAGTCAATGCCAACCGGCCTGGCGAGTCCGCTTACTACAGGAACCAGCTCGAAGTTCCACTTTCAGGACAAAGTTCCTAGCGAAGCCATCGAGGAAGTAGATGAAAAGTCCCCAGATGCCACGCCTGAAGCCGTCCAGCCGACACTCTCTCGCACCAACTCTACCAGCTCCGAGTCTTCTACTACGTCTGTGATTTCAAGTTCGACCGAGTCTGTGCATTCAGTGTCTAGCACGGTTTCAGAGACCAAGGAGACCAAGCGCAAGGCCAAGCCACGGTCACCCCGGGTCATTATACCTCCTTCTCCATTTGCCAAACCTCGGTCTGCAAAGCTTCCTAGAGGTATCCAGGTCCCTCCTTCTCCCATGTCACCGGCCAATCTTCGCTCGCCAATGAGCGCTCGTACCCACTATGAGCCTCACAGTGCATCTGCTCTGAGTGGTGCACCATGGAGTGCTACATATTCACCCACGGAAGCTGAAAGCAGCACGACCAGCAAGATGAGTGTTCGTCAAGTGGTGACAAGGACAGTGACCTACTCACGAACACCACTCGATCCAGCACCAAAGGGCAAGAGGAGAAAGATCGAGGAATGAGGATGACCAATCTGGGTTTTCAAAACGCATGACTGTTTACTGCCGTTGCCGGACACGACTTGGCTAGATATCTGGTATGTACCAGCGCCTCTCCCAACACTACACACTGTGTTGCTCACAACCGAGCGACGAAGAAGAAGAAGAAGAAGAAGACGAACGCAGGACCGTTCCAATCTACGAATATGATGGCCGCATGACAAAAGTGACAAGCCAGCGGGTCTGGATCAGACTCCTGGAGAGGCTTGTTCGAAACGATGACGGCGCTTGGGCGTCGAGGTGTTGGGTGCTGTGGTGTCATGGATGGATTGTCGATGTGGGATGGATTTCTGAAACAAGGGCCATTATCTTTACACAAGTTTTAGTACAATTGCAGACTAATATTCTTCCTCTGATCGATAGGCCTTGGTCAGTGATGGCTGGGGCAGCAATGCAGCGAACTCGGAGGGTGCTGTGCCGACGGCATGTGAAGTCTGGGGCCAGAGCCTCGGCTGATTGATGGCTGACAGGTTGGCCGCAAGCCGAAGCCGTTCATGGTCCCTGGCCGATCGTACTTGCCATCTTGTTCTTGTTCCTCGTACTCATAGTTCAGTCTTGTTATGTCTCTGCCGTCTCCGAAAGGCTCGAAGGGTGCGACCCAGGCCGAAGTAGTACTGCAGCCACAGCTGAAGAGCTGTCTGGTCAATCTGCCATCTTCGCTGGTCTCTGTACTGGTCAATGCCAACACAGTAGCTATGTCCTGTCGCATAAGTGAGAAGTCAGACTGACGCGTGTAGGTAGCTCAAAATGTAGTCGTCGAGCTCAGCTTCCGTCAGCCAGCACCATCCTTGGATAAACAGAACACATCCTCGTCACAGCCACGCTCGATATACCTAGGATGGACGGGTATGCAAAGCCAGACCAGGTTGGCTCCTATAGTGTCAAGGAATGGAATACAAGGGACAAGAGGAAGCACTGCTAGACAAGACCAAGACGTCGCTACTGTCGAGCTCGATTCAACTCTGGCAAGAGTCTTGGGTATAGCCAATGGCTTGAAGGTTGCTGTCAACCTCCACATTGATCCACCCCAAGCGCATACCGTCAATATCGAGCCGCTCACACCAACCGACTGGGACATCATTGAGTTACACGCCCGTTTCCTCGAGACCAACTTTCTGTCGCAAGTTCGTGCTCTCCCGAATCCTGCCTTCTCTGGTGCTCAGAGTCAACGCCATCCTTTAACCTTGCATCTTACGCCCACCTCTACCGCAAACATTCTAGTCACATCGCTCAGTCCTGCTCCGCCATCGACCCAAGCCTTTGTCAAAATCTCGCCCGATGCCGAAGTTATCGTTGCGCCAAAGACTCGCCAGCCTCGAAGCTCCGATCGATCGAGTCGAAGTGTCGCCAGCACAAGCAGAAAGAGCGCGGGAGGAAGAAGCAATGCTAGTACCGTTCGACACCCGGCCACACGAGAAGAGCTTCCCACGCGTCCGCCACTCTTCCTGAGAGGTGTCGATCGTGCCATGGCCACTGAATACTTCGACGAAGATGATCCTGACGATGCCGACAAGGAACTACGGATATGGTTGGATAGTGATCATCTGCTTTCCAAGAGTCTCAAGGGTCTGACTTGGGTCTCGGTGTCAGTCGTCCGACCTGCGAGCTTGGAGGAGCCTGTCAACCCACAGAAACAGAGCATGGATTCTGAGAAAGCAGCTTCCAAAGTTGTCGCACGGTTGTGCACCTGGAATGATGCACCAGACAGCCAACATGCTGCTTTGTCTTCGTTACTCTGTGCCGCCATGGGTTCTCCAGGACTAGTTGGAGGCATAGTCAGGATCGAAGGCGCTCCTCCACAGCTACCCAAAACTGCTTCGGCCATGAAGAAAGAGTCAAAGGAGAAGGAGTCTGTGGTCAAGACCCTTCGAGTCTTTCCCTTCGGCACTGCTCAGTCAAATGTTCTGAAGTTTGGTGGTGAATCTGCTGCTGAGAAAGAGGCTGCCGTACGGAAGTTGAAGGCTATGTTTGGTGATGGTCAAGATGGATCTGGTCTGCTCGAAGGTCCTTTGACAGATGGAATGCTTCTGCCAGCAGAGACCGACAAGAGCAAGGATCATGCTTGGCCAGGTGGTATACTGCGATTCGACCCTTCACCGAATAGTACAGATGAGCACTCTCTGAAAAAGTCTGCAGATTGGCTGATGGGTGCTGAGCGCAAGCTGACGATAGAGGTCCAGCCGGAAATCGCAAAGCCTTCAGACTTGACACGGGGGACACCTGGTCATGAGATACCAGAGTCACCACCAGAAATGGTCGGCATCGACACTTTGACAGCGGAGCTTGAAAGCCACCTCTCGCACTCATCGTCTATATTGCTTACAGGAGGCTTGGGCTCAGGAAAGACATCCCTTGCACATCTTCTTGCTAACAAACTCCAGAGAGAACGTCTTTATAACATCACTTACTTTTCCTGCCGGACACTGGTCACAGACGAGACACGTGTGTCTACTATCAAAGAGACATTGCAAAGGGTCTTTGGTGCTGGAGCATGGGGTGCTAGACTCGGCGGTCGCGCTTTGGTCGTACTGGACGACATTGACAAGTTATGCCCTGTAGAGACAGAACTTCAAGTCGGTAACGACAACGGCCGCAGCAGGCAGGTTAGTGAGCTCTTATGCTCAATCGCAAGACAGCATTGCTCTCGAGATACGGGTGTGGTATTACTAGCCACTGCCCAAGCTAAAGAGTCTGTCAACAACGTGGTCATTGGAGGACATGTTGTTCGTGATATCTTGACGCTAAAAGCACCAAATAAGGATGGTAGACGCAAAGTTCTCGAGCTTCTGGTACGGCAANAAGACGTTGAGAAACCGAAACACTCAAGATCACATAGCGATGGTGCTGCTTGGATGGGTGGTTCAGAGGCAGGCGATCAAGTAAATGGTGCAGAGGGTTTCGAGGTTGATCCTTCGATTGACTTTCTGGATGTCGCTGGACAGACAGATGGCTACATGCCTGGAGATCTTACCTCTCTTGTCTCGAGAGCACAAAATGAAGCTCTCATCCGGAGCGTCTCGGAAAATACAGAAAATCCACAGGTCTCGTTGACCAGGGAGGACTTCACAGCCGCGCTCAAAGGATTTACCCCAGCGTCTCTTCGTGGTGTCACGCTACAGACATCTACCACTACTTGGTCGTCAATTGGTGGTCTGCAAGAAACTCGCCAGACTCTTCTGGAAACCCTGCAGTATCCAACGACATATGCGCCTATTTTCGCACAGTGTCCATTGCGTCTTCGATCCGGTCTATTGCTTTATGGCTACCCAGGTTGTGGAAAGACGTTGCTCGCATCGGCAGTAGCTGGAGAGTGCGGCCTCAATTTCATCTCAGTTAAGGGACCAGAGATCCTTAACAAATATATCGGTGCTTCCGAAAAGAGTGTTCGCGATCTGTTTGACAGAGCAGAAGCCGCACGTCCTTGTGTACTATTCTTCGACGAATTTGACAGTATAGCGCCGAAGAGAGGACACGATAGCACAGGCGTCACTGATCGCGTTGTTAACCAGCTCCTTACACAGATGGATGGTGCCGAAGGTCTTTCAGGCGTCTACGTCCTCGCTGCCACCAGTCGACCCGATCTTATCGATCCTGCTCTTCTTCGTCCTGGTCGTCTGGACAAGAGTCTGCTTTGTGACATGCCCAATATGGACGACCGTATCGACATCCTCCGCGCCGTGACCGGAAACCTCAAAATCGAACCCAGCATTCTCGACTCCTCCAACGAGAACCAAAGTCTGCTAGAGATAGCCCGACAGACACAAGGATATTCAGGCGCAGATTTGCAGGCAGTCATGTACAATGCGCATCTAGAAGCCATCCATGATGTCCTAGGTCCCACCGAAGAACTCGGCAACGGAAGCAACGACAAATCTTCATCTTCACGCTCAAAGTCTAAATACAGAGACTTTACCTACTTCCGCTACGGCGACGAGAATCTAGGAAAAGACACCTCTGCAAACCCAACACCGCAATCTCTAGCCGAACGAGCCACTATCGCTGCGAAGTTAGCTGCTCTGGAAACTGCGCGTAAACGCTCTAAAGCTGCTAACTCCATCCCCGCAGACACAAGTGTCAATGGCGTCAAAGAGGAAGCTGCGGATACACAAGAACCGGTGATCTCATGGAGACATGTAGTCAAAAGTCTAGAGCAGACTAGACCTTCCATCTCTAAAGCTGATCAAAGGAGACTAAGCACGATATACAAAGAATTTGTGGTGGGAAGGAATGGCGAGATGGCTGATGGCGAGGCTGGCACTGAGATTGGAGGACGCTCGACGTTGATGTAGACGAGACGTAAGCGAAGGCAATACCAATGATAGAGTTTCTGCCATCTAGACCAAGTATCCTCGTTCCGAAGGCTAGAGAGATCCGACTGTTTTAGCCCATCTTGAAGTCAGCATTGAACAGTCAAATCGACCACAGGACTTTATCTAACAAACAAGAAACACAGTGGGATGATGTAGATTCAACGGCGAAATACCACTGTACACTGTATAATAATCGGCTCAAGTTCGCGGACGCTTGTCGTGGACGCACTTTGTGTAGCTAGAAGTCATTTCTGGTTGATTGCACTTACGTTGTTCTGCATTGCCCAGATCTGACTTTCACTGGCTGTTCTCGTGCTTTCCTCTCTTACCATCTCGCTCTTGATTCTGCATAAACAGATACAAGGTGTAGATAAAGCTGACTTTTGGCGCTGCTTGCAAATATAATTGTTGAAAGATCGTCTATCTCATCTTTGCTTTACAGTACCTGACCGTTGCTTGCGTTGATCCAGAAGTATAGCACAATCTTACAGTCCACTATGATTACTTCTCAACAACATCCCTCTCCTCAATCTTCATCCACATATCCGTAAAATAGCTCAATCCACCCTTGTACACATACTTGCCAGGCTGTTGTTTATCCTCCACCTCCAATCTAAACGTCCTCAAAAACTGCAATGGAGCTTTGTATAATTCCATGTTCGCGATTTCCTTTCCGAGACATCCTCTCGCACCATACCCGAACCCAAGACTGTATTTGTTGAACAAGCGCGTCTTTTCGTCGTCTTCGAGCCAGCGGGAGGGACGGAAAACATCAGCGTCGGATCCGTAAATGGCAGGGTCGCGGTGGACGATATATGGGTTACAAGACACCTCCATGTTTTCCGGGATATGTTGATCGAAAAGCGTCATGCCACCTTTGCTAACCACACGAGGGAAGATATTAGGTGCTGAGGGAGTCAGGCGCATGGATTCTTTGATGCAGGCGATGTAGAAGGGACAGTGTTCGACGACTTCGTGGTATTGCGGCATGGAGGAGAGGTGGCCTGCTGCTGTTGCGGCGTCCAGTTCGGCCATTAGAGTGGAGTAGACGGAGGGGTGGGTCAGGATGTCGCGCATCAGGGCTTGGAAGGCTGTGCCGGTGGTGTCTGCGCCTGCGAGCAGCACGAGTAGGATTTCGGCTCTGATGTATTCCGGGTCGAGGGGTTCGCCTTTTTCGTCGCGAGCGTCGATGAAGNNCTGGGTTCTGATGTTAGCTCTTCTGTCATAGTGTTGCGGTTTCGGGGTTTGCGGAACTCACGTCTGCAGCAGATCAATCCTGCCATTTGTGTCGCCAGCCTCAATATCCTTTCTCCTCTGCTCAATCAACTTATCACGAAAACGCATAAGCGTACCAATACCAGACTCCTGCTCTGGTCTAGCAACAAGATACTTGTCGCCAAAAGCCGTACGCTTGATCCAACCAGTAAAAGGATAGAGACGAGCCATAAGTCCAAAAGGAACAAGACCCTCATGGAGACCTTTGATCAAGCCAGCTACATCCGAACCAGACTTTATAAAGCCAAAGGGAGCACCAAAGCCAACTTCGGAGATGACATCGTATGCCATGTATACAGCCCAAGGAGCGAAATCCAACTTTTCACCAGTGTTTGCGAAGCGAGTGCGAAGTTCGTTGATCCAGTCATTGATACGGAGATCGATCAATGGTTCCATCTTCTTGATGTTGGAAAACTGGNNGATCCGGTATCAGACTGGTAGTTCATTGAAAAGCTTAGTCTAGACGTACCTGTAAGATCCAGCAGCTACTTTTCTGAAGCGAGCATGCGTCTTCGAGTCTTGCATGTTGAACAGACTTTCGTAATTTCCAAAACTTCCGGTGATGTAGTGTTTCGACTTGTCTGCGTAACGATGGTAGATCTCGGGTAACTTCGTAGCATCGCTGACCAGCAGCAGAGTAGGAGTGACTCGGATGATGGGACCTTGAGACTGTCAGAGATTGATCCATGTGCAGTAGTGACTTCGTTCTCTACCATATTTCTTGTGAAGCTCAAGGCAGACGAGATGCTCGTCTTCTTTCAGATTGTGATATNNCTACCTTGGAGTCAGCTTTCTCGAACTCGATATACCAGACCACGAACAGGATCCTTGGAAGAATGCCGATACTAACGCGATCCATAGTCTTGTGACGCTTGCCCAGAATGGGCCTGGGAACTTGGACAGAGGGTGAAACCACCTGTAGTAAACGATCTGATACAAAACACGAGCAAAAACATATGCTACGAGAGCAAGAAACAAGTTGCGGAAGGTAAGCAAGGAAAGAGCAGCAGAGCTGCCACTCTGCAATTGAGAATCCATGGCGCGGAACACGAACGACAGGATTTGGAGAAGGAGCGAGACTCCCGGGTCCTTCTTAAGCAATCCACTCGGAGCGAATGGATGCAGACATATTAGAGACCCTCGTCCCGAGGCCTAGCACTCAACGGTTTATGAAACCAAGTCGAGACTGCGGGAACCAAACAGACCCAACGACCCTCCATCTTATGGGTCGTACCCAGAGGAGTTCCTTCGCTAATATAGTTCTCCCAGGAAGCGATATCACGGCCTGAGTGAAGTGCCTGGATGGTAAACAAGGGTCCACAGCTCGAGCACGGGAACATTAGTGGCTCTGTCGGACGTGCGAAGCAGTGGCGTGTGTCTTGTGGCCCCGCTCATAATGCCAGCTCATCTATTGACGAAGTTGAATGGTCAATTTTGGTAGTAGCGGACCAATAAAGTCAGTGATTGACATGTTGTCTGACAGCCAGCGATCCAAAGAGAACCTGGCCAGGGTATGTTCGGGTGAGCTTATTCAACACACTGACCAAGAGAACCAAAACTCGGTCCAACCTGCCGAGCAAGGTAATGTGAAACACTGCGGGATTGGTCATTTACTTTTCGGATGACGGGTGAGAATATAGGCCCGTCCCGTCTAAACACTCGTTCCTGACCCCAATTGATAGTCTTTTGACTTCTCGTACAGCATCTGTAGCACACGACGATAATTAGCAGAAGCAAATAACAGTTCCTGACTCAAGCGGTGAAGGCTGACGGCCAAGGAAGTCGCTACCCGCAAATTAGTCCGCATACATGTCAATGCTTAGTATAGTGGGGCTAACTCGCGACAGCCATGACGATCAGCTGTCGAAGGATCCGAGCATGAGTGTCAAGAAAAAGTTGTTGTGAACGTGATGATCAACAATTCATTAGAGTAAAATATACTGCCCTGAAGAAGTGATATGCCAGATATTGTTGACCTCCGCAACTTCACAACGATGTAAAATGTCGTCGCTTGCGAGTAAGAGTACAATTAGGGATCCGGATTTGAAAACCTATCTGCTTGGATCTGTATCCTGTGGTATTATATTTGTGACAATTTGCTGCACTCAAGAGAGCTCTCTTTGATCCTTGTGCGAGCCGAGAGAACTCCTTCTCTCTTCGAAAACACTTCTAGATTCTCCTTCGACATGGATGTGTCTAGTGACGCCAATCCTGTTTGGCGGATGCAGTGCCACTTCTTCACTTTCCACACTGTCTGAGTCCTGATTGATGGTTGTCTCGAAACGACCTTTGCACATACCCAGATCCCGGTCGATAGTGTCGAGGGCCAGATTGTTACTTCTAGCAGTACCACCCATTTTGCGGAAGCCGCTGCTTCCTGCTTTGACGTGTGCTGATCGTGAGTGGTATCGGTTGGAGTCGTAGGATCCACCCAATAGCTTGGGCGCATACTTCTTGGCTATGGCCTTGAATGCCGGCATCGATGCGGTCAGAATCCCGACGTTGGTCTCGATCACACTCCAGTACATTGGTCCTGAGATGGTCCAGGTCTGGTCTGCTGAGAAGAGCATACCCGGAATATAGGTGATTCGGATGATAGACGACACGCAGGTGNNCTAAGAATGTTAATGTCTGCGAGTCAGGGATCTGTACTGTGGTTCGTAGACTTACAATAGACCTAGCCCAAGCATAACGCCCAAGCCGACTTTTNNTTGTCTTCGAGGGATTTGTAGCTTGCGAACCAAGTGGAAAGGCAAGATATAAGTCGACAAATCCGTAACAATCGTCAATGCCGCATTCGTCAAGTAGAAAGCCGTAATGTTGACACATTTAGCAGTTTTCTGAAGCTCTGCTGTGTATGCTGCCGCGATGGGTGTGCATTGGAAGATGCACGTGAAGACATTGGCGATAGCCTGGCAAACGACGATTGCCAGCAGAACCTGAGCGAGACGGTTGAGCTGAACATCTCCAAGTCGAAGGTAGAATGCGAGGATGGAAGCCTTTAGGAAGCCCAGACAAGAGTTATAGAAAATCGAAGACAGCCAAACAGACNNTGGAAAGCATGAGATCAGTACACAACGAAATGTTTCATGGCAGCTGTGTGTACGTACGTATGCGTAGCTGTTCATGTTAGTGGTGCCCATCTTGATGACTTCGTCCATGTGTGACCCCAGGCCATGGTGAACCGCAACTACTGTAGCGACGATGAAAGCCCATGAGAGAAGAGCCGCGACACATATCAANAGCTGCTCCATGTCAGCGGAAGACCACGGCTTCTCAACGGCGAACCCACCATCATCCAGACCCATCTTTCCGAGTATGATGACTCGAGCGAAGAGGCGCAAAGCCATGACAATGACGCTGAGGACGCCGAATATGATTGATATGGTGACGACTGTTCGGCCTTGTGAGTCGGACATGTTGGCGGTTCTCTTCTCCTGCTGATGCAATGCCTGTGAGTTGTGATGACAAGGAGAACGAGAGCGAGGACGTAACACTCGATGATGGCGGAGAAGATAAGCAGATTGGCAAAGGTTTGTGTTGTAGTTCAAAGAATCAAGTCGAGGCGAGACACCGACTCAGGCCTTTGCCTGATGTCTAGATCAAGATTCTGACAGTGCGATGCCCATAAAATATGAAGTACAGATGCGGTGCAAAAGATCTTGACCAGCTGTACCCCGACCATAGCACGTCTGTTAGTCTGCACATCAGGACAGACTAGGTAGTATCCCGGGGGGAGGAAGGTTTGATCGAGTCAAAGGCGCACTGGGCGTCCTTTGGACGATGATAACCGGAGGAAATATAGACGGGAATTGTGGCCGAGCATGAATGTGATTTGAAGATCATGTACCCACAAAGAAAAGCGTGTTGAAGCCCGTCCTTGCCCCGAGGCTACAGTAAAGCCGAGTAAGGAGGCCATGCAGGGCTAAGAAGACTAGTTCCAATGCCCAGCAGCACACTCGAACAGACTAGCCCCTCTACCATTGTGTCGGGTCGTAGGATGAGCGTCCAAGATGTTGGGCTCCAAGCTTGGTAGAAGTTTGATTATGAACATCGCATGGCCGACAAGAGTAGCTTCAAAAAGCTGCTCTGAGCTCGTACTAATCTTGCGAGGAAATAATTGCGTCTTCTAGACAACGGCCATTGATCCGGAGGTGAGGAAGGTGGAGGTGGTTGGAAAATGACGCGAAGTGTCAAGCAGTCGTCTCGAACTGCTGTTGCGAACGAATGGCCTGTGCGCTTTCCATTATTCATTATGCTAGACTCCAACCTCATCCTCGAACCTGCAACTGCATCGGACCAATTCAATCCAACTGCTCAACCAAGTTGCAGATCGAGAAGGTATGATGTTCTTCGATGATACAGTACAGTAGTGTCCGACACTGGTTCTTGGGTTCAGCCTCAAGATGTCAAGAAAACCTGAAGGATCACTCCTGCATAGTCGCGCGCTCGGAACGAAACTTCCTACGCGCACGGCCAAGAGGAAAAAAAGCTGTTGCGTCCGTATATGCATCTCCTGTTTCCACTAGTAAGGCTGGAGTCACCGTCGGATAAAAAGAAAACCCTTTCCTGTGCAAGGTAGGTGCGCAGCGTAGCAGACTCGAAACCGTGCACGTCTTCTGTTGCGTGATAAAACAAGCAGGCGCGGTCCGCCAGTTTGTTGTAGGAGTCTTCATCAATCGAACCGCATATTCATACTTCATTTGGTCCTAGTATATTGCATGAATCCGCCAAGGAAGATCATGTAGGGCTTTATTGAGAACCGACCTCAAGAAGCGGCAGTCGAAATGATGATATACAACACATCCGAAGTGGAAGATCAGTGGAGTCAAGACATGGGGGTTAGCACTCTACTTGAATGTGCAGTGGAAATGCTCAAGGATAGAGTGCTGGACATGCACTCCTGACGATCAGCCACGTCGAGGATTTGGGTAACGTGGACGTTATACTGCAGACTGAGTATATCAGAGGCTCACAGTGTTCCGATAGTGCTGTACGGTCGGGGTAAGAAGATGGTTGGATAATATAACATGTCATTTCCTGCTGGCCCAAAAAACAAAGAACTATAGCTAAAAGTACAAACCCACCGGATATGCGACGAAAGTGGAGAAGATAGAAACAGAGGCTTTTGGTGACNCTTTTTGTACAGACATCCCTTTCGGACATACTCCAGGGTGGCCTCGACGATCGTGTCAGTCTTCGATAGCCTGATCGAAGCGGCGACTTAAGTCGAGGCTGTTGCCAGATGGCATGGCACGAAACCATGGTGGCGAGATTTTGTCAAATTTACTCGATGATGCGAGTGATGAGACCAGTGGCGACAGTGCGGCCACCCTCACGGATGTTGAAGCGCTGTCCCTGCTCAACGGCAAGAGGCTTGTGGAGTGTGCAGACCATCTCGACGTTGTCACCGGGCATGACCATCTTGGAGTCAGCATCCTCGGTGCCTTCAGGCCAGTCGATAGCAGCAGCCTCGTCNTGTTATACATGTTAGATCTACAATCAAGCAACAATTCAGAATCAAGACTTACCAGCAGTACGGATGAAGATCTGGGGACGGTAGTTTCCGTGGAAGCCAGTGTGACGACCACCTTCCTCCTTGGTCAGGACGTACATGGAGACAAGGAACTTCTTGTGGGAGGTAACGGTGCCGGGCTTGACAACGACCATACCACGGGTAACATCCTCACGCTTGATACCACGGAGCAGAAGACCAGAGTTGTCACCAGCGCGGGACTCGTCACAGGACTTCTTGAAGGTCTCAATGTCGGTAACCTTGGTCTTGATGGGGACCTTGTTCTTGCCAACAAGCTCGATTTCGGTATCCTTCTTCAAAAGACCACGCTCGACACGGCCAGAAACGACGGTACCACGACCGGGAATGGAGAAGACATCCTCAACGGACATGAGGAAGGGCTTCTCGAGGTCTCTCTGAGGAGTAGGGATCCACTCGTCAACAGCGTTCATGAGGTTGTCGATCTGGGTGGTACCAATCTCAGGCGAGCGGTTCTCAAGGGCGCACAGAGCGGAACCCATGACGATGGGAGTCTCGTCACCCTCGAAGCCGTAGCTGCTGAGAAGCTCACGCATCTCCATCTCGACGAGCTCAAGCATCTCCTTGTCCTCGATGGCGTCGACCTTGTTGACGAAGACGACAATCTTCTGGATACCGACCTGACGGGCGAGGAGCAAGTGCTCTCTGGTCTGGGGCATCTGACCGTCGGAGGCGGCAACAACGATGATGGCACCGTCCATGGAAGCAGCACCAGTAATCATGTTCTTGATGTAATCGGCGTGACCAGGGCAGTCGACGTGGGCATAGTGGCGGTTGTCGGTCTGGTACTCGATGTGAGCAGTGGAGATGGTGATACCACGCTTGCGCTCCTCGGGGGCCTTGTCGATGGAGGCGTAGTCGAGGAAGTTGGCGTAGCCCTTCTCGGCCTGGCGCTTGGTGATGGCGGCAGTAAGGGTGGTCTTGCCGTGATCGACGTGACCGATGGTACCTNNGGGCAGAGTCAGCGAGAGTATAGAGACGAGTAGAGAGCGTGGCGACGGACCAATGTTGACGTGAGGCTTGTTGCGCTCGAAAGCAGTGGCATAGTTTCTCATGTAGGCACCCCCGCGAGAGCCCCATGCGGCCTGGACGGGGTTGGCGGCGCCATTGCTACGGAGAGCAGCGCGGCTGGTACGCACGAAGGCACTGGCAAACGAAGACATGATGCTGTGCAGCGAGTGGATTGGACAAGACGACAAGACGGCGGACCAAGTGCGGCGAATCGTGCCTGCCCATATCCAGGAAGCTCAACTTTTCTGTTTGCTCTGTTTGCTCGGAATTTCTGGCCGGACCTTTGTGCTTTCCCTCAAATGGCCCGTCGATATTGCAGACCACGCCAATTCAGCCCAGAGCTCTTTCCCTTTCGCGTTTGCGTCTTTCTGTCGCATTCCTCGCCGTCGCTGGACTCGGTCTCCCTCCGTCGATTGTCTCGTCCATCTCGGTCGCACCTCTTGCCCGCAACCTTCGGCTTGCTCTTTACCGAGGCTCTGAAGCTTGCTCTACGCAATCCATGCCCGCCTAAGCAATCCCTCTTCCTCCTTCTCTCTCCAACATGCTGCTCCGACCAACTTGTACCCGCACTGCTCAACCGCTGAGCTGGATCTCGCGGTCTCGTCCCACTGCTATCATGCCTCTCCGCGCCCGCATCAACAACCCCTCCTTCTCCGACATGGCTGGCAAGCCAGAAGACGAGCCCAACGATGTCCTTTTCAGCTCACATTATGGTCTTCGCACCATCGAACTCAACCGACCAAAGAAGCTCAACTCCCTCAATGGCTCCATGGCCAACAAGATTCTTCCCCGTCTGAAGGAATGGCAAAAGTCGCAACTTGCAAATGTCATCGTTCTCAAGGGCGCCGGCAGAGCTCTCTGTGCTGGCGGTGATGTTGCTGCTCTGGCCAAAGACAATCAAACAGGCCCTGAAGGTCAACAACGCTCAAAAGACTACTTCGCTCTCGAATACAAGCTCGACTACACCATTGCGACTTACCCCAAGCCCTACGTCGCCCTCATGGACGGCATCACCATGGGTGGTGGTGTTGGTCTCAGTGTTCACGCTCCCTTTCGTATCGCTACCGAGAACACCGTCTTTGCCATGCCCGAAACCACCATTGGCTTCTTCCCTGATGTTGGCGCCAGCTTCTTCTTGCCTCGCATGGATGGTGCCGTAGGCACTTATCTTGCTCTTACTAGCGAGCAGATCAAGGGCGTCAACGTCTTCCTGTCAGGAATCGCTACTCACTACCTCCACAGCAGTTCTCTTCCTGATCTCGAGGCCCGCCTTGCCGAGCTCAACTTTGGCGATGACGTTCAATACCACACCCGCCTGAACATCATCAACGACACTATTGAGGAATTCACTACCGGCATGCCTCACGATGCACCGCCGCATTTCTCCACCAACGTCCGCATTGCTATCGATTACTGTTTCCAGGAGGTTCACAACATTGACCAGATCATGGAAGCTTTGCAACAGACTGAGGAAACTTCACCTCCCGAGGTCCAGAAGTGGGCTGCAAAGACCCGCGAAACCATTGCACAGCGAAGCCCGACCAGCGTCAAGGTCGCCCTCTCGCAATTGAGGAGAGGTGCACAATGGAACATTGCTCAGACCTTCCAGAACGAGCACAACATCGCTTCCAAGTTCATGGAGCACCCTGACTTTGTCGAAGGTGTCTCAGCACGTCTGATTCGCAAGCCTGCCGAGAAACCCCAATGGGCAAAGACTAGCTTCGATGAGGTTTCCGAGAGCGAGGTTAATTCCTTCTTCGCCGATGAGCTCAAGCTCGAACTTCCCAATACTGGCGGCGAGGAATCTTCTTACACTGACTACCCTCACGCTTGGACCGGACTACCGCGGGAAGCTGAAATCGAAGCTTTTGTCAAGGGCAGCCCAAGGTATGACGCCGAGGGTATTATCGACCACTTCGTGAGATCGAAACGTGGAAAGATGGGTGTTAGAGAGAAGGTCGAGGAAGTTCTCAACAGGAGGACAAGTCCGGCCAACAACAAGAGAGGCTTCTCATGGAACTGATGATATGACCAGTTTCTTTCTTTTATCGTATAGATCTTGTAAATTATAACAGTCTGAACATCTCTTTCCATTCTAACCATCTTCGGGGACACATTGACGATGTTGTGGTTGTGCTACTCGACTTCCTTCCCGGATGCTACCGCCAGCCTTTGCAAGTTCGCAGCTCAAAACTGCAGAGGACTCAACATCACTAAATGGATGATGATATACGGAGCAGCCGGCTAGTGTGCATCACTCCTAGTATGGAACATCGGCAATTATCAAGCAAAAGGAGGAGGCTTAAAAATGCCCCAGGAAAATGGAGACGTCATCCTGCAGGGACACGCAGATCGCGCGTTTGATGCTTCAGATCGGCCTTCAACCTGGTCACCACTTTTCTATGAGCGGCGAGCTTCTCTCACCTTCATCAACAAGAGTCGCGTGCTTTTCAACAAGCCGTGCAAAGATGAGTCCTCAACAGGATAGACAAGATGAGCGAGAACCTCTGCTCCAGAATGGGCACGTTGACGGCGGAGAAGGCGGGGATAGTCGCGAGGTCATCTCGTTCTCTGAGAATGATGCGAGTGATCCTAGACAGTGGACGAGGAGAAGAAAGATGATCAATGTTGGTATTATCGCATTGATGGCTAGTAAGTTGTATTTCCTTCTTGCCTGTAAAACCATGAGCTAATAATGAGTGTCTANNGTCCTCTCACCTCTGGCATCATCCATGTTTAGTCCTGGCATCCAGCAAATAGCTGATGATCTTAACACTACCAAAGATGCTGTTATTGGTTGTACCACTGGTTTCGTGATCATGTTGGGCATTGGACCTCTTATCCTTGCTCCTCTTTCGGAGACTTTTGGAAGAAGAAATGTCTACATTTATTGCTATACTGTATTCACCATTCTTCAGATTCCGGCTGCACTCGCTCCTAATATTGCCACTTTGCTGGCTGTCAGAACCATCTCTGGCTTCTTTGGTGCTGTGGCTATTGCCAATGGTTCGTTGATTCATGCAAGCTTCTGGTCTTTTGTTGTCCCATGCTGATAATTCGCAGGTGGTGGAACTATTTCAGACATGTTTGTACCAGAAGAGAGAGCCGGCATCTTCGGATGGTACTTGCTCGGTCCTCNNTCCTTGGACCTACTCTCGGTCCCTCTATTCGGTGGAATTATAGTGCAACGAGCAGGCTGGCGCTGGATCTTCTGGACAACCACAATCATCTGTGCCATCAACACCATAGTGGGCTACTTTTTCTTGCACGAGACCTATGCACCTGTACTCCTAGGCCGCAGAAAAGCCAGCATGGAGTCTGAAGAAGGAACTTCCAGCAAATATCGCTTTGAAGGCGAGGATGACAGACCTTTGAGCAAGAAGTTGGCTCACTCACTGAAGAGACCTTTCAAGATCATCACACAGCCAATTGTGCTCATCATGAGTGCGTACCAAGCCCTTATATTTGGAACAACATACAGCATCTACACAAACATGCAAGCCATTTTCGAAGGCGACTATGGCTTCGACACCGAACAAGTCGGTCTCCTCTACCTGGGGCCTGGTCTGGGATTCTTAACAGCCGTCTGGTTCCTCGTACCGCAAATAGATCGCGTGTACAAGAAGCTCGGCGAACGCAACAAGTGCGATCCAATTCCTGAATACCGTCTGCCACTAGCCAACATCGGTTCCGTCCTGATTCCAGTATCTCTATTCTGTTTCTTCTGGGCTGTAGAGAAACACGCCCACTGGGCTCTTTGCATCACCGCAACTTACTTTTACGGTGTTGGTCAGGTTATGATTCTCAACTGTACGCAAAACTACTACATCGATTCGTTTGAGAAGTACGCTGCTTCTGCTATTGCCGCTGGTGCGGTGTTTAGAAGTTTGTTTGGTGGGATTGTGCCGTTAGTTGCGCCGTCTTTGTTCAAGGCTTTGGGGTATGGGTGGGGAGGTAGTGTGTTTGGCTTCCTGGCGCTGGCTATTGCGCCTGCTCCGGTCTTGTTCTACAGGTATGGTGGTGTGATCAGAGAGAAGTTCAAGATTGAGCTGTAGTTTGGGCATGGCATTCGATGTAAAGTCGCAGAGAACATGTCATGAGATTTGTGTCTTCACAGATGAAAATAGGAGTTTTGGGCAAGAGGATTTTGGTTTGAGCAGGCTCAATTTTTGTAAGATACTGTAGTCTATCGAGCATTTTGAAAAGCAGAACCTCCAAAAGAGTGTGTGCAAAGAAACAAGATCTATCCTCAAGTTCAGGAAAGACAAAGAGAAACAATCATGTGCTGATGATCGGTTCACTCTCAGAGGAGGCGCCTTCCACCCTTTCTCTCCTTTTGCCTGATGTAAGCAAAAGCAAACAGCTCACCGTTGAAATTCGCTCTTTTCATCTCTTCCCTCAAACCTCCTCTCCAACGACAAACATCCACAGAAACATGCCTCCTCTTCAATCAAGCAGCATGCGATCCATAGGGTCAGACAAGACACCACGGTACTTTCTGTAGAAGGCAGTGCCCTGAACGTAATGCACATCAACCTCACGACCATCTCCATTCTGAACCTTGACAGGCATGACCTTTTCCTCCAACGACTTCAAANNGCCCATGTTGTGGATGATGGGAGCAGTAAAGCACTCAGGCATACTTCCGGTAATAGTGACCTTGTCGACACAGCTGCGGAGGTGGCTGAGGTTGCGCATGCAGCGGTAGATAGTGTTGTCAGGGTAGTACTCGTTGACAGCAAGGATAAGGCGCTTGCTGCGAGGCTCTGAGAAGTGGAGATGGAAAGACTTGAGAGGGTTGTTCTTGCGGCGGCGTCTGAGCATGGGGGCGATCGAGTAGAGCATGGTCAAGTGGTTGTGGTCAGTCAGGTGCAGCTCAAAGTGCTGGATCTTCTTGAAAGTGTCGCGAGAGAAGAAGTCGTCGAGCTTCAAGAAGGTGAATTTGACCATGGGGTACAGGTCCTTGATGATGAAGGGCTTGCTGTAGATGACTTCCGTGGCCTCTTCGTTGATCTGCTTGTTGATCTGGAAGATGGTTGGAGTGGACAGTTCCTTGAAGTTAGGATCCTTGTTGNNCTGATATGAGTTAGTTTGCTGTTTCAAAAGTGTTGTGGTGTAGACTTACAAAGCAAGCTCCCTGGTAGCACGCTGCAATGCATATGCACCGTCGTTGATGTCGGCAGAATAAGCATAAATCTTCTGGCGGACATGGAGAGGAAGCTTGAAGAAACCACGAGCAGGACCTTTGACAGAGCTGATGACCTCCTGCTTCACCTCCTCGGAAAGCTCGATGTCCAGAGATACCTTTTCGATGTTGTGTAGCTCCTTGATACTTCTGAGCATGTTCTTGTTCCAGCTCTTGATTCCACATGACTTGTCCTTGTCGTTGAGACAGTCCTTCAGATGAACAGATAGATACGGCGATAGGTACTCCATTGTCAGCGACTTGAGAGAGTGGCCAGGTCTGAGGATAGTGGCGAGATGAACAAAAGCATAGCAAAGGCCACTGAAGCAATGATGGGGAGGACTGTTGAGATGGCGAAGTCCAGCATCCGAGATGTTGATGTAGCGAAGTTTGCGAAGCAGCTCAGGGTTGATGAGATCCTGGTATCGGGCCTTCATGATGCCGAACGACAAGTTGAGAGGAGTCTGGTACAAGAAGGGCAGAGCTTCCTCGGTGATGTCCTTGCTGACCAAGAGAATTGATGGGCAGGCCTTCTTGACATCAGGTGCAGGTACAGGCTCTGTTGTGTTGGGCGCGGCACATAGGAGTTCCATGTAGTCGTGGCAGTACTTGTCGATTGAGTCGAATGACAAAGCATACTCGTAGACCATGAAGCGAATCTCCTTGGGCAGATCACGGAAACGGAAAGGAACGTCGACAGGATCAGTGATGGGATTGCTGAGAGTGATGGATGAACCGATGTCGATATCGAACTCAGGGGAGCAGCACTTGATGAACGACATAGCGATGGAAGGGTCTTGACCAGCAAGACAACGACGAACGACAAAGAAGGGGCGATATGAAGCAATGACCCGAACCAGCGGGATGTAGTGGAATAACAACAGGAATAAGAAGAAGAAGAAGAAGAAGCGGCGGCGCAATGGAGTTGATGACGGGAAGAAGAGAGCGTCTCTCCCAAGAGCTGGTATTAGTAGACTTAGGATCAATAGCCAAGCCGCCCATTGTTGGTGAATGACATCGCGTCTCCGCGAAGGCAATTGAGCTACCATTGTGACCTTCGCAGTGATGACTGGACTTGATATTGATGGACAATGAGTGGCCGTGGTTGAGTCTAACACAATGGTGAATACTGAGATGAATAGTCCGTTCGCTTACTTACTATTGATCGAAGTGTGAATTCGTGATTTAATGCACACGACCTAACGGAGCAAGGTCTGCGAAGGAGAAGTAACGAATGGCTTGTAGGATACTTGCTGTGAGTGCCTATCTTTGTGTAGTACGTCCTTGTGGAAANNGGATATCGATGTTCAAAAGAGTCCGATACCTNNTGCATGCAAGTGATAGTGCTCTTTNCTACAAACCTACTTGCTTCTGTTCATTAGTGATGCGCTCTACCTATGACAGGTTTTCACCCTGTAGGCGGTCTGGCGAAAGGCTGAACAAGACAGATTGAAAATGTTGAGTTGACGGTAGTCTGGCACCAAGTCACGTGGGGTGGTTTGCTCTTGCCATATCTTTCTTGGATTGATTTTTCGGTGGGCAGGGGCAAATTGTCCCAGATGGAACTCGTGACTTGCGGGTAGAGCAGTTACTTGACTCATTATACTGTTGACCTCGAAAACTTCTCTTCTGTGGAAAGGAGCCCGACCCTAACTGCTCTGTCAATAATGTCCTGCGCCTCGGCCTGACCTTGGTTCAGCTCGATATGTGCAATCCAGCTCTTCGTGGATGTCCTTGCACCAGCCAGGAATGCCTCAGAAATAGCAGTAAAGTACTTCTCCTCATAACCAACAACCACACAGTCTTGCGAGTCGATGAAACTGTGTGCAAACACTGCAGCTTCAGCAAGCCAAGCGTCCGCTGATTGGACTGGCAATACAATGCACCAGCCATGTATTACCTCACAGACAAGTTTGGCAATAATAGCTGGCGATGTATCAACCTCCATGCCAAGAGAAGCAACAAGGCGAGCTATTCCGGCGACGAGCTCTGATGACAATGGCGTTTGCTTGCCTTTCAGTGTTCTGCGCATTTCCTTTACNTTCCCTCCCCCTGCAGATACGTCTGTGTCGAAGGCATGAGACAATATAGGATCTTCAGCTGTAAAAGACAATAGACCTTGCAAAGACAGATCAGCTAATATAGCTGCCCTAGGTATGCCGCCCCAGACTAGGTATTCTTCTTCAGCCGAATACCTCCATCGAAACAAGCCCTTCGTCCGAAACAGGTCGCGATACGGTCGGGCATAGAAAATGCTGTCGCCTTGTCCAACTTCAACTTTTTGCGTGTCTATTATGCTGATTCTGCACGAGTCCAGATTCTGAGCCTGTTTGCTGGCCTTGATTGCTCGACGCATCACCTTGATCAAACAGCTGCTGGTGCTTATGAAAGGAGACTTGAAGTCTTCATGTCTGCTGAGATGTTTCCTTATAGTGTTCTCCAGATCATGATCTGAGTAGTCTGGTGGTAATAGCAGACCATCATGGTCTTCAAAGTAACTCGCAATGAACCCCTCGGCTGAATTTGATCCTTGACTGGCGTCATTATAAGCTCTGAAAAGTACAACTGGTAATGGTGGATGTGCTTCTTCTCTTTTGATGCAAGTTCGTCGGACCTTCTTTTTGGANCGCAAAGCTTTGATTGTGATGCTATTGGTCGACAAGGCTGTTTCTATGCGGTTCTTTATGTCATTGAACGCACGTCTGTTGCTTTGAATCTCCTTGCGAAAGGCTTGCCAAAGTCCTCTTTGAATGTTGTGTCGTGAAGTGAATTGCGTCATTAGAGCTGTTCGTAGTGGTCCCCTATCAAGTCCATAATCTGTAATATCTTGTTCATAGATCTTGTTGAAGATCCTTGTCGTCTGGTCCCAAGAGCCTTTAAATGTTGTCCGAAGCAGATATAGAGTGAGGTGATGCTCCTCTCTGTATCTAAAACACAGAGCTTTTCTCCCTCGTCTCTCAGGGTTTGGGTGATCCTTGGATGCTTGGCTTTCTTCTGATTGCTGGTCATCGCTCTGTTGGGTCGGGATCGCTACGACTATTGTGCCATCATCCGGGTCCGGCGATGGACTCGATATGTTTGTGATGGCACAGTCATCTGAGTTGGTCGATTTTGGACTACTAGACTCGTCCTCATGGACATCTGTGCTTGCTTCATATCGAAGCTTCCAACTTTGATCGTTCAGATGTATCTTTCCATCCTCTGGATAGGCATCGAACACCTTTAGGATGGGAGTGAGGGTCAGAATCTGATTGCTCATGTTGCACGATTGTTGCGATGTTCTCCGCGTCCAACGTAGCGTGAGGAAAACAGAATCAAACTGCAGGAAATAACCTTTCGCGATTAGAATACAGCATGTACAGAAATGACACATACCTGATGACTATTGTGCTCAAAATGTGAGATATTTACCACGTTCGGGCATTGTGTGCCATCATACTCAATTCACCGCTCACAATGTTGCGCTTCATGTCTTATCGCGTGTCAACTTCAAGTCTGAATGGCTGGTATTTATGGTATAGGTCGCCCGTAGTAGTCATTGATTAGAGAGTGGGCGCGACCGCTTGTCGAATAGGAATTGACGCTGCCATCATCAATTCGAGCACGATGAGTATTCCTCAGCGACTTGATGAATGTTCCACCAGAGATTGAGCGAGAGTATTTGCTCGTAAGGTGAGAGTCACCAGCTCAGGCAATTCCGCATGCCAAGTTTTGATTTGGAGAAGCGGAGCGCAGCGTGGAGTATGGAGGTCAGCCAGCAAATGACAAAGGTGCATCGAGCCATTATCTGGCACAAGGTAGAACGCTCGAAGTTCTGAATGCAAGATTGTAGTATGGCGACTTGAGCAACTAGATTAATAACCCTTGGCCATATCGTAGTGATTGCAGGTCGAGGTCACGCTGCAGATGATGGCCTTCTGGAACCCCACCTTGTGGCTTGTCTTCCCCGCAAGCCACCATGAAAGTCGGCTGAAGAGGTCCGCAGAGGATCGGCGCCGCGCCGGTGCGAACAGCGATCCTCGGAGGAGCATGGCGGGGCTGCGAAGAGCATCAGGTCTTGGTGTTTTTGTGGTCCCCGTTGGAGGGCAGGACACGAGAGATGGGTACTTCTTATGACCTGCTTCCCCTCACTCTTCTGCCTTATCTGCTTCTGCTGTTCCTCTTCTCTTTGATTGCTGTCAAGTAACAACTCTTCTCTTGCGTCAACATGTCTGGAACCTCGACGTATAACCCCGCTGCCAAACACTTTCTTAATGACCCAAACCACTTGGTCCTCACTGCCCTGAGGTCAATTACCCTTGCCAATCCTTCGGTCGCCCTCGATGCAGAGAACAAGATCATCTTCCGCCGTGGAGACGCAGGTCTTTACAAGGCTTCCCAAGTATCTGTTGTTTCTGGTGGTGGTGCAGGACATGAACCCTCTNTTGCAGCCTTCGTCGGACCTGGCATCTTGTCTGGAGCTATCTCCGGAACTATCTTTGCTTCGCCGTCTGCCGAGCAGATCAGAAGATGTCTTCTGAGTCGTGTTGATACAGCGAAAGGTGTTTTGGTCATTGTCATGAACTACACTGGTGATGTGCTTAACTTTGGCATGGGAGTCGAGGTAGATGTTCCCATATGTTGGCAGACGGAACATTGCTGACACACCCGTATAGNNAAAGCGAGAGCAACAGGAGTCGACATCGAAATGCTTGTGGTTGGCGACGACGCTGGTGTCCCTAGGTCGAAGGGCGGTAAAGTCGGCAGACGTGGCATTGCAGGAACTGTCCTTGTACAAAAGATTGCTGGAGCGTTGGCCGCTGCCGNNGGTATGTCAAAGAGCGTTTGAGCGTGGCGACAAGGGCTGACTTCAGTCAACAGAGCACCTCTCAAGGACGTACACCGTGTCGCAAAGCTTGCGGCTGACAATGTCGTCTCCATTGGATCTTCACTCTCGCACGTCCACGTTCCTGGTCGCAAGGTCACCGAAGCTGGCGAAGACGAACTCACGTTCGAGGAGGTCGAGATTGGCATGGGTAAGCTGTCCGAGCGCACCTTTAAAGACCCTCAATGCTGACTGGCCCTGCCAGGTATCCACAACGAAGCAGGATCCGAGCGAACGAAAGCAGACCTTCCCAGTCTGGTCGAACAGATGTTGGCCCATATGCTAGACGAGGAAGATAAGGAACGAGGTTTCCTCAAGGTCTCCAGCGAAGATGAGACAGTGGTCTTGATCAACAACCTTGGTGGTGTCAGCGTCCTTGAAATGGGTGGCATCGCTACTGAAGTGTTGGATCAGCTCAAGAAATACTACAACATCAGGCCTGTCAGAGTGCTCGTTGGCACTTTCATGACCAGTCTGAACGGCATTGGTTTCAGCATCTCTCTGCTCAAGCTTCAGGACACTGGCTTGGACAAGTCGATGTTGCAGTTGCTTGACGCTCCTTCTGAGGTTACGGGCTGGGCCACGCCTATCCAGACTGCAACTTGGGAGAACAAATCAAGCGCTGCAGATCGAAGAAAGACTGCCATGGCTGATGGCCAGCAAGAAACTTCTAGCAACCTTACAAGTAGGTATACTCTGTCGATTGCTTGAGACATGTGCTGATGTTTCGATANNGTCAACACTGCAGAGGCCAAAAAGGTGCTCAAGTCTGGTTTGGAGCGCGTAATCGCCGCTGAACCACATGTCACTCACTACGACACCATTGTTGGTAAGTCTGAAGCCCGGCGGCGTAATTGCCTACCATATCTGTGGTGAAAGACACTAACTAGACGGTCCTTCTAGNGCGATGGCGACTGCGGCATAGGTCTCAAGCGTGGTGCAGACTCAGTGCTTCAGCTCATTACATCCGATGTGGAAACAACAGACGCCGCAATCTTCTTGGGTCGTATCATCTCTGTTATTGAGACGTCAATGGACGGAACCAGTGGAGCCATTTACGCCATCTTCTTGAACGCTTTAGCTGCCGGTCTACGTTCCCAGTCGCCAGATTCTGGAAAGAAAGAAGTAACAACCGAGGTTTGGGCTAAGGCAGCTAAGCAGGCTCTGGAAGGCCTTGGTAAGTACACACCAGCTAGACCTGGCGACAGGACTCTGGTAGACGCACTTGAGCCCTTCATCGAGCAGCTGGCGGCGACGAACGACCTGAAGAAGGCAGCTCAGGCAGCCAAGGAAGGATCCGATGCAACCAAGGGAATGAAAGCCAGTCTCGGACGATCAGTATACGTTGGCAATGAGGGCTTCAAGGAGGTCCCCGATCCTGGTGCCTATGGTCTCTCGGAGTTCTTGACTGGCCTTGCCGAGGCGTGAACCCAAAACCTCTTGTAGATAGGGCGGTGGTTGATGTGTATATAATCTGTAATTATGTTAAAAAAAAAAAGTCCCGTCCCAGGAACAAGAGTATTCTTCTAGGCGAGCCACGGTCTTAGCACAACAAGAGTCAGTTAGATCTTATAAATGTCGAGATGCATACAAGGTTAGGATAGGTAATGTTTGGTGCTTGTGTCAGGAGTAAGGCGGCCTTCGATCAAATGTCTGCGATAAGAATGAGTTATGCGCACGGATAAGACGCACTGACCTCTTATGCTTAATATACTGAAGCTTATGCATCGGTCAGCATCGTTCCTTCCGCATCTACAAGCTCGCGATACATCTTGTGCCTCTTCCTATCTTCGGGTAGAAGCATATAAAGGCCTCTCCAGCTCCCAGTTGTTAGTAGAAGAGGTATAGATAAAGTCTTGACATTCTTGAACAAATCTGTGTTGCCAACGGTGACGGCATACCTCGATCGTCTGCTCGGGCCTCATACAGTTTCATTCAAACGCGCGCGTGTCGCGCTCCTAAAGCTGCATCTTTGCATCCAACCTCCCTTCTGGTCTGGCATCATAACGACCTTGTAATTTCGTCTTTGCTTCTTCGCGTCCGTTTCAATTCCTTCCTTCGACATCCCGACAGCCGACACATCCATCGCTCCTTCTCGTCCTCTCATCTCTCTCTCCCTAGCATGCTGTAACCCGAGAGACTCTGTCGACTTCTGTCACTCACAACCTTTCGATCTCGCCTCTCCCACACCATGTCGTCCCCGGCATCCTTCGCTATGGACGTGGACGCGTCACAGTCTCCAGCAAATCCCTTTCTCGACATACCAACGCGTCCTATGAGAGGTAATGTGATGCCTTTTAATGACACCAACTTCTGCTGATGCCCTCGCANNGTCAAGGTTCTTTACACGTTCGACAACGAGAACAAGACGAATTGCCTCGCTCGCTTCCCTGATATCCTCCATGTCCCCACCGTACCCATAGACGAGAACACACAGATCGGTGTTATCGAATTACGCACGTGTATCCGAGCCATCGTTTCTGCCAGTCCGGAACTCGTGTCGCGTCTAACCCAAGGCGACTTCACCATCTACGCCTACGACTACTCTGAGTATGAGACGCCGCTGGTGGGCCAAGGAATGCTCTCGTCCGTGCTTGCCGCCGCCTCACCCACCCCTAACGCCCCTGCATATCAGTCCAAGACGATGATCACTGGTCGCGTTTGCAAGAACATAATGGGCCTTTTCTCAAACGGTGTCAAGGNNGAGACTTTGGAAGTCAAACTGAGGCTGGTCCCAGTACCCAGGCCCGTCCAGGGTGACTTCCTCAAGAGCATGGAAATCTACCGTAACATCAACCCCGCTATGTCTGCCGGCTTCGACCCCAACGCCTGGTCTGCTTCCTTCTCACAATCTGGTCTTTCTCTCGGAGCTCCCTTCGAAGAGGGCCTGACGCCTACACAAATGAGACCAGAGACGGCGGATCACGACATGATGTCTTATCAACGTCCCCGACAGGGCTCCAACGCTAGCTTCAATGGTCAAAACTCCTTCTCCGGTCCGACGCCATCGTACACTGGACCACCAAGTCGAGTCAACAGCCCCGCCATGAACCAATCTGGACCCCAAGCATACCCTGCCGAGAGCATACCCCGACCTTCATCAAGGATGTCGGTACAGAGTGATATACACCATGAACGCAGAGGATCTATGGCTGGACAAGAGCAGTATCAAGAGGAGGGACCAGCAAGAAAAAGAGTCAAGGTGACACAAGCCGACTGGCGTGGAAAATCTGCCTTTGGTGGCCCATCGGATTCACTGCGCGTCACAGCCAGTACTGCGGCATCTATTCGTGTACACAAACCTGTTGCCATGCGCCCTGGCATAATGGGCAACTCGCTGGAACCGCCACCCAGAGTCCCGACGCCCGTCCCACAGATCAATCTGCCTGGATCCCGTACCAATCCTGGAAGCATTCTCCGCCGCGAATCGTCTCTTGCCAGAGTCCAAACATACAACTCTCCTTACGACCCAACTCCCAACTGCCTTGCTCCTCCTTCCTNNGATTCGGCTATGAGCTCTCCCGAAGATGCTGTGAACGACCACAATGGCATCACTCCTACCGAATTTCCATCGTCACCGCCTCTTCTCCCTGAGCCTTCTAGTCCAGGGCTGCCATCGTTCTCTAGACCAGCTGATTCTGGCTACATGAGTTCGACATTTGAATGTCATGATGATGATGAGGACCGATCTGTATGTGAAGAAGATATGCAGATTGCCGCACAATACAGGCCTAGAACACAAGCGCCACCTTCTGGACTTTCTTTCATCGAGCAAACGCCTGGACCTCCAGAGTTGCTGCCCACAAGGATGCAGATGTCACACACTGGCAAGATGGATGACGCTGCCGCAGCTCAGGCAGAATTATCACGCAAGAAGGCCCGCAATGCTGTATTGGCTCAGAACTCACGTAGAAATTCTGTTGCTTTGCCACCCAAACCACAGTCGAACAAGCCGAGTATGGCTAGATCAGCCTCAATGATTGTCAGATCCGACGCAGCGTCGCCTGCTCCAACCGAAGTCAAAGCACCTCGTAGTGGCTCTGGAGCACAAAGAAAGAAGAACATTCAGGACAAGCTTCAGAAATCGATCGAAAATGGTGAGATGCCACCTTTCTGTGGCCACTGCGGTGCTATTGAAACGCCAACTTGGCGTCATCTGTTTGTCAAAATGGTCGAGGGATGTCCAGAAGAAGATATGGATCCTTTGGAGAATGAGACTGTGACCATCGGGGTGGAGGTTCTCGAGCGGGATCCTGAAACTCAGAAATCTATCAAGTATCGCATTATCAAATCGATGCGCAAGACCAAGGAGTCGCAAGATGCAACGGTGGGCTTCGATACCATGCAAGTTTGCAATCGTAAGTTGGATTAGTCCACACATCATGACCACACACTAACAAGGCTAGCTTGCGGCCTCTGGTTCAACAAATTTAGAGTCATGAGACCTTCTGACAAATGGGTCAAGAAGCAGCCAACCAAGAGCAAGAAGCAACAGCGCAAGGCCATGCCACCTGCCGGTCCATCGGAGCCACAGTCTGATTATTTTGTTGATCAGCCTTCAGCATTGTACACTGATGCTGCTCAGCCTGAAGACGAAAGTAATGGCCGATCCAGTGAGGAGCGAACGACAGAGGAGTCTGCTCCACCAGTCGATCGTCCAAGGGCAGCCAGCGTACAGCCTCAGCCGAAGCGTAACGAGAACGAAAAGCAGTGGACTGGTCCTGAACTAGATGCGGCGTTGCATCGTGCTATTCAGAGTAGCCCCGCTCGGTTTGTCGGCTCACAAGAGAGTCCTATCGAGGTCGAGGCAGAGCTGACACCTAAACCGACACGCCGCTTGCTGTTCCCATCTCCACGTGAGAGGAACGGTCAGATGAAGACACTTGATGACCTGGCTCTTCCAGGTTCCAAGCCTCCATCCAGCACTATCATTGAGATGGCGTTTGTTGAGGAGCCGAACAAAGAGAATTGCCCACCTCAAGATCAAGAGCATGATGACCTCGCACATCTGTTTGAATGTTCGCCTAATGTCTTCAAGACGCCTCGCAAGACTCCGGAGAAGAACGTTTCTCAGCAAGACACACTGCTCAAGACTCCGACGCCTTCGCGCTCTTCTCTCAGAACTGTAGCACGCAACACACGTACCCCCAGCGGCAACCAAGGCTCGACATTCCTGCCCACCTTCAGCTCGGCTGAGGCTAAGAACCTCTTCCCGACAACTCCATCAAAATGGGCAAACTTGTCGTCACCGTCTAGAAATCAGATGACACCTTTTACTCGTCAGTTGACGCAGCTGTTGAGCGATGCACATCACGAAGCGCCATTCCTCAGTCCTGGCCGTCAATTTGACTTCTCGGATGCCATGCCTACTTTCATGACCCCTGGAAGATCTCTCGACTTCAACTTTGACGAGTTCGATATTATGAACGTCGATATCGGCGCTGCTGCCACTAGCAATCCTACTGATAGCAACGCCATGATGGCAGTCACTGATGCAACGACCGCTCTGCATGCGACTACATCTGGGGAGGTCTCTGCTGAAACCGCGAACACTACCGCTACTACCACATGATGAGCTTATGACATTATTCACTGTACGAACATTGGAACTGGGAAAAGGAATGGGATACATGCTGGGATTGGTACACTATGGATCAATACATCGGAGACGGGTTGTAACAATAGGACGGATGGAATATTGCTAGGTGTATGAGCACTAGGACCGGATGGCTAGCATAGAAGAAACGTAACAGAACATAACATTGCGCAACGCCGCATGTTTCAACACTTTTCAGTGTCTTCTAATCCTCCAATGACCACCTTCTGCGTCCTTCACACCTTTTTGAGGACAGTGTTGCGCCATGTTCGATGGAGCTCGCCAGCTCCAGGCAGGGTCGCCATGCTGACAATACTTTCCAGCAACATATCGCGTCTAGCACGACAGCAAAAGGTCCAATTTGAGACTCCAGTGTTCCCTTAGGCTCTTCAGTAGGTGCTTCTCCCAGTGTATGTATCTCAGAGCCATGTGAGTGGTAATGGTCGAGATATTCTTCAAAATCATATTCATCGAGCGCTTGCACAGAAGCCTCACTGACACATGTGTGTTTGTACTCGGCCTTTTCGGCAAGACTGATAAAATGGTCACTTGAATGAAACAATGTCTGCTAGAGCTCGAGACGCATCAGATAGCAGTATATAGCCATGAGCTCTTCGAGATGATCGGAATAGGTCAGGTTGTCAGGGACCAGCAGCGTGAAAGTGAGCGATTGTGCTGTGCTGGGCTCCATCATCGAGGCTATTATATATTGATGGCAAAACTGCTCACATCAAATGGGGTTGTGGTCTAGTGGTATGACATCTTCTTAGCATTGTTTCTTGTAAGCAGTCCTGAGTTGGAGAAGGTTCTGGGTTCGATTCCCAGCTACTCCACATTGATATTTTGCTTTTGTTCCGCTTTGCAATATCTTTGCAAGTGGCATCGTTTTGTTGTCTCTTTGGGTTGATATTGTCGAGGGTCGAGTTTTTCTCTTCTATCATGAGCTGACTGTTGTGCATTTGCTTGATTGAAATGTGGCATGGGATACGGCGTTTGAGCTGAAGCGCTGCTTCTTGCAGATGACAGAGTCCGAGCCAGCAGTAATACAGCACGTAATTATGCCTAAATTTTTCCGAATGCAACAAAGACCCATCCGTCTCTCACTCGCAATCCGCCAAAATGTCCTCTGCAGCCTTCTCCGCCAGAGCATAGATCGTACTCGTCGGATTGCCATTGACTTCCATTGGAATGACACTCGCATCCACAACTCTCAACCCTTTTGTTCCATACACTCTAAACTTTGTATCCACCACACCACCCCAGTCACGTCTCCTCATGCCTGCAGTACCCACGCCGTGCCAAAGAGGTGTGAGCGTGGATCCAAAGTACGCTGCATACTGGGCAAGAGAGGCATTGGCAGGAAGCAGAGTATACCCAGGCAAGAGTTCTGTGCTGGCGGCAGGGCCTAGAGCAGTTTGAACGGGAGCAGAGGAGTATATGCGGCGAAGCATGGAGAACAAGCGTTGCGCAACCATGACATCCCATGGTAGTTGCATGAAATTGGGATTTAAAAGTGGCTTTGAAGGGTCGGAGGAAGACTGTCATGACCGTCAGATACTAAATTTTTGCTGGATGGTCGGAAAAGAAGTGCTGCTTACATGAACATTTCCTGTTGACAAAGGTAAGCTGACCCAGCAGTTTCCACCATAGGGCTGGAACTGGAATCCGCCGATCGCGACCTTTTTCTGGAAGAATAAGTTTGCCCTGGTGAGAAGGATTTGCTCTTGTGCTTGTATGGAGATGGCGCCGTTGCTTGCTTCTGAAAGCGTGCGAGCGTACGAGGGTATGTCTTTGTATAGCTGTGCGGTAACAGTATCGAGTTCGTCAACAAANAGATCGGCAGCTGTTAGGGAACCAGTCATGGGTCTGGAGTTGTACGCTATGCCCAATGAGTTTAAGGTGATATTGGGGTTGTGAAGGGCCATGGCGAGCCACTGATCCTGGAGATGAGCTCCCACGCCAGGGNNGAGTACGACTTTAGGCGTGATCCATAGGTTGCGCAGGATACTNGTGTGGTGTCTTAGTATGTACCTTCATAAGTGTGGTTTGTCATGTTCCACGGATGCAAAGTACACTCACGATGGATTGCCAATACCAGATCGCTCGAGAAGACCAGGGGTTCTGTATGTGCCTGCGGAAAGAATGACCTCCCGCTTGGACTTGAGAAATTGTTTCTCTCCAGAAGGCAGAACTACATTGACACCTTTGGCCTCGACTCCTCCTATAGGCCCGTGATGGCTGTTACCATTGTCCAAGTTGATATTCAGCGCAGTCGTGTTGGTGAAAGCGTGCAGATTCGCTCGACCTATAACAGGCAAGTAGTAGGACCTAGCCGAGTCTGACCTGATCTGCAAGACAGTGTCTTTCTCGATTGGCCACAAGCCAAGTCCAGTATTATTGCCCCTATTGAGATCAATGTTCCATGGAAACCCGAGAGATTGCCAGGTTGTGTTAACTGCTTGTCCAAATTGTCCTGGGTTGAGGTCATTGCCCCAGCCAACTTTGACTGGACCGACAAAGCCATGCACGTCAGCTTCATAAGACGTATCTGCGAGTGCGCGTGGATCAGTGGGAAATTGCAAATGCTCGCTTTTCTTGTAGTAAGGTAGTAGGTTATCCCATGTTAAGCCTGGGTTGCCCAATGATGACCAAGAGTCAACTTCGCCAGCGGTTGGACGCAGATATACNCAGGCCTGAATAGATGTTAGAAAGACTTGATGGCTGGCAGAATGTTGCATACCGTTGATGGTACTTGTGCCGCCAAGATCTCTACCAGCGTGGTACTGTAATGTCGAGTTGTTGGCATAGATCTGAGGTATAGTAGTGTAATTCCAGTCAAGCTCAGAGCCCCATGCGGGTCCAGCAGGGTTGACAGACAGAACTCGAGAGTCGTTGAATACAGTTGGTCCAGCTTCAACTAGAGCAACAGAAATGGATGGATTTGCTGACAAGCGGTTGGCAAGCACGCAGCCGGCCGTACCACCACCAACGATTATGTAGTCATACTCAAATGGACTCGCCAAAGCTGTGATAGAGAGGGCAGATAGGGATAAGATCAATGGGAAAGTCATGATGGAAGCAGAAGTGAGCAATGCGTGCTGATGCGGTCAGACACTACACAGCAGGCAGCCCACAATATATACCCCAAACAAGCTCTTCTAGCGAGGTAAGCGCAGGGGTAACTTATAGTCCTCTGCAAATGTATACTACGGACCGGTGTAGGATTGCAAGTCAAGAGGCTGAGCCATGCTAAGATGTGCACACCAGTAGACGATCACAGAATGGTGTGTTGTCTTGCGTCTTAGCGAAGGAATTGCATTCTGGCTGCATGTGGACCTGGAGCTAGAGCTTCATGCAGCAGCCCTCAGCTGCATGTAAGCATAAGCATGCACAGCCTTGACAGTGTGTATTGGTCAGTTGCAAAGTCCAGTCATCAGGTCGAGGCATTTCTGCAATCGTTTAGAGACACGGGCTCGGCTGAAGATTGTATCGGATATTGCGAACCGTAAGGTCGATGATTGGGTTGCGAATGCATGGTGAGGGGTCACTGCAAAGATCTTGTCTGAAGTCCCTCTCGTGAACCTCGCAACAACACATGACCATCCTACTGTCACGTTTTGTATACCGCATACAGTATCGAGATCTTGATGATGATGCGCTAGTTTGATGCTCACTGAACGTGGTCGATGAGGATTAATGTCAAGCTTCAAGACAATGTGGTGATCAGCAGCGACAATAAGATGAGCGCATCGTTGGAGAATTCGATAACACACGATCCATCGTATTGGATAACTCATAAGCGTAGCCAGACCTTGCCAGTCAAAGACGTTGTTTTGAGTCGACAAGCATTTGACTCGAGACGAGATCGAGAAAACGAAGACCCCGCAAGCGCAGCGATGGCGACGGCGACGGCGAGTACGAACGCGTGGCACATCCATTTGGCCAAAATGGACACGCGGAACGTGATTGTTAAAGTGTTGAGCCTTTATCCAGGTGTCCTCACTGCTCTCAGGTGCTGAAACTATTTGTTTCTCTCTCATACCGGGGTCTTTTCTGCCTGCGGTACGCGATTCCTTCGCGTCTGCAAGCGCCCATCAGGCAACCTGCGAGGCTGCACGACTGAATCGTCGACTTCGAACAGGGGCTTTTCAATAACTTGTCATCTTGTCCGGTATCTAATCAAACATTCTTTCGGTATCATTCGTTTTTAGGTCAATTAGACACGATGGCAGAGCAGGACGGCAGCACCAGTATCGCGGCACGAATTGCCGCACTGAAATTGGACCAAGTGGGCCGTCAACCGACTGGAAAGGCAGGCCCTCCAACAGTACCAACTAAGAGACCAAATCTTCCATCAAGACAACAGACGACCAATGTGCCACCTGTCGGAGTCCACGCATCTGCGGGTGATGCAGGCCATGATGTCGGGAATCAGCCAGCAACAGGTGAAATGAATGGAGTGGTTAAGCGTACGCCCCCAGTGATGCCAAACCGACCAGCTAGAAGTGCTGCCCCCAAACTGCCACCAAGACAACCATCCGGATCAGCACCGCAACTACCACCTAGAAGACCTTCGGAGACACCCTCAAACATATCTGGAAGGCCAGAGGCCAATAGAAAGCAATCTAGCGAATCTATAGTGTCAACCAGATCCTCCATCTCAACAGCATCTAATCGGACTGGTATCAGCTCGGCGACAAGCAATTCCGGACCACCTTTTACAATCCGAGCACCTTCTTTTGATGCGTCGAATTTGCCCCCTTTGCCTCCTAAGCGGACGCCTAATCTGCCAGAACGTGGTCCTGTGCTGCAGCAAACTAAGTCCTCGCCAACTGTATTGCCTGCCGTACAGGAGCCTGCGAGACCGCAACTGCCCTCTAGGCCACCACTACCTTCTAGGAATCAGTCTTCCTCCCCAGGCGTAACGGATCAAGGTACCATCAAACCTGCAGCGCCAAAGAGGTCTGCGTTGACAATGGGCTTTAATTCTGCCTCAAAGGCGCCTGCTGTGCCGACTGCACGACCTGAGTCTGCCGCACCACCGCCAATTCCTACTTCTTCTCGACCAGATCTTTCTAAGCTGATGGCATCAAAACCAAACATTGCTGCGAATGGAAACACAAATGGGGCAGCAGCAACAGTAGCAGCAGCACCTTCAGCCTCACCGGGCCAAGGATCTTGCCTAAAGTGTCGGGACTTCTCAGTCGTTGATGCTCACGCTGCACGCTTCCCACGACAGTCAATCCCATCACAAGACTTGGGATGGCTTGCACAGTCGCTTACATCTCCTTTCCCATCCCTGACTGACAAAGCTCGAGCAATTTTCGTCTGGTTGCATCACAACATTGACTATAACACTCATGCACTGTTTACCAATACTGTCAAGNGGTCAACTCCAGCATCGACACTGGCTACTGGTCTTGCTGTCTGTGAAGGATATGCGAGTTTGTTCACCGCACTTGCCTCTAAAGCCGGATTGGAGAGTATGGTCGTTGGTGGCCATGGAAAAGGTCTTGGTTTCGAGGCTGTAGCTCCTGGAGCACCGCTACCCCCAGAAGACGCAACAGGTCATGCCTGGAACGTCGTCAAGATTGATGATGGTCAATGGAAGCTGATTGACCCTTGCTGGGGAGCCGGTCATGTCAACGGATGGGGTCAACCTTACAAAAGGCACTTCAGTCCCATACATTTCGTTGGCAGCAATGAGGAATTCGGACGCAGCCATTTCCCAAGCGACAAGAACCGATTTTACAGGAGCGATGGCAGACACACAATTACGTGGGCAGAGTATCTGCTGGGTGATACGAATGGCCAGACTCCGGTGCAGACGTTCGGAAACATGACAACAGACGAAGGCATCGACAGCCACTCTGTTTCGCCCAGGGTCAAGCAGATTTCGGTCAACGATTCACAGCCTTATGTGCGCTTCCAGTTCAACAAACTGTGCCCCCACTGGGACAATGAGCGAAACGGGCAGGGAAAGAACTATCTATACGTCGTCTTCCTGCCCGAGGCCAATGGCAGACCAGCACGCGAGGTCCCTTTGCAGACTAATGGGCATTTCTGGTGGGTTGATGTGAAGCCCAGCGAGCTCGGACAGCCCGGCCAGGAGATCAAGTTGGGTGCAGTAACGACTTTGGGGGGCCGTGATGGCAGAGGATTGGTCGCAAGCGATTTCAATAAGATGGGCGGGTACTCGTGTTCATTTGCTGCCATATGGAACCTTGTTTGATCAGCGTAGATACCCCAAGAGTTATTCATTTCCTATCTCTTTTCTCATTTATCACGGGCTCATGTGTGATGACTTCAATGAAGCAAAGAAACCAGAATGTGTGTTTATTGAATACGATCATAGCTGTTTATCGGCTGTTCGTGGAGTGTTTGAGACATGGTCTCCGCTTGCCGACTCGATGCAGAGAAGAATCGCTAGTCGATCGCCCGTTCTCGTGTCGAATGTCATCGTGGAGACTTTCTTGTCGTTTTCGCGTCGTTATGGGGTTGTGGACATAAAGCGGCTATTGTGCTTGAGGTGAGATCAAGACTACCGAGTCTCCNTGTAGGTGGTGTGTAAGCTGAAGATTCGATTGCGTCGGTGGCGGAGCGAAGCAGATACCTCTGACGAACAGCATCTCGGACTGCTTCTTGAGCGTCNNTGCAATGAGTGTTAGCGGGCAGTTCCACAGTTGAGATGCAATGTAGCCTACCCTCACGCTCTCAGTCTCATCATCCTCGTCAATAACGTAGATTGTCTCCTCAACCTCTCCGAGAACCAAGTTGCAATGGCTGTCGTATGCNCTGTCCAGACATGTTAGTCTAGATAATCGCCAATGGGAAGTCCAGACGGTTGCTCGTACGTGAAGTCTGCCTTGCAATTCGCGATCACCGCGCAGCTTGACAAAGACGATCTCGTTAAGTGAAAGGCGCACAAGATCCAGTGGCTCGTTCACCGGGTTGGCGGTGCTGTCTTCAACATCGGCCATCTGCGCATCAAGGTTGTGTGAATTAGGTGCTTGATTGCTTTGCGCTTCTGACGACGACGGTGATGTCGGGAAGCTGTTCCACCGCCTTGGCAAAGAAGTGGACTTGCTTGGCGAGTTTGAATCTCCGCCGTCGCCGTCCCTTGCGTCAGATCCACCGGGGAAGGTTCGAGCCGCACTGCTAGCTCCACATGGCGCGAAACGGCCGAGCAATGAGGTTGTCGCTTGAGAGGTTGCGCTCTTCTTTCGAGCCGAGTCTTTTCTTCTTCTCTTCTTCATCTCAAAGATGCGGGCTGAAACGTCACGCTACCTTTCATACTGGAAGCGGCACCTTGTCGACAAGATGTGAGAGCTACAGCTCTGAACGGTCTCTCCAATCTACAAGTCTTAAGTATATTACCCGGAAATGGTTCTCTGGGGACCATGGCCCTGCAGAATCATACAAGCTGCCGGACCAGTCTGATTATCACGAGCCCAACGGTGGGCACAAAGTTCTTGATGATTTCTACGAAGACATCAAAAGTTCTTTGTTACGCAAAGATTATCAAGGGTTGATCAAGACATTTGGTGCTGGAGGAGACAACAGTCTGGACTTTGTCCGAAGCCTCCCAAAAACACCTTTACTGAAATTCTGGCTCATCTGCAACCCAGAAACGGGCTGAGCAACACACTGAAACCACGCTCTCGGCTTAGTCCTGCTATAGTCCAACAGTTGCACATGCCATCTGCAAACCATGTGATCAGACACTACCTTCTAGACGCAGTCCAAATACTCGACCAACACAAAAGATCTGGCAAAAGTTTGAGTGTCGTTGATTACAGTACGATACTCGGCTTCGCACGCTGGACTGGACTTAGAGACATTGCAGACACATTCTGGAAGTCGATGCAAGCTGATAACATCGTGCCAGACCTCAGGTGCTACAACAATTATCTTGGCGCTCTTGTCTCAAACCTTCGTCACGATCCAGATGTCAGGGAGAACCGTCGAGTCACTACTTTCAGGACCGAAGCGCGCTGTAAGCCAAGTCCTAGCGCAAGGTTTGCAGCCTATCATGTAGGCATTGGAGGTATCAAAGACAGCGCATTGGAAATTCATCGCGAGATGCTGAAGAGCGAGATTGTGCCAGATGAGGAAACGTTTCGCCTTCTCATCCTGGGTGTTGGCCGTGAAGGAGATCTCGATACTGTCAAGAAGCTTTTGAGGCAAGTGTGGAGAATCGATGTGGCCACTATCGTTGATGGTCTGGAAGAAGGACACTCAGAGTATGAGCTTGATGTCTTGCCGACATCTCCCCTTCACCCGACTCCCTTCTTGGTCTACGCCGTCGCACACGTTTTCAGTATCAACAACGAGATCCCGGCCGCTATGAAGCTTGTGGACCATATTTCACGGACCTACAACGTCAAGGTTTTTGACTATGTCTGGCATGAGTTGCTCAACTGGACCTTCGTACTTTCACTACCTCGCCAGGCATCGAGAAAAGAACAAGCAATCCTACCCAAAGGCAGTGTACAGAAGCTGTGGCAAGTCATGCGAAATGAACCTTACAACGTGCGTCCGACAATGGACATGTACAACAAGCTCATCAAAAGCCTCTTTCGGCAACAAAGGACTCGAGACATGTGGCATTATATGTGCGAAGCATTCCCATTGTATGAGGCAATGCGCAAGGAGACTCGGTATCTGAACAAGACCCTGCATAGGGTCCTCAAACTCTCACAAACAGTTGGCACACTCGAGCAGAAGTACAACCGCAGCAGACTCAACGAGAAAGCTTCGCGCCTGTTCCTCAGGCGCTGGGTGCGTCTCCTGCTCGGAAGCATGCGCTCATGGCGCAGAGTAGACGGCAGTCTGTACTGGAGTATTCAACTGATACCCAAGATTGTTCTCGAGTGGAAGGAGTTCATGCCTAACAAGGTGTGGTACGACATTCCTGCAGGCAGAGTGAGCATAATCCTCCGTACGAGCGAGGAGAAAAAAACACATCAAGAAAGAATAAAGAAGGCAATGGACACGAACGACAGAATTGCCAGTAGACACAACCGTCTGCCAGGACAAGATGGCAATCGCTATGTGCTAACACGCCGCCAAAAGAGAGCAGCGGTTGCTCAACGTGGAACTATTCCTTCGAGAGAACACAATAAGGCTGAGTAAGGCTCAGAAAAGACAAGGAAGCCGAGCTATCGAGTCAACAAGCAGAGAGGACGGAGGTTAGCTGATTATGATGACATGAGAGATGATATGTGGCTAGGCGTTCAGAAAACGCAGTATGAATAGCTAGTTATGCTTTATGGAATATGATTTAAGCAGTCGAAAAATTGAGATCTTTGACTTGAGAAACATCAGGTTGCACTGGCTTGTATCCTCCCCGTATACCAAAGTTTGTAAACTTCACCACACTCCGACTATAGTCCAGAGCAAAATCTAGACTATAAAAGGCACAATTGTCATCAGAAACAGAGTGTGTCCACAGAGACTCGACAACTTGTTGCCTCTCAGTGGATGCTATCTTGTTTCCTATTGCTATCCTGCATTTCTACAGGTATACGCGTTACATACTTTAGTACGGGGAGGATGGAGGCGGGGTTGTCTCGACTTCTTGGCTGGTGTGGCAGTGACCCTCCCGTGGTCGAGGCCCGCCTGTTTACAAGCTGGCTGGGTTGGGGTGTCCGACTGGATGCGGCAATGAATACGATGCCTGCTCAGGACATCAAGGAGGAGGAAACAGCTGTTTGCTGGAGAGGAGAGTTGAGAGGCAACGCAATTAAGGATGCGCGATTACCCAGAAGGGCAGGAGGGACGAGGTGACAGTTAAAAAGGCTCGGTGGTCACTGATGGTTACGCGTTCGACGTCACCAACATGAAGCCAAATTCAAGACCCTCGTTGTTTCCACACCGGGTGCCGCGCCCGTAACGTTCAATCGCTCTGTTCTCTTTATTCCCGCCAACAAGAACATGTACTCATGACCTGTTATGAAGAACCACACCTAACGACTATCACGCCCATTTGCTACTGTCCACCGAAATGGCGGGCCACGACGATCACTCCGACGACTTGGGCGGTGTTCGGAGGAGACACTCTGCCCATTATGACCACAACGACATTGACATGATCCATGCCCGCTACGATGGCTCCTCGAGCGAACGCTCTCAATCCAGCCCTTCGACGTCTGGAACCGACATTCCTAGCCATACCGTCCGCGAGTCTAGCGAACAACCTTCCCGAGTGCGATTCTCCTTGCAAGAGCAAAGACCAGATACCTCGTCGCGAGGGAAGGGAAGAGGAAGAGTGATGAGGACGCAAGGCCCAATCTCTCTGTAGACACTCATGCGGCAGCTGCGTCTTCTCCTGCTCGCTCGGGCACAGCATCTTCATCAAGCAATTCTCGTCCCAAGATGTCGCCCTTGTCACCGCAGGCGAGATCGCGAGGCTACTCGCTCCGTAGTTCGCTCTTCCAGCGCAACATTCACGATCGATCTGTCAACTCTCCCGCTTCGCCGTCCTCTATCATCGAGATGGCCCCCATTGGGCCTTCGAACCAAAATGCAGCTTCTCATACTCCAGTCACTCCTCAATCGGGCAAGAAGAGCATGGACACTGTGGTCGAGATCGCTCAGATGAACGACGACGACCGTGATCTGGAAGAACAAGACGTCAAGCTTCGTGCATTCGAACAGAGCCAGGGCGTGCAAGGCATAGGAGCCCTGCCGCACTACCAGTCCTGGATTCAGCAACACACTGCTCGCAACAAGACTTGGCGGTCTATGAAGGCTGGATATCACAAAGCTAGAAAGTTTGTCTTGCGCATCCAGGAGATCCCGCCAACGAAAGACGGCAGACATATTGACCTGGACGCTTCTCGCAAGACTACGCTACTCGACGAACGGACTGGCAAAGCCTATATCACAAATTACATTCGTTCTAGTCGATACACGGCTTGGAACTTTGTACCTCGTCAACTATTCGCTCAGTTTTCTAAACTTGCTAATTTCTATTTCCTTTGTGTTTCTATTCTACAAATGATACCCGGTCTCAGTACCACTGGAAGTGAGTATCCCTGTACAGTTGTATGAAGACAATATTAATAACATTGCTACAGCGNNTATACCACGATTATTCCCTTACTGTTTTTCGTTGCTCTATCTATGGGTAAAGAAGGTTACGACGATCTACGACGTTATCGCTTGGACAAGGTAGAGAACAACCGCGAAGCCTCTGTTCTACACGCATATCAGCCAGTACCCACATCTGAATCTCAAGTCGAAGAGGGAAATGCTCACACCGAAGGCCCAATCCACTGGGCAAAGACGAAGTGGCAAAACCTTCAGGTCGGCGACATTGTCAAACTCGAGAGAGATGAATCTATCCCAGCCGATCTGGTTTTGCTGAGCTCGAGGGGCGCTAATGGTATCGCGTACATCGAAACAATGGCATTGGATGGAGAAACCAATCTCAAGAGCAAACAGGCTCCAGTAAATCTGGCTAAACATTGTGCTACACCTGAAAACATTGCTTCTTGCGATGCCCATTTCGTTGTCGAGGACCCGAACATCGATCTGTACAACTTCGAAGGCAAAGTGTCACTGGGAGGCGAAACGGCACCTTTGACCAACAACGAAATCGTTTATCGAGGCAGCATCTTGAGAAACACTTCTGAGGCTTATGGAATGGTCATCTACAGCGGTGAGGAGTGCAAGATCCGAATGAACTCCAACAAAAACCCTCGTATCAAGGCTCCCACTCTACAGGCTATTGTCAACAAAGTTGTCATTGTCATCGTTATCTTTGTCATTCTCCTGGCGATCTTCAACACAGTGGCATATCAAGTCTGGCGCAGCGGTACAGAAGTCAACTCATGGTATCTCATCAACGCCAGAGTCGCCTTCTTCCCGATCCTGACCAGTTTCATCATCATGTTCAACACGATGATCCCTCTCTCACTCTATGTTTCTATGGAGATTGTCAAAGTCTGGCAGATGATTCTGCTTAACGACATTGACATGTACGACGAAGTCACCGACACACCATTTGAGGCGCGAACATCAACCATCAACGAAGAGCTGGGTCAGGTTAGCTATGTGTTTTCTGACAAGACCGGTACTTTGACAGACAACATGATGAAGTTTCGCAAACTCAGTGTCGCGGGTACGGCTTGGTTGCACGACGTCGACTTGCAGGATAAGCAAGATGATTCCGAAATGCTTATCCACAAGAAGAGAAGCCGCAAGGGCAAGGGCAAGAAGCCGGTTCGCAAGTCGACTACCTCTATCATGACCTCCACGCACAAGTTCGATGGCGCAGACGACCAGATTGAGTTCACCGAACATGGTCGTAAGTCGACTTCACAGTGGACCTCATCTGCAAGACCCGGAAAGGCTCAGCCTGAGCTCAGCACACAGACCATGATTCGCTACATACAACGAAAGCCTTTCACACTATTTGCANAAAAGGCTCGTATGCTCCTGTTGTCTATGGCATTGTGTCATACATGCTTGCCTGAGACACAAGATAATGGTGAAGTAGACTTTCAGGCATCCTCGCCCGATGAGCTTGCCCTTGTGAGAGCAGCACAAGAGCTCGGATATCTCGCCGTAAACCGAGAATCTGCGACCCTGACCATCAAGACTTTTCCTAATGGCATGAACCAAGAACCTGTTCTGGAGCAGTACGAGATCATGGATGTCATCGAATTCTCCAGCAAGCGGAAGCGAATGTCTGTTACCGTTCGCTTCCCTGACGGACGTGTCTGTGTGGTTTGCAAAGGAGCTGACACCATTGTCATGCAACGCCTTAAGCTCGCTTCTCTAGCAAATCAGAAGATGGTCGAAATTGAGAAGCGGACGAGCATGCGCAAAAGCATGGAAGCCCAAGAAGCTATACGTCGTAGAGGTGAACAACATGAGCGTTCGAGCTTCGCAAGACCCAGCTTTTCGAGACCAAGCTTCTCGATGTCGATTGGCCGACCTAGTATAGGTGGTATTCCTCGTACCAGCATGGGAAACCCTAGACTGCAGCCTATCCGCGATGAGCTCAATAACTGGCTCAAGGAACGCGAGAGCGAGGTCAACGTGTCGAACGATGAGGAGACGAGTGTGCATTACTCTCCACGACCCTCGACTCATATGCACAGTCGACACTCACTTGCTCCCTCTGAAGCTCGTAGCTCGCTGCAGTACGATGAGTTCGAGCAGGATGAGCTTGTTGAAGAGTCTCTTGTCACGGACGAGGCTACAGTACTTGAACGCTGCTTCCAACACATCAATGACTTTGCTACTGAGGGCCTTCGCACACTGCTCTACGGATACCGATTCCTTGATGAGCAGGAGTACCTAGGGTGGAAGAAGGTTTACCATGACGCCACAACAAGTCTCGTAAACCGTCAAAAGATGATTGAGGACGCAGGCGAGATCATTGAAAGAGACCTTGATCTTGGTGGTGCCACTGCCATTGAGGATAAGCTCCAAAAAGGTGTACCGGAAGCCATTGACAAACTCAGACGTGCCAACATCAAGATGTGGATGTTAACAGGTGACAAGAGAGAAACAGCCATCAACATTGGTCACTCTTGTCGTCTCATCAAGGACTATTCGGCCGTCACAATCCTGGACCATGAGACCGGACAAGTCGAGCAACGTATTGCAACCACCATCCTTGATATCAACAACAACAAGGTAGCACACTCGGTCGTAGTCGTTGATGGCCAGACACTGGCTCTGATTGAGGACGATGAGTATTTGCATAAGCTCTTCTTTGAGCTTGCAGTTCTTGCAGACTCGGTCATCTGTTGCCGTGCATCTCCAAGTCAANAAGCAGGCCTTGTGTCGGCTGTGCGACGAAAGGTCAAGAACAGTATCACGCTAGCCATAGGAGACGGCGCGAATGATATTGCTATGATTCAAGAAGCACACGTCGGTATCGGTATCACCGGAAAAGAAGGTCTGCAAGCAGCTCGCACCTCGGATTATTCCATTGCTCAATTCCGCTTTCTCGTAAAGCTGCTCTTGGTCCATGGGCGCTGGAATTATATCCGTATATGCAAATACACCGTCGGCACATTCTGGAAGGAGTTCCTCTTCTATCTTACCCAAGCACTCTATCAACGCTGGACTGGCTACACTGGCACATCATTGTACGAATCTTGGTCGCTAAGTATGTTCAACACGCTGTTCACCAGTCTTCCGGTCATCTTTATGGGCGTGTTCGAGAAGGATCTTTTGCCCCAGACTCTGATAGCCGTGCCTGAACTGTACACCAAAGGTCAGCGGAACGGAGGCTTCAACTTCAAGATTTTCTTCGCTTGGATCTTTATGGCATCGAGCGAGGCCATTATGATATTCTTTATCATGTTTGGACTCTATGCCCAGGCCGCCTTCACCAAGGACCAAGGACTATACGCCATCGGATCTTTGACATTTACTGCAAGTATCATTTTGATCTCCATGAAGCTGCAAGTCATAGAGAACCACAACAAGTCCATCATGGCCGTGATAGCCTGTGTGCTGTCTATAGGCGGATGGTTCCTATGGATGATCATCCTCGCCTCGATCTATGCGCAAAATTACACTTACAATGTCAAAGACAGCTTCTTTGTCCGATTCGGCGACAACTTGCTCTGGTGGCTCACTCTGCTGCTGATTGTTGTAGCAACCATGTGGTTCGAATTTGGAGTCAAGAGCTTCAAAGCAGCATACTTTGCGACCGACGTGGATCTCTTCCAACTCTACGAACGCGACTTGGAGATCCGAAAGCGATTTGAAGAAGCAGCTGCGATGGAACTGCAAGCGGGTTGGCATCACGGCAGCAAGAAATCGAGTTTCGAGCAGCAGCGCGAGGAAGAAGCGCAAGCAATGCGTGAGAACGAAATTGAAGATCTTCTGAACAGGCCGCGAGTTATGGAGGAAGGAGGTGCGAAAGCGGGTGTGGTGTTGGAAGAGCAGAGAGTGTTTGTTGAGGACGGGCCTAAGAGGCCTTCAACCGACATTCAAGAGATGCTGTCAAGAAGATTTGGATCAGTCAAGCAAGGAGGTATCGATATGGATAAGAAGTAATCTCTAGTTTTGTTGGCTATCTGGACGCAGTTTTTCTATCTTTAGAGCCGTTGTCTCTTTTGTTTATCTAACGAATATGCGATGTCTTGTTTCTGTCCTGCAGGTGAGAGAAGATGGAAAAGTAGGTGTACAGGCGATGCATGACGGGAATAGCATGCATGAACGTTTTTGAAGGCGGAACATGGGTTGATCAGCACAGTGAAATGGTTCGCTCGAGTCGCTGCAGAAGAAAAGAAACATGACTTTGCAGCGCTTCCCTTCCGCCTTGAGCTGTTTCCCTCTTGTCGCGTGATTGGCACAATGGGACCGTGCTCGGCAGATCCGGCATCAGCAATCGCAGATGGGCGAGCTCGATGCCAAGGGCAAAGCGCGTTGTACATGTGTGCTCACCAGACAATGCATGAATGGGAACGGAGAGATGGGTGGTGATGGTGTAAGCAGGCAGGCAGGTAGGCGTTTCCGGGTGATTTGGCTGGGAGACGGTTAGGATAGCGGACAACAGCCGTGTTCTCGGTCGACCGTCATTTGTGTCTGGATTTCTAATGACGGTTGACCTGGACTGGGTTGAGACAGCGACAAGTTAGATGGGCTGCATGGGCAGGGCAAGGCCTTAGAAGATCAGCATTTCATGAGTCTTGCCTAGCCGGACCGTGGACGCCGCATGTGGCAACAGCAGGCTAGTGAGGGAAACAAATAAGCTCCCGCGTTGGTCATGCTCTGGAAGGAAAGTGCGTGGGAGAAGGAGAGGGCAATTTTCCTACGCCGCGAGGCACGAACAAGACGACGGAGAGTGTGGACAGGCATTTGATATTGCACAGTAAAGCAGTGGCAGGGAAATTGTAGGCGGAGAAGGGGGAAAATTGGTCTCTCTTGTGATTAAATTAAATGCCCGGTTGCAGTCGCGGCTTGGCTGCCGAGCGTCACATCGTTGCTCGTCCTCGCCTTTTGGCTGTCTCATCCTCTAGGCTCTTTCAACGGGCTCTCGACTCCTGTTTTCTCTCCCCTTCCTCCCACCATCCATCATCCGTCATCCGTCATCAACAATCTCATCTCCATCGCCGCATGTTACGAACGACACGACTTTAGCTTGCATTGTATANCACTCGCAGTTCTTAACCCCATCACTTCTNCAAGTCCGACTCGACCCCCGACANCTCAATTCGCCCTCGGCCATCTCCGCTATACGCCCTCGAGTCCGAGAGTCACCGCCGACTCCTTGCACACCGAGGCTTCAGTATTCACAGTCATCCGTCCTCCCACAACAGGCAGGTGAGACTGCTTTCTCAACCTCACAAGGATACCCGAGGCGCCCTTGAAGGCAANNGCGGTTTATTCTTGGCGTTGGGTGTCGACGCCTGTTGTGACTCGAATTGAACCCGACTGGAATTGCATGGCTGGTGTTTGGTCTTGATTGATTCGTTGCATTGCCGGTGTTGTGTGTAGCTCTGGTGAGTCTTCCAACGATATGACGGGTTCATATTCAGCCGCTGACGCCTGGTCCTCAGTCTTTGTTGTTGCCATCTCCTTTCGAATCTTCCCATCATGCGCGAGGCCAACTTCAGCATCCCGAGCGCCAACAAGGCTTCGGTCGGCATTACTCCTGCCCTCTACGACCGTCGCGCTCTTGATTGCACCTCGACCCTCCCCTTGATCAACTCACTCAACAACCTCACCTACCTCACTACGTCATCCGCACGCATCCGCGACATCCNNCTCACAGTAGACGGTGGTGTTGAACGCCTGGTCTGCATCTTGAAAGAAGGCAGGAGCAAAGATGCTATGGAGAGTTGGAAATGGAATCTGGCTTTCCAGTGTGTCTTCAACATCGGCGTCAGAGGCTCCGAAGCCGTACGAACTCGTGTCGTCGAGGCCGACATGGTACCTGTGGTGGCTACTCTTCTGGACAACTATATTTGTGCCATGGAGAAGCTGAAGAAGAGAGCTGATGAGGACGCAAGACGCACTCCAGCCAACTTCAACCCCTTTCCCAACCTTCAGAGTCCTCCTCGCGCAAGTCGCTCTCCTTACCAGCCCAGATCAGATCGCACACCTCGAAGATCAGTTCCGCCGCCGATTGATATCTCTGCTACTGACGATCAGCCCATGGTCGACTCACAGCAGCCATCGCTACGCAGCACCAGACTCGATTTTGGCCGCCACACTCCGATGCACGATATCCGTCCACAATCATCTCCACAGATTCGCTCAGAGCAAGCCTCGCGTCAGACCCTACGTCCAGTTCGGAATGCTGACCGCCTACCATCGATGCTGCCTAACCTGAATGCTGAGTTGAGCTCACAACCACAGTCGCCTACTACGCCAAGCGCGACGGCTCCGACTAGTCCTCGCTCTGCTGCTAGCCTTGGACGCAGAAGACCATCGATCCGCCATCAGCTATCCATCTCTGGCAACTGGGAAGATGAGCAAAGTGATGATGCTGTCCAAGACACTTCGGATACAGCGGAGACGTCACCAGAGCCAATGGTCGACATTCAGAATGACATCTCCATGCAGGATATTGTCAACGATGAGACTATGCTCGAAGGAAGCGCGACTCCTGTTGCTCTAGGTGTGCCGACCGTCGATGTGTCAGACTCGGACGCTTTCATCAGCCACGCCTCAGTGCAGGACGGTAGCGCCAACACCCAAACTCCAACTCAAGCTCAACCCGGATTTGCACCCGCCCAGCAACTTCCTTCTGTCGATATTGTTAACTCTGCCCCACCAGCACTCATGGCCCCACGTGCTGGTGTACCCNTTGTCTCGGCTCCAGCTCCTCTCGCCGCCGCTCTTCCCCGTGACGAAGATGTCATCATGTCCCTTCAACTACTCGCCTACGTCTCAAAATACTGCAACCTCCGTTCATACTTCCAGGCATCACACCTCGTTCCCCGCCTCAATATTGACGCCGAGCTACGCACACTGGATGCCGATTACGATCCCTCAGTTCCCTTCACTGGTCCCTCTCAAGAAGAGCTCGAAGAGGCTTGGGATAATGAGTTTGTCGAGCAACCCGCTTACAACATTTTCCNNCCCCTGATCGAAAAGTTTACTGTGCGTTGCTCGAGCTCTCGTCAATCTTTGTTGCCAACTTCGGCTCAGCAGAGTGAGACTATGCAATATTGGGCGGGCGTCGTCATGCGTAATCTTTGCCGTAAGGACGAAAGCCGTGGAGGTATTCGTCAATGTGCATACTGGAAGTGTGGAAAGTGGGAAGAGTACACACGGCAGTTTGCTAAATGTAGACGCTGCCGACGCACCAAGTACTGCAGTAAAGAGTGCCAAAAGGGCGCTTGGGGCAGTCACCGATTCTGGTGTGTAGCAGCAGAAGAGGGCAAAGAGGGCGAGAACTCCCGGCATCATCACCACCACTCGCACTCGCATTCGCACCAGCGATCCCATCACCACGCACAGGGTGAAGGAGCGACGGCAACAGCAGGAGCGTCAACAACACGAGGCGAATCATCTCGCTCACGAGCACATCATTCTTGATTATGAAACTGGATTTACACGGCATATGTTCTCTGACAGCTTTTTTTTCCGGCAACGATATCCTTTTGGCCGAGTAGAAAGAGCTTAGGTATTTGTGAGATTGAGCAGCACTATGGGCATGGGCAATAGAGCCCTGTGCCTACATTTAACGAAACATTGCGCAGGCGTTGTGGAGGAATCTGTGATACTCTCTTGGGCAGGCGTTTTTGTTTTTATGTTTGAGAAGGAAGAAGCACCGATTGTCAATCGGACAGTACTGAGAACCACGTTGAATATTATTTTTGCTTCTCCAAGAACATGATCTGTGTCATGTAGCATTGTGCGAGCGTTCTGGTGATACTCGGCTCGAGAACAAAGAGGACTCAACAAAGGGAACAATGGCCATGGGTCAAGTGGGTCCCGAGATCTAGCGGCTCGGGTTGTAATTCAGGTAAGAAAGCACGTGCGCAGAGTTGAAGATTGGCTTGTCGGTCGTGGTCCAGATAAGGAAGGAACAAGCAGCGCTGGGCGTGACACATAATTGACGAGGTCTCTTTATTCGGCCTTGGTCGTGACATGGCTACGCCTGGCCATACTCCCTAACGAGATTCACCTAAGACTGTGGGTGGTGGCCCTGCACAGGAGAAGCGACGCGCACATTCCGACGAGCGACTTCGGCTATGACAGGCCGCGCTGAAGTCGTCAGCAGCGACGATGATGTGCGAAGACCGCTGCTGTCGCGCAGCAACACCAACGACATAGACCTGGACATGGCAACTCTCAACACACGGCCTAGCCATGAGAAATGGCGGCGCGTGGTTGGTCTGCTATTGCTATTCACGACCGTCATTCTGTGGACCGCCTCTAACTTTATGGCTTCCGTACGGCCATCGCTCGATACATGACTTTTTGCGCAGAGAGACTAACGGACGTGCATAGNNACACTGTTCGCCGATAACACCTACTCGAAGCCCTATCTCGTCACTTACGTTAACACCGCTTGCTTCATCATACCGCTCTTGCCCATCGTCGTGCGACGCCTATACCTAAGCGGCTCCCTTAAGACGCCGAGATACGCTGCTGTGCCCCAGGACCACGACGAGGATGTATATACACAAGAGCACACCAGTGATTCTACATCACAAAAACATACGGCCATCAACGATGCTCAAGCCGTCGCTCCCCTGTCTCTCGGCGAAACCGCTCGTCTGAGTCTGGAGTTCTGCATGCTCTGGTTCCTGGCCAACTACTTTGTCGCTGCTTGTCTTGAACACACGACTGTCGCTTCGTCCACCATTCTTACATCGACGAGCAGCATCTTTACTCTACTTCTGGGATGTGCTGTCGGCGTCGAGATCTTTACCCTACGCAAGCTGCTCGGTGTTCTCGCTTCCTTGCTTGGAGTCGTTCTCATCTCCTCTGTTGACCTCTTTGGCAACAACGATAATGGCCGTGGCCTGTTCCCTCACAAATCTGCACGCCAAGTTGCACTAGGCGACGCAATGGCTTTGCTGTCTGCGGTCTTGTACGGTATCTATGCCGTACTCATGAAGAAACGCATCGGAGACGAGCGTAGAATAAGCATGCCCGTTTTCTTTGGCCTTGTGGGTCTCTTCAATGTGCTGCTTCTCTGGCCTGGGTTTTTGATCTTGCACTTTACTGGTGTAGAACCTTTCGAGTTGCCTCCGACTTCGAGGGTCACGACAATTATCCTCGTATGTTTAACAATCCGTCTCGTTCTTGAATTTTTCTTGTTAACAATGTATCAGGTCAACTCATTCAGCTCTTTGCTCTCTGATATTGCATGGGCATACGCTGTTCTACTCCNNACTTCACCAATCGTCGTCACAGTAGGCCTCTCGACCACAATCCCACTCTCCCTGATTGGGCAACTCCTCATCAACAACCAAACCTCGCCTGCAATCTACTGGCTGGGCGCCTGTGTCGTTGTTTTGTCTTTTGTGTTTGTCAACCACGAAGAAGCTCAAGATGAGGCTGCTCAAGATCAACGCATTCTAGAACAAGCATCGTCGAGTAGAGAGGTCCTGCATGAGGACGCATGATGAAACCTGCATCTTTCTTTGCATTGTTACTAGGAGTTTAAGGTATGGGGTTGACTGTCAAAGGCAGTATCTATAGATTGGACGAAATGCTCTTCTACGAGTATGCGGCTTTACGAATATTACGATTTTATTCTCTACTTGACCGACTGCTGCGCATCTCGTGCTGCATTCGAACCCATTTTATCTGGACAAGGATGTTAATGTGTATCAACATCAGTATTTTGATTTGAAGTTGACTGTTGATCAATACGGTCTCAGAGAGGAAGGTGGCAGGATCCGACTCCGCTCTATCTGACCTTGATAAGGTATGTACAAACTCAATTTCTCGCTTTCTCCTTTTTCGTTGCTGAAGGATCATTGGATCGTCCAATGATACTTTGGGCGTTGTATCCCATGAATACGGGTGCCTGGAGTGCGAGCTATATCTGCTGCTGACTCCTCGAATACTTCCATATGGTCTTTTGACACAGCTGTAAAGCTCCGACAGATGTCGCTCAACTTGACCCTCGAAGCCCTCCGGCAGGTGCGGGGCACAGCAACTGCCTGCTCCTTCACCGACGACAAATCATTTGGACCCTCGATTGCTAAACAATGCCGTGCTTTTGATTTTACTCTACTCTTCGAACAAGCGTTTCTGTCTCTTGTGCCTTCGATTTTGCTTGTGCTTGGTTGCATCTTCCGTCTGAGTGATGTTTTCCGTCAAGATGTGAAAACACTACGAAGCCGCTTACACAGATCCAAGCTGGTATCGATGTACGCACTCAGCTTGTTGAGTGGAGACTGACGAGTCTAGGTATCCGCAAGCTGCTATGCATGTCTGCAATTGGCATTGCTAGTCGTGGTTGCTCTGCCATCGACACCACGCACAAGCCTATCACTTCCAGCCACAATTTTGTCTCTCGCTGGATCTATATTCATATGTCTGCTGTCTCATTTGGAGCATACCAAGTCGATCCGTCCTTCGGCACTGCTGAACGCCTACCTCTTCTTCTCGGTACTGTTCGATGTCGTCCAGCTTCGGACGCTATGGAAGATTCATGGCTTGGAGACAGTTGCCAGTGTTTTCTCTTCAGCTTTGGCACTTAAGGTCGTCATTCTTGTCTTGGAGGCCTGGGAGAAAGACTCGTTGCTTACTCCTCCCTACAGTGGTACAGCGCCAGAGGCGAAAAGCGGTCTCTACAACCGAAGTCTCTACTGGTGGCTAAATCATTTCTTGACTGTTGGCTTCAAGCAAGTCTTTGGTTTCGAAGATCTGTACAGTCTGGATGACGGCTTGTCATCCGAGACGCTTGCTGAGAAGGCGCAAGTATCATGGCGAAGAGCAGACAAGAGCAAAGAGTATGCGCTACTCTGGAACACTCTGTCCTGCCTGAGATGGCCATTACTGGCCCCTGTCGTTCCTAGACTTGCATTGATCGGCTTCAACTACTCGCAGCCGTTCTTGATCACGAGAATCATCAATTATGTCGATGAGGTCGAAAGAGACAAGAACATAGGATACGGGCTCATCGGCGCGGCTGCTATAACCTACATCGGCATTGCCATCTCTAATGGACGTTATCGACATGCCAACTTCAGATATATGACCATGATTCGTGGCTCGCTCTCTGTCTTGATATACGAANAAACACTGGATCTAAGATACACGGCTTTGGAAGACGCGAGTCCCGTCAGTCTGTCTAACGACATTGACTATATCATCAACGTTTCTGAGGATTTGCACGAGATATGGGCCAGCACATTCGAGATGGTCATAGCTATGTACCTAATAGGCCGCGCATCTGGAGTCGGTTGCGTTGCACCAGTAGTGCTAGCCATAGCTGGTGCAGCTGCTAACACGTTCTGGGTGGGTCCTCGGATGAGGAAATATCGACCAAAGTGGAATGCAGCCATCCAGCAGCGTGTGGCTCTAACTTCCTCATTGCTCAAAGACATGAAGGCACTAAAAATGCTGGGTCTCACGAGCAGAATGCGGGCTTTGCTCCAAGATCAGCGTAGGTTCGAGCTCGAAAAGTCTATCGATGTTCGGATGTGCATAATCTGGTTGAATATCTTTGGCAATCTAATGCCAACTTTTGCGAAGGCCTTTGTGCTGATGACCGTAGCGTTACAAGCACGAGATGGAGGTGAATTACTGACGCCGGCCACCGCCTATAGCCTCATCTCGCTTGTCAACTTGATAGCTACACCCCTGGGAACTGTTACAGCGAGCATACCATCATTCATGGGAGGTCTCGGCTGCTTTGAGCGTATCCAGAAATTCCTTCTTGAAGAAGTGCAAAGCGATGATCGCATTATCAACAGCAGAAGCACGCCCGCAATACAGCCGTCATCATCGGCTGCAATAGAACTGCGGGTCATGCCTGCGAAGGACTCACCTGACAGAGGCAGTGACGCTATCAATCTTGATGAATGCTCCTTCGGTTACTCTGCCGAGACTGCAGCGCTGAGCAGTTTGACGTCTTCAATCAAANAAGGAACCATCAACATGGTTGTTGGACCTATTGGCTCCGGCAAAACTAGTCTTCTCCTGGGTCTGCTCGGAGAGATCCAAAGTCTGAAAGGTTTCGTTCGTATGCGCAATGCTGATGTCGCATACTGCCAACAGTCTGCTTGGTTGCCCAATTCAACCATCAAGAATATCATCATAGGCACTCTGCCGTACGATGAAGCCTGGTATCAGACGGTTGTTTCTTCTTGTGCACTCGAATTGGACATAGCTCGCCTGACTGATCAAAATGAGACTTTGATTGGAAGCCGGGGACTGACTTTGAGTGGTGGACAACGTCAAAGACTTGCCCTCGCCCGAGCAGTATATGCTAGAACAGCGGTTGTCTTGCTCGATGACATTTTCAGCGCTCTAGATGCAAAGACCGAACAAGTTGTCTTCGAGCGCCTTTTGTCAGAACGAGGCTTGTTCAGGAAGAATAACACTACTGTGATACTTGCGACCCATGCCGTACAACACTTGTCCGCGGCCGACAACATTATTGCACTTGGAAAAGATGGAACTCTTGTAGAACAGGGGTCGTTCAAGCGACTTATGGCCAAGCAAGGCTATATTGCAGCGCTCGCTGTTGAACTTCGAGATCAATCTGACCACGAGAACATTCTCAAGAAGACAGGGGTTCCCAGTGGTGAAGTGACAGAGGCTGACATGCAAGATGAGATGCTCATATCTGATCGGAGGCTGGGAGACTTTGCCATCTATAAGTACTACGGCAAGCGCGTAGGGCTGGCTTTCCTGTTAGCCTTCCTCGCTTGTCAGTTCATGAAAACCAGCCTTATTTCTCTGCCAGGTTTGTCTCTTGCTGCTCTGTAATGACCTTTTGCTGATACCGAAACAGACCTCTGGGTACAGTTTTGGACCAAGGATCCAGGCTCACAGATGGGCATGTACATCTCTATTATGTTTGTTATCGCCATTTGTGGCATGATTTTCGGTTATATCTCTTTATGGTAAGTCCTATCCTTGTGCAAATAGAACACTACTAACTAGCCCTAGGNNATCATTTTGATCAAAATTGTACCACGCAGTGGCCTAAGCCTGCATTGGACCTTGCTTTCAACCATCACCGCTGCCCCACTCGCTTACTTTACAAAGACCGATGCTGGAATCATTCTCAACCGGTTCAGTCAAGACATGACGATTATTGACAGTTCTCTACCAATAGCAGTTCTACAGCTCAGTTTCGTCGTGTCTCAAATAGTATGGCAAGGCGCCTTGATCTGTTATGGAGCATATTACGTTGTTGCATTCATTCCTTTCATTGCCGCCATACTTTACGCAATTCAGAAGTTCTATCTACGAACCAGTCGCCAGCTGCGTCTACTGGATCTGGAGATGAAATCGCCACTATTCACGCACTTCTCGGAGACTCAGGAAGGTCTGGTCACCATCCGAGCTTTTCGATGGCAGTCAAACTTCTACTCCAGCTTTTTGAATAAACTGGATGCATCACAGAGGCCGTACTATCTGCTATACATGATCCAGCAATGGTTGGGATTGTGTTTAGCTCTCGTAGTCGCTGCTGTAGCCATCGTGTTAGTCGCATTCGCAACACAATTCAAACATCAATCTTCTGGTGGACAGATTGGTGTTGCTATGATCTCCGTTATGGGTTTTAGTTCTAGTCTTGCTGCGCTCATTTCACATTGGACAAGCTTGGAGACATCCATTGGAGCTGTTGCACGTCTCAAACAGCTCGAGGTTGAAGTCAAGCCCGAAGATCTACCTTCTGAGTGCGAAAAGCCACCCTCTTCATGGCCTGAGGCAGGTGCAGTTGTCTATGACGGTGTCTATGCTAGTTACGGAGATGGAAAGCCAGATGTGTTGCATGGCATATCGCTCTCCATCCGCCCAGGCGAGAAGATAGGCATCTGCGGCAGAACAGGATCCGGAAAATCGACCTTGATAGCTCTGCTCTTCAGGCTTCTGCCCACTAGAGCCGGTGTGGTGGCTGTCGATGGCGTTGATCTATCAATAATTCCTCGTCAAAAGACAAGAGAGTCGATCATCGCCATTCCTCAGGAACCTTACATCCTATCAGGCACTGTTCGCTTCAATGCTGCACCAGACTCTGCACCCTTCTCCGACGTAGATACCGACTCGTTTGAGAATGTTGTTTCAGACACAGCCATCATCGCCGCACTGGAAAAAGCGGATCTCTGGGACTTGGTTGCACGTCGTGGTGGACTCAGCACACCTATATCTGACCTCGGATTAAGTCAAGGCCAGAAGCAGCTTTTCTGTCTCGCTCGAGCTATTCTAAGGAAGCAGACTTCGAGCTTGCTGGTCTTGGATGAGGCTACTTCTAGTGTGGACAAGCATACTGACGAATTGATGCGTAGAGTCATTGAAGATGAGTTTGCAAGTCATACTGTGATTAGTGTGGCACATAGATTGAGCAGTCTGGTTGCCTGTGATCGGGTCGTTGTAGTGGATGAGGGCAAGATTGTAGAGGTTGGGAACCCGGTTGCCTTGATGGAGGTGGAAGGTGGTTGGTGGAGGAAGTTGTGGGAAGCTCAGAACTAGATTGTCCCCCGTGTGCTAAAGACGGTCACAATTTTGCAACTGATCCTTTCTCCATTCCGAGTATCGGCTCATTACAGGCTGTCGGAATGCATAGTTGCAACTCGAATATGCTACTAGCCACTGAGACAGCCTTTGATAGGTTTCTCTCTGGCGAACATATCATTTCCAAAAGTATTGTGCATATCTGTAGCTACACTGTGAGCGCCCTTAGCACATGAGGAGGATACAGACACAAGCTCCATCCAAACACATCCCACATGAAAATCACCAATTCTCTCCTGTGCCCAACACTTCCTGTCCCTTCTGAAAATCACGACTCTGCTTCTCGCCCATCCATTGCGGCTGCGTTCGCTCAATGCCTTCTTCAATGCCCCACGCTCTTCCTCCTTCCACGTACAAAGCTTCGCCATTGAGTGACTCGGCAACCATGACGCCGGCTATCACTCTAGCTACATCGATGGCTTTGTTACGGGGCAAACCTGCTTGTTTCCAGTCTTGGTCGATGCCGGAAACCATTCGTGTCTCTGTCATCCATGGACAAATGGCATTCGTCCTGATAGAGTATGGGGAAGCCTTAATGAGCACNCCTAAGCTCCTAGCATCAGCCTCTTCCCTTCCACAATACGCACACCTGAGCACAAAACGAGAGAGAAGTGAAAAGCAAACTTACTTCCTCAACGCCCTCATCAAGCCATACACACCATGTTTGCCCGACGAATAAACCGCCAACCCAGGAGCTTCCGTAAAGCCCGCCACTGAAGAAACAAGCGTCAAAGATTTGTTTGCTGCTGCAGTGGAGGATTTGTCGTTTAGAGGTTGTTGCCGCAGATACACGCTTGCGAGACGAGAAAACAGGATTGGACCTTTGAGGTTGACGTTTAGAGAGTCGTTGATATCGGGTTCCTGTTTTACACCCCATGGATCAGCATTTGCGTCGTTTGCCTGAGAGGAAAAGGAGGGAACGTGATATGAGCATACCTTCCGCACACTCTCCAGCGTCAAATTTCCATCCACGATATTTTCCTCTCTGTTGATTCCAGCTACACTAGCCGCATGATCAACTCTTCCACAAGTGCTGTACGCAAGTTCAAAGAGTCCGAGATTGGACAGATGGTCCGAGACATTGGTATACAAGAACTTGACATATTGTCCTTGCTTCGAACTTGCAGATAACTCTTTGGCGAGGGCTTCTCCTTGAGGTATCAAGACGTCGCCGAAGAAGACGTTGCTGCCTGCTGAGTGTAGCAGGCGGACTAGTTCGGCGCCGATGCCTAGGGCGCCTCCTGTGTTTGGAGTAAGTGTTAGAAGACTGATTCGAAGAGGAGAAAAGATGGAGCCAGGAAAACAAGGGGTCACATAAGAAAGCAAGAATGGCTCTTGCATGCAGCTCAAGAAGGAATCCAAAAGTGGCATGTATGTACGTACCCGTCAACACCACCACTTTACCCTGCAGATGCGTCCCCAACTCTGGAGGCTCGAAACGCGACATTGTTAGAATTGCTGATCACGGGAAATACACTCTAGAGACTGTAAAGCGACAACAAAACGGAAGGCACAACACAGATAAGTAATAAAAGAGAAGGAGGTCGTCTCTTCTAAACATCGGCAATGGATGGAAACAAGAGACCCCACATTACCCCACATAGACCTCCCCGTGTGCTAAAGGATGTAACTTCCACTGTACTCCGACTACAGCTAAGAGCAAAAAGCACACTATAAAAAGGCACAACTGTGTTCGAAGTAGAGGCGTGCCCACAGAGAGCCGACAAATCGTTGCTTCTCAGTGGAACTGTTTTATTTCCTATCACTATTGTGTATTTCTATAACTACACGCGTTACATACTTCTGCACGTGGGGAGGGAGCGGAACTTCTGCCGGCAGATCATACTGCTCTCGTTTTGGGATGTTTTAGCCATGGCTTGCAGAAACGATTAAGAATACCATAGCAAGCAGAAACGTACGTGTTGTGACAAGTAGCTGACTTCTATTCGTCTTCGTGGGAAGGAGCGGTTGTTTCTATCATCTAGACTTTCGCTCTTCTGACCCCTTCATGCATGCTTGTGAAGGAGATGCGCCAAAAGCCACAACCACACGCGCTTCGCAGGTCTTCTCTGAACAGCAACGACCTTCTCAATATACCAAAAATAAAACACCGTCAACACCATTGTTTAAAGTGTATTCGATGCAAATCATGCAATCCTTTCATCATCTCATCATTCTTTATACCTCAACCTCTTCCTTTACGTCGGCCTCTTTCTTGACGTCCTCCTCTTCCTTAACGTCGAGTCCTGCATCTTTGAGCCCGTTTCTGAACTCATCGCGAAGATCCTTGCTCTTCGCCGAGGCAGTGTCGTCTTTCGTGATGTCCATGGCATCGACGGCGTCTTTGTCTTCTATCTTTGGTTTCACGTCCTTCTCCTCCTCTTCCAGATGCTTGAAGAACATGTCCTCAACGGCAAGTGCTGCATCAGCCTCGAGTTTCTTCTCAGCGGCAGCGTCTTCAGCAGCACCGGCCACGCGATCGTCGAGCGCCAGCTTGGACTCTCCGAGAGCGTGGATCTGCTCTTCAATCGTGCCACGGGTGACTAGACGAACAACCTCCACATCGCGAGTCTGACCGACACGATGGGCGCGATTCTCTGCTTGGATATCATCCTGAGGGTTGAAACCAGAGTCAAGAATAACGACCTTGTTGGCACAAGCCAAGTTGATACCTGCACCACCAGCCTTGGTACTGAGCATGAAAACGGGGATTGAGGTGTCGTTGGTGAACTGATCGATAATGTCTTGTCGAGTCGCCATGGGGGTACTACCATCCAGACGCATAAACTTGATTGAAAGTGTCTCGAGGACTGCTTCCAGAATGTCCATCATCGTCGTGAATTGGGAGAAAATAAGAGTGCGATCGCCGTTCTTGATGTAGCCTTCGAGCAGCTCCTTCAACTTGTTGACCTTCCCGCTGTTCATCCACTCGTTGTTGCGTAGGATGTACTTGTTCAAGAAGTCGTAGTCGAGACAGAACTTGTGCATACCAAAGTCACCACCTTTGGTATGTTCTGTGAGCATTCTCCAGATGAGTTCTGGCTTGTTATCACCGTATTCCTCAGATCGCTGCAGGGCCTTTGCCAACTTCTCTAACTCCTTATCGCTGTACTTGCGTCTAAGGAGAAGGGGGTGGAGAGCTGCAAAGCGCAATGCGGTCATCTCCTGAGCGGTCTTTGCAGCTTTGGCACCACCCTTCTTGGGCTGTGTGCGGGCATCGACGGCTTGCTTGACCATCTCATTATATACGTCGCGTTGCTCTGGCATCATATCGCAGTATTCGACACGACGGTGCTTGGCAGGCATGTGCTTCAGGACTTGCTGCTTCTTTCGGCGAAGGATAAACGGTGTCATCATTGATCGAGCTCGTGCGATGCGTTGTGCAGAAAGTAAAGCTGCGTGATCGGCATCTTTNGTAGTAGCCTTGTACTTGAAAATGTTGTCCAGATCCTCTCTTCGAGAATTGAAAAGTTGAGGAAGAATAAAGGAAAGCAGAGAGGCGAGTTCTTGCAGGTTGTTTTGGAGCGGCGTACCGGTCAAAAGAAGGCGGAACTCGGCAGGAATGCGCATCAGCTGTTGGTGTCTCTTGGACTGGCTGTTCTTCAGAGCGTGGCCTTCATCGAAAACGCATACCACCGGGCGTACAGTCTTGCGCAAGAAGTCCGTATCGTACTTTCCGACAGCCGTCTCATACGTAGTTACGATAACATCGATCTCATCCAGGCGTGATCCGTAGTCGTAGCGTTGTTCCTCTCTTTCGGCTTGCGAGCCGTAGTAGGGGGCAACATCGAGAGCGGGACAGAATCTATTCAGCTCTCTGATCCAGTTCTCCAGGGTCGATCCAGGAACCACGACAAGATGAACACCAGGTACCTCCGTTTGTTTGAGGTGAGCAAGGAAAGCAATAACCTGACAAGTTTTTCCAAGACCCATATCATCGGCAAGGATACAGCTCAGCTTTTTAGACCAGAGCAGATTGAGCCAATTCAGACCAAACAGCTGATAATCCTTCATCACAAGGTCAGTGCTCATGTTTGCCGGCTGCTTCAAGAAGATGTTTTTCTTGAGCTTGTTGGGTCTAGTTGTTTTAGGCTTGACTATATCGTCATCGTCATCGTCGTTATCGAGAACGCCAGTAGAGCTAGCAGGAGTGCCCATGCCCGAATCATGCTGTGTGTCTTCCAGAGAAGTAAGAGCCAGTTCACCGTCCTTGGCGGCGGCAGCGACGTCGATACCCCATTGTTTCATTGTATCGGCGATGGGTTTACCAAGATTGTCACATTTCTCGACCAACTCGTCAACAGCTTCATATCCTCTGTACATCTCTGCGCATACATCCAGAACCTTGTCTCCGATGGCTTTCTTAGCAGACTTCTTGCCTGACTTCAGGGGAGCAGCATCGGAAATGTTTCGGATAGCATTCAGACTGCGGAAAGGCTTCTTGGACAGAATTAATTGAGCAATCTCTAACTTTTCGTTGCACATATCGGCCAGATCCTGAGCACTGCATGTGTTGAGGAACTTCAGTAGACGACCATCGAAGTCGCTTGTATCTTCTTCTTCCGACTCTCTGCCAGACTCGGCATCAGAATCGTCAGAGTCAATGATGACAGGACGCTTCTTGGGTGCAGCTTCAACAGGTTTGGTCGGTGAAGGAGAGCCGATAGGAGATTCGGGGTTCTTGCGACCCTGCATCAAGCGTCTTCTGGGCTTTGCAACCTCTGACGATGTCGTAGTAGTAGGCTTAGGTTTAGTCGAGTATTTGTCGGCAATGGTTCGTGTTGGTGCTTTGACTTGTTGTTTGGCGGCTGGTCGAGGTTGGGCACTAGGCTTTGCGGCATTGCTCTCAATGTCTGAGCTAGTGAGGTCGACAACATCCATGTTACCGCCGTTCTCTTCCCGCAAAATCTGGTCAACAGCATCGTCGAAGTTACCATGGCGGTCCTGCAAAGCCTTGTACAGCACGCGTATAGCTCGACCAGGCAGAACAATCATCATACGCTCCACCTTNTTCTGATCCGCAACGTCAAAGATATCATTTATTGACATGTCCTCCACAGGCTGAGCACGCGAAGGTGCATGCTGGCGTTGTTGGGGTTGGGGCTTGTTCCTCGAGACACCTCCATAAGCACTTTCCATTCCGCCAGCATTGTAGGCGAACGACGAAGTAAAGTTCTTAAATTTCTCAGCCGAAGACTTGGGGCTCTCTTGAACGCGATTGGGAGAGGAGTCGAGGTTCCTCCCACCTCTGGTGAACGCAGTAGGAATGATGGCAGATTGCGTAGCGGGACCCTCGGTGTCTGAACTGCGGTCGACCGGAGGATCGATAAAGTCATCGTCGTCGTCGATGTTAACGACCTGCACAGGACGAGGCTGAGGAACGCCAATGGGGCGTCTGAATGCAGTTCCAGGCGGGGCAAAGCGAGTGCCAAATGTGGTTTGGGGACGAGGTTGCGGCAGAGGTGACTCGGGAACAGGAGCGGGCGAGCTGCGAGCGACTTGGACGGTAGGAGTGGATGAGTGAGAGCGCTTCTGCGGCAGGGGTTGAGTCGGTTGAGTGTGGTAGGAGGGTTGTGAGTCGCCATTCAAGTCGGCCATGAGGTTAGCAAAGGTCAGATTGGCCTGCGGCGGTGGTCGTGAAAGAATCTGCGTCGGTATCGTTCCTGAAGTATTTGTCTGTGTCTGTGTCTGTGGCCGGCGACCAGCAGGACGGAAGCCGCCAGCAGTCTTCTGCCTCTTGACGGGGCTGCTCATGATAGGGTCGTTGTCCATCGTGCCTGCCTTGTTGTACAAAAGTCCGAGAGGTTGAAAAAGTTTTGATCTTCTGCTATGTCGATAACGCTACAAGACAAATAGACAGGTCCAGACTCTGCATGTGAGATCGCAGGTCGTATAAGCCAGTGACGGTGGGGAGAGGGGTTCAATTGTCGATGAAAGTACAATCACTAAAAAAGTGGCAAGGGAGGGACCCTCAATCGACAATGGCTTCACTTTGCGACTTTGAATGCGGAGGCGTGACGCGCACGCGAGGCCTCTCTACTTTACTCACTAAACCAGTGACCACGACCACTTGACCGACAGCAGCAAACACTAGCAACCACAATGGCTACAAACAGAAGAATCGTCTCGCAAGAGAAGACCCATCTGGACCAAGACGAGGTCCAGCAGCAACCCTCCATAACAACTCCTGCTGTGCCCCAGTATGCTGAATTCATCCATCGTCTCACCGAGTCCATCACTGACTTACCTCCANGACATGTCATTGTCAAGCTGCTTCTCTTCACCTTTGCTATGATCATTCTTCCAATCTCATCCTACTTCTTGACACTCGACAATCTCTACTCTGGTATCTATCATCAAATCCATCAATNNCAACGTGAACTTCCTACTAACTCAGCAGGCAACTCCACTTATGCTGGTGCAACCGCTGCAATTATCGCAAACTTTGTCCTGATTGGCTACGTTATTGTCGCTATGAGAGAGGACGCAGGCGAGCAAGCAGAGGCCGAAGAGAAAGACAAAAGTCTCGCTAGTATACAATCATTACTTCACGATAATTTTGGAGCACGTGTGTGCAGTATATTCTGAACAAACATATTTCTTTCCAATAATTAAAAAGGAAAAAAAAAGCGAGTGATTGAAAAGAACAAAAAAGGCAAATGGTTCATTTGTATCGACACCATTGTGATGGTGCCGAATTTGCGATGCCATCGATTTGTCGAGCATCAACCCATCCGTCCAGAAGAAGAATAACCCAAACGCCGCTGAGATGCAGCTGTGAAACACCCAGCTTCCTCCCAATCTGCCCATTAGGTCATTAAATATGTACTGCTCCTTTTTGAAGGGCTTTCAGCGGCCGCTTTAACCTTTGCTGAATCGCTTCTTGAAGAAACCCTTCTTCTTCTCCTCTTTCGATGCAACAGGTCTTGTGGTAGGCGGCAGACTTCCGCCCTGGGAAGCAAAGGCACCGTCGGCGCCACTGAGCTTGATGGGAGCGCGAACAGGCGGTGCCTGTGACTGTGCGGGAGCCGCTGGGTTTCCACCCGGGGCTCCGTTTCTGTGGCCATGCGACATTCCGTAACCGCCATCTGAATCGCTAGCATACTCCTCCATAATCGGGGGTCCATTGTAGATATCGTAACCATATGGGTCGGACTGCTTAGGTACGCCGTTTGCACGGTCCAGAGAGCTGTTCTCGCTGCTAGGGTCTGTCGAGTTTCCCCAAGGTCCAGTGCTGTCGCTGTGCTGGGCACCTGCGTCGTACGAGTCGTTGTAGCTGTGCTGAGGATAGAATCCGTATGCGCTGTTGGAACGGCTCGAGTTCATACGCTTTGCGTATTGGTTGCGGCTGGGAGGTCCTCCAGGAATACTGACGTCAGAATAAGCATCCTGGCGACGCGATCCATAGTGACCGCTACCATACTGCGAATCGTGGTCTGCGTGACTCGGTCAGTGGATGTTCGTTCGGTCGGTCAGGAGGATTTGGTACATACTGTTGCCACCGTAGTAGCTGCTTCTACGGCTCATGTCATTGTTGTTGTTGTAGGTATAGCTCTCTNNATAGTCTTTGTTAGTAGGGCATCCCGGGGTCTGAAGATTGACAGTGCACGTACCAGATCTGCTCATGGAACGACGCTTGTAACCACCATCAATAGCTCTTTCAAATGATCTAATGGTATCCAGAGGTCTTTCCCAGCGAGGGCGAGTGGGGTTCGAGAGATCGGGCTCGGCTGCGAGGCGTGGTCAGTGACCATGAAACGGATTGTCACGGCAGGAGAAAGACTTACTGATTACATTACCATTACTGTCTTTATGTTGGACCTGGCGGAGCGACTCGAGGGTCGATGCCTCCATCATGGCGCGATCTTGATTGGGGTCAGCCGGGGTCACGGGAATGCCAACAGCGATGTCTGCCATGTTGGGAATGCAAAANATGTGGTAATATCGGGTAGTTGGGAGTAGGCAGTGGTGGAGAGGTTAGGAAAAGGGAAAAAACACACCTCCAGGCTGGGCCTCATTGATAGCAGCATTTGGGTTCGCCTTGGACCCGCCCTTCCAGAAGCTATCGCGGCGTTGCTTCTCGGCAGGGTTGTCGGCCAACACCTCATGCTTGCTGCTGCGACTGTGATCGGACTTGTGACTGAAAGCGCGAGAGGTCGTCCGCGGGCGAGTGGTGGGCGACGATTGATCCATGCTGAAATGGGCTTTCGGACCTTTATTGCCGGACACTGACTAGTGCTGTGGGTTAAGTCTGTCGATAAGGCCGGGGCGATATTACTATGGATATGCGACCTGCGATAAAAGCGAGTGAAGTGGTGAAGATGGGGTTCACGAGGAGCAGAGAGATGGAACTTGGAATAAAAGAACGAACGAGGGAAAAGAATTGGGCGCCGTGTAGGTTTGTGTCGTGAAGTGATTACGAGGCATTCGGCTTGGGTTGCCGCCCATGCAGAAACAAGAGAATGTTGCGAATGTGGCTGGTACTTCCAAGAGTTCCTGCTCTCTGTTGCCTGCCTCTTGCTTCACACTTTTATCTACCCTGTCCGGTAAGCATATAGGTATACTTTCGACACTCCTCTACAGGCCTTCCCACCACTTTTTCTCGCAATCACAATCTGTTCTTGCAGTACAGAGATACAACCTGAAGCAGCCCAACAGCACGCCGAGCAATCGCTCGAGCGGTTGATGGCTTTGAGGCGGTGCACCGCGTAACGACGAATGATGTGGCACCAGAAACGTCGTGGCCCGACGGGTACCTTTGATCGTGACGATGCTTCTTCCTTGTCCTTGTCTGACCTCATGGCTGCGGTGTTGGACTAGCAAGGTTGCGCTCAGCAGACATGGCACCTATTGATACATTCCACAGCCCGACTTGCTCGTCGCATCTCCAGCTTGCCTTTCTGTCCCTTTGTCCCCCCACACGAAAAGAATAAACCCATGGGGAACAAATTACGCTCTATTGTAGGGAACGGCTCGTTGTGCCGTCTTTGAGTGCTTGGCCCTTGGTCGATCCATGATTGACTTTCGATGTTTCGCGCATGCGGCACTGAACTATTCTTGTTCTGGCCCTTATCACCTTATCCTGTCATCATAACCCGCCAATCCGTAGCGTCAACAGTCGATCCCGCACACGGACTTGGTTCCTTCCGTTCACCGAGGCGCGGACGCTGACACTTCGAACAACGGGTGAACCTGATTCCTGTCAAAACCTCCAGGCCTGCTTGGGAAGGCGGGCTTGCTTCCTTCTCGTGTGCTGGCTATCTCAACTGCCGTCCAATACTTGTTGCGAAACTGTGACGGCCATGAACCGGTCGGTCAGTTTTTCCAAACCTGTACGAGTACGCATATGTACGAGACGAGAAGAGAAGAGAACTTCCCGGAATGTTTGGTCCAGGGTCGCAGCTCAAGCAACTGGCATGCGACCTCTAAAGTTGTATACTCTCGCAAACTCTGGTTGATTTATGTTCCTATGCTCAAAGCCGCAAATGGCCACAAGCTGTCCCTTGAGATGGTATTTAGGTTAAAGAACTGTCAAAGTGGTGTGCTTGATTTGCAGCCATGCATTTCACATCTGCTAAATCCTTATGCGGTAGGAACAATCATCGAGTAGTATTTTGTATCGACCAATGATTGCCAAAGCGGAGATATTTATGCTTGGGTTAATTCCTGTGTGGGCCATGATTTCGTGAGCTACCTAGTTCTGCCTTCACACTCTGTCTGCTAGACGGAAATATTCATATGCTAGTCACTCTCTCCTTTTCCGGATGCACTCCCAGGCCAGGCTGCCCTTAGCCACGGTGAAGATGTAGTAAACCATCCTTATTGTCCGTTCCGACCTCCCTCAGGCTGTGCTTCGAACAGCAGCATCTCCGCGTGTAGAACTCGCAGCCTATCCAGATCGTTCACTTTAGCCGCAGTGCTGATGTCTCTTTGTACCTGGCTATGGATCTGTCCAGCCAACTTGCGACGAAGTCTGGACAGGAGCTTAAGCATAGGTCTGACCAGAGTTGCGGTTTCAAGTTGGTCAGTTGGAGAGTTGATGGTGCAGTGCATGATAACGTGGGTGTGGAGATCGATGTGCCTTTCTTCTATGGCTTGAGGTTTGTTGGCGATCGTCATTTTCACAAGCTGACGGAGTAGAGGAAGGAATGAATCGTCCTCGGGCGAAGTGGGAAAGTCCTTGAGTATGTCGTAGATTTTTGGGATAACGATTGCTTTGACAGCTCTCATATTGTTTGTAGCAGGAGAGCTAACGGATTGGGGTAGCTTGCTTTGACCTTGGTTGTTAGAGGTGTCTGCCTGCTGTTGTGGCAATGGCTTAGGTCTATGCTCGTGCGTTGTCTAGTCACTATTAGCTACCGTCCTCTTAGGCCGCTGGACAAGCTGCTAAGCACTTACTCTTGGTTTAGCCGAAAGTCGCTGGTCGCTAGGTTGTTGCGATGCCATATGGGTATTGCTGTTTTCTAGACTCATCGTATTAGGCGTGCTTAAGCCTGGTTTGTGTGAAGGTGTGCTGTGTTCGATCTCGGAGGATACACGCGCTTTGGTGCCTGGTGGACTCTTGCGATGTGGTGTAGCCCAGCCTGGTCCCAACAGTGGGTACGCTTCTGTCTGACCTCCCATCTGTGGCTTTGCAGAAGACATCGATCGAAGTCGTTTAGAGGGGCGAGGAATGTCGCTTCCATCTTCAGTCTTGTTTAGATTATCCTCGTCCTGGAAGTTTTGTACGCTCTGATTTGAGGAGGCAGGACTCTGTGACTGGTCATTTGTGAGCGACGCGCCATGCTGGAAACGATTCCGCAGCTGCTGATGTTCTTCATCAGTCAACGCGTCCAAGGTAGGCGCCTGTCCGAGATCTTGAAATAGATCATCAACGGACTCATGAGGACTAAAGAGGGCTCTGCTCATATCGACACTTCTGAGGAACAACTCTGGTAGACCAAAGTCGGCAGCTTTNTTGTCTTTCCAAGAGGAATGTCTGAAGAATCCATTATGGCCGAAATGCTCCGAGAAAGTCTTCCTCAGAGATCTGCGTGAAACCCATTTTGATTGTTTGGGATGGTTGTCACCCGGATTGATGATATGTCTGGCGAACGCAGCCATCAACCTTTCATCTTCGGACCCACGCCCAAGCTCGCGAATTTTCTTCTCTGAGATGGCTGGTGTAACAGGGTCATTGGCGGGCCACGTAGGGCGTGCGAGCTCATAGACTCTTTTACAACGCCGTCCATTCATGCTGTGGCGATCGGCAGGTGTTTCTGCTTGCTTTCTAGGGACCCTTCTTCTAAGGGCGAAAGCGTCTGGAGAGTTGTGATTTNNTTTGGGGGATGGTGTGAAGTCAGAGTCACTGTCCACCTGTATGGACATATCGTGTATGTGGCGCTTCATGGTGAAGGTGACGATCAGACAGACTCCCAAGAGCGGAGCGATAAGAACGTCTGATGGTCAAATGAGGATTTCTTCGCTAGGCAAGAGCGAATAGCGGGCGAGGCAAGCTGACGACCTTAATCTTTAGTGTGCTTAAGGTGAACCATGAACTGAGATAGATCGGTGAATCGCCCAAGAAGGATGAGTAGATGACTGAACTTGATCGTGTTCGCACGACGAGAGTCTTTGAATGCCAAGGCACAGACGTGAACAGCGATGTGTCGAGTTGTATCAACACACTATGAATGATCTTGTTCACTTCGTCGAGTATGGGTGTGCATAGGTCAATGTCGAGATGGAAAGTACGCAACAGAAATATCAAAGTGAAGGGCGTTTCGCCTTACTCGAGGTTCCAGTTGCTGATTGTCACAATGTGAAAAGTGATGCGCAGAAGCAGATTGCAGGGAGACCAAGTCTCAAGGGAAACGGACCACTCAAAGATGCAAATTGGACGTAAAAGCCAGTTCATGAAAGAAGTATACGAGGACAGTGAACCTTAGAAAGTGGGTGCCATTTCGACCTAAAGGCTGGGCATGTGTACATCCGCAATGTGAAAGCTATCGACTCGAGCAATTATACCACCAGGTCCTAAGACGGAAGAGAACCCAGGAACCAGCGGACCAAAAAACGAGATACCAATATGCATGCGATCATGACAGTGGACCATGTATGAAGACTCCTGTAAACTTGCTAGATGCTCCGCTTGTGCTCACTGAGCACCGAGCATAGCAGCAACGTCCTTGTCCAGACCGACACCCTCGCCGGTACTGAAGAGCTCGTCATCCATTTCAGAGTTGTGGTTCATCTTTCTTCTCTTCAGTCTGGGATCAGAAGTGGCAGCAGGGCTGTTTGATGCGGGACGGGCCAGGCTGTTAAGCAACATGTTTGCGCCTTCTGACATGCCAGGGGCACTAGTTTGAAGAGCTGGTGGAGGCTCAAATGAGGGGGCGGGTTCGGTGTGTACAGGTTCCTGTTCTTGATTACGGTCTGCGGCAAAAGTGTTTGATTCCAGGAAGTCTTGGTCGTATGAGTGGTCGTCTGCGGGATAGGCAGGTTCAGGAGAGCCAGTGGGGGTGAAGTTCTCGACATCAGGGGGGNNAGGTGGCGTGAAAGATTCAACCTCGGGACTGCCGTCACCACCAGTAGGACGAGGATTGGCAGAAGCGCCAGAGGACACGGCGGCCGAAGCATCAGCGGACAGACCACGCATAATGCCGTCCTCGACATCCTTCTTCTTTCCCTCAATAATGGCGCGGCGAGACGAAAGCTCCGAGTGTATTTTCTCTTCTTCTTCCAGCTTATCCCTGTTAGCATCAAGCAGTTTCACCAATCCAGTGATGAGTTCGTCTCGGGCCTTCAGACTAGCTTCAACGGCGCCCTCTGCAGCGGCAAGGTTCTTCAAAAGCGACGACAGGCGAGCGGCGTGAACGGGAGGACTGGGTACAGGAGTGTTTGGATCCGTCAGCTTTGCGTGTTCGGTGTTTGCTGTCTGGACGAGGGGTTGAGCGGCAGAGTCGGCGCGAGAAAGGGAGGACTGCAGTTGTGCCAGGGGTTGTAGCTCGGATGGGACTGGCGGGGCCGAGGAGTTGTTGGAGAAGAGAGAGCCACCGAGAAGGGAACCACCGAGTCGAGCGCCGCCTGAACGAGCTGTACGTGACTTGTCGACCTCNTGCAGCTTGTTAGTAAACGATGGCGCTAAGAGACGATGCCGGTTAGTACCTTGAATGCGCTTCTCAGTAGCATCCTGTATGGCAAGATCGAAGATGTTGCGCTGACGCCAGACTTCTACGACACGCTTGATCTTACCGCCAGTATCCTGGGTGCCGCTCTTGTAGGCCAAGGATGTGGCTTCTGCGATGATCNNTAGTCTGGTTAGAGGGACTTGACAGCGCACAGGATGGAAACTTACAGGACTGAAGGCCACAAGGAAGTCATCCTTCTTGCGTGCCTTTGATTGCTGTACGACCTCNTATGGACGGGCATTAGTAGTGGTCGCATGTGATGGATAGAGTTTCAGGTGGTTACCATTGGCGAGATAGATGAGATTCAGCTTCTTGGGAGGGTTTGAGTCCTTGAGTCTCTCGAGCCACAGCTCAGCAGTACGGTCTGCATGTCGTCTAGGTACAAGACTAAGCTATGGTGACATGACATGTTGCGGCGCAAAGCAAACAAACCTGTGAAAGATGATCCATTGAGCGACACTGACAATGCTATCTTGAGTCTCGTTCAGCGCCGAGAGCTTTGCTCTGACGGCATCATCAGCGTAAGCCATGTTGCACGCTCGCACGATATGAAAGGACGATGCGACAGTTGATTGTTATATCAATCGTCAGTTCGCTGCAGCGCGCAATCAAGGTGCTTGGACTTTATATGGGCGGCAGGAGCCGAAAAGCTCGGGCCGCCCGCATCGTCACCTCCGGCCGTGCTGCAGCGTGTGCTCCGTGAACCCCAGGGCTGGCTGGCCATTAGCTGTCGTCAATTCAACTTCCAAACAATCCACCACAACTCACCACCTCATCGTCAATCACCTTCTACAGCACTCCACCAACACTCTCGGAACACTCGCCCTGTTACTGTCAGCTTCACTACTTGCACATCACCATAGACTCCACAATGGCCGACAAGTTCCCCTCTGTTGAGGACCTCGACTCTGGTATATCATTCCATCTTGGGCATGACTTACGAACCTTCGACTGACACATCACGAACAAGNGCCTCATTGGAGATGCCTCCGCTGACAACAACATCGACACTGGAATGACCGACGAACCCTCAGACTTCCTGGCTCGTGAGCGCGCTCTCCTTGGTGACGATGCCGACCAGTTCGCAACTCCTACCGACAATGCTGCAATCCCCGACGATGATGATCTTCTCGGTGGTGGAGCCGAGTCCCACCAGGCCCCTGCCGACCACGAGATGGGTGGCTTTGAGTCCAGCTTCCCTGCTATTGACACATCAAACGAGGTCAGCATTCACCCATCTTCTTGTCTACCACTAAACAGCACTTTCTGACGCACACATCCAACACAGGGCGTAGCTCCCGGCGGCACAATCACCGGCTCCACACTACCATACCAACCCAAACAAGCCTCATACGAAGACGAGTCCGAACCCGACGTCATCCGCGAATGGCGCGAGCGCAGAGACATGGCCATTCAACACAGAGACGAGGTCTCCCAAACCAAANAGGAAGAGACCGTCAAAGCCGCCCACCAAGCCATCGACGACTTCTACGAGAACTACAACAACAAGAAGGACAAGACCGTTGCCCAGACCCGCAAGGAAGCAGATGAGTTCCTCAAGTCTAGAGAAGACACCACCGCTGGAGGCACCAGCTGGGACAGAGTCTCCAAGCTTGTCGATCTCAGTGGAAAGGGTACTTCAGGCGGTGCTCAGGGTTCGGCAAAGTCCAAGTTTAGAGAGTTGTTGCTTAACCTTCGCAAGGATGAGAATGCTCCCGGCGCCAGTGGTTACTAAGATAGAGATACCCCACCCCTTTCTTGCGCCTATGAGATGATTTGAAAAAGAATCATGTTAGAATTTGACCCCCTTTCAAACTCTCTGACTGTTCCTCGTTGTGGAGTTCTAGTGCTTGGAGTCTGCAAAGGCTCATGGCTTCACTACGATCTAGATGCTCCAGTCTGTGTTGTTGAATTTACTCTATGATACTAGTATAAGAACATGCAAAGACGTGATGAATAAAGGTCTGAGTGGGGTATGTTTCCATCTACATCTTTATAACAATGCAATCCTCTTCTCTGAGCACCGAAGCTCTTCCCATCAAAGACGAATGAATGCAAAAAATCTACATGGCGAGAACAGAGCGATGGGTATTCAAAAAGGCAGGCAAGCGCACAAACAAAAGACACCACCTCTACCTCCCCGAAGTGCTCTTTGGCGTCCTCTCAGCAACAGCTTCCCCAGCAGTAATGTCTTCACCTCTGTACTTTGTGCCTTGCTCTTGCATCTGCTCTTGCCCCTCACTCGTATCACTCTCCCTCAATTCCATCTCAATCTCCTCTTCTTCTTTGATGTCAGGTCCGTGTGGCCTTGAAGATCTAGCAGCTTCGTTGCCACTCATCTGCCACTCCATAAGTTTACTAAACGCGCCTTCTTTTTCTTCGAAAGTTCTTTGTAGGTGCCTGTTTCTGCCACTTTGCCGTCGTTGCCGATGCAGATGATCATGTCGCTGCGTTTAATGGTTGATAAGCGATGCGCAATGGAGATTGTGGTGTTGTTGCCTGCGAGGAGAGAGTTCAAGGCTTGGTTGACTAGGGTTTCGGATTCGGCGTCTAGGGCGCTGGTTGCTTCGTCGAGAATTAGGATGTCGGGGTTTTTGAGCAGGGCGCGTGCGATGGCTAGACGTTGCTTTTGGCCGCCGGAGAGTTGGGTGCCTCGTGCGCCGACGTGGGTTTCGAGGCCCTCAGGCTGTGAATTTGGTTAGCAAAGTATCAGGTCAGTGGGTTGGAAAGAGCGCTTACGAAGTCGGAGATGAACTGGCAGTTCGCCTGGCGTGCTGCAGCAATGATCTCGGCGCGAGTCGCCAGAGGTCGGCCATAGGCAATGTTCTCAGCAACAGTGCCCGAGAACAGAACAGGCTCTTGGCCGACATAACCAATCTTTCTCCTTAACTGCTTGGCATTCATAGTGGTGATATCGCGTCCACCAATGAGGATGTGTCCTTCCGCTGGTGTGTAGAATCGCATGATCAGACTGGCAACTGTAGACTTACCAGCACCTGATGGAGCAACGATTGCAACATTAGTGCCTTGTTTGATGGTAAAGTCCAATTCGTTGAAGATGGGCACTGCAGGACGAGTGGGATAGGCAAAGTTGACGTTCTTGAAGACAATGTCGCCTCTAGCACTCTTGACAGGATCACCCTTTGTAGGACTGATGGTCGGCTCACGGTCTTGTAGCTCGAACAGACGCGAGGCAGCTCCAACACCCTTCATCAGTTCCGAGTAGAATCCCGAGAGACCAAACAGCGATGATCCAGCATATGCTGTGTACATGAGGAAACTGGTCAGGTCACCAACACTGATAGCCCCAGTCTTGACCATGCCACCTCCGAAGTACAAAGGGCCAGGAACGTCATGTTGCCCATGAATCCAGAGGAACTGAAGAAGACAGCACTGATCAGAGCCTCCTTCTTGCCTAGGTCGAAAATCTTGCGGACCTGGGTGTTGTAGCGATGGACTTCCTGCTGCTCACCAGCAAAAGCCTGCGAAGTGCGAACGTTTCCTAGACGCTCTTCTGCAATCTTTGTCAAAGTTCCGAGATTTTTCTGAATACGTCTTGACAGAGTACGAATAGTACGACCGTAGAAGAAAGCTCCGATGGCGACAGGTGGGAACATGAGAGCCAGAATACCAGTCAATTTGAGACTGACATAGCCCATGAGACCAAAACCAGCGACGGCGGAAACCAGAGATCTTAGACCATCAGATACATTTTGTGTAATACTCTTTCCAACGATGATGGTGTCTGAACCAAGACGTGAAATCAAGTCGCCTGTTCGATTTGCATCGAAGAACTCAGCGTTCTGAACGAAAGTCCGTCTGAAGAGTTGAGAGCGCAACTTGGTAACAATACGTTCGCCGACAATACGCAAGATGATGATGCGACCATAGTTGGCGGCAGCACCAATGCCCAGAACAGTACCGAGTGCGATGTAGAATACGGGCATGGTCATGCCGAAGAGCAAATCGGCGCCTCCGTCTTCAGCGGGTTTGGTTGCAGCATCCAGAATCTTACCAATGGAAAAGGGCAAAGACATTGAGATGGAGGACGAAATGAGCAGGAAGAGGAAGGCCCAGGAGAGGACCTTGAGCTCAGGACGAGCGATCTTGAGCAATCTCAAAATCTCATTCTGACCACCCGTCTTTCCGGTACCGTCTTTGCTCAGCTTTGCTGACAGATTTAGCTGAGCAGCACTCCTTGCTTTGTCCGTGGGCTTGAAAGATTGGTCATCCATGGCATCCTCATCCTCGCGATCTGGGTGGGTTTTGATCTCATCTCGGTATGAGCGAGCGGCCTCTTGAGACTTTGCGAGAAGAGCGGATTGAGTAAAGGGGCGTCGTAAGGCCAATGATATAGCGGATTGAGTCGAAGCATGTAATGAGGGGCGTGACAGGGGTGTCAAGCGTGCGCACGAGAGGCCGAGAGTATGTGTGGGTAATGATGGCGGTTGTTTGGCCTGTGTACTCAAAAGGCGACTGTGTCTAGCAGGAGCAAGGGTGGATCTCGACAGGACAGACAGCAGAGTGGACGAGTCGTGGCATGCTCTCGAGCAGAGCCATTGCCGAGGGTGCATGGCTAGACGGGGTCCTCCAAGGGCGGAGCGAAGGGAGAGTGGTGGAGCAGGGCGAAGGCGGAGGGGAGAAATGGTCTACCGCAACGTGTGGACAGGGCGGACAGCAACGAGCATTCTTGTCATGGGAGTTGATCTTGTTGCGACATTCGTTGACTTGTTGTATGCGTAGTCTGGACCTGCACGCACTTTCGGCCGCTTTGTCGCATCGTCATCATGAACCTTCGGCCCGCTGCGCGCTCCGAGCTCGGGCCTTTCTATTTGCTTCGATCAATTCACCATCTCAAATGAAACAACAAGACATCTTCCAGAGTAATACCATCTCTCTCTTCTAAGTCTACTCAGAGGAATTCCATAATACGCACCAGGGAAACAACTCAGTCTAGCTTCTCTTTGAACGACCACGCAATATGCCCGTTGATTACAGCAAATGGGTAGCTATTCCCTCTCCTGAATTTATCTGCTGCAAGCTAACAACAATGTCTAGGNACGCTCTCGAGCTGTCTGACGATTCAGATATCGAAGTTCATCCCAACGTCGACAAGCGCTCCTTCATCCGTGCAAAGCAGAATCAGATCCACCAACAGCGTGTCGATCGCAAACACCAAATCGAAACCCTCAAGTACGAGAAGATTATCAACGATGGCCTGATCGACCGCATAGACGCTCTGCTCGAATCTCTCCAGTCATTCAAACAAGAAGCCGAGCAGGCTCAGTCAGGCTTCGAACGCTACATCTTCCAGGCTCTCATCAAGAGCACTGGCTCTCCTGACAAGGATACCCCTCCACCCCCACCAGCTGGTGTCCATGCAAATGTCCAAGATCCTCCGCGCTACAGCAAGATGATGGCTGCCCTAGTCGACCAAGCCAAACAGGCCGTAGACGACGCCAAGCCTGATCCTTCAGCATACTACGCTGCCTTCATCACAGAAGTCACCTCGCACAAGACAAAGATCCAGGACCTACAAGTCCAACTTTTCCAGAAGCTTGCTGAACTCGAAAAGGAGGAAAGCTCAAAGATTACCAGCGAAACTTATCGAACCGGTTTCGATAGCTCTCACGTCTCCAAATCCTCAACCAAGCCTGGCGCCAGCAAATCTCCTGCCACCCCAGAACTACTTAACCCTTCGCGTCCCTCACTTCAGAATGCCGAAACCGGTCAATCATCTGGCGCTGATGCTGACATCGAGGATGAGTCGGTCATTACAAAACCCGTCGCTACTCTAGACAGCGATGACGAAGACATGCAGGCCTCACCACTGGCAAAGAAATTCGCTAAGACCAAGTACGGTGACTATCGTTCCTCTCTGGAATTCATCTCGAACAATCCTGAAGTCATGGGCGAGAAAGAGACGGATGGCTTACTGGTCGAGGCGTTCAACGCTCAGAGTGATGGAAAGGATGACTACGCAAGACAATGTGTTCACCAAGCCTTGTTGCTACAATACTGCCGCCAACTGGGTCGCGACGGAGTACAACTCTTCTTCAAGCGCGTCACCACACAGGGCCATCAAGCACAGAAGCTGTTCATGGACGACGTCAATTCGACATATGCCAGAATCAGATCCCGCACGAGAGAACTCGCTGAGCAACGCAAGCGTGACGAGGCAGAGGGTACTGGCGGTGTCGAACAGATCCAATTGCACGCAGTCGACCCAAACACCACCATCAATATCGTTGTGCCACCAGCCGATTCTACTGATGAGGATGCTAAGCAGGCTCGCGCAGTCTTTGAGACTTTCCCTCCAGGCCTGCAACGCGCTCTCGAGAGTGGCAGCTTGGACAAGGTCAACGAGGTTTTGGGCAAGATGAGCGTCGATGAGGCCGAGCAAGTCGTAGCACAACTCGGCGAGGGTGGCATGTTGAGTCTGGAAGAAGGCGTTATTGATGCAACCACCGAGGAGGGAAGAAAGCAAATGGAGGAGATTGAACGTTCAGGAAAGATGCCTCACGATCAGGAGGGACGTGTGGTTGCAGAAATTGAGGACCCTGGTATGGACTAAAGAGTGATGATGGTATGACTTCTATAGCATGAACGAGTCAAGACATCGTATCAAGAACAGTAATACTCCATGTCTACCGTGTCGTGTTATCCTAAATCTGGACAATTGCGAAATGAGATTTTGTCACCAGACCAAATGTTGTGATCAGGGTCTCGTACGAGTTTTATGAATGAGCTGATCGTCCTTTCCAAACGAGAGCAGTAAGCACGCGACATCCGGCGAACTGCCTAGTGCATCATTCGAAACATTATAGGGTCGGAGAGTTGTTCACTAGAGCAGGTAGCCAGACCAACGAGCAGGACACGAGATTCGGCGTGCTCGGGGAGTTTTGATTGTCGGCCAGGCTGATCATCGCCGAGGTCGAAAACGGGACGGAAAGACACAGCCGCACCTCGAATTTTGTAACAACAATGGGAAGGCACCACCATAAAGGTACGGTAGGAATTCTTCTTCCAAGGTATCAAACGATCACATGTAAGAGCTCTCTATGACTCGATACCACATCCTCAGGATAAAGATCATGCAAGGCACCGGGATATGTATGTGTCAATGTCAATCTTATCAATCGTGGATCTTCGGTACCAATCGTTTGGTGGGCGGGCAGTGACGCTCGAGTGCAGGAGCCAGATTGTGGCTTGTGGGGGCAACTGCCATTTGCCAGAGCCGTCGCCCACGACCTTCCACTTTCTGTTGTACTTCTACTTCTCCTCATCCGCTCTCAATCGCACAAGAAATTCAAGAAATCATCGCAGCATTTGCTCGCTAGCTCTGTTTTCGATTTACCTAAAAATTCTCGCCGAGGTGAATCTACGCATTGTCTCCCAGAGGGGGCTCTTCTGGAGAAAGAACCTTTCTGTTCCTTTATCTTTATCTGATCATCGTGAGTTCCCTGACGCCCCGCCATCGGCACAATGACGCTCGACTTCTTCGCGTCGTCAAATATCGAGTCTCGCTGTTGCGCTGCCACCTTTACTGACATTTTCACTGCAGCGACTTTCACACACCTCGCCAACATGCCTCGTCGCCATTCGTTGTCCTCGTTCACCATGACGACCCACACACACAAGCACATTCCCACATCGGCCACATCACATCCTGACAACCCGATACCCATAGAGCCCATCTCAATCCCGCAAGGTAGCATGTCACCCTCCAAACGATCCGTCCACTCACAATCACAATCGCCACGCTCATCGGGCGACTCGTTGGGTGAGTCAATGGCCTGGTCTGAGGGAACTCTCGAATCCGGAATCTCGACACCCTCGACCGAGTTGTATGACCAGTTCGATGAGATGACGCCCAGGGACAAGAAGAGCTCGACTGAAACAGAGGTCCCCAAGCGTCGCGCCTCGACCCACCTGATCACATCGTCAGCCGACGACATTCGCAAGCTGCTCGGCACTGGCGAGACTGGTACCAAGTTCCTAGAAAACTACTGCTGTGGAGCAGCCGCAAATTGCTGTAAAATCAAGACCTTGCCTCCAGACACAACTCAGCCCGGTTTCATACCCGTCGTGCTGCCCGACAACGACGCTTACCGAGCCTTGAACCTCAAAATCAACGCCTTGACCCTCGACACTGGTCTGAGCGATCTCGTAGATCTACCCAAGCCCAAGTACTCGCTCGAATCTGTTTCAAAAGACGAGGCCAGCAGCCACCACAGCACTGTCGACGTTCACCCACCTACCTTCGTTCAGCCTCACCCTCCTTACGATGTCTACTCTGCACCTGTATTCCACGCTCGCCAGCTCACTAACGAGGGTGCCGAGAAGCGTACTGTCCACTTCGATATCGATATCACTGATTATCCCAGAGAAGGTGATATCGACTTCAAAGTTGGTGGCGCTGTTGGTATTTGCCCTCCCAACGATGCAGCTGTTGTCGACACTATTTTCAACAGGATTGGTACGCCTAAGTTCGTGCGCGACAAGCCTGTCATGCTCAAGACCGAGGGAGGCCGTTGGCCTACAATCTGGGGAGACGAGAAGCCCCGTGAACTCCTCACCACACGTAGAGAGCTTTTGACGTGGTGTGTCGACATTGCGTCTTCCGCACCAACTAAGCAACTTTTCCGCGTTATGGCCGAACATGCAGATGCGAAGAACGAGCGCAAGATCCTTGAATACATGGCTAGTGCTCAAGGACAAGGCGCCTTCTGTGATCTCCGTGTCGGACCTAACATTACCTTGCTCCAGCTTCTGGAGGCATTCCCCTCGTCCAGACCTCCGTTCGAGATGCTATTGAGCTGTCTGAACCAGCTTATGCCTCGGTTCTATTCTCTTTCCAACGACCCACACGTGTCTTCAGACAGAGAAGGACTCGCAGGAAGACGTCTCATCGAGTTCGCGGTTACAGTCCATGAGAACCCCAACTGGGATGGAAAGATGCGTACTGGAGTTGGTTCTGGCTACCTCGAGCGTGTTGCCCGCAACTTCATCGATGCTGAGAAAAAGGCAAAGCAGTCTGGCGGCGAAGTAGAGATGCCAAGCATGCGCATTCCCATGTTCCGCGGATTGATGGCCAACCCGCTCTCCAAGAAGTTCGATTCGGACGGCCCAATGATCATGATCGGTGCTGGTGTGGGTATGGCCCCGTTCCGTGGTTTCATCCTCAACCGTCTTCGCAACTCAAAGTGTGCCAACAAGATCTGGCTCATCCAAGGTGTGCGAGATTCAACTCTGGATGAGATCTACTCTGGAGAGTTGGGCGACCACGAGAAGGAAATCAAGAAGGTTGTTCAGTCTCGCGCTAAGCCTCCTCCAGTGAGTCAGTCAGATGCTGGAGTCGTTGATATTCAACCCAAGAAAGGTGGTGAGGTGACCGGCAAGGTTGTTTCAGAAGACCAAGCAAACAAGGCAGCCAAGTACGTTCAGGACGAGGTCCGTCTACAGGCAGATATTGTCTGGTTTGTCATCAATGCTCTCGATGGTCGCATCTTTGTATGTGGAAGCTCGAGAGGCATGGGTGAAGGTGTAGAGGAGGCTCTCATCGACGTGGCCATGGACAAGGGCAACCTCAACTTCGAGGAGGCCAAAGATTTCTGGGCTCAGAAGAGAGATGACGGCCAATACGTTGCAGTAAGCCTTTGCCACTCGATTTGTCCTGAACATGTACTAATCTCAACAGGAAACTTGGTAAAGATCTTCTAATAGTCGCAAGCTTGGCAAGCTCTTTGCGATATCAACATGTCTGCCAGGCTTGCACTCACCCATGTTGTTAGTATATGTGATTTTGATTGATAGCGTTCTGTACTTGTTATTTGTTTGCCAGAGCTACATCTCACGGGCTTATCAGAGCCACTTAACGTGACGATGCTGGTTGTTGGCTCAATGGGCGTTGCTGTATCCGTTGCATGGTACTGGGCTGGCATGGCGGAGGGAGAATCGATTTGTTGAAAATGTCCACAAAAGATGAAATGGCATCTTGCCCAACCACAGATTCTATACGTATCTAGAAAGAATGTACACACAAATGACCTACGATTGTATGCTCCCAACTGATTCAGACTTGAAAGGCCTTGGTGGCTTTACAACAAGGTCGACCCAAGAAAGAAGGGCTGTAGTTTTACACAAGGTGCTCTTACTTGGGTCACTACCCGAGGCTTGGAATAATGGGCTTCAAGAGATGTTTTTGTTGAATGAAGAAGAAATTCCTTCACTAACCCAGTATAAAACACTTCCTCTGGACAGCAGTTTACAATCTTCCATCCCACAGCTCCACCAAGTTCCCAGCAACGCACTGCAAAGCGGAACCAAACACCAGCAGCGATGTTTGTGCATTAGGACTGTCGGCTTAGCGGCCGCGCAATTCGCGCAGCAGGTCGATATCGAACACTTCCAAACTCGAGGCATCGCATCCCTCGGCGACACTAAGATTGTTCAACCTCGTGCTAGAACACAAAGAAGTTGTGAAATCTTAGTCTTTTGGTTCTGGAAATACCCAAGGTTTAGGGCGTGACGAACGATGCTTTCCAGGTTGCCAAAGTCTGTAGTTGGTGTAGGGTCTTTGGCTGTCACAAAGAGTAAAGTGTGCACTTGTAAAAAGGCACGAGAGTTTTCGGCTGGAATGAGATGAACGTCGAGAGTGCCAGTGAAATGAGAAGATGTGGGTAAAGTAATATGATAAATTCAAAAATATGAACAGAGAAAGTAAAGTGGTGCAGCTACGTATATTTCCAACATATCCAAGCTCTTGTATCGATCGTCATGTCGTGAGTAGGTATCTTTAGATCAGAGCAGCAGCAACGAGGNNGCCGCCAGCGGCATAGGTAATGGCGTTTGAGAGCCAGGAGTCGACGTGGCCAGCAGCGGCACCTGAAGAAGAAGCAGTGCTTGCGCTGCTGCTTTGAGATCCAGAAGCAGTAGAAGAGGAAGAGCTGGCACTCCTGCTACCACTAGCTGAGGACGAAGTTGCCGACGCAGCGCCTGACGAGGCAGTAGCACCACGGCTGAGAGATGTAGGTGTTGAGGCGGCAGAGCAGGTTCCAGCAGTGTTTTGAGCGCAGCAGGCAGCATTGCCAGAGTTGTCTTGACCGCAGTAGCTACCGCTGGCACAGAGCCCGGCGGGGCAGCAGGTGTACTCGCTGCTGTCGAAGCAGACGCCGTTGCAGGTTGATTGGCCTGCAGCGCAAGAGGGAGCAGCTGAGGAGGTGGAGGTTGTCATGCTGCCGCTTGCGCTGGCGCTCATTGATGTGGTGCTTTGTGCAGCAGCGAAAGCTGCGAGAGCTGTGACGAGGAGGAAGCGCATGTTGAGAGGTATTTTGAATGGACGATTTGTATATTGAGGATTGATCTCGTAGAAGGTCGGCAAGGTTAGGTATGTGGTAGAGAAAGACTTGTAGCAGATGAAAGGAGATGGAACAAACCCACGGCGATCAATGGTTATGTAACAACCTATCTTTGTGTGGCAGTGCTTTTTTACGAACAAGACAGGCCCTGCCAAGTTGGTACCTGAACAGGTTTTCATGGATGAAGGATGATCGTCATGTCACAGGTATTTTGAGAGTTTCGATGACAGGCCGCCTTATCGCCGTTGCTATCGTGCCGCGTGGCCCCAACGACTCAGCCCTGCTGGTGGTGTGAGTATGCGTAGTTCTGATCACGCTAAGGAAGTGACAGCAAACTTCCTTCCATGCATCTGAAGCTGTTTTCCATGCTTCTTTGTTGCTTGAAAGTTCTGGAAAGATGTGATTCGAGATGTATGCCGCTCAATGGCTTTGGGCTCCAAAATCGCGAAGCTCTGCCACACAAAGGCGGGCTCAAAGCCGATATCATGGCCTCCCCGTGTTCAAAAGTATGTAACTTCCTTCATACTCCGGGCACAACACAGAGTAAGATACACGCTATGAGAAAGACACAGTCTCATTCAAAGAAAAATGCTGTCTATAAAGAGTTCATGTTTTTCTTGCTTCTCAGTGGGGACTGTCCAGTTTCCTGGTAGTATCATGCATTTCTACAGCTACACGCGTTACATGCTTTTGAACACGGGGAGGGGCAACAAGAGTGAAAGAGTTGTTGATAGCTTCTGACTGAAGCTCCATGGAAATGCGAAAGAGCAGCAAGCATAGGTACCTACCATGTGCCCAGCTAAGGAATGCAGGCCTCTCATCACCTTTGAGACTGTCTGTGGCAAGTACCCAGTAAAGAGTGTTGTGCAGAGATCCATGAAGAAGGGAAGTGAACAGACTACAGCAGAAAGTCTCAGTCACTTCTGCTCTTGTCTTGCATTCACTCAAATCGTGGTCAGTTGTTCTGGTAGGAGGTTCTGTTTGCGCCTTCCACGTTTGCGTGCCTTCCGTTCACAACCAACACCAGCTTTTCGTGCTTGGCCGTCCTTCTTCGTTTGCACACACTGTTTTCCACTCTTATTTAGGTCGAACATGACCACCTTCTGTTCGTACGACACCACTTCTCTCTTCTCTCTTCGCTCGCAAGCCATCCCATCTCAACTTCTTCGCTTTCGCTGCGCTTCTGCAGAACAACTAAACCTCTGGGTTCCCACTGCACAACAGAACGAGCGCGGTCACACACAACCTTTCCCCTTCCACAACTACATTAACGGAATCGGGTTCATCAACACAACTTCCGATCACATCACCAAGATCTTCGCCGAAATGTCTTGGGACACGCCATCTGAAGAGCCTTGGGGCGTCGCTGAGGCGCAGCCCGAGTCTTCAGTCCAACAGAACATGGCCTCCACCATCAGTGATGCCGCCGCCGCCGACACTATCGCTGCTGATGAGCTCAGCAATGGAGTCACTGGTGAAACTTCTGCCAACGCTGCTTCTGCTCCTGACACCGAATCGCGCAAATCTTCCCTTGCCGATCTTGCCAATGGAGACCGCAACGCCGCCATTGCCAACCTCGGTAAAGGCTTTGGTCCTCACAAGCTGCTCTCTCGTTTCGCCAGCACTAGCCAAACTTCCGATGCTGAGTCCAATGGCGTCGACTCAATCACCAATGGCCATGCTCCTAACACTGAAGTGTCTGAGCCCGATGGCGCAGCTTCTGTTATGGACGATTCGACCTCCGTGGCCTCAACCACCGTTGTGGCCACCAAGAAGGAAAGCACTCAGACTGCTCCCGACACAGATGCTTCCAAGCTCTTCAAGGCTACACCTGCTAGCTCTATCACTGATGGTGACAAGCCTGTCATTCAGTCTCCCGATATCTCACCCCGTACTGTGCGCAAGACACCTGGCCCCCATCATAGACTGAAGGCTTTGACCCAGGCTCAGGACGTTCCCTTGCCACAGTCTCCTGCTCCGGCTGCCAAGTCCATCACCAGTGACGAAGGCCCTACAACCNCCATCGCCTCTGCCATTCAGCTTGAGCCCGTCATCATCCAGGATACCCCACCCGCACCTCCTGTCACCATCGCTGATGGCAACGAGTCTGACACCTCCTGTGTTATCATCACCGAATTCCCTAACTCGCTGTCTGAANAGGAGAAGAACCTGGATCCCAAGGCCGAGGCATGGATTCCTGATGAGGTCGTCGACCCTCTTCCTCCGTCCCGCCCCGTGTCGTCCACGAATTCGACCAAGCACATCACTCACGACTCTGAGGCAGTCTCTATCAACGAGTGTTGCCCCGTTCCAGGAGATTGGTCTGTGCCTACAAAGATCGAAAGCTCTACCAACAGCGATCTTCTCAAAGGTCCTACTGTTGGTGACGTCCACAAGACAGCTCTGTCTCATTACTCCCACTACTTTGCTACTGCTTTCGCTTCAGAGACCTCGGTGAAGGAAGAGGACCTCGATCGTGTCTTGAAGGACCCTTTCTTTGATGTGCTCCACGGATGGATCTATGGCCAACACAAACTGCGCTTCACGACCAGCAATGGTGTCGTTCAACACAACCAGGACATCGACCTCAAGGTTCTTGTTCAACTCTGGCGCTTCGCTGCGCGTATCCAGGCTCCTGTCTTTGCCAACACTGTTGCGGATGTCATTGTCAAGAAGGCCATCACTGCTGACGACATCCTCAACGCTGCTGACGAGATCGATGCTCTTCTGCAGATGATCAGTGTCAACAACACCTTCCGCCTACTCATCAGTCACATGGTTATTGTCCGCGGCATTCAGCTTGATCACGCTGCATATGAGACTTGGCCCAAGTCGCTTATCTGGTCGATCCTGAATTGCTTGGAGATGGGCAAGAGAACCCCTCCTGTTATCCAGCTCTACTCTCAGACTCATCCTTGCATCTACCACCTTCACTCGTTGGGCCGTACTTGCATGTCTAAGTAGAAGCTCTACACAAGCCGAAACACAGTCATGTATTGTACTGGTTGGCCGCAACCATCTTAGAGGGTTAGGATGGAAACATGGACCTCATGAATGAAGAAACAGAAGCTTGTACTTTAGTGATGATTTTCGTTCCGTAGCTTCTCCAAAACAGTTCACTACTCTTGATTCATCGTACTCATCAGACCGCTAGTGACTTTCAAACATTGTGTATGACCCGCTTGATGCAAAGCTATGAACTCCATAAATTGCGTTCCTTGTCTACCTATGAGTTCTCCGCGATTGACAGCAAGAGAAGATGAAGGCCTTGGAGGATCACGGCCTTTCTGCGGCGTGTTAGTGTCATCATCGGCAGGTTCTGAAGGCTTTCATATCTACCTCCTCTTTCAACCTCTTGAACTCGACGAGACCTGTTAACAGTAAAGCATGCCTCTTTTCGTCCATACTGACCAGGCAATAGTACTACTATGAATAACAATCAGCGCACCATGCTCGGCCCCGAGTTTTGAGATACCTCCGAGTTTCGAGCGCTAAAACACAACCTCGACCGTCGCCGTTACACACCATAACATCCATAATGCGGAAGTCTACTGATAATCTGTTGAAACAAGCATCAGAAGATATCGCCAAGCGGCGCCACCGACTGATGTGTGCATGGCGAATCAAGGCATGCAAAACGTCAGTCGTGTAACACCGGCCAGATTTCGGTATACCTCGGACATGGCGACTATGCGGTCTGGATAAATTGACCACAGGCGCCACTGATGAGTGCGAGTGAATTGATCACCCATCGTTTCATCACCACTCCGTAATATTGACCCCTCGTCGATACTCGAATACATTGTTCGCCTCTTTTCGAAATGCTTTTAACACGCACTGGCACCTTCTGTCCTAGAGAATCTTATTCTCACCATTGTCGAAAAGTAACGAGATCACGAGAGATGAATTCGAACATCAACCACGTTTACGCGATCGCCTTGTCGAATCCTGCGTCAGCAGATTCGCCTACCTGGGCTATCTCTGTCCAACCTATGAAGCAGAAACGACTGTTCTTCCACGATCACCCCCACACTTCTGTCTTCCTTTCCAACGAAGCCGATAACAGCCAACGACGAAACAGCGATGGCTTCCNNAAGGGCGAGGAATTACTAGTCAAGCTTCTCATCGGCGAGAACAACACCAAAAACATCGGCGAGCGTGTTCAACAGATTCTGTCAAAGACCGACAAGACACAACCTTCAGAATCATGGCTTCGCTCCGCAATTCTTGCACTACAATCAGAAGGTCTCTGCAACAGATTCAACATCGACGACTTCCAGCAAATGGCAACACAAACTCTCAAATCTCAACAAGCACACCACGAGACCGTCGCCATCGAGGTAGACTTCTTGTCTGAACTCGGACGCACCAGATCAGTCGAAGAGATGCATGNNGAAACAAGAGAAAAGGCAATCAAGGNNGAGAAGAAGGGGTCAAATTATTTCGGATTCAGGATTTCGAGACCGCAGAATATGCCGCAGAAGGTCAGGAGGGTCAACTCTTGGGAGCGACAGGACGATGCGTATGGCGGCTTGATGTGATGCAGAAGGCGTGGGATGAACGAATGGGGATGGTAATGGTTGCGTCAGAGGACATGCGGGGCAGAGGTGAGCAAGGCACATGCACACCTCTGCCGCATCGTCAAGATTAATGTGTTATGACTGGGAAATTGATATCAGGAAAGGAACAAGACACAGCTATGGAGAATCTGTTTAAGACAGAAAGTTTGACAGATTGCATAATAACAGAACGTATCAAGAACATGAAATGAAAGTCATAAAAGCGATCATTGCCCCATTGAGTAGTCGCACTTGGCACCACCATGTAACAATGATGCCAACGACAGTTCATATAAAACTACATCTCCCGTCTGACAGAGCCATCCATCAACTGTTCTAAAACCACCACAACCAAGCATGTTTTCAAACCTCAAGCCCCTAATCCTGCACGCCCACACCACCGGCCCCAACCCCATAAAAATCGCCATCGTCCTCGAAAAGTTGCAAATCCCCTACACTATCAAACTCTGGGAATTCGGCGATAATCCCGAGAACGGTCTCAAAGGACCAAAATTCCTAGCCATCAACGAAAATGGCCGTGTTCCTGCCCTCCAAGACCCCAATTCCGGAGTTGTATCTTGGGAGTCTGGTGCTGTGATGAACTACATCAGAAGAAAGTACGATACAGAGAATAAATTGGGACCGCAAGGAAAGACCGAACAGGATATTGTGGATTTTGAAAAGTGGGAGTATNTTTTGCTTACCACTTTGGGACCGATGACTGGACAGACGAATTGGTATAGGTATGTTTTGGTTTCCAGCTTCTTTTAGCGAAGGTTTGGTTGTGAAGGTTTACTGATTGGCTGGGTANGGCATTACAATGAGGTCAAGAATGAAGATGCGCTGAACCGTTATGCGGCACAGACGTACCGCTGCTATCAGGTTCTTGAAGGTCAGTTGAAGAAGACTGGAGGTGAGAGCATCTTGCCTGGTGGTTATACGGCTGTGGATGCACATTTCGAGCCCTGGATCCGCCAACATGCTTATGCACAGCTGAGTCTTGATGACTATCCTATGGTGTCGAAGTGGCTGAAGAAGTACGGAGAGACAGAGGAGGTTAGGGCTGCCTATAAGAAGATTCAAGACGCAACTTCGTAGAGTGTATCAAGGGATAGGAATCTATTGAGCATACTTGGCTAAATCAAAATGATACAGTTCTACACTGTTCTTGTGCCTAGGACTACTGCAAATAATCTCAAAAGCAAGATGTGAAGTGCCAGATGGTGGGTTACCACAACCAAGGGAATCACCAACATTGATTCCTCCTACTGGCCATCCGTGCATCTGGTTCGAAAGTACAATACCACAACCTTGTTGACTATGACCAACGATGTAACCTGTTACTTGTCAGAGGATGGTCTTTAGAAACAACAATCCAGCAAACTTACATCCAGCAGTACCAGTCTTAGGTGATGCAGTCAGGCTTGCTGTCAATGCTTCACCAGACTGCAATCCAGTGGTCGGAATTGTGCATTGGGCTTCTGTGACGCTGAAAGAGACCGTTGTGCCTGCGCTACCATCTATGGGTGGGGGNCTTGAGGGTTGTCAGTATTCTTCCTTGAAGCATGTGGTATGACATTGATGGCTCACAGCGTTTGGTGCGACACAAGTGTATTGACTGTATAGCGTGACTTTGGCTGAGGCAGGACCGCCTCTTGTGGCAGTGTTGCCGCCGCCACCACCTCCTCCACCACCGTTCTTGCGGACTTGGAGGATAGAACTGGCGGTGGTAGATATTGTAAGCAAAGAGACCACGAATGGTGTCCAGGAAGAGAGACGCATTGCAATGGTAATATTGAGACAAGACTAAACTGTACCTGGAGATGCTTGGGGTTTTGGTATGCTGTGAATGATGATGGGTTTCTCGGAATGCGCTGGTCCTCTTCTTATATCTGTGTGTTTTCGTACAGCGCAATGTATTTGAGTCTGGGACTCATATCAGCACGTAGCTAGAGCTGTTCTCCGGCTGATGCTACATTCGGCAGTCACGACTCCCTTTGCGGTCGAGACTTCTATTTTTGGGTCGAAATCGTCCTTCGGAACAAGCACACACCTGATCTCGCTGTGCTTAGATCTTTTTGGGCCATCGCCACTCCTTGCGACTTGCCCGTTCCTGTAAAGATGATGCTGACCTGGATAAGGCTTTCAGCATCTGCAGCCACATCTTCGGAGCTGTATAGTTCGGCGATAGCGAGCCAAGAGGCTAGACCTCAGAACCATGTGTACAATGTACATATACAACCCAAACAGAGTACGAGATGTGCGAACCACAGAATTTCACCTCGTATTCATTGTCATCCTTCAGGTCTTTGCGGATGGCGAGAGGGTAATCAGCTGCGTTGTGTTTTTGTCTGGAACTCACAACATAGAGCTTGCCGCATAAATCATTCAGACGAGGATAAGAGGGGCTCTCGATGGCTTACAATGTTCGAGAAGATGACTCTATGTGGTTAGTCGGAAACCTTGTCCACATCGCAAACAGAATTCAGCTCGGCCCCGCACTTCACCTTGCTCTTTTAGCTCACTACTATACCTCTTCGTGTGCTAGAGTTCCTTACACGATGCCGTAGGAAACATACACCGCGAAAAGTCTTAATTCATTCCCAGGGGAGAAAATGTGGTCAAAGAGAGCTCGTGTAGAAATGCCCGAAGTAGATGCTTTTCTTCTTTCTCATCAGTACAATACATTCCTGCAGCTAAACGCGACACATACTTGAGCATGCCTCAAACGAACATTATTCTTCCTTTGTCCTCTGGATCCGCTCGTTGTAGCGAACCCTGACCTTTATGTACCAAGCCAATTGGAATAGCGTGAGTCCACCGACGACTAGGCATGTATAGTTCATGTTCGCAGCTNNACAATATGACGTTAGCATGCCTGGTCTGTTTGCAGCTCTGCGGTGGGTACAAGACTTACCAGTGACAGGTTTGTAGTAGGGAAATGAGAAGAAGACGACTGCAAAAGCCAACCAGCATACGGTGATTGTGTTGACAAAGAACCCTTTGAATCCATGCATGTGAAACAAACCCTTATACATGTTCTTTCTGCCAGTTAGTAGATTGGTCAGGATAGGAACCATGTATGCGCAGTTGTTGATCGTGACAGCCGAGCCAAGCAAAGAATTGAATGCCGTACTCGAGCCCAGATAGAGACAACCAAGCGCAGCGACAATGGCAGTAACTGCTAATTGTGCATTCATGGGCATCTGTAGTCGATGGTTGACTTTTGACCAAGTGCTTGAGAAAGGTATCGCGCCATCACGGGAGAAAGCCCAGAACATTCTGCCGGTGGAGAGTTGCGATGATATGACACATGGTCCCAATGCGATGAAGAGGATGAAGGTCAAGCCAAAGGCTCCACCAGCGTTCCTGGTGACTTGTCGAAAGAGCTCTGCAAGAGGTAACCCAGTATTTGTACTCGACAAAGCCGCATAATCTTGAACAGAGAACATCAGAGCGATGAGATAGGTTATACCAGTAACAAAGGCAATACCAAGAGTAATTGCAATGGCGAGTGGCGCATTCCTAGATGGATTTGGCATCTCTTCTGTCAAGTGAGTGACTCCGTCCAGGCCACCCAAGCTGTAAAGAGGATTGACCAGACCAGTGATGAAGCAGATGACTTGATTTTCCCAGCCAGTTTCATTGATCCAAGTACGGAACACGAACTCCGAATTTTGATGTTCAGGAGCGCAAGCTACCACGGTAACCATCACCACAAACCAGCCTGTCTGCAGATAGAACAGTGAGAACTTGTTGAGTGCAGGGATGATTCGATTGCCCCAGATTACGATTGCAGCAGTAATAAGGTTCAAGATCTGGTAAACCAGAAAGGTCTGCCAGGTTTTGATTGTCATGGTTGGATGGTATAAAGCAACAAGAGCCATGAAATTTTGCGCGTAAATTAGGTTCGTCGACGCAGTCGTGAACACNCAGCCTGCGCAAGTGAACCACCCGGTGTTGAAGCTGAGGAAGCCTCTGTATCTCTCGGGGGAGACTGCAGCGATCCAGTGATACATCCCGCCACTCGTCGGGTAGGAAGATACGAATTCGGCCAGTGAGGCGCCCAGGAAAGATTGCAGTACAGTAATGAGTATGAAGCCGTAAATGACTGCGCCAGGTCCTCCAGCTCCAATCTCAGTTGCTAGGCCCAGGCCAAGTCCTGTCCAAGATATAGTACATGTTGAAGCCAGGCCGATCAGACTCAGCATACTGAAATGCCGTGAGAGCTCTTGAGTATGCCCNTTCATAGAACACGTCAGTTGCATGTTGATTCCAGCGAACAGACACAACAAACCCATTTGTTGAAGCCTCAAGTCATCGGCATTGTAGATTTCGCCCTTGGTATCGCTGGGTACATCCAGAGCGACGATGCTCGAATCATTCTTCATTCCTGCCATACTCTGTAGCACGAAGTCCTGGACGAAGAAGACGTAGTCTCTTGGAGGCTGCGACGACTTATCTGTTTAGTCTACCCTGGCTGCAAAAATACTACTAAGGCCAATGTTAGAGTGGCCGGCCAGGCAATGATAGCGGGGCCAGGCGGTGGCCGATAGCGCGATGTGACCGCCGCCATTGCAGATCTGCTACCATACTATCTTGCATCGCTCCAGGATCAGCAGGTCCTTCATGACCAGATAAGAATCTATGCAAGAGGAAATGAAGTTGCATCCTACGTGGCGGCAAAGGACACGGTCGTAGCCGACGCGTTGGCCGCCGACCCCGCTGCCGAAGAGCTCACAGGGCTGATGGAACTCCAACCACGTCCCCTTCTCGGTTACAATCAACCCGAAAGAACCAGAATGGGCCTATCATCGCGTCGTATCACAGCTTGGTCGGCAGAATGATACGCAGTAGCCATGGCGATCATGGCTGTGTCCTGTGCCGACCATTGGCTTGACACAATACAAGAGCATGGTGATTTCCTACAACATGCCATTATCAAATAGTGTCAAGCATCATCAATGCTATCTCGTGGTCGGTCTCTCGCAGCGTTGGCATTATGCCTCAATCAGGCATCATGCTCATATGTCAACTCGCTATCGGTCAATGCTCAGGAAGTGCTCAATCAGTCAATGAGCTGGATGGATGGATACTACGACACTGATGCTGGCTATCTATTCAGCCTGGATGCTGCAGCTGCTCTTCGACACGATACACGCAGCTCAGCGTGGTATGCAGTTGGCTTATTGGCAAGAAACCAAGGAGACGATGTGAATAATGCCGAGAAGATCCTAGCCAACATCGTTCATGGACAGTACAAAGATCCTGCAGAGCGATGGTATGTCTTGCCTTTTGATTGTGAGATGGGGATCGAGCTGAATATGACAGGTNTTGGAGACTATCAGCAAGAGCCAGAGGAACCCTATGTAGGGACTGCAGCATATCCAGCGAAAATCTATAACTCGTGGGATCCAAACTGGCGTGGCTTCATTGGAACTACATTCATCATCGGTCTAGAGGAGTTCCCCCATCTCCTCAGCGAGGAAGTCACCAACCTCATGCTTGAATCTTTACGCAACTCCACCATTGGTGATTCGTATCGTGTCGGTGGTGTCGACGATGACAATCTGTATCCAGCTTACAGCAATCCTTCAATCATGCGAGCTTTTGTATCAGGCTGGACTGGACGTCGTCTGGATGACTCCAATTTTACCATGTCTGGTGAACAATATGCTCAGGAGATTGTCGACCTCTTCAGCCGTGCTGATACTCTATCTGAGTTCAACAGTGGCACATATACAGGCGTGTCGCTCTTCGGATTGACGTTATGGGCCAAGTATCTTCCTGCCGACTCTGTCATGACCCGATACGGTGAACGCATGATCAAGGCTACGTGGGATGCTGTTGGCCAACTGTGGCATCCACAACTCAAGAATATGGCAGGCCCATGGGACCGGTCATATGGCTTTGATATGAACAAATATTTCAGTTTGATGGCTCTATGGTTCTGGGTCATCATGGGCAAAGACAAGTCATCGCTCATCTCTCGACCCCAAGTCATGTCACACAGCGCCGACTTCGCTTACGGACCTCTCTTTGCCATCTTAGGCGAATTTCAGTCATCTATGGTACCCGACGATGTTCTGGAGGCTTTGACAGACTTCCGTGGTGAACATATCTTCACTTCCTCTACCTACTCTCCACCTTTCGATACATACCCAAGAAACATCACTAGCTGGTTGGCACCAAACATCAGCATTGGGGCAGAGACGTTTGATGAGAATGTTGTCGGCGGACCAGCGATCAACCCAAGCACCTTCAATCCTGCTGTGATTCAATGGAACACTGGTGCTGGCATTGGCTTCATCACGCTCCATGCTAGCGAGAACGCAACCACAGCCATTGTCACTCCCAATCGCCTCGAATTGTCCTATCCGTATGGCAACAGCTCTTCAGTCTTCAGCCTTCTTGTGTCGACATTTGCCAACGAACGCAACGTTGCTAGCTGGAGTGATATCCAAGGTGCAAATGTCAGTGTCACCACCAACGCGAACACATCGTATGCAGTCACCTTTGCAGGAGCATATGGTGGTCAAGACAAGGTGATCAACGACTTTGAGTACTGGAACTTCACCTACACGATGCCTATCAACTTCACAGGTATCCCGAAGTTGGTGCTGGATATTGAGCTGTGGTGAGGTTGAGTGAGGCGGGTAGAGCCTTTTGTTTCTAGATCACCTATGGAGAGAAGAATGAATATGTGCTTCCTACCCGTGTGCTGAAGTATGTGAGGCGTATAGTTATAACAATGCACAATACTACCATGAAACAGGACAGTGCCCTATGAGAAGTTATAAGACCTCGACTTTCTGTAGATATGCCTCTGTTTCCAGAGAAGATTATGACTCTTTATAGTGTATATCTTGCTTGATACGTAGGTGGAGCACGTTGAATTGCTTCAAGCACAACTAGCTGAGCATGATCTTGTCGCTGACATAGAATCTTGTATCACTGAGCCGAGCTCGTGATGCTTGCCAGATAACGTAATGCTGGAAAGCGAGGGTGCAAACATTGAATCTTACCTATACCTCTGTATGGTGGTTACTGCTAATTTCACTATTCATGCTAAAGTTTTGATCCAGGCAATCTACACGTTGTAGACGCAAAAGATCGAGTGGTATGAAAGAAGGAAAGTGAAACACAGGGTGACACAAACAGCAAAGTGACCGATCAAGCGATGACGTCGCGTAATCCAAAACGACTTTCCAACACAAGCATCATCCATTCATTTTCGCCGTGACATACACAAATCTTGTCGCAACATGTCGCAAACCACCGAGCCCCTATTGCAGCGTTCGCTGTATGGCAAGTATAGCATGAACGAGCTTCTGCGCTGTGTACTAACGCCAGCACAGNTGTTTGACCTCCCACAAGAACTTCTCTCGACACTCGAACTCAAGCCCCAGAACAATGCTGCCATTACCGTACCCGATGAACCCGAACCACTAGCTGCTAGCAACAGTAAGAGAAGCGAGACGGAAGATGGAGCACCTTCGTCTGCAACGTCATGTGGACTGTGTGGGCTGTCGTTCCCGAGTGTGCAAGAGCAGAGGAGTCATGTGCGCAGTGACTTGCACGGCTACAACATGAAGCAAAAGATGCGCGGCCTGAAGCCTGTAGGCGAGAATGACTTTGAGAGGCTGGTGGGAGACTTGGATGAGAGCATCTCAGGCAGCGACAGCGACGACTCGGCTAGCAGCGATGACGACGGCAAGAAAGACACAACCTTGAGTGCTTTGCTCAAGAAGCAGGCAAACATTGCAGATCCGGACTTTGACGACTTTACAACTACAAAGACCAAGGTCGGCGCAGGCAAGCCACCACTCTTATGGTTCTCATCATCCAAGCTGCCTTCCAATGTTGCTCTTAGTGTCTACAGAACTCTCCTGCCTCCTACTGTCCAAGTTGGAGATGCAGCAACCATCATACAGACCATCAAGGACAAGCAACTCTCTCCCAAACCTCCACCAACACAACCTACCTCGGCTCCCACTGAAGAGTCAGGGGGCGTACCTCTGCCTCGCTCTCTCCAACCAGACACGTCCGCTACAGGTCCTCATTACTTCCTCTGCATGATTGGTGGTGGTCATTTCGCTGCCATGGTCGTGTCGTTGACTCCCAAAATGACAAAGAAGGCTGGTGTCGAGGATCGTGCTGCCACTGTTCTCGCACACAAGACTTTCCATCGCTACACAACCCGTCGCAAGCAGGGTGGTTCTCAGTCCGCCAATGATAGCTCCAAGGGTAATGCTCACTCTGCTGGTGCTGGTATTCGTCGTTACAACGAGGCAGCCCTGGTTGCAGAGGTTCGTCAATTGCTGCAGGACTGGAAGGTCTGGATTGACAGCAGTGAACTCATCTTCGTCCGTGCTACGGGTACCACTAATCGCCGCACCTTGTTCGGTCCTTATGAGAATCAGGTCTTGACTTCCAGAGACCAAAGGATCAGGGGTTTCCCCTTTGCAACTCGTCGTGCGACGCAAGCCGAGCTGATGCGTTCTNTTGTTGAGCTCACTAGAGTGAAGGTATCTACCATTGACGAAGCCGCCATCGCAAGAAAAGCTCAAGAGGAGGAAGCTGCTCGTCAAGCTGCTGAANGCAAAGCTGCCGCCAAACCTGTCGCGCAAAAATCCGTGAAGCCTAGCAAAGAGGACGAAGAGGCCATGCTGCATACTACCCAGCTACAAGCTCTCATTCGTCGTTCGAAAGCTCCCGCACTAGTATCATACATCACATCCAACAACCTCTCGCCAAATTTCACCTTCTTCCCCTCAGACAGTCCCCAAAACCACCACGCCCCTACGCCCTTGCATCTGGCCGCATCGCTAAACGCCCCTGCCCTCATATCGTCGCTGTTGCTGAAAGCAAAGGCCGACCCTACCGTCAAGTCCGCAGAAGGAAAGACGGCCTTTGAAATTGCAGGCGACCGTGCGACCAGGGACTCCTTCCGCTTGGCTCGCTCAGAGCTGGGAGAGAATGCATATAATTGGGACTTGGCAGGTATCCCAGCCGCACTTTCAAGAGCTGACTACGACGCTCGCGTACAGCGCGAGAAGGACGAAAAAGCAGCAGAAGATGCAGCAGAGCAACAGCGACGGAAGACTGAGACGGAACGACTGCGGAATGAAGATAAGGTCAGAGAAGAGCAGGGTAAAGAGAAGAAGTACGGCAAGGGCAAGACACTGGCACAGATGCTGCCCGAGAAGACAGCACAAGAAAAGAGAGAAGAAGAGGCTAGAGGCATGACTCCCGAGATGCGTATGAAACTCGAACGAGAAAGAAGAGCAAGAGCTGCGGAAGCACGCTTCAAGGCCATGAGTGGAGGTAGGTAGATGCTCAATTCCTTATCCTACGCGTTTGCTCCTTCCCGTGTGCTGAAGACAGTCACAATTCGGCAACTGACCCTTCTCCCCACGAGGCATAAGGGTCGGTATAAGCTATCGAAATGCACAGTTGCGACTCGAATATAAGTCTGGCCATTGAGACAACCCTCATGAGGGTTCTCTCTATGGAGACCACATTCGTTGCAAAAGTATCGTGCATTTCTACAGCTACACTGTGACTGACTTTAGCACACGGAGATGCTCGACTGTCTTGTTGTTCCCCTGAATTAGCAGTCGAAGACGTGACGGAAGCGAACGGAATCTTCTGTTTGAGCAAGTTTCCACTGGATATCATTCCATGCGGCTGCCACACTACCCCGGAAGGCACAAAAGCTTACAGTACGCTTGCATTCGACAGCGAGACAGTTGTCAAGATTCGAAATTTCTGCATTCTTCTTTTGCGACTCGTTCAGCACCCGAGGTCGTGTAGCGACTCTGATCTCTGCGGACTACCATCTCTTCTCTTTGCGATTCTTGACTTTTGCAAGCATCGTTTACGTGTCATCACGTATATGAGAGCATCTCCTGCATTGCGAGCTGGGCACCTTCGACGTCGCGAACCGGGCACCCACACTTGACCTGGCTATCCCATTACCAGTCGGGCACCTCCTGTACCTTGAGCCGGGCACTTTTTATGTCGCAAACCGGGCAACTTCTACATCGCGAGCCGGGCACCCTTTCATGAACGACACTGAATTGACACCCGGTTCCACTCTCTCACAAACATGACCTCTCTTCAGCAGCCCTATGGCGTCTTCCCTCCCGAAATCTGGCTCCACATCCTAAAGTCATGTTCAACAACCTCCCTCAAGAACCTCTCTTTAACCAGCAAATCCTTCTACCTGCTCTCCTCAGATCAACTCCTGCACACCCTAGTCCTAGGCCAAAACACCATCAGCACCTGCGTGCTCCCTCCCTCCTTGCACAACGCAACAGTCATCAAAGACGCCGCCCTCTTCAACCACCTTGTGCTAGATTACAGACATCTTCATTGGTACAAAGCCGTCAAGACTGTGTTTGTGGTGCGGGCAAAGAGATTGTGGGTGACCAGACGAAGTGCCTTGCCGCTTATTTGCTATTACATTACTTGGTGGTTCAAGCCCGAGGATAAGAAGATGCATACGTGGAAGCCGTGGGTCATGGAGCAGCCTACTGTTATGTTGTGGGTGCCTGAGATATGGCCGGTTAGGCATCCTATCATGCTTGATCTGAAAACAGACATCTTCGTTGGTACAAAGCCGTCAAGACCGTGTTTGTGGTGTGGGGGAAGAGATTGTGGGTCATTAGGCTGAGTGCCTTGCCGCTTATTTGCTATTACATTACTTGGTGGTACAAGCCGAGGGATTTGATGGAGTATACGTGGAAGCCGTGGGTTAAGAAGTCTGCCACTGTCGCTTTGTGAGTGCCTGAGATGTGGTCTGTCTGTTAAGCATTCCTATCATGCTTGATCTGAAAGATGAGGGTTGAGAAGATGGGAAGGTTTGTAAGATTGAAGCAATCACGTCTGAGAGGTTGAGCATGTTACCCTATGGAAGTGTTTGCTAGAGGTCATTACATCGCAGGCATGAAGTCTCTGGCTGCGACAGAAGAGTTATCGGAGAGCATTAAGCTAGAAAGGGTGACCATTACAGTGATCGAGAGCGATGTTGCTGGCTAGGAGTCTTAGAAGCTACTTGCTGAGAGAAAACCGCTATTGTATTAGAGCGTTGCTCATGTTTTACAATCTTAGCTAAATCAATAAGGACAAAAGTTACTGAGTTCCCACCGACATTCATGAGCAAACGAAAACAACGGATGTTTCCTTTAACCCTTCGACACCGCAAGACCACACTCCTCGTGAGCTTGCATGTGGCATATTACTCGCTCACACTCTAGCCACTGAATGAAGTTGCTTGATAGATGGAGCTTGCGCAAGTTTGGCAATTCTGTTTGTGTTCAGCCAGCTGTGTGAACTCTTTGAACGTTTGAACGGATTGTTTGCACAGTCTGGTTCACTTGCGGCTTTGATGGATTCGTAACTTGTGCTACGACCGTTTTTCCTTGCGCTATAGTTGCGTGGCTCTCAACCTCGATGATCAGAGTCTGGTAAAGCCTTTGTTGTGACATGACGAAGAGCATGCAAAGTCCTTCCCAGTCGAACACGTGAAGCCACCAAGCTGTATCAAACGACGTTCTGCCAGATGTCCAGAGGAAGCTCGACTCTCGAACAAGACGAGGCCATTATGATGCTTGCTCTCGATTCAGAAAGTTAGAGAAGGTCAGGCTGTAGAGATACGGAGACCCAATATCGAAGAAAAGTGTAGTCGATGTGTTTGAGACGCACTTGACACAAACATGATATGGCATGAACGTGTCGCCGATATTCTCCCGCTATGCGCCTGCCTTGTTACGCGGCTGCCTTCTGATCGAATGCATATGCATGTTTGTACCTGCCATACCAGCGCTGACTTGACATTCTTGTCCACGCCATGGTTCTTCCCTCATTGGAGAAAGTGGCAAGCCGAGAGTCGAATGGAGGCGTTCAGACGATTGTTGCCTGGGCTCAGAACTTTGACGAACGATGATACTTCTGTTCAAGGCAGAAACGACTTTGGGTAACGAGGCCTTTCATTACCAAGTCTCTGTAGACGGTCGATACCAGTCGTTCTCAACAACATGTATACCTTTGTTCTCAAGATCACCCAAGGCATCTTCAGCATGACAACATTTGACCAGGAAAGGCTTCTCTCCATCTCCAGTGAGTGTGATTTGACGTAATGCAGGGAACTGCCCTTCTTTNTGCATCGCGAGAGTTGAGAGTTCGTCAAACAGTTGATGAGCTGGATCAGATGCTAGACAAGCATCTGCCTCGAGGCCAGAGTGAGTAGCTCTGGAGTGCCATGAGATATATGACGTGAACCTCAGCTCAAGAACTTCCAAACGAGGCGGTAGATTGTTATAGAATTGCCTCTCAAATCTCGAACGCGAAAATCCCCTTGATTGCATAACCAACTCGACAGGAGCAGTAAGATGTGATAGCTTAGTAAAAGGTCGGAAGAGTTCTCCAGTTCTAAAGGGTAATATCCAGTGTCTGTCCAACCCAAGATCAAAGGTAAGTTCTTGCAGAGTTGATCTCAAGGATGCGAGGACTTGAAGAGACAGGTCTACAGCATCCGAGATGTCACCTGTTCGCCTTAGAATGGTACGCCAATAGGGCTCGCACTTTGAACGCGCAGGTGAATAATCTAATCTTTTCAAGTCCCGCAGCCACCGAAACAGCGGAGCTATCGGTTGAGTGAGAGGACCGCAATCTAGAAGACTGAGATCTCGTACATTCGAGATGGTATGCCTGTCGTGTAGCGAATCCGGTATCGGGCTCGGGTACCGAAAAGCAGGTTGGTCCGGACTAAGGAGATTCCGTATCACCAAAATCTCGAGAGTAGGCAAGTTGAAGACTTCGTAGATGTCTTCCCAAGAATATCGGTGAGACAACGAGAACTCAACAGAAGTCAGGGGTGGAGACGCTTTCTTGAGCAAGGCTGTGGCCACTGCAAGAGATCTGAGGTTTAAGTGAAACTCATGCAGATGCTCACATTCACACAACAATACTGCAGTCTTGAAGATGATATGATCTCTCATAGGCTTTCCTCGGCCAACAAGCGCGGGCTTGCCGTCCTTGTCCACATATTCACTAAGCCAATTCAGCTTGATGGATTTGATCATCCTTCTCCAGTTAACCTGGTTGCCCACCAGGAGCTCATAGAATGCCCAAGGCCTGTGAATGATACTTATCGTTTCATCTTCATGGTCGGTTTGGTGTTTTGATACAACTCTTCGAAACAACAACTTGCGAGCTTCTGCACAGAACAGAGGAGAGACGCGTGAGAGGATGACCAGCGTCTCCTGGGAACAATACTGCATTATCTCTGCCCATATCTCGTGTGGGAACGTGTTTTCCTGGAGGTCCATAACTGTTTGTGATGCGTGGAGTGATGGTTGGCAGAATTCCAGAAGCCTGAACTTTGTGAGGCAGGAACAAGCTCGACGAGCCGGTGAAACGTGTGGCTCCGGATTATTCCGATGTTTATGCATCGGCTGCACTTGCCTTCCAGATACGCTGGCTGAGATTTCACCAAGAAGGTGAGCAGAAACCTCATTGACATCGAATAGAAACCTCATTGACATCGAAGTATGGTGCTGCGACACAAACCCGAATTTATTGTCCTCTGTAGCTTTGCTTATACAGCCCCTGGTTTCTGTCAAATAGGACTTTATGTGTTGCAGAGAGTAAACGGCCAAACTTACACGAACAGGTACTGCTCGCCCACCCAACCAGGATGACTCGAGAGATGCAATCTCGCAAACCAGTTAATGGGCTTTCATGACTAGAAAAGCGAGCGTCGATAGGTCATATGTCGTAGATGAGAAAACTGGAAGACATGCACAGTATTGCAATCAGACCATCAGGATGAGTACTGTTTCATACCAAATACAGAAGAGTAAGAATACAACAAGGAAATAATTCGTTAGCCCTTTAAGAGATCGAGCAGATAGCTTGCCTGAAGACGAAGGGATGAAACATGAAATTCGTGAAAGAGAAACACAGATCTGAGTCTGGGCTTCGGGGTATATGCGACTGAAGAAAAAAGTATACAAGCAAAGCGGAAGGAGAAAAGCATTGGAGCGCGCGAGGATATCCAGAAGAGATCGTGCGTAGCAAGGTACTCGTATAGAAGGGAAATTCGTGCTTCCGAGCCTCGGATGATCGGGCCAGGAATTGAGAGAAGGTGGATGTATGCAGTAGTCAATTGTCGACGATCGACCAATGCAGAGGATGGTAGGGCAAAGCTTAAAGAGGATATCTACGACGGTCGTCAGCTGCTACACCATATTACAAAAGCATCCAGAATACTCACGATGTGTAAAAACAAGCACGATGGTGCCAATTAAACAGGACTGAAAGCGTCACTCTTGCTTGTGCTGCTGAAATCGGATCGAGATGCTTGCGAACTCAAAGCTCTCTCGTGATATCTTGCGGCATGGAACATGCCCTTTTGGTTCTTGTGTCTGATCTCTCGCATGTAGTCGGTTTGATCGTTGGTTGGTCGCCAGCCATGGGTTACGCGTACGTCGTTGGCATTTTGTCGGCGGTAGAACATGCCCATTGCTGCTAGACAGCAGACAAACCCACCGCAGCAGATAATGACGATGACGATGATTGCTCCGTTACTCAGGGCCATGATGTTTGAGTGTGATGTGACAGAATAGTTGTTGTTGCTATGGAAGTTTGTTGTATGGTCGATGCAGCGAAGGACTGGTGGTAGCGAGCGAGCGAAGTGACAGGGTTTGGGATGTATAGTGTATAGGCAGAAAGGAAGAAAGAGAATTGAAACAGGTGAGACTTGGCCTTGGTATTTACCTACTGAGCGCGTGGTATTGCGTAAGCTCGTGACAAGCAACGGTACAGGGAGCAGACGACTGGATCGGGACCTGAAGCAGGAAAAGATCCGAGCATCCATACCGAAACAGGTAACAGCTGAGGCTGAAGCGCGACAGCAGAAGTTTCTCGTCTTCGTATGCCTATACGACGAATTCGTAACTTCGTATGACCACCAGATCAAGCCTCAGGGCTGCGCATACCGTCAGACGTTTTCGACGGCTGCAGGGCTCGCAACGCTTTCCGCTTTCGCTCTACGCTGCACAAACCTTGGAACTTTTGACGATGCAAGCCTTGAAAATGGTATAGCTGCCTTGCTATCGTTGTCTCTTACACGACAACCTGAGTTGGCTGCGTTGAGACGACGCGTCGTCCATGTTGATCATACTGTGACGTTGATGTGGACAGAGTTGATCAGGAGATGGTGCGAGCGGAAAATTCGGGACGCGCATGGAGTGGAGCAAAGTGGCTTCGACATGTGAACGTCAATTCGACGCGTCTCCTTGTTTCAGCTCCAGCAGCCATCCAGGGTTTGGGTTTTCAAACTTTCCTGATTCCACCTGGACACGCTGCAAAAATGCCTATAAGTCAAGCCAACACTCTTCCGGCTCAAGAAAAAGCGCGCTATAGATGCATGAGACAACACGACATGTTAACTCTGATGAATTTTGCGTAAAACTATCTGCTATACAAGGCCGTTGTTGCAGCATTGGCAGCAATGGCTTAAAGGAAAACACATGCCATACCATCCGGTGATGAATTGTGTCCGACATCCGGTCGTTGACGTTTGTCGCGCAGACGCTGCCGATGCCGAATAGAACCATTATCTTGCCAGGACGAGTCGCTCGATAGACTCGAACTTGAGACGAGGATTGTCATGCTTTGCGTTGACACAGGCCGGGAACAACGGCACCGGGAATAACTAAGGTATGATGGTTTCAAAGAGTCGCAAAGCTGAGCTGGTCGCGAGGGATAAGTACCAAGAAGGCGCAGTTGAATATGAACATGGTGTTAATGGTTGCTGTTGACAAAGTAGGAGTGATGGTTGATCAGGCGTAGCTGGGATCGTAGCGAATCCTCTGGCCGCTCATAGCCCACATGATGTCTCTGTTCTTCTGTCGCACTTCGCGCATGTATTCTTCTTGAACGGCAGCAGGTCTGCTGCGATCAACGGGTTCGGATCTCTTGCCGAAAGACAAGGTGAAGAGAGCGTAACAGCACAGGCAGACGGCGGCGCATCCGACGATGACGAGGAAGATGACTAGACCAGCTGAGATCATTGTCGCGATCGATCAGGTTGAGTCTCTGGTCTTTGTGATGCAGACGGAAGCTCTGGACATTTGAGGATGGAAGGTTCTGGCGCGACGGCTACTGAGTTGGAGAGAAATGCGATGGGTTTGGTTGCTGGTGTGCCTGGCCTTATTACTGAGTTAGCACGCGCGGGGTTTTGAGGTGGTACAGTATACCGACCACTGACCAGCAGGATTCTCAGCCTTGTGGCTTTGCGATCGAAGTCTCCAAGTACCGGATGATCGATTCGGAGTTGGCTGAATGTCTTGTCTGGATGGTCGTTCAGCTTTGTTCTGCTTTGAATAGGTATGGCTTGACGTGCTTTTCACAAGGAAGGAGCTACCATCTTACGACTGCCACGTTCCTGCGCTTACGAAACTTGGCGACGCTCTTCACTCCTTTATACTCGCTCAACCGGAAGGCTGCAGCTATGCGTGCTGATCTCGAGACTGAACAGAACAAGGCGTAAATCATCCATCGAGAAGACTCGACGCTTCACTTGGTTGGTTTGATACTTTTGTCTGTTTAGCTTCATTACCTAGAATAGACCAGGGAGCCATCGGCATCTGACTCTGCCCATGTACTCTCTGTACTTCTTGCCAAGGTCGACCTTTCCATCGTTCTCTTCGCCCGAAAGAATCTGCTTTTCCTCCATCTGCACGCCCGTGCGATACACAACTACAAGACCCAGAAGACATACAGCCAAGGCCGGTGTTCTCCAGCCAGAATCATCTCTGCCTGCAAGTGCAGTAAAGACTCCGGTCCAACCCAAGAGATAAGCAGTGTAGGCGGGATGGCGAACATAGGCAAATGGCCCAAAATCAATGATAAAGTTTGGGGTCTTGCCACCAAAGATCGCTGGTAGTCGTCCTCTTTGTGTCGTGTATGCTGTCCAACTGAAGAGCGAGACGCTCATGGTCATGAGGGTGTTACCAATCATCTGCAGAGGACTGTCGTTTGACGCGGGTAACAGGAGAGGCAAAGACAGCAGAGTACTGGCACCGCTGATGCTAGCGAGTGCAGCGAAGTGGCCAGGATATGCGAAACCGTTGCTGGGTCTAGGAAAATTCACCAAAATTGCATATGCTTGGTTCAGCAAAGTGCCAGAGTAGAGGATGAATGTGGGCGAAGACAGTGCATCGATCGGGTTGAAGTTTGATATGAAGAAAGACATGATGGCTCCAGTGTTTTTGGGTTGTCTGGAAACGAGAATACGTCCGGGAAGTCAAGATACTTCGTAGCAAATTTGTTAGTGCAGGCTACGGGTCAGTGCTGGAATGTATAGCACACTTTTGGCTGCTTCGACTGATGCCTGTCAACAACAGAGGAAAGAGATGTTTCGAATATCTAAGTTACGGTCGTGACAGAGATTGAGTGACAGGTGCAGGACTGGGCCGAGCCGCGAGCGACAAACAGATTCAAGTGTTTCAGAAAATCAGACTTTGTGGTTCATGTGGTCGTCGGAGTAGCTGCATGTCATGCACGAGTCGTGACGCTATCTCAGCGGCTGCCGGTATTCGAGCCCGCTGTCTTTGGACGCCTGATCTAACGTTGTAGCAGACGTGGCTTGATTGAAGTCGAGGTGCCTCAATTGAGTACTGTCATTGCACTGCTGACACGCGTGAGCTTTGGAAGGATCTTGAAGCTTTGAGCTATTGACTTGTATGAGCTGAGAAGACGAGTGTTGTGAGGGCCGAAGACTGGGGGGCATTGATAGGGCATGGGGCGTGAGTGCTCAAATGAGCCAATCAAACGCGCCAAGACCGGAGCATTTTCAGGTTGAGGGTTGCACTTCCGTTCCATTCCCCCTCTCCCTTCCCGTCGCTGTGTGTCTTGGGTCTGTTTGTTTCGTCGAACGCGTTGTCTCTCTTTCCCGACCGACAGCTGTCAAGGGTAGAGCAGCCGCGTCGAATAGTCCTCTTCTTCTTCTGCTGTCGACTCAATTCATATCTCCTTTTCCCTCCTCTTCTGTTTCTTCTTCTACTTTGTCATTTTACCCGCAAAACAACCTTTCAACGGCTGCCCACTGTTTGGAGCCGGCAACCCACAACAACAACAACATCCCGCATAACTTATCATATCCACTACCAAAGCCTCTGATGCAGCCCATTCACTAATCTTCTTCTTCGACTATACTAATCTTGTTCGACTGCCGCGTGTCGCGACCCTGTCGCACACCCGCCGAGGTCTACCATGGCCACGACCGCCAATCTGTCATCAAACGGTGACGACCCCTTCGTCAATTCCAATTCCACTCAACCGAGCCCGCATCGCTACGCTTCCTTTGACAACCAAGTCTTCTCCTTGTACAACTCGGGTTCACCAGCTCAAGCAAAGCGCGCACTCGAGGCCCATCTCAAGGACACAGAGCGACGCATTCAAGATGCCTCGAAGCTTGGCACCACCCTTNTGCAACAGCGCAAGGACTTGGCTGCCCGTCTGAAAGAAGTCGAGGATGGCGCATCCGAGGACATCACTCCTGAGCTGCAGAAGAAGTTGGATCAGCTGGAGAAGGATTACTCCGAGATTGGCAGGNATACCGCCCGCGCCTTTNTGCCAAAGTCGCGCATCGTCTCAACAGACTTCAGCGTCGCTCCACAGAGTCCTGCTGTCTTCGTATCCGATTCTCGTCCCTCCCCAGTCAAGCGCAACCCCACCGAAGGCTCCAGACGTCAGCGCAATCAGCCTACCAACCGTGTTCATGACATCGAATTTGCTACCGAGATCAGTACTTCTCTTCTCGCCCAGGTCAGACAATTACAAGCCGTCCTGGCTGAGAAGGAGAATGCACTTAAGGATGCCACGACGCAAAAAGAACAGCTCGAGACAGACATCGGCAATCTGATGCAGCGCTTGCGCATGTTGGATGAGAGCGAACAGAAGTGCAAGGATGAGAATTGGAATCTCGAGACACAAATGCAAGACTTGACAGCACAGCTGAAAGAGGCAACCGACAAGGAACAGCGTCTATCGCAGCAGCTGAAATTTGCTCAGGCTGAGAAGGACACTGCACAACGCGACTTGGAGGATCTCAAGGCTGCTCATGGCAAACTTAGCGACGACCACGAATCCGTAAAAAAGCATCACGAAGCTGAGCTCTTCACCTTGCGCCGTGATGTCAATAGCCATCAAACCGCTCGCGATGCGCTGCTCAAGAAAGTTGAGGAGCTGACGTCTCAGAACACTCAGCTGGCAAAGGCTGTAGCTGCGCGATGGAACGCTGATAGCCAGCCCCAGGACAACCAGCGCTCTCTAGGTCGCGATAATGGTGATTCCGAGATCGCGACCCCTGACGTCTCACCGCAGAACTCTCCAGTCAAGCCTACTCCCCGACATGGCATGCTCGAAACCGAAACTCTCAAGTCCTCTCTTACCCACGCCCACCGTATGATCCAGAACTTGAAGAACAACATTCATCGTGAAAAGACGGAGAAATTCGAGCTCAAAAGATTGTTGCAAGATGCGAGAGATGAGCTAGAGAACAAGCGTACCGATGGTGGCATCGGACCATCAGTGAGCAAGAAGCGCCGTTCTGATGACAGTGGCATCAAATTCAACAAGGGCGCTCGTGCCGACAAGCTGGGAGCTGCTAGATCCGCCAAGCACGAGATCATCATGGACGATGACGAATGGGAAGACCAGTCTCTGATTGAAAGCCCGAGTCGTCCTGCAACTCGCAATATCAGTTCGGGAATTGTACCCTTTGGAGACTTCAATTTCGGTAGAACTGCTGGCACCTTTGGAAAGCCCGAAAGCGCTGAGACCACGGACGCGTTTGAGACTGCCGATGAGAGAGGCACAACCGACGCTTTCGAGACAGCCAATGAGGACGATGACAATACAAACACTGAGACTGAAGCCGCCTTCCAAACCGGTGCTGAGACTATCAACGGCGACAGCAGCGATGACTTGACCGAGACCGAGTTCAGTCCTGTGAAGAACCATGGCTCCTCATCTCGACCTGTTTCCAGACCTGGCCCCTACGCGACTAACAAAGCCGAGAACCGCCTGTCTTTCATGTCGACAGCATCCACCTCTGCTGACGAGTTCGAGAATGTCAAGACACCGATACAGGGTCAACAGCCTAAGTACAAGCTACGTCTTAGTAAGGGTCGTCGCTCAAACAATGGCTCTGCCCGCAACAGCGCTGTCTTTGCCAGCGATGATAGTCCTGCTAGTCAAGCCAGCCAGAGAACTCCTGTTCAATTCGGTCAGAGTCTCAGTGCTGAGCTGGACGGTTTGAGCAACGATAGCGACAGTGGTGAGGAAACTTCGACTGACGTTGGTGTTGAGTCTGCTCCTATGAGTCCTGAAACTGTCAAGAAGCCTACTCTTGCCGATGCTCCTATCATTACAGAAGTTTCGAGACCGAAGATGGTCGATTCTGCGATGATGACAGAACCTTGGGAACCTCAATCCAGTTCTATCGTTGNNAGCGCTGCCGCGGGTGCTGTCGGTACTGCCATCGCTGGCGTTGCTGGCTTCGCACTTGGTCATTCAACTTCTCATGACGGTCATGAGACACACGATGAGACATCCAGAGCGATCGCAGAAGACACTGCTCGGGTCCCATCTGTTGCATCATCCAATATGCCTGGTCAATTTGTCGAAAGCGAGCCTGTTTCACAGTCTGTGACCCCCAAGTTGCCAGCGGAAGAGATCGAACCTAAAGCTTCTGCAACACCTGAGGCCAAGAAGGAGTTTGCAAATATCGTTTCACAAGACCTTGCCCCCGTGACTCCTGTACAACCCAAGGCCCAGCCCTTGAATATGGCAACATTCTCAAGCACTCACACTGAGCCTGTTGCTGCAGAACCCGCGCCCAAAGAGCTTCCACAATTTGCCATGACAACCCTCTCATCTTCTCACACTGAGCCTGTGGCCGCTGTCGAACCTATTAAGGAGACCGAAAAACTTTCCATGTCGACCTTTATTACTCACCATACTGAGCCGGTTGCTGTGGCTCCTATCATGAAGGAGCCTGAGNAAGTTCTCCATCTCGCAATATTCGGCTACACATACCGAGCCTGTTGCGCCTGTTGTGCAGACAAAGAAGCCCGAAGCATTCTCCATCTCCACCGGTCCTGCTTCGCATACAGAACCTGTTGCACCCGCGCCAGCGGCAAAGAAGTCCCGTCTTTCGCCATGTCTCCCTTCAGATCCATGTCATCAGAACCTGTCATGGCTTCCTCGCCAGAGACTGTACAGACTCCTTCATTGGAGTTCTCATCTTTCACGACCGCTCATACAGAGCCACGCACTCCCAGCATGCCGCAACTGGACAAGGAGCTTGAGACTAAGAGAGATGCGCTCACTTTCTCCACTGTTCGCTCCCAACAATGGGAGCCGATGATGGATGAAGATTTGTTCTCTCCTTCCAGAAATGGCCTGAAGAGAGATGACGTGTTCTTCGTGGATAATGAGAAATCTCTCTCCGATGACTTGAAGAACAGTATTCCAGGCACTGACGGTGTTCGTCCTGGTGCTGCCTTCCTTACTTCTGGAGCTCAATTCCCTCCTCGTACTAGCAGCAGAGATGGATCATTGACTCAAGAGCCTCGACTGTTTGGTGGGGCCAAGGCCAACAACCATGGAGAACCAACACTTGTCTTTGCTGATGAAAACGATTCGACACCTCATATTGAGCAGGATAGTCACTTCAGACAGCCTTTCGCCGAGGTGTCCAATAATGTTGGCACCAGTCAGCGCAGCATGTCGAACAACGGCGAAAGACCTCTTATGAAGCGTACCCCCACTTCCGAGACGGGAACACAGACCATGGTATCTTCTGATGAAATCGACAAGATGATGCGCCGCAAGACTCCTTTGACAATTCCTGCTGTTAACATTGACGAAGGCACACCCCTCAGACCTGATAGCCCGAGAAGAGCTTCAGAAACCCCACACGTGGCTGAAGGCGCCAACATCAAAGCTCCCCGTCGTCCTGCCAGCTCTGGTAGCATGCACAAGTCTTCCGCTGCTCAGCNNCCCCCTCTTCCTGCGGACCACACGCAACGTATCGCAGCAGCAGCTGGATCAAAGAACCCACAATCTGTAATGGCACCGCCACCAATTCCTACAGGCTCACTCAACAAGCCTCCATCGTCACTTCGTTCGCGTACACCAAGCATTAGCAAGTCTGTTCAGTCCGGACGAGGTACCGTTACCCGTGCCCTCGCACCAATTCCCGCCGGTCGCCCAGACCCTATGTCCCCTACAACTCGCGCCAGCTCCATCTCGAGCTTCGTTTCGGAAGTTGATGAGCGTATCCAACCTGGTAGAGGCGTGCTGTATCCTGAAGACATGATGCCTGCGACTGACCCCCGCATGATCCAAGCTATCACTCAGACCATGATTGGAGAGTATCTATGGAAGTACACACGCAAGGCTGGTCGTTCTGAGATTAGTGCCTCAAGACACAGAAGATTCTTCTGGGTGCACCCGTACACCAGAACGCTCTACTGGAGTGAGCATGATCCTTCCACACTTGGCAAGCAGCAGTCAAAGGCAAAGAGTGTTGCTATCGAAGCTGTCCGTGTTATCACAGATGACAATGCGTACCCACCTGGCTTGCATAGGAAGAGCTTGGTGATAGTAACCCCAGGTCGTGAGATTGTGTTCACAGCTCCGACTGCACAGAGGCATGAAACATGGTTCAATGCACTTTCTTACCTCCTACTCCGCACTGGCACCGAGCGCGAGAATGAGGAGATGACGCAGGATATGGTCGACGAGTTCAACCCGACATTGCGAAGCCAAAGCCGCAACACGGTTCGCACTCGTGTGAGCCTCAGCAGCTACAACAGCAGGACGACTCGCAACTCATCACCAAATCGTCCTCATGCCTCAGAGGTACCATCCCTTGCCAACCGCCAGTCTGCAGCCGCATCTCAGCGAAGAGGTGCACAGACTCCTGGCTCAAGTGACGGATCTCAAGGACGCATGGGTATAATGGGTGGCTTGTTCAAGAGTCCCGGCGGAAGTATGCGTGGCAGCTTTTCTAGCAGGCGAAGCAAGAGTGCAATGAGTACTCGCCGACCCCTTGAACCGACGATATACGACGCAAGTGTGGTTGAGGACAGCACTGAGGATCTTGGTACTGTGCTTTCCGGACACGAGCACAATCACGATAGATTGGAGAACGTGAGGGCGTGCTGTGATGGTAAATCTTCCTGGAAAACAACTCTTACTTAACCATAAGCTAATGTGAGATAGNGCAAACATGATGTGGGCTCTTTGTCTAGAAGTACGGGACGACACGTCATGGGCTCATTGCGGCACACTCACACTAACGGTGCGGCCATGAGCAACCAACATCTGACCGCTGAGCCTCTGACTACCTCGAACCGACCGCGACGAGGAGAGTAGCCAGCCTAATCTTTGCTGACCTTCATCCACCACCATTTTCGTAACTTTTTGTTTTGGCTGTTGTTCTGCGGCATGTCACCGGTCTAGTAATTGTCCGAGACTTCTTCTTGTTTTGTTCTCGTGCAATCACTCACATAGCTTACTGCTTCTATCATCTCATTTGTCTTATTCCATTGTTTGCTATAGATCTGGACTACCAAAAGATCACTCTGACCTCTTCTCGACTAACTTTTCTCTTTTCCTGTGTGCTAAAGACGGTCACATCTTTGCGACTGACTCCTTCTCCATACCTAGCTATAAGTATCATTATATTATCGCAATGCACAGTCGCGATCCGATCATAAGTCTGGCGATCAACATAGCCTTCATTGAGGTTCTCGCTGTGGAGACTGTATTCTTCACGAAGGTATTGTGTATTCCTGTAGGTCCACTGTGACCGTCTTTAGCACATGGGGAGGCTAAAGTATCGTTCGACTCGTGGAGCTGCTATGTCGTAAAGCCGATACCCGAAACGCATTTCACAATGCAACGAGGGACCATAACAATTTCTGGTACCATTCGATGGGCCTCAAAGAGTTTGTAGATGAATTGTGTCAAAAGTGCTCGGCTAAGATGTCCCATCTCGTATAGAGCTTATCTAGATGGGCGGCGCAATTAAGCTTTTCGAGCACGCGATCCTTCATGGGCAAGAGAGGAAGGAATGCAGAGTCTCGATAAGATCGCACCTCGAACCTCACAGACTCTCCTTCCTGCTTTGAGCTCCGAAGTAGTGTGTTTTCTTGACTGTATAACACATCGAAAAGCAAGTTTGTCGAGATGTCCATTGCAGGTGTTCATGATACACCAGGCAAGACTGCGGAGGTGGGCACTTATGGCGTGCACGACAACGTCCAACATGGCGACTTTGTCACCGAGAACGAAGAGAGGGATTTGAGGCGAGGTCTAGCGCAGAGGCATATTCAGATGATTGCGCNNTTGCTGGTAACAAAATCCCAATTGCGTCTCTTTACATGGTCTGACACAACTGCAGGTGCAATCGGGACTGGACTATTCCTTGGACTTGGATCCTCTTTACAGACTGGTGGACCTCTCGGCGCTTTACTCGGATATGCTTTCGTTGGTCTCATCGTTTGTGCTGTTCAATTCGCTCTTGGTGAGGTTACTGCACTTTTACCTGTTACTGGATCTTTCATCCGCCACGCCGAGTTTCTTGTTGATCCTGCATTGGGCTTTGCTATAGGATGGAACACCGTCTATGGCAATNTTTTGAGCATTCCTTCGGAGATTTCGGCGATCACTGTACTTTTCCAGTATTGGACTGACATCAACTCATCTCTCTGGATCATCATCTTCATACTGTTGACTTTCGTGGTTGGCATCACATTCGTCGGCATTTATGGCGAGGTCGAGTTCTTCATGGCAATGTTGAAGATCACTTTGATCGTTGGACTGGTTATCCTAGGTCTTTGCATTGATCTTGGTGGTGTACCGGGAACCTCACGCATAGGCTTCAGATACTGGGTAAATCCGGGTCCTTGGGTTGAACACATTGCTTCTGGATCGTGGGGCAAGTTCCTCGGGTTCTGGTCCGTCATGATCAATGCAGTGTTTTCCTTTTCTGGAGTCGAGTCCATCGCTATGGCTGCTGCCGAAACAAGAAACCCGCGTCAAAACATTCCGAAGGCGTGTAAAAGAGTATTTGCACGTGTAGCACTTTTTTACATCGTCACTGTCCTGATCGTGGGCATGTTGGTGCCCAGTGATGATGAGCGTTTGAATGATGAGAGCGGCACTGCAGCCCAAAGTCCGTTTGTGATTGCTGCTTCCGCGGCTGGCATCAAGGCCATCCCATCTATTGTCAATGCTGTGGTCATTACTTCCGCCTGGTCATCCTCCAACCAAGCCCTGCTGGCTGGAACACGTGTACTCTACTCTTTGGCACTGAAGAAACAAGCTCCTGCTATCTTTNTGCGCACCACATCTTGGGGAGTACCTTATATGTGTGTTCTCCTTCAAACACTGTTCATGTTCTTGGCCTTCATGAGTCTGTCTTCTGGAGCTTTGACTGTCTTTTATTGGTTCGTGGACTTGGTGGGTTGTGGTGTTTTGATCTCCTGGTCTTGCATTCTTGTCAATCATTTGAGACTTCTCTCTGCGATGAAGAAGCAGGGGATCGAGAGGGCAGAGTTGCCGTGGCATAACAGATGGACTCGTAAGTCTCGCGTCACTGAACGACTGAGATGAGAGATGACCGCTGACACAAACTATANNGCTTACAGTTCTGCTGTTGCATTAGCAGCTTGTTTGTTGATTCTGCTGACCAATGGTTTTGCTGTCTTTACCCATGGCGGCTGGTCGGCTAGTTCGTTCGTCTCGTCCTACCTGTATGTTGCCTTTTTCCCTCAATCTCCTCGAGCGACGCTAACAAATCTCCCAGCGNATATCCCTCTCATCCTTGTCGCCTACCTTGGATGGAAGTACTTCAAGGGAACGAAGTTTGTCGCTCTAAGAGACATCCCCATCAGAGCTGCTTTGGACGAAATCAAGGATAACCCTGAGACGCCCGAGCCTGTACGCAAAGGCTGGAAAGGCGTTGTAATGAAACTGCTTTGGGAGTAGATATTTCTCTCAAGTAGTATTTAATTAAGTTTCTTGCCTTGTATGAATGTCCGCATCACAGATGCCTTGAGCCCGATGTCACAAGGGCTAGATGGCGGTTAAGTCACATATAGTAAGAGTCCACCTTACGATTCCTAGCCAAAGAGCAGTACTTATAGAATATACGAAATATTTCTGCTTCTTTCTTGATGTCTGGTGGTTAACCGCAATACAACCCCCCACACAAAAAAAGCAACACGGTGGTGGTGTGTCCAAGGGTTCCTCCGGCAAACGGCCGAAGCCAAACGTAAAAATTTTGTCTTACCAGCCACCCAGCAAACACCAGCACGACTTTTAGAGTGACAGAGCAAAAGCAAAGAACATTCCGACACGGGGAATTGAACCCCGGCCTCCTCGGACCTAGTCGTTGTGTGATACAACTGTTTGAGAGCGAGAAATCCTAGCCACTAGACCATATCGGATTTGATGTAAGCACAATCGTCAAAAAAAAATATATACCTTATTCACGGGCGCTATGCAATTACTGAGCTGCACGCTGCTATCATATACAGAACACTCGATCTTGATCATGTACGGTCGGTCTCTGGTATGCATATAGCCCTCATCCAGGTGAAGCTTACCCACAAGATGGGTTTTCGCAGCTTCCTGCTCTCTGAGCATGGAAAGAAAATCAAGAAGGTGGGTGGCGTAAAATTTTGAAGAGGTTGATACAAGTCCATATCATTCTAGTCGCGAAGACGACCATTCATATTGCTTTAGTCTTATCAAGGAACCATTAAAAACGCCTTTCCCCAGTCTAGTCATCAAACATAAATGTCAGTGTACTCCACCGTTCTTCCTAGTCATCCTCACTTTCCAGTATAAACACCAGTCTCGACAGCAGAGAGCTGGTCGGAATCACTGCCGACTGACTTGGTTCTCTTTTCGGTCTCGAGCGTGAAGAACCCAAGCACCTCGTACATCAAGACGATAATGGCCTCCTCGATCAAAGCCATACACAGCATGATAGTGACGCTGCCATCAATGGAGCTGAATGACTTGGGGTGGGCAAAGATGGAGACAGCAGAGTAAGCAATGCGTACGGCCAGCAAGGGCAGACTGATTGCGAATACGGCGACTGCAATCTTCTGTGTGTGGGATGATGTGCCATGTGCACTTCGGAGTGTGTGAATGGTCAAGAAGACGACCAGAGCCCAGGACATGATGAAGATGATGATACTGGCTTTCTGGATTCCATCGGGTTGGTAGGAGCCGGTGGAACCCCAGTTGTTATCGGCCTTGATACCGCCTGCAATGCCTAGAATGAGACCGATCGTGACAAAGATCTGACAGAGCTTCATCGAGTCGCGACCCTTGACCTGAGGGAAGTCGGTTCCAGCACGTTGAGCAAGTCTTCGGAGAAGTACAAGTGATGCCGACAGTAAGAGGGAGACACAAATTGAGAAGGTTGTGACATAGCCAGCCCAGATCGAAGTATTGGTGGGGTACGTGATGGTTGCTAATTGGAAGCCAGCACAAAGAATTCTGCCGATGCTGAAGACGAGTAACATGCGTTCGCTGGCAGTCTTTCTGAGACCATGTTGGATGAGTCGGATGATCGAGAATATTCCTGTGCAGGTGTAGAAGGCCAGAACGGCAATGAAGACGTCGTTGCGATATGTCAACATGGTGGATGATTAGAAGTAGTCGAGTGTGATGGTGGGGATGTATGGGAGGTGAGTGCTTAGATGATGGAAGAATACAGCTACGAGAGAGTAAAGGGCAGGCCTTATATGCATTTTTCAGCGTCTACTACAGACATAATCCATGGTCCTAGGGCAGTGCTATACCGCGCGCAGGCTGCCAAAACGGGTTAGTGTGACTGTAGTTGACTTACAAGCATTGCCATGGCGAGCAATCAAAGACAAGCATCGCGTCAATTCCTGATTCTGCAAAGGGTCAATTGTGGTGCTGACTTCGAAACGGGCTGTCGATCGTCGAAGGAGTTGCTGCGGCGCGTTGCCTGCCCAATAGGGTAAAGCGTTTGGAGAAATCACCTCGAGTGGTCGCGGTACCTCCAGTGGCACATGCTTCACCTGAGCTCCCGTACTGAGATTTTGTACTGCACAACATTGGAGCCTACCGCCGGGCATGAGAACCCTTTTGTGATATGGAACCTGTTGAAATTTTTGGGAAAAACTGCGATTACAGAGCTAATTTGATTTCCCGCACGGCAAGAAAGCACAATGCCGCAGCGCGTCTAGGGAGCAGCGCTTTACCTGCCGATACGCGAAGTTCTGGTAAAGAAGCGCCCCTCATCCCCGAAGGCGAAGTTCCAAAAGCTGTGCCGTCAAGACTCTTCCCCACCAGAACACTCCTCCTTAGAACTTGAGCGCGTTGCATTCCCATTAGGGTAAAGCGTTCGGCGACCTGATTGATCGTCGAAGGATCCTGTGTAGTTACTCAGCCATGTCCCTCGCTGTACTTCCCCTCGTGGGATGCTTCGCGCTTCTGAGTATCTTCAACGCCGATGCCTTATCGTGGAAAACCCTCACAAGGATGTGAAGAGTGTCGCAAANGGCGCAAGAAGTGTGACCTCCGTTCGGGCGGCTGTGGACGTTGCGCAAATGCACACCGTCAATGTCCTGGGTATCCCCAGCAGGTTGGCCTGAGGATCGTTGACCAGAGTGCCGAGATCGTTTCCAAAGCTCTAGGTTCACATTCCAAAGGGAGCCCTTCAGAGACAAACTCACCGCTCAACTCAAACAGATCTTCATCAGCTGCTCGCTCCTCTCCAGCAATCTCTGCCCACGTGTCTCCGCTATCCATGGACAGCGAAGACTTGTCATTTGCCTTTTTCTTCAACAACTGCGTCATCAACCATAATGTCTATCACAATTGTGTATACGAGTCCGACAACAAACATCTTATTGCCGGCATCAAGGCTTTTGGCATTGCCAACTTGTCCAAGCACTACTCTGACAAACGCCTGCTTGTTTCAGCTCAGCATCAATATGCTACCGCTCTAAACCTGACAAATCTCGCTCTTCGAGATCCATCGCAGGTCAAACGGGATGAGACTTTGCTTACAATCCTCGTCCTCACAAACTACGAGACCCTCACAGGCGGTGTTACACGTACTCTGGACGCATGGGAGCAGCATGTCAATGGCGCATCGTCCCTTCTTAGCCTTCGCGGACTCGACGGCGTACAAGGAAACGCAGGTCGGGTACTCACGCTGCATGTCATTACCAGTATCAACGTGATATGTCTTCTCCGATGTCTATCTACTCCGCCGTTCATACACCTTCTCCAGGCCAAGGTCTTCGAATATCTTTACGAGCCGGACAACCCTGCGATAAGATATCAACGGATCAATCTTGAGTGCGCAGATTTCAGGCACGCTGTTACTCATTGTCAAATCACATCACCAAATGAGATCATATCTCGTGCAGCTGAATTGGACGCAAAACTTACTGGAGCGTTTGCCAATGTGCCAAAAAGCTGGGAAGGTGGATTTATCGCACTCTTTTCTCCTAGACAATCTGTCGAGGCTGGCTTACCTAGCTTCGAGCTACGATATACGGATCAAGCAACGAATTACATATGGGCATCGTTCCGTTCCAGTCGAATCATGGTTGCCGAGATCGTGCTTCAATCGGTAGCGAACGACTCGGATGCGCATCGAGCAGCACACTTCCGTTCACAGACGATCATGCGACAATGTCAGACCGAGATACTTGCTGGGATGGCGCAGTACATGTCTAAGAACGACGAAATGTTGCCGTGGTCAGGCTTCAAGCGTCCTGTTCGTTACTTCGTACCCGAGGCTGTTTCCAGCGACCTCCCAATCATGCGCGCTCTTTCTGGTTATGGTGTGCTGTGGCCCTTGTTCGTCGCTGGTTCATGTTCCACGGCCACTAATGAGATCAAAACTTACGTGGCAGAGGTGTATCGATACTTTGGAGAGCAGCTAAAGATTGAGCAAGCCCTGGTTCTACGCAAGATGATCTGGGCACTGATGAGGGTTTCTGCTTCGCCGAATTCTCGCAATGTCAGTGCACTCTAAACCCAACACTGCGGATCTATCAAGGTACAGCGGATAGGTTCGGAAGACTCTTGATGAGCGCAATATTCACGAAGATCGGCGTACTTCTTTTCCGCTCTCATGGTCGTCTCCATTCGCTGATTCGGCCCCATCGAGATCGGACGTGCAACACGAACAATCGAGATCAAACAGCTGTCAGCCTCTAGTTTCAGACCAGTGGCTAAAGGAAGGTGACATGGATGCAGGTCATGGTCTCCGTTCGCCAGGGCCTCCTGTCTGGACATAATGACCTCTGCCCTGCCAAGCCCATATCTTCCGCATTACCAAGACCATTGGACCGTCGCCAAGCCAGCCGCAGCAGTGACTTGATCCAACCTACAATGCGTTCCAAACATCTCGCACTTCCTGCCGTGCTTGGTATGCAGTCTCTAAGCAGGCCTAGAGCCACCACGCACGTCTTGGACGGACTGAGCATTACTTCCGTGGACAGTAATAATGTGATTTCGCGGCTTGATTTTGTCTAGGACTAGACGCTTACGGTGAACTCAAATTCCAATCGCAGTGACATCTGACACTGCTCGACTTTCTATAAAGCCTCGTGGAAGCGCATTGGCGAGTTCAGCATGGGATCCAACTCTGCCTATGTCTAGGTCCTCCACTTCTACCCGTCATCATGTTGTTCAAATCACTACATGCTCTTGCAGCCACCCTACCAGCCACCTTTGCTTGTCCTCACGAGTCACATTTGTACAAGAGACAAGCAACAAACCAGACCATCGAGAGTCCTGAGTGGGCATACGAAGCATCCTACAATTGGGGACAAATCGACCCAATGTATCAACTCTGTCAGACTGGTACGCAACAATCGCCTATCGCACTGTCGCTCGGCAATGGGCTCTCTCTGAACCATATCCCTACATTCCAAAACTACTCCGGCAACACAACAGGAATGTTTCGTAATTGGGGCTATGGGCCTGCATTTTCGCTCGGTCGGGATAACCTAACCTCTAACCCTTCTTTCACCTACGACAACGAAACTGTTTACCTTGTCGGTTGGCATATTCACGCGCCTGCTGATCACTCAGTTGGTGGAGATCGCAGCAAAGCAGAGATGCACTTTGTACATGCTGACGCTGAAGGCCACGAGAAAGCTGTCCTCGCCTTCCGTCTCGATCCTGGTAACAGCGATGCCTCTTTCTTCAGTCAACTACCGGCAATGATCGGCTTCAATGAGACGGGCATCGAGTACCAGCAAGAGATCAGTATGGATCTCAACCTTGCATTGTCGAGTGTGCTGCACTTCAACGAATTCTGGACTTACCAGGGTAGTTTGACTAGCCCTCCTTGTCACGAAGGCATCCGTTGGTTTGTCGCCAGGCAAATCCTTTTCACTGGCGTCAGACAGATGCAAGCGATCTTGGGTACTAGCACGTACTCTGCACGAGCAGAGCAGGAAGTTTGGCAGCACAGAATCAACGAGTGAGCGTTGTGAGAGTAGTGGAGCTACACTCTCAGCTATTCTCAGATTCTATCACACATATATATTCATCGGCTACAAGAGAAATGTCATCACTGTATGTACAAGAAGTAAGATACGGTGGATATTCCAAACATCTGTTGTTGCTGTTGTTGTCCCCAGTGGAAATCCTCAAACAGTCGATGAAACCAGAATCAACGAAGTGGCACCGCAGTGCTTTATGCTTGAACAACATATCGTATATATCATCCGCAAAAGTATCTCAACTGATGTAGGCTCTGTGCATGGTAATGTCATGGTTTGCTGCTTCTGTAGGAACCAAGAAGGTCCTGCCTCCATTGAGACAGGGTTGCAAGTTCGACATCGGCCTTTGACATCGGCATTTGATGGAAAAGGTCATTTCCGCAAGAGTGAACACTACCGACCATTGTCTCCTTCCGAGTGAGGAGTAGAACTCGGTGTCTCCATGACTAGGACTCATATGACTTCTCGTATCATACCGAGCATCCACGTATACAAAGATCATGGATGACCTGCCAGTATCATTTGCCGTCATCGGCACGGGTCTAATAGGACCTCGTCACGCCGCTGCTATCATCAGAACACCTACGTCGAGACTCGCGTGCCTCGTGGATCCGAATCCAGCAGCAAAGGCAATTGCGACTGAACTCGGTGTACCACTCTTTCCTTCTATCGCAGAGATGTTGACATCCTCTATCAAGCCGCAAGCGGCAATAATCTGCACGCCAAACCATACACACGTCTCGATTTCGAAAATGTTGCTTGATGCTGGTATCTCTGTGCTTTGTGAGAAGCCAATTGCCACAGATATTGCTGGTGCCATGGACATCTTGAGCCACGTAAAGCACAGCAAGGCAAAGTTTGCAGTGGGACACCACAGGAGGTTCAACCGCTATGTCAGAGCGACCAAAGCCGCATTGCCCTCCCTGGGCCGCATCATCGCAGTATCAGGACTCTGGACCATTTGCAAACCCGCAGACTACTTCGAGGGAGTAGGAGAGTGGAGAAAAGACGGTTCCAATGGAGGTCCCATCTTGATCAATCTGGTTCACGATGTTGATATGCTGCAGTACTTACTTGGACCTATCATCAGGGTAACCGCAGAGGAGACCATCAAACAGAGAGACTTTGATGCTGAGGAAGGTGCAGCTGTGCTCCTGAGGTTTCAGAGTGGTTGCGTAGGAACTTTTGTGGTGTCAGATGCTGTGCCCTCACCTCATAACTTCGAATCTGGCACTGGAGAGAATCCAAATATACCACCTACGGGTATGGACTTCTATAGATTCTTTGGTACGGAGGCTTCGTTGAGTGTGCCTGATATGAAGAGGTGGAGTTATGATGGTAAGGAGAAAACGTGGTTAGAGGAATTGAAGGAGGAAGCTTTGAGTGTCGGAGACAGCAAGATCCCTTTCGAGTTGCAAGTCGAGCAGTTCGTCAAGGTTGTCAAGGGGCTGGAGGAACCAACGTGTTCAGGAGAAGACGCTGTTAGAGCCTTGATGGTGGTCGAAGCAGTCAAGAAGTCCATTCAGGAGGGGGTCGGAGTTGACATTCCTTGTTGCTAGAGAGTTTCTCTCGAGCGGGTGTGCTACACCAATGACATCCACGGCGCTGGTAGCGAGTATAGCGACTGATAGTCTTAAGACCTGCCTTTTCTGGAAGCACACCAATGTGCGAAATTGCGACATCTCAGCTGTATATTCGTGCCATGTCGAGATGTACTCGGTTGAAGTTCCGCAGATCAACGAGATCTGCTGCTTTATGCCCGGACCCCGCAATTTCGTCTCCGCAGATGTGCGGGCCTCGCAGCCCTCGGATCGTTCTGTCGCTCGTGTAGCGCACAGATGTGAGGGCCAGAAGGCTGGCCAGCGGTTGATCGAAAATTGACAGATTCCTTGAGCGCACCCCTTTGCTGAAGCCGAACAACAACAACTCATTACCTCCGACAGTCCATATCATGTCGGTTAAAAGCAACAAAATGTCCTGTCGGACTGTCCAATTTGCCCCTTGTTGGCAGATACACAACACTGTCGCCAAGTGCGGTCGTGTGCGCCATTGCGATATGGCGGAATAGAGTTACGAGACTCGAGATAACTTACAGGAGCCACCTCGCCTAATCCCACCACCCAGCACCCTTCTAGAAACCGCTACGTAATTACCACCACAGAGGATTCATGAAGCTTATCTTGTTCCCAGTGTCGTTACGCTGCTCGGGAACTTCATGCCAATGCAGAATCAGACGACATGCGGATCAACTGATATAACATTCATTCGTGGTCACGACTCGAGCACGACTCAAGCAATCACCAAGCCTTCTGAAGACCTTCTGCCGGCGAGCGGGAAGGCAATCCAAGCTCTTGCAAGAAGTCTTGGACCCTGAAGCTTCTTACGCCAAGTCACGGCGACCGGGTGCTTGTGACCTTGATAAGATAAGGGTTCTTGCCTAATCAGGAAGGTGTCAAGCAGGTCTCGCCGGAGTCCAGAACTCTAAGCTCGCCTTCCACTGCATTGCGAGAACTAGTGCTGCCGTTTGGCTTACTAGCCTCTCCTTCAACCATGAATTTGACGGGTCGCGTGCAGCGATACACGAAAAACAAAGCTCAATGTGCGGGGATAAACGACCAAGCGCACGATAGCCAGTTTAAGACCTGCCCAAGCCAGACTTTTAGCTAGATAGTGAACCTCGGCCATTGTTCCCTAAAAGATAGTCTTTGATCCTCAGACCAGTTCAGAAGGAGCACCGGTTGCCATTGGCTGACCTTATCTGGTGATCAATTGAACGGAAAGTAAAGTTATAACAAGCCAATTCCCCTCCAAACCCCCTGTTCCTCGAGTCCATCCAAACATCGGTTGTTCCAGTCTAACACCGTAAAGATGTCGGGCATGGGCAAGAGGTTCGGCTTCAAGAGGTCGAACACCAACCAAGATGATCCCATCACCGTCGACGAGATCCGCAAACTCGACAGCCAGAACAAAAATGCTGCTGGCAGCAGCAAGCTCGGCCCTGAGCATGGAGTCCCCGAAGAGGTCATTGAGGGTGATGTCCGTGAGCTCACCGAGATGGAGGCCAACCATGCCCTCAAGTCCTTCCGCAAGGACCACAGGTGGGATCCTAATATGGTATGTATGATGGATACTAGGAAGTGAAACAAGCATACTAACCCAATCCCAGNNTCGGAGGAGGCCATTGAGATGGTTGATGCCGTTACCGGTGCTCACGACGCAAAGGGCGAGTCCCAATTGGTTGGTGCTATGATCGAGAATTCGCCCTATCCAGAAGTAAGTGCTTTGTGTAACACTTGAATGCCAGGGCTAACAGTTTTCAAGGTTCGTGCTGTCGTGAGAAACTATGACGAGGATGTTCCTGCAAGCACCATCAGAGCCTGGACTATCGGTCTCCTCATGACCACTATTTGCTCGGCTCTCAACGCTCTGTTCCTGCTGCGCTACCCCAACATCTCTATCGGTCCCTACGTTGTACAACTTGTCTCCTACCCCATCGGTGTTGCATGGGCGAAATCGCTTCCCAACAAGGAATTCTCTATCTTCGGATACAAGGCAAACCTCAATCCCGGTCCTTTCAATGTCAAGGAGCACGTCATCATCGTTGCCATGTCCAACGCTGCTTTTGGTGGTGGTGCTGGCTACTTTGTCGAGACTGTTGTCACATTGAAGAAATTCTATCACTTCAACACTAGCCAGTTCGGATGGGGCTTCAACACTCTGTTCGCCTTGTCCACCCAGTGTCTCGGCTTTGGTCTTGCCGGATCCGTTCGTAAATTCCTCGTTGAACCCGCTGCTATGATCTGGCCTGGTGCTTTGGTCAACGTTGGTTTTATGTACGCCTTGCACGACCACAGCCCGGCCGACCCTTCAAAGACTAACGGCTGGAGCATGAGTCGTTACAAATGGTTCATGATCTGCATGGGTGCTATGTTTGCCTGGTCGTGGTTCCCTGACTTCATCATTCCCGCATTCAGCTACTTCGCTTGGATCACTTGGATTAAGCCTAACAATGTCATCATCAACCAGCTGTTCGGGCAGCAGACTGGTATCTCTTTGGGCTTCCCATTCACTGGCTTCACCCTTGATTGGGCTCAGATCAATTCCTTCTACGGCAGTCCTCTTCTGTCTCCATGGCACGCCCTTGCGAACACTGGAGTCGGTATCATCTTCTTCGGCTGGGTAATCGTCCCCGCGTTGCACTACAGTGGCGTCTGGTATGCCGAGTACCTACCTATCTCTCAGAACGGTATCTTCGATAACCAAGGTGAGTAACATCATAACATCCACTCTCCTTGCACAGATACTGACTCGGATTCACTTTCCANNGGTAACACTTATAACATTAGCAGAATCTTAACGCCCGAGCATACCGTTGATCCTGTTGCATACGAGAAATACTCACCCTTGATGCTCTCTACTGCGTTCGCTCTGACCTACGGTATGAGTTTCGCCTCCATTGCTGCTCTCGTCAGTCACACTGGCCTCTTCCATGGTCCTGAAATCTGGCGCCGCTTCAGGTCTTCCAAGGGCGAGCTCGATGATATCCACATGAAGCTTATGCGCAAGTACAAGCTTGTGCCCACCTGGTGGTACCTCGTCCTTTTGGCCGTCATGATAGCATTCGCCTTTGTCTCGGCACTTGCATATCCAACTGGTATGGCGTGGTACTCTGTCATCCTCTCGCTGGTCATTGCGACTGTGTTCACCATCCCTATCGGTATCATCCAAGCTTTCACCAACATCCAATTGGGTCTTAATGTGATCACCGAGTTCATCATCGGTTACGTTCAGCCCGGTCATCCTATCGCCATGATGATGTTCAAGACTTTCGGATACATCGTCATGACTCAGGCTCTTTACTTCTGTCAAGATCTGAAGCTCGGTCACTACATGCATGTTCCTCAGCGATCTATGTTCACTGCTCAATTGGTTGCCACTATCTGGTCTTGTCTTTGCCAGCTTGCCACAGTCGAATGGGCCATGGGCGCAATCAAGAACGTTTGCACTTCGGCGGCGTCAGGTGACTTCACCTGTCTTTCTATCAAGACTTTCTACAACGCTAGCGTTATTTGGGGTGCTATCGGTCCCAAGCATCTGTTCTCTGATGGAGCTACCTACCAAGGCCTTCAGTACTTCTGGCTGGCTGGTTTCATCTCGCCCTTCATCGTCTATGTGCTTGCTCGCATCTTCCCTAGGGTATCTTTGATTCGCAAGATCAGCATGCCGCTGATCTTTGCTTGTTTCAGTTATGTCCCTCCCTACTCGGCCATGAACATCGTAAGTCTTCCTCACTTTAATCCTACTATCTATCAAGTTGGCGCTAAATCGATACACAGCNTCTCTTGGGTTGTTGTTGGCTGGGCCTTCAACAAGTACATTCGTCAGAAATATCGTGGATGGTGGATGCAGTACAACTACATCACCTCTGCCGCTTTCGATGTCGGTCTTGCGCTCTGCGCCATTGTCCTCTTCTTCTGCGTGCAACTCCCTGGTAAGAGCATGCCCGACTACTGGGGGTCCACCATTCCCTCGACCACCCTGGATGGCGCCGGTGGCAACGTCCAGAAGACTGTTTCTGGCGATGACTACTTCGGTCCTAGAACCTGGAAGTGGTAATTCAGGAGGCCGTAAAATTCTCAAGCCAATATTGGAGTCGGAAGGTCTGCGACATCTTGGTCGTGTATGCTAGCTGTATCTAGTCTGTAATATGTATGTATAGCACATCATAATGTTTCCTATCATCCTTATCGCTTCCTCCGCCTCGCAGATAAATGTCTAGTGAGTGGTGTATACTATGGATCTCGGAGTGATGGCCGGATGCTGCACTCACACTTCAATGAGTTAAATCAAAGTAGGTTGCATATGGTGTAAACCTATCTTCGGCTTTCTGCTCCTTGAGTGGGTGCTGTAAGTCTGACTGCCAAGGCCAAGGTGTTTTCACAGACGCAATCTGGGAAGGAGCAATTCGAATCCACTCGGCCACCATCACTTCCAGCTTCGTCTGCGATCACTTCACGTCGTCCTGTCTTTGTTCCCAGTTTCTTCCTCAGTCAATCAGCACGAGTCATCTCTTCACATTTGTTCTTCTTGCACCTTTGTTCTCTTGCCGAACCATCCACCACTTCGACCATACAACACTACTCTTCTCTGCGCGCGTGGCGCATCTTCTTTCCCTCCGATCAACCACTGACACATCAACTTCAAGATGAGTTACGAGTGCGACTCGTGCGATCGTGAGTTCTACTCGTGGAATGGCGCTCGGCAACACATGAGCGCCCTCGATCATTGGAAATGGCCATATGAGTGCAACTCGTGTGAAAGACGATTTGGAAGCCAGCGTGCTGCCGATCAACACATGTCCGCACTTAACCACTGGGATTCAGACTCTTCTAGCTCGGACGATGATGAGATCGAATGCGACAAGTGTGATCAGACCTTCGTCTCGTGGGAGGCCTGCTCGCAACACATGACGAGTCTTAACCATTGGTTCACAGACGTCTGCGATACCTGTAGTAGACGATTTGTTAACAGACATGCGTTGGAGCAGCACATGGACCATGTAGGGCACAAGTCATCGCACTATTGCTCCAGCTGCGACCGTCACTTCAGATACCCTAGCGACCTGTTTCAACATTTGAACTCGCCCATTCATCTACGCACTGAGCCCATCCATACCGCCCCAGCAACTCCTATCAGATCAACAACTACTCGTCAATCTGCACCTACTGCCGCTACTTCTCACATCTTGCCTGTTCCTGGCGCGCCAGATGCAACTGGTTCCCAGCCAACTTCCCGTCCTTCAGCCCGTACGCCTGCTGCAAATGCAACGTCTGCTCGGCTCTCCGTCCGCGGTCAAACTGTCATTCCTTCTCCAGCGGTTGTCCCTACGCTGCCATCCAGTTCGGCCCTGCCTGATATTCAATCCACATGCGCTGGTACAGGTTCCTCGTCTTTCAGTGTATTTGTTGAAAAGACTTCCTCTTGCCCGTGGACTGTCACTACCAGTCTATCACATTTATGCAGCCCTATCGAACCTTTTCTTTCGATGAACTCAGATTAGCCGATTACAGAGCTGGTCGTAAACCTGTCATTACCAGTGAACGACCTGGTATCTTTGGTCAGAGCAACGACTCTACTTCCGCTGTCGTCTCACTAACCGCATGTGCTCCAACCAATGTCAGACTCGTCTACCACAACAAATCTACTCAGACCGACGCATCCCGTCCGGCATCATCATTGTATCTCTCAGCAGCTTCCTCTCGAGCCACCACGCCTGACTTCACTGCCGCGACCACCCCCACCGGCAGCGCCAGCTTTCACCACATTCACGAAACACACTCCAAGTTGATGAAACTCGTCAAGAACGATGATGGCGAGCTCGAATGGAAATCCCAAGCCTATGGGCCTGTTCGTATTGTTGTCTCAAAACAGACCCTCACACCGCGTGTATTTATGCACGCCGATTCATCCACCAAAACCGGCTTGGACTTCGATGTTCTGCTTGATTCCACCTTGTACACTATTCAGGCTCGCAGATGGTACACATGAGCGTCCCCGTCAAGGGTCAAGAGGAACCCGAGTCCTTCATGTGTAGATTCGATGAGGAGGCAAAGGCCGAGGAGTTGTTGGACAAACTACACAAAGCCATTGCTGAAGCTCAAGCTTCATCTGATAGCTCCACACTCTTCTCGCTCAGTGAGATCAAAGTGCAGCATACAGAGCCTGCCGAAAAGCCGGAAGTTGGTGACCGTCCCTTCTGTTGCACAGGACCCCCAAAAGAGACAGAGATTGTCAACTGTCCGTTCTGTCGACTGGGCTTCTACGCCGTCTCGGATGTCATCCAGCATCTCGAAACCACATCTTGTCTGGCACGCTCGGACTTGAATCGCAGCAACATTCACCGTTATTGGTTTCAGCAAGGCCCTCAGGGCGTTGCTATCATACAGACTGCAGACCTCGAAGGGTCCAATACCAAAGCGGAAGAGCTGTCATATCATTGCCCGAGTACGATTGGAAGCTGTCGCGACAAATCTCTTTCTTCTCCTGGCTGCGCTGCATGCTCATTTTGAGGGTGAGGAGTGTCTATACACCGACCACGAAAAGCTGCGGGAAGCAGTCGGCAACTTTGAGCTTGTAGTTCCTCCGTTCGGGTCATGCTAGAATTGGAGATAAGCACGAGTAATGTGGGAGAGCACTGCAGATGGTGATGGTAGAGGAGTTTCAAGATTTCGCGGCGTGGTGTGAGGGGATATTGCATTGCTAGGAGGCAAAGAACCTTTGTACATTGCTACTGAGTGGTGTGGAGACTGACACATCTGGTCGTACAGGAGAGTGTGTCAGTCGAAAACGGAGAAGGTTCAGTGCTTTTGCAAATCATAAAGGCAGGGAGGCTGGCACTGTTCATAGCAGTATACTGGTACTACGATGGAGCGGCTCTGACCCTTTGCCTTGACCTGTCGAACCTCTCATACTAGGTCCTCTCTTCTGTCCTGTGTTCCTACCATACAAATCACTCCATCTTCTCTGTATGGCCAGTAGTGTGCATCTGGTCTCCTTGGCCGAATCATACCTTCCACCGAGATCTTCTAGTGCTCTGAAACAAGTATTGAGATACCCAGTCATCTCTACATCAATCTCTCTATGTGGTAACGGCACAGTAGCAAAGATCAGAATCAGTGCTGCAGAAGAGAGTATACGTATAATCTCGACATTGATGAAGCGGAAAGTATACTGGTTCTCGTATATGCGGAGAAGGCGAGCGATCTCTGTCGCGGACGTTGCGCAGACATGGCGGGCATGGTGTACACCTGCTCCTTGCAGAGGCTGCGGTTGCAACTGCGAGCTTGTCCATGGTCTGTGCAGAAATATCTGGAGGTGATGGTATTCCATATGCAACATGAGCAGCTGTGGCAATTTTACAGTGCCAGTGTCGGAAGTGTCGATTTGGAGATGAGGAGGTAGAGAGTCTTTCCAATGGAACAACTCGGTCGTGGTTTCTTCGCAAAGTTCTTGAAGTGCTGGTTTGGATATTGATGTGTATGAATAGAGTGCATGGCCTACGACGGCGATATTCTGACACAAGAAAATCCAGTGGTGGAAGATCTGTGGCGTAATGTCTGGTAGCTGAGAAGCGTCATGTTGCGTAGTGCCAGGAACAAACTGGAGCGAAGGGATGGAATAAGGCTGCCAAGTGGGATTTGTTGGCAGAGTCTTTGGGTCGGGCTTTGGTACCGTCACTTCGCTGTCATCTAGCGAGAAGGGACGACCAAGGTGAAAGCTCCAGAGCAGGTTTGATAGATAACAGCCCCAGAAAGCCACTTGTCTGGCACGAGCTTCGGCCACAGTCAAGATACCTTGAGCCACATATCCAGCGCTGTCGATATGGAGACCGAGGTCGAATGCTATTCTCATTGCCATACCACCAAACAACCAGCCTCGAGCGATATTTTGACACGATTCTTCGTAGCTTGCCAGAATCACAAGTGCTTGAGCAGTGGCCACACATGGGCTGTCAAGGTGAGAGTCGAGAAGAATTTTTGCTCGGTCCGAAAAAAATTCAGGCATTGATCTAGGATAGGTAATGAGTGACATGTTGGAATGACTTCCAAAGGAAGCACCTATGGCGCACNNCTAGAATTGAAGTCAGCTTGTGTGTACAAAGAGCGTTTAGAAGTACGCTTACATTGCGTCCTTCAGAACATCGTTATAGTAGCTGTTTTGGACTCCATTATTGAACCAACTCTGTCTAGCCATGTAAAAGACTTCTTCGTCCACAATATAACTGCTGGGATTGTGCCAGGTGAAGAACAAACGCAAGAGATGGTCCTCGAGTTGTATGTCTACCGTCTGGCTCAGATCGGCGACCTCAAGCAGACGTTGAACATTGACCCTCGATGGTGTGCGAAGCATAAAGTTCTCACCAGATCTACTTTGGTTATCTATGAGATGTAAATTTGATGCAGTACCAAAGTATCTTAGTTTCCCATCGGGCGCCAAGCGGAGCGAGCCTAGACGAGCCGAGAGCTGGTTGACCAATTCTGTGTTTTCTTCGTCGCCGGAGTTCGAGGTACTGTCTTCTTGTTGGTGTGCGACCTGTTCAATTTGGCGTACTGATGTAGACTCTTGTGGTTGAGTCGTAGTGGGATACGGCATATCCATCGATGGTTCGGTCAAGAACTGTAAAGACAGATCGCTAGGATCGAAGAGGTCGAAGCTGAGCATGTTATCTAAAGTTGAAAATGGCCAGTCTGGTGAGATGTGGTCTGAGCCCGGAATCGTATTGGTACCCGGCGATTGTGTTGCCACTTGGGTGTGCACGCCAGGCATCATACCAGTAACATCATTGTAATCTGGTTGATAGTATTGATCTTGGAGAGTATTGTCTGTCGTTCCAACGTTGACAAGTGCTCTGTCATCCGCAGCTGGGATCAGAGCGTCTGCCTGGGTTGGTTGCGAAGCTTCTGGTGTAGAAGTCGTTTGCTTCGAGGAAGATTGTTGAGGTGGTTTACTATTCTTGGCCACGGATGACTCGTATGGAGGAGCATCAGAGAGACCAAGAGTACCCAGTACACGATCCAAAAATTCCTCGTCCTCGGCTTCCAAAGAAGGAATTTCTCTGTCGGCTTCAATGATGACCTTGCTGAGCTGTTGTACTCGTCGAACAAGAATATGGACCGCAGTGCGGAGTTGGACTCTGNNGCCAGGGTTAGCTTCATTTCTCGTCAGCCAGGAAAGACTTGGGTCGAAGGATTCGATAAAAGTATAAGCCATTGTAGACCCGATGCCTCACCTTCTCTTGTCATCTCGAGAATCATAAACACATTCTCTGTCCTTCTTCACGCAACCGCTGCAAGGTTGCTGGTTATCACACNNTAGTATTTGTGAATGAGAAGGCCAGCGCATAAGCATGTGATGCTTGAGTCATACCTTGATTTTGCTCTCGCGACAACCCTTGCATGCATTGGAAGCATTTTTCCTGGCTGCCTTATTGGTGTTCTTTTCAACGTCCCCCATGACGAAGCGATTTGCTCGGGTTTCTGTTACCGGGTTCATAACAGCATGTCTGGTGACATGAGAGATTTCGGAAAAGCGTTCGAGCCAGGTGGCCACCAAAAGAGTCGTTGCTTCCTTGATTGATGCTTCCGCCGGATTTTGGTCAGCGTTGGCAGGTAGTCGTTCGTTAAGTATGGCTATCGAACTGCTATCGTGACCACAGCAGTGTTGCCAATAGATTGCCGCTGTAGAATTGTTGTGAGAGGCTGGCTATGTTTCGCAAAAAGTGTCGATCAGATTGCAAGTACGGAGGTCAAGTTCCTGGACGAACGCGAAGAGTAACTTAGGGCAAGGACGGTCGAGGTGTCGTCGGAGAATGGATCCCGATGGAAGGAGCGATTCGTACATGGTTCCTTCTGTTGACATCAGTCACCTTCACGATAACAACAGCGTTCTCAATTTCGAGTCGTTCCCTTCCTCCGCAATCATATAACCTTTTCACACATCACAACCATCCCACTATGGTATTGCACGAACAATGGCTTGCAATTACGTCTGCTATCTAAGTCTGCAGCTGATAAGTACCGTTGATAGCTACCACTGGCGCAGAATACTCGAGCGATCCTTGTGGGACCAACTCTCTCCGTGAGATTTTGCCGAAGCCCGTGCGTCGAATGCTTTTACAGAAGATTATACCACCTGTCGGAGCCTTGTACGCTGAAAGACTTTTAGCGACATGATTAGCAAGTTCCTGCGCATCAACCGTCTTACTGCAGACTACGTAGGCCACAGGCTCAAAGTATCCGTCGCCTCTTCGGCCAGGCCTGGAGGTCACCGCCGCATCTGTCACAGATTCGTGTGTTTTTAGGGCGTCTTCGACTTCGTCCGGCGAAACTTCTTTGCCGTCGAACACCTTGAAGATTTCTTTGTAGCGACCTGTGATACGATATTCCTCTCGCACCGAATCGAACAGAACCCTATCGCCAGTCCGGTACCATTGACCTGTTGGATCAGTGAGATGAGATGACTCGTTGTCTTCCGGATTGTTGTAGTAGCCACTGAAAACCTGCAGACCTCGAACGATCAGTTCACCTTCTTCATCGTTGTCGACATCTTGGAGCGTCTCGGGATTGATGATCCTGCATCACGAACGAATTAGAGCCTCCCCGTGTACAAAAGTATGTAACGTGTGTGGCTATAAAAATGCACAATACTATGAGAAAACAGGATAGTGTCCACTGAAAGTCAGTTTCTTGCTAGCTCTCTCTGGCCATATCTTTGTTTCTAAATAGATTGTGCATTTTTATAGAGTGCATCTTACTCTCTGCCATAGTCGAAGCACAATGGAAGTTAAATCCTTTAGCACACCGGGGGGAGCCAATGCGTTTTACACCTGGAGAAGGACTAACCTGATCTCTACTGTCCCTGGTATTAGACGCCCGACATATCTCGGGTCAATCTTGGCACCTGGCTTTGGTGCAAACACAATGCCAGCCTCTGTACTGCCATAAGCCGGTTTGATGCTGGCTTCAGTGGGCAAGATGGCTTTCATGGTGGCGAAGTTTTGCTGTGTGATTGTACTTCCACCACTCATATAGCTTCGGAGGCTCTTCAAAGACTCCTTGGGCCGCGCGCCTGACTCGATTACGGTCGCGATTGACTCTGTAAGTCGCGGGTTGGCGGTCATGGACGTTATTCCATAGGACTGGATGCTGTCGACCATCGACATTGGCTCGGTGCTTCGTGAGACGTACGTGGTCTGCGAGCCCATGATCGTATTCATGAACATAAACACGGCTGATGCATGATACATTGGAGTACAATGAAGCATGCGGTTGATAGTTTGGGACCCGTGGAGACTTGGTGAGCGAGCAATCGCAGCCTGGTGAGAGATGTCTGCAGCTTTGGGCCATCCGGTCGAGCCGCTGGTGAGGACGCGACAGCAACTCTGAGTGCTTGAGATCGAAGGGAGGATATGGGCGTTCTCTGCGTCTGCGGTAAGGGAGGCTACTGAAGGTGACTGGGCCCATATTGTTTCCATGCGGTGATTGTGCGTTGAAGTCCAAGACTCGCGATTCCGGGATTCCAGCTCCTGAGGCTGCATCAAGGACAGTCTGGCGAAACTCGGTCTCGGTAAAGATCCAGGTCACTCCGCAAGCTTTCAAGTATCGTTCAAGCTCAGCAGATGTGCTTTGTGGTGGTAGTCCGATACATGTGCCGCCCATGGTAGCAACACCCAGGATCAAGATACAGTAGTAAATGTCGTTACGGCTGACTAGAGCAACACATTCGCCTTGCTCAACATGAACGTCGTTGATCAAGCCTCTTGCGACCTTCTGTATTGCATCAACACTTTCTTGCCATGTCAAACTTCGCGATGGATCTTCGGCGTCCACGAAAGCCTGAGTGTATGGTCAGTCAGGACCACAATTTGTTGTCAAACACAGTACAATACTGACCAACTCCGGTCGGTCGTGGGAGCTATTCTGCAAAATATGTTCGAGTACGCTCATCTTGTGCGTGAGTATAGTATGATCCAGAAGAACATTCGGTGAAGCAGTGCCTATTTATGTGAAAGACCTGTTCCTTTTATGATGGAATTGTTCTGCCTAATCGTAAGAGTCCTTACAGGGTATATCTTGACATCCATTGGACAGCGCACGCAACCACGTGCCTGTGTATATCAGCGTTGCACCGAATCGCCAATGAATCGCCAATCAATATAAGCAATCTGCAAGCCACGCGCTATGAGAAGGATGAAGACTATAATGCTTACCACACTAGCTAAGCTTACATATCAGATCATCATAGCCCTTTGCAGAACTCGAATACATGTCGTCCAACCGATATATTGGACTTTCCGACGTCTCCGTATGCCAAAGTGCATAAAGCCTGTAGCTGTAAACATGCACAATACGGTTACTTGTAGAGAACGAGATAGTACCACTGAGAAGCGACAGTTTATCGAATCTCTGAACAAATCTCTGTTATTGAAAACGACTGTGATTTTATACAGTGCATACTCCGCTCTTTGCTACAGTCGGGGTACGACAAAAGTGACAGACCTTAGCATACAGGGGAGGATCCGTAGGTGTTGTAAGATCGTCCGACGGTGCGGGGCATGCTTACGTAGAGCGGCTGAAGTCGTCAGAGGAAGCCATGGCCTGCTGCTGCCTGTTATCAATCATCTGATCGCGGTTACGGAGGTCAGGTCCTAGCAGACTTGTGAAGAGTTTCCGAGCACAGAGATCAAGGACGTACCCGACGATTGAGGTGCGATCGGAAACTGGTTTCCCACGTCACCCCGCCATCGACCCCACTCTTTCAGGGCTGGCATGCGCCATCGACCTGGATATGTTTTGAGCCGCTTCATACATAGTCACAGTCTCAGACACGCTTACCTTATGCTCGAAGCTTCCAACACTGTGAATGTATCGCCACCATGAGTCCTCATGCAAACGTCGAGACAGTCAACGGCCACCAANAAAGCCAGACTACAGTACCATCGAGGCTTTATACAATTGATCAGTTGCCCAAGGTCTCGAGCCTTGCAGGCATCTGCGAACAAACCGTCAGCAAGAAAGACTACCCACTGGCTCATGACGTGCAAAAGAGCATCCCAATCTACGACCTAGCCAAACATGACTCGGAAAAGACAGCCGCCAATAAACTCCAAGACGAGTGGTACGAGATCCTAGCCAATGGTCCTGGTATTTTTGTGGTCCAGAGCATGTACCATGACCAGTCAGTTCTTGATGCAACCAACGAAGCCTTCTGTCAGATTATCGAACGCGAGAAGTCCAACCCCAAAGGTGACCACTTTGGTCATGGCAAGAACGAACGCATCTGGAACTCTTTTAGCAAACACGGCCTGCAAGACCCCAGATCTTTCGTGCAATACTACTCCAATCCTTGGCTAGCTCGGGTTTGTGAAGCTTGGCTTGGACAGCAATATCGTGTCACTGCTCAAACGAATATCGTCAAGCCTGGTGGAGCAGCCCAAGTCAGTCATCGTGACTACCATCTGGGCTTTCAGACTGCTGAAGGCTGCTCCAGATTCCCTAAAGGCATGCAGTACGCGAGCCAGTTCTTAACGCTGCAAGGAGCGGTAGCGCAGAGTGATATGCCACTGGAGAGTGGACCTACGCGCTTCCTGACATTCAGTCAAAAGCTCGATTCGGGTTACGTGGCTTATCGTCAGCCTGAATTCGATCAATACTTCAATGAGCACTGGGTCTCGCTACCGCTGAAGAAAGGCGATGGTGTGTTCTTCAACCCAGCTCTACACCATGCCGCTGGCAACAACACTTCAGACGTCGACAGGAGCGCGAATCTTCTTCAAATAAGCAGCGCATTTGGAAAGCCAATGGAACAGATCGATGCGATTTCCCTTGTCAAGACATGCTGGCCAGAGATTCAAAAGCTCTACAAAACTGAAGGACTGTCTGATCGTGTACAAACTGTAATTGCGGCCATCGGCGAGGGCTATCCATTTCCGACAAATCTCGACAACAGACCGCCTGCTCCTAGTGGTATGGCTCCAAGCAACGAGCAGGATGAATTGCGGAAGGCGATTGAAGCTGGCTGGGATACTGATCAGGTCGTCGCAGCATTGACGCAGATGAGAATAGATGGTCAGCCATGAAGACAAGGCGATGTGTACCGAGGCTTGGCAGGTCTGTATGCATGTTCGTATGACAAGATGCAGAGTTATATTCTCGAAACCCAGCCGTCCTCGACCGCCATTGAAGCAGCAAAATCTTGTTCAGTATCTGCATGTATGTTCAGATCAAGCGAACGGAAAGAACGAATGATGCTCCCCGTCACTGAATGAGGTTGAATACCGAGGGTTTGTTGCTGTATCGGAAGCTGGCGCTAGATGTGCAACGCCAGTGGCTGTGTAGCTCTAGAACCAAAATTGAAAAGGTGAAGGGCCTCCGCAGGATACCTGTAGACATGTATCAGCAAGTTTGCGCGCGCTCCGATGCACACTGCATGTCAACTCAATTTGAGGCGCCATCTGCGTTCTGAGCATATAGAGTCGTATTCTGCAATGGTGATACATTCAGACATCGGAACTATGCCATGGCATAGACCCCTTTCGCAAAGAGTTGCCCTTCGTACTGGGCAGCCAAGAAGCTGTGCGAATACTGAGCGGGATCAAGTCATCTGAAGCAACGACAATAGATAAGCTTGATTGCAGGGTAGACACCAGTTTTCTGAGCGAGCTAGTGTTAATGATAGTCCCTTCTTACCTTTACATGAAGCAGCCAGAAAAACACGTGGGTGATGTGTCTTCTAGATCCAAGGACCTGACAATGAGCTCTTCGTTCTTGCCAGCCATCTGAGACCCTAGCGAGTTGCGAATTGATGACAGGATATGTGTGTCGAGTCAGGCATAGGAAGTCGAGGAAGAACATTGATGGCAGTTATCTATCAGTACCCAGGGTGAGGAAGATCTCGACGTAATTCTCCATGCATGAAAAAGGTACGGTGGTCCAAGTCGGAAGAAATCGAAATTCATGCTTGGAGGCTGTTGCAAGCCGACGGCTCAATGAAGCAAAAAGAAGAGCTGGTGTCGCAAAATTACGGAGTACTCGTGCGAACATAGCGGACCGTTAGTGGTCAGCGACCTACCAAGAGACATCAATTACTCTCTTTCGTCCTGCTGTGTCCGTGATATCGTCAGGTTCAGAAATCTTTGTGGGCTGTAGTAGTCTCTGAAGAACTGCGACCCAGGACTGTTGATTTGGCAGAAGACCCCAAAGAAGCGGTGAAAAGATTTGAGCGCTGCAACCGAAATACTCAATGCTAGCATCATGAGATATCGGTAGGCCGCTTGTATCAATTGACGAGCTCTCGGGCGGACCCACCAGATATTGACTGACGATATGTGGCTGTTGCAGCTGATGGTATTTTACGTAGCCTCGGGCTCGACTCATTCGCAGTCGTACAACCCATGAGTTGCACTCCTTTTATCTCCGAGCCTGGATTGAGCGCCGTGCATAGATGAACTGCAAACGTGGTTGTTGCATGGTAAATGGTGGGACTTCGATGTGCGAAGAAGAGAGAGAGAACTACCCCAGAAATCGGCGTGTTTCATCGACGGTGCGTTGGAAATTTGAGGCTCCAGTTTTTTCTTCTGTTCTTCTATCGGCACTTTACCAGAAGTCGGGATATACTATTGGACGTTACTCTGTGCGAGCTTTTCCAAGACAAATTGCCTGTGTTTTGGAGATATTTGACAGGCGTCCATGCGATCGAGCGCGTAAGCGAGGTCGTGGCAGAGACATTTTGCGACGTGTGCATTATGATGGGGGTTAACCTTCTGGTTGAGGCAAGTATCAATGGTATTACCGACCGTTGCAGTCTTCGCGTGGCCGCCGTCTGCTTCCTTATGCACCCCATCGCCGCCAGTCGATGCACGTCGAGGAAAGCATAGAGATAGCGCAACACGCTGTCGCTTTAAGCTGCAGCTGACAAGGAAGGCGTCATGGCGCACGATCCCCCGAGTCCGACCGAAGCACGGGGTCAAAGGGGTAGTCGCGATTCATGAGAAGTACAGCCCTGCTTTCTACTACTCGAGTATTCCCTGGAGCAGATCAAGGTGCTCAAAGAAGTGCTCTGACATAGAGGCGTCGCTCTTATTAATCTATCAAGATGGTTTGTCCATGTGGTCGTCCAGATCTGACCTAGGATCTGCGCAGGTTGGTTGTGTTCCAACACGACCAGTCTTCTCTTCAAGTCCAGGTTGCTCCTGCCTTCCTCGTCCTCACTTTAAGTCCACACACATTCCTTTCCTTACCTTCCTTTTGACGTCGCTTCTGCATGGTGACTGTCTTTTAGCCTTTCTTTCCACCCCTTTTCTTGTGCCTAGACGCAGGGTGTCAATCGGTCTCCTTCTACACGATCCACCCTCTATTCCGTCGTCCAACGTTCACGCATGAACCGCCAAAAGCTTCCGCACCGGTGCTGCTCATAACCTTGAGGACTCCCCGCTGTCTTGCAACGACAAAAACCAACGCCAATGTCGGTGTCGATGTCGATATCGAGTGAGTCCACCGTAGCCAATATGGCAGCCTCATTAGGTGTCACCGAAATGGACGTCGCCGAGGTCTCAAGGATGCTGGCGCTCAAACACACCTTGTTGCCAATGTTCCAGGTCTCGATCGCTTTTCTTGTTCTGGCCTGGGTTGCTGTGAGCTTGCGTGTATACGTTCGAGCTTCGGTCCTGAGATCGTTCCATTGGGACGACTGGCTGATTCTTCTTACACTATGCGTCTTTTCAGCTTGTTGTGCATGTCTTATCGCCATCGAGCATATCGAACTAAGCGGTACTGCAAGCACAGCGTTGACCAACGGGTTCAAGGCTCAATTTGGCGTGATCGACACGATCTTTGGTGTAAGATACAGACGCAGTTCTACATACGTGGAGGCAAGCTGACAAGTAGTCCAGCTCATCATGGGCTTCATGTCTCTTTACATCGTTACGACAGTTGCTCTCAAGCTCTCCCTTGCTATTTTCTTCCTTCGAATCATACCCGAAAACTTCTCGTGGCAACGANAAACCATCTACATCTCAACTGGAATCTACACAACTTATGGCATAGTTTTCACTTTCATTGTCATCTTTCAGTGTGGAAACCCTGCCAACTTCTTCATTCAAGAAGCCAGGAAGGCGTGTATGTCGGACGACATACTACAACCCCTTTACTACGCTGCCGGTGGCATGAACGCCTTGACAGACTGGCTCTTCTCTCTCCTGCCAGTAACAGTAATCTGGACTGCAGCTATCCCTCGGTCCACAAAGATATCAGCAGGATGTCTGCTTGGCCTCGGCTCCCTCGCGAGTATTGCCTCATTAATTCGACTAGCATACATTCCCGGCATCGAAGCATCGCCGACTTTCCTGGAACATTCGGTTAACATAGCAAGTTGGTCGATTGTTGAACCAGGACTCGGCATTGTAGCAGCATCTTTAGCAACTCTACGCCCTTTGTTCAAATACTGTTTCCCTGGAAGACAGCATACTGTGCTGCCTACGACACATAGAGGCAAGCCAGTTACTTATACACCCGGCACATATGTTTCTCGGATGAGCTTCGAGGGAAGGATAAATCCATATGGAGATCTGCAACTAGGCTGTATAACAACAATCATTGGCAACTCGGACGAGACAGAGCTAAGGACAATCGACCGCAAAGGAAAGAAAGTCTTCGCCAACGTCCAAGAGTTATCCAGGCATTCCAGAGCTCCTTCAGCAACATCAGACGTCTCTCGTGTCGACAGTGCAGTCAAGCTAGAAAGATTATCCAGCTCAAGGTCTGTGATCCGACAGGAACGCTTTCAAGTTCCCCAGCCGCCAGTCAAANAAGCATTTCTACAGAACGGACGTGTGATCATGAGCAGAGATATCAGGATCGAAGAAGAGTTATCAGTGTCAAACACGGAACCCTCAACACCAGTCTGAAGAGTCGCCTGCTGTTATTTCCATCTCATTTGCAACGAAGGCTATGAAGTCGAATTTTTTCTGTTCTTTGTACAAAGTTCTATAGCGAGATCTTTAATAGCTGTATATTGTAACAGCCTTATTACACATTTTTCCAAAGCGCAAGAGTTCCTAACATACATATGTTGATGCAGATCTGATGTCAACGAAAGCTTGTTTGGCAACCTGACGCCATCCAATCCTTCGAGAATCAAGATACGGCTGGTGGGCAAATGCTGTCTAAATCTCCCAAACATATATAGATTCCCTACTGGCGTCGAGCAAAAGTACCTGCTCAAACATGGCTCGTCGCATGAACAAGTCACTCTACCTGGCAGATTACGTCTACGAGATTGAAGAGGACTTTGGCATCAATGGAACACCGGCATCATGGGCACCTCCCACTGATGGCAAACCAGCCCACCGCTTCTGGGACGACGAGGACGAAAAGATCGAACTGCACTTGTTCGATGGCGAGCAAACGTCTACGAGTAGTATCGACAAGTTCGCTACCAGCCATGATGGCAAATTAGTTGCCGGCTCGAATGGCTCGATCGTTAGTATCTTCAATATCGAGTCTAGGAAACATTGCATGCAGTTCAGAGGACTTACACTTCCCTGCGCTAAGCTCATGTTCAGTCCGCAATTGACCGAATCTGGAGGATACACTCTGGTCATGGTGAGCTCCAACAGGAGCCAACGGGACTCAATCACATTTTTCTTGGAGCTGGATGAGAGCGGGCACGCGATTCACGAGCCTGCTGTCATAGATTTCGACGGCCTATTACAGCGATCTCTGGAGCCTGTTCTATCCGAGTTGAATGACTGTTTTGGTGTTACCTCGACGTCTTCATTACTTGAGCCCCTCAGAGAAGGCTACAGCAAGGCACTGGACAACTTGAGCGCTGGCCTCGAATCTGGACATCTAACTCGTGTAGCTGGTCGTCCAAGCAGCTTTAGCTCTAGTCCATTCAGCACGGACGGGCGGCTATTCCTCTACATTATTCAAAACGAGAGCACGCAATCTGGTCCTCGTCCACCAGCCGATCTGCCTAAGGTCATCGTCTATGATGTGGCAAATAATTGTCAGAAGTACGTGCTTGAAGGTCACGAGGATGCCATAATGTGGACTGCCTTCAGTCCAGATAGTCAGCACATCGCTACAGCCGCTTGGGATGGCACGTTCAGGATCTTCAGTGCATCGACTGGAGATTGCAAGCACGTCATTGGACCAACAGGAGGGCAATGCTGGGCCGGAGCGTGGTCGCCGGACTCGAAGTATGTCGTTCTTTGCGGAATGGCCAACCAAGAGACGCGATCCGAGACGTTTGTAGCTGTTTACTCAGTCGAGACAGCACAGCAGGTCAATCGATTCAGGAATGATCAGCTTAGACACTGGGTCAGACAAGTGGTGTGGTCGGCAAGAGGAGAAATTGCCATGGTACACGAGAGCAACAACGTATGGGTGTGGGAGCCTTTTTCAAACAGGACGATCAGCAGTTTCAAAATCAAGGTGGATGATTTCAAGGAGAGACATGCTGCTGTGAGGGATGTTCAGTGGGTGCATGGAGGGGATATACTGGTTGCTCGCGCAGGCGATGACACGATCGAGGTCTGGGATCGAGTTAAGAACATCAAGTGGCGTGTACAAAGACCTAATGGGACTGGAAGAGAGCGAGATATAGTAATCTATCGCTGGGTGGAAGAGGGCAGGACTTTGAGGACGTTCAGTTGCGACGGATTCATGAGGGCGTACTCGCTGTCATAACAAACAACTAAGCTAGTAGCGAATAGCGTGTGCAAGATGTATAGTATGCAAGCTGATTGGATGTGAAGTGTTGATGAGATGAAGGAAATAGGATGGTTATACACTCGTCAAATGCCAAGGCCGACACGAAGGGTCGGCGTCCTGAACAAGCAGGTGCACTCCGTAGGCGCCAGTGAGTCAACATGGAGACCTACATCTTCAACACGATGTAGGACTCTTTGAATTTGTTGCTCTTAACCCAGAAGCAACAGCCGCCATGACGACCAACGCGCCTTCGGGTCCAGCGACCGTCTCACACCGCCAAGTGCCGCCGTCTGCCACGCTCGTTCCCATCGACCTGAAGGTCCAACAAGAGCGACAAATCCTCTACGACCAACGCATCATCTGCGGATGGAACCACGACAAGATCCCTAAGTGGGCAGCTGCCATTGAAGCCGGCACTCGAAGCTTCTTCTGGATCTGCCTCGCGCCTGACGCCTCANAAAACATTCCTACCTTCACCCGCGACGCCGACACTCATATGCCTGTCGGCCACGTATCACTGGACAAAGTGGACATCACCGAGCCAGATGCCATACCGGACGCGACACTTGCCGACCCTGAANAGGGCGTGCTCACCATAACCAGTCTGTTTGTCCTGCCTGCCTTCCACAGATCTGGCTTGGGTGCCTTTGCTATGGACGAGTGCGAACGCCTTGCTCGTATCCCGCCTTTCGGCGCCGAGAACATCACTGCTCTCACAGTCAACACCTTGAGTCCGCGCTACTGCGTTGGAGGTGTCGAAGGTCCTGATGGTCTGGGTCAATGGGAGAAAGAGGCAGGGCAACAGAGGCCTGTCCCTCAGAACAACATGCTCTGGTATAAGAAGAAAGGCTATGTGCCATACAAGGACGAGGCTCCAAGATACACAAGTCAGGGCAAGCAAGGAGAGACTCTGTGGTGGTATGCTTGTTTCATGAGGAAAGAGCTGCACTAGACCTTGATTGCGCAATGCATCAGAGGAAGTCATCGAGCTGAGGGGAGATATATTTGGAGTCTATATACATAGATTGTTATACATTGAATCATCTGAGACCAGCTCTGATTTCTTCCAGAATTGTGTTTGCGCCCTGCGCTATCATCTTGTCCGCCAATTCTTTTCCAAGACATTCTGCCTCAACAATAGTTTTGACCACATGCTTCAAGTTCATCTCTACCATCTGCTTGCCGTCGAGACTGGTCACGGTAGAGTGCAAGACCAACACATCGCCTTCCCAGTCAGTATGTACGCCGACGGGTGCACTGCATCCGCCCTCGAGCGTTCTCAGAAGACTCTTCTCGGCAAGACACGCCAATGTCGTTGTTTGATGAGACAACGAGCTCAAGAGTTGCATCGTCTCCGCATCACCTTCTCTGACCTCCAAAGCCAACGCACCTTGACCAGGAGCATACAACATACCATCCTCCGGACCTAGGTACTGCGTGATACGATGACCAAGATCGATACGCTTCAAGCCCGCAGCAGCAAGAATCAAACACGCATAAGGGCTGTCATCGGCATCCAATTTACGGAGGCGTGTGTTGAGGTTGCCTCTGACATCCTCACATATCAAATGAGGATAGTGTCGCATGATCTGGGCCTTTCTGCGCACCGAAGAGGTGCCAACGATAGAGCCAGCAGGAAGCGATTGTAGAGTTTTGTAGGTTGAATCTTTCTTGATGACCATCACGTCACGAGGGTCTTCGCGTTCGCAGATGACACCCAAGATACAAGACTCAGGCAACATGGTCGGTACATCTGTATAACCACAAAAATCAAAACCCCAATGCCAAAATAGTCAAGTAATCCTACAAGGATCCGTCACGAAATCTTTTCTACCTACCTTTNNCAAGCAATGAACGATCACATCGAGTTTCTTTTCCATCAACAGTTTCTCCAGCTCCTCGGTCCAGATACTTTTGGCGTTGAATTCTTGGAATGATTTGACTTGGTTCTCGTCGGCCATTGTGCTGACCACTTGGGATTGGTATTCGGGGCCTGGTGCAAAGGTCTGGAGGTGTTTGACGATCATGTCGACTTGGGCGATGGCCAATTGCGAACGCCGTGTGCCGATATTAACGACTTTCATGTCTTGTGAGGATGCCGTTACGGTTTTTGTTTTGTTCGTGATTTGGAGGGTTGTGACTTCCTACACAGGTAGAAGAAATGAGTAGGTGTCGAGATTGGGGTCTTGGCGGAAAGTGCGATCCTTCTCCGAGATGCCACTTCTCTACCACTCTTGCCGATTACTTCTTACTCAATCTCAAAGAGAAGGACATTCCGGATCAGACCTTTGCTATAGACGCTTGTCAAGGTCAATGTATGGGACACAGGGCTACAAGGAGTTGAGATTTCTCATTCGTCGAAGCGTCTACTGTACTAAGTGATCAATCGACCCAAAGTCTTGCGCGCCCTATCCTACATACGCCTGTTGCCAATAGTCGAGACAGTCGAGATACTCATGTAGCGACATTACTCCTTGTCTTCGGCATCACCTTCGTCTCCATCGTCGCTTGAATCGTACTCGCGCTCCCAATCAGAGCTCGTGTCAGACAGGTAGTTTCTGACCTTCTGTCCTTCAGGAACTTCCTCATCATCTTCGTCCATTCCCTCTCCAACACCGTTGTCTCCTGGAGCATCACCGTCATCGTCGTTGTCATCGTCGTCATCAACAACTTCTTCCTCATCTGCATCCTCTCCACCACGTTCCAACCAGAGTCTCTTTTGGTAGTCAGACACGACGTCGACTTCTGTGCCGCTGGCCTTGTAAACCTCCATCTTGTACTTCTCCTCCACACTGAGTATCATCTTGCGGTCTCCACGGGCAGTGTGCTTGACATCCTTCAGGAGCGCAGACAGCTTGGTAAGTGTGGGCTGATTCTTGCGTTCCCATTCGCGAATTTGAGAGCGGATGTCGGTGTAGGTGATCGAAGTGACGTTGGCGCTGGCGTCGTAGTATGCGGTGATGACGCCTGGGATGCGAGTGACCCAGAGGCGAAGAAGTTGGTCGTTCGAAAGGTTGAGCTTGTTAGAGGCGGACTTCTCGGCTGCGCAATGGAGGGTGAACAATGCCGAATGAGGGACTCCCTTGCGGTTCTTGGCCTTGATGGCTTCTTGGAGAGCCTCGCGATCCGATTCCTCTCTCTTGAAGATGCGGGTGACGTTCTGGTTAGGCAATCTCAGTTTGGTCGCGCGAAGGCGAAGGGCTTTTTCAAAGTCATCGAAGCAAGCCTTGAGGTACTGTTTGGCTTCTTGAACCGTGGTCTCGGTTGCGAGTGCGAAACGAGCAACCATGTTGGGTAGGTTCTGAGAGCGGTAGAGGTCAAGAGCTCTCTGAAACTCGCCTCCAGCCAGATCAAGGTATCTCTGGGCGACATCTGAGTCTGTCTTGGTGATCGAGCAGAACTGTGAGATGGGATACTGCTCCAAGTAGCGTTCGTGCTGGACGATGGGGGATGTCTCCGATTTCTTTGGGGTTTCATGCTCGATTTTCTTGGGTCGCGACAGCGAGATGGTTCTTTCGTCATCTTCAACGGGATCAGGCGAGATGGTTCTTCCACCAACTCCGACGGGATCTTCGCCAACTCCAATGGGATGGGGGTGAGAGGTAGGTGCCACATATTCTGCCTCTCTTAGGGCTTTTGCCGCATCATCCAATTCCTTTTGCTTACGTCGGCACTCAGCCATGGCCTCTTGCTGAGACCAGTGATATCCGGTAGAAGACACTTCGGGGGCAGGAGCGTTTGGGACAGTAGTGGGTCTCTTCAAGGGCTGCGCAGAGAACGCACTATCGAAGTCGGCTGTAGTAGATGCTTGCATGTTCATGTCCAGCACTGGCGAGTCTAGCTGTGTGGATGTCGAGAAGTCGGTGCGAGCAAGGTCGCTGATGAGAGCAGCTGCCATGAGACGATCCGTCTTGTCGAGGGAGCCGTCTGCCTCGAAGCGGACCAAGCACTGGATGTCGTTGAACTTGTACTGGACAAGGCGCTGGTGGCTCAACGACTTGGTACCGTCGGGCCAACTGGTGCAGGCATCTTGGAAGGAACGAGTGAGATCCATCACTGACATCGCTGAGTTGCTCTTCTCGACCAAGAACAGAGTGTTGCCAATCTTCTGCATCATGATCTGGAAAGGGGTTGCGTTACCCTGCACGAATTTGAGAAGTGTGCGCAAAGTATGATCGCTAGTGAAAATGTCGATGTTTGAAGACACAAATCTGTGGTTCAAGGAGGTCATGTAGCGAACAGCATCGTCCATCTCATGTTTGAGAGCAAGCTTGTGCTCATAGTCGCGATAGTTGACGTTGGATGACAGGTTGAGTCTAAGACTAGAGGTTGGTGGATGCCACATAAGAGGACTGCCAGGTTGCTTTGCAGCGGCGGGAACGACACTCTTGAACTTGGACGACGACACAGGTGTGCATGCGGCCCATCTAGTCTGTACTAGCACTTTGTCGAGAGGTGCGTGGATCCAGTTGTACGATGTCAGCGCTTCGAATCCAGTAATTTCTGATCTGTGTTCGCCGCCATCATGGTCGCCGTAGCCCTCTTGAGCATTGATTAGCTTGAGGAAATCCTTCTGTGGTCTCATCTTGTTGGTGTGCGTTGCTTTGCTTCGCAGATGCTGTACGTTGTTGTGTTGTGATGAAATGGAAGACAAGCGAGTGAGGGTCGCTTATCAGAGTTACCACGACGACATCCTTGGTCGATGCCGAGCGGTTGTTGTTTACTTTCACGCATTACCTCTTCACTTTGGTCGACAAAATTTATCAACTTACGCTCGAGCATACATGTTTCGGATCTATCATGCTCTTTCTCTGAATAAGACTCATGGCAGTACCATTTTGCTTGCCGTATTGCTAGGGCACGCATCACTACCACCTCTTCCTGAGCTGCGGTAAGGTAGACCTTGATTCTAGGATCAGATAATAGGCCACATCTCCAAGAGAGTGGCTGCTTCAAGGAGAGCTTTGGCGAGGTTGGAAGCCATAATCTGTGCCTGCCGTTCCCATCCACCAACGCAGGTACCTTAGAGTTGCACACGACCCAACATTGCTTCGGTACAAGAACTATAACTTCGAGGCGTGGCTTCCTGGAGCAGCCGCATCCGTATTGTCAGTAAGCCGTACTGGCGAAGAGAAGTTATCATGGATTGTGTCGAATGGCTGAGACTTTCCAACGTCCTGGTGAATGCAAGAAGAAATAGCCAGCATAGCAAACCGTCCTCGAGCGCCATATGGTACAGAGCTCCATACTCCTGAGCGCTGCAGAGGGGCAAAACTAATTTACCACCAGGATACAGAAAGCTAGAAGAAGAAAAAGAGAAAGCCACAGAGACAAAACGATGTCGCAGCCGTGAATCGAACACGGGGCTCGTGCATGGCAAGCACGAATTTTACCACTAAACCACTGCGACAGATGATTGGATAGAAATTTCACTAGGGATACATATAACATATAATACAGTTATGACGACACCGATCTGGTCGAAGTTCTGAGCCCAGCCAATGCCCAGCCATCGGGCTCAGTTCTAATTTCTCGGCATCTCTAAGCCGTGCCTTTGCGGCTGAACGCAACGCCAGGTGTTTCATCTTCAGACAGTGGAACAAAATTCAAAATGCGAGCACCTTATGAGACGACAAATAATGCCATACTGATTCGAGCCAGGCGTTTGTCGTAAACCCTTCTGCTTTACTTGGATAGAGTCGCTCGCGCAGACAGCGTCTTCTTGTTGTCTGTCTGACCAGAGTAAGCCTCCTGCAGCACACATGAGCAGCTACATGCGACAATGTCACGAATTCATCCTTCAAGTCTCCAGAAATGGCATGAGTCGTCAGTTTAATGCTCAAAACGTCACGGTGAGATTGGCGCAGAACGGCATCCTGCAGCTCGGGACCCTGCAATGTCTGCAGAATAAAAGTGGCGGAGTCCCGAAACTACTGCGTCTTCGTAGGAAGACGTGCTTATTAGACATTATGGGGTAGGTGTTCAAAGGGATGAAATAACCCTTGGAAACTTTCTCGGTTTCTCACTTCTTTCGTTCTTCCCTTCGTACATTCGTTTTATCATGGCGGAGGGATCTACATTCCACGAGAAGGACGTGCCGGAAGAGTCGCACCTCCTTGAAGACTTCGAAGATGAACCCAAGACACAATCAGTCGAGGTTGAGTCGAGCAATCCATCACCAACATTTCACATTAATCTCTCGGGCTTCCAGCGACCAGAATGGTCGGACGTGTTGTCTTCGTGCAAGCGCTTTCTCTTCTTCCTGCTTCCGACTTTCATACAACATAGACTTCATCCAGAACTGACTAAGCCCGAACGCCTTCACCCTTCCGGTTACCTCGATGGTATGCGTGGACTGGCCGCTCTCTTCGTCTTCTTCTACCACTTCTCCTACTCGAGCCACGATGTCCTCACCGCATACGGTGGCACCGACAAGCCGGATGAGCACCGCGAATTCCTCAAGCTCCCATTTGTTCGATTCATATACACTGGGCCCGCCATGGTCTCCATCTTCTACGTCGTCTCTGGTTACGCCCTTTCGTACAAGCCTGTGAAGCTCATGAGAAACAAGAGTTGGAAGGACTTGTTACACACTCTCTCTTCGGCAACTTTCCGCAGAGCTATTCGTCTTTATCTGCCTTGCTTTGTTTCGACCTTAATGATCATTCTGTTAGTACGGTTAGGAGCGTACGACGCAACTCGTGGTATTGCATATGATGAAAAGCGCCTTAACCAGGTTCGCGAATTTCATCTGCCACGCTACGAGTCGTTGTGGCACCAAATGACGGACTGGGCCAAAATGATGTGGATTTTTGTACACCCTTGGAGCTTTGGAACAAAGGACACGGACATTGATATAGATAAGCATCTGTGGACCATCCCGTAAGTCCGCCATACTCCTGAATACATCGAGAGCACTGCTGACTGTACCGCGCTTTAGCNNATGGAATTCCGTTCCTCGCTCGTTCTGTACTTGACTCAACTTGGCCTCGCGCGTCTGAGGCCCGTTGTGAGAATTGTCTCTTTGGTCGCGCTCATCATCTGGTGTCATGAGGNNAAGGATCGCTGGGAAATGATCCTCTTTTATTCTGGCTTCCTCCTTGCCGAACTCGATTTTCGCCGACAAGCGCTGGCCGCTGCAAACTCTGTTCTCCCTGTAATGAGCTCCCCTCTTCCAAATTCGCAACGCCAGCGGTTGTGGACAGCATTGTATATCTTCGTTTTTCTGGTTGGCATATATCTTGGAGGGCAACCACAAATCCATGTTGAACATGCCCCTGGCTGGGCCACGCTCTACTCGTGGATTCCTTCATACGCTGAGCATAAGCAGCGGTACTGGGTTGGTTGGGCAGCTGTACTGCTGGTTTGGTCGACATCCAACTCGGCTCTGCTTCAACGCCTTTTCACCAATGGCCCTGTTCAGTATCTTGGAAAGATATCTTTCTCGCTCTATCTTATGCACGGACCCGTCACACATACCATTGGTTATGCTTCGATGGATTTCTTCTGGCGAACTATTGGAGAAGACACATATATGACAAAGGAGATTGGGTTTGTTCTAGCTGCAATCATCAACATCTCGAGTACGATTTGGGTGGCAGATATATTCATGCGCGTGGTCGACACACCGACGGTGCGATTCGCCAAGTGGGTCGAGGAAAAGTGCATTGTTCCTTTAGAATAGAAAGGCCTTGCAGAGCCATCTTTGTGTTTATATTTTGAGATATTTCTTATGGTTCATATCATGTTTCACTCCCAAGATTACCGTGCAACTCCCAGCTTGGCGGAGGCGAATATATGCTAACTACCGAATGCCTCTGAGAAAAGGGCAGTAACGTTCACCCAAGCAGCAACTGTGAGTGAGCGATTTCGCATATGCTAATGAATCACATGCTGATGGAAGGTTTACGACTGCTCACCGACACAACAAAAAAGGAGACCTCGAGCCAATGAGATAAGAGCGCGTCACAGGCCCATCAAGGTGTCTTGGCATCATCGAGTGAGAAAACGGTGCGCTCGGCCCGCGCTTTCGAGTCGCGGCCTCAACAGAGCCTTCTGGGCGACATCTGTTCATTCATTGACGAAGCCCTATATTATTCATTGTCCCGTAGACAATCTATATCCATTTCAGACGTTCGTCCGAAACATTGGTATCGTTCGCTTTGGGTAGGCAACAAGGAAACAAAGCAGATTCTTTGCGACGCGACGTCCTTTCAAATCCAGAAACAGCCGAAATCCTTGTTCAACTGGGACTGAACGATTCGTGCCTCGTTAGCTTCACAACGGCATTTTTCGAGATATCGTAAGATGGGTCTCTCGAACGATGAACGCGGATGGGTCATGGCAAGCGTCAGTGGTGCTGGTGAGTTGTCAATCGTATCTGCTTGCCACTTGGACAACTGTTGACCGTGACGGNCAGCATGCATCATTGGAGCTTCAATCATCTGCGTCGACATAATCGTCAGAAAATTTCCCAGCAAACGCAATTTCAGGATACAGGACAGTGATACATTCTTATCATCGTCGCTCAGTTTGAGTTTTGGCGTCATGGTAACAATATCAATAATACCTTTGACAAGCACTAAGACTGACATCACCAGCNTTTTTTCTGCGCTCTTTAGCATGATGCCCTCAGCCAAGAGCTCCCTGCAANAGGGTGGAATGTCACCAAAAGCAGCTGCTTGGACATTGATAGGCTGTTTTCTAGCAGGCGCCCTGGGTATACAAGTCATCAGCCGACTTGCTCATCTATTTATGCCATCGCATGTGGTGGATTGCGAACACTCGCACGATGAAGAGAATGCTGTCAAAGAGCCATCGGAAGAGGATGGACAAGTGCGTCATGAGCAGGCTCATCCTCCTTCTCACGACCGCTCTCATGGTGGATCTAACACTACCATCAAGCAACATGGTGAACATGTTCACATTCAACGACCTAAGATTGCACCACGCAAATCAACTTCTGCTGCCGTTGATCACAATGGTGCTGCAACACTTCCTCCTGGCAAGAGTCTCTCGAGGCGACCTTCGTTACAAGCACGTTTGAGTCAGACACTTTCTTCAATCGCTTCCAGATCTAAGTCATCTTGCGATTGTGACGGTCCCTGCTATGGCTTCAGCGAACCATGCGGTGCGGACTGCTTTAAGAACATGCAGACAAGACAGGCTAGTACCCGATCCATCATCCGTCAGCAGCTCCTGCGTGGCGAGTCGAACGCTTCAGAGCAAACTCCTCTGCTGCATGGTATCAGAGAGGAGGTCACACCCCGTCCTGCGCAGCAGAACCGCATGGCATCAGATACGGCGCTTCAAACCAAGAGATCAAATGGGATGCTTAACTTGAGCGCTGATGCTGTGATTGAGGAAGAGGATTCGCAATCGCTTCACCACACTAAGTCTCATGCCTCACTCGCCAGCAACCACGAACACGGTGGTGAACAGCAGCAGCACCATCATCATCATGTCCCTACTAACGTCTTCGCATCCATCGGTCTTCAAACGTCCATCGCAATCGCCCTTCACAAATTGCCCGAAGGTTTCATCACCTTCGCCACTAACCACGCGAACCCCAAACTGGGCTTTTCCGTATTCCTGGCTTTGTTCATCCATAACATCACCGATGGCTTCGTCCTTGCTCTACCTCTCTACCTCGCCATCAACAACCGTGCCAAAGCAATGTTTTGGGCCTCTCTTCTCGGTGGTGCTTCTCAACCCTTGGGTGCTGGTGTTGCTGCTCTCATCTTCAAGATTGCCGGCTCTAAAAACGTCGCCATTAGCGAGAATTTCTACGGTGCCATGTTCGCCGTAACGGCTGGTATTATGACTTCTGTGGCATTGCAGCTCTTTGGCGAGAGTCTCGAACTCACACACAACCGAGGCCTTTGTATGATTTTTGCCTTTGTTGGTATGGGCATCTTGGGTTGCAGTTCCGCGTTGACTGCTTAATGGGCTTGGACGAAAGCGTTTGGACATACATGCTGCAAGGAAAGGGTTAACGAAAAAAGCGTAAAGGCACGAAAGAAGTCTTTCATTAATATGTTCAGGATTGTCTGCTGCTCGTCATTCTCAACACGTAGTAGTTTGAATTCCACAAATATAGTGAATTGAGTTGTTCCTACAATCAACATGCACTTGTGCCTTCCCTCTGCGTTCCGATCCGCCGGATCGTTCCTTCCTGTGTGTTCGGGCTTGACTACTAGCCTCAGTTGATCGCTCCTTCCTACGTTTGTCAGAACGCTCCTGCCTACAAACACTTCTGGCTCGTTTCCTTCCTCGTATCCTGTATGTATGCTCTTGCTCACTTTCTTCTTCTCTACTTTTCCACGTATGTCTTGTACATGTTCGTGTACTCAAAGAAACTAGCCTTATAATGCCTCTCGAGTAAAGGATCTGAGAAGTTGACATATTGCATGCCAAACCTGACACTCTTACCCTGGTTCCATTCCAAATTATCGACAAAGCTCCAAGCGAGTGCTGCAGTAATGTTGATACCCTCACTCAAAGAGATCAGTATAGCTTCCATGTAATCGTGGAAATACGAGGTGCGGATAGGATCCCAGAGAATGTCTTGAAGTAGTGTTTTGGAGGCTTCAAAAGGTTCTGCAAAGCCGAACTCGGTGACTTGGATTGCGGGGGATGGCCATGTGGTGTTGATGTAGGACATGAAGGCTGGGAACCAGTCGGTTGCGCGGTGCAGCCAGGGAGAGTGGGGATCAGCTGCTGGACCAATGACCCAACTGCCTTGGGCTGGTCCATAGGTGTAGGTACTGTTAGCACAGGAAGGATATAGAGGGTTGCTGGCATTGGAAATGCAAGACTCGATGCCTTCACCCGGAGCCATGTAGAATTGCGCTGTGTAGGCATCATGAGCGAAGAAGTCTGCGGATCCGCGGATCAAGTCCTTNTGTTGAGATGTGAAAGGAGGAAGGAAAGATGAGACGTAGTCGTTGACACTCGAGGGCCAATCTCCGGTAAGATAGACTGGATCGGCGAACCACNNTGTTGCCTTCAGTCAACAAGAAAACATCATTGAGAGTCTGAGGAAACTTACGCCTTCGTTGAAGTCCCACGCTCTTTGTACTGCTTCTGCATCTTCAGAGCTGTTGGTCAGAGGTATTTTGTATCCACCGTTATGCTTGAAGGTGATAGAGCTGTCTGGTAGTATAGTCTTACCCAGACGATAGGCTTGTGCATGAGCGAGTAAGATGTTCCGACCACATACAAACTGCTGGTGCGTCTTTGGAATAGAGAAGTTCCGCCAGTAGCCGTCAGGCATCGGATACTGTTGTGTGCAAATCACTATGGGTTCGTTGATCGTATACCAATGCTTGACTCTGTCGCCGAAACGGCTGTATGCTACTCGAGCATATTCGGTAAAGTCTTCGACGACCTCTTCACCTAGCCAACCACCATACTTGTTCTGCAACAGAGCAGGCATGTCCCAGTGGTACAGTGTGGCCATGGGTGTGATATTAAACTGAATACACGTATCGATAACATCGTTGTAGTGAGCTATACCAAGTTCGTTGACTGGGCCAGTACCGAATGGAAAGAGACGCGTCCAGGCAATAGAAAAAGAGTATGCGTTGACACCAATAGCGGCAAGACGGGCGATGTCTNNTTATTATAAATCGAGATCAGCCTCATTGTCTTTCTAGTATCACACTAACTTACCCTGCTTGTACATGTAATAGTTGTTGTCCGTGATGTCCCCAGTGCTGTTGTCACTGACGAAATTCGGTACACGGTGCATGTTTACATCCCAAGTTGATGGTCCCTTACCATCAGCCTTCGCAGCACCTTCGATCTGGAAAGCAGCACCTGCAACACCAAGATAGAAGTCCTTGGGGAAGCTCCATGACTCGTTCTTTGTGACCAAAGGGACTTGACGACCCGGTGGGAATGCGTAGTTCCCTATATACGGTGGAGGGATCAGAGAGCTTGAAGGAACCGGAGTGGCTTCAACAGTGGTCGTAGTGTTAGCAACGTCGACCGGTCCGACAAAGAAGTCCCAGAGATCNTAAGACATATCAGCTCTTGAAGAAGTCTCATGATATGTTCACAGAGCAAGCATCAGGTTACCTTCGACAGACAATTGCAAGTTGGTCACGAAAGCACCGGGGTTGGCTACAGCGGTACCATTGATGGTCGTAGAGCTTGGTACAGCACTAGTCGAGGCATTGGAGTAGTTTTGTGCAAGAGCATAGTTGGCTGAAGCCACAGACAGCAGGGCGATAAAGACCCTCATATCGGAGTTCAATGGTTATGAGAAACTGTCGCATCAAGGATGGGAGGTAACAGCATGCTTAAGTATTTCTACCAAGACAGCAGATTCAAGTCTCCTTGCAGCCGCTGCATCGCCGAGCACATGAATGAGGAGTCAAAGCGGGGTCAATCCATGAGCATCCTCCCGATATACTGAAGGATGTAAAGCTTGTAGCTATAAAAATGCACAATACTACTGGAAATAGGACAGTGTCCAGTGAGAAACGTTGACTTATCCGCTCTCAATGGACACGCCTCTGCCTCCAGAACAATTTGTGCCTTTCTACAGTGAATACTTCAATATTCAGCATAGTCTGAGTACGATGGAAGTTACGGACTTTGGCATACGGTGGAGACGAATTGTGTTGTCAGCTCCTGCAGCTGATGAAGCCAAGCATCAGGCAGGTATGAAGCGAGCGAACAGGAAGTCGAGTTCTGTTGCTCATGATCCTAAGGCGGGGTAGTTTCGACCATGATAGTCCCAAGGCAAGGTTGCATTGAGCAGAGTGGACAAGATTGACAACGAATACGACCTACAGTAGGATGTCAGATCCTCCGGACATTGTGCACAAGATCGGTTGCAGTCTTGTCATCGAGTTTAGGCTGAAGGTAATGATGACATGACGTGTGTGCTGACCAATATGTCAAGACAATGAGAAAGAGATGTCGAGGATTGGCCTGACTGGTGAACAAAAACAGGACGTGTAAATATGAGAGAAGACCCAGAAATACAGTTCATGGAAGCAAACGAGCAAAAGAGAAATGATCACGCCAGGGGTCGAACCTGGAATCTCTTGATTCGTAGTCAAGCGCCTTGCCATTGGGCCACGCAACCAATTGTTGAAGACAAGTTGACTCTGAAAAATTATGAATGTGCTCCCTCCGGCCCCTTAGCATCTTAACGTAACCCAACCCAGGCTGCAAGCTGCCTCATCCTGAATCAGAGACCATCTGGTAAGGGTGGCCTGATGTTTGGAGTTTGAAGTCTGAGAGTTCAAGGCAGAGTAAGAGGCAGAGATGATTTGCGAAATTGGTATTGGTCCAAGAAGCAATCCCGGCTTCGACGTTGGAACACAGCTCCATGGATGACCGCATGCTCTAGGACCACGTGAATGATGATGTCGCTGTGTTCGAGATGGCGGCTCGCAAGTGGTGGGGATAACTAAAGCCGTGCAGATTGACTCGAGCCGCGGGCTCATCTTGCCAAGCCTCCGCCGGGTGGACCCCGCCCACTCGATGCATCGCCCCTGCCGTGATGTCAAGACGAGACAAGGCGCAGCTTGTGTGAAGGAATTTGGTAGGATCGAAGGCTTAGAAGGAAGAAACAACTTCGAAATCCTTCGCTATGCGCCTCAATGACCTAATTTGAATTTGGTGCGGCAACGGATAATACGGGGCTTAAGTCTTGGAAGTGGTTGGTTCTTTATTGGTTATAACAGTGTCATTGCGCCTCTGTGACCAACTTCTTGCTTGCCAACCTGCTATTCGCCTATCATTCCATTGGGCATCGACACAACTCATACACCTAGTTCATACATAAGCACGACCTTTACACTCAAGTCAGGGTCTTCGAAACTCTACAACCATCGTAACACAAACAACTCTTCGGCATGAAGTTCTCAACCGTCATCATCTCAGCGCTCGGCGTGGGCAGCGCAGTCAACGCAGCTGCTATCCCAGAAGAAGCAAGCTCGCTCATCGTTCGCTCGGATTACGACATCGCCACATCACCTGAAACAAGCAACACACTTGAGAAGCGCAAGGGAGGCGGCGGAGGTGGAAGAGGAGGTGGTGGCGGCAGCAGTTCTGGCGGTGGTCGCTCTGGTTCGTCCTCGTCAGGCTCGTCGGGCAGCTCTGGCTCTTCGGGCAGCTCTGGCAGTCGCGGCTCTGGAAGCTCTGGAAGTACATCAGGCGGTTCAGGCGTGAGACCCTCGTACGGCGCTGGAGGCAACTACTACGCCGGTGGTGCTACCACGCCATACAGATCCGGCGGCCTTTCTCCCGGCAGAATTACACCATTTGTCCTCGGTGGCGCTGCATTGGGTGTTGGAGCATTCGCTCTCTATGGCGCTGGCGCTTACGTCTACCCCTACGCTCACCCTTACTACTTCCACAACCGCACTGAGGCCGCGCAAAACCAGACTTATACCAACTCCACAAACTCCACACTTCCTGTTGACTGTGTTTGCGCACAGAACGCTGAGTGTTCATGCGACGAGCAACAGGACCCTTCTTACCTGGCTTCGATCGTCGGCAATGGTTCAGCTTCCGACATCAATTCGACTGTCGCTCGCGTCGCCAACGTCAATGGTACTGACACTCTTATCATCAACGGTACTGTTCCAGATGGCACAGGCTCGAGTTCTGGCACAAGCGCTGCAGCTGGCATGAGAGTGCCCGAATCCGCTGGCATGTGGTTGATCGCCACCGGTGTTGGTGCTTTCGTCTATGCCATGTAAGCTTGGTACATCAATTTTTATGAGATATGGCATGGGCTGGCGTTTTTGCTTCTTCCACCTTGATACCACCCTCGGATAGCACGATTGATATTTTTGTACGAATATGAAGATTTGATCAATGACTCTACACCATTCACTCCGCTCGCAATTGTGACACTGTATGCGCTGCATCGTTTACTTGCTCTATACGAGAATGATAGTTGAGCAGCTTGCTGCGAACCTACTCCGTAAAGAAGACGGCGAGCAACTGATCCTGAGAGGGACAAAGGAGCGAGACGTCCTCCAGAAGGCAAGCGACCTTCTTGTGTCGCTCTGCGCATTGGACTTCTGCGCGAGCTGCTGCTCACTCGACGACTGATCCCTCAAGCGTCAACGCAGTCCACCAGGCAGACGGTCACCCGCTGAAGAGGTACTCTGGTAGATAGCAGGCGGCAAGGTATGCTTAGGCATGCATCAACTATCCCAAGGTTTGTTGGACAACACCCACAATCACATTGAAATCCATCCCTCCACCTTACAAGTTGCGACACGTATCCTTTTGTTATGACTCAAAACATGCCCAGCACACACAACTTCGAAGCGGGCAAAGGACCCAGCACTTTAACACAGATTGCTTTGCAGACTCTTCTTCAACCACCAGCCATAAGCCAGATAATCAATGAAAGGGTCAACACCAAAGTGTTGATGGGATGAAATAAAAATTCCGCTCGCCGAGCCCCCGGAGGAGATCGGTGGAGGTACTTCTGCGCGCTGTGCAATGCACGAAGTTCCTCCAGACACCCGGCCTTCATGATCGCCAGCGTCCAAACAAGGTAAGTATGAAGAAAGGAAGAAGGAGCGTGAGGTACAGCCGGCTTTTATAGACAGAGATGAGGGGAGAATATGACTCAGCAGGGGAGAATGTCGGTGCACGAGGCAGGATATGGCTGGGTACGAGGAACGAAGGGTTGCCAAGCTGCAGCCAGGCTTCAGTGAGGGAGGCTGGTGAGCCTTGGTGACTTGTCCCTATGATTGGGTGAGCAAGACGTTGACTAGAAGACGAGATGTGAATCTTTGGTCATTCGAGCAGCTCAGGCCAGTGTGCTGACGACGATACCTGCTCAAGCAGACTCTGGAGAAACTCAGATGTGCTTTGCAGGCAGTAGCCCCGATGGAGCTTCCAGCGTGACAGATGCTCATCTGTGTATGACTTACCTTTACCAGGACTATCGCTAGCAAACCTGCCATGGTATCAGAACGAACCTGCAAGCCGCCACAGTCCACCGCTTGTTCAGCACGCTGTGCCCGCGATTCCAACGTCCATACGCTGTCGACTTAGCCTCGATGACCAGTGTTCGAACGCATACTTCAATGCTCACCCTAGACGCATAATCTCTATCCCTACGATGCCATACCCTTGTCCAACGATAGATCCTCAATCAATGCTATCTTCGTTCGTTCCTTCCTCGATGCGTAGCCTGGAGACGTCGCTCAGATCACTGGCGAATTACCGCAGTAAGAGCCAGATCGTGGTACACTGTTCCATTGCATGGGCAGGAACGAGACATGGTATATACGGTCGGTGTCTTCAGTGTACAAGCCTCCAGTCACATAGAACGATTAATGCGGTCGATCATACTGTGCTTGGGATGTGCAAGACGCGTAGGAGATGCATTGGAGTTGCACGTCCTTTCCGGATGCAGGAGACGAGATATCACAAGTTAAAACCCTTTATCATGTTGTTCGAATCTGCGTACCTGTCACGTCGATGTGCAGTCGAAGATGAACACTCTCAACGCATCCAAAGACTCGGTCATGGGGTCAGGGTGGTACCCTCAACTAGCATGCGCGAGCAACTTCTTGCGCTCATGCGTCGACCTCAGGTCCTTTGCACAATATGGGCTCGTAGGAGGGCTCCATGGCATACATGTTGTCTGTCGTATGAGTGATATATGTCCCGTAGTCGTATGTGACGAGATATATCCATATTCTTGTTTTTGAAATTTGAATCCTGATGCCTGGCATGAAACCCGCCTATAACCAGGGCGGCACCTAGGCAGGCAAGACTCACTGCAGTAATGAAAGAATTATCGGCCTCTTGTCAGATCCGATGTATTGAGGCATGAAATCATCGTCAGATCATGGGAAGACTCATATACAGGCATTGCTGGAAAGCTCGAAGGAAAGGGTGTTAATGACAGTTGTTGCTATCGTAGCCGTCTCTGTTGTAGACAAGTAGAAGCGTTGCGAACAGTCCCACGCTTGGACCTTCCTCAACTTCAGCAACATCTGCGAGGCTTGTCTTGAACGAGCAGCTCGAAATCGAGTGAGGCGTTTGCACAGCGCCTCCCGCTACTTTCTGCGTGTTGAGCCCCAATAGCTGCGCTGTCGTCTCGTATAGTCACGCGATATAGGTGGGCACATAAACCTCCCAGAATCGAGGACTTAAGCTGGAGGCGTTCGAATAAGAAGCGTGTCACCGCCCAGTATCCGCACTTCCAATACTACCAACAAGATCTAGAGATACTACATCACCAGCATGAGCTCTCTATCGAAAGACAGTAATATCCTGATTGTAGGAGGCGGTACGTGGGGTTGTTCTACAGCACTCCACCTTGCTCGTCGCGGATACAATAACGTGACAGTATTGGAAGCCCATCCCATCCCTTCGCCCATCTCAGCTGGCAACGATGTCAACAAAATCATGGAAGAGGGAGAACCTTCTGAGACCGATACTGAAGAGCAATACGTCTGGAACCGCATGCATCAAATCACGACAAAATACTGGAAAGAGGATGATGTGTTTAAGTCATTTTACCATCCCACTGGCATAATCTTCAGTGCTATTTCGGATGATGTTTATGAACATGTCAAGGGATATACGAGAGGAACGGAGAGCGAGTGGGTGTCCCTGAACTCGCCTGAAGATTTCAAGAAGACTATGCCAGAAGGTGTCTTGCAAGGCGATTTTCCAGGCTGGAAAGGGTTCCACAAGGATCATGGTGCCGGCTGGGTATTTGCTCGCGGTGCCATGGTCTCTGCCTACGAAGAAGCCTCAAGACTAGGCGTCAAATTCATCACTGGTGACTCAGCTGGAAAAGTGACATCACTCCTGTACTCGGACTCGAAGGATACCATCACTGGAGCACAAACAGCAGATGGTACCTCTCACCACGCCGACCAGACCATTCTATGCGCAGGAGCAAATGGTGACCTTCTTTTCGATTTCGAGCAACAGCTCCGACCTACAGCATGGACATTGGCTCACATACCTCTGTCCGTTGAGGAAGCAGCGATCTTCAAGAACTTACCTGTGCTATACAACCCTGAACGAGGCTTCTTCGTTGAGCCGGATGCCGAGAAGCGAGAGCTCAAGTTCTGCGATGAGCACCCGGGATACATCAATATGGTCACGACTGCTACTCCAGGTTACAGCGAAGGAACCATACACTCACAACCTTTCGCCCGCCATCAGATTCCAGTAGAAAGCGAGATCCGCATGCGCAAGTTCTTGCAAGAAGCCATGCCTCAAATTGCGGACCGCGACTTTAGTTTTGCAAGAATCTGCTGGGATGCGGATACTGTGGATCGCCAATTCTTGATCGATAGACCCAAAGGCAAAAGCGGGTTGGTGGTTGCAGCCGGAGGTTCCGGGATGGGTTTCATGATGATGCCCGTAGTAGGACAACTGATAGTGGACCGTATGGAAGGAGTGATGGAGGAGAGGTTGCAGAAGGGATTGAGATGGCGACCTGAGCAGGCTGTTGGCAGAGATTGGCAAGCCAGTGAGTATCTTTCGTGCTTGAGTGAAACCGAGGAGATCGCTGACCATGACTCTCCAGTTCAAGATAGACACGGTGGCGAAGGCAAGATCATGGACTTCCACGATGTCAAAGAATGGACGAGCGGCAAGGGTGACAGGATACCGAACACGGAATCGCCGAAGGACTCCAAGACGTGCAGTACTATGTGAGAAGCAATTCTCAATACAGAAACTCTTGCACCTCAAGCATAGCCTAATACAGCATATCCATCTCCGCGCATCTGCATCACCTGAATCGACTCATCTCATACGAATCATGTCCCGCATCCATGATCCAGATCTCCGTAAGATCCACGGTACAAGATCAGCTCTCGTTCTTCAGCCCTGATATGCCGGATCTTGCTAACCCGCACCATCTCAAATCTGCAAACCCCCCTTACTCGTTACAACAACCAAGCCCAAATACTGACCAAGCAGAAAATCCCCATGTCGCATCTATGCATCCGTTGCGTATCGCAATGTCTGATTACTATTCCACGACGGAAGACGAAGCCGAGTGACGTTGGTTTTCCTCGCTTTTAGACTTCCAGCCCAATGTTTCGAAACCGAGATGTGCAGCCTTTAAACTTTTTGTTTCTCGTGTCGGCACGAGGGGGGATTTGAATTTCAAGACCCGGGTGTTTAACGTTTATATTTATGCTTAGCCGATCTTCAGGGAGCGACAACAGAGTTGAAGCCTCAGAAAGGGCCGTTGGCCGTAGGCCAAGCGAAGCAAAGAAACACGAAAAGACATGACTTGTTAACTTTTGTCTGACAGAGAAAACAAAGTCAGATCAAAAAATTCTGTCTATACCGGTTGGGTGATGACGATGGAGTTGCGGATGTGAAGGACGATAGAGTTGGAGATCATGGTCAAAAGCGCAATTCGCGAGCGAGATCGTAAAAGGTTGTTGCATCAAAAAAATTCTTGGCAGATGCTTCACTTCGACTCATGGCAAGAGGCACCCCGGAATGGCGAATGTGATCTGGAATACTGCACCTGTCCAAAGACGATCGCATGGAGAAGAGTGTTGTACACGAGTAAGTAGAGAGATAATCTATACAGTATGCATGGGGGCCTTTATGCAGGGCGAGAATACCAAATGTCTCTCGCACACTCGTCGCTCGAATGAACAGATGATTATATATATGAGAATGAGAAAGGAAATGGGTATAATGGTGACTGTAGAATCAGAAGACAAATGAAAAGAAGAAATATATGTGCTCATATGAGACGGTCCCAGCCTCCTCCCAAAATTTTGTCATTATGCTTTTCATCCTTGCCTTTGGTACGTTCGTTCCGTTGATTTTACGGACTGGTTCCGGTGGTAGATGTGGTAGCAAAACTTGTCTCTTGCAAGACACTCCTCGTCATCTTGATGCCAGGGTAGTCTGAAAGGATGTGCTCCTCAGAGTCAGAGTCGCGTATGCTGGTCTCCTTGACAGTACCTCCCTTGACAACGACATCTCTATCCGAGGGACGCACGCCCTCAGGAAGCTCGTAACCAGCCTCGCAATTGACATAGTTGCGGCGGCCGGCCTTTGAGCGGGTTCCGTTCATCTTGGAGGAAGCGCCTGGTGCAGAGCTGCCGAGGTGGAAGACACGGCGGAACAATGGACGCAGAGTACTCAGACAGCCGACCACCATACCAATACCATTCTCAGCGTAGCCCCAAATGACAATGTCGCCAACACCATGAATGTAGTCTTGGGAGTTGTTCAAGTTGACGGTGTACTTGAGACGGATGCAAGCAGAAAGACTGGCCAGAACACCCAAGCTCAGAAGGAAGACGACCGAAACTTTTGAGTTGCGGTTCAGCTGGATTGACCACAGCAAAGGAATGGGNCCTAGCGGATCAAAATCAGTAACAAGGAACGATATGCACTAGTTCATGAAGACTTACAGCAAAGCACAGAACCAGTCAGTGAAGATGTTGACGGCAGTGTCAGCATAATAAATGTTGGTAAGAGTAGTAGCAGAGTTGCAATGTCCTCCGGGAGTGGTTGTGTCCCATGCCCACGAGATGGGGTTGCAATGGAAGATGATGACGAAGAGAGAGATGATGTTCATGATAATGAACATGGCAGAAGTGACCCAGAGCGAGATGACGAAACTTTTCTTGCTGCTAGCGATACGCATCTCCATCAATGAAATACTGAGCTTGATGGGCACAATCGCAATGCAGTAGAAGACTTCGAAGAAGAAGAACCACNNTAATTACGGTTAGCTCGCAAACAAGATACGGCAGGGATGATGGCGACTAACATGAAGACCGATAGAAACCTGTTTGTCGCCCAGCTCAGCTTCGTGTCCACCAATGCCATTGAAAGCACCACCAAGACATGCTATTGTCAGAGCAGTAAACGGCACGGCTGCGAACAGCATAGACCAGTCGTCAGCACCCCATGCTCGTGTGCTGAGTCTGATATAGATTCTTAACGCCAGTAACGGGTAAGCCAAAACGGACAGAACGATGACTGTCGCTGCTAGACGTGGCCCGGTATCCTGTGACATGTTGATGAATAACGCCCTGTCAGAAGCTGGTAGTGGCAATGGGACGACAGAGTCAAGGTGGAGTTCAGCAGAGCCGTCCTTCTGGTCTGGATATGAGACGCCTGTCGAGTTGAAACAGCGATGCGTCGGAGGGGAACAATATGTATGTAAAGGTGTTTCGCAGATGCGCAGCAAAGGAAGATGTGGAGATCAGGGGAGCTCGAAAACTTAAAGATGGTTAGACTCGAGGCACATCTCCGGTTCAGAAACCGTTGTGCCTTGCCGGTGGCCGAAGTTTGCCTAGACTCGTACTGTACAAATGATGCGCTTTTGTTTTTCGGACGAAGGATCAAGACGGTTGTGTCACTCCAGCTGGTGGCTTCGAAGACGTGATTCAAGGTAGACTAGGTACCAAAGTTCCTGACGCAGTATCAAACGTGACTCGTAAGCTGGATACAGGTGGCAATGGTTCCAAAACCTCAAGTATGAAAGTGAGAAGACTGTGGTAGCAACAGAGGGTAAAGAGGTGGAGTCATGAGCAAATTTGTCAGACCAAAGGGTTCATCGAGTTAATCAAGTTCATGAACCAGCCCGCGGGTTGTGGCCGGCTGCCGGATGAACGAAGACGAACCGGTGGTGATAGTGGTCAATCCCATTTTCTTTTCGGGGAGTGTGTTCCTGTTTCAGTTGCGGAAGTGGGCTGCGGACCAAAGCGTGATGAGTCTCGTTCACCCCTGCATCCCGACCTTTCCACAAGCGCATGGGCCTTTGCCTTAAGGGCAGACTGATTAAATCGATTGCACTGCTTGCCTTGATGAGAAATCAATGTCGCAACAGCCGGATACTGGACTATACCTCTGCCTTTCCCTCAATACTCTCAAGAATTGCGTCTTTACACTGTGACCATGGCAAACAGTCGAAGCTGTTTTTGTTTGTTCCATCTGGACAAACACCGATTTGAGGACATCATGTCGAGTCATGGGAAGACGTCCAGAATCGTGCTGCAAAAAGAATCCGCTACCTGGCTCACCACTTTAGCGCCCCACCGGTGCCGCCTTGACGTGTGGCACAGAAGACCCCGAGCCTGCGGCTTGTGGGCCTGTTCCCGCTCAGACGACGGGGTCAATCGAAAGCCAAGGCGTCCCGAACGAGGCGTAATTGGTGGTCTGTTACCAAAGCTGAGTCGTGACTCGTGAGCCTTCGACTTCTTCAGCCTTTTTCTTTGGATTGATTCTCTTTCTGACTGCGCGGAAGGTCGCTGCTGGCCAGTTCGCACTCCACATCAAAAATTCGCACCCAGCTGCGAACCAATTAGGGACTTTGCTCTAATAAACCAGCTAACAAATTCTCAACAGTATCGAGAACCGATTCTGTTCTGCTACGGAGCGACCGAACCATCAACCAGGTTATCAACACGTACTGTACATCTCTGGCTTGGCTCCTGGGCGAAGACATTGTGAATGATCACCTGAGAAGCTGTCGTCTTTCGGGAAGCTCAATGCACTCGATTCAATCAATCTTCATATTCGAGTAAGAATAGCCAATGAACGACACGTCTATAGATTGAAGTCATCAAGATCGCCTAAACATCCATTTCTATGCTCGAGCCTGACTCCGAATTTCCACTGTTGCGTAACTTGCGTTTGAGGATGACACCTGCCGTTCTCGTCCGCGGCCATGGATGTGGCTCAACCCAACAGTTGAACGCCCACATGTGGAGAGGTCAGGTTGAAACGTCGGTACGAAAGGTTGTGAACGAAGATCTCGTTCGAAAATCTTGCCAGGTCGGCTTTTGCTACCCAAACCATCGTATCAACGCGGGAGGTTACATTGACCTACGTCCGGCGACCCGTAGAGACCACTTCTTGGATGTCTAAAAAGACGGAGTCAACATTTCTAAGACATGCGGTGGCGCTCTCGAGAAGGCCGGTCTTTCGGGATTTGTATGAGCATCGACTGCGCACGAAGTGCGAGCAGTGCGACAAAGCCTCATGACCGGACTGTCAAGCGATAATAAGTATAGTGGATGGCGCTCTGTCGGTAGAACAATTGCTCAATCGCTTCATACGCACGTAGAGGGTGATAACCAGCAGACTGACGACTGTATAGTGACTAGGAGTAATCTCCTGGTTAGCGTCAAGATGATAAACAGGCCCTCGTTGGTGTGTGGATGAAGGTATATCAGGCGGCCTTCTATTGTAGGCAAGATCAGAAGCTTGGTGTGACATGAGTCGAGATAGTCTGATGACGGGGCTCGAAGAATACGGGCAGGTGATCAACAAGCAATCTAGCCATGCCGCAACCGAGCAAGGGCACAGAGACGGTCGAGGTCGGCAGGTGATTAGGGTTGTCAATTTGGAAGGCGGGTCCTTGCATATCGCTCGAGCGCAAACTAGCCCAGTGTGTTGGAGGACGAGTCAAGGCGGATGAGCAGTGAGGAAATAATTAGGATCTACAAAAGCATTGGCGCTGTTCTCTCTGTTGGACATCTGCAGGGCAAAATAGTAGCTCGGTTCATGGTGGAGTGCGGACGAGAAGAGAAGAGAGGCCTAAGAAGGGTACATATGCCGTAAGGCCGAGTGGATGATCGTCGTCTCTTAAAGTGTGTGCATATTGCTCCTTCCCTTTCCTGCCGGCAGTCGTAGTCTGCAGCACTATAGGTCTCCACATAAGTTCGAAGCGGCGTGCAAGCGAGATAACCATGTACTCGATATCAAACACAACAATAACGTTAAACGAAAGACTTTCGGCTCCAGATATTTCCTGTGCAGCTCATCGCTTGTCGACAAGATGATCATCGAGTCGGCTGTCCATCGATCAAGGGAACCTCAACATGTCTGGAAGGTCAGCCCGCTCCGGTCAGTCAGCTGAGTGCCTAGCATGTTGATCTCTGTGCTGCGGTCCTCGATTGTGTTTCAAGGACATGGCTCGTAGATTCGTAGAGTGGAAGTGGCACTCTGTCAGGTACTCGTAGGGAGCTTGGACCCTGTTTGGCGGGGTCGAAAAGAAAGCTGCACAAGACTTTGGCAGGAGGAGGGGTAATTGCCCTTTCCACGCTGATTTACCTGGTTGTTGGAAGACGCATATCTCGCAGCAGGAGGGCACGCTCTTGGAGCAATGTGAGTCTGGCTCCACAGCACGCGACCTCAGCTCGAACGATGTTATGCACAACAATGCCACCCCTGGGCAGTGGCTGTGTTATGGTCTTGGCCTGCCTGAAACGCCTTGGCTCTCACTTGGCGATTTCTCCTAGCTGAACCCCTTCACCGACAGGACCTCTTGTCGTTGCTTTGACATACAGTAGAGATCGTCAAGCATGGCTATCTTTTCACCATCCAGCGGCAGCTTTGCTGTGACAGCCGTCTTCTTGCTGTTCCTGCTGCACGCCCGCCCAGCTCACGCTTTTGGCGCCGGCAACATCGCCTCTGTTTCTAACGTTGAAGGAGTCAACTTCCGCCATGGAGACATCGAAGACACCCTTCTCACCCTCGTCAGCTCCTACGCCTACGCCAAGGGCGCCAAGTTCAGCAAGATTGATGTCAAGCGTACCTACTTTGGAAACTGGCTTCGCGATTACAGTCAGGCCGTCGATGTGGGGACTACCAAACACGTCTCGGCTGAGGCCATACGCATCCTATTGTGGGTTCTCGGCTTTCTGACCTTTGGCTATGGTACTGGCGAGTTCGAAGTCACATCTGAGAGACTAGGCTGCTACCGTCCCGAGGAGCACATCGATAATCCAAAAGGCTATCCTGCATGTTCTATCACGTTCAACAGTTGATTTGAAGTCTTGCTAATCATACTTTTGCTTCAGGAAGACGCCCAACAGTACGACCGTAGACTACGTGGCCCCATTGATGAAGAGAGGGAATTGAGCATCGACGAGAGGACTGGCTTGAAGAACTATATTGCCTCGGAAGATTTGGGCATTACCACGTCTGCCCAGCTCGTACGCAACCTTTTCGGCCGCTGCATCGATCTCGGCAGATCCTACAACAGAACCAGAGACAAGAGAGAATTCTACGAAGCTCTTCGCCTCCTTGGGACCGCATGCCATTGTCTCGAGGACTACTCTGCCCACTCCAACTACACCGAACTCGCTCTCATCGAACTAGGCGAGCGCGACGTCTNNTTCCCTCATGTTGGGCGCAACACCCAAGTTCGTGTCCAGGGGGCCCGCCATCCAGTCTACCCCATCGTGACGGGTACCTTTGGTGGTGTCGACTTCCTGCATTCGGTCATGGGTGAGTTAGACGACAAAGCTACTCAATCTGAGCTTCAAGAGCTGGAGGGCGTCATAGATAGCTCGCAGAACCAAAACACTAGTCTGCTCAAGAAGCTTCTCAAGGCCCTTCCTTCTGGCCTTCTCGGCGGCAAAGACCAGGCCGGCAAAGTTGACGAGTTGCAGAGCAATGCTGCCGCCGCTCAAATGTCAAACATGAAGCTTGAACCCCGAAGACCTGAGGAATGGACCAAGCAGCTCCAGGAAGTCCAGCACCAGATCTACCCCATCCTTCAGTTCCACGACGAGCTCATGATGGGCATCAATGAGACCATTGAGAAGATCCCCATCTTGCCCGATCTTCTTGAGCAGCTCACAGAGCAGCTCAACATCTTCGTTTTCTCTTTGCTTGCGCCTTTCGTCCTGCCTATCATCAGTCAGGTCAAGGAGGAGCTCGCAACCGGTTCTTCCGAGGTCATCCAAAGCAGTCGTGAACAGCAATTGATTGTCTTCCACGACGACAGCTCGTCCGACCCCACACACTCTATGCTCTCTAAGGATCACTTCTCCAACATTCTCAACGAGCCTGCTGGAAAGATTGGATGTGCTGTGCTCAAGTGGGTTGTTCCTCAAATTGTTCAATGTTGGGACAACGAGAATGTCAACATTGCCAGGACCCTCGATCGCATTATCAACGGTGTCTTCCACCACCCTGCCTTGCGTCAATTCGGCAACGATGGTGCTGCTGACGGACGTCACATCATGTTTGGCATTGTCGAGCAGTGGTGGCAGGAGAAGTCTGAGCATGAGCGTGATGACCTCCGTCGTAAGCTCAGCAGACGCGGTGTTGAGACCGGTCAGAACCACAAGGAGGGTGTTCAGGACTCGGGACATGGTTGCTGCAAACCTCTCTTCCAGCAGAAGCAGCACAACAACGCGCCCGCTGCTGCAGCTCATGCAGCTGTCATGGAAGGCATCAGCGACTTCGTCAGTGGTGGTCAACATCACAACAGCTCTGGTAGCTACGGCCGTCCCAGCAGCCGTCCTACTAGTAGCTTCGAGCAGCAGGCTGGTAACTTCGTTGGAGAGGCTGTCGGTGGAGGCGCCCTTGGCTCTGTTCTTGGTGGCCTCGTTGGTAGCGTTGGTGGTAGCCTTTTGAGCGGCGCCTTTGAGTCTCAAGGCGAGACCCAGACCTACCAGCAATCAAGCCAAAACCAAGATGGATCATACACGCAGAGCTACATGCAGACTGGCGAGCGTCCCTCCTCTAGACCATATGGCCAGCAGCACACTGCACAGGCTGAGTACAAGACTACTCAATATCCTGGCGGCGGTCATAGAACAGAGTATAACAGATATGATCAGGAAGGTAACTCTGGGTATGGCTACCAGCAGAGCACTGAAGTTCGCCCCACTCAAGGCGGTGGCTACGAACAGCGTAGTGAACGCCGTCACGAACAACCCGGTGGCCGCTGGGAAAGTGAAGTACAGGAGCAAAGCATTGGTGCTGCTGGAGAGTACTACCAGACCGAAGAAAAGCACCACGGCAGAAGACATGACGACGATGACGATGATGAGCGCCGCTCGCATAGAAAGCATGGATCGAGCCACCGCAACGATTACGAGAGCGAGCAACAGTCTTCTAACAGCGGATTCCCTGGCGCCTCGTACCACGCTCAACATCAAGAGCGTCAAGATGAACGTCCCAGCTATGGCCAGGAGCGTCCCAATTACGGCAATGATGACTTTGGTGGTCGCAATGAGAGACCTCAACACCATGGTCGTCACGAGGAATATGGTAGACAAGAATACGATGGCGGACGCCAAGAATATGGCAGTGGAAGACAAGAGTATGGGCACGAGGACTACAACAGCTATGGTCGTCAAGAACAGAGCTATGGTCGTCGTGATGACGATGAAATGCCCGGCGGCTTCCCCTAGCGATGACGGCCGAGAACGTAGACACCATGGCGGCCGCCACGAAGGCGGAAATGGCTACGACGGCGGCTACGAGGGTCGTAGATGGTAAGCCGGATCAGCTTCATCGAAACATGCTAGTTGCACAAACCATTGGAAGACTGCATTGCTTGGTCAGCACTGGGAACAGAGTAGCATTATGAAGAAATGAGAACAAACTCAATACCTCAATTTGGCATTTTGCGCAGTAAACATGATTATCGACACGATGGGCTGATTTTGCAGTGGCCTGTCAAAGAGCTGATTTTGTCCTCGTGGCCCTCGGCAAGTCGCGCACACACCTGCCAGTCTTGTCGCCGCTCACTTCTCGACTTCTCCTTCTACTAACGCAAGATTCTCAAAGAAGAAATCTGGGAGATACCGCTTAACCCAAGCGATGAGATTCGTCAAGCAAAAGTCTGCTTGGTTGCCTCTCGATTCGATTCTGGTCGCCTCAGTCGCGTTGTTAATCTGCTGACGAGTTGTTGTCATCCCCGAATTGCAAGCGCATTAAAGGCATACATTCCGAATGCACTTACTACAAAAGGCCTGCTTCTTTGTTCACTCGAGTATCAAGGCGTCGATATGGCCTATTTTACACAAGACATTAGACTGTTATGGCTTTCAAGAGGCAATTCGTTGATCTTGACTCATCTTCGGTGCAGCAGAATCTATCGCACGCTATGGCATGTGGTGTGCGTGCATTATAGCAGTCTCTTCAGACCTCGCAGGCCTCTGACTCTTCCTATGTGCAAAATTTTATGACTGTTAACAGTGCTATAAAAGGCAATATCTCTCGACATTCTGTATCACCTCAACCACACAAAATCTCTCAACAACTTCCGCATAATCTGCTCCGTCCAGAATGTCTCATCATACGCAAAGAACAGGAGAGTTGAGACGAGGGACAGAAGAACTAGATGGAACTCTGAGCCGAGATATCTCCATCTCATATGGCCGATCAATTCGAAGAAGACCTGAATCTATTCGCTATTCAATGAGAGGACCACCTCCTAGCATAGAAGCATTAGCAGTCGCCATCTCTTCGACAACTCTTAGGCGTCTTCGTGAGGCTGCTCAAGATTATGGCCATCTCAATCCCTTCTATCGAGAGGCCGATGAAGCTTTCGCCGATGAGATGAATATGGCTTACGGTGTATCAGGAGCTCCGATACCTCTGTTGATCCCTCTTGACAATGGCTTTCACATACCATTCTATGCTGTCCTCCTCAATCGTGGCTTTAGAAGTGCGACCTGTTGGGATTCCTACCACAGAGGACTTACAGCCATCATGCAAAGGGTCGCTGGAGAAATGGGTGTGTTCACCACGCTGCCTGTCATGTACCTGAGAGAAATGCTCTACGATGATGTGGTATTTCAGGATGTAGAACAGTACATGAGAGNNAGGGAAAGGGATATGGTTTCTGCTTCTACTGTGGAAGAATACTGGCCTCAGGAATCTTCGTCGACTTTCATGCTCTGCACTTGAGTCAGGACTATCTCAGCACACGCTGTTCCACTGAGAAGCAGCAAGTTGTCGGCTCTCTGTGGACACGCCTCTACCTCGAACACGATTGTGCCTTTTTATAGTCTGCTTCCTTGCTCTCAGCTGTAGTCGGAGTACAGTGGAAGTTACATCCTCCAGCACACGGGGAGGTCGATGTCTGAACCTGTCAGTTTTCGAATCAACCAACAAATCAAGCTTAACTTTTTTTACCTTGTTATGTCCCTCTTCCGAACCAACAAGTCCGAATAACACAGTTAAGATCGTCATGGAAAAGTAGGAAAAGTCTTGTTAATGACAGCTGCCAGGGGACGGGCCGAATTGACAGTCTCGCACGGATCAAAAGTGATCACGAAATCTTGGTTAACCTTGCAAAAGTGACAAACCCATCGTCTGCTCTCTAATCCAATGCATAGAAATCAAGGTAAGGCAGGTACGATTCTCTTGCTCTTGCTCGATGCGTCCATAGAAATCATTGTAAACAAGGGCTCCTGCCTAAATCTCAGTAGAAGTATAAGTTAGGTTCCTGCTGTCTAAAATCACATTTCCATCCCGTTCCATTCTATCTCCCGTCAGTGTTTCACGATGTTGGGACTTGCTACCCTCGCCCTTGCGACCACCGCACTCGCTGTGCCTAACACCCTTCCCAAATCGACACCCCGCCACGACTATATCATTATTGGTGGTGGATCTAGTGGTCTTGTCATTGCCAACCGATTGAGCGAAGACCCTACAATCTCGGTAGCCGTCATTGAAGCCGGTGATCAAGTCTTCAATAACACAAATGTCACCAGTGCCTCTGGGTATGGCAAGGCGTTCGGCACACAGATTGACTGGGCATATGAGAGCGAGGCTCAGGTCTACGCTGGCAACAAGACTCAGATCCTGAGAGCTGGTAAAGCTCTTGGAGGCACTAGTACGATCAACGGTAAGTAAAGAACCAATCTTGTGCTCAGATGCAATCATTCTCAAAACAACCCATCTTCAGATCAACATTGACTGACATATTCCAAAACAGGAATGACATACATGCGTGCCGAGAGCAGTCAGATTGATAGCTGGAAANAGGTTGGCAACAACATCACCTGGTCCTCTCTGCTGCCATACTACAAGAAGAGCGAGTACTTTGNNGAGTACCCTACCGAGGCTCAGGTCTCTATGGGCGCATCTTACCTGTCCGAGTTCCATGGCACCGAAGGTCTTCTCTCTGTGAGCTGGCCCACCGAGATGGTCGGTCACAACTTCTCATCTACTTTGAATGCCACATTCAAGGCCATGAATCTGCCTTGGAACGGAGAAGCAAACAGCGGATCTATGCGTGGATACAATGTCTTCCCCAAGACCTTCGACCGGGAGCTGGATCTTCGTGAGGATGCTGCTCGTGCATACTACTACCCTTTCGCCAACAGACCCAATCTCGATGTCTACCTTAACTCGTTTGCTCAACGTTTGACATGGTCGAACGACAACTCCTCGGTCGCGTTCGCTAATGGTGTCGTCTTTACCGACAAGTCAGGTAACGAGCAGAGTCTCTTGGCTACCAAGGAAGTTATTCTGTCTGCCGGAGCTTTGAGATCACCTCTTCTTCTTGAGCTGTCTGGCGTTGGCAACCCTAGGTAAGCTAATATAGTGTCTGTGCGAACAACATGTGCTAACGAATTATAATNNAGTGTTCTTGAGAACCTCGGCATCGGGGTTAAGGTCAACTCTCCTTTTGTTGGTGAGAACCTCCAGGATCAGACCACTGTCGACACTGACTACACTGCCAACGCAAACTTCACTGGCGCCGGTGGCTTCATCGGATACTTCAACGCAATGGATGTCTGGGGAAATGGCACTGCAGCATTCAGTAAGACCGTCAAGGCATCTCTTGAGAGATACGCAAATATGACAGTGCAGGCCACTGGCGGCATCATTGACCGCGAGACACTGCTGAAGCTGTTCAAGATCCAACACGAGCTTATCTTCGAGGACGAGGTTATCATCTCGGAGGTCATTGTGAACGCACCTTCAGCTAGCAGTGGCCTTCTCGAGTACTGGGGCCTCATGCCCTTCTCTCGTGGCAACATCCACATCAAATCTGCGAATGCCTCTGCTCCTGCCGCCATCAACCCCAACTATTTCTTGCTCGATTATGACATCAAGCAGCAGATTGGTACCGCTCGAATTTCAAGAAAGGTTGCTACCACTGCTCCTCTTAGCAACATACTCACTTCCGAGACCACTCCTGGCTTTGATGTAGTCCCTGTGAACGCTACTGATGCTGTTTGGGGTGACTGGCTCAAGTCAGTCTACCGCTCCAACTACCACTACATATCCACTGCTGCCATGATGTCGAAGGAGCTAGGTGGAGTAGTCGGTGACGACCATCTCGTCTACGGCACTGCCAATGTTCGCGTGGTCGATGCTTCGGTGATTCCCTTCCAGGTTTCGGGCCATCTGGCCTCAACTCTGTATGCTCTTGCTGAGAGAGCTGCTGATATCATCAAGGCCAGCCATCGATAAGTTCGTTGGTTGTTTCGGTTGTTGCTCCTGCATGGTAGCAGGGTGTGCGGAATACTCGTTCGACGTTTTCTTTTCTGGTTAAAAGTCGGTTCAGCGTTTGTACCACATAGCTTGATACACAATTGGTAGTCTTATAACGTAGATACACATTCTCGAAGAATGCTCTTTCACCACCTGCTCGCCTGTGATACACACACTCGGTGGTTGTCAGTGTTTTGTGATTCAGATGAAGCCACTCAAATGGTTCTCTGATGGAAATTGATGAATATGAATTGATAGGCTGTTGGAGCTTTCTCACCATACAGTTCACCTCATCGAAAGATGCGATAGCACAACCAAAACATAGAACGATTTGCCCGGCGATCTCTCCATCAACCAATACCAGCTCAGCTGGCTTATCTTCATTGGTCTAGTGGTCATGATTTCCGCTTGTCAAGAGTAAAATCTCGTCAAGCGCGGGAGACCAGGGTTCGATTCCCTGATGGAGAGCAAAATCTTTTGTCTTTTGCCAGATACCAGATGAAAAATGATCGTCTAGGCTTGGAGCAGGCCATTGGTGTTTTGTTTCGAGCTTTGGATGGAACGGAGCGTTATAGGTTGTAAAGGCGTTTTTATGGTAATGTGGTCAGATTCAAGGCATAGACGGGAGAGCCTTTCAGGCCTTGACCTGAAAGCCTCTGATGGACTCTCAGCATTACATGTTGTTGAACTCATTGAGTGCTGTTGCCAACTAGATTAGCTGGAATGACACGTCTTGTATTGTAGGAAAGATGGAGGACTGCAGTCGAAGATGACAAGTACGAGTGCATGTGCAAGCAGATGTGTGATGACGTCTGCCCTTTGTGGGGAAGGAAGATGAACGACAAGCACTTGGCAAAGCCGAAACGAGATTATTGTTGAAGGTTCGTTCCAAGGAGACTCGACAAGCAACCACCCGACCAAGGCAAACAATGGCTGCCCCTGTGAAGAAGCGAGGCCCGACCGTGCTGGTTTGTTTGAGATATCTTGGATGAGCAACAACAGCGACTAACCATGTGTCGTCAGNNGTCACGGACGCGCGCGAACAACAGCCTCAGCGGCCCAGCACTCTGCCTCGGACTGGCACTACCAAACTCATATCCGTCGACAATGTCTTGCAATTCTCCTCCGATATTCCCTCTGCCCAAAGACGTGGTCCGCCAGGTGGTCTTAGACCAGCACAACATACACGCACCCCAAGTGGCCGACACCCTCTGGATCCGAAACTAGCAGGTCGCTCTCTTGCTGTTCCTGTCGGCGGCCCTCACATTCCAACCAGAAGCTCAAAGGTCAGCGAGAAGCTTGTCCTGCTGCCCGAAACAAGCGAAAAGANNCGCCATCAGAGGAGGACGAGGGATGAAGATGACGCCCCGCCGTCAGACGAACAAATCCGTCGCCGAAAGTCTCCCAGAAACGGCGACAAGAGTTATGCCGAGCGCCTCTCAAAAGCAAGCCGCGCAGACAAACTGGCCAGAGTGACGGCCTACTGTACTGCTCAGAGCTACCGACTACGTGCCACAGCAGATTTCGTCCGAGAACAACATGGTGCCCGTACGAAACTCTACGACGACTGTCTGTATGCTGTCTATCAGCTTCCTCTTCTTGGCGGTAGCGATGGCTATCGCATTCGCAGTAGTCCTGTCCTGAAGAACCCCGGTGGTAGAAGCATTTTGGACGAACAGATCGAGGCCAACGAGCGCCGCGACCATCGAGAAGGTTGGATGGAGGAGAGTGATGAATACACGGTCCATGGTAATGCCCGCGACCACGAAGAACCAGGCTTCCGCCGTCACAGCCATTCTAGCGATTTGTCAAGTGGAGGACATGGCACGATTGCCGATGCCCTGTCTGTTGCCGAACTCTACGTCTTCAGCTACGGTGTCGCTGTTTTCTGGAACTTCACCGCGCATCAGGAANAGGACATTCTGGCCGACCTGACATTCAGCAGCTCTTCAAATATCCCCACAAAACTCAGCAGTACTTCATCACCGACATTAACCAATACCTTGGGCCTGGTTTCACGGCCGCTCAGCGAAGCCGACTTTGAGACTGAAGACTTCCACTTCGAATACAATGATGAGATCGACAAGCCACGCATTTTCAACGACATGATCACATTACGCACCAGCGATCATATGATCAAGCTGGCTATGAGCCATGCCATCTCACAATCGACAAAACTCAGCTACTTCGAAGAACGCATGCAACGCACCATGTCGGAAGCACAATATGTTCCTCGTAAACTGGCCCTCGAAGGACAACTCGGTATGAGCCGCAGTCAAGTTGTCAGTCTGGTTGGCAAGCTCTTCCAAGGTCGTGTCGACGTCAATCTCAGCTCAAATATGCTCGACACACCAAACTTCTTCTGGGACAGCGAACCTACGTTACTGCCGCTCTACGCTGCCGTCCGCGAGTATCTCGAGATCAAGCCCCGCATTCAAGTTTTGAACGAACGCTGCAAGGTCTTCTTGGATCTCGCTGAAATCTTGTCTGATGCCATTGCCGATACCAAGATGACCAAAATTACTTGGATTGTCATTGTACTGATTGTCATATCCATTCTGGTCACTTGCTCAGAAGTTATTCTAAGATTTGCTATTTTGAGCAAGGGCGAGGGCAAAGCTGCGGCCATCCCGAGCCCGAGAGAGCTGTGAGCATTGTGCATTACGACAAGGCGTTGATTGGGTTAAGCGAGGAACTGAGGACTGGGCGTTAAGGTTGTACATAATGGTGTGTTATTCATGGCAGCGATGATAGCGTATTATGGGTTGGTTTGCGTGTCCGTATCAAGACTTAATACCACTTTTGTTCTCTTTCGCAGGCATACAGTGCCACTGTTGTGAGTTTGAGCCGGCTACAGCTGCAAAAGGCCAGAGGATCGAGAGAATACGACACGACATGAAAGGAAAGCACCAGTCGATTTACAACGATCTTCTCCTTCCGTCTACAAAAGACTGTCACAGTTTCTCGAGCCACTCCTCTCTTATGGCGGCGTATGGTGATGCTGGAAGCCTTTGAGATTTGTCTCTCTATGGACGCTGCCTTCTTCTGAAAAGCATTGTGTATATCTACAACAACAATGTTGAAGTGTCAAGCACACGGGGATGTGGGAAGGAGCGATGATTGCTCGCATACCCCATAACGGCACTTGAGAGCGTGAAGAATGTCAACTTTGGCAGTGACAACGCGATTGCACTTCACTTGTAGTGAAGGAGCGTCACAGTGGTCAAAAGGTCTGCAGATTGGCAGGTGCGATTGATCGTCACTTCCTCCTTCTGCACAGCAAGGGAACGACTTTCAGTTCCGCGACTACTCTTGCTACCTCCGCTTCGCACGAACACGAAACCACTTTGCACTCTGCATTCAATCATTACCTCATCGACACCATGTCTGCACCAGGAGACCCTCCGCTTGAGTTGCAGTATCGCCCAATCTTTCCTTCATTCCATGTGCTGGAGAATCACGACCGCACTTCCGACGTCTATCAATCATTTCCGTTTCTTCCTGGTTTCGAAAGCATCTCTTTTGAAGAGCAACGCCTCCACGACATGACTCCACCTCCTCCTATGGCTGTTGGCAAGGTCGGCAAGCTTTCTTCAAGCGCCCTCCGATCTCTCAAAGCTGCCTACAAGAGTCACCAACCGTCAAAGCATCATGACTTCGATCTTCTTGAGTAAGTGGCTGTTATCCTGCTTATCTTTCCACAGCTAATCGCGAACAAGCCGTTGCTTCCGATCGTCATGATTCGCGTCGGTAAAGGAGAAAATACCACACCCTTTGCCATTCACAAGAATATCCTTGAACATTGCAGTCCGTTCTTCAACGCCATGTGGAGACCTGGTCAGGGTTCCGACACTACGCACGAACTCAATGCACAGGAAGACTCGATCAAAGCAGAGACTGAGCCAGAAACAGAAGAGATACGTGACGCCAAGAGGGAGTCCGTCATCGAATGCAAGCTCGATGTAGACGTAGCAGCATTCAGAGTTTACACAGAATGGGTCTACTCAGGTCAAATCCAGTGGGGAGCCTTGAGTGTCAACGCAGAAGACATCGACTTCTCTTCTATTGGTGAAGCATACATTCTCGGTGAGAAGTTGTTGGACCGAAACTTCAAGAACGCTATCGTCAACTTGCTTCTCCGAACAATCGTCGCACAAGGCAAGATGGACCTTACTCTGCCGACACTAGTTTTCAAAGAGACTTCGGCTTCGGCACCTCTGAGAAAGCTCCTGGTCGATATCTGGGTCTGCTATGGACACAAGGACTGGCTAAAGCCAGATGAATATAGGCAGACTATTTCTGCTACCTTCCTTTCGGACTTGTCAACTGCCTTTCTCGATCTCCATGGTCATGACGAGATTCCTAAATCCAATCTATCGACCCTGGACACCTGCAAATACCATGAGCATCCAGATGGCAAGCCCTGTTCGGTCGGCAGACGCCACCCTCGAGAGATCGTTGAGCCGGAATGAGGACCATAGAGACTCTCTGCTAAGATGGGTGATAGGAGATATATTTACGTGATGGTGCACAGTGAAGCTTTGCTCAATAGAGACTGTCAGATTGTAGCTATACGTATGCACGATAGTATCCAAAATCGAACGATGTCCACAGAAAGACGTTATCTTCACGACTCTCAATGGACCCGACCCTCAGCTTGATATCAACTGTGGTGTGTTATAGCGTACAAAGCCACAACCTTGGTCTGGGAAGCATTCTATTCGATTCAATAAACTGTCCCTAAACCACACAGAGCAACTCGATCGATCAACCATCTTTGGATGTTCCATCATGCTCGAACATTAGGTACAGATGTCCCGCGCAGTCGCGTAAGAGACATTCTAGTGTGCTTGGATAGCCGCTGAAGCAATCGTCCAGCTCACAGCCTAGACTTTGTACAGCATCTTCAACTACAAGAACCCGATAATCGTGTCTGCTGCACGGTATGAGACAGGAAAATCATCGAACTTTTGTAGTAGGCTGACAGAGCAGACACAAAATCATGGCAAGGGAATGCACAAAGCACTGCCTCAGATGAGTGTGTCCGAAAAGAAAAAAAATGAGCGTGATTGAAGAAGAAAGCAAATAAAAAACAATGAGAGCAATGAGATTTTTGGTTGTTAGAATGAAAGTGTACATCTAGTCCTCCTCCCCATGGTCTGTACTGGCATAACTGGCTCCAGACAAGCTAGGCGTCTCCTCTTTGGGTGTCTGTGGGACTTTGTCCTTCTTCTTGCCCACACCAAACACACTGCTCCAGGACCTGACACTGCCCTTTCCTTTGTCGCTCTCCATGCTCTTGCTCATGCTGTCCTCGTCCTCAACATCCAAGAGTTGGGTTGACTCACGTTTGCCCTTCTCAGTAGTCGAACGAGAAAAGGTTGGGAATTGGAACTTGCCGCTGCTGTGCTTGCGAGTAAGTTTCGACATGAGCGAGGAGCTTTTGTTAGAAGTGACCGAGGTTGAAGGTGCAGAGTCAGAAGCTCCATAACTGATGCTTCGATCAAGGCTATCACGAGAGTCAGAAAGAATTGATGATGCTGTGTTGATCGAATGAGCATCTCTAGACTGGCGGCCAATTTCTGGTGAGGACTCGGGGTCCAGATTCAAGGGAAGAGGCTGATGAGGAGCCTTTGAAGGAGAGGTGAGTGGGGTTGCTCCGATTAGGTTAATCTTGTCGTCTTCCTCATCCTCAACATCTGAAGATGTCGAGCTGGGACGCGAGAAAAGGGACCGGAAGTCCTTGGCGGCTGGGTTGAGCTTGGGATCGGGGATGTTGCGCTTGAGCATATGAGCCGGCTTCGTGCCGATGGGAGCCAGACTAGCTGATGCCTGTGGTGGACTGAACGCATACAAGCTGTTGTTGTCATTGCCGTCATCAAGCATGTCGTAAGACAGGCTGCCACCAGATTGTCCGTGCTGGATTGAAGGACGTCTTGACGGTTGTCTAGAACCCCACATGTTATGTGTCACTGCCGGAGCAGCCATCCAATCCGAACTAAGTGGGCTGCTTCTTTGGTTGAACGGCTCGTTCGATGACCAAAGCCCNCATGAAGAACTATCTTGCGAAGGCCGAGGCAGCTCGTTGGAGTGAACAGAGATAGGGCGTGGTGACGATCTGCCATCATCCTTGCCCAAGTTGCTTAGAACGTTCGATCTCTCATTCAGAGCAGCCGCTCTGTCCTGACCCAGAATTGCGGCCCACCCGTCGGTCTTGGAACCGAACATGTTGAAGGGCCTTCTGCGTACCGCAATGTGTTTCTGGCTGGGCATGCTTTCAGCTCCCATGCTCTTAGTATGGCCAGTCGTTCTTCCCAGGTTGATGCCGAAGAAGTTGCCTGAATGACTGCTGTTTCTACGACGCCCTGGCCCTGTTGTCTCGTCCCCTTCATCATTGCGTGGCAACGACTGACTTTGCGACTTGCTCAGAGAGCCTAGAGCTGGACCTTGCTCAGACAACGTCTTACCGCGCTGACGGTTCAGCTTGTCGAGACCCAAGATCTGACCGAAACGACTACCACTAGTGTGAGGTGCACTACCGCTTGCTGCACGACCAGATGTGCTAGATCTGATGGAGCGGCGGTCACTGTCCAAGTTGACATCAGGAGAATTGAACATCAGATTGCTTGCACTAGCACGTGGGCTGGCAAANAGACTGGGTGATCTGCTGCTGGCAGAGTTTGGGCTTGTCGGACCTGGAGGTTGATCAAAAGCCCTCGAGGCACCGAGACCAGGCAGAGCACCTAAACCCGGAAGAACACCAAGACCAGGCAACATATGGTTTGAAGCTTGTCTCCCCTCGGACCCTGTATCATCGTCGTCCTTGGCATGAATATGAGCAGCTGGACCAAGGAAACGATCCGGTGGATCTTCGTCAGCATTACTGAGCAAGCCTGCAGGCAAGAGCTCAGCGCCTGCACTCGGGCTCATGGGGGCGCCTCCTGTCAGTTTGTCGACTTCTGCGGGAGAAAAGTCATTCATGGGACGATCCAAGGTCATGCCATTGTTTATGTTGAAGAAGGAAGATGCCGAAGTGGTGAAACTTGGAGAAATGGTGGTAGGGCCTGAGGTAGCCAGGGCACTGCTGAAGGCAGGAGCAGTGGAAGAAGCGAAAGGAGAAGCAGTCGAATTGTTTGCAGAAGGGCCGCTTGGGGGACGTCTTTGACGCAGACTGCTAGCACGCGAAATAGGTTGATCGAACATGGGCGGAACAGCCGAAGCCATTTGGTTAAGCTCGGACTGACGTTGTTTGACCATGGCCAGTTGACTGTAGGCAGTGTCGAAGAAGCGGCGTGCGGCATCCATGTTTTGGTGAGCAATCACATACTGTTCTTCCAGTCTTCTAAGCTTGTCGGCCCACGCGCGGTCTTCCTCAGCCTCTTGAGCAGCAAGAGCGTCATTGTGTTCGTTGGGCTCGGATCCACTAGGCGAGTTTGTCGTGTCCCTTTCGAGTTTCTTGATCTGACCACCCACTTCCTTGTTCTCGTCTTCCATGCTCTTGAGTGTCTGCAGCTCTTGTGCCTGCTTCTCCATCAGCTCGACCTTTTCGCGCTCCGTCTCTTCAAGTAACATCTTTTTCTGTTCTGCAATGCTGCCCATATCATCCTGCATCTGCGCCATCTCTTTCTGCCATCTCGCAGCATCGTCCTTGAGCTTCTGCCTCTCGTTCTGTTTCTGCTGGAGAGCTCTCTCCTGAGCATTCTTCTTGTTCTGAGCAGCTTGATTATTGCGTTCCAGAGTGTTGACCTGTTTGCGGAGATCCCTACTGGTGTCATCCTTCTCTTTCAGCTCGCCTCTCAACTCGTCACGCTCCTTGACCAGACTGGCTTTCGCCGCTATAGCTTCTTGTTCCTCATCTTGAATTTGCTTCTCGACCTCTGCCGTTTCACGACCAATCTCGTCCAGTTTCTCAGTCAGAGCCTGTTGGTTGTCTCCTGGGCCATCCTGGTCATTGGCTTCGTCGAAAGAAGAAAGCTGCGTGTCCAGGCCAGGCAAGGGTGTCGGACGTCTGCTGAAAAGACTTTTCTTGGCTTGAAGAGGACCATTGCTTGTTTCTCGGACGAGAGGAGGCGGTGTGGCGGGAACAGCAGAAACATCTGGCGGAAAGACGTGCAGCGGACGTATGACGGGACCAGAAGAGGAGGGCAGGGTACCGTTGGGCGTGTCGAAGAAGTCTTGGGAGTCGGGCGACTTTGTACAGAGGCGGATGGGGCTGCTGGCGGCGCGAAAATCAACAGCATTGACGGTGATGATGCGCACAATGTACAGCTGGTTGGGGCGCAGATTGGAGATGACAATGGATGTGTTGGAGTGTGAGACTTGACCGATTATAGAGCCGTTTAGTTGAATTTCATAGCGGTGCATGGATTTGCGCTCGTCTGCGGACTTCCAGTGCAGAACGAAGCCATCGGCTTTGATACCAGCGAGGTCGACATGAGGGTCCTGGGGGATCTCGCAACCGAGAAGGCTGACAAGTTCATCTAGAGGCTTATGAATAACGAGATAGGCACGGTATGTGAGNCCTGCAGAAGTCAGCACGTGCTTCTAGACAGACGATGATGACGGAAAGACGGAGGAAAGGACGTCAGGGTGAAGCGATTCAGGGAAAGAGAAATCTAACCAGACAAGAGCGGCACCGACACACAGAGTGTTGAAGGTGGTGCTGAAGAGCAGGTATGCCTTGTCCAGCAACATGAGCAGGCGCATGGCTGGGAAGGAGGAAAGATGGACCTGAGCCTGAGCCGAAGCCTGACTTGGACTCGCAAAAGCCGTGTCGCCCGCTGCCCGATCGAGGTGAAGAGAAAGTCCAAGGCCACTCGGTCGCGTCAAGACCAGCCCGCCCGCTTCCATGTATGTATATTGCTATCGGAACAATAGAGCGCTATGTATACTGTATAGGTAGCTGCATGTATCGCGAACACTCACAGGGAGATGGGTACATGAACCAAAGTGGAGCGCATGGGATTGGCTGCTCTTTGCCATGTGCTTGGCGGGGGAGAAGATCAATTTGACAGGCGGCGGGCCGCGCTTTCTTGTCCTGTCCAACTTGCGGCTTTCATACACCGCACACATGCATCCACCCTCATTCTAAGAGGTATTGTCACATGTCAGATAGTAGGCCATCACACGCAGTACGAGTATATCGCCGTTCGGGTCTGAGCACGGATACATGGCATGAAATTGATGCCTTGGTAGCCGTCGTACGAGTCCGAATGCTGTAGAAGTCGTTTCTGACTCCGCGTTTCCCGCATCAGCTGCTCTGCCTGCTCTCGCGCCCGACTTGCTGCTTTGTTCTTTATACTTCCATTTCTTACTCAAACATCCCGAACCACCTGCTCCACATGCTCATCGCCCCAGCTTGACAGTTGGTCCATCTGTCGGCGCCATGCAATACGTGCGCTCCTTGTCCGGCTCCGTGTCCAAGACGTGGAACTCGATCAACCCAGCCACCCTCAGCGGCGCAATCGACGTCATTGTCGTCGAGCAGGAAGACGGCTCTCTTGCTTGCTCGCCCTTCCACGTCCGTTTCGGCAAGTTCTCCCTGCTCAGACCCTCCGAGAAGAAGGTCGAGTTCAAGGTCAACGATGTGCGTCGTGACTTTCCCATGAAACTGGGAGAGNGGGGTGAGGCCTTCTTCGTCTTTGAGACTTCTTCCAGCGTGCCCGAAGCTCTACAGACTTCTCCCTTGGTCTCACCTGCCCAAAGTCCTGACTTCAAATCTGCTGAGTCAAGCGCTCTGGCTGAACCCGACTCTCTTGATCTAAACTCCCTATCGGCCACCCTACCAGTTACCCCCACCTACAATCGGAGAGAGCACGCCAAATCCGTTGCCGCAATCAATTTCAACCCTCTTCATCCTGGCGAAAGACGTGCACAGAGCGACAACGGACAAGCTACAGACGATCATGCCGACCAGTCCATCGCTAGCGAATATCCCAAGCCTCTCCCTGCTCAACTTCACCGCTCAGCCACCGACGATGCCGTTCCCGCTGCGAAAGCTGCCATAAACGCCTCGATCAACGCAAGCGACCCTATAACCCAACCCCTACAGTCCGAGTCTTCTCGCTCGAGAACGGAACGATCTACAAGCCCTCCGCCCGTCTCTGGCGAAGAAGCCGTCACAAGAGCTATCAATCTTTCTAAAAAGCTATGGAGTTCAAACATTCCTTCCCAAGTCACCGACAAAGGCGACATCATGCTGGACATGACGGGCTACAAGAGCAGTGAAGATGAAGGCTTGCGCGCAGAGGTTTTGGCCAGGAAGATTTTGTCCGAAGAACTCGAAGGAAACTACGACATTGGCTCGTTGATCGGCGCAGATGAGAAGGGCAACCTATGGATCTACAGTAGTGAAGAGGCAAAGGAACAAGCCAACAGAAAAGTCGCTCAGGGCCTGAACGTGCTGAACCCTGCTGGCTTCACCTCAACCGATGCTCTGTCAGATCCGGGTTACCACTCAGATGACTCTCGTAGCGAGACGAGTGCCACGTTCAACGGTACGCATATGCGACGGGACTCTGACAGTGCTGTGGGTCTCTCGTCTGATCCTGCATCTCCACAAGCTGTTGGCGATCCCAACCGCAACTACGCAAAGACACTTCGCCTGAGTAGCGACCAACTCAAATCTCTGGACCTGAAGCCAGGACCCAACACCATGAGCTTTAGCGTCAATCGTGCTACCTGCACTGCTGTCATCTACCGCTGGCGTTGGGATGTGCCTATCGTCATCTCAGATATTGACGGCACCATCACCAAATCCGACGCTCTGGGCCATGTCCTCAACATGATTGGTCGTGACTGGACTCATCTTGGTGTAGCCAAGCTGTTCACAGACATCTCAGCCAACGGCTATAACATATTATATCTCACCTCGAGAGGCGTAGGCCAAGCAGATACGACGAGGAATTATCTCGCGAATGTAGTCCAAGACGGAGGATTTAGACTACCAAGGGGTCCGACGATCATGAGTCCCGATCGGACAATTGCCGCTTTGAGGCGAGAAGTCTACCTTCGAAAGCCCGAAGTTTTCAAGATGGCTTGTCTGCGCGATATCATGGCTCTATTTACTGGATCGGGAGGCAGCAACAATGCAGACAGGGCAGGCCCTACAACCTCAGCCGAAAGCAATAATGGTATTGTGGGAAAGTCAAGCGGGAAGGGTGGTTCCCCGTTCTATGCAGGTTTTGGAAACCGTCTGACGGACGCGCTGTCGTATCGCTCCGTCAACATTCCTAGCACAAGGATCTTTACTATCAACTCGAACGCAGAAGTCTCGTTGGATCTGCTATCATTGAACACATACAAGACAGGTTATGTAAGTATGCGCGAGATCGTGGATCACTATTTCCCACCTGTGGGACTACTGGTCAAGGGTGGCGGTGAAGAGTTTACAGACTTCAACTACTGGCGCGAGAAACCCCTTGACCTTGCCGACTTCTCCGCTTCCGAGAGCGACGACGAGTCCAGTGATTCAGGATCAATACCTGGAGGTCTGCGAGGAAACAACAGATCTCGAGCCAACACGCGGCGGTTCAGCGAAGACGAGGGCGACATGGGTGACAGTTATATCTCGGAAGCTCGACGTAGTATCGAAGATGATGACGAGGATAACCCCGCCATGTACCACTCTGTTCTCGAATCTGTAGAAGGCGGAGATAGAGACGAAGAGGACTATGATGAGGAGTACGACGACGAAGAAAGCGACCAGGATGATGAGGAGTCGGACGAAAAGATCCTCCTCGTCGGTTAGTGTCTGCATCTAGAGCTTCGACTGCATAATTTGCATGGCGAACTTTGGCAACTACTTTTGGTTATCTCTACAGGCCTCTTTTCGAGCCATTGTACAACGGTATTATCTTATAATATATTAAGAGATAAAGAGCGTTAGACGGCAAGCGTGTGTGTGAAAGCGAAACATCCACCTTAAAATCTGTTCTAACTAGGGCGTGCTTTCTTTGGACGATCTTGTGGCAGGAAAGTCAGGGTCACCCTAATGTTGTGCTGGCGACCCTGGTCTTCAATATCAGAAGTGATCATCGTCCTCGATACTCGCTTGTTATCAACCATCATAAAGACAAATGTTTGCAAAGGCCACTTTGGTGTTTCGGAGATGTTTTTATGCGAATTGGATATCTATGTGACCGACATGCGACGATTACCACCAAACTTCTGTCCAGCAGTTTTNTCCTCTGCCAACCAGTCGAGAACCTGCTGGGCACTCTTGTCTGGAGGAAACACAGGATACCAAACTTTGATAATTTTCCCTTCAACCATCGCAAGAGTGATCCGCTTGGTGAGTTTCTTGCCTTCCCAGTCAATAGTTGGCAAACTCAGTGCTTCCACAAACTCCAACTTCTCATCACTGAGCAATTCGAAGGGTAGGTTCAATCTTGTCTTTACTTCTTGTTGGTAGGCTGTAGACTGGGTGCTCAGACCGAAGATTTTGTTTACGCCTGCAGTCATGAACTCTCTCTGCGTGTCTCTGAATGAACAAGCTTGGGGAGTGCAGCCACGGGCTCCTGGGATGGAGTTCCATGCATCTGGGATGGTTTCGCCGGGAGCACCGGTACGAGGGTAGCAGAAGATGATCACCAGGCCTGGCAAAGAGGAGATCTTGACAGTGGAGTCATTGGTAGCTGGTAGTGAAAGAGGCGGTACAGTCATGCCTGCTAGGTGATCGCAAGCTCCATCGTCGGTAGGGATGGGTATATCGGAAGGAAAGGTTGTGTCTAGGAGGATTGGTCAGTTGTTTAGTATCAATCCAGTGCCACAAAGATTACTCACGAGACATGATAGCTATACCTGTTATCCTTCTGTGCTACTATCCACAGTACCAGTGTATCGAGTGGGTGCTGTTGTTTCGACCTTGATGTTCTGAACCGAGGTCTAAGACCACCTTATGGTCATAGCTCCCAATTCGTCGACGGGTTGAGCCCTGTTTAGCGGGGCAGCAGCGTGATGACGAGCAGATCGCAGCGAAGCGTGCAAGATCGAGGAGAATGATGATGAAATGCAGCGAATCACCAATCACCATGGCAAGGATGACCGCTTCCGCTCGATTAACTGCTGTCTCAATATCTGCGCGTCCTCGTGTTTCCGCTGTGTTCCTCTCTTTCCCACCTTCATATCCAGCCTATGCTTTCATTACGACCTTTCTTGACGACCGCATCTGCTCAGTTTCGTCAAATTTCTCGACCTTCGTCTCTTAGAATCCCAGTTGTAAACCACACAGCTTCTTTTCCACCACATTACGCGCCATGGCTACCGAATACAAGCTCAAAGGGCTTACGAGCATTGACCTGAAGAACGGTCAGAAGCAGGAGGTCGAAGTCGACGGCATTGAAGGCGGAAAGATTCTGCTGGCCAAGGTCAAGGATGAGGTCCACGCCATGAGTGCCAACTGCACCCACTACGGTGCTCCTCTGGTCAAGGGTGTTCTCACTGGCGAGGGCAGAATCACCTGCCCGTGGCACGGAGGTAAGCCTAATTATCCACTCTTGCCTTGAGCTGCTTACTCTTTTACTGGTACTAACACAACTTGCANNGCTTGCTTCCNNAAGGTCTCTACTGGTGACGTCGAGGATGCTCCAGCACTCGACCCCTTGGCCAAGTTCGAGGTCTTCGAGCGCGACGGTGCTGTTTACATCAAGGGCGAGGAGAAGACTATCAAGGCCAACAGACGCCAGCTCAACATCAAGTGTCGTAGCGTAAAAGAGCAGGACCATGTTGTCGTTATCGGAAGTGGCAGTGGCGCTCTCGGTGCCATCGAAGGCCTTCGTGGTGGTGGTTACCAGGGAAAGATCACCGTCGTCTCTCGCGAGAACACACAACCCCTCGACCGTACCAAGCTCTCCAAGGCTCTCATCACAGACCAGTCCAAGATTGCATGGCGCTCGATGGAGTTCTACAAGGAGGCCTCGGTTGACTTCACCTGGGGCAACGTCACAAAGGTTGACTTCAACAACCGTTCTGTCGAGACCGATGACGGCAAGAAGCTCAACTACACAAAGCTCATCATGGCTTCCGGTGGCACCCCCAAGTGGCTTCCCATGGACGGCCTCAAGGGAGACCTCGAGAACGTCTTTGTTCTTCGCGCACTTCCCCACGCTCAGAGCATCATGAAGGCTGCAGGCGAGGATGGTGGCAAGAAAATTGTCGTTGTTGGTAGCTCCTTCATTGGTATGGAGGTTGGCAACTGCCTCGCCAGCATGAAGCACGATGTTACCATTGTCGGTATGGAGGAGGAGCCCATGATGACTGTCATGGGCAAGCAGCTCGGAAAGACCTTCAGAGGTCTGCTCGAGAAGAACGGCGTCAAGTTCAAGCTCAGCGCAGAAGTCGAGGGTGCTAAACCTTCCGAGTCTAACTCCAAGATGGTCGGTTCAGTACAGCTCAAGGATGGCACCAACCTGCCTGCAGACCTCGTTATCGAGGGTGTCGGTGTCAGACCTTCGACCGACTACCTTCAGGACGTCAAGGAGATCCAGTTGAACAAGGATGGCTCAGTCAATGTCAATGAGTCGTTCCAGGTCGAGGGTCTCAAGGACGTCTTTGCTATTGGCGACATCGCTACCTACCCCTACCACGGACCCGGAGGCAACGGCAAGCCTGTTCGCATTGAGCATTGGGACGTCGCTCAGAACGCTGGTCGTTCGGTTGCTGGCACGATCAACGACCCCTCAGCACCTCCCAAGTCTTTCATCCCCGTCTTCTGGTCTGCTCTCGGTGCTCAGCTCAGATACTGCGGTAACACACCCAATGGCTACGACGATGTCATCATTCAAGGCGAGACAGACGCACAGAAGGGACCCAGCTTTGTCGCTTACTTCCACAAGGGAGAAGAGATCGTTGCAGTCGCCAGCATGATGAAGGATCCCTACATGACACAAAGCGCCGAGTTGATGAGACGCAAGAAGATGCCCAGCAAGAGCGAGATCCAGAAGGGCGTTGACATTCTCGAAATCTCAATTCCCTCAGAGATCAAGATTTAGATGGAGCCTTTCGTCGAATACAGACAGAGCAAGACATGACACGACAAACCTATCGCGTGTAGAACGCGACATGTAACGCCAAGATGCAATAAATAGTCATAATGAAACGCGAAGAATTTTCCTTTCTTATGGTTTGACACTGCTACAGTAACTCGACTTTGCTAGACTTGTAGAGGCTCGTATAAACTCGAGTAGGATTTGAGTAGGATTCAATAGTCGGTCCGCTCGGAAGTAATGCAAGATGAACATGAACATCTCAGCAACGGCATGGGAAAGTGGTGGCCGTTGTGGTTTACTGGCTTGGCTCGGATGCTGTCGCAAACTGTGGGGCCCAAAGCAGCGAGAGTGTTTGTACCTGAAGCTAAAAGCAGGTTTGGGCAGCATGATTGGGTGGCTGGGCAGTACATAAGGCGCCGAAATGCACGATGCCGCCGCTACTCCGCATCATCATCTCAGTTGGGTGCAGTCCTCTGTCTCCGAGACATCAAAACAATGAAGACGCGCTCTGTCGGGAGCCTTCGACTTTCAAATATCCACGAAGCCAGCGCATGCACGACGGGTTGCGCTCAAATCTCATGACTGGGTGTTGCGGGCATATTAGGCTTGGACTCTCTTTGATTGCGCATCATCATGGACGACAACGGTCATCAACGACTTGACGATACATCTTGCGAGCACGAGGATTTGCTCGACTCTCTCCCTTGCATTCCAACCATGTGCTGCTGTGGGAACGACGACTGCACATTCCAGCAGCAGAACAACGAGGCCTTTGCCTCATTGGACGAGAATCTGCGCAAAGCCGGGCGACTGNGGAAAGGTCAGTGTTTTGTGCGTCGCGCCTGCCTAAGGCAGTTCGCAATCTCCAGTTTGCTGTTTTTTGCTTGTTTGCTATCGAGTCTTCTGATCCCACCATCCTACCCACACGCTTCCTTCGGATCTTTGGTCGCCAAAACCGTTTCCCCACTCAATCTCCTTTGCTATGGCAGTTCAAGCCATTCTACACCGTCCATCAATCCAAATACACACATGTCCTGAGATATAACCAAGCCTGTCTCGGGTCCTTCCCACCCTGCATGCCTGTTGTCTTGTTGTGTTTTGACATATACCCAAACCCTATCGTCGAACGTCCCCTCGACCACCATGTCGCTGACCTGGTCATTACAGGCTCTTCTCGTCCGCCATGAAGCCTATGTGGCCGAGGCCGAGGAGCAAAAGGCTTTGATGGATGCTGAGATAACCCGTATGACCGAGGAANAGAAGGAACTTGAATCGAACAACTCGATACTGATCGAAGAGAACCGCAACCTGCTTGATCAACTCGAAGGTCTCAATAGTGCTGCTGTCGAATCGGATGCTCACACCGAGTCACTTACTGCCACACTACAACAAACTCAGGCTGAACTACATCGATTGAACACACTTGCCGCCCGGACCGAGAGACTCGAACGAGAAGTCGAGGAGTATGAACAAGAACAGGCCATCCTCCACGCAACCCTTGCCCACAAGACAGAGTCGGAGAAAGCAGCGACCCTGCGATGGCAGGATGCAGAANGAAAGTTGGCTGCCATGGAGAGCCAGCTGGAGAAGATAGAGCGTGAGGCTAGGGAAGACAAGGAAAGACATGTCGAGATTGTTGGGCGTATGGAAAGGCAAAGAGTGGTCGAGCAGGAACTAGAAACTGCTCCTGGCCGACTCAGGGGTGCTGCAGCTGCAAAGACAGCAAAGCATGGCAGCACTGTCGTCTCACACTTCGTCAAGGACATTCTTCAGGACAACGTCAATCTGCAAGCTGGAATCGCCGAGTTGCGTGAGATGCTCGACAACTCAAACGAACAAGTCGAGATCTTGAGAGATCAGCTCGCCCAGTACACGCCTACAGACATAGCTTCCGACCTTGAATCCCCCGCACCATCAGCACGCCCAAACTTGGAGAAGGAGATCAAGCGGGCCAGCATGCAGCAGGAAGTTCACGTCCATCATCATTACCATGCCCCTGCCGAACATTCAAGGAAAGCAAGTCTGACGCTACGCCGACCAAAGAAAAAGCGCAACGTAGTCGCTTCTGGTCTTTTCACACCTTCTACGGGCTCGCGTACACCTCGTTCATCAATATCTGCAGCCAGCCCGTATACCNCCTCGTCGACTGCGGCCATCCTGTCACAAACGGCCGCAAGCATCCCACATCGAAACGTTAACCGTTGGTCTATGCAGTCTCACATGACCTCCAGCTCAATGCTCAGTTCGCCTCAATCCATTTATCCGGCGTCGTCTATTTGGGATCGTGATGATTCGCTCATAGACTCATCTCGACCGACTACGCCTGATAGTGAGGCACCAACCTCGCCTTACTTTATCCATCAGTCCAAAAGATCCTCATCAGGGTCCTATTTTCGTGCCTTGCCACAACCGGCCTTTCGTGATGGCGCTTCAGATCGCTTTGAGGATTATGATCAGTCATCCTACAACTTTGCTGCTGAAGGCCAAGGACGGTCTGATGATCAAGCACTTACAGGAGGGCATGGTGCAATTCTTGAAGAAGATGAAGGGAATCATCTGGATTCTTCTGTGCCATCAACTGATGAGAGTCGTCCTCATTTGCCTTCTTTCATTGACGACACTGAGATCTCAGCTTATACCAGGCCAACAATCCTGGACGAAAACATTTACACGCGTCCTCGGCATCGCCGGGCTGCTTCGCATGAATCTTTGATATCCGTGTCTGGCATGGATATTCACACGCTCCAATCTCGTCCGTCACAACTTTTGACAGCACAAAGTTCAAGGTCCTTCTCACCACAAGCCTCAGTTACAGCCACCCTCTCCTTGGCACATGCTGCTAGGCCTGCATTAACGTCACGAACATCAAGCAGTAGCCGTAGTATATTACAAGGAGTGGCGGCTGAACAGAAGGCTTCTAGCACACCGCCAAGAGGTCTTGGCCAAAGGGTAGGCGGATGGGTGTTTGGCAAGTGGGGATCTACCCCTACGCCTACAGTCACTGTGTCTGCACCGATGGACCAAATCAAAGTTGACAAGAAGCGCATGTCAACAACAGCAAGCAAACTGAGACCACCGGGCATCAACCAGGCTGGTCCCATTTTTGGATTCGGGCCAGAGCCACAACTTCCTCGCGAGCCAATTCTCAGAACCTTGAATGAAGAGGAGTTGTGGGAATGCCTGAACGAGTGATTCTCGCTGCCATGTTTCATGTTTTCTACGCACTTCCTTGATCCCCTTTACTTCTTCCCTGACGGCTGTATCCACATGCCTGTCCCACCATCTTACCTCTAATCTTTCATTCTCCTTTGTACAGCGGATCTTACCAGGGTGGATACTTTTTCCTGTTGTTTCATCGATACCCCATTACGTTCTTACATCTCAACCTTAAGTCATTTCCATTTACTTTGGAAAATAGGCTCGAACGATACAGCCTCAATATAATTGCATATGCTCGTTCGCTTCTGCGTTCTATCGACTCCGCACTTTTACCTGATTCGAATTTTGCCTAAGTGACTTTGTCGAGCTTGCTCGCATGGAATGCTTGGTGTCGCTTGGTTTATGCTTCGCGATGGTTAGTATAGCGCTCGTTTCAGAATCATGTACGAAAACTCACACTGGATGCTCCAGGCGTTCGATTGATGGCGCGAGTTATTACGGGAGATGTACGGCTTCCGCTGCAATAACGACATCTCGCCCGAACTCGGACGAGATCTTAATATGCATAAGGACGAACATTCGGAGCGAGAGCCCACCAAAAGGTCAGGGTGACCATTATCGAGGCTCAAGTTAGACGTCTCATCTCGTAAATGCACGAACCACTCGCTTGCTTAACCCTCTTTTCTGTCAACCTCAAACACCTTAACCACAGCCAAGCCATCGCTTCACGCAACGAAACATCGCTTGCCCAATAAAGGAGTCCGTCAAGGGCATACTTCAATAACTATTTACAAGCGATCATGGATATAGTAGGCGAGGCCATGGTTCCAGAAGGTGAGCTTAGATGCAAGAATGGTTATATAAGAGGTGAGGTTCATCCTATATGGAAACGATTCTTTTCTCATCACCTTCATCCACAACCACTTTCTCTACTCTACAGCGGGCTCTGGCAGTCTAGCTTTTTATCAACAAGTTCTTTATCCTTGATTGCTCTTTCGCAACAAAGTCACTCGCTAAGGCCTTTCTCCTTCTTTACTACACAACTTCCTCAAGATGTATATCTCAACCGCCACTCTCTCCTCCATTGTCCTTGCGGCATCTCTCGCCTCTGCTGGCCCCGCTCACATCAAGAGAGCTGATGCCTACGCTCAGTGCGGTGGCCAAGGTTTCAGCGGCTCAACCTCTTGTGTCGCTGGCTACCACTGTGCCGAGTCCAACGCCTGGTACTCCCAGTGTGTTCCCGGTGCCGCTGCCGCTGCCGCTCCTGCTGCTGCTGCCGTTCAGACCAGCGCTGCTCCTGCCAAGGCTCCTGTCTCTACCAGCAGCAAGGCCGGCTCTTCCCAGCCTGCTGACAGCCTTAACAAGCTCTTCCAGGCCAAGGGCAAGAAGTACTTCGGTACTTGTGGTGATCAGGGTACTCTGGGCAATGCCCAGACTGCTGCCATTGTCAAGGCCGACTTTGGTCAGCTTACCCCTGAGAACTCCATGAAGTGGGATGCCACCGAGAGCAGCCAGGGCAACTTCAACTTCGCTGGTGGTGACTACCTCGTCAACTTCGCCAGCCAGAACGGCGACCTCGTCCGTGGCCACACCCTTGTCTGGTACTCCCAGCTTCCCCAATGGGTCCAGAACATCAACGACAAGACCCAGCTCACCAACGTCATGAAGAACCACATCACCAAGGTCATGACCCACTTCAAGGGCAAGATCTACGCCTGGGACGTTGTCAACGAGGCCTTCAACGAGGACGGCACTCTCCGCCAGAACGTCTTCATGAAGGTTCTCGGTGAGGACTACATCCGCATTGCCTTCGAGACCGCCCGCGCCGCCGACCCCAACGCCAAGCTCTACATCAACGACTACAACCTCGACTCTGCCAGCTACGCAAAGACCCAAGGCTTCATTTCCCACGTCAAGAAGTGGATTGCCGCCGGTATCCCCATCGACGGTGTTGGTTCCCAGACCCACTTGGGCAAGGCCGGTTCCTTCAACAACCCTGACAACGTCCCTGCTGCTTTCAAGGCTGTTTGCGCTGCTGCTCCCGAGTGTGCCATGACCGAGCTTGATCTTGCCGGTGCTGATGCCAGCAGCTACGTCAAGGTCGTCAACGCCTGTGTCCAGACCAAGAACTGTGTTGGTATCACCGAGTGGGGTATCTCTGACAACCAGTCCTGGAGAAAGAGCGACAGCCCTCTTCTCTTTGACGGCAGCTTCCAGAAGAAGCCTGCTTACACTGCCATTGTCAACGCTCTTAAGTAAGCGTTTGGTTCGGCCTTGATTTCTAAGCGTACTTCTCTTCTGGTGGACGATGGTTTGTTGGACGGATTTTTGATGTCTAGGATTTTTTTTTTTGAGTGTGAGGTATGAGATAGCAAATGAGAAATGTGTGGTTTTTCTTGTGGAACAAATGCTCTTGTTCATGCCTTTTCTTGTGCTTGTTTGTTTCATGTGTGATTAAAGGTCTTTGCACAGTGAGTTCAAGTATGAGTCTTGAATTATGCTTCTAGTGAACTTCTGATGTTATTCTTCCCACTATGCTCTTTGATTGAGATATGAACAAGTCAATCTTCTATCAGAATGACCCTATCACTACTTTGCGTACCATGAAACAGTACACGAATGACACAAACCTCCTTATGATATGGTTCCGTGTAAGAGAAGAAGACACAAAAGTGCTCTGGCAAGGTTTTCGCAACATAATCCTGGATCGTTGGTGTGATAAGTCGTGTCCTGCTTAAGTCGTCTAACAGCGCAGATTGCAACATATTCCCGTGCCACGTTATAGCAGACATCACTGTCCTGAAAGTTATCGTTAGCTCTTGTACAAGCATGTGTATGCAGCCTTGTCACGCGGTAGGTTGTTTCGATTGCAGTACTAAGTTGCAACTCTCAGTCTCGCACGTTCGTTCCAGTCATTCAGCCAGTTTCTAAAGCGTCATATTCCCAAATTGTTTATGCGGTCTTCAACAAACCAGCTCTGCTGGCGCAATGGTAGCGCGCAAGACTTCTAATCATCTCTCGGATGAACTGATATCTTGAGGCTGTGGGTTCGAGCCCCACGTGGAGCTTCTCTTTTGCACTATGTCGAACGGTATGCAACGAGTGGAATGAAGATCCAGATCGTTGGTAGAGATATTTTTTTTTTCTGGTGGCGTTGCGGCCAGATTCAGGAAGACTTGGCAGATGTTGTTGATTGAGTCGGAAGTGCCGACGCTAGCCGAGAGCTGCCGGCTTGGCGTTCAGGGCATGTGCGATTGTTGGTATGCATTGAGAAGGGACGATGGATATCTAATGACTTGTCATCGAGGAAGTCGTGATTAACACTGCTGAAGTCAGGCGAGTTGCGGATGCAGCTTGATTTAGTGTAGGTTTTGTTCCATGTTGGTAGCTTGTTGATGTTGATCGAACCCAGGGTGCATCTCGAAGCCAGCCTCACGATAGCAATTGGATAATATGCTCGCCAGGCCGTATGAGCTGTCGACAGAAAGGTGATAAACTGTCCGAATTCAGAATAGATATGTTTGATGCTATCTTTGCAGACGAAGCAGCACGATTGAGTCGGCATAAATAAGTGGAGGAAGGCAGAGACCGAGAATCGAATATGGCGAAGTGTTTCGTCCGCGGCGAGATCTGATAATAGACCATTTCATGGCGAGCCAGTATGAGCAAATGCAACTACCGTCTTTTGCACTGTTACAAAAGTTGACAGAGACCGATGTTGTCGGTATCAAGTTGCCTTCTTATCGCAGGTCCGGGAAGGGAAACCGAAGGCCGAGAAGGTATCTGCATGTACTCCGAGTATCTCTCCAGCGACGATAAGGAGCTGTACAACGACTATTGTATCCCAGCATTTGCTTTCTGTATTCCAGTGTGCTCCTCTCGAAAAGGCTCATCGATATTGCAAAACACCATGAATCGTTTACCAACACTTGATCCTCATGTTCTCACCATTGCAGATCTCAAGGAGGCAGCATGTCGCGACATGCCGGCGATGTATAGAGGTAGTCACAATAGCCTTCAGTTCCTTCTACCGAGCTGACATCAAGTAGACTATTATAACGAAGGTGCCATGGACTTGATCACGTACGTTATCCTCGAGACGTGGAGAGTATCTCGCTCATTTGCGTACAAACAGCNNCTCAAGGACAACGAAGCAGCCTTCAATCGCTACAAAATTCGACCTCGGGTCATGATCAATGTATCGAAGATTGATCTCGAGACTGACATGTTCGGTACAAAGGTGAAGGCGACCATCTCACCATAGAGATCGGCACAATACTGACTTGTAACATCAGNNACTGCAGCACCTTTCGGGTTCAGCCCAGCAGCCATGCATGGACTTGCTCACCCAGATGGCGAACTTGCAACCTCGCGCGCTGCAGCAAAAGCAAACATCTGCATGGGTCTATCAGTGTTTGCAACACAGAGTCTTGAAGATGTGATAGCCCAGAACACTGGTAACCCATACTTTATGCACATCTCAATGATCAAAGACAAAGTGGCATGTGCAAACACTATCAAACGTGCTGAAGGTCAGTGATCAAGCAGATAGAAACTCGAGCTTCTGACTGACAAGCATACAGCTGCCGGGTACAGAGCCATATTTCTCTCGGTAGATGTACCGGTACTAGGACAAAGATTGAATGAGCATAAGAATAAATTTGAGCTACCTGAAGGACTTCAATGGCCGAACCTAACTGCTGTGGGCGAAGGCCTCGAATATGGTGAGTAAAGGGATTTTTCCTTCGTGTCACCCATTCGCTGATCATGGCAGNATGCAACGATCGAATGGCACACCGCGATACCTTGGATGCGATCACAGACCAAATTGGAGATATGGCTCAAAGGCGTTGCTTCTCCAGAAGATGTCGCATTGGCGATACAGCACAAGGTCGATGGTATCATGATCTCCAACCATGGTAAGTGAGATAGCTTGTGGTGCAAGTGTTGTCCGCTCCAAGAACTTATGCTGATTTCATTTCACTTAGGTGGTCGTCAGCTTGATGTAAGTCATGCACTGCCTATCTGCAAATCGAACTTACTAATTATAAATTTTCAGGGTGTCCCTGCAACGCTCGATAGCCTTCGAGATTGTGCTTCGGTTGCCAAAGGCAAGATTCCGATTGCATTTGATGGTGGTGTGAGAAGGGGTAGTGATATTTTCAAAGCATTGGCATTAGGTGCTGATTTTGTGTTCATGGGGAGAGTGCCGATATGGGGACTTGCGGTAAGTTGGAAAAGGAAACAAAAGTGGTGAGAAAGGACTGATGATTTGGGCAGTNACAAAGGGCAGCAAGGTGTTGAACTTGCGGTCAAGATCTTGATGGCCGAGTTGAGAATGACCATGGCATTGGCTGGGTAGGTGCATGTTTGCGTCCTTGGTTGTGACACTCGCTGACGTTATACTAGATGTCGCACTGTCAAGGAGATCAACCGAGGCCATCTTGCGGTACTGAAGGGCGATGGAGTGCTGTGTAAGTTGTAGGACGCCATTCGAAAATTGCCTCACAGGAGCGGATTTTCAAGGACGTGAATCACAAAATTGATACGGGAAACGATCACCTTTATGTCATCCTCGCGATCAAAACGCTGCAACCTCAACTTCCATGAGTCGGAATCACTCAGCATAGTAAGTCTCATATCATTGATGAGACGTTGAGTGGTTGATCTGTGCGCGACCAAATCGTGGTGTAGCTGTCGAGCATTTAAGAGCGGCGAGGGGATCAGCACCTCTGTCTGATACTTGAGCTCATTGCCCAAGCAGACTAACTCGGTTGTGGCGATGGTTGTAACTTCTCTTTCATGTAGATTTTCTGGACTAGCTGCATGAAGCAGTCTGGCGTGGTCGTTCTGGTCAAGTTGACTGTTCCACCAATTGAAGAAAGTCGTGTGAAGATCTTCAAACTCCTGACGAGCCTTCTTGGAACGGGCGTGTAGAGACTTCAGCTGTTCTTGATCAGTCAAATTAGACTCATCCGAGCCTGATGGATTTTGCTGCGACATTGAGAGGCAGGTCTTTGCTGACGTTGAGTCGCAAGACGGACGAAGAGAATGATCAGGGATGACGATGTTGTGGGGTCCGCTTAGATCAAAAGATGTGACTTTGTTTGCAGTATTCGGAAGTGAAAGATGAACGGAGCTCTCTATCCAGTGGTCGGGCAAGTAGAGAAGGCCCGCAAGAGTCTTCGATATGTGACGGTTCACTCGATCCTACCTTTGGTAGTCTGCCTGAGGACTTGCCGTGGTGGAGCTAGTGAGTCTTGGATCTCGCTGTGTCACTCGTAATGAACCAACATTGAGTGGTAAGCACGGCAGGAGTGCTCAACGAAAGGTGAGTGGGAGTAAATGGAAGCGAAGTTGGTAATGGCAGACAAGATCGATTTGGGGTCGAAGGAAACGCCAAGGCTAACGACCGTCGGCCGATATGACAACTCCGCCACTACCTACGAATTCTCAGATTTGCAACTTTACAACTTTGCATCTTTGCATATTATAGCATTTTTGTATGTTTTCTAGCTAGTATATTTCTATTTGCTATATCTTTCTAGGATATTGCTATAGTATATAATAATAGATTAGACATACCTATTAAAATAGAGTATAAGAAAAACAACATAGTTAGATAATAGACATATTCATTATAACAAAGGGCAAAGAAGCAAGGACGAAGCACAGGGAGGGGGGTCTCATTCTAATCTAGATATAGAGGCTTCGGCCCTATTATGCATACCCCCATATAACTACCCCTACTGCTTTCTTTACTTAAGCTAGATATATAGCATATATTTGTATAAACACATAGAATATATCTATCAGAGTATAACATATGTATATGTTCATATGATAATAGGTCTATATAACAGAAAATGTAGGTGTACACCAGGTCGATTCATAGATCTAAGAATCTGCAAAGTTGAGAAATTGAGAATTCGTAGGTAATGGCGGAGTTGTCGTATCGGCCGACGGTCCTAACCAAAAGAGTCAATGCTTCCTGCCTCTCAACCCTCAACCCTCGAGTCTCCGCTGAACTTGCCCTCACCGTTCCCACTTTCTGTCTCCTCGGATGGGCATGCCGAATAACGACTTGACCGTGCTCCGCCGAAGGCCGCATCATCGACATGAATAGCGTTCCATTCTTCCATTGGGTTACCAACTTACCACACCACCCACACGGGAGCAGATAGGCGGTGGTACTATTCTTCCTCTGCCACGGGAAGGAGATTCAGCATAGGTTGACCACGTACGACGGAATGACGCCCGGTGTTGTTTACTGGCAGGCCTGAGTCTGACAAGGTTGCACGGCATTTTTGTTGTGCCTCAGGATGTGCCTGCCACTGGGTCCAGCCACAATGCATATGCGTGCATCAAACTCTATTATTCCCGCCCAAGCAACCAGCCAGTATTGCCAGCCTTTTCACCAGCCACAAAGAGAACCACTACTGCACTGTTCCTGCCCCTCTCTTCTGGATCTACAACTCCAATCGAAGACAAGATTCGCCAGGTTGAGATAAACTTCTCGGCTCCCCCCACGGGTCCTTCAATTCGCAGAGCCGCGGACCGAGTCGAGCATTAATGCACCACTATTTGCACTTCGCTTGTTGCTAAAATCCCTCTGCTAGCCCACTCGATGCGTCTGAAGCCCTTGAACGTAGTCGTGTGTACATCATCCCGTGCCTAAGTTCCTTGATCTCGAGTCAACCGTTTGTGAGTTGTGGATGCTAAGGTGGATATCGTTCTTTTCCCAACCATGCAAACTCATCGTGATCCCTGCCTTCCCACGCGACCCATAGATGTTACCCACAAGAGAGGTTTGCGTGGTGGCTAGGAGATGCAGCGCCTATAACACCGGAGCACATCTCTGCATGAATCCCTGCTTCTCCCAACAGACTCCCTCATAGCATCTCTACATTCGTTTCAGAGACATGGTCTCCTCCACACTTCTCCTGGCCACTCTCGGTGGCCTTGTCACTCGTTCTTTTGCTGAGTCGTTGTCCAGTAATGTCAACGCAGAAGTGACCGTTGCTTCCGGAACCACTTCGCTGATCCTCAGTGCCAGCCCTTCTTCATCAGCGCCTAGCACATCAAACACACCTCAGCTTGTTACCCAGATCTCTGATGGTCAGATCCAGTTTCCGGCTCAGTCGACTGCCTTGCCCAATGGCACATTGACTGCTACCCCTGGCGTGGTCCCGGCCAATGCCACGTCGACTGTCGATGCCGCTGCAGCTTCCAAGAGCCCCAATGGAGGTGTACTCTACATTCCGCTAAACAGCACCACTCCGGATCAATCCAAGCTAGCGAAAAGAAGCGAGTGTGAAGCCCTCATGGATTCTCAACTGCCTGGAAACCGCAGCATCCCTACAAACTTCCAGTTTTCCGGCAATGTCAGAACCTACTACGTCGCTGCCGAAGAGGTAGCTTGGAACTATGCACCCAGCGGCTGGGACAACTGGCTCGGCGTGCCCGTTCAGAACTCTCCACATGCTGCAGCAGCTGGCTACCTCAACATCACCGGATCCATCGGTGCAGGCTGGGGTCTCGAGTTCCAGAAGGCTGTGTACAAGGGTTATACCGACCAGAGCTTTACTACTCAGACCGAACAGCCTGCTCACAACGGTATCAACGGTCCCATTCTGCGAGCCGAAGTTGGCGATATGGTTCAGATCATGTTTGTCAACAACCTCTCCAACCACTATGCATCGATGCACAGCATGGGTCTCTATTACGGCAAGCAGTACGAAGGGTCTCTTTACCCTAACACCACCACTGGTGGATCGCCAAACGTGCAGGAGCAAGATGCTGTTCCTCCTGGTGGTTGTGCAGTATACAAGTGGATTGTTACAGACTCGCAGGCACCTGCACCTGGTCAGAGCAGTCGTCTCTGGTCTTACCACAGTTTCGTCAACATGCCTGCCGATCTCTCTGCAGGTCTGTCTGGACCTCTCATCGTGTACAACAGCGGCGAAATGAACAGCACAATGTCGTCTCACCGTGAGTTTGTCGTTACGACCAACACTCACTTCGAGGCCAAGTCGTTCATGGCGGGCACCAATGCAAAGAATGCTGGTGTTAATACCACCGAGTTGCGTACAATCAACCAGCTCGTTTCGCCCTACATCGGCAACGAGTCTTTCTGGGTGCCTCAGATGGCCAACTTCCCGGAAGTTATGCTCAGTGATAGGCAGGGACCCAACTTTTACACGATGAATGGTTATGTGTTTGGCAATGGCGCACCTTATGAGATGTGCCGCAACGATCCAGTTATTTGGTACGTGATGGCATTTGGTGGAGCATCGCACGTTTTCCATTTGCACGGCAACAACTTCCAGTACAACGACATCTGGCTCGCTGCGCAGAGCATCAATGCTGGTGAGATGTTCACGTTCAACATGAATGCTCAATTGCCTGGTGTGTGGCAGTTGTTGTGCCATGTCAGCGATCACAATCTGTTTGGTATGCAGCAAAACTATGTTGTGTATGGTACCGAGGTGGATGGAGAGACTTGTCCTCTGCCACCATTGACTGCCAAGTTGGCTGGCAGCCCTTAAGCGACTGAAGGAGGAAAATTGCAATATTGTACATACAAGGCGGAACCAAGTAATGTTTAAATCAACAGAAGAGTTATAACCAACAAAGTTGTCGCCATGATTTTGTGTTTGTTTATGCGTTCTCCACAAATAAGTTAGGGGATGGTCTCCGTATGTCATGCAGGTGATGGACGCTCAGACCACGTCTCTGGGATTCGCGTGAACTCCCTTGACAGGGAAGGAAGTGAAGGCGGCCAACGAACAAACGACTATTCATTTCACTCCCTGCCGGTCTTGACCTTTCCTTTCGACGCCGCTATTTTCCTCCGACCGTGACTACTGCTCAATTCCATCATATATCAACCTTCTCAAATCGCTATAGCCCATTCAATTAGTCAAGGCGCGAAAAGAGTCGTCGCCGACAAGATCCAGGCGTGCGACACGTCAAATCAACATAACCACACACAACAATGGCGCACCGAACTCCCACGCCCGACATCACTATCCAGCGCAACCGCCTGCCAAACCTGTACGAAGTCTTGAGTCGCCAGACAAAACCACCGGTCGATTTGTTCAGCTTCTACATCTACATGCGCGATGCCCAACGCAGCGTCGACTATCTCGATTTCTGGTACACGAGACTTCCTTTGGTCGCCTAGATTCATGCCGGAAAACTAACCTGAACTCATAGGCTGGACGTATCACAACATATGTCGCTCTGCCGACACTATGTCCGTGGTCTTCACCGCAGTGTGCTAGCAGAAACACCCGAGCTGGAGAAGAGTGGCAGCAAGCGCAGTTCGCAAGTTCTGGACCAATACGATGATAGCGTCATGGCCGGACCCAGCGCTGCTGACAAGGACACGCGTGTCTCTGCCTTCTTGCGCGGCGACAATGGCAGTATGCACTCGCCGAGCCAATCCCTTGGTAGCAACAACTTCGACCACCAGAACTCCCGCCGTAGCATGGTCGACAGCACTCAAGACACCAGCCCCTACACACAGGATCAGTCTCCTGCCGGTACTACCGTTTCCAGACAAGATATTCGTGCTAGTGCCGAGAAGATCTTATACACCTATCTGCTGCAAGGATCGGAACGCGAGATTATCATTCCCGTCGGCATCCTTGAGCAAGTCACCGACTCGATTGAGAACCAAGGTCGCGACGACCCAGAAGTCTTCGACAACGCAAAAGACTATGTTTTCCAGGCCATGGAACGTGATGCCTTCCCTGGCTTCCTCCGCGCAAAGGCTCTGGGCAACATAGTACAGCCCAGCATGATGTTGAGGTTGGTCGTTGGTCTGGTCGCTTTGTTTGCTGCCATCTGGACGGCATTTGTCCTTATCTTCCTCGACATGAGTAGAAGCACAAGATGCTGGGTATGTCAAATCGGCTCTCATCTCTCGACGTTATACTAATATCTTCCCAGGNTCATCTTGCCCTTCACCATTGCCATCTACTTCCTCGTCTCACACCAATACATGCTCGACCCTATTCAAGCGCTTCTTGGCTACTCGGAATACACCTTTGCCAATTACTTCCAGGTCAAGGAGAACTTTGTCCATCGTCTACNNCTGACGCGCCGCGCCATGATGTGTCTTATGTGGATTGCCATCATTGATGCCGCCGTCTGTTGTCTCTTCATCTTCGTCCCCGGCAAGAGACTGTGATCCACCTCAGGATCAATTCTCCGTCGCTTGAGGCGATGGAGTGATCCCATTTACTTTCTATCCTCTCGTTACCGACCTATTGTTACGCGCTCCGACACTTTATTCCTCTTCTTCATGTCATTATTCCTTTGTCCTTCTTCATACCCCCCTTCTTATTTGATATCTCTTTTCTTTTACTCTTTGCTGGCGTGGCGTTGACGTTAGGCGGACTTTGGGACAAGCGAGTGGTTATGCAAGGTCTTGAGCTTTTGCTCTGTTTATTCGTTCTAGCAAAAATGAAACTCGGTTAATGTCTTCTTCCTTCTTTCTTCCGAACTGTGTGATCCCATCTTCACCATCCTTTTCACGACTGTCATCAACGCTCACCCTTGCAAGGAGAACACTCGCAATCTCCTACACGCCCTTCGATAAGCCACTTCAGATGCTTAACAAACTTTGCAGCAGAGTTGAAGTAAATACCCGAAGGATGGCCCCAGACGTGCAGATCTCCGGTGCGGTTGGCGGTGTTGCTGCGGTTTCTGTACATCAGGACGTAGCCAGCAGGTAGGCTCTTCATGATGTCGGTGGGATTGCTGAAGATGTGGGTGCCCGAGGCTTTTTCAGAGGGTGAGGTGTGGTCGGGGTTGGGGTCGTAGAAGATGCGCTCGGTTGTGTGGCCTGCGAGTAAGTGTTAGTTGAGTAGAGATGGTTAATGGAATACAGAGTAGAAATGGGAAAGGAGAGGTAGTCCACTGAGAGCGGTGGGTGCAGTGGTGTTTTTCTGGACAGGATCTGGTTCTTGATAGGACTGTGCATTTTTACAGCATGATAAATCGGCATCCATCGTTATGGGATAAACCACACCAAGAAGTGCAAGGCAGGCCAAGTAACAGTAAGAGAAGAGGCAGACTCACCAAACAGCTTCTCACACTCCTTCTCGATAGAATTCAAGTACCCCTCCATTCTCTCCTGTTTAGCAGCAACATCTTCTGCGTTTGTCGACCACTTGGTTGCGTCTCCATCACTGTTGTTCAACAGGTCCAATCTCCAGATCTTGACATCCTTGTCGTTGAGGGTTGAAGTGTCGACATTGAGATCATCTTCAAAGCTGCTCAAGAGGTATGTGATCTGGGGATCTGTTTGGTCGTGCCAGGGAGAGGTGCAGCCAACGTAGCAGTGGTGGAACCACAGGCAGAAGGTGGTTTGGTTCTCGACGGCGGTGGAGTGCTGCAAGGGAGTCATGGTGGTCACGGTGGTGTTTGGAGTTGTGCTGAGGGAAGGAAGCAAGTCACGTGGGATGGTTAGATTTATACCTGGGTGTCGCTGCGTGCGGATCGTGGTAGAAAGCTACGGATGCCGTTGTGTCATGCGGATGGTAGGAGAAGGCTCCGGATCTGGCATTGTCAAGGCTGTCACCCACTGAGCTTTGGATGCGCTTCCCAACAGTGAATGCACAAACTTGAAGCGAGGACTGAATTCAGAATAGTATTTGAATTTCATGCTGGTGGTTTTGGAGGTCATGATACAAGAGAAGAGAAAACAAGGAGGGGGTATCGCAAGAATGGAAGAGAAAGCCAAAGCCAACCAAGAACAAGAAAAGAGCGAATACAAACAAGACCACAACGCCATTTCACAGCAAAGCTCGTAAGGGGACACAGCAGATATACACACGATTGTGCTTCTTACTTGCCAACCTCTGCAAAGTGCTCCTGCTCAATGTAACTCCATTCGGGCACGTCTTTGACCTTCTTCCACAGCTCTTTNTCCAGCTTGATGGCAGCTTTGTGGTATGGAGTTTGCTCGGCGTTATAGCGTCTGCAGTTGACACAGATGAGAGTGGCATCTCTAATAAAGTCTTCAGGAGTTTCGTAAGCGTCGTTTTCGAGTTTCTGCTCCATGGTGCTGAGATCCATAGGCTGTTTGATGACTTCGTAGTAGTCGAGCACTTCGTCTTTGTTGACTGGTTGTAAGAAGGGCCAGGCATGAGTGCTGTTCTGAAGGGCGGAAAGGAGATGCATAAGCTGGGAGTGGTTGGGGTTGTGGCGGGGTTGACGGGCGAGAGCATCCATGTCCAGACTCCAGCCAGTCTCCTTGATGGCAGCTATTGAAAGGGGGTCAATAGCTGGTAGAGTATCGCCCTTCTTCAGGCCCTTCCATTGAGCTGGTGGAGGGTGAACTTCGAAGGACTTTGAGACAGCCTTGATCTTTGCGTGGACGGCGGCTTTCTGTTTGAGCAGCAGACGACCCGACTCAAGATAGCGAATTTTGGGGAGCATGCTACACTGCATGATTGTACCTCCCTCGTAATCCTTGATGTAACCCATCCAGCGCGGGCGCTCGAGGGTAATCTCCTTTGTGAAGCCTTGCTTTTTGAAGTAGCCGATGGCGTAGTTGTCGGCGTAGGTCAAGAAGTGCATGACGTCCGAGGTAGCCTTGACGTAGTCTTTCAAATGTGACATGAGGTGTGCGCCGTAACCTTTGACTTGCTGATCGCTGCTTATAGCGCAGAAGACGATTTCGGCGAACTGGCGGCCCTTGAAGGGGCGGTAGGTGATGCCACCCACAACTTCCAAGGGCTTTTTGACGATAGCCATGGACAGATGAGTGCGATCATAGACGAGACGGGCAATGTAGTCCTTGGGCATCTTAGGCAGTTGTTTCTGGAAGATACATTTGAGACCGGTCAAGATGATGTAGCTCTCGTGGTCGCCATCGTTGTTGACTGCTCGGAACTCGATCTCGCCATTGCGCTCCTCGATGACGGCTGGTTTCTCAGGGAAAGGTACGATGCGTGGTGCTGTAGACTGGACGGCGTCTCCGGTGTCGTGTCCAAGTGTGGGTGTGGGCGACGTCGAAGACTTGAAGCGCTTGCTGTCGGCGACAGACTCGTCGGGCGACTCGGCTTTGCGCTTGGCCGTAGACGTGGCCTCATCCTTGACGACTGCTGGCGCCATGTTGCTTTGTCCTTGTGCTAGTCGTAGTCGCGTCGTCGTCGCTGCTCGTTCGTCACTCGCATGTGAATGTCCGGAGCTCGGACCTTCTGAAAGTCGTGGAGAAATATCTTGGCATCGGCAGACACGCCCAGCCCTGCCGACTTCTGCTCGCTTCGAGACAGCGCAGATGCTTGTTTGCTCCTTGTCCAGTCTTAAGCACTTGCTACCCAATCTTTGTTCACAGTCTTCCCATACTGTGTGAGCTTTGTGAGTCTCTAATTTGCGCAACTATGTCTTCCAGAAACTTTCCATCATCTTTTGAGTCTAGGCAGCAATCCGTGACATCAAAGGTGACATGCTACAAAAGGCAGCTATCCGCAACGTACGTAGGTCTTGCTCTCTCTTTGTGCCTGTCTTTCATACGTATAGCTTTGACGCAGCGAGCTTGGCGACATCAGGCAGCAAACTTCCGCAACACTTCATCGTCCAACTCCTTCAACCCAATATAAATACCTATCAAAACTCCCAAATCTTTCCATCCCATCTCATCTCCAGTTGAGAGTCCTACATCATGTTTGACCCCGACAACCACATCTGTGGCTGTTATTACACCACCTCCTGTGATCGCACCTACCTTCCTCAGGTCCAACTGAACTCTCATACCACTATCACCCCTCTCTACTTCACCACCAAACTCTCTCAAACCTTCCACAACCCTTCTGGACGTCAACTTCCCGAGACCCGTTACACTTTCCCCTTGTATGATGGTGTAGCTGTCTCGTCCTTTACCTGTACCATTGGTGAGAAGGTCATCAAGGGTCATGTCGAGCAAAAGGAGCAGGCCCGCAAGACCTTTGATGCCGCCGTCAGCAGAGGCGAAACCGCTGGTCTTCTGGAATTCCTTCCGACCGGCGTCTTTGGAGTCACTCTGGGAAACATCCCTGTTGATGCCTCCATCCAAGTCGACATCACCTATGGAGGTGAGCTCAAGCACGATGCTCAGATTGACGGCTTGCGCTACATTCTTCCAACATCAATCGCTCCACGTTACGGCAGTTACCCAGGCGAGCTCTTGAAACATGATTCAGCCATTGCCAAGGGCACGAAAATCACCGTCGACATCGACATGCAAGGTTCCACCGTCCGCAAAGTCCAATGCNCCTCTGATCACTCCATCGCTCTGGACATTGGCACTCTCTCTACCAGCTCTCCGCTCACCTCCGACATGTCCAAGGCTTCAGTCTCGTTGACTCACAACACAACCGAGCTTGGCTCAGACTTTGTCTTGCAAATCCTGATTGACGACATCGGCTCTCCCAAAGCCATCCTTGAGAAGCACTGCATACCTGGTCGTGAAGCTCTCATGGCAACTTTTGTGCCACGCTTCGATCTCAAACCAATCAGACCGGAAATCATCTTCATCGCCGATCAGAGTGGCGGTATGCAAGGCAGCAAGAATACTGCCCTTGTTGCTGCCTTAAAGACGTTCCTCAAGTCTCTGCCATCTGGAGTCCGCTTCAACATTTGCGCTTTCGGATCACGCCACGAATTCCTCTGGAAGAAGAGCGTCCCTTACAACCAGGAGAATTACACTCATGCTCTCCGCTTTGTGCAAAACTTCAGCGCCAGCTACGGTGGTACAGAATTGTTGCGACCCATTGAGGCCGCCTTCAAGTCGCATCTCTCTGATATGCCCCTCGAACTCTTTGTTCTCACTGATGGCGAGATCTATGCGGAATCTCAGCTGTTCGATCATGTCAACAGTCAAATTCACGAGAAGAAGGTTGATGCTCGTTGCTTCGTACTCGGTGTTGGCCGTGATGTCTCTCACACTCTGGTTGAAGGCGNNCTTGCTCGCGCTGGTAACGGCATCTCTCAGTTCATCACTGACGATGAAGTCATGGACTTCAAAGTTGTCCGTATGCTCAAAGCTGCTTTGTATCCCCACGTCAGAGACTATCGTCTGGAGATCCAGTATGAGGACACCGAGGACTTTGAGATGGTTGAGGACCCGGCCCCCAAGCAGGTGGTGGATAGTTCTCCAGACCAGCCAAAGAAGTCTATCTCGTTATTCGATCAGTCTGTCGACCTCAATGACGCTCCTGATGAGAATACTGACCGCTATGCCCATCTTCCCACCATTGCTGTGCCCGAGTTTATCCAAGCTCCTCATGTTATCCCTCCTCTACTACCTTTCAGCCGCACTACTGTGTATCTTCTCCTACAGGACNATAAAAAGACTCCCAAGTCCGTCCTTTTGCACGGTACTTGCTCTGATGGCCCGCTGATGCTGGAGATACCCATCAAGAGAATGGACAACCCCAACCACACTATCAACATCCTGTCGGCCAAGAAGGCCATCCAAGAGCTCGAAGAAGGTAGAGGCTGGTTGATAACCGCAAAGGAGGGTGCCGAACTGATCAAGGACAAACACTCCTCGCGCTTCGATGAACTGGTTGAGAGAGAAGCCGTCCGTCTCGGTCTTGACTATCAAGTTGCCAACAAATGGTGTTCATTCGTTGCTGTCGAATCCGACCAGAATGGCAAGCGCGTCGGTGAAGACAGAGTCGAAAGTGACACTAGCCCAGAAACCAGACGTAGCTATGGAGATCATCCCGTTCAGAAGCGCTGCAGGCGCGCGCCGCTGGCCTTTGCGCCTAGTCACTATGGCATCTCAGGCGCTGGTCATGATACATTCGTGGGTCGTGGCGGAAGTCGTGGTGGAGGTCGCGGTGGAGGTCGTGGTGCTATGTTTATGGCTCAAGGACAAATGCTTTCATCGGCAATTCCTCAGAGCCCGGCTTCTATGCGCTCGCTTGCACCCCCGGCTTTGAGGTCTCAGGCCCCTCCCCTCCCCCCTCCCGCCGCATGTGCACCGGCAGCTCCTTCCTCCGCCCGCACAACTGGTCCCGTCGCATGCTCACCTGTTTCCTCGCCTCAGTATTTTGCTTGCTCGGCATGGGATGCCGAAGCCCCAGGCCCTCTGAGTTATGACCCTCCTGCAACTGAAGACGCTCCTGCCATCCCCATCAACGACACCATGGCGGCCATCCGCGCACTCATCGATCTTCAATGCTTCGATGGTCACTGGAACTGGAACCAGGGTCTCCGTAACTTCTTCGCCATTGAGATTGCCAAGATGAGCAACGCTGGATTCGAAGAATCCACAATGTTGGCCACCGTATTGGTTCTTGCATGGTTGAAGACCTCAGCAACTGAATACCGTGATCTCTGGGAGATGGTTGCCGACAAGGGTAATGAGTGGCTCCTAACCCAGGAGAACTCCGGTCTGCTCATGAGTACTGCCATGAGTGCTCTCTCTGGCTAAGATTGAGGACCGGAAAGACTTGTGCCTTGCTAAAGGGTACAAACCAGGAGTATGATTTGAGAAGAAAAAAAGATTGTCACTTTCGGAGGGAGAAATTTGTTGTGCTTCTCTACAGGAGCAGATTTTGAGATCGAGAGAAGCGGAAAGTGGTTTTGACTAGTAGAATTAGATAGCTTGCGCAACAAGCGCCTGAATGTTGCTTTGAACAAACTTGGAAGATATCAGAGTGCCTGGTGACGATGAACCCGTCAGTGAGTTTCTCTAGCCAACCATTGCTTGGTCATTCGTGAGTCATTCGATTTCATATATATTGATTTCAATTCCCTGCCGCATCAAGTCGAGCTCCGAACTTTTATCAACTCTTGCATCAATCATGTATCCAAACATTCAGAATATGGACAAGGATACGTCATCACCTCTCCCTGGTTCGGAGCCTAAAGCAGTCGCAGACTCGGTCGCTTTCACTACAAGAGGTCTTGAACACTAGAGTAAGCCAGTGACCATCTCTTTCCGGTTTTATTGCTTATTGCACTTGCCAAAATACACTATTTCATTGCAAAGATGAGCATTTCCACTGAGACTTCATTTGCCATCGCACTCCCACTGTGTATCTACACTATTCTGACGACACTGTGAATATTCACAGTGGAAAATTGCACGAGTGCCTTGAATGAGGAGCGTTTGCTGACGCTTTTGTTTGATAGCCTGACGTACAAGTTGTCCCACATGGACCTGCCATCGCCACAGATGGCAGCATCAACCACGACTTGACTCGGAGTAGGAGCAGGTCCATAGGTTGGTAAGATCGTTGTATGGTCAGGTACTTCCTGATAAGTTCCTGCCAATTCGAATTTATCAAAATCTTGATGGGGATTTGTAGGGAAGGTGCTGCTGAGTCGCTAAACTACCTCAAACTGGTCAGACTTCCAAGATATAGGCAGCAACGACTCATAAACATCTCGAACCTTGAAAAGCTTCTCTTCCTTATCGCACTTCCTCGATACTCGAACTAATGCTCACACTTGGTAACGCAATTCTTACAATAGCCGCCCGATACCATGACTTCCCGATCTGCATCACCTTCAGTCCCACCGCCCAACAAGAAGTCGCGGCCAACAGGTTTTCTGGATCTACCACTAGAGATCCGGATCATGGTCTATGAAAGAGTTATTGTGAGTCCAGATAATGACTACACCATCGACGAGAACCACCCTAGAGGACTCTTACCAGCAATCTTACTCGCTCAGTCAACGATAACACGCGATATCTATCAATTGTACACATTCACGGCAGTTATCAGACATGAACGGCAGAGATTTTCACCCTATCCACATTTCTGGTGGATGCAACACGACCAGAACTTCCAAAAGCAGGCCCTGGGGAACGTAAGGAAACTGATCAAATACCACGGTCAACCAGACCACAAAGAGATTGTGGTGAAGATTCGGATTAGGTGCAAAGCTCTCTGGTGTTCGGAAGCGCTGGCTTGCGTCTCTTGCAGGTACTTTGCATATGAGGCGTATATTATCCCGATGGACGGCATGGGACTTGATAAGCGGCTGATAAGTGTCATATGATTGTTGTTGTAAGGTCACGAAGGAAGGAAGAGACACGCTAGGGGAACTGGCTGAGGGAGTGCTGCACTGCTCCTTCCTTTGTAGTTTGTATTTATAGACAAAACTTTTCTTTCACGTATACCCTTCTAAGCTGTGCAAAGTTGTCTCCTTGACGTTCATCACTGAGCAAAGCTCGCAAAGTAACAAGGAACGTCATCACAGAATCGTATCTTACCTCAAGTACCTACTTCGAGCGACGGCGATGGAAATTGGAATGACGCCTGAGTGATAATATGACACGGACAAAGAGTTCTGTCGAGCGCATTTTGGACCTTGGACGGCTTCATGAGCACGATACGTCAGGCACCACGAGTTTTAGCAAAGTTGACTCTTAAATGACTCAACAGCAGCATTGTAGTAGTCCAGGCGTCCGAAACCCATTTCCTTTCTCTTCGGCCTCCAGCAACCTTGAACCAGACACCATCGCATCTCAACGGACTTCACATACTGTGTATATCCAAATATATCTTTCGATCAATAGACGGAAACAATATACTCTTCGCCCGACGCCAAAATGGTTAAGACACCGGTATCAACTATCAACGCGGATCAGCAAGCTATCTCTGTTCTCCTGGAAAAGATTTCAGACCTGACACTCCAGCTCAGCGAGCGTGACGTTGAGATAGCGAACCTCACGACTACCCTCAAAGATCTAGATGAGTCTCGACACGCATCTACATGCCAATGGCACAAGCCACCCAGAAAGCGCGGCTCCAACCCCAAAGATCACGAACGCGTTACATTACCAAATGACATGCAAGAACCCCCGAGGTACGAAGAACCAATCAACCCTCTTCTTCCACGACACTTCTGCGAGACTTGGCAATGGGACACCCTATACGAGTATCAGGACCCACGATCTGAGGTGTGGGCAAATCCATTTGTCGTCCTTGCCGGCGACGAATTCGAGGCGACACTGGCTGACAATCCTCTTACATCTGGTCTGAACATCAAGCTTCTCAGCGTCGAAGACGAAACACAACCGTACGCAACACTGCCTTTCTATCGAATTTTCCTACGCGACAAGGCATACTCCAAAGAGCTAGACAACAAGCTAAATGCAGTGATGGAAGCCTTTGCAAAGAGATGGGATGTGGAAAAGGTGGCAATGAGATATATGGTTTGGAATGACGAGATTGCGGACGAGGAACCGGACGATGAAGGTGAGGAAGTCCTCTTTGCGAGCCCGAGTATTGCTAGGGCCCAGCGCGAGATTTACGACAAAGCGCACAAGGCAGGCTTGTTTGAGCCTGAATACTCGGGAAAGACGTAGTAGTCTTTAAGATCCCAGTTTGAATTAGCACAAGATTGTCTTTGAGGTTGTTTCTTCATCTGGTCAGCAATTGGCTGTACATGAAATAAAATCGCAAGGTGACGAAAGCCATTAGAATGAGGTCTGTATCGCATCGAGTGCCCATGTTGAGTGATTTCGAGCATCGAAATCGAGTGTTATGCCCGAAAGACTACCTAGTGAGAGATGAAGGATTAGAAGAAAACTCAGAGCTCCATATAAGGTATAGGTATTCACAAAGCATCCTATTCCACTATAGTTTATGACTCTCGAGCGCATACACCGGTCTGGGATTACCTTGAGCATCACAGCTCGCAAACTTCCACCAACCCCAGTTCCAACTGCCAAACATGTTGACCATCATCCATCTCACAGGACCAGGCATGGAAGGCCAAGCAGCCCACATGCCATCTTCGAATGTTCTGTCCAAGTTGAGGAGGGCGAAGGGAACAACATCAGTCATGCCGGCCTTGGTAAGAGTCTTCTTTCCCCATGCTTTGAACATCGCCGCGGCAGCGNNGGAGGCTTCTGGAGAGTCGACAGGTGGAGCGTTTGGCAGGTCTGCGAAAGACGCAATGGTAGATATTTCGTTGTGGAAGTGATGTGTAAAAGGCTCCCGGAATGTATCCATGATGGCAACGAGCTTGGTGCCGTCAAATGAAGAAGCCGAGGGAAGATTGATCAAGTAGGTATGGAAATTTGCAAGACCCTCAAGGAACGAANNCCTACAGTATGTTAGTTTCGCGGCCAGGTCAGTGCTGCAAATGTCATGTATACCATGCTCTTGATGTGTTTCGTTCCAGATACCTTCCTCTTTCAGAATGTCATCGACTTTCGGGAACAGCTCCGCCTCTTCGTCATCGTGGTGGCTCTTGACAAAACGATACCAGGTGAGACTGTATCCAACAAAGGCCGCGTAGTCCTCGACTTTGACATAAGGTGCTTGAAGATAGATGCTGTTAAAGCCTCGAAGAATGGCGTTGTGAAGTAGTGCCATGTGTGTCGCGCCCTTTGTCCAGATATCCTCTTTCTTGGTCAGAAACTGCGGCGTATGCACCAGCTCACAGGGGCTGTCAGCCCAATGTTGGCTATTTCCAGAACTGTCCATATCGGAAGACTTATAGGCAAGTAACAAAGCAATTGCAAGAGCTACGGTGGTAAGAACAAACAGACGAGGCATTCAGCCGACCTGACTTGAAGATGAGAGAACATCATGGTGATTGCTAGAACATATATCGATGACTTCCTACATGATATGCAGCCTGTCAGGCCATGTCACGTTGTGTCGCTTGAGAAGTCACCTTCGGCCATCTACTAGGAGCTCGGGCTTTCGGCACGGTTGATCTTCGGCAATTATGTGGTTAGTCAGCATTTCTAGACGTCCGACTTCTTGTCGGCATCGTAACTTGCCAGTTCCATAGCATACAATGCAGGCCTGGGAGGCACCATCATACTTTTCTCTGCTTATGTACTCTACCTGTTCATCTTATGTATCTTTGTCGTATTCGTGCGTGTCGTAATCTTCACGTTGATGATATCTCGTAGTAAGTCTTTGGTTCAAGTCTTTTGTGGAGTTGGCTAAGGACATCTCCTGCAGCAATAACCGTTAGAATGCAGACTATAAAAATGCATGATTGTTTTACAATCAGATATGTGTCCAGAGAAATAAGCCAGCTCTGAAGACCACACCACAAAAGTACAATGATGCACTCTCTCCCATCAGCAATTCAGCCATGAAACGAAATTGGCCTGATCTAAACCCTTGTCTGCCAATGTCTCGAAGCAGCTTTGTTGCAGCGCTTCTGTGCGAATTTGGCTCGTCTGGGTCTAAGTTCTGTATTGGCAGGAAAGTCACTAACCTCCCCTGGATCTGCTATGGAGACCTCTAGGTGCAAGCCATGCCATATCGGGCTTTATTTACTCGAATCACATGAGTGAACGCAATGGTCGTCGCGCCTACGGATTGCCTGCTTGTTCCATGTGACGCTCAGCTGCTTTGACAAGATCAACACGAGCGCAATTCCTCACACATCGCTTGTTCTGATTCAGCAACACCACTTAATCCTGTCCTTATACATCTGACCACATTACCAGCATGGTGAAAGCCACGGAGACTAGTTCAGAACGCCAGCAGATGGATGTCACTCAGACTGAAGATCCTGAACACCAACAGAAGCGCGAGCCAGCTTTTCTTCCGAACGACATTCAGCGTCCAAGTCAACTTGCACAGGTAAGGGCTCTGTGAACCAATCTCTCGACTGCGTTTTGACTTTGCGTTAGACCAAAAAGCAAACTCAACTTGAACCCGAATTGCTGCTGCATCTTCTACTCTATCTGAAAGAAGGTCTAGAAGAAGGGGAGGAAGCCTTCGAACGCGATCTCATATTCTTCGGCATAAGGATCTTCAGAAGGATCGAAGAAACCACCGCTTACTGCGAGAAGCTCGACAACATGATCAATTCCTTTATGCATGCCAAGACTACAACCTACAAGATCGATGATCCGGACACCATGCTGGAAATCATCAATCTTGCAAAGGAACAGGAACAGGACGACATCAAATCCTGGTGTCGTTTCTATGATGAGAGACAAGCAATGCTAGTCAGCATGCAACGATCGCAAAAGCAGCCAATCACCAAGAAGAACAACCATAACAGAAACAAGAACAAAAACAGGTCAAAGAAGAAGAAGGAGAAGAAATTGCTTCAGGACGAAAGCATGGAAACCGAAGCAGTCGTTAACGAGGGAAATGGTGCCTTGCCAGACAACATTGGTGATCTGCTCTTTGAGAATGTCCAACGTGCAATCTTGAAGCTGGGTATGTCTTGAGACAGAGAGAGCTCGTGCACATGGCAAATCACCGCTTCGAGTTGGTGAAGAGAGGTGTTTTGCCGCTCGGTAATTTAACAACCAACGGACAGGACACACAAAAGATACAGTCTCATGGTTTCCTCCCAGCTTTGTACAAAACCTAGCATATCACAATAGTCATCCATCCGGTGTATTCTTGAAATTCTCGTGTTGTGTCTCGGCGTTTGCTCGTTTGTGTTGTCGTTTGATACCCCAGCGTCACTCGCATGTACATTTTATCAACCCACCCTTCAAGCCACCACATCTTCAACTCTTCCACACCTCCATACAATCTCCCAAAGTCCACAAACATGGAAACATTCCGCGGTATCCCCATCTCCCGGATTCGCGAGCACTTTGTAAGTGCCGCCTAAGCCATGATTTCAATTCCATACTAACCATACCNNCAGATGCGCGAAGGCCACAGAAACGAAATGTTCTCCTCCATGGTCGCAGATGTGATTGACAGAAACCCTGAATTCCTTTTCGAACTCAACAGACACCAGCCTGAGCAACAAGAACAACGCATCTGGGAACTGNAACAGCGACGAAGAACTTCCCGCCGACCCCACTGAGGAAGAAAAGGAGAAGAAGCGCGCGAAGAACAAGAAAAGAACCTGCGGAAGAAGGAAAAGGCACAAGCTGAGAAGGCCAAACTTGAGCAGCAGAAGTCGGGGGCAAAGAACAACATCTCGCAGGATCTTGCTGCCATGTACATCCAAGATGCCACTCCTGTTCTTGCCGACGATCGCAAATCGAGCAATGTCGAAGACAACACCGCTACAGCTGCAACCTCTACTCAACAACCCAAGCTCTCGAAGCGCCAGAAGAAGACTTTACTCAAGAAGGCCAAGCAAGCCCAGGACGCGACTCCTACCCCTGACCTCGCTGGTTCTCCGATCACTGGTGACTGTGCTTCCACACCTAACGGCATCAAGCCCAAAGTCTCCGAACATGATGAGAGCGAGAAGGACAACAAGGTCGATGGCGGTGGTCACGAAGAGTCCGAGCACGGCGATGAGGGTAAGGNNGAAGTCGCTACTGAGTCTGATGTGGAGGCTGTAATGGATACTGTCGCAAAGCGTTTCGGTCAGTGAATGGAAACCATCGCTGTTTAAAGTATACAATGACGGACGGATGCATGATCTGAAGACGGTGTGGGCAATGGCTTGGTGGTTTGGAGTGGTAGACACTATCGTGCGTTCCTTCCCGCGCATAGTCCTTTCAGCAAATTGAGAAAACTGTCCTTGCTTATTCTATCGCGAATCCCATCGTAGTTTGTGCCTTCCCAGCGACACTCAAAGAAGAGCATCGACGAACAACAGTATTGACGGAAACAAAAGCACGTTAGACACCAAACCAGCAAAAAAACCAGAGCTGAGCTCCTATGGAAAACCCCTTCCCTTTTGGCGGTCCATGATCTTAGCCCCCAGATGTCGGTCATCTGGTAAACATGAATTAAGGCGTACAAGGCAGGGAAGTGTTTTGTTACTGAATCGGGAGTGTACTAGCCGTTACACCACTCAACCGATTACAGTAACAAAAGAAATCTGAGGTGAATATATGCGCTGGTAAATGGGATCAGGGTTCGAATTGGCAGGAGAGCAGTTTCTCTCTTTTGCATTGTGCTCTTTGTGGTTATCATGACTGACGTGCAAAGGCTCTCTGTTTTGGGTTGGAGTGTCTGTGTTGTAACATGGAGGGCCGGGATTCAAATCTGATGCTTGACTGTTTTGTTCTTACATCATATTGCTGTTCAGATAGGTACTCGAAGCAGATAGGTGCAGATGGTCCTCAAGCAAAGATCATCAACGAAAGGCGACTATCTGGGAAAACTCTTCAATTTTGCTTTACAGCGCAGCTTAGGAGTACAGGGATGCTTTCCTTTCTAGAATCATCATGTTCCATTAATGCTGTAACTTCTACTGAACGCCTGTATCTATATCTCGAGTATCTCTAGCTGTCATTCTATCGCATCATATCTCCCAAGCACCATCCATCATCCTCACCCTCCTGCGGTCATCTCTAGATTAAGTTTCTCCCTCTTCATCAATATACCGCTCAAAAGAGCAACTGCACCCGCCACGATAGTAAGAACCCAGATATCTCTAAGCGTAGCAGCAATAGCCTCGAGTACCAAGCGCTTGAGCTCCATGTCTCCACTGGCCAATATGGCAGAATGGGCACCACCAAGAGCGGCTCTAATCTCAGCATCTGAGAAGTGGTATGCTGACACGGCGTTCTTGATGTCGGCGAACCCGATGTTCTGATACATACAACCAGCGATGCTGAGACCAATGCTGATAGACCCAATCTGAGCCACATTAATGAACCCAACTGCATTCAGAGTATCGGTTTTGTCGACAATGGCGACAGCAACGGAATAGGCTACTTGCATGCTCATGCCTGCTCCGAAAGCCATCAAGACCTCATATCCATAAATCTTTGATGCCGAAGTATCTAGATGAACGGTATGCATCAGAGCGCCACCAATAACCAACAGCACACCACTGACGATGCAGAAAGGCTGATAGCGGCCGAGAACTGGCAANAGACCACCACTCAGCATCACCGCTGCGACGAAGACACAGATGTAAGGTAGTAGTCGCACAGCAGCCTTGATTGGTGAGTCGCCCCTTGTGAATTGGAAGAAGATTGGGATGTAGTAGACGCCGAGAGCAAGCCCAGTCGAGGATGCGGCCGTTCCGGTATATAGAAGTACCAAAGTTCGACTTTTCAGGAAGTGGACTGGAAACAGACGACGCGATGGTACGGTGGCGATACAGAAGGCTTGCTGCACAACGAAGGCGACCAGGAGTACGAAGAACACGACCCAGAGAGCGATCGGACCAGCTTCATTCCACTTCCACAAAGAGCCGCTGAATGTCAGAGCGACTTGCAATATAGCGAACATGCCAGCAAACAAGAAAGCACCCAGCCAATCGATCGTGGTGAGCTTCTGCTTAGTACTAGTGTCTAGCCTTGGGTTGTGAGTTGGCATAAGGAAGAGGTAGACAGGTGAGGTGACGGCAGCCAAGGGTAAGTTGATGTAGAAGGCCCATCTCCAAGTTGCAGAACTGCCAGCAAAGCCGCCACCAACGACCGGACCTAGAATACTACCTGTACCCCAGCACAAACCGATTAAGGCGTTATAGATGGGTTGTTCCTTNTTGCTCGTAAAGGTCGTGATGTAAGTCAACGCCCTGTCGGAGTTATGTGTCAGCATATCATGGTCTGAAGATGAGTCTCAGCCTTAGAACCTACCCNNTAAGTACATCCCTGCGCCACCCATACCAGCTATGACTCGACCAACAATCAGCGCGTTCATATCGGGTGCAGCTCCACAGAGTGCAGAACCAGCTTCGAATAACACGAGACTGCCAATGAAGATCCATTTAATCTCGAACAGTGCATAGAAAGCTCCGACGAGCAGAATGACTGACACAGATCCCATGGGAAACCCAATGCCAACCCAGGAAAGTTTTTCGATATCCCCGAACGTTCCAAGGATCGGTCCTTGAACGTCGGCTGAGATGGTGGTATCAAGACCNTTCAGATAGGCAGTTAGCCACCATATCAAGACACTCCGGAAGATCGAAAAGCTCATACCGTATAACAGGGCCCCAACATAGATGCCAACACAAACCAGATACCATTGCCAATTGGGAATGCCCCTGTCGAATTTTACGTCTTGCTGATCTGAGATACTCGAGCGTTGATGTTCGAGATCTTTGTCGTGAATTGCCGGTTTTTCGGATATGGTAGACATGATCGAAGACGGACGTGCTGATGATAGGAAGGTGGATGGTATACAAAATTGATTGTGTTTGATTTTCGCAGATGCCACAAGCTTCCAACGTTTTATATTTCAACTGCCCTGCAGGCAACCGTAAGCTGAATGCATAATCACAAGAAGATGTTCCTCCTTTGGAAAACACATCGACTGTAAGATTTGCTGTCATGGAGGGCACACGGTTTCCGACGGATTCATCGTTTCTCCGAATCAGAATGAAGTGAGCTGGAGTACGTAGCAGGAAATACCGTTTCGCGATGACTTCTCCAGTATGCAGTCATCACACCTCGCAAGAGATACCATGAGTGCGATGATCAGTCAACAAACGCTCAAAAAGACCGTGCAGGGCTCGAGAGCAGTCTGTGGAAGGTTCGTCCATTAGCCGGCATGTCCGTTTATTGCGGCGACCCTGATTGAATCGCGGCGAAACGGTGACCCTAATCAGATCGCACTTCCGACGACTCAACGGCCGTAATGGTCTATATGGGGCGACAGCAAAGGGTACTTCAGAACAATAGATGGATTCAAGAGAGTGGAAACGAAAAATAGAAGGCAGCCCTGTTCGAGGATGGCAGATGTTCGGCGAGTCATCCATCCGATCGGCCTTGCAGCGAGCGGCATGCGGGGAGTTTCCTCGCCCATTGGCCATGTTCGATGACTTCTTCCCTTGCGAGATAAACAATGGTGAGATTCGGCTTACATTTGTTGAATTGCGCCAATCGAGTTGACAGGGCGAGCTTCGCACGTAGTTATATGTGATTAGAGCAATGCGGCGTCCCATGCTTCGGTCGCCTCAGCCATACGGACGTATCAGCAAGATGCATTGCTCAATCCTACGAGATAAGGTAGGCACACAAGGTCAGTCGCAGTTGCTGAGGTGGTATTGGGTATCCTCAATGATATCGAGCCAAGATTTGCACCTTCGATGATTGATAAGTCACGACCATCTCCGGTATGTCTTCCAACCCTGCAAACGATAATCCTGAAAAGTCATCATCGTGACCGGAGGAAGCAGCGGCCTCGACAATGAGAGTGTACACCATCTAGCCAAACACAAGTACCTAACATCGTACCACCCGAACAAGTCAACGAGAGAATGCTGCAGTCGAAGAGGTTTTCAAAGACGTGCCATTCGCTAAAAGAAAACTCTACTATCTCGAAATCGATATGGCTTCTTTCGCATCTATAAAACGAGCTTCCGATCTCATTATCGAAGAAAACGACCGTCTGGATATCTTAATAAACAACGCTGGTTTGGGACCACTGATGGCTATGAGATCCGATTCGGAACCAACTATATGGGACCAACTCTCTTTATTAAACTCTTACTTTCCGTCTTGTAAGAAACAGCAGAACAGTCCAACAGCGATGTCCGCATCGTCAACCTTAGCTCGAAGGACTTCAAGCAAGCTTCCAATCAAAAACTCCCTCATCCAAGCTCCATTCCCGCTCCCATGACCACAAGAACCTCGCCGCCGACCCCACAAGAACCGTGCCTTCATATTCGAGATATCTTATGTCCCTTTTAACCAAATAAAAGCCATGGTGGTGTAGTGGTATCACGCCCGATCCTAATTACCTAAGCCCCTAATACTCGCTTACCTAAGTTCCTAATACTCTCTCTCTCTCCTTGGATCGGGAGGTCACAGGTTCAATTCCTGCCCATGGTGTTTCTTTTGCAGTCCATTTTCTCAGATTCTGTTGCTTGTTGTGGTATCTGTCTGACTGTCCGTTGACTCTCCGGTATACATGCATGTATAGAGTATCTTTCGTAAGAGTTTAGTCTCTGCATTTCACTACATTCTCTGTAATGAATAATAACATACTGCAATATTCTGGTTTACGCAAGATCAGGAGGGTTGGAAAATGACACGAGCTTCATCACTGGTAGATGGACGGAGTTCATGTGCACAATGCTAATTCTTTATTATTATTGGGATCTCAGTTCGAGCTCACGACTCTTCTCGACCAATCCTCGTCCAAGCGTCCTATATCAACAACCTCGACATCTTTTCCGAGACCGACGAGATCCGAGGTCTCCCACCACTTGTCAGAGTTTCCCTCTCTGGCCTTGCCCCTTCGTGATCCTTCGTCTTCGGTTTCGGTTTCTGTATCTACCAAGCCACCGGCACCGTCATCGCCGACCACGAGAATGGTCTGACCAACCCAGCCTCTGAGCTGTCGAACATGTTCGCCGTTGTGGCCTGACAGAGTAGGGATGTCGGATAGGTAGACGAGTGATGGTGACAGATGGCGGAGAATGTGGATGTAGCCGGTTGGGGTCGAGAAAGGCATGACTTGCGAAGACCTATCTACCAGAGATAAGGACTTTTGCCAGAGAGAGTCGAACAGCGATTTGGGAGATGCGGCAGGATAGGAGACAGATGCATATGATGACGAGAGAGTGGTCGAGGCTGATGTAGACGTTGGAAGTTCAGGGAGAGAAGATTGGTTGGGTGCATAGATCAAGATAAACAGGTTGGTGGCTGCTGGATCGATGTGCTCAGGGAGGTGAGAGAGAATGGANCTGGGTCATGTTTAGCAATGATTGTTGCGAGAGCTTCATATCGAACTCACAGCATGCTCGGTAGGATATGTGGATTCATCATCTTGATCTTGTCCATTCAAGACGATAGCTACAGTCCTGTTTGGCTTTTTGGTTGTGTGACTCGATTGAGCAGGTCTCTGTGATCGCTTGGTCTCTGCCTCCTCGTTCCAATGTTCGTTGTCTGAGAAAGCGGGATCGGGACCTTCTTGTTGTTTCCCTAGGGTACTCGAACCAGAGATACCAACAGCGGAGCGTATACGTTGGCCGGCGTTGTCAAAGAACTGCTGAGGTGATGGTGTGCGGCCGGTCATGCGGGACAGGAAGCCTTCATCGCGAGTGTCAGAAGTCTGGTCTCGGGATTGTGGTATATCTTCGGGGTATTCGAGAGGGTGGTCATATGTGTCGTCTTCAGTATCATCATGTCGGTCGTTATCATCGTCGTCGTCTTGTTGGCGTTCGCTCCAGATCCAGGCGGCGAATCCAGCCGTCGCAATGGTTACGGTGACGACCAAGGGCAGCCAGTATCCTAATGCCGATCTACCAGGGCGGGCCTGCCTTCGCCGGGCAGCATCATATCGGTCCATCACATCGAGGTTTGCATCAAGAGTTCAGTGTCACATGAAAGAGTCGCGGTCGCGTCCCTAGCGGTATACACTTACCCCACGTTTCTTGGCGCGGTCGAGGTGCGGGAGGCTTCGATTCGGTCGCGAAATTCTGTTTGCGATGCGTCACATTTCACTTGGATATCCAGAGTAAGAGGAGGAAGACACACACAGGCCATGCCACACGCAACCAACATGCCCTACGCTGGCTTCCAGGCCTTCATCCTATGCGGGCCCGGCCTATCACTCAACACCTTCACCTCAAATGTCGCAGACTATCCCAAGGCTCTCGTGCCAATCGCCAACCGTCCCATGGTCTGGTACCCTCTGGACTGGTGTTACCGCATGGGCGTTACAAATATCACATTGATCACACCTCCCGAAAGCTCTGCGCCTCTGGAATCTGCTCTCGCTCAAAATCCCCACCTCACCAGCCTTCCCGCTCCCAAGCCTGAATTGCTCTGCCCCAAGGATTTGACCCAGACCACTGGAACTGCTGAGATCTTCCGCACTCCCGAAGTCCAAAAGGCTATTGTCTCCGACTTTATCGTTCTGCCCTGTGACTTGATCTGCGACTTGGAAGGTTCCGCTCTGTTGCAGTCATGGATGGTGCTCGAGGCTGGCCTTGGAGGCGCCACTGGTGGCATGGTTGATGGACAAGCTGTACCAATGACAATTGGTGGTGAAAAGAGCGGTCGCAGAGGTGGTCTGGCTGTGTGGTATCCTACAAAAGGTCTTGAAGGCGTCAGCCAGAAGGGCGATGAGACTGATTTGGTCGCGACAACTCCTCTACCACGCCCTGCCGTTCCTGCTCCCGAAGGTCACCTCCGACCTCATGTCGAAAAGCTCGTCTTGAGCATTCCCACAAGTACTGTCAAGGATATCACAGAAGAACAAAAGAGTTTCCCTCTGCGCCACGCCCTACTACGCCAGCATGGAAAGGTCAAGATCAAGACTTCGCACAGAGATGCACATGTCTACTTCCTGCCCTTCTGGGTCAAGGACATGATCAAGGAGAATGAGGCTTTCGACTCACTATCAGAAGATGTCATTGGATGGTGGGCAAAGGCTGGCTGGCAACAGGGTTTGGCCGACAAGCTGAACCTGCGCAAGGTTTTGAGCGATGCACCTTCCACACAAGACGCCGACGACTTGATGATGGCGAGCAGTATGCAACTCGACGAAGAGGTCGACTTGGCTGCCATGAGCACAACATTAATGGCACAGCCTACTTCATCTGCCTTCAAACGCTCACCAGACACTTTCGCGTCGCGTGTGCCTGGAAACCTTCAAACAGACAACGAGCCCCAGGATCCGTTAGTAGTCCCCCCCATTTTGGCCTACGTCCAGCCTCCTCTTACCGATCCCACCAACCAACCCCTCATCCGTCGCGTCGACACTTCCTCCCTCCTTCTCAGCATCTCACTCCGTCTGGCCAAACTACAATCCGTCGCAGAAGCTACCGCCTCTGGCACTACACCATCACCGTTTGCACACGCCGCAAAGGTCGCACATCCGGACATGATTCAACAGCAAACAAGAGTCAGCGAGGTTGATTCCTTAGTTGCTGAGAACGTCACAATTGGCAGCAGAGTCAACATCAAAGAGTCCGTCATTGGTGTCGGTTGCAGCATTGGCAATGGCGCAAGATTGACGAGGTGTTTGCTCATGGAAGGATGTACAGTTGGCGAGAACGTGACACTCACTGGCTGCATCGTGGGCAAGAGGTGTAAGATTGAGGGAGGCGGTCCCAAGGACGAGGACAAGACTCGTCTGACGGATTGCGAGGTTCAACCTGGCTATGTCGTCAAGTGGGGAAGTAAGTTTTCTGCCTTTCATCTTTTCTGCCTGGAATATTGCTGACATTACTATCACAGCTNNGAAATCAAGAACGAAAAGTTCATGGTGTTTGAGGGTCTCGGTGAGGATGATGGTGAATTGGATATGGATGATGATGATATGGCATCTGGAGATGATGACGGTACTTTCGCATAAAATCATCAACGGGTATCAAATGAATGAAGAAGAACATGAACATTACTTTGCTGCCTGCTCGTACCTGATAGTCTCGAGGACGTTGAAGCCTCAATGCCTGGTCGGTCGTATCTCGGAAGGCTGCTTGAAAGTTGAGGCTGAGTCAACATCCTGGAGGCTGCGCCTTGGCGCCGATGCTGCTGCGCCTGCCTTTCTCATCGTTTACACACATCCAACAGTCCATCGCTCCTTCTGGTCCTTGTATAACAGTTGGTATTGAAGGGCTGTGGACTATCTGAATGCGGTCTCTAGTGTAACCAGGCGCGCGGCTATGCTGAAACCCTTGCAGGCAGGTTTGCTACAGCATCCGAGGTGAGCAGGATATAATGCCAAACGGTGCAGCATGACCAAGACAATGAACTACCTCATGTAAACCCAAACTCTCTCCGCGTATCCGTCTTGTTACAACTTACCTGAGTCACTGAGTCAGCTCTTACTTTCAGCTGAATCCTTACATCACCCGACCAAGCTCACAAGCTCTTGGACTTTTCTCTACATAAGACCTCCCCTTCACCTTTTGATTTACACACTTTCGCAACTCTTCACACCAACGTAAGACCAGACAAGTTATCCATCGGAATCACCATATCATCATAGCAGACGACATGCGCAACATTCTAGGCAGCATCAAACGCAAGGTCTCGACCAGCAGTGGAGGAGGCACCCAACACAACTCACGCCCTTATCCCACAATCCAAGATCCTTACGGCACACCCTCAAGAACAGGAACCATGAAAAGCCAATACTCAGCACCAGCTCCTGCCCCACTGGATCAAGGCACCGCACCACCAGCCTACTCACCGGTCTCCAACGCGGCCCCCGTCGTCCCCTCAATCGCGATATCATCACCACAAGGCCAAACAGCAGACGACCCCTACGCCTTCCNNCTCAGCACCTTCGACACAATCTTTTTAATCGACGATTCAGGCTCCATGGCAGGAAGCCGCTGGCGCGAAACCCAAGAAGCGCTGGAATCCATCACGCCCATCTGTGTCGAGCACGACGCAGACGGAATCGACATTCTCTTCCTCAACAACCCTGAAAACCAATATCACAGAAACGTCACTTCGCCAGCTACCGTCCGTGAAATCTTTTCTAGTGTGAGGCCGAGGGGTGGTACACCTACTGGCCAGCGGTTGGATTCAATACTTAGACCTTATGTTCGTCAGTGCGAGCAANGAGGTCCTGAAGCGGTGAAACCACTCAATCTGATTGTTATCACCGATGGCGAACCCAGTGATGATGTGGAAGCCCCGCTCATCAGCTGTGCAAAGAAACTCGATAAACTCGATGCTCCTGCCTGGCAAATCGGTATCCAGTTCTTCCAGGTTGGCAGAGACGAGGGCGCGCGTGCACATCTGCGTGCTCTGGATGACGAGTTGGCAGAGATTGCGGGTGTAGAGTTGAGGGATATGGTTGATACGGTTCCGTTCAAAGGTGCGGATGGCGAACACCTCACTGCAGATGGCATTCTCAAAGTTGTGCTGGGGGCGGTGAACAGAAGGCTTGACAGGAAGAGGAGTCAGGATTTGCACCGTTAAATGGCTGGACGAGACTCGGGAGATAGCAGTTGCGATTGACGAATTGAGAGGAGGACATGGCTAGCTAAAAGCCCATGCATTGATACCCACCAGCTCTGTATCCTACCACCAAAAACAGAAGGCTCTGGCCAAATTGTCTCAGACGAAAGATCACAGAACTAGACAGATATCAGAGAGTAACCCACGCAGGAACAGCTCACGTTTAGATGCCATGTGCAATTATTGAAAGCAACCGTGTCAAAATCAATCGTCTATATGTTCTTTTCTCTGTATCCACACTTCGATGTCATTCTTCCGTCGCAAATCAACCTCCGATATATCGAATGCAGCATCCACAAGGAGAACACTCGACACCTCTCCTCATGACAAGAGCCTCCCAGCACCCATAACAAGCAACCTCCTACCTCCAACTATCGTTCTCAGTAGCAGTACCGGCACAGTTACCAACAACAGTGTAAGATCTGTTAGGATCACTCTCCCAAGTAACACTTCCATCTTGTGCCTTCTTGATGTACTTGTAACTGAAGCTGGTGCCAGTGGCAAAGTTGATGGTGACGGTCCACAGAGGGTTAGAGCTTGTATACTTGGAAGCAGAAAGTGCGACAGCATTAGCTGCGTTCCAGTTTCCGAGTGCTGAGATGCTGCCAACAATGTAGATGTTCTCGCCGTAGGAGGTGGTCTTNTGCTCGTTGAAGGTTACAGCGATGGAGGTGGGAGTGCTGCTGCAGGAGCCGGTGGTGGTGGGAGTGCCGGTCGAGGGAGAGCCGGGGTTGCCCCAGTTGGTGTTTGTGGCTGCGGCGCAAGGGNNACCTGTGGCCGAGCCGCTGGAGCAGGAGTTGGGCAACTTTGCCNNTGAGGGGATATGTCAGCGGGACGTAGGCTTATGGTGTGACCGAGCAAGAGAAAGACTCACAGATGAAGCGCCCCAAGAGGCAGGCAGGACATTGGCACGAGCGTTGTAGGCAGTCAGGAAAGCGGCGTAGGACCAGGTCAGGTCGACTGCTGAGAGAGGGGTACCGTCGGCACGGTTGTACTGCTCGGAAAGTGCTCCATTGGAGGGAGTGTATTTTTGNCTGTATATAATGGTCAGTGATGACGCAGAAATGAAGGTGTTTGCAAGACATACAGCAATAGACATGTAGCTGTCAGCGTAGGTCTGGACAGCGTTGACGATAGAAGTAAAGGTAGCAGTCGAAGATGAGTAGGTGCCAACGGCAGCAGACGAGTAGACATCCTTGAAGAAAGGGAGAGAGATCGAAGTAATCGAGATGGAGCCGATCTTCTTCCACTGATACACAGCATCATAAAGTTGCTCAGCAGCAGCAAAAGTGTTGAGGTANCCTATCAGGTCAGCTCGGGTCGTACTTTGTCTCGAAGATTAGACTCACCAAGGATTGCCGTTGTAGTAAGAATCCTCAGGGTATCTGCCAACAGCAACACCAGAGCCTTGAGCAATACCCTGGTTGATGCTGTAGATCGAGCGGAAGGAGTCAGTCACTACCTTGTGGTTGGCAAGAGCCTTGTCACTGCAGGGTTGGAAAGTGGTCGAATCGCAAGAAGCAGCAGGGTCGAAGACGTGGATGCTGGTAAGGATCGAGTTTGCGTCTTTGCCAGATCTACCACCTCCAGTGTTGGACAGAGCGTAAGAGCCAGTCCAGTAAGACTGGAGGAAACAAAGAACCAGAGGAGCCTGAGAAACACAGTTGGGGCACGACTTTCCGAGCTGAGTGGCAAGGTTGTTGCCCTCGACAAGAGCACGGTACTGTACAGCAGTGGTGAAGAAGGAAGAGCTGTTGATCTCTTCCCACAAGTCGAAGGTAGTCTGGTTCCAGTACTGGGTCACGTATGACAAGTCATTCTGCACGATAGGCCAGATGATGTTGTTAACAGTCGTAGTGTTACCATTGGCNCTGTAAGAAGGATAAGCATGTCGTCTGAAGATTTCAGATGCCGAACTCACGATGAGGTAGCGGGAGTAGGCGATCATAGCAGTCGCACGGAGAGCGGGACCATCGCGCTGAGGTCTACCCCAAGCACCGGTGAAAGGTGTAAGGTCGACTTCGAATTTGGGCTCAGCAAGACCTCCAGAACAAAGACCACCGCTAGGGTTGTTGACAGTCTGCAGCTTGGCCTGAGCACTGATATACTGCTGAATCAGAGGCTCCAAAGACTTGTTGCCAGCAATAAGCTGGTCTACGAGTGCCTTGAACACAAGAGCCGAGTCACGGGTCCACGTGTAGAAGTCTTTGCTGATGTTAGGAAAAGTTCAGGTCATATTCAATGTTGCGATATTCTCACAGTCAGGGTTCGACTTCGAAGGAGAAGCAACCACAACACCAGCACTAGCACCAGAAGCCTTCGAGCCACTCGCACCGATGTTGTTGAGGACGCCCTGCAGAGCAACAGTGTTCTCAGACGAGAGCCAGGAAGAGAGAGAGCCAGTAGCGCGCTCTTGAATGCTCTCGGGCGAGGGGNNGAGAGCAAAAGCAGCTCCGAGGAGCACAGGAAGAGTGGAAAGGAAACGCATGATGAAAAGAATCGTGCTGTTGATGATGAATTGGTTCAGGCAGAAGGGTGACTTATATATATGTCTACCAAAGCTGCTGGCCGAAGACGAGGAAGTCGGACTTCTGCAGGAACAACATGATCAGAGCGTTCCTGCAGACTAGAGCAAGAGAGAGGCGAAGAAACAATAGACTTGAGCTCTGTCAAAGCTTCCTGGAGCACGTTCGCTTCTGCTCAAGCTGTTTGTCTATGCATATTCACAGTGGCGTAATGCGGTAAGGCTGCTAGGAGAGCGAGCAACTGTCATCAAGCGATCACCGTAGGCATTGTCCGGTGGGCGGAGATTACATGAAGCGGAGATCAACGCCCTCCTGAGCTCGCTTGTATAATTTTTGAGGAGGTTATTGGCACATGAAGCAAGATTTTGAGCCGAGGCTGTGAGAATAGGGCGTGCTTTTATGGCACCATAATCCCCACACCCCCACACCCGTCTTCCCGCACGGAACCCTCGGGAAGCTGCAGACTCTGCCCTCTCTCCCTGCATGCAGTGGTCTACACTTCACATGGTGATCACCAACGCACTTTGCCAATCATCGGGGCTTTCATGCAGTGCAAGCCATTCAATCTAGACCACATGCTATGGTGGTCATCTTATAGCACCTCCTGACACCAAGACCGTGTCATGCGGCGACATCACGCTCACTACATCCTTTCTTTCTGCTTCTTCCAGAATCACAATTTCGCCATGGCTATTTGTGAGTTACCGCATGAATGGAGCTCTCGTGCGTAGGCTCTGTTCGTTCGAATTTGTGGAACCCACGGTAGCACAGTACAAGCATCTGGTCCGTTTGCTCTAACTTTGAGCTCTTTGAGGAAGGTGCGTTAGTCCTCGCTTACAGCATTCCATCGTTCGACGACTATGGCCGATCTGCGTATTCGCAAGAATATGACCAAGTATATCAGCCTTGTTATTCAACCGAAGCTCGTTGTCGAAAGTAAGACCGAAGTGTAGTTTCACGTGTCTAGGTCGGATATAGCTGAACTTTAAAGTCCTCCAACGGCTTTACCAGAGAGCTAAAGTCTGCGACCTGCTTCATGTGGACGCCAGCCGGGCAGTTTTACTTGTCACGTCTGTGCTGCCGTCCATCGCCGTATACCAAGACCAAGCACGAGACTAATAAAAGCCGGAGAAAGGAGGGGTCAAAAACTTAGTTATTCAACGACCTACCAATCCATTCCCAGATCATGCTTGTTGCTCCTTATTGCCACATGGCAGTCGCGCCGAATGTTGCATAACGAGAGGCCCCTCCTTCTTACACTAGTAGGCCTGCTTCTCGAAGCGAAATGTTCTGTGCCTGAGTCTCAGTACCTGAATGAACCGATCGGTAAAGCAAGCCATTCAAGCCACCGGTGGGTGACCACAGCATGTATTACGCGCTCACGGCTTGTCTCTCGTCACATCTCCTGGTCGGAAACCAGGTCCAACTTCCTGTTTTGGACTCGAGCAGCGGAGATGAGCACTTGAACAATGAGATTGAATGACCAAGGACAACGAACAAGAAACTATCAACACCGAATCACTCTGTTAGCCTCACCGGTCAAAAGTTCCAAGGTATACATGACTTCTTCGAGACAAGATCTGCTCAGGTCTATTGGTATGGTGATTGTGCCGCGGTAATAACCAACAATATAAGAACATGTCCATAAGACGCCATTTCCTCAACAATATTATGCTCTACTTTGCAATCTAAAGGATAACAGCACAAGCCCGGAGACATGGCAGCCAACTACGTTTCTCGATTGTTGTTCGCCCTTGTCTACTTGACCGGGGTGGTGCAGTGTCTCACCNCTGCACAATGGAGAAGCCAATCGATCTATCAAGTTCTTACCGATCGTTTTGCGAGGACAGATGGTTCTACCACTGCTTCTTGTGATGTCAACAAGTATTGTGGTGGATCCTTCCAAGGCATCGTCAAGAAACTGGACTACATCCAGCAGATGGGTTTTACTGCAGTTCGTCTACATTCAATGGATAGATTGCCTACAGCTCTAACATACATCGTAGNNATCTGGATTAGTCCTGTTGTGAAGAACATTTACAGTTCTGGCCAAGATGGTGACTCGTATCACGGATACTGGGCTCAAGACATCTACCAAGTCAACACCAACTTTGGCTCTGCTGCCGATTTGGTGTCACTTTCCAAAGCTCTTCATGATCGTGGCATGGTGAGATGAACTTCCCGCGAACATCCATGCCTAGGCTCACAACCCCTAGNNTATCTGATGGTTGACATTGTCACAAACCATATGGGCTACAATGGCTGTGGTAATTGCGTCGACTACTCCATCTACAATCCCTTCAACTCGCAGTCATACTATCATCCCTTCTGCCTCATCAACTACAATGATCAGACCAGCGTTGAGCAGGTATGCTCTCAACCTCTTGCCTTTTCGGAAAGGTGCTGATATACTTCCTAGTGCTGGGCTGGCGACAACACAGTATCTCTGCCAGACTTGAGAACCGAAGACTCCAATGTACTCTCCATGTGGAATACCTGGATCGAACAGCTTGTGTCAAACTACACCAGTAAGTCGATGAGTTGTCTGAAGCAAAGACTTTCGCTAAGGCTTTATANNGTCGATGGTTTGAGAATCGACTCTGCCAAGTCCGTTGACAAAGCCTTCTATCAACCATTCGAACAAGCCGCCGGTGTCTATGCAGTTGGTGAGGTCTACGATGGCGACCCGAACTACTTCTGCGACTACCAAAACTATCTGGACGGCATGCTTAACTACNCCAACGTATGAAACATACTTTCCTGCACGAGAAGGACACAATACTGACTATTCAATAGTTACTTCTGGATCACACAAGCCTTCCAGTCCACCTCCGGCAGTATCAGCAATCTCTACAATGGTATCAACACCATGAAATCGACTTGCAAAGACACAACACTCCTAGGCTCGTTCATGGAGAACCATGATGTAGCACGCTTCGCATCATTGACTTCCGACTATGCACTTGCCAAANATGCTATCGCGTTCACAATGCTTGCCGACGGTATTCCTATCATCTACCAAGGCCAAGAACAGCACTTCTCAGGCTCTAGTGTACCGAACAACAGAGAAGCACTTTGGCTATCTGGCTACCCTACTTCTTCGCAACTATACCCATTCATCGCCGCAATCAACAAGATCAGAAAGCAAGCCATCAAGCAAGATACGGGATATCTCACATACAAGGCTTACCCTGTCTACTCTGATGCCTCTACTATTGTTATGAGGAAGGGTACAACAGAATCTCAAGTCATTGGTGTGTTCACCAACAAAGGCTCCTCCGGAAGTAGTTCATTCACACTTTCGTCATCGGCAAGTGGCTTCACAGCTGGTCAATCAGTCACTGATATCTTGTCTTGCACTTCCTACACTGCAGACTCGAACGGCAACATTGCTATCAGTATCAACGCTGGTGCTCCCAGGGTTCTCTACTCAACCTCAAAGCTGACTGGCAGCGGTCTCTGCGGTGGCTCGAGTTCTACATCAGGCACACCAACCACGATCAAAACATCTACGGTACCTGGTGGCTGCAGCACTCCTACCGCAGTTGCTGTTACCTTTACCGACAAAGTGACTACTCAATATGGCCAGACCATCAAGCTCGCAGGCTCGATCCCTCAGCTCGGATCTTGGAATGCTGCAAATGCTGTTACCTTGTCTTCTGCTGGTTATACCACTAGTAATCCTGTCTGGTAAGTTCACTTGCTTTCAAAAATAATCTGGTCGAGATTACTGATAATGATATAGGNNTCTGGTACTGTCAATCTTCCCGCTGGCCAAGCTTTCAGCTACAAGTTCATCAAAGTGAACTCTGATGGAAGCGTGACTTGGGAATCTGATCCGTAAGTAACATCTAGCCGTTTCCTACGGGGTACGTACACTAACGTGCTTTATGAAGAANACCACAGTTATACCGTTCCTGCGAGCTGCGGTGTGGCGACTGCATCGGTCGGCAACACTTGGCAGGGATGAGCATGCGGGAGGTTTGTGGGGGTGTGAGAGGGAGACAGTATAAAACTCTCCAAAAGATCTTCGCGTGTGCTATGTCTCGAAAGTACGACAACCACAAGCCTTCCAAACAATTTACATCATTTGAAGGTCTCTGCTTCGCACCAGTATTCTCTCAAGGGTTTGTTGTCTTTTCTTGGTAAGCCGTTCTTTGCCATCCTTGTGAGTGGTGTATTCATAATCAAGAGGCAATCCTTCAGGCCATCGCTTAGCGAAACACGCACGGCAAAGCTGTTTTCCAGGATCTTGTATGTCGTGCCACTGTGTTGTAACAAACGGTCAGCATCAAAGTCTGATAGTAGTTATCTGTTGAGTATGGCAGCTTGAATCAGCCTCTCGGCTCGTTGAGTACATACCCATAACCTAGCCTTTCTAAAGGATTCGCGAGTACAATCCTCGCAGCGAAGGCCAACTTTCTCCGGGTGCATTATCGGTTCGTGTGTAGTCCATTGTACAGGCTTGTCATGTAAAACTCTGGCCCATTCGCTTATTTTGTGATTAAGCTTGAACAGAGGATCTTCCATGCGTCTTTGTCGCTTTACGGAATTGTTATGTTGGTTGTACTTCTTCTTGGCATCATCGCTTTGCTTTTGATATCGTTCGCGGTATCTTGCCTTGCATTGTTCGCGAAATTTGGGGTCGTTTGCATAACGAAATTTCTTTTTTTCTTTATCTTTATCGGAAGCCAGTTTTTGTAACACAGGATCCTTTGGCAAAGTCAGGAGGTATCGAGAATGAGAAAAGTATCTTGGAGCTGCAGGACTAGAATTAATCAAATCAAGTTACAACTGTATCGACGTGAAGGATGTAGAGTCAACTGATGTAACGTTAAGGTCCATGAGCATACTACCAAACGGGTCGTAGTCTGTACTGCACGTCGATGCGTAACATGAGGCTACATTTGTATGTCTGACTTACAAGCAATTTGCAGACCCACACGGTCGCAGTAAACTGTAGAATACCGTCGTCATTATGGTTGATAGTCCACTGGCCAATTGATGTGAAGTGAAATCAGGGTCGATGTGGAAGAGAAAGCAACATGCAGGTCGTCACATGCAAAGCACGCCAAGGGAAAGCGCGTTGCAGGGCTCGGCCCGCTCGGAGGCGGTCAAGCCAAAAGCCTCGATCGCCAGTGGCAGAAAAATAATCCCGACGCTTTTCTCCACCGTCCATCTTTCCGAGCAAACAAGCAGGAATATATTCTGGACGTTCGAGACTCTTATATTCACCGGACGACAAACCGCCACATCATGGACGCTGCAGGGCTTCTCAAANAGCAAGGCTGGCGCGGCCTCGGCCACTCGCTCGACTCCAACAACAAAGGTCTCCGCAAACCGCTTCTCGTCAGCAAGAAAGTCGATGTGCTAGGAGTTGGAATCAACAAAGCAGATGTTATTCAAGGTCAATGGTGGTTGAAGGCCTTCGACAGCAGTTTGAAAGATTTTGGAACTGGCAAGAAGAGTATACTGGCCAATGTCAAGGATCATGGAATCAAGAGGGGTGGCTTGTACGGGCGATTCGTGCAAGGAGAGGGTGTAGCGGGAACGATAGGTGTTGTTGACCCCAAGGTTGCTGCACTGGCATCTGCTGTTGGTCCTGCCACGGGTGTGAAGAGGAAGGCTGAGGATGATGAGGACGAGGACAAGACGGAAATGAAGAAGGCGAAAAAGGACAAGAAGGACAAGAAGCGATCAAAATCTATATCCAAATCTTCATCCGATGATGAGAAGAAGGCACCTCGTGCTGCAAAGAAAGCTAAAAAGTCAGCGATTACCGACGAAGATACATCCGACGCAGCGACCACCAAGAAGAGCAAGAGCAAGAAGGACAAATCGCTGGACGGTCTACCCGAAGACAAGTGCAAGCAATATGAAGAGCGCGCTGCAGCGAAGGGTGTTACACTGGAACAATATTTCACCCAACGACTAGCGAAGAATCTCGTAGCCAAAGAAGCCCGACGAAGCGGTACAACAACGCCTGCTACCGAGCCAGCGTCCGAAGACTCCGCCAAAGACGACAAAAGAAAGAGAAGAAGAACAAAAGGACAAGAAGTCATCCAAGAAGTGAGACTGCAAGGGGAACCGAGTGCACAAACACAACCGACGTAGGCCATCGCGCTGCTCGATGGCTCCGGATCGAGCCACGCTAGTGCTGAAAAAGATCGAGAGCAGGTCGGTCCAGATTTCGATCCCGACCAGTCGAGATAGTGAGCTGCTCAAGCAATGCTTCCACATCGACTTTGGGACAAGAGACGTTGAGCGCCTTCGAAAAAGGCATACCTGGGTAGTATAAACAGACACCCTCCATACTGCCAATCGGTCCACAAAGCCGCGAACACACCGGGCGAGAGCTTAGCTGTCGCGGAATTGGAAGCTTGCATGGATGTGAGCGAGCTACAAAGCTAGAGCTCTATGCTTTGGAAAGCAGTAATCGTTGCACCTCAGAGTTGTGCGCAATATCATAACTATCACAACAATTCAGCCGTATCTTCTGCTCGTCTTCGTGCTACTCCTTGCGTTCGGCTGGTCTGCAATCTTGATATGTCATGGATTATACATTGCGAGCTGGTTGCTGCAGTGGTGATTCTGCTTGTGACAGGGTGACCCCCTGGCTTGCTGTGTGACCCTGCTCTACATAGCCCTACATAGGGACTTACCTATCGACGAGGTTGTTGACTTCAGGACGAGTATTCATTTACAGTTATAGGACTCAAGACCCTGCACTGCTCGTTTCCAAGAGGCTTGTATTATTACAAGATGTTGTCGTTTCGATATGTAGGGTTTTGTCCGTGGCCATAATTTCACACGAACATTGACCGCAGACAACCTGGGTGCATCATTGCCGCACTCGGAATGTTCAGATCCCAGTCAAGTTCTCCGAATCATGGCATAGCTCCATATCGTCTCTGGGGATGTTACACTGGCCCCGAATGTTTCTGCAGTTGAGCCATGAATGTTGGTGTTGCACGCGGCTCCAATGCACGACATGGAGCGAGCAGATCAAACAAGCTCAAGCAACATGCAATGCGATCAATCCTTATGACACTTCTAATACATGAGGCACTAGACTCCAGCACATGTGTTGTACCCTATGCGAATTACTTTCATCGTTACAAGGCACTTCGTTGTATCGAATGCGACTATTCCACCGAGTGAAACGTTTGGTTATGCCGGCGGTTACGTTTCCCAGGCAAGACTCGAGACAAAGAGAATGTACAAATCACGTGAAGCAAGGCAGATTCTGGCTCGGTAAACCATACATGCGACTGCAGATAGTACTCGATAATTTCTTTGTTGCAATCATTATGCAGATGTGGTTCGTGGATGAGGTGGCTGCTACCATGATGCAAAATATATATTATTGAAATCTTTCTGTTTTTCAACCACATGGTTCTTTAGCCCAACGGCGGGCTGGCGCAAGTACGTTTAGAGTTCCCGAAACTTATCACGAGCCCTAACTAACAGCCTTAAAGTGGTAGCGCGTCAGTTTTCGGTCCACCGATTACTTGAGTTTCTCTCAGATTCACTGAAGGTTTAGGGTTCGAGTCCCTAGTTCGTCGATTCTTTTGCCTTTGTGAACACTTAGAGGTGTCTGAAGTGTATGGTATAGCCTATAGGTTGCACCTCTAAGGTGAAAAGCGCGTTGTTCTTTTATCGCAGTTAAGCTTTCGATCATTCTGCACTCGTATAACGTGAAAGCATAACTGTGACTATGCTGTACATTTAAATATATCTATCAAGTGATATATTTAGTACAGGAATGGCTGTACTATTGTAATCGGAAAGCGAGACTCTTACAAAAGGCATTTGAATAATCTGTGTTAGTGACAACGATTGTTGGCTATGTATCTGACCGTATCTACTCCTTATTTGACTGGTGCAGTATTCTATAGACATAAAATATATATCGCGGCCTGTCCTGCTTTTATATGATGGCTTGATGCTTCTCATGGTGCCGCATCCGTCAACAGTATCTAGAAAACAGGTCATATGGACAAAGCAATCACGTCTCCTTTGTCCTTGGAAAGTGTATATAGGATTTTCGGCCATCCTAGCCAACGACAGCACAGCGTATGTACTTCATATCTGGTCCGTGGAAAACTTGTCCATGTCAGAACTGTAGGCAGAGTCACTCGTCGTGAAGCTCGATTGCAAGGTCAAAGAACTCGGAAATTGCAACTTATATACGATACCACAAATTCTTATCTGTACTTTGACGAATCGAAGCGAGCTGAATTGTACGCCGTCTATCGTACGATGAGGTCCACAATCGCCAAATCTATCTTGAATCAGCCTGACCTGGGCGACCAATTCACCCCCAATCTACTCCCAAATTTATCCTAAATATCGAACAAAGAAATCTGAAACAAAGAGATCCTCCATCAGATACCTCTGTTGAACTCCACACATCCATCATCACCAGCATGACCGTGGAACTCAGCCTCCAGAGTATTGGCCTTGACAGCCTGTCTTTGGGGNAAGATAGCCAGAGCCAAAGGCAGCGCGAAGACACTGGTAGCGAAGATCAACCCCAAGTTGACAGGAGTAACCATTCTCGGTCTCTGTTGCAACCACTGAGTCTTCTGCAGACGAACGAGAAACAGAGGAGGTAAGACCATGATAGGGGTAGCGTTAATGACTCTCGAGATAGCAGTCTCGCCAACGGCAAGAGTGGCTGCCTTCTTCGATTTTCCGAGCGATTGCAGGGGTTGGCCGGCTTCCTCACGCTTGAGCTTCTGTGCCTCGGTTTCGGTAGGGAATACGTCGATACCCTTGCGAATCTCCTCTCCACGCATGAGGAACACGTTCAACACACCTGCACTGGCCACAGCAGCGAATGGCACCAATCTACCCAGAAGCATCTTAGTGTTAGGACTGACACGCTTCAGGCGAGGAACAATCGAGTTAAGACCAAGAGCAACACCACAACTTGCGCCGACAGCAAGGNNGAAGTAGGATTGCACCATAGTTGAGGTGGAGAGAGGAATGGATTTGTTGGCATTCGAGGAGTTGATGGCAACGTTAAGAGACTGGTTGGCGACTTGCCAGCCCAATGTTCCGGCGGTGCTGAGGCCGGGAGTGAGCATACCAGCTGTTACAACCAAGTTGGAGAAGATGTAGGCGGACATGCGGAAGGGAAGGAGGACCTTCTCGCCAGTGTCTGGNTAGTTTCATGTCAGTCAAGTTCGTTCGCTTATAGAATATTACAACATACCAGGATGGAGAGTAGCATCGATGACTTTCTTTGCTTCCCACAAGTCCGGAGTCATGGATTGAATCTTGCCCTGCTTGTACGAGGTGACCAGGTCTTTTGCATGTTCGAGACCAGCAGAGGAGGTGAACAATGTTCTGNNTTGTTGAGAATTGATCAGTCAATTAAGATCAGAAGATGTATTCTAACAAGACTGTTTCCTGTTCTTCCTGAAAATGACCAAAGTGTTCCGAATCATATACGAGAGATACGAAGGCATGATAAAGGGGATAAGTGCGTCAATTCCTTACCTTGGATCGGACAAGTTGGCAGCGTGCCTCACGCGACCCCAGTAGGTACTCAAGTCATACTGAGATGCTGGTAGAGCGCGGTTACCAGGAAGCGAAGCCGACATTGTTGATATATGATGGGCACGAGACGCGCTTCAAAAAAAAGTTGTGGTCTCGGTCGGCAATGGCTTGTGTGGAGATCTTGGGAGACACGACCGCTGCAAGCCGCAATTGCGGTCAAAGTCAAAGCTTCTTGTTTGACCGGCCGAGAGTTGCCGGACCATTTGGGTCATGAATTTGGACTACTAAACATTGGACATGGGAAATGTGTGTTTTGCAGTGCTTTGATAGTGTGTCTGGGTCGACAAATAAATGTGGTCTTACGAGCATATCGACATGTCCTACGCCGTGATTGAGTCTGGGCGCTTGGCCACCAAGAATGGCTCAGCGAGCATGTGATGACGACGAAACAAGCGCGCGACGCAATCCAATGTTCTATAACACGAACGACAACAACCTTCTCTCTACTCACCCCCATCCATCTCCGCCGACCTACAAGGAACAATAGCAGAAATGGCCTTCATCTTCACCTGCGGAACGCACACCTTCAACTCTCTGCTACAGGGCTACGAGAACATAACAGCGCAATGCCAAGTATGTTGTAAGGGTCACGACAATAGACATAGCAACGACTGACAAACATGCNAGAATTGCGGTAACTTCAGCGCCAAAGTCTACAAGCGATGGGAATGGTTCACCTTCTGCTTCGTCGTGAGTATTGTCCGACGTATATTCGTGATCCTCTCCAACATTGACACGACTCGATAGCCCATCATCCCATTCTCCCTCAAGCCATACCATGAAGTTGGTTGCCACATCTGTCACTTCTATCAAGACGTCAGGTATGTTCATGTCTCCATGTCATAGTGGAATATACTGATAAAGTGTAGACATCGACCAGATGTTCAACAAATGATGGACAATCCACAGGCAATTCCGATGCAACCGCAGCAGCCTTATGGAGCTCCACCTCAGCAATACAAACCACCGCAAGGACCTCCTCAATACGTCTGAACAGCGCTCGGTCTTTTGCAATCACCAGGGAAACATTGACAGGCTGGCTGGCGTACATGACAGGGGTTGGCAAAGTCGCGAAGATACCATTTTGATTTTATGGGCGAGTAGGGTAACTTTTGGTAATGACAGAATGGACAGGGGTGGGGTGTTCAAGCAGGTTGGGTTTAAGCAAAGTTGGTCAATGCTGGTCAAAAACGACGGTTAATCCCCAAACAAAATCACGCTTGATCGCCCTTCGCACGCGCGCTATCCAGCCTCCTCTTTCTTTCTTTTCTTTCTTCCTTCCTCTTCCAACTTTTTGTTCCAACTTTTTTTTCTTTCTATCCATTTCATCAACATCTCGACGCGACAATGCCTCGTGCAAAGTCGGTCAAACCTGAGGCCGCGCCCAAGCCCGAGCCAGATCTCCAGCAAATCACTGTTGACAAAGGCGAGTTCACTCGCACTCGCGATGCAGTACGTTTCTTTTCTTCATGTCGCGTCGTATTCATGTTGCGCCCATCTCCGCGACTCCATTCATACTGGAATTGAGCTCGTCGCATGTTGGGCACAATTATGTCATGTTGCGACAGACGCGTCTTCGGCCAACCTCGAGCGCGTCGCGAACATACAAACTCCACGACTCGACACTGACAGCAATAACAGCTTATTACCTCATGGGTCTCCCTCGACAATGCCCTCAAGAATACCATTACCGCCTACATTGATCACTCCAATGCATGGCTTGGTGGTACTGTCACCCTCGACCCCAGCATGATCGACCTCGGCGCATTCCTCCAGACTGGCGAACTCGTCACTATTGGTGGTGGTCCTCCTGCAGCTCCCGAGAAGAAGCAGAGAAAGAAGGCTGAGCCCAGAGACCCCAACCAGCCCAAGCGTCCTCTCACCGCCTACCTCTTGTGGCTGGGTGAGAACCGTGAGAAGATCCACGCCGAGCTGGGTCCTGACCAGAAGAGAGGCGAGATCTCATCCGAGGGCACCAAGAGATGGAACATGCTGCCCGAGGAGGTCAAGCAGGTGTGTTCATTTCATCAGCTCACAGTAGCACAATCGCTGACTTGAATACCAGAAATACAAGGACGCCTATGTCGCCTCGCGTGACCTCTACAACAAGGAGCTCGCAGAGTTCAAGGCCAACCGCGAGACTGCTGCTGCCACAAGCCCCAACGCTGACGACGATGAGGAGGAGGAGCCTGCTCAAGCCGCTGCCGCCGCTGAGTCCGACGACTCTGACGATGATAGCACCTCGGAAGAGGAAGAGAAGGAGCCCACTCCTCCTCCAGTCAAGACTCCCAAGTCCGCTGTCAAGGGTAGCCGTGGCAAGAAGGCCGCTCCCCAGCCTCGTCTCCTCCTCTTCCCACCTCCAGTCCCGTTAAGAAGGGTGCCTTCACCACTGTCAACGGCTCTAACAAGCGCAAGAGCAAGACCACTGACGCCGAAGCCGTCACCGAAGAGCCCAAGAAGAAGCGTGGTCGCAAGGCCAAGGAGGAGGATGTCCCTGCCTCCACTCCTGCCGAGGTTCCCGCCAGCGCAAAGAAGGACAAGAAGGAGAAGAAGAAGGGTCGCAAGAGCGTTGGTGGTGAGGCTTAGAACGCTGAACCATCCTTGCCTGGAGCCACTTCAGATGCTGTACAGAGTGACGATACACCTGTTGGTGAGAAAACTAAGAAGAGACACCGCAAGAGTCGTGAGGGTGTACCCAAGACCGAGCAATGAGGAGGTGAACCATAAAAAATATTGGAGGCGTTGGGAGGTATTCTGCTTTTGTCCTTTTGTTTCTCATTGTACATCCGCGTTTTTAGCGCTTCTCCTTGCTTGTTGCGTATTGATAGCATTTGTTTCTAGAACCAACAAAACCGAAAAAAAGAATAAAACAATAATTCGACGAAGTCTTGTGTCATGTCAGTTGTCTGCAGAAGAATGATTGCTTATTGCGAACTTATAGGTTGCCTTACTCATCTTAAAAATTCCCCCTGGCTCATCCGATTTCTGCACAAGGCGTCTCAATGACACATTTTCAAAACACAGCACACGTAACAAGCTTGCCTACCTATACCACTTCTCGAGGAAGCGATCAGGTCACGACTTCAAGCCCAGATTCTCTGAAGTCAACTGATGGATTCAGAACGACCACACGGATATCCTTGGCTCGCCGACTCCCTAGCAGCTGTATGCACCTTGAGTTCAAGAAGACTCCAAGAAGAGTCCCAGAAGCCACTTCTCTCGATGGGCACAGCTCAAGTATTGATTGGACCTTGTCTTTCTACAATGCTAGACGAACGGCGCCAGTAGCGAATAAAGTATATGGCGATACGATGTGATAATCGCCTTCCTCTTCGTCGTTGTTCGGCCCACGAAAGATTCCTAGTCACGTCCATCGTCACTCATTCTCGTTTGTTTATTGTCGACTAGGTGATCTTTCCCTCGACGACCCGTTGACTCTCTTCACCACATCACTAAATCACCACAACATCACGACACGCGCACAAGGCTCTCAACGCCAACCAACACATCCACTTCTCTATATAAAAAATACGCAACACCGATCATCACAATGACTTCCTACAACGAGCACGAAGAAGAGTCTCCCTGCCCCCCTAGAAAGCACGTGCTGGGCGATCGCACTGAGTTCAAGGGCAAGCCCTACACTCCCCCCTGACCCCAAGCCCAAGGTCAACTCTGAAGAGTCCTTCAAGCTCGCCACTTCCCACCACAAGGTCAACGACCCCAGATTCGAGGATACCGAGTCCCCTCAGGTTCAAGGCGAGACTGCTAAGCCTCCTTACATCCAGTCAGTCAGTAGTATCTCCTTCATTCAGCGGCGGACACAAGAATAGATCTTGCTTTCCTCTTCCTCACTCGAATCCTGCGATACCGTGCTACATTCCTGTGTGAACTTGTGGTGACACAAGAACCACTCGGGACAGTACTCACTGAGAGGTGGAAGCACACCAGCTCTCTCTGGCCACACAGCAAGTCTGGAAGAGAATTGTGCCTTTCAGTGGTAAGGGTTGCAGATTTTCGTGCCAGCTACTTCTAGCATCACGAGCACACACATTTGTAAAGTATTTGGCGGCAGACCAGTTACGTCGAGGAAGAGCGTGACTTGGTGTCAACACCGCGTTGTGGTCAAAGCTTGAAGTGTGAACCTTTTCTCCTGCTGACATCCTCACTCTTCCCTCTAACAAAACACAAACGATCGAACCTCAGCATTTCAGAGACGACAGCAAGAAACTCAGCTTGGTACCATCCTAGGAGTGATGCCGCTGAATCCGCAGCCGACTTGGGTTACTAGAGAGATAGGAAGGTACATCCAGATAGTGCGAACCTCACAGCAGCATGTAGGTTTGACTTGAAGAAGGAAGATGCAGCTGCACATACCCGCGCTTGCAATCACGACCACATAACACCGTGCGGACATCAATGATGGCTTCAACTCGAATCTTAACCGCGAAAAGCAAACAAGAAAGTCACATAACTTAAAACTAATAAATGTAGGCGAAAGCTTTCAACCATACGCCGACCAAGCACTCTGAATCTTGAAAGCTATGTAGTTTTCAGGTTTGAGCGTCATCCTCTGCGAGACGGCTTCCGACATTCTGAATCAGTGTTTTGCCGTTCGAATGACCATCATAGGGCAACGAAATCAGCTTTCAGAAACTGAACGATTAACTCGTTGAGCTCTTTCAAAGGTAGGCCAGGGGTGTTTCTCAGCAAATTTTGAGCGCCAACTTCGAAGTTGATGTTTCTTGCTTGGGTGCAGGCAGGTCGTTCTTTCTACGACCCCGTGCTATGGAAGAGATGCGATATATGCATCTGCCAAGCTCTTTTGATGAAAGCGGAGATCAAAGCCGGAGCGATGGGACCACCTCCAGCCTACCTACAGGACCCTTATTTCACGTTTGCCGATAAGTTCCTGCCTTCTTTTGCGATAGCTTCCTGATAGCTCTCGTTCTTCGCTCTACCCTCTTCTCTTCTCATTCCATCCCCATTGATAGCTTGATCTCTCTTCTTATTACTACACGGACATACCTCAACACCTTTCTCACTTACGCCTGGACAACATGGGCAGCTACGAGTGTGATTCGTGCACTCGCTGCTTCAACTCTTGGCGCAGTTGCATCCAGCATATGAACGATACGGGCCACCGGCGATGGCCTCACGAGTGCGAAACCTGCGATACGCGTTTTGGCACCAAGCGAGCTGTAGAGCAACACATGGAGGCTAAGGGTCACTTTACTTATCCTTACGACTGCGAGACTTGCAACGATTCCTTCCGTTTCGAGGATGATCGCGATGAGCACCAGGAGGAAGGAGGCCACTACAAGCACCTCCACTGTTCTGACTGTGATCGTTACTTCCAGAGTTCCAACAACTTGGCTCAGCACATGAGAAGTCGCGTCCATCAAGGCACTTCTATAAAATGTCCATTCTGCAAGGCTTCCTTTGTCACGGCCAGCGGCGTCTCACACCATCTGGAAACTTCCTCCTGCCCCAAAGCCAAGAACCTCTCCAGCAGCGTCATCCACCGTGCTCTTCGTCAACGCGATCCCAACGGCGTCATCACCGAACGTCTGCTTGAATGGCACGAAGGCAACACCATCAACTCAACTTGGAACCCCAACTCTGCTTACAATGGCAGTGGCTACGAGTGTTGCATTTGCCACCGCGAGTTCAGCACCTCCAGAGGCCTTAATCAGCATGTCCGCAGCCCTGTTCACTAAGCTCCTCTCTACCACTGCCCCAAAAAGACCGGCAAGTGTGGTGGTAGCNGCTTCCCCACTCTCGCTGCTCTCTTCAATCACTTTGAGAGCGAGAGTTGTGGCTTTGTCAAGTTCGGCGCTGTCCAGAAGAGCGTCACTGGTTTCTTGTCTGGAGGTGGTCAGAACTTGATTACCTTCTAAAGGTCTTGATCTGATATCGGGCCTGGTAGAGGCGATTGCAACGAGATGGATGTGTTCATCACACAGTACGAAAGAATGGTTCTTGAAAGGAGCGGGTCACTGTTACGCATTATTTGGATGTATGAACTTGGACAAATTCTACAGAGCAGATTCTAAGAGCAGCTAACCACACGAGCGAGTGGAAGGGAGAGGATCTTACCCTCTACATGTTCGCATGGTTGAGCTTGGCCTCCAAGTTATTAACAAGTCATGCATTGACGATGTATATCAATATCTGGATCATGACGTGGCGCTCTTTGAGATGGCGTAGAAGGAAGTGAAGGTCTGAGAGGCCCTGGCAGGATTGCCCATGAGGAAGAGCCTCGGGTAGCCTTAATTCACAGACAGCTCAGTTCGGCAAAGGAGAGCCCTGACGGCCACTGAGCAGAGGAATCTTCGCACAAGGTCGATCTTGCGAGACCTGATCCAAGAAGTCTTTTGTTGTCGGCTCGTGGATTGTCCAGAAGAACAATTTATGGATAGCGAGCATGCATAGACGCGAATATGAATAACAGAGTATAGTCGAGGCTTTTGTCGTGTGTCATGACTTTTCATAAGATGGTATGCCTTTCACAACTGTGCTGCTTCTATAGTCGTGTCTTTCGACAGTCAGAGTCGAGAACTGAATAGCTTATACTGCAAGAGCAACCAAGTCACCAAGTGATGTCAAGAAAGAAGGAAGGACCATGGTCGTTCGTGCACGGAGACCGCGCCGTCAAAGAGCTCGGACCGACAAAACGGCATGACGTTCTCGATGCTCTGGCTAGAACGACTATCTCACAACCATCGCGAGTCCATAATTTCCAAATACCTCTTTCTTCATATTACGATCATCCAGACCATTCTGCCTAGGCTGGTCTGAAGAAACACCAAATTCGAGAGCTGGATCTGGACGTTCTGGACTTAGCACAATTTCAATCATCAACATCAACAAAGCTCACGGACTCTTAGTCAAAGATGGACGACTCATGGCAGGAAACAGCATTTTCCTCTCGGCACATGCACAACAGACAAAACCGCAACACTGGTGGCAAAGGTAGCGGCGGAAAATCAAAACGCAACACCTTCGATGTTCGCAAAACGTTTGGAAGTTATACTGTTAAATGTCCCGCATGGCATAAACTCTACACTTCAGAAGATGGAGGTTCAGGTCAAGAAGCAGTGTTGGAGTTGTATAGATTGACGGAATGCGGTACTGGTGTGGTGGGAGAAATGTCGCTGCCTGGGGTGTTGAGAGCTGCGGTGCTTTTGGCAGCGAGTAGAAAGAGTTTGCAGGNNGGGATTGTGGAGAGGTTGAAACCTGTTGAGCCAAAGCAAGAAGAAGAAGATAAAGCCAAAGTCGACAACGAAGACGAAGAACAACCAAGCGACGAGGAGAGTGACGAAGAAGTTGATGAAGAATCAGAAGACGACCCCACACCCGACCGCTTCTCAACCTTCGAAAAGAACAGTTTCAGAGAGCCAAAGTTTTGGCTGCGCTGGAATGGTGTGCTGGAGTCAATGGCAGCAGGCGACGAGAAAGCAGAGTCAGGGCTGGGATATATCATTTTTCCGAGCAATGACTGTCGCAAGTTCAAGGGGACATTGAACTGTGCTACGCTGGAGTGGAAGGATGTTGCTTTTTCTGGGCATAAGATTGCGCCTAGGTCGGAGTCTGATATACCGGTTGCATGGGGCTCTGATGAGGTGCCTATGTGAGCGTGAATTTGTTTTGTAGAACAATGAGACAATGAAAAACAGCGATGGTCGCTACTACCCCAAACCACATACGAACTTGATACTACATCCACAATACATTCACGGTACACTGAACAAGACTCAAGAATATTTTGAAATGTAAAGAAATTCGATTGTTATAATCTACATCGAAAGGGGTATAATAATGCCATCATAGGCCACCGGGGCCTTATTCGTAAAAAATTGGGCTGCCGTGCACTTTCGCTCCAACAGCCATGCTAGGTAAACACAAAACTTTTTCTTTCGTTGTTTACAAAGTCGCCTTGCCTCTTGTCTCGATTGGTAGCAAGACAATGGCGACGAAGGCAGCAAAGAACAGACCACCTGATGCGTAGATGGGGGCGTTGGGGTTGGCACCAGCTGCATTGACGGCGACAATGGGTGCGCAANNAAGACCAGCAAGGCGGTTGAAGAAGCTAGAAATACCAGTACCGGTACCACGGTTGGGGGCGGGGAAGACCTCGGGTGTGTAGGCGTAAAGGACACCATACATGATGTTTTGGAAGAAGGCCTCGAGAGAGGAGAAAGCGAGTTGAGTGCCAGAGTTGGTGCTGGTGGTGAAGAGGAACAAGAACATGCCCGAGATGGCAGTAGCAATGGCCATCGTTCCCTTACGGCCAATGAATTTCAAGTTGACAGTGTAGCAACCGAGGAAAGATCCAGGGACACCGACAATCGAAGTGATGGCGTAGTTGCGGTAAGTTTCAGCGACAGAGTTGGCACCGCCACCACCGTTGCTGGCAAGGTACTGAGGCAAGAAGGCGTTGAAGAGAGGGTAACCCATACCGATGGTGGTCCAGGCGAACCAGATAAGGCAAGTAGTGCAGGCAAGCTTCCAGCCGTGGAAGAGAGGACCAATGCGCTGGGTAGAGAACTTGCCGGCAGCACGCTTGATGATGTCGGCAGTGCTAAGCTTGGCGTCCTCAGTGACATCGGGGTCACCACCGATCTGGTTAAGAATTTCCTCGGTCAACCAAGTAGTGGTCTTGTTCTTAGCAGCAATTCCCTGAACGACGTGAACAGCCTCGGCCTGACGACCACGAGAAAGCAAAAACTTGGGGGACTCGAACAGGTCGAAGATGAAGAATCTGACGATGAACATGCAGAAGGTGAGAGCGCCGAGAGTCAGGATGAAGTAACGCCAGCCCCAGTTGTCAGCCTTGGTACAGACGGCGGCGCCGGCAGCGCAGGAGAAGTTGGGAATGTAGGCCCAGGCGAGGAGGGAAGAGATCAACTGACCAACAGGCCACCAGATGGAGAGGAGGGTGAGAAGGTAGTTGGACTCGCCAGGAAGGAATTCGAGGAAGAGGGCACCATCGACAGGAAGGTTACCTCCAACACCAAGTCCAATACAGGCGTAAAGAGCGCAGACAGCAATCCAGCTGTTAGCGCCGCCAGCAGCGAGACCGAAAGTACCAGCAAGGAAGAGAGTGGTATTGAAAGCGTAGCGACGACCGATGATGTCGGAGATGACACCCCAGAAACTGGCGCCAATGCAGAGACCGGTGAAGAGGGCGAGAGTTGTGTAGCGAACTTCGTTGCTGCCAACGTTAAATTCAGCGGCGATAGGGTCCAGTGTCAAGGCGACACCTTGGAGCCAAAGGTTGTCAGCCATCCAGCCAAAGCCACAGAGGACGAAAAGCTGCCACTGGTATCTGCCCATTCCCATGTCTTGGATAGCCTTGTTGATGACTTTTGCTTTGNNCCTGTTGTGTGTTAGTCATTGAGATGCAAGGTTGGCAAGCAGAGAATGGTTTGTTCGTGAAATCGAAAGCACACTAATCTCGAGGTTATACATACGATCATAAGTAGTGTTGTGACCCTCGGCCTCGACATCAGAGTTGACTTCAGCTCTAAGAGACTCGAGAGTGGTCGTTGACTTTCCCGAGTTCTGGCTGTGTGTCGACTTCTCTCCGATGGAACCACTCTCAGTCTTGACGTTGGTCAACTGATCTTCGGCCTTGATCTCGTTGGAGAGACGTCTCTCCGATGGGAGTGGTACGACGGCATGCATGAAATCTCTTTCATCTTTACCCAAGAAGGTTCTCTTGAAGTATTCCATGTTCGCTAAGGTAAGTTGGTACAAGCCTACGTGCGAAGAATTGTTGCTGAGGGTAGGTAGTTGCAAGGGATCTCCTGGTTATATACAAAGTCGCTTGGGCACTCAAGGAGTCAGTTGCGAGCAATGCACGTGCAGTCGTTGCTTTAATGTTTCACTTCGAGATGTGATGGCGCAAGGGATGAGTTTCAGAGTTGAAAGTAAGCTGTCGAGTCGCAAGGGGTTGCAGTTTCGAGTCGAAGAAGGCGCGAGGCAGAAGTGTTGTCGAAGTTGCTCGGGAGAAGACAATTAAGTCCTCAAAGTCGCTTGGGTATGAGTCGTACAGAGGCGAGGGATGAGTCTTATCACCACGTAGCAACAGTGGGCGATGCTTGGATGTTGGTGGGGTAAGAGTTGTTCTTGATTATTTCCAAGATACCCTTCGAAGGTAGTCGCAAAAGAGGTAGAGTTGGTTGAGAAAGGAAAGGAGAGAAATATTGGTTGGAACGGGGTACAACGACGTTCTTATGCGGCGGATTGCAGGGTAACAACAATTTTTCGCCCATGCGGCGATACGACGACGTCGTTGTCCTCCGAACTAGTAAACTGACGCTGTGGATCGCCAAGGGCAGGATTTTGAGGCCATACGGCCAATCGTTGGGATGGTTGACCAATACCATGCGAGTGAGACAAGCGGACCGAGTGGGTCAAGCACATCGGGAAGCGCAGCGCGTGACGGCGGCGTGGTTTAGAATTCTTCCTTCGGTAGTCTTGGCGTTCGTCATTCAGGAACGATTCATGACCTTTGCCTTTCACGGTAACTTGATCCCTCGTTACCTTGACACATCGAATGCCCGGGGTATTATCTGGGGCTGTTTTACTAGTCGTAGAAGGATCAGCTTCCATGATACTCCGCATGGTTCGTAAATAGGATAATATTTATCTCGCATGGTGGCTGTCGCAAGAGGACTGAAACTCCAGGGTCGAGGCAGATGGTGCTGGACCGAGATGTGTGCACTGTGGAGGCGTGTGAGCAAAAAGCCACTGACCGACTTGAAAATTTTGCCGAACCGATTGGCTGAGCGGCTGGCTTCTGCTAAGCAACGGAACCGTAATGTTAATTGCGCCTCACGTGTTTGACTAGCAGGTTAATTTATCCCAGGGTACTCTACAAGACAACACAGTGTCAATACTCAATGGTTTGAGATGTTTTGCGACCGATTGGCATAACAAAATTCAGCATGAGGGTATGGACGGGATGGAAGGCGGGCGGGGAGTAGGATTCGGACTCCATAGAGTAGTAGGATCCGTTTACCAATGCCGTTTCTGTATGGGCATCCACTGGTTCCGAGGAGGCACAGCGCGCACAGGCAGGCTGCAGCTCAGACCTCGGATAGTGCCACCACTGTGTCATCGCTGGCTGCTGCGCGCCCTATCTCAAGCCTCCTCCAGGATTTCCAGGCACCAAGACGATTGTTACGTAGCAGGTGCAAACGACTTTCGGAATACTGAGGGCGGGCGCCGAAGCTTCAAGCTTGACAGGAAATTACAGCATCCCTCGACGCTAGGCATGGTCGGAGATAGGAAGGTTACAACGCGCATTGGCAAATCTCCCACGATCAACGCTGCTGGAGCAGATGTCAGAAGGAGGGAAAATGATCCTGTGCAAGCAGCAACGCGCATGCACAGCAGCCGCGTATGGTATACCGCATGCGACTACAGGCTTGGGATGTGCATGATTGTCCCGGCCGTCCATGCGGGGAGGGGTAGGAGTAAGGAGGCGTGCAAGATGCTTTACCCGAGTGGATTCATAGTTGCGCGGGGATTGTCAGAGCATACACGGTGTGTCGCAGGAGCCTGAAAAGTGGCGGCGAGGCCCTTGAGAGGTGTGTTTCAATCGTCTTGTGCTGGCAGACCGTCTCCGCATAAATGCTGTACCTGCATAGTGGGCGACGGTCGAGAGCGGCTGAGTTGTAGACGGAGAATATGCCCATCTCTTTTGTTCATGCATCTTTTTGGTGTCCATGAATCATGTTGTTATCATGCTTAAGAGCAATACCAGAAGGACTCGAGACTCTGAAGTCGGTCATTGGGTGCAAAGGTTGAGTGGAGGGAGCGGGATGGTCGCGCTGGGTACGTATGGTCGCAATGGATAGATGGTCGCAGTGGATAGGGCAGATATGGTCGCGTGGGTAGGGATGGTCGCAGTGGGTACAATTGTGTTGACAATCATCGAATTGATTGCTGGCCAAGACTGGTGCCTGCGTCAGTGGGCTCAGTAGGTAATGCTGATGTCCTCTCGGGTCCCAACAGCAAAGGACAGATATGAAGTCGAGGACCACTCGTGTTCAGGAGTGCCAGGAGCTGGGGTATCGGAGTCAAGTCCAGGGCAATCGGCCAGGGCAGACTGATCGGCATCAACAACAAACATCTGCCTCTAAGCGCTCGTGAACGTTGATTTCTCTGGCTGGAAGTCGACTCTTTATGGTTGAGGTAGGCACTCTCGAGCTCCCTCGTTTCCTTGGATGTGCCGTCTCAGGGGGCTTATCTGAATACGTCACGCGATGACCAACCTTGTGCGCCAGGACTTGGCAGTTGGCGCCAACTACAACCACACTTCCTAATTTCCAATCAGGGCAGCAAGGTCAACAGTAATAACCTCTATCCGTCAATCACAGGCGGCAGCGATGCTCTTATTCACTTCGCTAGGCACATACCTTTTATGTTCTTCAGGTTCTGTATCAATTACTGGTCTCTTGTCCACATAGCGACCAATTCGACTAAGACATAGTCTTCTGGCTCTAACTGCGTTTCACAGCTGCTCAGAATGGCAGTCTCTATTAGTCGGCATAGTTCTGAGGCCAACTGTTTTGATGCCAGAGCAAGAGGACTCTTGTCGCAGAGTTGTTGGCCTTCGATTGTACTTGTTCAATACATGACAGCACAGAGTGCTTTGCACATGAAGTCCGGACTACGATACTACTAGGTTATCGCGTGCAGAGCAGCAACATACGCAAGGCAACAATCTGGCCAGTTTAGGCAGCAGCATTCGAGCCATATATACAAAGAGGCTTGGACTTCTATTCGACGTTCTGACCAAACATAAACGACAGCCATGGCATTTCTCCCTCCAGACTTTCTATTGACGCCAGCGCCCGACGCTACAGTGACCCGCATCGACTTTGCCAGCACACCATTACCGGAGTACGCCAACCTACAAGCTTTCGTAATTGACAATGCCCTTACCTCGTCAGAATGCACTACGCTCCTCTCGGCCGCAGAAGCCAGTGATACCTGGCAAAGAGCCATGATTCAAGTCGGCAACGGACGCCAGAGACAAGAGGATGACCAACGCAAGTGCGGACGTTTGATCTGGGATTCTTCAGGTGTGGCTCAGAGGATATGGGACAGAGTCAAATCGTTTGTCTCTGAGATTGCAAGACTAGACAGGCAGGCAGAAATCACAGGTGGAAGTGCTGTCATGCGAGGCGAGGTATGGGATGCAAGTAGGCTGAATGAGAGGTTGAGATTCTTGAGATATGAAGGCGGAGAGTATTTTCGAGGTTTGTTAAGCTCCACACTGAAGAACAGATAGATATTCTGGTCGTTTGCTAAAAACAATACAGTGCACGAAGATGGAGTCTATCAAACGTCTGATGGANAGCGAGAGATCCTTCTTCACATTCCATCTCTATCTGAATGGTCAAGGCGGGATCAACAACACTTTGACCACAGGAGACGACACGNNCTGCAGGGAGGAGCAACGACCTTCCATTCGCACAACATGAAGCGAAGATACGATGTTATGCCCAAGACGGGCCGTGTACTCATCTTTCAACACAGGAGCCTCTGGCACTCAGGCGATGATGTGGTTCGAGGTGTCAAGTACACAATGAGGAGCGACATTCTGTACAAGCGCGTGGAAAATGTTCAACAAAGGTCTGAGTAGGCTGTCGAAGTTTGCGAAAGAGCCTCTAGGTCGCTGACTATCCAGGGAGTAAATAATCCGGATCCTTCCTTCGCACATTTGTACCAATAAATCGCTACTTCTGAATGAAGATTTGTCAACATTGCTTTGGCTGAATCAGCGTTCGATCAAGATTCCTACGACCACATTGATCGACTCTTCATTGTGCACGAATATAAATTCCGGCAGAAAGTCTGCTTGGCGTGCTTTCGTGACTTCGATCGCTCTTGCGTTTTCCGCCGAAGCTTCCCGACTCTCAAGGATCTCAAGCAACAAGGAAAGTGCGCATCAGAGACGATCTCGAAAACCTACGCCATGACATCTTCTCACTTCCTCGGACTTGGTCTTCCTTCGCATTGATCGCGCATCGAGTTCTGCCAAGCCTCGCGACGCCGAAGCTTCCCTCGCACAAAATTATGCATCAATCCACCCGATTCCACCACAACTCGATCAAATTTTGTCCAATCTCTTCCATTCTTCTTCCTACACATGCAACAACCAAAAGGAGTGTTCGACTGTGCTCAAAAGAGCAAAAAAAAACGACGCCTGCAGGACTCGAACCTGCGCTCCCGAAGGAAATAGATTTCTAGTCTATCGCTATAACCACTCAGCCAAAGCGCCAGGGATTCCGAAATTTCGCCGAATCCGGAAGGATCGACTGTTCGAATGAGGAAAACGCGGTCATTTGAGTACATATCCCTCTAACATTCAAGAAGGAGCGACGCAGTAGAAGTCGCGGTCGCGCCTGTCTGACCTGGGATCGACCTAAGATATCACAAATTTGAGAGAAACCGAATAGATAATGCTTGAGGGAAGTGAATCTTGGGTTGCGATCAGATGTACGGGCAAACATTGCTCAGTTTGCATTATCTTGCATCGACAACCCAGACATGTTGCATCTTGGATGCCAACTCATCCAATGGTACGTTCTGATCATCAAACCGATTTGTGATTGAGGAGTAGTACCGCTAGCTAACCATTCCAGGAAAGAAAACATTGCTCGGCCTGTTGCACTGTGTTGTCATTGCCGATTCCTCTGCGAAACAGGGTTGTACCATCAGCGAACCGAACTCGGCAAAATTTCGTATCGAGGCTTCATTCCAACCTCGCACTTTGCTCCTCGATCCCTACGTCTGCATCTTTACAGACATTACAATCCTGCCGCTAGACTGACGGCATATCGCAATATGTTCTACCGAAACCAGCTCGAGGATTATCTGCACTGAGAAAATGCTACAGTCGCTTGGTTCTTCTCGAGTCCGCACGTATCGCAACGCAGGTCGGCTGCCACACATCACCTTGAGCAGTAATACACAGCACGCATGTTCATCAATCTTGTCTTGATGGCATCGCTGAGAAGGCATCAGTTCTGGATGAAGCTTAACAATATCACGCCTGCCATGACAGCCTTGCGCGAAGCAGTCACAGATCAGAATCTTCTCGGTCGCACCACTTGCAGCTCTGGCATTGCGCTCCTCTTCAAAAGTTTACCCAAGGACATATTGCAAACAGCCAAACTTCCACTCCATCAACCAATACCAGCTTAGCTGGCTCATCTTCATTGGTCTAGTGGTCATGATTTCCGCTTGTCAAGAGTAAAATCTCGTCAAGCGCGGGAGACCAGGGTTCGATTCCCTGATGGAGAGCACATTATTTTGTTTTTTGCTGCATTCATCCTATATCACAGAATCGTTGGGATACTAGGATGCTTTTTGTTTTGTCTGAAGCCTCTATAGTTTGTTCAAATTCAGGTCTTTATTTTTGGGATCCATAAATCTCAGTCAAGCTTGCAAGCTAAACGAGGAGATAGCGAGCTTCGATGTGTGGTTAGACATTATCATAAGAGAGCATTATCAGTTTACCCACCATGGATACTGACTTGCTTACGTCCAACGATATCATGAAGTTCTGACATCAAGCTTGGGTATGTAGGTCCGAAAGCGGATGCGGAATGTAGCCCGCGCTATCGGCTTCCAATCCGGACCACAAAGGCCTTTGGAACTGTGATTGTGTCAAGAAACATCGAATGTGTCCTTAATGTTGATTTTTTTTCTGTAAAATGTGGTTTGTGACACATTGTGAGATCAAATCCTTGTGCTTCTCAGGCTACGTCACGTCCACTGGCAAAAATGTCGGATGGCTCAGATATGGAGATTGATCAGACACCACCGCCTCCTGGTGCTAGTCAAGCTCTATCACTACAGCCATCATTCCCATTCAATCCTCTGACTTTTAACCATCTCGATATACCTCAAAGCATGCGATCAGTATGGAGCCAGGATCCACCGATAGAAGTAGCCGATGGTAGCGAGATTGACATACATGCTACAACATCCGCAAGAGAATACTATCGAACAATGATCACGACATATGTTTCTCCTGCAGTCAAAGCGTTGGGAAAGAACCCATATCCTGAATTGCGTCAAAGGCGATATATCCCAGAGTTACACACACATACACCTAGATACGATATCAACCAACCCTGGATAGGAACATCGCCAATCTTATCGTTTATCAGTTAGTGATTAGTTTATTCTCGTCGTTAGAATGAATCGCTGACTTGAGGGTTTTGTGAAGCACCCCAAGAGCTTCAGCGCTTAGGTTGCATAAACTTAGAAACCGATGACAATCCTGAAATTGAAGTATCACCACGATTCAGAGTCGATACTGCAACACTAGCATCAGCAAGTACAGACCGAAGCGTCATGAACATCATCGGCAACAACAGAGATATCCATCCCTGCTTTCGGAGAACAAATTGGAAAGGCACTTCGGATGCCGAGTACGAATACCTCAAACCAGTCCTGCGAATTGCAACAAAGATGATGGAGATGGATGGTGTCTTGGATCTGTGGTTTGCTTTGGGACAGCCCATGCAACAGCTGCCAAAAACCAGGATGTTGGAAGCTCAAAAGCAAGAGCATCGGGTTTACTATACAGGCAGATCCACGGTAGGTCAGAGAGTGCATACCAAAAGTGAGATGGAAGCACTCTGCGACTATGTGACATTTTCATGGTTGCATGAAGACGACTGTCGTGGGTCGACGCATACAGATGTCAATAAGAGAGGGCTCCGCCCAGGCAAGCAGCGGTAGGTGATTGCCAGAAAAAAAAAATTACGTTTCGAGGACAATTGTTGACGACTCTTATGTAAGCCGTGCGTGCGAGATCAAACTCGATACTTATCCTCTCTATATCATCTCTGGTGGAACACAATTCAATGTAAGTCAGCTCCTCAATGCCAACCCAACTTCCTGCTCACCTTTCTGCAGGCTTCTTACTATAATCCTGCAGCCTCAGATGCAAGTGCGTACATGCGAACGCAACTCCTCCTAGCAAACGTCATAATCCATGAGATGACTCATGCTTGGGNNTTGTAAGTTGTTCCTCCGGCCGCAAGCAAGCCCCCAAATGTCAAATGACAGATGATGCATCTTCTTGTAAAAGAACCATGACTAATCCACCCTTGCAATTGCCAGAGAAATGTAACAACAGAGCACCATGATATATACCCTTTCCGCAACGACGATAGAGTTGGAGAAGAAGGTTTCGCCCTCGAGACAGTGATAAACAAAAACGTCATCCTTTGCGAGACCCAAGCAAACATCAGTATTGACACAACACCTTTCGGTATTTCTACAGAAAGATGGCCTGGACTGGAAGCTCGAGAAGGTTTGGTCATCAAAGCTAGTGCGGCAAAATACGGTATCGGATTTGGCGAATCGTATGCCGTCCCCATGAGCGTGAGTTCTTCCATAAACTGGTTGCAGGGTATGTTTAACGTCTAACTTGTTCATTCAGNNTACGTACAGCAATTCTTCCTAGATGACTTCTGGGACAACCGTATTCAGCGATTTGGTGACGGAGCCGTGAACAACTACAAAGCTGTGGGCGTGCGGTTTTCACAAGCTGACCAACTTGACTATGACGATTTGGAAAGTCCGACGATAAAGCAANAGCAAGATGCCTTGACAGGCGCATGGGAGGAAGATCCCGAGATTGATTCTGATGCCGAGTATCCGGATGTGGACGAGGGAATCATTTACCCGAATAGGATTTTGACTCTTTTGGGTCAAGAGATGAGTGATTCTGATGTTGAAATGGGAGATGGGGAAGAGAGAGATGACGAAGACGATGATGACGAGGCAGAGTAATACATAGACACCGAATGATGTGATCTGCTGTCAGACTTTCTTCGCCAGCTTGACGATCTCTCGAGTCAAGTCCACTCGAATCAAGCATGATCCGATGCAACTATGTATTCCTGATGAGTTGAGTTGTTGCTCCAGTATGCTGAGCAAAAGAGTCAGCCTTTTCGGTGTTGTTGTTTTCTTGCTGGTGGTGGCTTCCTAACTTGGCACCATGTGAATCCCTGCGTTCTGATTCTCCCTGTGGGGAACAGCAGTCGTTCAGCGACTTGTGTCTGTATTGGATATGAACTTGCTGCAATGATCAGCTTCGACAAACAAAGAAGACATACTTCAATTCGCAAGCTTGCGTATGTATACAGTTGTGGTAGTTTTCTTTGTAGCTTACTGCCGAATCCGGTCAACAGAGACCTTTGAGTAACAAAACTTTCCTTCTGGTTTGATTAGCTGTGTATTCTCGTGCTGCAATTATCAGTACACTATATCAGTCTCGACTTACACGCTGACCGTCTTTTCTTTTCTGAGGCTACAACAACATCTTTGATTGCATACAGATGTCAAAGATGTCAACACCGAAGTTATGCTCCGGACCTGCGCCCGCACCGCCTTTGTCTCCTTCCGATGTATCAACTTTCGATCCTAGCACCTTGGAAGACGACGAGTTGAGGCAAATGATCGTTGACCCAGATCTGTGTTCAATCGGCACAAAACCCGCGCTGAAAGACGCCACACCGAAACGCGACTGGGCGAGAAGAAAATATACAGTCGAGGTATCTCCGTCTGTGCTGGCTCTTGGCAAGAACCCGTACCCAGGGCTAAAGCAGATCCGCTCGATACCTGATCTGAATAGAGACACCCCAGCTTATGATCACTGTCAACCTTGGTTTGGAGACAATCCGCTTCTAAGATATCTCACACCCTCAAAGTTGATGGAACTAGGGTGCATCAACACAGGCACTGGTCTTTTTCACCTATTTCGCCTCAATTCCGGATCGACCAAGAGGTCGCAGCAAGAGCTAGCAAACAGAGAACTGCTCCAGGGCTCTATATCGGCAACCACGATGGTATTCATCCGATCGTACGTCGCAATCAGTTCAAGCTCACATCCGATTACGAATATGAATGTCTGAAGCCTACCCTAAGGATTGTGACCAGGATGCTGGAGATGGATAGTGTTCTCGATATGCTGTGGGCGCTGGATCAGCGTTGGACACAGGTAAGAGGGACAAAGAAGATGAAGGATGTTTATGTATATTATACTAGTCAATCGACACCTCAGCAGAGGCGACATACTGCTCACGAACTAGAAAAGCTGTCAGAGTACGTACACTTCGAATGGGGTGATACAAAGAACTTGGATAGCGTCTCAGCACGAGTCTTGACCATCGATAAGCCGGGGTTAAGAGGTGGAAAAACCACGTGAGTTTCACCCAGCTTAGGTCCCTCTAGTATTTGGTGTGAGTGTGAAAGTTGGCTGATATTGAGCCGTATACCAGGTGTGCATGCAGGGTCGGACTTGACAACGAACTTCGATACATCATCGCGGATGGTAGCGCGTTGCTTGCAGATCTTTACAATCCTCGAGCGCAAAACATGTCTTCTTTCTTGCGTACGCAACTTTGGCTGGCGACAATTATCGTTCATGAGTTAGGTCATGTTTTCCGGTAATGCGCGTGTCTCTCTTGATTTGTCTGAGGACGGCCGCTGACTGGATTATAGTCTCAGCACGAATCGCCTACCTGAAGTGAACCCACCCTTCTGCAACGATAGTCGTATCTCAGAAGAAGGAAATGCCTTGGAAGCGGCAGTCCACGTATGTAGACTATACCCTCATCTGTGAGCTAGGACTCGAGCATACCGTTATAAGAAAACGTCGAGTCTGCACGGACGAAGAAGATGAGTTGAAAGAACGGCTCACTGATGAGGGGAAACATATCCGTGCTTGAACGGAATTCTGCTGACTGTGGTTGCAATGCAGAAAGGTGTGATAATGGAGCCGAACAATGCCAATCCAAGACTGCTCACGACGCCTTTCGGGATGGTGGCATGGAAATGGCCAGGTATCCATGACGGCGAGTATTTCGATCTGAGATCCAGATGGACCCTTGAAGAAGAGGCACCACTGTATCATACCTTTTACGCAATGAAGATGGAGGTAGTACACATGGCATCAAAAGGTACAATAAGCAAAGGCTGACAGATGCAGTACATGCGGGATTTCTTCAACGATGAGTTCTGGAATCAACGATATTTGAGATTCGGGGGTCAAGCATTCTCAGGATTCGCGGCAGTCGGGTTACGTCTTGTCTGGGAAGATGATCCAAGTGCAGAGAAGGTAAAGCACGATGCGCAGACTGGACTAGAATTAGAAGCGGATGAGTGGATGCCGGGTGTGATAGATGTCGGCATAATTTATCGCGACAGGGTTTTGGATCTTTCTGGTGAGAGGGAGATAGCTAGAGAGGTGGGGAAGGCGAAGACGGAAGAAGAAAAAATGATAGACGAAATAGCAGAGGGGCTCGCGGTAAGAGACATGAAAAAGTTGAAGATTGGGATGAGAGAGAAGATGGGAAGCCCAGGAAGGAGTCCTGGAACGAGTCCAAGAAGGGGTTTAGGAAAGAGCCCAGCAAAGAGTTCGATTAGAAAGAGGACACCCAGGAAGTCGTGACGCCGCAGAACAGCAGCACGGATAATGACAAGAAGTGGATCAAACGGGTGATATTTCGAATTAGATGATATACAAGTGCTCACAGTCAATAAAATTAAAAGAGAATTGCCTCAGTGCGCCCAGGCGACAAACATCGGAGCTGACCGTGGCTTCTGTTTCTAGTTAGCGCGGTTAGCCACGACTCCTTCTGTGTGTCGTCTGGGGTCAAACTATGAGATTTTAGTAGTAAGCGGGAAAGTTTTGATTCGAAATTTCGACTTTTAGAGCGAAATGCGCAACAACCACTAGATATAGCATTATATACTGTGGTGTAAAGACTCAAAACTATAGGATACATCAATAGATTACAAATCTATAATGCCTAAGCTAGATATTCTTACGTAGGGCGCCTTAAAACATAAAATTTTTTCTAGTAGTAAGCGGGAAAGTTATATAAATTTGCTAGTAAAATCACTTAATCCTTATTTCTAGCTATACCACTATATCTAGCTACTTAGCTATACTATTTCTAGGTAGTATATATACCTAAAAAGCTAGTATTAAGTTTTTAAAGAAAATTTATTAACTAGATATACTAATAATTATAGTTCGAAGTTAAGGATAGGGTTGCTACCTTTATAACTCCGCCTTTAGCAAAGCTAGTTAAACCACTATAGTTAGAATAGTTTAACTATAATTGTTTAACTACTTTATAACTAATTATAGTTAGAACTTTTTCTTATCTAGTAGTATATAGCTAATTCTACTTATATTCCTAGACTTCTTATTATAAAATAAACTATCTTTTTAATAGAAAATTTTCTAATTAAGTTAGTTAAATAGCTTAGTTAAGCATTAGTTAAAGATAAGTTTAACTACTTTTTAGTTAATTGTTTAACTAACTTTTATTAGAACTTCTAGAGCGGACGTTACATAGAATCGGTAGAATTTCGGCTCTATACTATGCTATACCACTACTTCTAGCTAATATTCCATTCTATGTTAATTATCTAGTAGAATAATGCTAATTCTAACTCCGTCGTCGTCGTTATAGTTACCCTATCCTTCTTCTAGGTCACTCTATCCTTTAAAGTTATCCTCTAGCTCTTTTACGTAATCTTCCGGTCCTTCGTTAGTAGTAATTAGTGGGTTAACCTTATTAAAACAAAGGTTCTTCTACTAGCTCTTAAGGCACTTAATATAGCTAAGATTATTAGTAGAGAGGCTTACTCGGTCCTATAATAGTGTCCTTCTATAGCTACTAAACACCCTCTCTAACTTAGTAGACATTAGATTAATTAAGAGGATATTAATAGCTATCTAAGAGAGGTTTAGATAGTTATGTTACTACGTTAGCTTAAGCTACTACTATATAGCATTATCAACGAGTACTAGAGGACTCTTAGTAAACTAGATAAACTCCTTAGGTATAGTAACTAAGTTTATAAACCGTATAGAAGCCTACTACTTAGCTAGCTAATTCGACTCCTCTTTATTTAACAATAGTGCTATTATAATAGGCTTAGTCTTATTCTTATATTTAGTAGTCTATAAAGCGCGTATAGTAGTAATAGCTAGTGTTCGCTATAACGGAGGCTAGTGTTATTTAATATAGTTCTCGTAATAAGTTAGATAGAGGAGGAGCGCTACTATATAGGTAGGAGTATAGTTATTAATAGCTTACTACTTATTAAGTACAAATTAGCTAGTTCGGATTACGGTAATAAGGGCTTAGTCGGTAGAAGCATCTTATTATATATACTTTTTATAGTGCTTACGTAAGAAGTCCATTAATATAAGCACTTAATTAAGAGTTACGTTATCGCCTTTATATAGCTTTATTACCTCCTATAATGGTTCTATAAAGTTAATAAGCGCTTTAAGGAACTACTAGTAGCGCCGCTAAAGAGTAGTATACTCTGTATACTCGTTAGCCGACTAAATAGCACGTATAGTTACTCGAGACTAAATCCCTCGCTTAATTATAGCTAGCTAGCTATTCTACCTTATAGTATTATTAAGTATAGGAGATATACTAGCAGCTACCTTAAACTTACGACGACGGCGAGCTAACCTTATAATCTACTCCGAAAAACTAACGGAGGTAGTCGAGAGCTTTATAATTAGTAAGGCTAGTACCTTAAGCGAGCGTTAAGATAGCTTTTAAGGGATCTTAACTCTAATTAATTATAGTAGCTATAGTGTCTATTAAGCTCGCTAATATAAGTGCTTAACTAGTAAGATTAATCTAGTGTCTAAAGTAGCGAGTTCGATGTTATATAGGGTCCTAATCGATAGATAGACGCTCGCTAAATAGAGTAGTAAGGTAGCTCATTATAGTATCGTTATAAGTAGCATTATTAGAGGTAATATATCCGATCTTCTACTCGATGCTATAGGTAATAATAGTATTAAAGAATAGAGGAGTACATTAAGCACTAGTATAGCTAGCTAATAGCTTATAGAGAGCTAGTAGTGCCTTACTTAACTTACCGTCTAAGTCGATAAATCGAGCTATAATACTAAGTAGCTTATAGCTACCATAATTAGCTATCTAAGCATCGTAGGTAAAGTAGATTAATAATCGAGATATTATAAGTAGTGCCTTAAGCTGCTCTTAATAGAAGTCGTACTCCTTCTTAACGTGTTTAGCGATAGTAGAATAACTCTTAATTAAGAGCTTTAAGGCGCTAGGAAGCACCTTATTAAGTAGCGTATAGAGTAGAGGATTACTAGTAGTACGGAAGGGGATATTACTTAAGGTAATGTAATCGATAAGTCGTCGATTTAAGCGAGTTTTGTCGATATTAGTAATAGTATATAATGTCTAAGAGGGTATTACTACTACTAGCATCTTTAAAAGTGTACTAGTTACCTATCTCTAGCTATGTCTCTTCTTAAGGTATAATCTAATGTTATCGTAGTTAGTAGTGTTATAGTTACGAGGACAGTCTCTATTACTATAGAAGTAGTACTGGATCTTCTTCTTACGCTTACGCTTACGCTCTCTAGGACGACGAGCTCTAGTATAAGACTAGAGCTCTTTAGAATCGCTACGGGTAGGAGCTAGTTTTCGAGAGCGCTATATTAACGTATATTTAGAGTTATTAATATAGTTACTAGCGGTTATTAGCGTTAGTCGTCGTCGCTTTAAAGGAGGAAATAATAGCTAGTCGACATTAGAGGCGCTATCGTTAGCCTTAGAGTTATTACCTTTAATAAAGATACTATCTAATTAACTCTAAAGAGCGAAGAGTCTAGGCCTTAGAGTATTAGAGGCGAATTTAAAGAGGGTACTCTATTTAGAGGCGTATAGCGGCTAGCTCTAAGATAATCGAGAGTTTAGTTAGCTTTATAGCTCTTATAACTTATACTCTTAATTAGCTAGTAAATACATAATATAAGGATTATAATTAAAGGTAGATTATATGCTTATAAAGATAGAAAGATAATAAAGAGCTAGGCTCTAATATTAAGTAAGAAGGTAGAGGATAGGATAGTTAATAAATTAAGAGGAAGTAGTTAAGACGCGTTAAAAGGACGCGTAAGGCTTCGTATAAGCTAATAAAGAATTAGCTAGTTAGAGCTCGCGATCTAATCTCCGAGATAAGATCTAGCTAATTAAAGAGCTTAAATAGGTTACTAATCGGAAAAGGCGTTATAGTAAGTTTTTAAACGCGACTACTATACCTAAGCGTAGTACACTCTAAGCTAAGGCTTACTATTATTAACTATAGTAATACTAGCTATACTAAGTAGTAGAATGGTAGAATATTCTACTTAAATTAACGATTCTATTCTATGCTAACTAGGTGGAATATTCTACCTTAAATTAGTGGAATATTCTAATATTCCACTTATTCTATGCCATTTAACGTCCGTACTAAGAACTTCTACTTAGACTATGCTAAGAGGGCAACCCTGTTCCTATTCTCATATAGCGCATCTAGCTATTGCGCAATTATTCGAATAAATATAGGATCTATATATACACTAAAATAAGGGTTTCTAGCTATGCTATCGATTTAATATGTGTTAAAAAGCCTTAGTATAAGAGCTTAAGTGCGCAATGTGAAAAACAATTCTTCACTAAAAAACATTCCCGCTTACCACTAAAATCGCACGGTTTGACCCCAGACCGCGTAGCGGAAGTCCTAAAGGTCACGTGAGCGAAACGCGGTCTGGGTACACCGAGGCAAAAAGAGAATAAGTTCAGAGGTTCGTGATGACGTTGCGCGCCAAACTCGCGTTGCCGAAATCGCGTCACCCTGGAGATTGGCCGTTGATCAACAAGTCGACCATTTTCGCACAACATATCATACACACTTGAACCACAAAGTAACAAGCTCTGTCTGCATCACAAAGACACAATGGCGTCGACAGCTTCCATCAAACGCAAGCGCTCCGGCGAAGACCTGACCGCAAACACCTCGAAACGAGTCCTCCGTCCACGATCCGTTCCTGAAGTCACAACAATACATATTCAGCCAGCTTCCACCTCGAAACCGCGCGTCAAGAAGCCCATCACAAGAAGACTGCCACAAGTCGAGTCAACAACATCCACAAGCCCTGGCTCGAACCTCCTTCTCCAGAAAGACCAGATCATCGAACAACTGCGACTTGAGCTTGCCGAAGCAAACAACGAACTCGCCATGACACGAAAGAGATTGCTAGAGACCGAGAAGAAGTTGGTCGATACCCAGAAGAAGGCTGTTGACGAAGCAACCGACTCTGCTCACGGCTGAAAGACTGGTGTCAAAACGTTGCTTGAAGAAACCTCCACCTAAGTCCGGAACGGCTACAACATCCCGACCAACACTTTGATGACTATCTCAAGACTGCAAATAATCCCGAAGAGAAAGAAGTATCGTTACCAGTTCTTAAATTGGTGATGGCCGTTGCAAGACAGATGCGACACTTTCGGAGAAGAGAAGCATTTATGATGACACCGGAGAACTATTTGTCGAAGGCATATGCTCGACAATGCAGAAAGAGATACAGCGATGAAATAGGGAAAGATAATGGATGCTGCAGAAGCTGAGTATCCAAGACACCCATAAATGGCGGAGACTACCCGCAGGAGTGGGGCGCAGGAGGCTCCTTCCTTTATCAGATCGTCACGCTGGAGAATATCGTATGAATCAATGGGTTCCTGTGCTTGATGGACAAGGGCGATGCTGTTTAGTTCTTGTAAGCTCATTATACTCTATTTGTATTTGATAAATTGATTGGCTTCGCGGCATCTTCGCTTGATGCGCGTGCCCCTCATTCCCCGCCATCTCTCTCGATCTTGTACGTACTTGATACAACACTTGCTTTCTTCTTCTTCTTCCTCCTCTTCTCCTCCTTCTCTTCTTCCTCATCTTGTGTTAAACCAAAGCAAAGATGCCCCTAAAGTAGCCAACAAGCGACAATACTCGGCCATCGACGTCGACTCAGAAGCCGGGTCTTCAGCCTCGGAAGGCACCACCCGCGCCGCTCCCCAAAAGAAGACATTAGCGACTAAGAAGACTACTACCAAAAAAGCACCCGCAGCCAAAGGCCCTACAGTCAACAAATTGTACAAAGACAGCGTCAGAGCCATTGAAGCCCACCTCAAAGTCCTCGATGGAAAGGTCCGCAAGATGAGCCCCAACAGTCGCGCAATCTCGACAGACACATACGCAGACAAGTCGCTCAAGTTTCTCAAGCCTGTGAAAGAGTTGGAAAAGATGGATGGAGGATTGGTGCCTGCATTCAACCTCGCAATGTATGTGGCCGAGGCCTCGCACACCGATTGCGACACCACATCCAAGATGTCCGGCTATGGTGAGAGCGAGTACCCCTTTGGTGTCTTGGATGAGCAACTACTAGAGTTGATTGAGAAGAGAAACACACAGTCGCCAGCAAAGCGACAAGCAGAGCTACCTACCGTACCAAAAAGATGGACAAGACAAGATGCAGATGTGGGCGTGTTCAAAACTGGAAGACCCAATAAACAACAATACGGCCAAATGGAAAGACAGAAACTGGATTGGGAGAAAGATAGAAGGGAANAGAGGAGTGAGAGGAGAGAGACTGTTGATGATTGGGTGGCAGTCGCTCTCCAAGATCTTGTGGAAGAGAGGGATTATCTCGAACAATATGGAGTCGAGAAGTATTTCCCCAAGAGTATCAAGAGGCTGAGCGAGCTGTCGGGATCCGGAGATGCGACAGCTGGGGCATCAGGCGATGCTGCGTGAACATTTGGGTGCTTGACCTGCTGGTAGGAACCGAATCACGAAGTTCTCGGGACCGTGAACATCTCAGATTCGGAATGGTTGGTATAATGGTCCACTAGGAGTTCTCTGCATCAAGACAGCGCATCATGATTGCTGCTACCATGTTAGCTGATACTGCAGATATGTTAGTGACATCGATGTTTCTTGAAAAGCAAAGTATTTTTCTCCTGAAGCTCATCCTGGTTGATCAGACTGTGGTAGACATAGCCGCTAGACGTAATCGGTTTGGTTCCTAGCTGTTTATTTTATCATGATTTTGTCGGGAGGTGAAGAACCTTGGAAAGGAGAAGACGGAGGTGTGGATCAGCACGAAGTGTTTTAGTTGACGATAAAGCAGAGTGAGGGACGTGGTGAGCAAGTGAGCAGCTCTCATGCCAATCGAATACCGTGCAAGCACAGCAAGAACGTTCTTTCCTTAATAACTGCTGCTTGCCTGTCCCATCGCAACTGCATCAAAGTTCGCCTGCCTTGTAGTGCGTCCGTGTCAACTTCCGTTTATTATCGTCGTTCACGACGTCTATCTCTGGTACGGTGAACACGCAACTCATCTGAATACTGAGATTGACCACAAGAAGCACTCACAAGGACGATCAGAGCCGAAGTCAGTCTGCGCTCGCAATGTCACCTTCTCGTCGCACATCTCAGCCGCGCTCGTTCGCCTCAATGTATGTGTCACACCTTCGCTTCATATTGTATCGGCTGACATTCCTCAAGCTATCTCAACGATCGAACAGCCATGTCGACTACTGAAGACACCAATCCCACTCCCCAGCTCGACCCTGCCGCACCCGACGGCTCGAAAAATGCTTCCACAACTACAATGACCACCGAAGAAACCTTGAGAGCCAGAATCAAGACCCTCGAGAGTCAGCTTCAAGCCTGTCAGGAGGAAATTGCGCACTTGAACAAGATCGTGGACGCAGCGGCTTTGTTCTATGACGATATGTGCAAGATCCACGAGAAATACCGCTAGGCTTAGGATGCAAAAAGCACACACAACAACATGTGGTATCACAACGCGATTCACCTCTTCGTCGTTTGAGATAATTTCTCTGGTCTCCGTAACGCCGACCACAAGTCCTCCCAACCACGTACCCACCTTACGTATGATATGTAGCCAAGAATGCAAATGCCGGTGGCCTATCTCCTCTTGCCTCCCTCCAGTGATGTACCATGAAGTTCGTTAACAGCAGCGGCGTCCAACTCGACAGGGTCCAGTGTCAGCCTATGCTTTCCTGGCGCCCAAACTTCTGAGGGCAGCGATGATGATGCCGCAGATCCTGTTTCGCAAACTTCCACAAGCCCTGGGTAAGATTTTTCAACACCGACTTGGGCCGCTCTCGTCTTCTGTCGCCTGAAGAAAGCCCAACATACTCCAGCAACAAGTATGAGAACAGCTATAACACCAACAACTATGCCTGCTGCTGTTCCTGAGGATAAACCCTTATGACCATTTCCGTTGGAACGTCCCGAAGCATCAGAGTCACTACGCTGGAATGCCGTAAGCTTTGAAGACCATGTCGATTCCCATGATGGTGCCTTAATCATCAGAGCAACAGAAGAGGTGTCATTCGCTGAGATTGTAGCCAGCGAAGAGTCGGCCATGTCTGGACCAGGTGCCTGGGCGAGCATCAACTTTCCTGTTTGCCAATTCTGCGCCATGAAAGCGCCCTGCAGAAATGCACGACCAAGATGGAATCTGCCATCGGGAGATTGATACGGTGAGCATGGAAAATACTGAGTTGGAGAATTGACGAGCGGGCACTCTAATGTAAGATTGAGAAGTGCGAATGGCAGATAGATCGTGCTTGTTGAAGTTCCTGAACTGAACTCGAAGGAGAGATAGGAAGGTGATGTTATGACGTTTTGGTACGAAGGGGCTGAGGTGTTCCATATGTAAAAGCCTAGAGTTTCGTTGAAGTGGACCGGGAGATGCTCAGCAATTGCCGTACATGTCTGCTGAGGCAAATGCAAATATGGCACACCGGGNTTTGGGTATGCTTTGACGCTGCTAATTCCACTACTTTGCAGAAGGCTGCGTACTGGTAGTTGCTCATTCTTTGGAAATGGAGAGTCTCCGCTGGCAACACCCAGTCCGATGTCGGTCAGCTCGAATGTATCTGTGTTCGATACTATCGGAGTCGTGAGGCATCTAGACTTGTCATATCCTCCAAGGACGAGGCTTCCAGACACTGGACTTGATATCGAAGCGGAGCCTATATGTAGACCGTAGAATGCGGAGGGAATAGCATCCTGAGAATACGCCAAAGGTAATGTGGTATTCAATGAAATATCGCTTCCATTAGCAGAAGTGTACTCAATGTGTGCATCCGCACCATATAACGAGAAGAATCCTGTATCCATTGTGTACCATACACTTTGTGATGGGTAATTGACGTTGATGCTTTGATCAATAGCGTTGGCAGTGAAGTCAAGATATGAATCATGTTGTCCAGAGCTCTCCAGAGTAATCCTGTCACTGATATAGCTTGCTTGCCCGGACAAATTTAGCGGATCAAGGGAAGTATCCCAAGTCGAGGCGCTGAATAGAGTACTGTTCATCCAGGACCATGTACCTCTCAGTCCAGTCCAAAGGCCTGATTGAGATTGAGGACAAGCACTCTGAGGGTCGGAGCACGCATCTGAGTGAACAAAGAGATTGGTCTTCGTCAAGGAAGGGAGCAACGTGATGTTCTTGGTATTCATTGTAAGCAGGTCACCTCGGAACAGTGGTTCAAGACATACTTGCTGCGGCCAAGATACTGTTTGTGTTAAAGCATTCCACGGTCCTATTTGTTGTCAGTGAATTGTCATAGAAGCTAGCTTGCCTTTGCACTCACCATCAGGACCAACTACCGCGTCATAGTTAAGTGATCTTGGAGCACTGGCATGAGCTCCAAGAAGGAACAGGCCGATCGGTACAATACGAGACATCTTTTATACTTGTCCGTCACCGAATGGATGTTGAAGCTGTATTAAAACAAGGGGAAAATGGACACAACCTGAAATCGAAACTGGGAAGACCTCGTCAACTATATCTAGTCGGGTACGGATATTGTCGCATTTTGGCAACCCAGCATACTGTTTCTGTTGTTCCACCGTGTGATGACGGTCGCAAACATATTGGTAGATTGCTGGCGACTTCGATCGCATCAATCATATTCGTCATTGAGTGCGTCGTCTAAGCGCCTGGGTTCGAATTGGAAGTTAGCCGCCACCTTGGCGCCGGCGCTCCTATGTGTTCCTGAATTGGGCATTTCTTGTCAAGCTTCGGATAGATGAACGAAACAGAAGAGCGACACAGTTGATCCCGAGTGGACACGGCAAGAAAGCAGAAAGTGGGAGTGGCAGGCGCGACAAAGCCCCGCCTCGACAAAAGCGCGGAGCGTTGAACGTCTCACGCTTGATTAGAAAAAGAAGAAAAAATCGAGACAATGCAGCAAAATTTCAAAGGTCAACTGGGGTTTATATAGAAAGAGCCTAAGCTAACAGGCTACAAAATGAAGTAAGTCGTATATACAAAGGATAGAGATGAGAAAAAAAAAAGATAGGATTGAAGAATATTAAAACGCAGTGCCTCAGATCAACAAATCTCGTACAAGATTATTAACACTCCTTACAAAAGGAAAGCGGCGAAAGCAGCGACACCAGCCAGACCAGCGGCACCGACCTTGTTGGCGGCACCGGTGTACTGGGAAGGTGAGTAGGTGGAGGTGGCCTTGCTGCCAGAGCCAGTTCCGACGATACCAGTTCCCTTGGGGCCGACAGACATCATGGTGCTGTTGGAGACGGCGAAAGGAGCGGAGGTGGGCATGACAGGTGCAGGAGCAGAGACAGCGGGAGCCGATTCTTGAGGAACACCAGCAGCAGGGCTAGTGTACTCGATGGGGGTCCAAGAAGAAGAGATAACGCTGGTCACGCTGTAGCCAGTAGGGACGACATCGGTCTTGACGACTGTGGACTTAGCTGGGCAGTTCTCGACGCCCTCAGCGCAGCTAGTCACGGTAACGACGGCAGTGCTGTAGTAGAACATGGTCGAGGGGATCGTGACAGGAGCTGAAGTGGTCTCGGGGCTGACGGGAGAGGATCCGGCAGGGGCTGAACCAGCAGGCGAAGAAGCGGCGGGTGCGGAACCAGCAGGAGCAGAACCGGCAGGAGCAGAACCGGCAGGAGCAGAACCGGCAGGCGAGGAAGCTGCGGGCATGGAAGAAGTACGAGACCAAACGCTTGAAACGGTGATGGCAGTAGGGAATACGGTGGTCGAGATTTTAGTCGAAGAAGCTGGGCAGTTGGTCACTTCAGGGGCACAGCTGGTGATGGTAACCTCCTTGGTGCTGTAAAGAGTGACAGTTGAAGGGATAGCAACGTGGCCCTCGACGGAGGCAGGGGTGGTCTGCTCAGGGCTGACAGGAGAAGACTGAGGAACAATGGCTGTGTGGGTCAAGACGGTCGAGACGGTGCTCTTGAGAGTGACTGAAGTGGTCATAACCGAGGGGGCAGTCAGAACGGTGGTAGATCCAGCGGAGGTAATGCTGCGAAAAATGTTAGAATCTTTTTACAAATGAGAAAATGGATGTATCTCACGTCTGGCCAATCGGGCATGTGGTCACTGTAGATTTGACAACATCGGTAACGTAGACAGTGCTCTCAAGCGAGGTAGAAGCCTTGGAAGGGACGGCGTTGTTTCCACCGGCAGGGACAGTGATAGTGTGGACGTTGGTGGTTGAGACGGTGCTCTTGACGGTGATTGAGGTAGTCATGACAGAGGGAGCGGTCAGGACGGTGGTCTTGCCAGAAGCAGTGACGCTAGAAGATGTTAGCCAGGTTCATCAAATCAAAGAAAAGAAAGACATTACGTTTGTCCTGCAGGGCATGTGGTGACGGTAGTCTTGACGACATCAGTAACGTAGACAGTGCTCTCGGTGGAGGTAGCAACAGAAAGAGCGCCAGATTGAGCATCAGCAGTCGAGGAGCTGCCATTGTTGTAAGGGCCAGGAACGAAAGCAGCGCCAGTAGAGAAGGCGCCAGATGCAGGAGCAGTGGTCAGAGCAGCCGTGATCTTGGCAGTGGTGTTGACGGAGGGGAGGCTGGCGGTAGGCTTCAGGCTGGCGGGGATGCTGGTGACCTTGAAGTTGTCGGCATTCTCACAGATCATGAACAGATGGTTGCAGGCCTTGATGTCAGAGCTGCCGCTTGATTGACAGATATCATTTGTGATTCCGCACGCGGTACCACAGTCAGCTCTACGCATATCGCATACGTTGCTTGCAGTGCCATTTGAAGCGCAGGTTTTAGCCTGGGCAGCGCAATTGAGCGGCTTGTAGTCGACAAGGCTAGTCACGAGGCTGCCTAGACAAGCATTGTAGATGCCCTGGCATTGAGCAGAGGTGGAAGCATTGCCGCTTGATGAGCCGCAAGAATCAAGCCTATAAAAGTAAACATGGTTAGCATGTTTCTAGAAAGGGACCTTATATGGGGACTGACAAGCCTGAGCATGTATTTTTGCATTGGGCAGCCCTGTACGAATATCAGCAACGAGAAGTGTTAAGAGTTTGTGAAGAGTTGAACGAACATGCTGTTGCACTCGTTGAGGGGAATTCCTGAGTTAACACAAGACGTGAAACGCTCGATGCAGTTGATGCTCTTGGCAGCCTCCTCGGCCTCCTCACTCGCACCCAAGCATGTGGAATAGTGTGCATTGCAACCAGGGCGTACGGATGCATCAGAACTTGACAGGCAGGTGTCTTGCGACTAAAAAAAGAGTCAGCGTATATCTCTCGTAGTAGTGAGGTGCGGTGTTTGCGGGTTTGGATGCTTGTGGCTTGTCATGCTTAGTCGGGACCTTGACCCATTGAAGCCTGCCCATATCACAACCACCCACGAAACCACCCACGAAACCAGGTAGAAAGATACTTACGCGACTACAACTTGTCTTGCATTCTGCTACGATTGCAGAACAGTCATTATCCGCTTTGAGAATATTAGCATGAATCGACAACATGACAAGAGAATCTCGACGTACCAGTTCCCTCAAGGAAGCACTGGGTAGCAATCTCGACGCAAGAGACGGGAGAGACCGGAGTTACACGACTTCCGCCAAGACAGGCATCGTAGTGAGCCTACGAGAGCGACGGTCAGTATCTTATAAATGCGGCTTTTTGTGACTGGAACTCACGTCGCAACCAGCAACCACTGAAGACGAGTTTCCACTGAGGCAAGCATCCTGGGAACGAGAGCAAACAGTCTTGCAGACAGCTAGATAGCAATTAGCACGGAGTATACTAAGCAGAGTTGGAGGACATACCGTTCTTGGCGTCACACTGGGCGTCAGTGTAATTTCCGGAGAGGTAGCAAGCCTTTCATGGGTGTTAGCATGAACCTTACTATATATCTCGAAGAGTACTCACGTCGTTCTCAGCAACACAGTTGATGACAGGCTCCTACAGCTTCGTCGAACCTAGACACGAAAGATAATTGCTCTTATCTCCAGTCAGCATGCTATTCCGAATCAAGCTTACAGCCACAGCATCAATTCATCTCACCTGGCACTGTCCCTTGACGCTCTCATCACCGGTACTCTGGCAAGTGGCGAGGTCTATGAACTGTTAGTCTACGAGATGAAGAGGGACGGGGAAGACATGCTGTTTCCGCAGTAATCTTTGCCTGGAGGATTGTCAGCGAATATCGTCGAAGGGAGCAAGAAGATATCATACACTGGGCATTTTGGGCATCACACATGTTGAAATCCTTGCCGTCGAGGTAGCACTGTTCTTGCTGAGAGATACAGTCGACAGTGCTGTTGGAAACAGATTTTCCGCCAACGCAGCTGCTATAGAAGCTCAGACAGGCGCCTTGGGTAGAATTCTGGCCAGAAGAGTTGCATGTGTCAAAAGCCTAATCAAGACGTCAGCAGGTGGTTGTCTCCGTCAAATCACTGTCAGGCTTACATTTGCACAAAAGTTCTTGCAGCTAGCTGTTTGACGAGAGCATTCTCGAGAGAATTTTAGTAGGAGCTCAAATATTGGAAAGCACTAGACATACCATTGTCTGCGGCACCTGATTCGTAGCAGGTTTGAGCGGCCTTACAGAGTCAGTAAGAACGGATGTAGAATTCGATGAACGATACGTACCGAAACACAATCGACCTTGGATCCTTGCTCCAGGTCGTCACTGCCTAGACATTTCAGATAGTCATCCTGGCAACCTTGCGACTTGCCGTTGGTCTGGCATGCATCGAGCAAGACACCACTGCACTAGGTTAGTCATTGAAAGTCTCGTTTGGTTCGAAAAAACTTGCCAGGTTTGTTTACAGGTCGCGACAAGAGTGCCAACAGCGTTTTCTGCAGTGCCGTTCAGGTAGGCTTGTTCGCCGGCCTTGATACAAGAGACAGATGGAGCGGAAACGTCGTCGACACCCAGACACCTATCATACTTCTGCGAGCAGAGTTCGGCGTTGTCGCCGCCAGACGACAAGCACAGGTCTCGTACCTAAAGCGAGAGTCGATTAGCATGATTCTCCATCAATATGGATCACAAGAACATGGACTTACAGCACTGCATGCTGTTTTGCATTCACTCATCATCGAGTCGATTGTGTGGTCATTGTCAGAATTTCCAGTGTAGCGAGGAATGACTGAAGAGATACAATTGATGGAGACCACGGAAGAGGATGTCGCGCCTACACATTGATCGTAGCTGGATTGGCATTCTGCGCTTGACTTTCCGGGCGTGGTAAGACAGTTGCTCTGAGCCCTGAAGGTCATTAGTCTGCGACTGCATAGAGATGCCGCCGATAGAATTTACCTGGAGCATGAATCCTTGCAGTGAGATGCCTGGCCTTCACAAGCACCGCTGTTGGAGAGATCGAAGTCGTAGCACTTGGAGAAAGCGGTGACACAGTCGGTGGTAACGTTTTGTGCAACGGCGACCGTTGCAAGGCCGATCAGGGCCGGAATAAAGGACTTCATAACGAGTGGAAGCCGAATAGTCGGCAAAGGTTAGTATCAACGAAAGAAAACCCCGTAAGTATCACGGGCAGAATGTTCGAAGAAACAAAGAAGAAAGAAGACGAACAGTAAAGCAGAGTTGTCTGAGCAGCTGGGACGTCGCATGTTTATGGGCGAGGCTGATCTGCAGCCAATTCGCCCAAGGAACCGTACCTGCGCTAGTATGGACGGATCCTCGTGGAAACATAATTAGACCCGTATCCGCAGGCCTCTGACGCATGAATTGACTTTGGGCCAGATAGGGCCGCCCTGGGCGAAAGGCGGACATCCAAATTACACATGATCATGCTTAGCTACAAAGGATTCGTATCGCTGCAGTGGCTTATGTGGGGTGTGAAAAATTTGTCTCAACTTGAGACGTCGGCGCCTGGAGCCATGCGGCTTGACAGGTACAGTTTATACAAGATACATACCAGTATCCTGGATACGTCGTGTATATCTTGACACATATCCTTCCACATCCTTTCCATTTGATTGAAAGGTATGGGGAGTACCAGTTCGAGTTCGACCGCCTCCACAATGTTCGCGCTGTGCCTGTCGATCAGTTGGTGCAGGGTTCCGTCTTCCCGTCTGCAACTTGAATTTTTACGAAACCCTAACAATTTTTAGCGACGCATCCTGCCGCAATTTTGGAGTCGACCCGCACTACTGCCACTTGGCGCCTCGTGTCAATCGCCGCAGATTTAGATGGAAGGGGATATAGAGTGGCCTCGAATTGGCCTTGTTTCCACGTCAGGGATCTGCTGAATTGCGATAAACAAATGAGGACAATATATATGCCTTCGAGAATAGACGTTGGTAAAGCTGCACTCCACGATCGCAACTGCTCCAACGAGGGCACGTTGAAACGTGGAACAGGCAAGGGCGTTGGGCCGGCTTGGCCGACGCAGCGTCAACCTCCAACGGTCGGTCCTCCCAGAAAAATATTCCTAACTTTCCCAGCCATGGCATCGACGCGTTGAGCTGGTTATTGAAAACTTTCCGTGACACTGCTAAAAAAAAGATCGAGATCGAAATACCTATACGATATCATTTCCAGGCACACGACCCATCTACGAGTTTATCTGCAACGGTCAACAAGCATTATTGACGACATCTGTCTTTTGGCTGCTATTCCCATTGATTGCTCATTGGTCATGATTATATTCGTGTCGCTTCTTGGTGAGATATCTCACTCGAACAAGTACGACGGAATTGGGCGTGCCCATCGGTTATCAATCAGATTGACAGGCAGCATGTTGGGCAAAAAAACTCCATTTAGACATGGGTTCGTCGACAATTTCCATCGTCAATTGTCTTACATGAGTTTCGGGGGCTTATCGGATCTTGAAGAAACACTACCAAGCTGCTCTCGATCAAATATGCTGAGAGCTGCGTACCGAGCATGAGCAGTTTTCATACTTGTATTTCTTTTAGGGCCATGCCACTGAGTGGAAACAATCGTTTCTGAGAGGGCTCCTCTCACCATGAATCTTGTGAGACCTCTGCCTTACAGCTCGAGGGATCACTGCACTACGTTGAGAAGAAAGATGTCGAGAAAGGGAATCCAGATCTTGTCTCCGTACTGTCAAAGCTAGGTTTATGTTTAGCCCATGTCAAAGCGACTTCTGTATGCCTAGGGTACACGTCATATTGATATTGTAGCGAGTCTGATCTGCATTCAAGGAGAGTCTATCAGACTTCTAGCTGTGCCTAACTATGTGTTGTTCCTTGACTCCTCATTCTCGCTCTCTTGTTTTTCTGCTCTTCCTTTCCCTCGGAAGCTTAGATGTGCTAGAGCACACTTCACTGATCGCGCTCGATAGACCAGATGATTCGATACGCTAAGTCAAATGTGCAAAGACCGCGCTGACGAGCAGACAAGTTTAATTGTAAGATTAGGGTTTGTGTGAAAATGGGTTGCGTTAGTCGTATCTCAATTTGGGTGGTTCTTCCTTCTTCCTCTGCCTTTTCTCCTTCTTCTTGGTTGTGTTGCCACTACAATTCGTCAGTCTTGTCATCGATTTGCATATGTTGGGAATAACATACGCAGGCTGAGAATCACCAGCTCTAGGAACAGAGGGGCTGTTGGGGACGGGCAGAACCGCGCACAGTGCCTCCGGCTATTTTGAGAGAAATGTTGGAGGCTCAGGAGATTGCGGGCGTCTCCAGGTTACGGTTCTCGGTCGGGAAGTGTTTAGCGGTGGAAGCCCTGGGCTGAGTTCTGGTTTGTACATCACGAACCGTGTGTTTCCTGACAGAAGGAGGGTTGGTTGATACGAGACTCGCATTAGATGTATCAACGAGTCCGAGATGTAGACGACTAGCGCGCGGTGTAGCAAGACGGTGAGCCGAAGTGTTGGCAGCAGGGTTCAAGACAGATTTAGCAGCAGTGGCCTTGGTCGGAGACAATGCTCGATGTGTCCTCGACAACAAGTCCTGCTTGGGGTCGGGAGGGGCATGTTGGGGTGTGTCTTTGCTCTTGGACGGACTGACAGCCGATACGAGTGACTCCGTGGCCTTCGAAAACTTGTTGGGCGAAGGAATGCTCTCTGAAGGAGACTGTTTGACTGGAGAGATCTCTCGCTTAGAAGACTTGACTGCAGGCTCTTCTGTGGTATCTGCAGGGATGGATTGCAGTTCTTTGTCTAACGACAGGCTACCAGTTGCTGCAGCGGCCTTTGGAGGGGTTGTTTGACCGGCGGGCTCCGCTGCTTTTGACGTTCGAGTCTTGCTTTTTCTTCACCATTGACATGAGGCTGTTTGGACACACTCAGTTCCTGCTTGGTAGGCTCGACCTCTGAATCTTCTGCGCCATCACCATCAGAAGACTCATTGTTGGCTCGCTCCTGCTCCTACTCCTGCTTGAGACGCTTGACCTCTGTTTCGTCAGAACCATCGTCTAGCAGCGGCATCGTCGTGTTTCTTGCAAAGTACGTCCAGAGCGTCGCGGGTAGCCTGCATAAAGGAATCGAGCTCAGCGGGTATCTGTGCATCCCACTTGCTTCTCTGTTCTATCCAAATTTCCTCAGCCACCACAAAGTTGAACTCAGCCCAAGTTTGATCAGTCACCAGAGATGAGGTGAGAATTCGCAACCTCAAGGCAACCAGTGGTGGGACGCCACCACGGTCAAGTATCTGCTGAAGCGCGTCTCCATAAGCAGCCAACTTGTGCTCGTAGTACAATTCATCCGCGTCTTCAAAATCCTCGATGATGTACTGCGCATGCTGCAATTCTTCCTGTGTGCTGCCAGTGGCGGCGATAGCCTCNAAACTGGGCATCGCCAGATGGTGAGGCTGTATTTGGGGCGACTCTTCTTCTTCATCCTCAACAGGCTCGTTCTCTATTTGACATTGCGCCAATTCGTCCAGTTCTCTGCGCATGGTGGTAAAGTCGTTGTCCAGATCAGTACCAACTGGTATTCTGTTGACCTCGGTGGTAAAAAGAAGCTCGGCGCGCTTGCGGTATCCTTCGGCCACGTACCAGTCGTCATTTGCCATGCTGATGAGTGCGTAGAGCTTGATGCGAAGAAAGGTTGAGATGGGATAGTTGGTGAGCAGATACTGAGAACCCTCGATGCACTCTTTGTCTTTCTCCTCATTGTAGCATTCCGCGACCAACGAGTAGGTATTCTTGAGGAACCGCACAGTATCTTCTTGACTCAGAGAGGATATCTCTTGGATGATTTGCGATTCTTCTTCCATGATGGTGTCGTGTCTGGGAGGGTGGTGTGTCTAGAAAGCAATTCGTTGTCGATACCCGAGTTCGAAAAGCCGCGCGCGTAACACAAGATCAACTAACCTCTTGAACCCTTCTTGGTCATATCACTCCTTATCTTTCTTTCACTTTCCACCAATTGCGAGTCGAAGTTGTTCCTCTTTCCCTTGCACAGCTTTTATTAGAAAATGCAAGGGTTCGTCTCTGGGCCTTTTGTTAGCATCTGATTTCTCCCTCGGACAATATTTCAATGTATTTCTTGGTCGTCAAAGTATAAACAGCTTTTGTCTTGGTATGGTTAATTAGACACTTGGGAGCTATGGTGGTGTCGTTCCTAGAACAGCAACGGACGATGGCTTTGTTCACATGAAGGAGCAGTGGAGGAAAGAAACCCACAATCAAAGAACTTGTTGCTCAAAACCGCAACTACAGCAGCATCACTGGCTTGTCATCCTTGCCCCAACCTATTAATTCCCCCCACCAAGGCGCGAAAAAAACGAAATAGAACTCCCTGGACTGGTTGTCTCTGCTATTGCAGCCAGCTTGACAAAAGAAAAACATGCAAAATCATTTCCACCAACTTGAGCTTTTCGAATAGTGAAAAGCTCCTTCTTTCTCCAATTCATTCTCCTGCCATATGCAATAGTTAGGCGATCACGATGTCGACATATGCACCTTTCCCTGACTATGCGCTTATCGACCTCATTTCAAGCAATGAGTGGTGATGAGATGTCCAGAGGTCCGATTTCAAAGTAGTGGAAAGAGCGCGAGGATGGTCTCAATCGACTGAGGTAGTAGTACCGAAATCCACAAATCGCTTGTCTTTGACCCTCTTTCAAGTATTGCTGCGACCTGTTGTGTGGTAAGTCCACTTCCCAAGATCATCGTCCTTAAGAGACTCCCATGCTGATTCATCTGCTTCCGCCGCTACAGCCAGGTCTTCTAGCTCGGCGGCAACCTCGTGACCGGAGCAGTGCCATTTTTTTACCTGGAGGATTGAAGCACTTTGTAAGTCAGGGCTCTACATTTCTCTTTTAAGCATGGCCAGCTCAAATTCTTCCAAATGGGGAGCAGGCGCGATTTCGCGAAGTACCATGCTCCACTTCGCTCCATTTCTGAGCAGCATAACTGACATCTTTAGATACTGCAGAGTCTCGAGACATGCCTTGATAAGCTGTTTGAACCGGAGGTAGTCTAGGTCGTCGCGGCAACGGCAATTGATCAATGTAAGCTTAGAAATCCTTGCTGCTACCACCCAGGTCATCTTATGTAAGAGAGGATGGACCATGTTACGGTAGACAGACCGCGAGTCCCACTCTATGAAGCCAGTCACTTCGAGGCTCTTGTTCTGATCATTCTAAAGCACGCCAACGTCTCCTTTCGCATCCTATGCCAATCTAGCGACCTCAATACTAAACGATATAGAATTGGGTGAATGTGCAAGCATATGGGCTAATTCTTCCGCAAACTTGGCAGCTTCATCGGTACACATGTTCGAGCGAGGGTCGGGGTCTTCCGCAAGTTTAAGCTTGAACCCCTTTGTTCTAAGTTTAAGGCTTGTTGCACTCTAGAGAAGGCATTAAAAGACCCTGTCTCTTTCTCGTCTAAGTCGATGCGTCGTGTGGCGACTTAATAGATGTCTCACTTCGCGAGGATAGACTGAGTAGTCTTCTTTTCGCTAAAACAGGCTGGGTAGTGCGTCTCGCGATTAAGTGTTCTCTTCATGTCAAACCTAATTAGACGATAATCAGTCACACCTAAGGCGATAGCATTGTCATGCGCTTTGACTTGACTGAGTACTTAGTGGACCAGATTGCGAGGCCTAACCCAGGCAATAGGTTCATCCAATCCTCTGATAGCGCAATCCGTGTCGAGTATAATTCCCTCCAAATATTGTCCGAAGTACAGATAAGAAGCGATGCGAAGCAATGTTTCCAGACTGTAGGTACCAACGACGTGGCGACGGCACTTAATGAAGTGGTCAACAAACTTGCTTATGGCTACCTTTTCCAGCTTCTTGCAAGTCAAACGAAGAGCAGCGAGATCATCGGCGTTCGCAAAGGATATCGTACGATTTAGGACCTCGAGTGGAAGGCCTAGAAGATTGGCTTTGTGTCGACGGATGTTAGGACTGCGATGTTCGTGCATAGAAGGATGATTCTGCTCGAGAAAGTGTTCGCATCGCATAAGCTCGGCGAATGTGATTGCGGAATGCGATCTCCTGCTGCGACGAACGATAGCGCTAACGCCAGACAAGATAGGGTCCGAATTGATAGAGTCTGAATTCATCTTGATCCTTTGAGCACGTGCTGCGCGAGGAAGTGTTCCAAGAGGTAAGAGTGCTGGCTGTTGTTGGCAAGAAGTGATTGGAGAGTTTGGCGAAAGGTGCAGAGAGTCTTTGATGCATTCATCCGAGGATGAGTCGTACGAAGTAAACAGCGTAGCGTAGACGATCTCGTGAGTGTAAATACCACTGATGGTTGTTGCATTCAGTGTACAAATTATGAAGAAAGTGCGCAACGTCGCGTTGAAGAAAGTGAGTCGAATATAGCAGGTGCGTCTTTCTGCCGAGCCACGATCGATGGCCTGCTCAATTTTCCGGCTCGGCAACCACAACAAATACGATAACAACAGACAGTACTCCAGCCAAGAACACAGTATAATGCTGTTATTGACCGGATTCACTATCTAGCTACACAAAGATCTCAGCAATGCAATGGAACTTGTTTGCGATTACTCGCTGAGTCCAATGCTTACATGAAAATCCCTGAGCTACTTTGAGGAGTTAAATGCACACATGCACTGAACTTGGCTGACCCGCATCCGCAGATGAGAGCAAAGTTCTATGCCGACTTGCTCCCGGTCTATATTCGGATACTATAGAGACAGAGTGTTACGTTCATGAATTAGATATTCTAGAATAACCACCTAAGTTCTTTGTGTCACTAGAGGTTCTTTTACGGAAAAGGGATCCCTTTGTCAGCCTCGAGAATTGAACAAAAGGAGATATTTTGGGCAGCTTGGACGGAGGGATCTTTGTTTCAGAACGATACAGCTCAACTCGAGCGATATACTTTCATGCTCAATATTTAAGCAACGTCACCAGGCTGAGAGCCTCGACTTGCGATTCGATATCATCACCAGCTGTCCTCCTCGTCGACAAGCAACTCTTCAAACTGCCCGAGGAAGATGAATTCGTCCTCGGGCAGCTCATCAAACGCAAATCGCTTCACCAATCCCGGTAAAGTTTTCTCACTCCCAAGCACCTCCTCGAATCTCGACTTCTCGTCCACAACTTTGTATCTTTCCCAGTGGGTAAACGCCTCTAGAACCCATTCGTCCAAATCTNNAACTATATACGCATGTCAGCCGTGTATACTTGATGATACAGCTGTTGGTTCTCTTCTTACGACCCATGCCCACTCCATCAAGATGTCATCAGCAAGAAATTCCATGGGCTCCAGGTGAATCTTTACAGGATCCGCACCCGTAGCATTTGCGACAATGTTCAAGATCTTTGCTCCAGTATCACGAGATAGAGATTCGATCACGGGTAGAGGCATGAGACTTCTCGTCTCGATTTGCTGGTGATCGAGGTCTTCGAAGTAAGCATCTTCTTCCTCATCGCTGAGGATGATGATGCGGTTGTCGCTGCTGTCCAAGGCTGCTTCAAGTTTGGTAATGTTGGCGGGATCAAGGAGGAACTCAAGGATTGTGAGGCCTTGGCCATCTGGGTATCCNTAAAAAATTGCTATTAACAAACATAAGCTATCGGAGGTCGAGAACTGGCCGTACTGAACAATACGATATTTCGCTTTGTAGTAAACGAGAGTGAGGTTGCGAGTTCCCATATTGGAGTATAGTTGAGTTGGTGAAGAGAGAAGAGTGTCTTGGGCAGGTGTATATATTCCTTTGGGTCGTGATGTAATTGTGCGACACGTAAACTGGCGAGAGGCTGCCATCGCGTCGACAGTTACACAGCATATTGCTGCCTTGGATCTCCACACCATCACGACTTCTGGTACCTGCGAACTTGAGAATGGCGTCTTTCTGAGCGCTCCTTTTGAGCACGGTCCAATGCTTCTTGATGACCAATATTGATTGCGGGCTCCAAGTAAGAGAAATGAAAGAACTCTGAACTGGAACTGCAGTGCCCCTTCGAGGAAGCTTATTTGGCTGAGACATGGTTGCGAGTTCTATGGAGTGCTATTTGTATGAGCGGTACTAGAAGAAAATGCTGCTATCGTAATGCACAAAGTTCCTGGTGCAGCTCATATCAGAGAAGAAGAGAAGGGAAATTTGGACTCAAGGACAGCTGAAATGAGAGCAAGGCTGATAAGCGCAATTGAACTTCACACACCAGCCGAGCCGATCAAGTTTGGTCATTGTTTGGACATCCATGATCCGGCCGACTCGCACAACAGACTCAATGTATGCTGCGGTTGTGAAGCAAAACGGATTGAACAAGTGCGCAACACGTCACAGTGAGATTTTCCATCGCCTCCTCACTTCTCCCTTCTCTTCCCCTTTCTTCGTCTGATCTTCCGCATCTTCTATTGCCTCGCCATACAACCATGACTACCAAACAACCCAACATTGTCGACAGAATCTCGGCCTTAGATCAAGGTGACCGGGAAGACTCCCTGAACAAGGCGTATAAGATGGTCAAGAAATGTTACAACGACCATGACTACTTGGAATGCCTGGCAGGGGCAATAAAGATTCTTATCTCATACCAGGTACCGCCCAGAAAGCGTCTCAAGATCTTCATCTACATGTCCGCCGCGGCACGAGAGTCAACAGAGCGAGAATCTCTACGAAGCGTTGGTGAACGACCTTCCGGTCGGCGAGGATCCCAGCGCAGTGTTTGGTCGAGCCCGCAGGCGCCTTGACGCACTGGCTGCTCGCAAAGCTGAGAACGATGAACAAATGGATATGCAGAGAAGTTACGCCGAGGCATCATTGAGAGACAACCTGAAAAGAGTCGATCCAAAGACCGAAAGGAAGAAGGTCAGTCAACTAAAGAGGTTTCGTTACGTGATTGCTGACCATGACGCAGTCCGATCTTTCCAAATCCATCTTGAAGATTGGTAAAAGACCGAGAACTCCTCAAACCATGGCTCTCCAGCCAACAGTAACACGGAGCTGTCACCTTCGCCAAAGGGAGTTCATTTTGACGTTGCGCCACCACCATTCCCTCGCCCTGTCGCTATGTCAAAGACAAGAATCACAACACCCAGTTTCGCACGACCAACTATGGCCTCGCAAAGAAGAACCGAGGAAAACATCGACACACTGAGAAGATCAACGAAGTCCATGACTATCCACGCTGGCGGCTCGCAGGCCAGCCTGGCACAATCGTTCAGAAGCAGTAAGTCCGCTGCCTCCAAGTCAACCACCAAACCCCCTCGAAGTTCTTCGGGCTATACTGTCTGTCACACTGGAGATTTTGAAAGGCGCAATTCGAAAGGCGGCCACAGCAGAGACCTATCGACGTCTTCTCGCAAGAATGGATGTGGAACCGAGAACAACCAAGACGCAGGCACTTTGAGACGCGCGTATGTTGATAAGTCCTTGAACTATGACTGAGCTGACGGTGGATACAATAGAAGCAGTGTGAAGGGAAAGTCAAAACAGGAAGACTCGAAAAGCAAGAGGGTCGCATGGTCATAGGGCTGGGAGTCATATTTTCATCTCCGCATGTGCTCGAAGATGCTGAGGTGTAGGGCTGGATAGAGGGGCATGGTGACACAAAGCTGCATGGATCGCCTATACCCGCATCTACAGGCCGACCATGATATTGTCGAGGCGACCTTGAGTATCGAAACTCTTCTGCCACTATCACGGGAGAGCTTGCAAGAAGTTTGCACCAAAATATTGTTGCTCGGAAATACAACTACACTAACATCGCTTCCTTGTTCTACCAGTCCAAACCGATCATTTCTTCCGCCCAAGCGCCCAAACAAGAAAAGACAAAGCATCATAACAGCACACAAGGTAGTCTTCACCTTTGCCACACTTTGTGTCTCCATCAGGGCCCAAGCGAAGCCACATCTCAAGATAGTTGAGAAAAGGACCAAGTCTGGTGTCCTCCATGCAGCTTCTCCAAACCTGGGCCTACTCCTTTCAAGGCAGACATACACGGGTATTGGAGAACATGTCAGGGGTCAAAGAGAAAGAAGAAACGATGATCTTGTCAGTCGCAGTCCTTCGAAAATGCAGAGATACTTCCTTTTGCCCTTGCCGCTCGAGTGCTAAAGACAATCACGATTCTCAACTAACCCCTTCTCCATCCCGAGCTACAAGGGTTGCTATAAGCTATCGAAATGCATAATCTTGACTCGGACATAACTCTGACTATTGAGATGATCTAGATTAAGGTTGTCTCAGTGAGGACCACGGTTTCCAAAAAAAAAAAAACATTGTGCATTTCGGTAGCTGCTCAAGGACGAACTCGTTCTTCTCAGAAAGTCAAGAGAATTTCTTGTGGACAACGAGAATAGCTAGCGAGCATGGTAGCGTTACTTAGAAATGGATCTCAAGTCAGTTTGCAACAAAGGCTTCCCCGTCTAGCTGCTCAAACAAGATTTCTCTTGTTCGTCCAATTTACCGTGCCAAAAGAAAGCATTCCTTTGTAATCAAAGCATCGATTCATTCTTTTCTGGGTATTTTATTCCAAACGTCGACCATGCTCGTACGGAAGGAACGGACTCAGTTCTTGCGGATGCCGCGAGCAGCAGATGATGGTCTAGTGGCGACCAGCAGACAACTGCTATGTAAGAAGTGGCAACTGATCGATACAGTGTCTCATAACCTAGTATGGTCGATGTTGTTCTCACATGTGCGTATCTCTTCTGCTGCTCTTGTTCTGCTTTCGATAAGACGTGGAGGTCTGAATCTGTGGTCTCGCTAGATGGTAAGTCCATGAGGAGAATTGGAGAGGTGGTTGTTGTTAATGTCTTTGTTGTGTTGCCGAGCCGGAAAATTGAGCAGGCCATCGGCACTAAAACACATTCTTCCATGGGAGGCGACACCGCTCTCTTTTTGCGTCCCAGATTCGCGTGTGGCCACGACGTTCATCGCCACACTGATTACACATCGTTGCCCTTCACGCGCTGTTCACTCGAGCATCGTCACTTACATCACTTAGCACACTGCTTCCGTCTGTAAACTCTTTCTACAGTCTATTTCACTTACCGAGTCGTCCAACTCCTATCGCCAGTGATCTCTACTGATTCGATCTGCAACCGTTTCCCTCGCGGAGCAGCCCACCATAGGCGAGAATGGATACCGACTATTGCTCATCTGATCTTGCCAGCGCGTTGATCCGTCTCAGTATGATCCCGGACGCGAGACGTGCTCTCTACGAGCTTATAGATACCTATCTCCAGCCCTGCAATGGTAAGTATACGCTGCAGATAGACATCCTATCTGAACCTTTTTGACACTGTATAGGCATGTTGGATCTCCCAATCGAGGTCTTGGAACGTGTGGTGTCTTTTGTGAACCCTAGAGATCTCATTGCTCTTCGATCAACCTGCAAAAAGCTGGAAGAAGCGGCTGCGAGCAAATTTGTCGACTACTTCATCGAGTACCGTCGTCACGTCCTTAGCATCTATAGTCTCAAAGCTTTGATCAAGATTGCCGCCCATCCTCGTTTCAGACGATACGTTAAGGCAGTTATTCTAGATACCACCTGCCCTTTCGAGCACGACGGAGATAGGTACATCGCTGGCGCCCAGCCCTTGGACCATCATGAGGCCTGTATGCTTCTGAAAGAAGCACTCGGCCAACTGAAAGTGTATGGACAAGCAATCACGCTGGGCGTAACAGACTGTAATCTAACCAGTTTTGGAATTCGAGAGCTTCTATCACGACCCACAGCTCATCTTTTTAAGCAAGACAGGGCATTTATCTTCCTTGTCCTACGATTTTGCGCCAACACCCTCGCGATCGATAGCAGCGAATGGGACTTCGAATTAAAGGAAGGTTTGGCGTGTAGATCCATGAATAAAAAGCTCATCTCGGTGNCGTGCGAAGATCTCGACGTCACTAAGGTTTTCTCGCCCTCCAGGTCACTCAAGCTCAAGATCTTGAAGCCAAACATGCACGAAATTTGTATCTTCTGGGACCATAAGGGTAGAAGTTTAGAGATGGTCGGGCTCATATACTTGTCCTCCAAGCTACCTATTAATATCGACTCCTTAGCAGCATCAAATATCATGGAGTTGACACTGTTAGACTGTCATTTGTTTTGGTTTTATGACTACTGTGAGTTCATGGACTTGCTTCACACTTGTTCAAGAACTCTCCAGAGAGTGAAACTTTCAGGAGTTGACATCAGTCGCCAAGCAAAATGGAGTGAAGTACTTCGACTTCTAGCTCGTGCTCCCTGCTTGGAAAATTTCGAGATGGCAACACTTTCAAGGCAGGTCAGCACTCGGGTCAATTTCAGAAAGCAAAACGCTGTGATCATGCATATTGATGAATGGTTTGGTCATGGCGATAAGGTTTCCGCTGAGCTAGATGACTTGGCCGCGATCGTGGAAGCAGACGAGTCTGCATGGGAATTGCTTAGCAACGATGATCGCAAGAAGTGGGCGTACTGCATGACAGGCCGCAAGAAGACTCCAAACACGCTCGAAGTTGTGCCATTCAACGATTCTGGATTTACCGCTTCAGCCAACGACCTCTTAAGGCCATGATCGTACCACCCGTATCAAGCTCAACAATTGAAAGCGACACTCTGGAAGAGGGAGCTGACTTGCGTGTGGAAGTCGGTATCCTAGGGGCCATGGCTCATGAAAAGGGAGAGAACAACAGGGAGATTTGACGGCCTACTGAGACTACGTCAAGACAAGTGAACATATTGCACGTCATGACACCAGCTCGGATCCTAGTGAAGAAGCACCGGTTATCCCAGGAAATGCTCAGGACGATCTCTATATGTCAGTTGCGGTCAAAGAGAAAAAAAGAAGATGAGCAATGGAATCAGATACGCTCACATCGGTCGAGGAGGTGGCAACGGTGTTCAACAAGCTGTTACTTACTTGATGAAGCTATGTGGCTTTTACTGATAGTAACTCGGAGTACGACGAAGGCGAAGGTTATCATGGACTGTCGTTACGGCCTTCGAACGACCCAACAACAAGCACCAAAATTCGGCTTTCCCTCAGATCAGTATCACGGAGAAGCGTATCAGAACAACTCTCAACTCTTTTGTATCAAATCCACTACATGTTTACAACACCGGCAAAAGGTTGATCAACGCAAAGCCAGAAATCGATCGGGAGCGGCGATCCAAAACGACTTGCATCCCATCAAAGCTCATTCACACACAACGCACAGACAGCAGAGGAAAATGGAGAGAGAAAAGGGTTTGCAACATCCTGGGAGCTCGAAGTTGTTTATTCTGGTTTATATGTCTTTTTTCTCCCTTTGTATGTTTTTTTTCTTTCTTTTCGGTCGAGCCGGCTTTGATTGCGGAGAGTTGGTTAGAGGGGGGAAGTTTTCTTTCCACACTTTTGTGGAGCAAGTAATTGGTTCGGATAAGGAAGACAAAGAAGTAAAGTTATTCTAGTAACAGTTTTAAGCAATCAGTTCTTCATTTGGTGTTATCTTTCTCAGTGCTGGTTTTACCGCTGCGTGCTTCCTCCCTCGCGTAGGTCAGCCTCAGAGCTATCAAAAGGCACAAAACTGTAGAGACTACTGACGGTCCCACTGAGATCGAAGAAAAGAACTCTCTCAATGGCAAGTCTGACAATAAGTGAATGTATTGTGTATTTTGACAGTGGAACTTTTGGCCTCTTGCTGCTGCTGGGCTCTTATCACTAAATGATTATGGTCTACTAACCTGTCAGACAACAGCTGCCAACAAGAAGCAAGGATGTTTTAAATTTTTCCTCCTGAACTCACTCCAGATACAGCAGAGAGTGGATTGTACGCTGTAAAAAGGCACAATGTTGTTCACAAACAAAGGCGAGTCCGCAGAGAGTATATAGTTGATCGCTTCTCAATGGACACTGTCCTATATCCTGTCAACCTTGTGCATTCATACAGCTACATACGTTCCATACTTTTGGATACGAGGAGCAAAGTTGCTGGCTACTAAAAGCTCACTTCACTATTGTTGAGGCCAAAGAGCTATGCAGTAAGATAAACAGAGATCATGGTTTTGACTGAATGCTACTGACAAACACAAGCTATGGAACATCGTGGGAATATGTGCATGGAAAAAAGAGATAAAGATCAAAGCTGAAGCAAAATCCAGGCTCAAGCCTTGATGTATGGGATACCAGTGAGCTTGTAGCCTCTCTCACTAAGCTGTGGTGGCTGGCGAGGCTTCCATGTGTTGAGAGGATCAGGCTTGCCATTGCGCATAGGCTGCAGGTACTCCTTGATGAAAGGTTGAAGAGCCATGGGCCAGTGGCTGTGACCGTGCTGCTCCTCGAACAGTTTCTTTTTGAGCTTCAGATCGTCTTGAGTTGCTGTCGAAACTGGCAACATACAGACGTAGACGACGAATCTGTCTGTGTCCTTCGTGGGCGAGGCATTGTAGTGAGGAGTGCGAGAATCCCACAGAACGACATCACCAGGCTCGGCATCGACCTTGACCCATTCGTAGCCTCGGTCGGCCAACCATTTGAGACCAGTATCTTTGAACAAGTAGATCTCGTTCGTCCATCTGAAGCCGCGTTCTTCGTTTCTGAAAACGTTGTGGTACTCCTCGCTGACCTTGTGACCACCCTTCAGGACTAGGAGACCACCATCCTCAGGGCCATTGGGCAANAGGTTGACGAAACCCTGGACGCAGCGCAGACCTCCACGCTCTGGATCTTGATCTTGGTGAGGCCATGCACCGTTGGCAGGCAGATCTTGGCGGTTAGCCAGTGATACATTAACGGCATCAAATGAGCAAATCAGATCCTCATCGTCGTAAAGTTTTGCGAAGACGTCAATGACAGCTGGTTCAGTGCGGACGCCCCATGTGAAAGATTCGTGAGTAGCACCGTATGCTTGGACGAGACCTTTNTGGTGGATGATAGGCAAACACTCTTCGCGAATAGTCGAGGGGTCGTCACGCTTGTAGCCGAGTCCAAAACTTTCGAGCCAGTCCTTGATATCCTCGGCGTATTTGAGAGCCTTTTCCTTTTCGAGAACATTCTTGACTACACAGTAGCCATCACGAGCAAGGTCTNNAAGAAATGATGAGTACTGACTCCAAGAGCGTATTAATAAGATCCAAAGCTTACCATCACGGAAGTCGCCATAGTGGACTGACTCGTCGAGGACATTGAGAATTGGGGTGTCGTGAACCTGAACAGGTGGAGCGGCATGAATGGTCATCTTAGGAGGTTCATTGAACTCTTGGTCGAGAGTGGTGGTGGTCATAGTAGCGGTAGCCATTTTGATTGTGACTAGTAAGGTGCTAGGCCGTTTAGTGATGGGTGATATTCAGATAAAGTCTGGAGAAGAAGATGGGGTATTTTCGAGATGACTATGGCTCTTCTTATGAATAGCGAGTGACAGTCGCCCGATGGAGATCCGTTGCCTTATGGGGAGGTTACAGGCTCACCCGAGCTCAGCCGCTGGAGTCGCCGAAGGAAACTGGGGCAGAGATCCGTTCGGCGGATTGAACTCCCTCTCGGGCCAAATTTTGCTGCGCGCAATCGATTTAGGGCTTCCTTTGTTGTCCACATCAATGAATGAGAAGACATGGAAGTCATTCCATGTTTTACGTCTTGTCGAACGTTGATCCGTATGCTCTCACAGTAGAGAATGGCAATACAGGCACTCGATTCGACTCAGATCACATAGAGAAGGCTCGACCGAGTCAACTGCTCCGAACCGAGATGCTTCCCCGCACTCGGAGCAGATGTAGCCTCCGAACCTCCTTCCAGACTATAGAGACCGTGAGATTCATTACTGGCCTGCACCCTGCTCCGAGGATCTAGCATGGTCGTCTCTCTTTGATTTCCCCATCAGCAAAGAGATGCTTCAAAGCGCGTGTCGGGACGATGTTCCTCGTCCCCCCACACTTGCCTCGCGAATGCGGGGTCTAGACCTGGAGTTGGTCACTCGTGACAAAAGTCATCGCCAACAGAAGCATTGATGACTTCTGGCCACAACGAAGCACCAACTTGTTGCTGACCTTCTGTGCCTACACCGAACTCACCCGCGTCCACATTCCGCAACACTATACCACACTGTGGGGTGTTTCGAACCACAGACATATCGTACACGGTAAGCTAACAACAATGGCTTGAATGTCGCCTCTCTACAGGACGACTGGCCAGGAGAAGAAAAAGTCTATCGTCGAAATGCTCCTTACGACACTCACAATGGACTGTTAGAGTAGCGGGTGGCTGCTTGCCCTATCATATCCCCCAGACTCTTGGTGTCGGACGCGCCCACAAGGTAGATGCTTCTCCAGCTCCTTCCTACGATCAACGAACGATAGGGCTCAAAGCACGTTGGTCCCGTCCATCTGTGGAGACATCAACCCCATAAAGATCCCCCATTGCACTCCCCCAGGAAATTCGTACCCCGGAATCATTTGTTTCATCATCAATCTTCTACCTCTGCCCAATTGCAGTACTTTGTTCAGGCAGCACGAAGTTTTCTGTTCCTTTGACTCCTTGCGGCTTTCATCAGCATGGACAAGTCAAGCATCAGCCACATGGAAGTGTCGACTTTCCCCGACTCCCACGTAGTCGACACGTACGCTGTCGACAGCAAGGATGAACAAGTCACTGTCATCGGTACCATGGGCCAAGACCCCGACCACAAAACACCTGTGTCTTGGAGAGCCTGGGCCATTGTTGCCATCTGCGCTCTAGCCACATTTCAGGTACGCTCTGCCTCCCAATAATATGGTGCAGTCATTGATATACGGGACCAGAACACATACTACGGCATTGCCCCCGCTGCGAACCAATACGCCATTGCTGGAGCTTTAGGAGGTACTGCGAGTGAAAGAATTTGGATCGTTCAAGCCGCTGCTGTTCCTGCTATCGCCTTTGGCCCAATCTTTGCCATTATTTCCGATGTCTACGGCCGCAGATATCTTATCCTCGTCGTCTGGTGCCTCTTCGCTGTTGGCTCTATCGTATCCATGACTGCCAGCGGTATGACTGCTGTCATTGCTGGTCAAGCTCTCTCTGGCATTGCATCTGGTATCTCTGGTATCATGTTCGCCGTTGCATCCGAAGTCATTCCAGGAGCTTACCGTGCCTATGGTCAAACTATCGTCAGTTGGGTCTCTGGACTGTCATCGCTTGTCGCGCTTCTCCCCATCGGTGCTGCAACGGCTGCCGACCCTGTCAACGGCTGGAGATGGGTCTTCCGCATCAAGTTCATCCTTGAATGCCTCGTCATCATCGGCATCGCAGCACTTTACTTCGTGAGTAACACAATCTCCGACTCCGTTACTGAGCTGACCATGGTATTATGCAGCNCCCCTCCCCGCACTGCTGCTAGCAAGCAGTCTCTTGGTCAGAAGCTCAAGGCCCTCGACTGGATTGGCTACATTCTCCTCTTGGGCGCTCTCGTTCCTTTCTTGATGGGCTTTGCTTGGAGCAGTGACTCCAACTATGGTTGGGCCAGCAAGACTCATACTGTTGTCCCTGTTGTTGTTGGTGGCGTTCTCTTCATCGCCTGCTTGATCTATGGTACGTTTTGATCATCGAAAGTCAGACTTTCACTAACTCAATTCCAGNAATGGAAGGGAACCAAGACTGGTTTCTTGGACCATCGCCTCTTCCAGAACGGACGTAACTTCCCCCTCTGCATGGTCCTCATCGCCGTTGAGGGTTCGCTCTTCTACCTGATGAACAACATCTACCCATCGCAAGTTAATGGCCTCTGGGAGCAGCCTGGAACTATCAAGGCCAACGCCTACCTCCTTCCCTTCTTCATGGTCATCACTGTTGTCTCGCCCTTCCTATCTATCTACGTTACCAAGTTCAGAGACGTCAAGTGGCCCATTTTCGTTGGTTTCGTCTCTTTCAGTGCTTCTGTTATCGGTCTTGCTCTTGCAGGTACAAATGGAAAGCTTGGTCTCACATTCAACGGGATTGGTGGTTTGGGCTTCGCGCCTGTTCTGATCTTGATCATGGTCTGGGTCCAGGTAAGTAACAGACAACGTCACGGATGGAGGAACAGTAGATTAATCTTCCATCTACAGAACTCAACTCCTCCGCTCTTCATTGGTACTGCTTCAGCTCTTACCATTTCCTCTCGCACTCTCGGTGGTACCGTCGGTCTGGGCATCGCAAATGCAATCTATGGCTCGCTCACAAACACTCAAATCCCAGAGGCTATCAGTAAGTGGCAACCAAAACCCCTGACTATCAGCGCAATGCTAACACCACCTGTAGTCGGAGCTGTAGCTCCTCTTGGCTTCAATCCTGCCCATATTGGTCAGCTCATTGGCTTCTACATGTCTGGCCAGGGTCTTGACAAGATCCCCGGGATCAATGGACAAATCCTCGGTGCTGGTCTCGCCGCCCTTCACAAGACTGAGGCTCATGCCTACAAGATCGTCTGGCTGTCGTTCCTGCCAGGCTGTGTGGTTGCCGCTGCCATTTGTCTCTTCATGCGCAATTCCAGTGAGAGAATGAACTGGGTCGTCGATGCGCCTCTCGAGGCAAAGTCTGATGCGCTTTCTGCAAAGGAACAAGCATTGGAAGCAGACCATGCATCGGTACACATTCCCACTTTGAACGATAACATCGAGGTGGAGCTGGCCGAGCGCAGATAAAGCCTTGCACCTGCAATGACTTGACCTTGTTTGTTCTTGAGATACATGCCCCTTGTATATAGTGTATGAATTTATGTTTTGTTATGACAAAGTTTCCGCTCCATACATGCACAACACACTTTCAGAAGAACATGACTTTCGGTAAAAGGTATAACAGAAGGACGACATAACCTCATTGAGACAGTTTATCCAAAAAGTGAGGATTATCACAATATATACATGATTTCGATGCAGAAGGCAGGCTCATCTGCTGAATAACCAGAAATGCTCGCTGAATCTAATACTCTATCATCGTTGTTGCTGGCTAGTAGCCAGTGCTACAATCCGCAGCCCGTGAAATTGCGATGTTGTGGTTGTCAAGCTAAAGGTACAATCTCTGCATCTCAAATATTCGACCGACACAACAACTTCTTGCCTCAATCAGTGGTGTATCTGAACCGCTAACCTTTACTGAGCAGTTCTGGTGACTTACTGATCGTTTTCAAACAAGTTCAATTTGGATGGTATGCTTCCGATAACCAGGTCTCGATCTCTTCGTATCCAACGCCACTCAGTCTTGCCGGCCTTGCCGGTCGATCATGCTGCACATGACCCTCTGCCGTTGCTGCCTCGTCTGGAACTCTAGCTACGCCTTCAGTCCGTTGTGTACAAGATGCCAACTCACCCATGCTGAGCCGAGAGTGGAGGAGAGTACCAGCACTAGTCAGCTTCCTATGTAAGTCTTCCTCCACTGACTTGCTTGTCTCCAAGTCTCTCCACGACCAATTCCCCTCCACAAAACAGTGAAGAGTCAATCACAGGAGACGACAGTATAAGTTCTCTCCTCGTCTACCGTCAGATATGCAGGATTCACATGTTTGATCCACGGGCGGTGCTGCAGATGGCCCAAGGTTAAAGGTTTTGCTAATGTTTCTTTGCACTCTTACGACAGACTCTAAGGCATTGTAACACAAGAATACTGGCCATCGTGAAGTTAGGGTAATTCTTGGTAGTCACGATGGAATACTAAGCTTCTCGATGGTAATGATTGTGATATCGATCTTCAGACTTCTAGTCTTGTTTTTGATCCAAACGTTTTCCGCCTAGCCCTTTATATCGTTCTTTTCCTGCTAAGCGGGTATCTTGTTCTCCCTCGTGCGCTTGCAACTTCTATTCAACGCTTGGTCATTTCGAATTGCCATGCTTTGAGTCAAGCTAACACTATATGTGTCGAGCATCAAGGACTTCCTTTGTACCTTTCATTGTTTTGACCTCCTTAGTTCGGCCTCCAATCGCCCAGAAGATATAGGTAGAGTAGGTGTTGTATTGATAGCTATGCATCAGGGTCCTTCAAAGACATCGGATGAATGATCATCGCTATGGTGTTGAAGTGTTCGAAGAAAGGTTACATGAGACTGTATCTTCGGAGGACTTTACAATGTCTAGCGCCGACTTTCGCAAGCCGGTGTAACAGAATGTCCATTTTGATATGATTGAGTCAAAATATTCGTGCTCTTTGCCGAACGATACTGACCCAAGCGTCCGAAGGCTCTGGTATGAGCTGCACCCAAAGCATCAGCTTCCGTAAACATACGCACAATTTTGTCCGAGCATTCTTCTCGCCAGTCTGTTCCGGCTATGCATACCCGCCCTAAAGTACTTCCTGATTGTTCAACCATCCTTGTGACGTCGTAAAAGACCTCTGCCAGATGCTGTCGAATCGGTGTATATGGAACACGATTTGGGTGATCGTAGAACAATAAATCCACGCTACCGTGATTGTTCTGAATATTCTGGAATATCTCGACCATGGTGCTGCAAATAGCCTGAGAAATGGTACAATGGTAGGCGACTCTTTTAAAATTGTCGCCAAAGGGTCTCCGAAAGAAATCAGAAGCGAAGGCAATCTCTCTGACGTAACGACCGAAGACGGGATGTTCAGTAATCTCCAGCAAGGTATCGACGCTGACTATGGAAAAGACTATATGGCGGTTGGCGAAGAAAGCTGATCCGAAAGCATCGGTGGATACGTCGCGGAGCTCTCGGCAGGTCGAATGCAGATTGGCAATGGAGGACTTCTCTGTAGCATCGACTATCATCAGAAGGAGTTCAGTAGGAAGGTCCAACAGCTTTTCCCGGACGACACTACCATTCTGTCAGCTCTACTCTGTACGAAGGTGCGTTACGCAGCCGCAACGGCTGCACTTACCTTTGCTGCATCACCAAATTGGCTGCATCGAGGACAAGCAGCAGAGTCTTGACACGCAATACACTTCGCAGGTATGTCTTGAGGTCGCTTCATGGTGATCTAACAGCTGAGCTCGTAGATGCAAGAGGTCTTGAGTGGTTTTGGTGGACCAAGGCGGCAGAAGTCGATATTCGTACTTGCGAGAACGCGCTGGCGAAACTCACGCAAACCAACTCAACTTTCGACTCATCATCAACGAATTGACACAAGACTCCTTTACAAGGGTATCATACGTTGGGAAGACTCTAAAGACTAGATGGTGATGTTATTAGGATGGTGACCAATCTCAACAGTGACCATGTACGACGCCGTCGGTCGCGCCTTCCAGCGCCTGAATGATGTCGGGTTGATTCATGCACAAATTACATACCTCACGGGGCATGGATGACTCATGGTGAAGTTTTTCTTGGCCCCTGTTTATGACACCCTCTCCATCACCATCACCTCTCCTGTATTGCCATTCCACATCTCCATCAGCGCTTCACCATTTTCACTCTCCAAAATTCTCACCAGGACTTCCATTCCGCCTCTGCAGACCAGATCTGCTACAACTCTGCGCCCATTTTTAGATTCCTCTTCACCATGAGCAGCAATCCACAACCATTGCTCCGGCATCTGACCAACCTTCAACCAAGGTACTCCTTCCTTAGCCATTAACTGTACTTGAAACTGTGTTCCTCGCTCTTTCCACATTCCGGTCCATTTTTCCATGACCGCTGCGTCAGGCGGAACAGCAGATACATCAGCAAACGGAACAACACAACTCCTAATATATGTAAACTCTTCCGCTTTCTTCCAGCCAATTAGATATGACATAGCTGCTTGTACTTTGCAGCCTATCAGAAAGCCCTCAGCCGAGTTTGTCATGAAGCAGAACGCTTCATTTCCGTCAAAAGAGGCCATGACATTGCATCTCCAACCTGGCATGTTGCTACCGCTATGGGTGAAATGAGTCTTCGTGACGCGCCAACCATGAGCCATGCCCGCCGTGACTTGCTCAAGCATCTGTTTGGCAAGATGTTGAGGTACAAACGCATTTTCCTCGTGCAGAGACTTCTGAATGGCGGAAACTAGGAGCAAGAGATCGGTTGGTGTTGTCCATAAGCCTGCAGCCGACTGTTCCGGGTTCATGCGATGAGGTGCTTCGCAAGCGGTGTATCCATTATAGTATGCTCTTGCATAATTGTCCTTTCCTTGCTGTTTTTCGGTGTTCAAGTCTTCGTCATCAGGGACTGCGTACGTCGACCTTTTCATGTTCAAGGCCGTAAAGACATACTCCTGCATGACTTCCGCAAATGGTTGACCCATGACCGCTTCGATGATCAATTGCAAAACGCCATAGCCACCTCCCGAATATTTGAACACATGACCAGGCCAATCCTTAAGTCGAATAGGCAAAGTATTACTCGGCCAACTGCCTTCCAGCGCTTCTCCCAGATCCGGCAGTGCAGCGCGAAAATGTCCGTTTGCATTGCGGCTAACATCATAACCGGGAAAGCCTTGGGTACCACTAGTCTCGAGGCCAGAAGTATGAGACAGTAACATAGCTATGGTGATGAATTTTGCCATTCCTTTTGTTTCTGGCGTCTCTAGTTTTTCTACTTCTGCATCGCTTACATAGGATGAGATTGAAGTGTGCAGAGCTAGATGGCCAGATTCAATTAATTTGAAGGTCAAGAGCGAACAGACGGGTTTTGAGATCGAGCAGGCTTGGAAGAGCGTAGATGTGTCATCGCTGCCAGATGTTATGCAATGGGATATTGTTTTGTGTTGGTCGAGTAAGGCGAATGAAATGCATGGAGTTCCTAGGTCTTGGAGGACGGCGATTGCGGTCTGGTGAGAGGGTCGACGGTTGTTGCGCACGATTATCTCTTCCAGTCTGCTTATTGTTGAGGTATTCATATTCGTAACAAGCAGGAATATCGCCTTCGTTGAGTTTATTCCACAGGAGTATAAGTATGTGGTAGGTGCTTTACTTAAGCAAGCAGTTGTTGTTGCTGCCTGAAGCCTCGGCTAAATATGAGCGGATCCTTCAAGCCACAAATGTATAGAACAACGGGGACAAAAAGTGGAAAAGGGAACAGAAAGGCTGTCTCTACTGTGTTGCATTCAAGCTGTATGAGATACTTTTTGCATTGCGGTCGTAGCAGCGACTATGTTGCCGCGCTAACACGAACTGAGTGCCAATCTGTCTTCGTTATTGACACTACGCGAGAAGACATTTACTGCATCTCCATAGCATCGGCGCCATCATTCTTCGACTTGGCTGCTCGCTGTTCGTCCAACTTGCCAGCGCCCTTGATAGCCCCCAGACCCTTTGAGGTCAAGTACAAGAAGTGGCGCTCCTTGTAGTTGTCGATTTGGTTGAAGAAGAGGTGGAAACTAGAAGATCAAGTTAGCAATCTATTGAGAACATCAGTATTATTAAAGACTTACGTGTTGTCCCTTTCTTCCTCGGCAAAGATTCTCTGATAGATCTCCCTTTGCTTGAATTCCTCAAGCTCCTTCTCGTATTTGCCAAAGTCAAGCTTCTCCTTATCGTGTTTGACAGCTTGAATCTCGTTGTAGCTGTCGAACACGGGGCGCTCGAGCAGTAGTCCCAATCCAGGAACCTTGGGTATGCTGATTTTCTGGTCGCCCTGAGCCTCGACGATGCGTTCAATAGGGCAGCCACAACGGACAGTCAATGCGACCATACCAACCATCTTGCGGATCTGGTGCATCATGAAAGATTGACCATGAACCTTAAGTGACAACCACTCAGTTCCATTGATGATGATAGGCTTTGGGTTGCAGACAAAAGACTTGATGTTGCGCTTAGCTGAAGGATCCTTGAAGGTCTTCTGAATGGTGAAATTATGGTAGTTGCGAGTGCCGACGTAGCAGTCCAGTGCAGCTTGTACGCGAGCGATGCGCTCATCGGGGATGCGGTATGCGCGACGAGCAGCGTTGTAAGCAATCTTGAGCTGCTTGACAGCAGCTTCAATGCGCTTCTTCTGCTCGGTAGGAATGTTTGTCGACTCGAGAGTGGCAGGCTCGTCGGGCATGGGAGTATCGGATGTGCCAGCAGTCTCGGCCGCAGCTTCAGGCTTGGTCTCAGCATCTGCTGGTGCTGATGTGTCGACATCGGCAGTCTGCTTGACCTGCTCCTCCTGCTTGTCTTGCTGTTCTCCATCAGGATTGAAGTCGGAAGGCTCGTGAATGGCTTGTAGGACTAAATCGCGAATGTCGTCATCCAGAGCGTCCACAATAGGCTTGATGTCGCGCTCTTCAACAGTCTTCCAAAAGTCCTTGACCTCAGCCTGACGAGATTCGTAACCTTCACGGTCACCAACCTCATCAGCAGCCTCCTCCAGGTTTCTCGCCATCCAACTGCTCGGGTGTGGGGGCAAGAAGGCGTGTGAAGGGATCAGGTATTCGTACCAGCGACTGTCGCAGACCTGGTAACAGCTGAAACTGCCGATTGTTCTTTCGATTCCCCATACTCTGATTTGTGGTGACAGGTGCGAGTTGATCTTCTGGACGATGTCGGGGTCCTCAACAATCAACTTGAGCGAGATCATGTTGCCTGCAGCGTGGACGCCCTTGTCGGTACGAGCACATCTGACCAGTGCCGACTTCTTAGGATCATCGGCGTTGGCCTTTGAGATGGCACCAGCGTTAACGAATGCGGTAAACAGGTCGCCTTCGATTGTCTTCTCGGTTGTGTTGATTTGCATGCCCTTGTAGCCAGTACCACTGTAACCGATCAAGACGGCAACCTTGCGCTTCGGTTTGCGCTCTTCTGCGGCAATCTCATCCTGAGCGAAGGGTGCAGGAAGGACTGAGTTTTCAGGACGCGGCTTCTTCTTTTCTTCGTCGTTGCGAGATCTGCGGTCTGGCTGCTCTCGNTCTGAGAAGGGTGTTAGTGTTTGGGAGAGTATATCATGCATCAGCAATACCTACGACCACGCGTTCCTGCCCATATCTCTCTTCTTACCACCGCGACCAAATTTGAGTCCGTCGTCTTGGAATCGCTTGCGCTTGCGGTCGCTGTGAGATTCCTGCTTGGGTTCTGCGCTACCCTCGGCTGAGGTTGTGTTGGTCGCGTCGTCGACAACAGGCGCCGTAGCCGGCTTGGTCTCACTCGAATCTGCCATGATGTTGGTATTGACATGGTGAAAGTGGTCGACATGGGCAATTCTTCTTTGTACCGCCGCCTTGGCGTCATGCTCGATGAACTTTCTCCACATCTCCGCTTTTGCCAGGGTCTCGCCCTTTACAACAATTTCGACCATCTTTTTGTCTTCTTTCTCCGATAGCATCGCCCACGTTGAACGATTTACTGTTGAGAGTTAGCCATACGGTACTTGATGCGCTTATTGGTGCCTGACTAGGCTCATATCATGTTGCTATAAGCACACCAAAAGTTAGGGCACTTTTTATGACTCGAGAATTGCTTTGGCTGGAATGCCCGCTCGATTTATAAACATTTGGATTGAGCTACATTGGATGACCATTGCTTTCAACAAGTTGATAGCTTCTTGATATGTGAGGCAGGAATGAGATGACACAAGCATATGAGGACCTATTTAATTCCTTGAACCTCTGATAAAGGCGATAGATGAGCTCCTGCGGCTGTCAATTCGGGTCTTTGTCACTCGCAAAAACGTAGAGCTATATTGATTAGATACTTTGCTTAAAGTATAATCTCTTCTTAGCTCAGTTGGTTTAGAGCGTCTGACTGTAATTGTTCGATTGTCATCAGAAGGTCCTTTGTTCGACTCAGAGAGAGGAGATCTCTTTTGTCTGCGCCGCGTCTGTGCTCCAGATGGATCCGCAGCCATCCTTTTGTCCCCTTTTATCTTGTCAACTGCAACTCGGCCATGGTTGTGGAAGTCACACGAGCGTAAGAACATCAAACACAACAGCACCGAGTTCAATGTTTCGAACAACCATATCATTATTCTGACCTTTGGAAACATCAGGAGACTTGAAAGTTTAAGAGGCGGCTCGGGCGCATCGTGGTTGAACCCTGCGACGCGGCCAGACCCGCAAATCTCTCCTTGACCATTCAACATCATGCCTTCCTCCTTGATCTCGTCTGTTTCTTCCTTCCCTGTTGTGCTTTCGGATCAATTGCTCTGTCCTTCATTCCTTGATCTGTTTTTCGTATCGTGCGCTCACGCTCAGAGTTTTCGTTCTTTTCAGATCGTCAAGCTTGACCTTCTTTCGCCTCTTGCGGTGTAAAGCGCGTTCATCTTCAATCACTTTCCGGACTTGAAAGTTGGAACCTCATTTCTGGATAGCGGATCTCATTTGAACTATATAGCAACCTTGAGCGAAATCGAGCAGGTTCATCACCAGGCTTCACGTCACTAAACTGGGTTATTCGGCCGAATCACCAGCAATACCAAACTTTACAAGATGGCTCGTAACGTCGATCCGTACCTGACAGGACCCGACTTGGTCGTTTCCAAGAACCTTCTCCAGGAATTACAAGCATTGGCAACACCAGCAGGGCAGGACCCTGCAGACGATGACCAGGACATCAAGCATCTACTTGCAATCAACGACCCTAAAAGTTCAGAATTTGTGCCAACTGTCTTTACAACATGGGACGACAAGGATATCAATCCTACCATCAACAAGTATCTGGTCAAGCCATACACTAAAGTTGCCATGGGGATTGTGCGCCACCCGACAGACGTCGTCTTCCTAACGCATATTATCCTGTACATGACGGTCAACCTGGCAAGCGCGGCATACCTATACTATGATTTCCATTGGTATCATGGTGTGATACACACTGTATACACCGTATGGTGTGCCGGTGCTTTTACCCTGCTCATGCACAATCATATCCACAACGGAGGTGTTCTGAAGAAGGAGTATGCATGGTTCGATCTTACCTTCCCTTACTTGTTGGAGCCGCTGATGGGCCACACATGGGACTCGTACTACTATCACCACGTCAAGCACCACCATGTCGAAGGCAATGGACCAGACGACCTCTCCTCGACCATTCGCTACCAACGCGATTCGCCGTTCGACTTTGCATGCTATGTCGGACGCTTCCTTCTTNTCATCTGGGCTGAGCTACCTCTGTACTTCCTTCGCAAGGGCAAGTCAAGATTGGCACTTCAGTCTTGTGTATCAGAGATGGCCAACTACGCTTTCTTCTACTTCATGGCGACCAAAGTCAACTTCGGTGCCTCTATGTTTGTCCTCTTGCTTCCTTTCAGTATCATGCGTATCGGGCTCATGGTCGGAAACTGGGGACAGCACGCTCTTGTTGACGAAGTGGACCCCGATTCGGATTTCCGAAGCAGCATCACCCTCATTGATGTTCCCAGTAACCGCTTCTGCTTCAACGATGGCTATCACACTGCTCATCACCTCAACCCTCGCCGTCATTGGAGAGATGCACCTGTCCACTTCCTCCAAAGCAAGGNNGAAGCATACAGCAGTGGTCGTGCGCTCGTCTTCCACAACATCGACTATTTGATGTTGACCGTTAGAGTGCTCAAGAAGCAATACCTCTACCTTGCCGAAAATTGCTTGATTCCAATTGGCGATCAAACTAAGATGTCGAAACAAGAGCTCGCAGACATGTTGCGTACAAAGACGAAGGCCTTCACTGAGGAAGACATCAGACAGAAGTTTGGCATCAAGTCTAGATCCGGCAGAAAGAGTGGATGGATGAGTTGGACAGAGAAGGTCCTTGGTCGCTTCTCTGGTTCGGTCTCGGCTCCTATGGTTAAAGAAGCGACCGAGTAGATACTGCGGCAACGATTTTGAGCCTTATTGAATAGAGTATTTTAACTACCATGGTTTCACCTTCATGAAAGTCCGAGGTTCAAATTTCAAGCGAACAACGACAATTCTCAGGATACGGTAGGATGTCATGATACCTTATCCGTAGTTCCAGATCTCGTTCTAGACACTGCTACTACTCATCTTGAACTCAACCAAACACTCCTACTTGTAGGACTTGCGGGAGGTTGCTGAGGACATAGCCGGGAGTTCCGCAAGACGTTTTTGCCAAGCGTTGTTCCTGTCAATGTCATCATCAATAAGACCTCGAGGACGACGACGACTACCATCTCATGTCTGTTCTAAAGTCTCAGACCAACAATTACATACCTTCTCCTCGAGTATATCAGAAACTATCAAAGCACCCGTTGTCAAGCTCATTTTCGAGACAAAAGAACAAAGCGACCACATCGAGACCCTGAACCCTGATCGACACCCCGTAAACAGATCATCAGCAAGGACCACAATAGCAACCATGGCCGACGGCAACAGATCAACATTGAAAGAATTCATCGCATCTATCTCAACAATTAAAGGGGACCTCTCAAATATTACCGCACCGCCATTCTTATTGGCATCTCAATCGACCGTCGAGTTTCCTTCTTACTGGTGCGAAAGACCTGAGCTATTATGTGCTCCAGCTTCTGAACCTGATGCTCAGAAGCGCTGTTTACTTGTGTTGAAATGGTTTCTGGCAAGTCTGAAGCGTCAGCAGTATGCAGGTAGGGATGAGAGTGCGGGTGTCAAGAAGCCATTGAATGCTTTCTTGGGTGAAGTGTTCATGGGAGCTTGGGGTGGTTCGAATGGGGAAGGCAGAACGTGCTTAGTCTCTGAACAAGTCAGGTTAGTTCGGATCATTGTGATAAGACGCAATGGATAAGAACTTACTAATTTTCAACNNAGCCATCATCCGCCAGTCACCGCTTGCTATCTTTGGAACGATGAACAAGGTGTCAGGGTAAGTTTGACCGCTTCAGAATACTCATAGATGCTGATTCCGAAATAGGCCGAAGGTTACGCGTGCCAAAACATAACCTTCTCTGGTACTGTCAACATCAAACAGATCGGCCACGCAATCATCCACCTTGATAAGTGGAATGAAGACTACTTGATCCCTCTGCCTTCGGTAAAAGTCTCCGGACTGATCACTGGGACACCCTATCCAGAACTAGTCGGTAGCTACGACATCGTTTCTTCATCCGGCTTTGTAGCTTCTGTCGACTTCTCTGGCAAACGTTTCTTGGGTCTGGCTGGCAAGAAGAACGGGCTGCACGCTGCCGTCTACTCTGCCGATGATAGCAGTCGCAAACATCCAATCTACACTCTAGATGGCACATGGAACGATGTTTTCACCATTCGGGATGAGAAGGTCGATTCTGTGATTGAAGAGTTCGACACCAATGCTCATCCTCCACTTCCGGTCCAAGTCCCAGATGAGTCTATGCTTGACCCATACGAAAGCAGAAGAGCATGGGGTCCAACGATATCTGCGCTGAACTCTGGCAACATGCAAGCAGTCGTCGACGCAAAAAGTAAGGTTGAGCAAGGTCAGCGCGAGATGAGAAAGCAAGAGGAGAAAGAAGGCAAGACTTGGACGCCTTTGTTCTTCCAAAAGGTGCAAAGCGAACCACGACTCGACAAGTTGAAGGGCATGGCCCATGGAGACGCAGAGATGGATGGTACTCAAGGAGTCTGGCGATGGATCGGTAATGAGAAAGCCGATCAGATTGACAGGCCTTTCCATGGGGACCTTGTGCCATGGTTGACTTAGTCGGTGAGATCATTCAAGAGCTTGTCAGGCGTAGAATTTGTAAAGGTCGCAAATGGCGAGTCCAAGCGTATGAAGACCTGGTCGTGTGGAAGGAACGGTCACAACAGTCAACTCCTTCCTTGTCCTCTTGTCTTCAAGGTGCTTGCCTCTCTAGTAGTGGATGACCAAGTCAACAATCTCGACAGCTCATTCCTCAAGGACGCACCATTGATTCAATCGCTTCGTCCTCATGTCTCAAGAAGACATAAAGGGCCATGGCCTCCTGAGCACTAGAACATCATCGCTATCGAGTTTGACCGTCAATCTCAAGCTAACATCGTCAACATGTGGGCCCGCGAGCTGCTCAGAATTGGTCAACGCAGTCGTATCATCTTTGTACGCATGAACAGCCAATGATAGCAGCGAGAAACAACCACAAGAGGTACGCTCACTAATACAGTCAAGGTGGATCTCAAGCAGGTAGCAAGATGGAAGGTTCGTGATGTAAGGCAGAAGTGGTATGAAGAAGGGTATATGCCGAGAGATACCCCGGGTCACGACAGGGGACGACACCAGGTATAGAACCTTCCGGAACTCAGGTACCATCGTGGCCAATCAACACGTAAACGGAGAACGTCGTCGCTTCTCACGTAAACGACACGTTGATACACGTGTAGTTGTTCGTTGACACGATACGTTAGTAGCTTCTTCCCCTCTCTCTCTTCTCGACGGTAACCTGACTGCGGACTATAGTGACGCAGCCCTTTGCAGCACCACTCCCGAACGACAACCAGTAAGTACTCTATCCTTGCTCTTCACCAGAAGTCTTGTTCTTTCTCTGCTCTGTCGAGGAGAAGTCAGTACACGTCGTTCAGCCCGACTGATGTCACATCACTGACAAGCCGACCGAGCTTGCAACTCTGTTGATCTCCTTCACGTCAACTGTCCTCCCTACACCCATTAAAAGGCACAATATTGTTGCGTTGTCTTAATGATCCACAGAGATAGACTTGACTGACATTATCTTGTCTTGTAGCAGCTAACCATTCATTACATCCGAGCAAACTCATTCACGATGCCCAACTGGAAAGATCTCGCGAGTGAGATCAAACTTATGGTGATCAATCAAGTTGATCTCGATGAGTACGATCTCCTCGACTTCCGCCTCGCCAACAAGCAATGCAACGAACTAAGCAAGAAACTGTTCGCCGAAAGATACTTCACAGTCAGAAGGCACTTCGTGAACAAGAAGAGTCTCCAAGCACTGGTCGACATCAGCAAAGATGCCTTCTTCGCTCAATACGTCAAAACTATCCAGTTGAGCGCCCTGCAGGGTCGCTACGACGTACCTTCATCGGGATCTGATCGTGAAACAGCGGAGCGTCACCCAGGAACCGTCTCTGACCACATCACTTTCAACGGATATCATGGCCCCACAGAGCTCAAGGCCTTACTGAGAAAGGCTCTCCTTAATCTGAAGACTCAACCCACACAGTTCACTATTGGAATCGACCGCTTATGGAGACCGTTCGAGGATGTCTCTGACCTGGGAGAGTACGGACGCTTCGCCCCTGCGCACTATAACCTCGGCACCTTCTACCTCACGGCCGCGGAATGGGCCAATGTTGCTGAGAATGAGCGTATCGCTTTCGAAATGATCACCTCCATCGCTAGAGAAGTCAAACTGCCCGTCAAGGGCCTGAAGGTCTCACTCTATGATCACTACATGTTGTTGCTCGAGGAGGGCAAGGAGGAGTGGCTCGACTACAACTATCGCAAGCCTCCCAAAGAACCGTGCGACCCAGAACTCCTCGGCGACATCTTCAGCTACCTTGAAAGGTCTCCGAGAATGGACGTGGATATCGACCTGACTACTGGCGACTACAGAGATGAGGGAAGCCATGAATGCGGACTACTGGTATGGGAACTACAGGTACGGAGACGACGAGGACCCACCCTACCAGTCCATGAAGGTCAACTACGACGCACGATCCAAGACTTTGACCATCGACAAGACCGACACGAGAGATGTGGTTGAGTTTATGGCTCCATGGCTCTCATCCATGCAGATCAGATCATTGCGCCTTACCAACATGTACATCAAACAGGAAGAATTCATGGCATGGTTGGTCGAAGAGCACAAATCAACGATCAAGAAGCTCAGAATGGCGGACTGCACACTCGAGAATGATTGGGCTTGGAGACGTGCTGTGTTCTCCATTTTCCACATGTCAAGTCTGGAGTATCTCTCATTCACCAATCCGTCAGTCAAGCACAACTGGAAGGAGTTCTTCAACTCCTACTTCGACAACGAGAAAAAGCTAGTCTACAGTGGTGACGTGCAGGAGCACCTATCAAACGATTTGGAGCCCTATGATGAGTACGCGATGGATGTTCACGGCCAAGACGAAGTCGAGGAAGAATCTGAGGAAGAAGAATCCGAGGAAGAAGAATCCGAGGAAGAAGAATTCGAGGAGGAAGAGTCCGAGGAGGAAGAATTCGAGGAGGAAGAGTCCGAGGAGGAAGATGAAGATCAAGAGGAAGAAGATGAAGACGGAGATGAAAATGAAGGCAACAACAAAGAAGAAGAGAGAGAATGAGCAGAGGGGTTGGAACGTCGCAAGAAAGAAAACTAAGCACCTGATACGAGATGGGTAATAATGGAAGAGTGGCTCAGACAACGCAGAGGAGGTTATCGAAGGCAAGACTAGCTATGTACAGAGTCGAGATATGAAATCGCAAAACAACTCGCTAATTCCTTTTTCTTTCCTCAATCGTGACATGAATGTAAAGTATTTTTGGTGATAAAGTAAACTCGGATATTCTAATCAAGTGAGATCCTCTTATCCGATACCAACTTGGTAGACTCAGTCTGCAGGTGGAATAAGAAACAAGCGTCAGAACAGCTCATGGCAACAGCATACTATGTCGACTTCGAGTCGAGAGAACGAAAATCACATATAACGTTTCGCATCTGAATTGATGCCCTCCTCACGTACAGGAATGTCTAACGTTCTTACAGCCTATACTTCCAGCACACTATGAGCGTAGAAAGTGGTGCGAAAGAAACAAATGTGACTCTCTCCAGAACGGACTCAAGCTCTCGGAAGTCGCGATGCATCCTGGTGAAGGAGTCCGCCACATCACCAGTATTCAGCATAAGATGCATCAAGCAAGGGGGAGTTGCATCCGTAAACAAAAATCTCTTCCAATATTTATTCATAGTTTTTTTTTTCCCGAAGTTCTAGAGCCGGATGGTCGTAGTTTTTGCAACACCGAAAGTTACGCCTCTACAACCATGAGCTCATTTATGACCTATAGATGCTGTACGTGAGCTACCTAGGGAACACGACATAGTGTGCTAGCAGATATCCCAAGAGGTCTCGGATGAAGATGGTACGCGTACAAGACCGGGCAAAGAACCACCAAAGTCTCTAAACTTCAAACGACAAGGTCAAGGGGGGCCTCATACTTCGCAACGTGGTTAGCTGGTCAGAGTGACGGCAGACTGCACCCGTTTTTGACAACCACTGTGTATCTGTAGACACCTCATCATGGCTGTTGTTGAAGGTGAACAGTCTATCCTAGATGCTCTTCCCCTTGCTATGATTCTCTCTTGACCCAGCTCCCGTGAAAAGAGTACGTGCTCGGCAGCAATGAAATCGGAGAACCCTGACGTCTTCAGCGGAGAGTTTATGAGAGCGACGGGACCTGACGACTGCCCTCGATCGAAAGTTCCGCCACAACAAACATTTATAACCTGAACTTTCCCTGCGACCACCAACATTCTTTCTTTACGCGGCCAAATACATTAAATCGCAGTCATTAGCATCTGGAATGGTGTAACAACAACAACATAGTTACATCAGGAATCACTCTCACTTAGCAAGTGTTTTATTCTATTCGCTCGTTACCTGTCAATCGTAAGCTCTGCAACTACCTTACAAACCAGAGAGAGACCGACGACAAACAAAGGCAAACTTGTACTCCATTATCATACACCTAATCTTTTGCAACAACGCACTGATATCGATACACTTGCTTCTTCAAGCGCAACGAAGAGCTGCGACATCCACAAAACCCAAAAAAGCATACCGACCTCCAAGACGCTGCCACAAAACCCGACATATTATTGAAGCGACACCATCAAAACAAGCAGCAAACCCCGACACAAAACAACAAACCTCAAAAAACTTTACCTTGTCTTAACAATCCCTCAAACATCTCACAAACAAAAAACCACAACCTCACACCAGAATGAACCCAGCCGGCTCAATCGCTCTGGCCCTCTTCCTGACAACCTTCGGTGTAATCTTCTTCTGGTACATCTGGGTCAAGGTTTTCGAATGGGAGCTCGCCATCTGGTACCGCAGCACCGTCGAGCGTCGCAAGGAACTCGAGCTTGAGGCTAGAAGTATTGATTTGGAGATGGGAAGAGGAAGTGTGGCTGCTAGCAAGGCACCTAGCAAGCATGGAAGCAAGAAATCTGGAGGAGGAGGAAGCAAGCATGGAAGCAAGGCTGCTAGCAAGAAGTCGGGTAGCAAGGGCGGAGGGGGAAGCAGACATGATAGCAGATCGGGAAACAAGGCTTGAGCGTTGTGACATGCGACTGCGAGAAGACCAGAGAGTGATGAAGGAAGGGAATGGCACGGTGAAGTGCAGTATCCTCGACTGGGCTTTGGCTGGAATAATGAGCAACAGAGAGATGGACAAGCGACCCGCAAAAGGAAAGAGATAAAGCATGGAGGTAATCTATCTTTCTAGTTGCAGAGAGGATCCCGGGTCATTCTAGGCCGGAGAAGAATTTGAGGAGCAAGAAAGAACTGGATACCGGGAACCTTCGAGTCGAAAATGCAATCTAACTCACCCACATCCCTAACAAAGGTAGCCAGCGCCTTCAATAGCAAAAGCGCAATTGTGATCTATTCATCCTGTCAGATTTTGCCGTTGCCAACCTTGATGTGTCTAGGATTCTGTCCTTCCACCTGCTCAATACCCTCGAGAACGTGGGCATACACACCCGGAGGCCTTCCCATCTTGATTTTTGCACCACCGACTTCCTTCAAATGGATACCTTGACCATCTTCGGTTTCCCAGGTGAACTTCCTGAACTCGCAATTCTCATAACCGGTTCCCTTGGAACCATCGAAAGAAGCCCAATCACCGGTGAAGAAATGTAAGAAAGCGCCATGGGTGACCAAGATGACGGCTTCCGAGGGACAAGCATACAGAGTTGCGCGAAGAGCAGCGGCGCGTCCCGAAACAGCTTCGAGAGAGGCAGCATAAGGTCCAGCTTTAGAGTTCCAGCCTTCCTCAACCAGACTCCAGTCCAATCTCTCAACTCCAAAGCCAAGGTTTTCTTGGTCTAACCACGCTGCGATCTTCTGCTTGAGTTCTGCTTGTGGATAGCCAATGTCACAAGGCTGGTTGGCGATTTCTTGCGCGAATGGGACAAGTACAAACTTAACATCAGGTCTCTTTTTCAAAACATCACCAAAGCCGAGACAGGCAGTTTGGATTGTGCGGATCAGAGGTGAGGCCATGATTGTGAGAGAAGCAGGAAGTGATGACTTTGGAAACGTGTTGCTGAGATTTGTGCATTGTGTGCGGCCGAGATCCGTCACACTTGGATCGCGGAGATGGTGTTGGTTNCTGAGAGGTGATCAGATGTTGGGACACAAAAGAACGAGAAAGACCGGATTTACGTTGACATTGTGGTGGCCCTGAGCATGGCGAACGACGTAGATTGATGGTGCCATTATTGACAATGTTTAGTGGAGTCTAATTGTTTATTGGAAACAAAGTCGTCCAGACTGAGAAAGTTCAAACGAAGGTGTCTTGTCTATTGTGGATTATAAAGAGTGAACGACAAGAAAGGGGGCCAGTTTGTAAAAGAGTCATCAAGCAAGAGCAAACGCCGACCACGACATGAGGTTAGTTTGCTTCGGCTGACCTGCCTCTTAGCTTCACGAACAGCGTCTAACCTGCCCGATCAAGCTGTCTGTCGGATTACCGAAAACGGTCTTTGTCATGTCAACACCATGAGTGCAGTGTAACTCTAGGCTTCTGGCCAAACATCAGGAAGTTTGTCTACAAACGTCGCATGGTAAAGAGAAGCGTCAGCATGTGGATATCAAGGAGAAGGTAGAGCGATCAAGGCCCGAGGGCCTGGAAGCATGGCGGGTAGCTGTTGACGGGGCTTGGCGGTGACGTATGTGATAGCCGAAGATTCACCACCAGTTGGGCGGGTGTCGAGGTTGGCAGGTGCAACACGCAGCTTCCCCAGACAGGCACCTCCAAGCAGCGATAGCAGCGATCCTTCCTCAACCTCCTCGATACAGTCTGAACAGCAAGGCGCAATGTGGGACGACGAGGACAACAACCCCTACGGCTCGTTCAACAGACGCGACTCGGAGACGTCCGATGCTCCCGGTACACCACCTTTATGCCCTCCCACCACTCTCTACACCTCTAACTGTCGCATCAGCCNNTTCCGTCAAGCCCCCTCAACACCACCCTCTGGCGCGAGCAGTCCACCTCAGTCCACTCCTGAATACCACCGACCAGAATCCACCTACCACGATGAACCCTTCGGCCACGACCAACAGGACAGCGACCACCACCATGATGACGACGACGACGACGAGGACTTGTCGCAATCGCGTAGGATCGAACCAAAGAAGGGTGGCTACCACAGTCGAATCGAGCAGATTCTCTATGAGAACCCCGACCTAGACATTCAGATCGTGCACGCAGGCAAGAACACCGAGGGCGGAGGCAGCTACATAACCTACACCATTCGCACTGGAGTACGCCATTCCGCTGCCCGACTTGCTGCAACAATCGCTGACAGTTTTAGGNACATCGAAGTACGAAGACGTTACAGCGAGTTCGCATCGCTGAGAGCCACCCTGGTCGCCCTGCATCCAACCCTCATCATTCCACCAATCCCCGAGAAACACTCAATCACCGACTATGCTTCAAAACCCACAAAGGCGAAGGAGGATCTAGGCATTATCGAGTTGCGCCAGCGCATGTTGACTACCTTCCTCAACCGCTGCCGTCGCATGCAAGACGTGCGCGACGACAATGTCTGGTGGCGTTTCCTCGATCCCAACGCTAGCTGGAACGAGGTCCTCCACTCCCACCCCGTCGTGAACATTCCCAAGAACAACCTCAAGGCTCCTCCGCTTGACCCTGCCAACCCCTCTCCTGGTCACAACTTCTTGCCTGTCCCTTCATCATCGGCAAAACTACGCTCGTCTGGTAATGCTTCCGCATCCGGTACACCCAGCTCACCACCAATGCAACAACCATCGACTGCTGCTCACTCATCTCCCGGTCCTCAGGTATTTGGCCGTTTCCCTCCCGATTCCCAACACTTGTCAGAAGAGGATCTCGACCCCTACTTTGTTCAGTTCGAGAACTCGTCGCGCGAGTTGGAAACCCTGTTGCAAGGCTCCATGGAAAAGGTCAACCAGCGCACTCTTCAGCACCTGTACAAGCTTGGAGACGATCTTATGGAGCTAGGTGGCCGCTACAACGCCTTCTCGCTGTCTGAACAGTCCGCCGAGGTTGCTGCTGCTATTGAGAAGATCGGACAGGCTTGCGATTTTACATACATCCAAACTCGGGATTTATCTAGCGGTTTGTCAGCTCAATTCGCTGAGCCCATGCGCGAGAGCGCTCAATTCGCCGGCATCGTCAAAGGCGTTCTGAGATACAGAGTTTTGAAGCGTGTCCAACAGGAGATGACTCGTGAAGAACTCGACAAGAAGAGAACATCCCTCGACTCTTTGGAAAGAAGCGAAGCAGAAGCGAAGCGTATCGAACAATACCTTCATAACTCAGGTTCTTCACCACCTCAACGGAGTATGAGCACTGGCAGTAACGCTGCTAGACGCAACCCAGCCAGAGATCAGCTGCCTAGGCGTGCAGAAGACGACACGGCAAGTATCGATTCGGACTTCCCTCCCACGATGGGCAGTGCTCCTAGCGCAGCTCAGGGCTCTCCTCACCAAGACCAACCTACCAGTCCTACGCAGCATAAGAGAGGCGCTAGTGGTAACTTTGTAACAAACAAAATCTTTGGGCGACTCACTCATGCGTATCATAATGTTGTCGATGCAGACCCCGAGCGCATGAGGAGAGACCAGATTGGCAAGACGAAGGAAAGTTTGACACAGGTAAGGATCATCGGCTCCATGCAAATACTGTATCATGCTTACATATTTCACNAGCTCGAACAAGCTCTCGAAGTCTCGGAAAAGGACGTCAAGGATGCCAGCGGTGCTGTACTCAAAGATCTAAAACGCTTCCAAAGCGACAAGGAAGAGGATTTGAGGAAATACATGGTAAGTTCTTGTAACAAAATATCGCATTGATGTTCGCTAATGGATTCTCNNTTACAGTTGGCATTTGCCCGCTGTCACATCGAGTGGGCGCAACGCAGTCTAGAAACCTGGGAAGAAGCTCGTGTGGAAGTCAACAAGATTCCTGTATTGGAGCCGAGGTAGATGCTGCCTCGACGATACTCAGACCCAAGTCATTTATCTATCTAAATCATGCAGGTTCGCAAAGAATCATTAATGTCTCTTCAGTGTATTCGCTACGGGTCTGACGCGACCCTTTTCATTCCTCGGGTGATCGAAGTCACGACACAATCTAAACTCGACATTTTGTGAACATATATATATGCCAGAAAATCACCTGTTCACTCTCGGAATTCAAGATTTCTACGTCCCTAGCTTCTGACTGAAACCATCAATTGTCAAGTCCATCAGACCTGCTGCTCCAGAATTTCCTTGCCAGTCTGCAACCACAAGCCATTAACCCCATTTTCCTTTCCTTTNTTGAGTAGCATCTCCAATCTCTTGACAATAGCGCTTGCTTGTACAGGCATCTCGACGCCTGTCTTGCTCAGATTCAACACGAGTTGAGCAGCGTACAAGATTTGCATGCCCAAAACAAACACCTCTGATTTCCTGCTCCAGCCAAGCGGCGTATCAGGCTTCTCTTCAATCTCCGCAGTCAAGACGTCAAGACCGTCGACAACCCATGTGCAGAGATTCATGAGCAGGCGGAAGGAGAAGGCATTTGGTTGAAGTCGTGCCGCAACCGAAGACCAGACTCGTGCTTCTCTAGTTTCATCGATGAACAAATTGTGTTTTTCTTGTGCGAAGAGCGAGGAGCCAGACTTGCTTTTCTCAGCTAGCAATTGTTTGACAGAGTCTGGGAAGGAAGTGTTGACAGCGTGGCCAGTGGCTCTGCTGATGGCTGTTGTGGCTGCTACGGCGTCGCTGCCGAATGCGGATGATATGAATCCTGCTAAGCCTTGGTTTGCGGCTAAAGGCACCATATCGGCTCGCTTCTTGTCGCTACCTGCGTTGAGGATGTTGGTGGCGACTGGAGCGGCGAGCGTTCTGATCTCGACATCATCGTCGTTGCAGAGGTCGTAGACAGCAAGACAGAATTCGAGAACAAAGTTGCCTGAATCCAGAGAGTTGAAGTATGCTAGAGACTTCTCTTCAAGCTGCTGCGTTGCTACCACAGCAGCATGTCTAGTATCGAATGGCTGGAGAACTGTCAGTGGGATGTTGATGGCTCCAGCATAAATTTGAACTTACGTTNNTGAGTCTTGCAGAGCGTAGCGAACCTGCGAAACCCATCCCTGAAAATCTGTTTTGAGTTGATCGTCACTCAGCGAGTCATCTTGCGCGCGGAAGTTGAGCAGTGCCCCNTGCAATATGAGTCGTTTGTCACTGTAAAGCGGAGTTGTAGCATTTGACGGCAGATAAGACTGCTTTAGGTCAGTGAAGATAGTTCTCTTCACATCCTCTGCAGCACCTTGAGACAAGAAGTCGATCAGAACTTCCTGAGCAGCATCGCGAACCTCAATATCCACATTGCCATCAAACATCAGCTTGGCCGAGATATTGACCAGAAGCTTTTTGGCTTGTGTGGCAAAGACAGAATCAGTAGATCCAATTCTGGCAGCTTCACGCAATGCAGTTGTGCAAGCGTCAGGGTCGCGAGTCGCCAGCAGTGCAAGGGTGTCTATCCTTGCTATTAAGTCCGCTGTCGAATTATCACTGGAGGGTCCGCTGAACAAAGCGTGCTCGTGAATCAGCGACAATGCCAAAGATTGTCGAAGGAATGAGCATGCTGCGAAGTGATCACGAGGCAGGTCTAGGATGATATTCATATCCTCAACTGTAGCCCATCTTGTGCCTGGTACTNNTGAGTATGTTAGTATCGTGAATCAATTATAAAGAGCACGCTCCGTACCGAACAGATGACGCTGTTTCTGTATAGCCGCGTGGAAGAAAGCATTCTGTACGTCTACAAATGCTGCTTGTGTCAAGGAACATGCGTTGTCATAGAAAAGATCATCAATCCTTGATTGCACGGCATCTACTACCGCGTCCATATCTACGCTGGTCAGTAACTTAGCGGTCAAACAATTTTCATCAGACTGACCTTCCGTACTGAAACCCTTCCCGTGTCTCTCGATCAGATACTTGACTGTAAGCAGGACGCCATGTAGTTCATTCTGGCTTGATGCTTGATGTCGAATCAGCTCTACGATACGACTGACTCGATCTCTAGCAGGCACCAGAGTAGAATATGTCTTTGCTGCCTTGTCACGAACAAGCCATTGCCGGCTTGAAGCGAGTCTCAGTACTGAAGTTTGGATCTCTTCCGCGAGGTTCGAAGGCGGTTGTACGCGTTGGAGGAATTGTAGAGCAGGGAATACCACTTCGGCCTTCGCTTGGTTGATATCGGCATCAGTCGTCAGTAACTGAAGAATAACATGCATCAAGCTTGTGATCGCTTCGTCGGAGAGTCGGTTTTGTGTACGTGTATCTTCATCCGAGAATGCGTCATTGGTACCAATCAGTCTGTCCATGAGAGCTCGGAAGAGCATGAGTCCAGAGTTTCGGACAGCCCATNNCTAGCGTACAAGTTAGCATAGTGCTTTCCGATGATGTTTGAGTTCAACGTACGTATTCGAAGATAGGCATTTAGCTGCAAGACTGAGTGCTTGCGGCACGTAAGCCTCTGATCGCTCGCCCAATTTCGAGTTCTTGAAAATATCCTTTATACAGTTTAGAGCGTGGACTTGAGAGAGACCACCAGCGCTCTCTGCAGCTTGATCAACGGGTCTTGTGCCCTCGGTTGTAAGATCTGACATAGCTCTGCCAAAGAGAAGACCTTTAGTGTCTGCAACGACAATGCCAATCATCAAAGATGGCAGCCCTGCCGAGCGGCGGGTGTTAATTGCAGTCTGATTTTGGATGCAGAGAATCGCACGCNNTGCAAAAGATTAGTCACAGACCACAAAATCATGTTAACAGACTCCAAATACCTTGTACCAGTCTTCAAGAGATTGGCTCACAGTGTCCGTGCCACTGTTTGAGCGCATACAGCATATGATAAAGGTCTGAGCGACTGTCGAGAAAGCACCTCGATGACGCAACTCAGCAAGCTGCGTGAACGTGAGATCGCCTAACTGTCGGAGTTGCTGAGATGAAAGAAGTGTTTGGTCGAGGGAGTCGAGTGGACAGCTCTTCACGATCGAGCGCAAAAGCAGACTATTTATTATGTCAGAACATGCAAAAACCGTCATGGATAATGAGCCTTACCTGGATTCTTTCAGAGCTCGCCACGAGTAGCTCAGAACATCCTTCGTTCCGATGTCCTCTTGCTCAAGCTCTTCGGCGGCAATACCTTCAGTGGTATCATTACAAAGTGTATCATGTACACATGTCCACAGAGACTGGAAAATTTCGTAGAGTCTAAGGTAAAGCTTCTGCAGGTACGGTAACACAAGAGGATCGGAAGACATCATTTGATAGAAGCCAGGCTTCTCGATGATGTACCTGNNTAAGAGTTCAGCATGCAGCCAAGTGATAACCGAATAGTCTTCATACCTCAAGCTAATGAACAGGCCATGCAGAGGATGCTTGCTGACAGCTCTGCCGATATCCGCGTTCGCGACCTGAACTGTCTGCTCAATTGCATGAACAAGACGCTCCAGAATACTGTATCTCGAACCCCACCACTGCTCACTTTCGCTGGTCAAGTGCGAGCATTGGCTGAACAAGATGCTGTATAGATGTGCAACTCCATCTGCATGATCAGCACGTCCACTGAAGATCAACATCTCCTCAGCTTGTGCAAGGACTTTTACTAGCATAGGCATATCTCCTGCACCACTCATCTGCTGTGATTCAGAGTCCACAAGACTCAGGATTTCTGCGGCCGTGGATCTGACGTCGTCGTAAGCATTGAGGAGTAGATCAACCAATAGATCAGTCATCTCATTATCAACCACATTCAACGAAAATGGCCACAGCACCGTGGCGCCTCCAGACTTTGTGTGCCCAGAGCCACGAATTTGAGTATCAAGTCCAGATTTGGCAATAACCAAGATACACTTGAGTGCCGATATGTGTCTCTGATAGCTAGCCGTTGGCCGCAACTCGGTTTTGAGAAATCCAATATACCACGCGACAAAGGATTTGTGAGCCGTAACCAGCTCAGAGGACTCGATAGATACTGATGGAGAATCGAGAGAGGCTTTTGTTGTGTTCTTCTTCGTCTTGCTTGGTGGCTTGGTCAAAGTCGCTGTTGCGGCCTTAATACGATCCATGAGATGTCTGATCAAGCTGAACAGCTCGCTCCGGAATCCAGCATCCGCATCGGAATGAAGGAAAGGTAGACCTTTCTGTAGCGAACTCATCGCTCCGACGGATAATGGCTGGGTGGTCGTTGTGGAGGTTGTAAGCATTGATAGACCAGCGATTCTCACAGCGTCAGACGTGCGTAGCAATAGATCTCCAAGCAAAACATCTGGAATGCACAAACCGTCTTTNTCAAAGAACAATTCAACACTTTCGGTATTTTGGCCAACATCTGCAACCTTGACCAGCCCGAGCCTGCTTCCTACGGACAAAGCGCAGAACAGGACTTCCTCGCATTGTGATGTAGAAAGTGGCAGTGAGACATCGGAGGTTTGGCCTCTGCTAAGGGTTCTTCGTATGCCTAGCTGGTCTACGAGAGCAATGAAGCTTGATCTGTCTTGCTGGAATATCTCCGGGAACACATACAGCCGAAGGACCTCAAGAGCTTGGGGCCTTTGCCTGAGTATATCCAGAATAGTGGAAGACCACGAAGATACGTGGTGGTTGCCAAAGGCCAGTGGTGCTGGGCTTCGATCTGTGGATCGTTCCTTCTGGAGTACCAGAGCTGCCAGCGAGCCAGCGGACGACGCAAAGTCTTCATATGGTGCAAGGCGTAAGACGATCGCGAGCACATCTTGGATCGAACATGGTTTTTGCTCGCCTTTCACGGCCGAATTCCTACCAAAGACGTCGCATAACTCATTAACAGAAACGATGTTTTTGGACAGCCAATGCGCCAGAGCTTGCATGGCAGGTCGAGTGGGAGCGTTCTCGGAAGGAGTACCGATATGTTGGACTAGAGATTCGAGCAAACTCGTTCTCCCGGGTTCGCAAATAGATTTGTCTTGACACTTGGTTAGGGCAGAGGTCAGTGATGTCAGCAATAGACGAGATGGCTTGACGTTGAGAGCATGGTGCTGGTCGAGGTAGATCCAGAATGCATGATGCCAGAATTTTTCAGTTTGCCAAAGTAGAAGAAGGAATTCATGCTCCTGGGATTGAGCACACTTCTCAATCAAGTTAGAAAGTAAATTGCACGCAGCTGTTCTGTGTTGGTTGGTAATGTCTGTCCGCAANGTCAAGAGAACTTGTTGGAACAAGTTGATGATTCTNTTGTTGTGTCAGCTCCAGCAGAAGTATGTATAAGGAAGGACCGAAGAAAGAAGTACAAAAACATTCAGGAAGTCGTGGCTGTCTTACCTCGCAACTTCCTCATGCAGAATATTTTGATCAACTTTACGAGGAACGAGACTTGCGCCATTCAAGGTATTTTGGCGAATCTCATCTTCAGTCAGAGGAGCAGCCATTGGCTACTTAGGTTCTCTCGAATCGACAAGAGACTCTATGTCGAACAAAAATAGGTATTAAATCAGACCTATTTAGCTCGAATGCCTGACCATTTTCTCTGCAGCTATTTTGCGGGCAGAAAGAGAAAGAGGTATTGATCCGACATCGGCCGGGGAAGCAGGCAGTGGCCAATCAGACGGCTGATGCGTTGATTACCGGGACTGACTCGCGCACGCGTGGGAAAGTTGACCTGGAGAGCTAAGAATCACTCGACCGTCGCCGCCTCTTCCTGCTCCCCTTCCCAAGCATTGAATTTAGCAGGTGACAATCATGTTGTCGTCGCGTATTGGAGCAAAAGCTGCGAGGTCATCCTGGACCTCGCGGGCACAATTGCGCGTAGCGTATGTCCAAGGCCAGGCGAAGCCTCAACCAGCCGACAATAAACTAACACGCTACTTACAGCNNCCTTCTGTCGCCCAGACCCTCTCCTCCAGACAATATGCCACCGGTCCTGGTGAAGACAAGATCTTCCAACACATCAAGCTGGACAAGGATGCCCTCAACAAGACCAGTGCCATCATCACCCAGCCCAAGGCCCACGGTGCCTCGCAGGCCATGCTCTACGCCACTGGCTTCACTGACGAGGACATGAACAAGGCCCAGGTCGGTATCTCATCTGTCTGGTACTCTGGAAACCCTTGCAACATGCACCTGATGGACCTCAGCAACAAGGTCAACGAGGGTGTTCAAAGAGCTGGTCTCAAGGGTATGCAGTTCAACACCATTGGTGTCAGTGACGGCATGTCCAACGGTACCACTGGTATGCGCTACTCTCTGCAGTCTCGCGACATCATCGCAGACTCTGTCGAGACTGTCATGGGTGGCCAGTGGTACGATGCCAACATCTCCCTCCCTGGTTGCGACAAGAACATGCCCGGTGTCATCATGGCCATGGGAAGAGTCAACAGACCTTCCATCATGGTCTACGGAGGTACCATTGCTGCTGGATGCGGTCAGATGTCCAACGAGAGACTCGATATCATCTCGGCCTTCCAGGCCTATGGCCAGTTCATCACTGGTGAGATCAACGAGGAAGAGCGCAAGGACATTATCAAGCACGCCTGCCCGGGAGGTGGTGCTTGCGGTGGTATGTACACTGCCAACACCATGGCTTCCGTCATTGAGGCTATGGGTATGTCTCTTCCTGGATCCTCCTCCAACCCTGCCATGTCCAAGGCCAAGCAGCTCGAATGTTTGGCTGCTGGTGGCGCCATCAAGAACCTTCTCAAGGAGGACATCCGTCCTTCAGACATCATGACCCGCAAGGCTTTCGAGAACGCCATGACCGTTGTCAACATCACTGGTGGTTCTACCAACGCTGTTCTCCACTTGATTGCCATGGCTCACTCCGTTGGCATCACCCTTACCCCTGACGACATGCAAGCTGTCAGTGACCGCACCCCTCTTCTTGCCGATCTCAAGCCTTCAGGCAAGTACGTCATGGCCGACCTCTACGATATTGGTGGCACCCCTGCTATCCTTAAGTTCCTCTTGAAGGAGGGCGCTATCGATGGCAGTGGTATGACTGTCACCGGTAAGACTATGGCTGAGAACCTCGAGAATGTTCGCGACATGCCCGAGAGCCAGAAGATCATTCGTCCTTTCAGCAACCCCATCAAGAAGACCGGTCACATCCAGATCCTGTACGGCAAGATCGCCCCTGGTGGCAGTGTCGCCAAGATCACTGGCAAGGAGGGCACTCAGTTCACCGGCAAGGCCAGAGTCTTTGACGGAGAAGATGGGTTGATCGAGGCTATTGAGGGTGGCTCATTCAAGAAGGGCGAGAAGACTGTGATTGTCATCCGTTACGAGGGTCCCAAGGGTGGTCCCGGTATGGTCGAGATGTTGAGACCTTCTTCTGCCATTATGGGTGCTGGTCTTGGTAACGATGTTGCCATGCTCACTGACGGTCGCTTCAGTGGTGGCAGCCACGGTTTCCTTATCGGCCACATCGTTCCTGAAGCACAGGATGGTGGTCCCATCGCTCTCATCAAGGACGGTGACACCATCACCATTGATGCCGAGAAGAGAGTCATCGACACCGATGTTTCCGAGGAGGAGATGCAACAAAGAAAGCTCAGCTGGAAGGCACCTCCTCTCAAGTACCAAAAGGGTACTCTGTACAAGTACGCCAAGATCGTCCAGGATGCCAGCCACGGTTGTATCACGGATGCATGAACGAGATGCTGATGTATTATACCACACCTTTGTAATTGCATAGCTGTTGGATTTCTTCTTGTGGGGCTGGGGATTTTGGCGTTCGATAAAGGTAGGGGGAGACTTAGGTATTGTACAGCTTCATACCATGTCGGAAAAAGTTCATTTCACCTTGATATTCTTTTGTCCTATGTGATGGTGTTTCTTTCTATGACTTTCTTCTTTTGTCCTTGTATCTTAAAAAAGAAAGGAGGTCGCTGTCTGATGGCTCCTGCCTGGTTCAGGTTCAACATCATCTTCCCCACACTTGGCAGTCTTGGAAGCCAATTTGCACTCCTACTCATCTCTTTTCCTATTCCTGTTCTACTTGATCCATTCTTCCGAGCCATGAGAGCTTCAGCCAAACTCTGTTGGCTGGCAATGCTGCTGGAAACGGCCCATGATAGACCAGACCCCTTAGGACTCCTCAGTTCATCCGGTCAATCACACACTCGAAGGACTGGCTAGACCGACCGAGCTATTATGATCCTTGGATATACCGATATGGCATCTACTTGGATTCCCTGAATGCTTGCCGTATCGAGGCATCGGTTGCTAGGAGCTCACCACAACTGGATATGAGATGAATGTTAGGCAACACCACTCAGCCTCGTATGCCCACCATCGGCATCAGAATAGTGCTTTCAGTTGGCTGTACTATCCGTGGCAGCACTGTGCGCTGGCCTTAACTCGAGGGTCTCGTCGAGGGAATTCACACTGGATCACAGTCAGTGCTGTCTGACGCTGGTCTGGTCTGGTCTGGCTGCCTTCGCGTTGATGTCAACAAACAATTCTCCAATGATGAAAGCTACGGCTTTTGTGTCTATGTCTGAAGCTCGCTGGGCAGGAATGAATCAAGGCAGCGTAGACACATCGCTACGAAGTACTGGCTGACTTGGACAACAATATGACACTGCTGGACAAATATGGGACTGGAGTCATGTCGAAGGAACCCTATCGCTGGCAGCATCAGGGAGCAACACTGAAAATCTTTCTGCTTGTCGCCAAAGGTCACGGGCTCGCGAACAATTGTCCGCCATGTCGCCAAGACGACTACCGCATTCAATGGTTGATAAACCACGGAATTGATTTATCTCATGTAGCGGTCCGTGTGGCGCAATGGCTTGCCATTAGTGTCATGTTCTTGGTTCGATCCCAGGCGTGGCCGCTATGTCTGAACATTTAGCCTTCTCAACTGACCCGTGACCTGCTCGAGCAAGATAAAGGCGGTTGTTAAGGCGAGGTGGGAGGTCCTTTTTTTTGTCCTTTCCACGTGCCTTGAGTGGTCCTGTCTGTGTACACTATCTCGCTATTTTGCAGTGTTGTCGGCCATGAAGCTGCTTTTCCCAAGCCACTCATCATATCGTTGAATTTCCTGACAACGCACAAGAGCATATCAATCAACTCCACGACTCGCAACAGAGTTGTTGTTTACCACAAACAAGCGCAACCACCACCTCGGCACTTCGATCCTTTCTCAAGGGAGGCGTCGTCTAGCATCCATCGTCTACTGCTTCTCTTCAGCTTGGTTATTTCTTCCGACTGGTCATCAGTCTGATCTGCTGCTAGCACAAGGTCTTGGCCAGCCTCTTGCGCGCAGACGCATAGACCTCACATCACCTTATTCTTCATTCTCCTTCTCAGTCTGCGCATCAACTCTTTTGCGTTGTGTGCATCACCATGTCAAACAATCCACCACCTACCTTCTACCCTCCTGGCGCTATGCCTATCGCGCGCCCTGTCTTGCCTCATCCTGGCGCTCCATCCAGCGCTCCTAGACCATCAGCTTTGTTGTCCGACGCGTTGCACAACAATCTTCTGCACGCACTCACAGCCCAAGGAACTCCTACAATACAACGTCCTGCATTCGCACCTCCTCGTCATGCACCTATGCCTGCCGGTTATCCCGCCGCAAACTACGTCGATCCAACCTTGGTCCGCATCAAGCATATGACAGAGACATTTCATGCCGCGGCAACCAGTGATCAAACGTTCTACAACATTTACTGCAACGTATGCAACGCTCAAAGCCGCCATCTCATGTATCCCGACCTCGTCTTCTTCCTCCGTCTGCATCTACAGGTTGGTTGGATCGATCTTCTTATGCGCCACCACCGCCAGAACGAGATCGAAGGCGACCTCAATCACCTGATCGACGAGCGCAAGGAGCTTATCGAGTGGCTCGTGCAGCAAGACAAGACTCTCAAGCCACGCGCTGCCCAATACCTGACTGGCCAGCTGGCTAAATTTGAACCGCTAAACTTCGACCCTAGCCAAGTCAGACCCCTCGCTAAACTTCTCGATCACCTATACGTGCTCGAAAACGATCTCTTCTTCAAACCCAAGGAGATACCCGCACCCAACAGACAAGAATACCGCATAAAAGTGGTCACCTTCTTAGACTACGAAGGCGGAGAGCCTAAAGTTGTTGAGGATGTCAACATCTGGAAGATGATCGGCTGGACTGAGATGCAGCGCATGCTTTCCGCCCTAACCCAGAACATCCAGGCGGCTCAATTTGGCCAAAATTATGGCTGGCAAACCAGTACCTATCACGGTCATTGGGTGTACTGGGCCAGTGAGAGTGGAACACCAGAGGGATGGCGCCGTGAGCTGAACGGGGATGCTCACTTGAGGGAAATGAAGGGTCTCTTGGAACAGGGCCAGAAAATCTACATCATGCACGTAAGTCAATCTTCAGTCCCAATCACTCACTTTGCTCTATCATATATCTTCACTCTTGCCCTGGTTTTCGACATCTCATTGGACTCTCTTGGTAGCCAGATGAATTGCTGACTTTTTATGGTATACAGTNCGAAGCAGGTGCAGATTGGAGAGAAACTGGACCTGGCAGATGCCCTGGGCTTGGAGCTGGACCGTCCCGGTCAGTCGTGTGCTCCCTTGCCTCCGGGCTACACCTCTGAGATCATGGGAGAATATCCCAACAAGATGAGGTTCTCCCTCCTCAGCGGAGGCTCGGCAGGAGGCGGTCTGGCTCCCTCGAAGCAGCCCAGGAGAGGCAAGCCTTCGGTGCTGGCTCACCTGCACCATGTCAAGCTGCGTAAGCAGAGACAGAAGATTCAGAAGGCTAGGGCCTTCGAGATCAGAAGCAAGAAGGACTGATCTTGTTGAGTTGTGGCAGTAAGATGATTAGGGTGGGTAATGGAACGATGAGACGAGCAATGAATTATGTAGAGTAGAAATGCGCAAAAGGGAGTAAAACCAGTATCTCCAAAACAATTGAGTGTTTCTAATGTACTATCAAAAGTCACAAATGTATTCATATCCCACTTGTGTCCAGTGAGAGTGTGATTTTGAGTCTATCTCAGTGGAACTGTCTCCATATTGGATTACACTGTGCATTTTTATAGTCGTAATCAATGTAGGTAGGTGATCTGGGAGCCCTTGAGTGTAAGAACAGCCAACCATCCCGAGAACAACTGAGCGTGCCAAATATGCCATCAAAAGTCACAAACATTTTCATATTTCGACTACGTCCAGTGAAAGCCTGATCTTGAGTCCATCTCAGTGGATCTGTCTGCATATTGGATTATATTCTGCATTTTTCTAGTTATAACAAATGCAGGCAGGTGATTTGGGAGACCTTAGAGTACGAGGAGTACAGTCAACCATCTCGAGAACAACTTAGCATGGCAAACAGGCTATGAAAAGGCACAGTGGTATTAAGATATTGTGCGATATCCACTGAAAGCACTACTTTGAGTACCGTCTCAATGGAACCACATGGATATTGGATAACTTCGTGCATTCTGATAGACATATCAAAAGCAAGAGTTGCACTTTGGGAAAGGACGAGATGTCGTCTGCTGAAATCTGGGGTCGAGATGGATATTCTGCCGCGACGAGTGGTCCGAGCGTCACTCAAAGTCGAGTCACCGCCTTTGTAGTCCCGCGTTCCGAGCAACAACTTTAGTTTGCGACAGCCTCGAAAGCAGCATTACATTCACTCTCACACTCAAACCTCGGTCTCCTCACGCCATCGCCTTTGCGCGCTCAATCCAAACACTCCATCCTCGTCGCAACCCGCAACAACACCACACATCACACAGCAAACATGTCCGACTACGGCGACGACGGCGCCGGTGACTTTGGCGCTGGCGAGTACGTCCAGCCTTCCACGCGCCGGTTCGGAATCTCTCACTAACAGCCCTCACCCAGGGAGTACGATGCCAACATGCTCGAGGAAGACTACGAAGAAGTCGAGGACCTTGTCGACGACAACAACGACCCCACCGGCGGCACCGAAGACCCCGAGAACAATGCCAACATTGTCACATCCGGCGACCCCAACGCTGTCGCACGCGCAAACGCAAACCTGGGAGTCAAGGGCTTGAAGGAGAAGAGAATCGATAACGACAAGAGAACTACCACGCCGTACATGACCAAATACGAAAGAGCTAGAGTGTTGGGTACGAGGGCGCTGCAGATTAGGTGAGTCGCTTGGCACAGGATATGAGAAAGAGGAGGAATTTGTTATTATGCTTAAAGACAAGGGAAGCAGGATAAGAGACAATGAACATGGGGAGTCAAAAGGAAGAGAACGAAAGAGAACTGGGCTGACGATGAATACAGTATGAACGCCCCTGTCCTGGTTGACGTCGAGGGTGAGACGGATCCTCTCCAAATTGCCATCAAGGAGCTGCGCGAANAGAAGATTCCCCTGGTTGTGCGCAGATATCTGCCCGATGGCTGGTACGAGGACTGGACTTGCGAAGAGCTTCTCTGAGCTATTCGTTCGCTCTTCAATCACGTATCGAAATGCCTTGCTTAACACGCACCACGCCAACAACCAGTTCTCCACACAATCAACTTGCGAACAGCAGAGCAATATGATTTTCGTACCTCATACAAGAAATATCTGCAGGTTTTATACGCCCGGCTCATCGCTCGAAACTGGCTCGGCTCTAGATTGCGCATCCATCTATCTCCATACATCACCTCTCAAAGTTCTTGCGCTCTCCTCTCTCGATTGGGGTTCTCAGCTGGACTTTCAAATTACGGCTGCTTTTGACGAAAAGCCGGCCTCTTTTAATCGTGGGTTTCGTGCATTCGAGCGAGAAAGGAAACATATCAATAGGGGAAAAGGAGATTCTCGAAAAGCGTATCATGGTTTCTTTGGCAAAGGTTATGGGGCACCAAACAGCAAAAATCCGAAAAAACATTTGCATTCAATTCCTCATCGTTTTATGTGTTTCTAGGGTCTGCGATGTTCTGCTAACCAGGGTCACAGTGTTGTTTCATTTCTCTGTAACATTGATGTTGATGGCACTTGAAGCAGAAAAACAAAGACACTCTAATTCAATAAGAGAAGGAGGGTGTGAGGTAAGCGCTCTTTCCTTATATTCCCTCCATCTCCAGACTCCCTCACCTTCCTGATCTTTCTCCACCCTCCTTCCTGCACTTCGAACTGATCATGGTTGTTCTTTCCTCGTCGCAGGCAGATTCTGTTCGAGGCAGGAGTCAAGCACAAAAGTGACAAACAATCCAAGAAGAACGTCTGTGGTAAAGAACTCATACAACCTCATCAAATCAATTCATGACTCACGCTGTCTATGATAAGAACTTTGAACTGCTCTCCTTTTGTCCCCAACAAGACACACAGACGGCGTACACTATTTTTCACCACCTCAAAACCAATACGTTACTAAAAACTCAAACTCTACCGCGACATGTTTATTATCGAAGCAACCATACTCGTCAGCGCCGCTATTGCTAGTGTGGTGATGCCTGCAATTTACGGCCCTCCCGTCGTCTCGATAGAAGCAGACTACGACGCTGTATTGACCTAGAGACTTGTTCCCACGAAATCACTAGATATCTTCAATATCTCAACGGAGGGATCGGATTGCACTGTACATCAGACTGCAGCAGTCAGAGAATGTCATAGAGGAAGCGTCTAAGCTGGTTTATAGAAGCAATCTACTCTTCATCATCACCCTCTGAATCGTCTTCCTCGCTGCCGCTTTCACTGCCATCTTCTTCATCGTCTTCGTCGTCATCCTCATCTTCGTCATCGTCATCGCCTTCGATGTTTTCGAGTCCGTAGTCGTCTTCAAAGTCCGAGAGGGACTTGACTTCAGGCTTGAAACCAGCAGCCGTGAAAGCCTTGACAAGGTTNCTGTGAAATTGATTAGCAATTGTTTTCTTATTGAGTTGAGTAAAGAGAAAGAACAATACCTCTTCCATGATGGTAGCGCAAGTCACGACCAAGTTAGTAGTCTCAGGGTTGAAGATGGGCATGATGAGTCTCTTGAGCACATCCTTGATCTCGTCTTCCGACACCTTTCTCACCTTCTCCAACATCTCGTCATTCCAGTTTTTGGGGATGCCTCTGATGACTTGATTGACAAAAGACAGGTTAGCTGCACTGCCCATGGTGGGTTGTTCGTCTGCGAAGCCCATGATGATGCTGCTGACAGCGCCTTCCAGAGCAAACTTGTCAAGNGGTGTAGCGCCAGTGGCGTAGTTCTCGACTTCCTTCTTAGCAGCTTGGAAGGCTTTGAATGTGTCGGGGGAACGGTAGATACGTAGAGTCAACAGGCCAACATCGGTGGAACGAGAGAAGCCGGTGCCGTATGCGAGACCTGTACCGCGGACTGCCGTCCACAGGGGACCCTCGACGGCATCGAGGTAAGATTGAGCAACCATGAGAGCGGGCAGATCAGGATGAGACCAGCTATCCGGACCGCGAGAGGTGAGAAGCGCGTATGAAGAGTCGATAGTGGAGAGAGGAACGATATAAGCTGTGTTACCAGGTTTCTTCGACACCTCGCTGAGCTTAGACTTGCGAGAATCAAGGGGCTGCAGAGGAGCGTTATCGTTGTGGTCGCTGAGCAGAGTCTTCCAAGCCGATACAGGGTTGACGAGGTTGTGCATGTTCGCTGCGACGTAGACTCTAAAGTTAGAAAGCTTGTGAAGCGTGTCGATACAAGTCTGCAGACGAGACATCACAGACTCGGGATCCTTGGCCAAGTGCTTCTTCAAGCGCTTAAGATAGACTGATTTAACCAGGGTGTTTCTGGAGCGGCTGCTCGAATCTCTGGTAAGGTGGATCATCGAGTCTACTGCAGTAGCCATGTCCATACCACTGCGCTTCTCGTCAGGGATATCGGCAAGCATTTTGGTGATGGCAATCTGTAGTCTCTCCTTGTCCAGGATGGAGCTGAAGAGAGTGGTACGAAGCCAATCGATCATAGCCGAGTACTTTTCGGCTTCAACTTGGAAGGTGATCTGCAGAAGCTCACCGTTACCAGGGCCCGAGGTGATATCGTAGTCGACAGTGTCCTTCTCGAGTTCCGTGACCACATCCTCAAATTCGATACGCTTTCCGTCACGAGTGATAGGGGTCATGAAGAAGTTTGACAGGTACACTGCGAGAAGCGGCTTGAGCTCCGTAGGTAGCGAGCCGGTACACATAACCAGCTTCGTGCGAACGAAGTTGGATGGAATGTGTTCAAAGTGGATGAAAAGAGGAATGTCAGAATCGTCCTTGTCGACGATCTGCTGGATATCGTTGTCGAGCTTGCCCATTTGTCTAGCTCTGCCGGCTCTAGCAGTGGTTGTCGGGATGAAATGGATAGACGAGGTTCCAGGTACAGGGAATTGTGAAAGGACCTCGTCTGGGATTGGCTTGTCGTTCTCAGCTTTGGCTTGCTCCAGCTTCTCAGCTAATTCTTTCAGGCCCTTCTCGCCGAGTCTTTCCTTCTGAGCCTTGACTCTGGCCTTCTCATCAGTCTTGAGCTTCTTGGATAACTCCTTCGATGGGACACCAAGAATGGAAACGTGATGGGCGTCTGCGAACCATGTCGAGAGGTAGTCTCTCCACTGCTGATCTGACCATCCTTCGAGAACATCTAGATCCTTCAGAGTCTCGAGTTCGCGAAGATCCTTACCATCCCTGTTACCAAACAAGTGGTCCTCGATGATGGGTGTGGCAAAGAAGTCTCCTGTACTTTCACACTTGAACTTCAGTTGTCTGCGGTAACGACTGAGACAGTCCTTCATGTAACCCATGTCAAGGCTCTTGGAAGCGGTCTCCTTGAGAACCGCGAACAACCGTTTCTCGGCATCGGCGAGCTTCTCGGTCTCGACAGCACTCAGGTTGAACCAGAAAGCAATGTCGGGTCGCACATCAGTGGAGTAATAGATCATGCTACACAACTGTTCCTTCTCGACCAGGGTGTTCTCCAAAACAGAGACTGAAGAACCACACAGGTAGATAAGCATGATCCCGAGCGCTGATGCCTGGAGGTGATCGTTGCAATCGGGACCAAGGAAGCCAACAAGCACCTCACCCATCGACTCATCATCTTCAGGGAACTTGACGGTGTCCACGATGGTCTTCTTGAGAGGTGGTGTGCGCTTTGATTCAACCCAAGGACGTTGGAAAGGGGCCTCAGGTGACGGAATATCGTCCATGATAGTGCCCTCAAACTCATCAAGAATCTGCAAGAGCTCAGGTTGATCGATCTCACCGATGAGTACCAGACACAAGTTCTTGGGCTGGTACATCTCACGGTGGAACTCTCGAATGCGGTCAGCCGTGAGAACACGGAGTTGCTCCATCATACCACCAGTCTCGTATCTGAAGCCATCACCTTCGGGATANCCTAGGTCGGATTAGCTCATATGACAGACCTGGTGATCAGGGATGACTTACATCAGACGCCTTGCTTGCAACTCCATAAGCTCGCCCTGTTGGTTCTGAACGCCCTGCATCTCAGAATAGACGACACCAGCGTCATGGCCAGTGCCATCAACGTGAAAAACTTCGGTGTAACATCCAGCGTCGGTCAGAGTGGGCACAAGCACGTGCTCGAGATAGACGGGCAGGATCTGTGCGAATCCTTCCCAACCAGCAGTCTCCAAGGTATAAGCGGTGTGATCAGTAGCGGTCCAAGCATTAGTGTTGGAGTAAGCACGAGTGGCGAGCTTGTCGAGGACACCCTTGTATCGATAGCTCTTGGAGCCCATGAAACACAAATGCTCAAGAGTATGCGGCGAACCAGAATCATCATGGATTTCGGTGGCTAGGGTAAAATAACCATAAACCTTGGGACCCTTTTGGTCAACGATGACGACACGCATGCCGGTACGTTCAGATTCATACTGAGCAATACCGATGGGAGCATAGTCAAGCTTGAATTTTTGGATGGGCTTGAAATGGGTCTGAGTCTTTGCGGCAGGCATGGTGTAATAGTTGCAGCAGCGAGAAGCTGCAGAAATGGATTTGTAAGACTTTTGAGCAACGGCAGTCTTTGTAAGAAGCCGAGGGAAAAGACGAAGGCCAGGTGTGCAAACGAGAGAGTGAGTTTGCAAAGATATATGTAAATCTAGAAGGGATGCAAAGGGGGAGTTGGGTGTTGTTAGCAGCAGGCTCGCCTCCAACATCTCATCGTGTCTTCAGAACGTGTGGTTTTGGGGCATCGACTTCCAACACGCTAAATAGCGGACCGGCCCGCGCGTCTAATGACAGGCTGGAGCTTTCTTGTTGCAACAACGTCAGAGGTTCGACGATACAGTCGCGACAATGTCGGCCAACGACCAGCTCAAGCAGGCCATCGTGGACAGCGTCGAGCATGGCGCCTATCCTGAGCCTGACGTCTCGTCATCCGAGTTGCCATCCACGCTCCTGCCTGCCCTCTTAGCCGATCTCCAGAAAGCCCGGGACGAAGTCAAGGTATGCAGCGGTACATACTTTCGATCTATAACTGCTGTCTGACGGTCCGTGGTTAGANCAGACATTCGCACTTTGAGCAAAGATATTGCGCCCGACGTGGACGGATGGATTGCCCAAGCTAAAAAGCTCCAAGCCGACATTGAACAATCAAAGGCGACAGCAAGGGACATTGTAGCACAAGCCGAAGCTGGCAAGGCCTTGAAAGAGAAGACACACGATGCTGCAAACAAGTTTCGCTTGCTTGAGAAAGAGGTCGCCTTCAACGAGTCTCTGGCCACCACTCTGGACTTGATCAGGTCGTCTTGTCGCATACTGGACAATGCCGACCAAGCATACGTCAACAACGATTTACGGACTGCTCTCGACCACACCAAGCAATGCGACAAGTCTATTGCTGCTCTGTCTGCAGTCCAGGATACAAGAGCTGTCGGGCTGCTACAAACACGTAGCTCACGCTTCAAAGCCAACTTTCTGGACAGGACAACAGCCCTCGCTCAGTCACTCATACAGTGCGATGCTGATTCTCGCTCCGTAACCATCAAGGACCACATCCCGGATGTGCCAGCTGTCGACTTGGTTCTGATTGTGGACACGCTCGACTATCTTGGAGGCTTGGACATCTACATTAGGCGCTTGAAGCGTGACATAGAATTCGCCCTTTTCAACCCACGTCTTTCCACAAAACCTGGTCAGCACACTGCTTTCGAATTTAGTGACGGCTGTATCAGCGTTTCAAAGGCGACCTCTAGGCCTGATACTATTGCTACCTTGGACGACATCTGGACAGCTTTGAACTTCCTATCCACAAACCTGCCCAAGTCTGTTTGCGAACCATTGTCACAAAAGCTACTGCCGTCTCTGTTTGAGACACTCGTGTATACCTGGCTTGATCAGACCGTCCCTGTACAAATTGAGCAGATGCCCGTCTTTCAACAGATCTTGGATCGCGTCTCTAGACTCGCTGAACAGATTGACGATCTCAACTGGTCAAGCACCGCTCTGTTGAAAGACTGGGTACAGAACGCTCCTAGAACATGGCTTTCGAAACGTAGAGAAACTGCACTTGGCGCAGCAAGAAGCCTGCTGTTTTCAGGGCTCAGAGACAGAAGAACTGTCGAGAGAGTCGAAACGCAAACTGTGTCAAAAGGAGATGCCATCATGGGTGGTACTGATGTCGACTTAGCAGATGATGCTTGGGCCACCGATTGGGACGAAGATACACCAGAGACGAAGGAAGTCGACACCAAACAGCCTGAACCTTCAACGAACGACGACGACGATGATGCTAGTGCCTGGGATATGGATGATGACGATGCAGATGTACCGGCAGAATCAACTGCGACTAAGGATACTGGAGAAAATATGGAGGAAGACGACGCAGCAGATGCTTGGGGCTGGGGCGACGATGAGCAAGCCACAAACGAGACGCCAAAGCCAGAGTCTCCAAGAAAAACAACAAAGGTCGCTCCAACGGATCAGCCCACACGATCCGGCGATAGGGAACTTACGCTACGAGAGACGTACACTGTGACGGCGGTACCGGATGGTATGCTCGAGATTGTCAAGCAAGTTGTGTTTGATGCCGAGACCTTGACAGACNCCTAGGTAAGGATGTTGACCTCATCACATAATTTATGTACTAACACTCGCAACAGCTACTCTGGGTCACCCATAGGACCAGCAGCCTCCGCGCTGTACACTTTGCCGACATTTGTACTCGCCATCTACCGGGCTACAGCATCAACAGCTTACGGCAAACTGGATTCTGGCAACATGCTGATCTACAACGATGCGTCTCGATTAGCTGATCAGATCCGTTCTTTCGTCAACAAGCAAGCAGAGAAAGATGCAAATTCAACATTACCGAATCATCTACGACCGTCGTCACGACTGAGACTAGACAACGATATCAAGGCGCTGGAGACATTTGCGAAGAGAGCATATAGTGCTGAGATGGAGTCACAACGCACCATCATTCGTGATATGCTTGACGGAGCTCAAGGCTTCTCCAACTGCAATGCTGAGCCATTCGCAAGCGCATGCGACAGTGCGGTCAGCATTACCGAGNGGCGCCTGCGTGACGTGCACAAGCAATGGACACCGATATTGTCACGATCTGCGTTGTTGCAGTCTTCAGCTTCTCTACTCAGCACAGCGATAAGCAAGATGATTATGGAGATTGAAGAGATACAGGACATTGGTGAAGAGGAGTCGAAGAAGCTTCGCCAACTTTGCGACAAGATTTCGGAAGTCAAGGATCTGTTCATTCAAGAGCATCCAGAGGGTGGAGAGGCGAGCGACATGACGGGAATCTACTGTCCAAACTGGTTCAAGTTCCAGTATCTGGGAGAACTGTTGGAGAGTTCACTCGCAGACATCAAATATCTATGGACGGAAGGCGAGTTGAGACTTGAGTTCGATGCAGATGAAGTTACGGACTTGATCGAGGCGCTGTTTGCGGATAGCGATTACAGACGCAAGGCGATAGCGGACATCAGAAGGAGCTAGAATAGTTAGGAGTGATGCAGGTGTCATGCAAAGGCGGAAGAAGCCAAGAGAGACAAAGGATGAGACATCCGTATTCAACCTTCCGTACACAATGTTCCTCCAAACCACGGTGAATTCTTTCAGTCTGCCTACATCTATTGTGATATGAACAAGGAAGAAGTCGCTATAGGTTTGACAAGGTTTGCAGATGGGGTGATGGGAATGTGGTGATGTCGATTCCCCACAGCAATCGCCGAATCACGAAAGAGAGCGGCAGGGGACCGGGCGGAGATGAGGTTGGGCGTAAGAATGCCATGCATTGACGACGACAACGAGGCGCCGAGTCTCTGGCCTATTTAGCAGAAATCTGGCATAGCAACGACGACATCAACGACTAGGACTAGACACAGGATCACAGCAACAGCAGCAGCGGCGCAACGTCAACAGCCACCCGTTTCAGTCCGCGGCCAGCATTATCGATAATAGCTAATAATACGAGAGCGACGAACAGAGGAAGAGTCGGATGTTGACAGGACTGTACTGGACAGCATAGCGGACAGACAGGAGCCAGGAGCCAGGAGACAGGGGTTGCGCGACACACGAGCGCATACCTCGATTAACGTATGCCACCCGCCGCCGCGAGAGCGCAAGCGGAGCTCCACAACCAAAAGAACAAACTTGCCAATTCCTACAGCGAGCTTCTCAAGTAAGACTGCTCTTGCTCAAGCCTGAACATCACTCACACGACCAACAGCGAATTCAGCAGCAAGGACCTCCGTACTGTCGGCAACTACACTGTCGGCCGCCTGATAGGCAAGGGCTCATTCGGAAAGGTCTACCTCGCCTCGCACAAACTCATCAATGGCTCAAAGGTCTGACGCTGCCATTCTTCTCACATGCTTCAACAATGCTGACCTGCACAGGTCGTACTCAAGTCGGCCAAANAGGACGACGCTAACCTCGCGCGTGAGATCCACCACCACCGCCAATTCCTCCACCCTCACATCGCTCGCCTCTACGAAGTCATAGTCACCGAGTCGCTAGTATGGCTAGTTCTGGAATGGTGTCCCGGAGACGAGTTGTACAACCACCTCCTCGAACACGGTCGCATGGAAGAGAACAAGGTTCAGAAGATCTTTACACAACTCGTTGGCGCAGTCTCATATGTCCACTCGAAATCTTGCGTCCATCGCGACTTGAAACTCGAAAACATCCTCCTCGACAAGCACGGCAATGTCAAGTTGGTCGACTTTGGCTTCACGCGCGAATACCAGGGCACCACGAGCTACCTACAGACATGGTGCGGCACCGTCTGCTACAGCGCACCAGAGATGCTGAAAGGAGAAAAATACGCTGGTGAAAAGGTGGACGTCTGGAGTCTGGGAATCATTCTATACGCTCTGCTATGTGGAGAATTGCCGTTTGACGAAGACGACGAGAACGACACAAAACAGCGCATCTTGAAGGAAGACCCAAAGTACCCAGAACACGTCCCTGAAGGCGCAAAGGATCTTATATCGAAACTTCTGTCACGCCGTCCTCTTCTACGACCGCCGTTGGCCGATGTCCTTCGTCACTCCTGGTTGCAAGAATATGCCCCGCAGCAACAGGAGATTCTCAAAGTCTTGCAGCCGCCGCCGTTCAGCACCGAGGTCGAGAAGGCAACACTACAACGCATGCGCAGTGCCGGTGTTAACATTGACCACGTTATTGAGAATGTTCTGGGACAAAGATGCGACCCTCTGGCTGGCTGGTGGGGTCTGCTGCTGGAGAAAGAGGAACGTAAAGAACGAAGACGGCTGCGGAAACGAAAAGAAAAAGAAGCAGAAGCGAGGAGTATAAGACGGTTGAGTGCATCCAGCAGTCGACTGTTGAATGGGCCAAGCCTGAGAGAGATTACTGAGGAAGAGCAAGCGCTACTAAGCATAGTCTCACCAAAGACTAGAGGTCGCGGTGTGAGCAGGTCTAGCGCTGCACCTCCTGACTTACCCAGAGTCACCGAAGGCAAGACGCCGGAACCCGAAGATCGACCACCACCGCCGGTGGAAAGGNATCAGCGCCGTCGCTCGCTTTCCATCACTTCATCAAGTTGTGGTCCTGCTTTGCCGCCGAAGGATACGCCCAGAAGACCGCGTGCTGCTAGCAGAGGCAGTTCTCAACTGCTACAAGTCATACACACCAAGAACGACCTACTAGCCCCTCCACCATTCCATCAGAAACTACGCAAACGTCCGTTCAAAGACCAACTCGCTCATCTCAAATCTTGGTTCAAAGCGAGTAGTGGCAGGGCACACAAGAAGGACAGCCAGGAAAATATTGAGATACAACTGGCGACTGCTCGTAAAGCTTCGATGCCATCGAGTCAACGCAGAGGTTCTGCTAACGATCTTTTAACGGACCCGCGGAAAAGTCCAAGGCCTGACATGCCTACACGCACAACATATCCTGTGCGTCCGCGAATATCCACCGCATCGTCCTATGGCTCTACTGGATCCCGGACCCATGTAGCAAATAGGCCTTCTCTTTCACCAGGGCCAGTAACACCTCGGTCTTCAATCTACCGTCGCAGCTCTGGCTTGCGAGGCAGAAAATCAACCTCTTNNCGTCCGTCTCATCTGTTCGCAGTATCCACACCCACCACCACTCACTCTCACGCGCTTCCACCCACATCTTCGAACTCGGTCGCTTCTCCATCTCTCAGCACACATTCCCGCGCTATTTCAAGGTCACCTCATACAAGCGGCAGTGTCGTAGTTCTGCCTCCTTCAACACCTACATCCTCAGTCACCGGCACTTTCCCCTCTGGCATACGGGTTGCCCGTCGCCCTCCACCTGGCAACCTTGGCTCTCTCCCCAGCTTGTCAACTCAAGCCCTCAACTCACCCATGAGCTATACTTTTGGCCCCGCATCGCCCGGCATGCATCCCGTGTTTGCANAAAAGAAACGCAGCGTCTTCAAAGGCCCTAGTCTGGGCAACACACCCGGCGCACGGGGCCGAGGCTCCGGCAGCAACTCCAATGACAACAGTCGCGGCACCAGCGCCCAAGGCCGGCGCAGCAACGAAATCACCATTGCCGAAGAAGACGAAGAGGAAGAAGAGCAACCAGAGCCCAAAGACTTTTTCTCCAGCAAACTTACCTTGCAAGACCAAGGGATGCGCTTAGTAGAAGAAGACGAAGAAGAACTGGAAGTTGAGGAAGTGGAGAGTTTTTCTCCCATCGAAGAAGATAGGACTGCTTTTATTGTTGAGGAAGAGGAAGAAGAAGATCCAGATGCTGATGTTACTGTTATACCGAATTTAGAAGAGGAAGAGGCTGGGTTATCGCCGACGTTGAGTAGGGATGCTAAGACTATCGCTGAGGATGTTTTGAGTAGACAGGTTGTCAAGGGAGATGAGGAGGGGGATACCAGTCAGGGATTGGGCATTAGCGGTGCTGGCAAATAAGTGATGATGATTGCTTTTGTAGGATTAGAAATGTTGGCTTGGGTATGCGCATGGGAAAGGCTAAAACTTTGTAGTAATAAGCGAGTAATAGGAAGAGGAGTCAAGAGCGAGATTCGTGCTTGTCATCGCCCTTGTCAGTCGCTCTTTGCTGCTTCGTGTCGTTAGATATTTCCTTCCTTCCAATGTGCCAAAGACCTCACAGTATAGCTATCAAAATGCACGATAATCTTGCCAAAAGTATCGCTTCCACAGAGAAGACTTCTCTAGAGGCTATCTCAATGGCCCAGACCATATTCAAATCGCAACTGTGCATTTTGATAGCTTATGATAACCCTTGTACCTCGAGATGGAGAGGGGTCATTCGCAAAACGCACACGAGGGAGGAGGGAAACAGCGAGTCATAACGGTTATTGCGACTTCCGCAATCGAGATTCATTATTCGATGGACTGTTGAAAGAATACTGTTATGCATTTTGACAGCTATATACATTACAGATACTAGCACACGGGAATGTCAGATGTAACTATTACAAACGATTTCCCAAGAAATGATCCCAACTCTCACCCTGAGGTCTTGATGCACTATCTCTACCTTGCATTACTGCAACATCATTTTACAAGAGTAGTCCTAGAAGAGAGCAGTGCTTTATTGTTTGAGTTCATAGACGCCATTGTCGTATTCTCACGTATCGACATACATTGCTCGACGGTGATTGCTATTCTTGAGCAGGACCTGCTTCAAGCTGGGTCTTCTGGTATTGAGTCTTGACAACGTTCATGGGTAGATCTGCATATTGGAAACCATCAAAGTTGGAGCGATTGGTTGATGTTTATATACTAGCACTAGTGGATGCCCATCCAGGTAGGACGAATATCGAAGATTGGATATTACAAGTAGTATCAGGCAGTCTGAGAACCTTCACTAGTTGAATAGCAGAACACATGTGCTGACACTGGACTAGCGATATGAATACACGGCTTTCTTCTTTCTCTTACTCTAACAACCACGAGACCACAACTCCTGCCGACGGTGAGATCTGGGGATCCATCAAAGCACACATCCCTGGTTGGAAGCATCTCAGAGGAGAAGCAGGGACTAGTGCTTCTGTAGACAAGGACGAGAAGGTGACTAGGCCCATTACCCACCAGCTGGCATTCATTGTCTCCCGGTGACATGCATCAAATCGAATCATTCTCATCATAAATCAGAAATCTATATTCGCCTGTTAACCTCTTGAGAGAGAGAGTCATCAGGGGTGAACTATTGCTGACCCTGGAAATAGAGCTAGAATGGACCTCGGAATTTACTGATTATATGCTTCAGGCAGCAGTCAAGCAAGGAAACAACCTCAAACTTCCGCTTTTGACTCACGACAGCGGAAAGGGCAACATGCAAACAACAAGCCCACATCGGATGCATTGCTCTTTCCTTCATCGCAAGGTGCTAAACGTCCTTTTCCATCCAAAACATCCAAACTTCTTTCTATCACAAAAATTATCATGGGCAAGAAGCACAACAAACAAAGCAGCAAGCAACAGTCTACTATATCGAAGACCAACAAGGTCGACACAGAGGTCACCAAACCAGTCCCATCAACCAGAAAAACTGCTGGCACACCCGTCTTCTTTNTCAAAGATGACGAACAACCCCACGGCTTCCTCTGCCAATGGTACCGCTGTCGCTTCACAGACCTAGCCTCAGGACTCGAGTTTACCTGTACAGAACAATGGATGATGTGGAACAAAGCCCAACTCGCTGGTGACGAAGCATCCGCCAAAGCCATCATGGCCACAACATCTCCCCGCAAGCAAAAGCAACTTGGTCGTGGTGTAGAGGGGTTTGATGTGGACGCTTGGGATAAGATCAAACTTGATGTTGTGGAGAGAGGAAATTACCTCAAATTTACCCAAGGCACTAATGTTGCATCAATGAAAATGGGTCAGGAAGGAGATCCGGTGTTGCTTAAGAGTCTGTTGTTGGAGACGGAAGAACGAGAGTTGGTGGAGGCATCCAGGTTTGATCGGGTTTGGGGTATTGGGTTTGATGCACAGCAAGCTCTGGCAGTTCCGAAGGAGAGATGGGGACAGAATCTGCTAGGGATTGCTTTAATGAATGTGAGGAAGAGGATCAGGAAGGAAGCTGAAGATCGAGCAGAGTCGGCTGTGGACGAGGGAGATACGAAGTCGAGCAGTGCGCAGAGTATGCCGTCAACATGAGTGCCAGCATTGGCGTTGATGAGTTGGCGATATGACATGACACTTATGTGCTTCATGAAGCCGTGGTGTATGGAGGATTACATGCAGCATGATCGATTATGGGTAGTGCTTGCAACAAGCTTTGATCAAGCATTCGTCAGTTTTGACCCTGAATCAAGAATTTTACTCCCCTGCAGCCAAAGAAGACAGATAAGAAGTTGCGAAAAGAATTGTTCGAATAGTTTGCAAGATGTATTCGCATAAGCAAAGGACTATGGCAGATAATCGTGATGGAGCGAGCAGAGATTCGTGGTGTTGACAACCTTGTCACGGACCGACACACACACCTTAGGCCGCCTGATTCTCTGAATTGGAGCATCGAGTAGGCCACACTTACTCTTCTCGGTGGTGGAGGTAGGGATGGTGCAAGCTGGTGTCTGCCAATCTGTGGTCATGTAGTCCGGAGTCTCAGCGGTCGCATTTGCGAGCGGTATCCCATTGCTATTTCCTTTGCAGAACGGTTACTCAGCCTATACCTCTCGGGTGAATAATGGCCGCCTTGATGATTGGAGGTAAATCAAAGGAAACTCTGATTACATCTACCATGTGATGTCGAACAAGCCGTGTAGTCATGCCCCAGGCCGAGTACACAACTCCAAGGTCTCAGCCAGTGATTGATCGACAGCGATGTTTTCGAGACTTCTTTGCATGTTGTGCGTCCTTGAACCTTCGACTGCAGCTGTCCTGCAGCCCGCTTGAGCACGAGCCCCACAATCGGAAGAAGCTTGGTCCACACTGCGCCGGCCGGGGTCTTCGAGTCCCTTGACTCGGTTGTTGAAAACTTGAACACAACATGCACTCAGCAAGCGAAGGACTTGACACCGCTGCAGTTAGGCGTGCCTGCAAGCATTGGTCTGGGCACTACTTTGTAGCACACGTCTGATGTTTGTGGATGCTGGCCAGCGCACAAACGATTGGTGTCGATACAAGAAGACTCTGAAGGATTGTCGCCGTGACGATCTGGTTGGAGCCCACCAGCAAAAGGCCGTTGACAACCGCGATTTTACCCGAGTCCAGAGTGGAAATAACATAAACTCACGTGCCTATTGTCTGAAATCTCGACTTGTGGAGGGTCGATCTCTTCAGTGTTGAGTCGTCCGTGTCAGGAGAATGTGTCAGACATATTTCTCTTCCTATCACAGGTCAAGACCATTCGTGTTGACAGCGGCCGACTTTTGTCTGTCGTAGTTCCCTTTACAAACCCGGTGGCGCCGCGATAATCGCTTTAAAGATAGTGGCTTGCAGGTCCTTAGCCTTCTGGCGTTAATAAGGGTCGGTGACACACTTTGGAGGTGACTTTCGCTTTTGTACAACCCTTGCGACTTCAGCCGTCGCATCGCAAAACTCGAAACATTTCTGCTGGTTTTTTTTTGTCCACCTGCGTTCCACACACTTCGCTCTGGTATCGCGGCGGTACAGTCGACATCACCAACAAGATGGAAGACGCGAAAGTGATCATTCCCAATGCTGCACAATATCCTTCACCTTCAGACTCGGCAACAGAGGTCGGTCATGACTACGACCAGCCTAGATCATGGGGGGCACGCTTCGTTGACAGCTTCAAGCGCGACCCAAACGCACACGCTACACCTCCAGGAACAGTCGGTTCAGATGGGAAAGTCTTCGATGTTGAGGCTGCGAATGCAGCGACTGCGGACTCGGGATTGTCCAGACACTTGAAAGGTCGCCATTTGCAGATGATCGCAATCGGTGGTTCAATCGGTACTGGTCTGTTCGTTGGATCTGGTTCAGCCCTTGCCAATGGAGGACCCGCCTCTTTGATCATCGCCTATGGTATTATCGGCTTCATGCTTTACACTACAGTTCACGCTCTTGGAGAGATGGCCGTCCTTTTCCCCGTCGCAGGTTCCTTCTCAGCTTATTCAACACGTTTCCTTGATCCGGCATGGGGTTTCGCTATGGGCTGGAACTATGCTTTGCAATGGCTCGTAGTTCTGCCTCTGGAGGTTGTGGCTGCTACAATCACCATTCAATTCTGGAACGACACTATTAACCCGAATGCTTGGGTGGCCATCTTCTTATTCGTCATTATCGGCATCAATCTGTTCGGTGTCAAGGGATATGGTGAGGCCGAATTTGTCTTCAGTATTCTGAAGGTCATTGCAGTTGTTGGTTTCATCATCCTAGGTATTATTCTTAATGTCGGAGGTGGTCCTGATGGTGGTTACATTGGTGGAAAGTACTGGCATGGTACGTACAAGTATTCTATGCTTGCATGGGCAAGACTAATGTCTATCTCTANNGAACCGGGACCTTTCAATCACGGTTTCAAGGGTCTCTGCAGCGTGTTTATCACAGCCGCCTTTGCTTTCGCTGGAACCGAGCTGGTCGGTCTTGCTGCTGCCGAAACTGCCAACCCTCGTAAATCATTACCTACTGCTGTCAAGCAAGTCTTCTGGAGAATCTTCCTCTTCTACTTGGTTTCTTTGACTCTTGTCGGCCTCTTGGTTCCCTACAACGACCCGCGTCTGATCAACGGCACCAGCAGCGTAGATGCCAAGGCCAGTCCGTTCGTTATCGCTATTAGAAATGCTGGAATCGACGGTCTACCTTCGGTGATGAACGCCGTTATCTTGATTGCTGTTCTTTCAGTCGGCAACTCGTCCATCTACGGTTCGTCACGTACCCTCGCTGCGCTTGCCGACCAAGGCCAGGCTCCCAAGATTCTTGGATACATTGATCGCAAGGGCCGTCCCATCGTCTCCATTCTCATTTCTTCTGCGCTCGGATTCCTTGCCTTCCTCGCTGGCTCTGACAAGCAGACTGACGCCTTCAACTGGATGCTGGCACTCTCGGGACTCAGCTCCATCTTCACCTGGATCAGTATCTGCCTCGCCCACATCCGTTTCCGCAAAGCGTGGAGAGTGCAAGGCCACAGCTTGGATGAACTGGCTTTCAAATCCCAACCCGGCGTCATCGGCTCCTGGGCTGGTCTGATCCTCAACTGTGTCGTTCTGATTGCACAATTCTGGACTGGCTTTGCACCAATCGGATACGCCGACATGACCACCAGCGAATTGCTGATTAGCTTTNTTGAGGTCTATCTTGCTGCTCCTGTAGTCATTGTGTTCTACGTTCCTTACAAGCTTTGGTACAAGACACCATTTATCCGCAGTCACAATATGGACTTGCACACTGGCATCAGAGAACTTAACGTTGCCGAGTTGGTTGCTGAGGAGAGAGCTGAACAAGCACAATGGCCGAAGTGGAAAAAGGTGTATAAGTGGTTCTGCTAGAAACGCTGGCTGCCACTTGTCCTTTCCTTGTTTCTACGCTTGTAAATAAAAGTCAATATTGCGTTCATCTAGCATCAGCATCAGCATCAGCATCAGCATCAGCATCAGCATCAGCATCAGCCGGGGATGGAGATTAAGTTCGCAGGCATGGCATACGGTGTCTTCTAATACGCTAAATTCTTGTAAGCGTTTTTGTTTTCTTGGGTTGCATAATAATATAGAAATAGACCGATGTATTTTCAGCCAACCTATCGTTTTTACAATGGCCCATCATAGCTGCCTTCTAGGGTCGGTAACAGTCTACCTCTGATAAATCTCATTCAATTGGTTTCCCTACCGAGTCTTGATATACCCATCGCACCGTGTAGTACGACAAACATCATTTCACAAACCCACTCCACTTCTACGAGAACAGCACTTTATTGTTTGTGTCCATGGACGACGTTATCGTACTCGCATGCCTTGACATACACTGCTCGACGCAATTTGCCATTAAATCTTCCCGGAGAAACGAGAACTAGGCTGGAAGAATTTGATCTCAGGGTAGGAGACCTAGTTCCAGCTGGCGCTTTTGGTACTGGGTCTTTGATGGCATGGATCGAGTGGATATGTATATTTATAGGTATCCAGGTCTTCTGAAAACACAACATCATTTCATCCATCTAGCCATGAAGGACGGCAACATCAAGGACTTTTTTCGTCTTCGTTCTCGCGATGAAGAAATCGTACGAGAGCCCCACAGGACCTCCTCAGGCGAAGACTTCAGACGTCGTTAACAATGAACCAATCCAACGAGATGCCGCTGAAAACGCCATCGTGACAATCTCTTCGTCGGAAGCCTCTTCGTCCGATATCCCTAAAATGAAGAAGACTCGTAGAGCCCGCCAGAAGAAGACCCCGTCACCTCCTCCATTGGCACCATCATCATCTTCGGATACCCCACCGAAGAAGAAAGTTCGTAGAAGAAGAAAGAAGCCCACAGTGCCAGACACTTCCGAGTCCGAGCACGATAATGCTGCCGATGACAAAACCTCTCAAGCAGAGCTCGATGAGCACTTGTAAGCAATTCCTCAGCCCCATCATGTCCTCGAATCTACTAACGTTTGAATGATATCAAGTGCCGCCATCAATGAAGAACTCGAGATATGCTAGCAGTTGACACTCGAGAGGCTCCATCAACTGAAGATGAGTCGTAAATACGCCGCTACAATGTCAACAAGCGATGGAGACTGGGATTTCGAGCGAGACACCTCGTTCGCGATGGCTTGTCTTCTCCCGTGGACTCGGGAACTTCTCAGTGCTAAGCATCGGCCAACTCCAGACTCGTAAGACCACAAACGATGCTAGTGTTCAAGTGACGAGTATCTGCAATAGGTACATCTGGTCTCCCCGTATGCCAAGTGTGTAATGCATATACCTATAAAAATGCACAGTATTATCATGAAACAGGATAGTGCCCAATGAGAAGCAGAAACTTATCAGCTCTCAGTGGACACACCTCTGATACGATAACGACTGTGACTTTTTATAGTGTACATTTGCTCTTCGCTGCAGTCGGAGTACAGAGAAAGTAGGTGCTATTAGCTCTGCAGACACGTCTTTGATACCGATGACAATTGTGCCTTTTTATAGTGCATATCTTGCTCTTCGCTATAGTCGGAGTACGGTGAATACGGGTAATATCTTGTTCGTAAATTTGGTTCTATCTTTCCTAAGCCCATCCGCCGCCTTTACCTCCAAATCCACTGCTTTCTTCCACAGGCTTCCTATTACCACCCCTTTGACTCTTCTGCTGCGCCGCCTCATGTTTCCTCAACTCCTCGGGAACCCTCGAGATGGCACTCTTACTCAACATCTGCTTCAGATCATAGAGCACATCATTGTCCTCTGGACCCAAGAACGTAATCGCAACACCGGACTTGCCAGCACGACCGGTACGACCAACACGATGGGTGTAGGATTCAATGTTTGTAGCCATGTTGAAGTTGATGACCAGAGAGACGTCGGGAACATCGATACCACGACCTGCCAAATCGGTAGCAACGAGAACTTCTGTTTTGCCCTCGCGGACGGACAGCAGTGCTGATTCTCTCTGCTCTTGAGTTTTGGAACCGTGAAGGGTGACAGCTGAGTAGCCCATGCGTTGGATGTCTTTTGCCACGGCATCACAATTGCGCTTGATGTTGACGAACACGATGATGGGAGGTGCGAATTCTCTGCTGGAAAGAATTTCTCTGAGTCTGTTCTTGCGCTTGTCTTCGCCGGAAACAAATTCAACACGTTGTTCGACTGTGTCGACTGCTTCACCGACATTTCCGATTGTCACGATGGCTGGACGACGAAGGTATTTCCTTGCAATGCGTTCGACGGCGGCGGGCATGGTGGCTGTGTACATCATTGTTTGACGGTAGCGACCTCGTTCACCTACATGCATCTGCATGGCTTGGCTGTTTTCTGCTTCTTCGGTATCTGGCTTTTCGTTGCCTACGGGCAGTGCGTCAAGGATTTTGTTGACGGGCTCTTCGAAACCGAGATCGATCATGCGATCGGCTTCATCCATGATAATGTAGCAGCATTGTGAGAGAACCAGGACGCGACGCTCGATACAGTCGACCAGACGACCAGGAGTTGCGATGATGATTTCAGCTCCATTTCGCAAGTTGTAGGCTTGTTCTTCTATCGAGTGACCACCGACAATAGACACACAAGTGAAGCCTAGAGGAGTGGCAAACTTCTTTGCTTCGATTTCGATCTGTTGTGCCAGTTCACGAGTTGGTGCAAGAATGATGGCGTAAGGACCGTCGTTTTTGGTGAGTTCGTTGAGAGCAGGCAATTCGGAGATGTACACCAGGAGAGGTAACAAGAAAGCGGCAGTTTTACCTGAACCAGTCACGGCAACACCAATCAAATCACGGGCTTGTAGAGCGACAGGAATAGCTGCTCGTTGAATGGGTGATGGATCTGTGTATCCAACTTGATCAATAACCTGCAAGAGTCGCTTGGGCAAACCAGACTCTTGCCAGTAACGCATAGGGTTCGGGATAGAGCCACCCTTTGTGCCAATGTTGAAGTCTTCTTTGAAGATACGCCAGTCTCTCTCGCGCATTTGTGTAAGTTCCTTTTCGCTCCAGTGCTTGTCGATGGCGTTGCGATTCTCGTAAGCCTTCTGTCGTTCCTTCATCTCCAAAATCTGCTGTGCTCGCTGCTTGCCAGTCTCGGGATCGCGTTCTTGCAGCAGTTTTGCATACTTCTCAGCAGCTGTCTCGTCTCCGTCGGCGTATCCACCCAGTCGAGCAGCCGGAGCAGCTCTGTCCTTGTATAGCGGGTCGGTGTTGGCACTAGTATCTTCCTCTGCGTTCCACTCAAAATTGAACTTCTTCTCAGTGGTTCGCTTGCGCTTCTTCTTTGCCGAGAAGCTTGATTGGTTTTGTTCGGCACCCATATATCTTTGACGGATTNNGGAAGCCTGGGCAGCTTCTTCGGGAGTAAGTTTCTTCGCAGTTTGGTTGCCGTTGATGATGGCAGTCTGTTTGGGAGGCGGTGGTGGAGCCATGTCATAGCCTCTGTTGTGTTGGTCCTTGTTTCTCCAGCCAGCAGGACCTGAAGGAGGTTGGCCTCCTCTTTGACTCCTCGGACCAGTGGGTATGGCTGGGCGACCATCCATGGAACGATGGTTGCCCGTGTTGATCTGAGCATGGCTGCCATTTGATTGTGGCTTCGAGAATGAATCGCGCTCGACTTCTGACCTCTTCTTCGCCTCTGCGGCCTCTTTGTCGAGCTTCTCTTGTGCTATCCTCTCGCGCTCGGCACGCGACAAGAACTTTGGTTTCATAGCGGCGGCATCTGCGGCCTTCTTCCGTGCTAGAATCTCCTCGATGTCCAGTGGTTGACTCTTNTTGACAGTGCCCCATCCTTTCTTTTGCTTCTTCGAGGGCATGATTGAGGGACCAAGTTCTTCGTCATTTATGTCTGGGGCTGGTGGTGGAGGCACATCGGCGACAGGCGGCGGCGGGGCAGCGACATGTTCTGATGGAGGTGGCGGCGGTGGTACGTCTGATGGAGGAGCTGGAGGAGGGTCCATGGTGATTTTGTGAGAAGTTGTGCTGGAACGAAAGTGTTGGCCAGAAGGAAAAGAAGATGATTGAGCGATTCGCATGTGATCGAGAGTGCAGCCTGCCCGCAAAAGCTTCCATGACCCATCGTCATTTCAAAAACACCTTCCTCCGCACCTTCTTCCACGCGACAACACACACAATGAGCGGCGCATTGGGTCTGGGAGGCTACTCCAGTAGTGACGATGAAGACGACAATGTCGCCCCCGTCTCCAAGCCGAATCAGGTACATGGCGACAGACAATCGTGCGCAAAAGAACGGATGGCTGCTAATCAAGTAACCTACTAGGCCGTCGCAAACAAGACCATTGTTGGGGAAGCTCTGCCTGATGTCGTTCCATGCATGTCTATATCCTACAATCAAGTATCCTACAATCTACTGACTATCTTACAGCAAACGATTCACATGCAGCTCCCACCATGATCGTCGAATCCACCACTGAACCACAACAACCTCTTCCTACACCCGACCCTGCACCACAAGCCTCATCTGCTCCGCTTGATCCAGCTCTTGGTTCCGTTGCTGGCCCGACCCTCGGTCCTGTTGCTGGTCCAGCCGCTGGGCCCTCGCCTATGCCAGAACCTCGTGCTCCCTCAAACTCGGCTGAAGACGAGGAAGCGTCTGCTCCGCCATCACCCTACACGGCCAACCGTCTCATGCTTCGGAACCTCACCATGCCGCCCGTTCCCAACTTCCAGATACCACCATCACCACCTGGTTCACCGCCACCAGACACGACAACCAAATTTGCAAGATTTCTCGACCTGAAGAAGAAAGGGACCCATTTTAACCAACGATTATACCACTCGTCGGCTTTGCGCAATCCTGGTCTCTTGCCCAAACTACTCGACTTTGCTGGCGTCAGCCAAGAAGACCAGTATGCGACCCCCTGGTCACAAGGAGCTGTTGCGACAAAATTCCCCGATTGGGCCTATGCCGACAAGTTGGTCGCGGCGCATGAGAAGATTGCAAAGAAGAAGGAACAAGACAAGGGCAGGAATCCAAGAGAAGCAGTCGATTTCGTGCCAGCAAAACAGGAAGCCGCTGCTTCAGCGTCCGGAAGAGTGGAGAGAAAAACACAAGGCAGAAGAGGACTAGGCTTTGACGAGAGACGAAGGTCTCGTTCTCCTAGATGAAGAGACAGATCACAGACCCCAGAACTTTTCGAATCGCATCTTGACGCCTTCCCAGCTGTTGAGTTTGGGGCGGACATCGAGGTAGAAGTTGAGAGATTTGCCGGGCTTGCCCTCATTCTTGCCAGCATAGAAGTCAATGACATAGTCGACGTGGGTGCCGCAGCGGTCCACAATCCAGTCATGTCTGTCGAAGGGTTTGGAGTAACCCAAGAGGGAGTTGAAGCGTGCTCGAGGAGTCAGTTCCTTTGACTGGCCCATGAAGGAAACAAGGCGAGGACCGCCACATNNCTGGTAGAAAAGTTAGCTCAGGTTTTCGGAAGGTTGACCAACAAAATAGACTGACGCTTCAGAGCCTCTGCCCTTCTCCCAGGCCTTGATCTCCTTCCAAGCCTGTTCGTTGACGGCGTTGTGAATGGGTACGATGGTGCGCATATCAGCGGCTTCAGGGTCGTAGTTTTTGCGTTTCATGGCGTTGAAGAACATTTCCTCGGAAGGATAGACCCAGTTTCCACTCTTCTCGTCGACTCCAGACTCTTGTTCGTTGTTTGCGGGACTGTGAGTGTTTTGGGCAGCGTCGTGACCTTCGGCAGATAGGGCTCGAGGAATGGTCGAGATCTCGCGGAAGGTGTCAAGAGCACCTCGCTGTGCCGGGGACATCATGGCCATGTTCTTGGGCAGAATAGCCAACCATGCACCATGATCGAGAGAGTAGCGAGTCTGAATGGGGACCTGGCGAAGGTCATGAGGAGGTGTGCTGGTGGGTATCGGCACTGGCGGCGATGGAGTTGCTTGCGGCGGAGGTGCTGGATGATCCTGTGATTTGACCTTCTTGGCCTGGTCCAGCCATGCCTGGCGAGTTTCGTGGTCGACTGGACATGCGTCGGCTCCTCCTGCAGACATGTTGAGTGTGTTGGTAAAGTGTTTGGTGACTGTCACATGTCGAAACAAAAGTCCATCATGACGGGCGGAGACGGCGACGGAGCGCCAAGTGCCGGCTCAATCATCCAAGCTCCATCGGGCGCGTCACTGCGCTGCCACTTCCAGCAGCTGCCAATAGCATACAATCAACCATCGACCATCTAACTCTCATCACATCTTTTGCCTCTCTCTCTTGAATCTTTCAGTCAGACACTCAGCTTCTCTGTCGCATCCCGCACAACACTCCTCTTTACAATGAACCACTTCCCTCACGGCTGGGGCAGAGTAAGCTCCCTCTCTGCGAACCTCCGCCGCTCTCATACTGATTGTCTGTTCAGCNCTAGAGATGATGTCTACGGCGCTTACGACTACTCGCACTTTGGCAACCAAGATCACTCAGGCCCCATCCAACATACTCAGTCGCCCATCGTCACCGGTACCTCTGTAATCGGCATCAAGTACAAGGACGGCATTGTCATCGCCGCCGACAACCTAGGTACACAATCCTCGCCATGTCACTATGAACAAGATCACATCTGACACCTCCTCANNGCTTCATACGGTTCCCTTGCCCGCTTCACCGACGTCAAGCGTCTGCGCGTCTTCAACAAGCAATCAGTCGTCGGCTTTGGTGGCGATGTTTCCGACATGCAATACCTCGACCGCCTTCTCGGCACTCTCAGCATCAACGAAAACTACCAATCATCCGACGATGTCACCCAACTCTCGGCAAAGAACCTGCACACATACCTCAGCAAAGTCATGTACAAGCGCCGCTCCGACTTCAATCCCTTGTGGAACGCCATCCTCGTTGCCGGTCTCGATGACAACAAGAAGCCATTCCTTGCCAGCGTTGACCTTCTCGGTACCACCTTCAGCGCCCCGACACTTGCTACCGGCTTCGGTGCTCACCTCGCACAACCTATCCTCCGTCGCGCAGTACCCGACGAGGAGGCAGCAGCCAAGCTGACCAGAGAAGAGGCCGTTGAGACCATTAAGGAGTGCATGAAGGTTCTTTTCTACCGTGATGCAAGGAGTATGGACCAATACAGCATCGCCGTCATCGACGGTCAATCAGGTGTTGATCTCAAGGAGTCGGAGAAGCTCGAGAAGCAGAGCTGGGCATTCGCAGAAGGCATCAGAGGCTACGGCACCCAAACAGCATAGATGATGGGACTGCACGCGTAATTCAGCATCATGACATGAACGGCGTTTTCTATTTGAGCAGAAGGGGGTCAGGTTTTGCAACACCATCAATGTATACTACCAACCAAGGAAACTCTTGCACGTCCAAACGTGCGATACCCTTTCATTTAAAGCTCCTCTTGTCATGACTGCTCTTTCGAAACAACAACCTACGCTGATCACCTCTGTTCACTGGATATGACAGTTTTGTAGCTAATTCATGTGACAGATGGTCGTCCCAAGGCGCCGAACTTCAGCCACAGACTTCACGCTTCACCTTGATCCACGAGTCATATCCTGTTTCATATGCGAACACCTGTTACAGACCTTCTATCCTTTCTAATAAACCGCCTTCTCGAAGCTCAGAAATATGTCGTCGCCATTGACTCACTAAGATCGCACAAACCTAGTTTCTGAGTGAGACCATCTCTCGTCGAATATTCTATGTCATCGAAGCATCAAAGATAGCACTAGTGACCCAGGCTACAGTTGTCCGCCCCTACGAAGGACTAGCTAGGTCGAATGTCTTTCGCCGCGGACATTCTAAAGTGAGTATGTTTAAAGACCTTCTAGGCTTTTGTCAAGTGTCCCAGACTGGCACTTGCAGAGGCATCTGACGCTTCCCAACGTGCTGCTTAAATCACCGAGGAATCTCATTCTCGCGTCGGACTTCCTCAAGAGCTATGTTGCCACAGTTGGTAGGCCTTATCTGGTAAGTCTGGTAGGCTTCGTCGCAGGATGATACTCGGCGGAGTTTGACACACGCCTGAATGGCCACCGACAGGTCTTGTTCCCGATCATGAGGGCTAAGCAGATGTATCTCCAGCAAGAGAAGTCTTTTGTTTCAATTTCATATATCCTATTCGCACCTTTCGTCCTATGTTTCTCAAAGCCTTTCCGTGATCCAGACACAATATGACCTCAACGACGATGAACAATTCGACAATGATACCGGCGAGACTACCGCCACCGGGTATGACCAGCAATCTAATCAATCCTGCCAGTACGGGATACCAACAGACGATATGCAATATTATATGTGTCACATTCGTCACGATTTTCGTGGGGATGAGAATCTATACGCGCATCAAACTGGTCAAATGTGTCAGTTGGGATGACTNNGTAAGTATCTTAGCCCTACTGATGATGATGAACCTTTGTACAGGACAATCTGTTGACGAAAGAGCAGATCTTATGATTTTCGCAACACTCGTGTTCTACACTGATGTAGGATGTTTTCAATACATAGTCAAAGTAGGCTTGGTGAGTATAATCCTGTTCCATCTTTTTCTTTTCGTGCTGATATGTGTACAGGGTAAACATTTATGGGATGTCAGTGCTGCAGACTTCTCACCCACCTTCTTGGAAGTCTGGACTTTTGCTGCCATGATCTACTCGGTGTGCATGCTGCTCGTCAAGATGTCAATCCTGATGCTGTATCGTCGATTGTTTCCTATCGAGAACTTCAGATACTTGTGGTGGGCGTGTGCATTTTGCACTGTGGGATATGGTTTAGGCGCCATCTTCTCGAGTCTGTTTGCATGCGTGCCTGTTAGAGCTAACTGGTGAGTTGTTGCGACTGAATCAAGCAAGCACTCTGACAGGATTGCTAATTAGTATTCGTATAGGGACTTGACTATCGCTGCCTCAAGATGTATCAACAAGCAGGCATTTTATATTGGCAATGGCGTCATGAACATCGTCAGTAAGTCTACATACTCGTGAGTCCTTGCTTCTTGTATAGCAAAGACTGACTATATCGCTACAGCGGATTTGATGATTCTGGCTCTACCTATACCCATCGTGTGGAGGTTGACTCTTGAGCTGAGACAGAAGATCATCCTCAGTGTTGTCTTCACGTTGGGTTCAATGTACGTCCTTGCTTGCCTCTTCGAGCTATCGAGGCTGCTGTCGTTTGATTATACTGACTCAAATGCTATAGTTNCTTGTGTCATCAGTCTAGTACGCCTCCTCAGCATCGTAACATGGATCCGTGTCGGCGACGACGACATCACATACACACTCCAAAGCATCGTAGTCTGGTCGTACGTCCGCCTTTCTCCCCTACCTCTCTCAACCCCCAACTCCAAGCTAACACAGAATCCANGCGAAATCGAACTCGCAGCTTGCATTCTCTGCGCCAACGCCCCCTGCCTGCGCCCCTTCTTTACAACCCACCTCCCTTTCCTCTCCCTTCACACCCACAAATCCGCCTCTTCCAACGAGAAAACAAACAACTTTCCTACCACGATTGGAGGANAAAGATCACGAGCAATCTCTCCTTATCCCTACGATGACACCGATGGAATCTTTGACGGCACCCAAGACGTAGAACTCGAGAATTATGATGTCGAGATGAACACCCCCACAACAACATCACCTGCANAAATCATCGCTGGGAAAAGTGCAACAACAACAACGACAACGACAAAACACTCCTATGCCAAACACGGCTATAAACCCTCTACAGGAAACATGACAATTGTTTCTGTGTTATCCAAGCAAGACAGCAGAACCCCCAGTCGACGAGGTAGTATTTCGTCATCGGAGGAAAGCAGTTTGGGGAAAAGTGTTAGTAGACAACAGAGTTTGAGGAGTGTGGGAGGAGAGAAGAGAGGAAGGAGAGGGCAGGATGAGAGAAGAGGGAGGATTAGTGCAGAGGAAGAGGGAAGGATTGTGGTGCATACGACTTATGAGGTTCAGACTGTTAGGGAGGATGTTTGAGGCGAGTAACAGAGAGGAGATAAATCTTATTAATGTCTTTTGGATGATTTTTTGGCTTGGGAGATCTTCTTGCCGGATTGTCCAGACCATCATGTGCGGTTGGAGGATACGATATCCTGATTCGTCCGGCACGATGTGTAGAAGTCTAGACTGCTAAGCGACTTGGTGTTCTTACCTGCAGCGGCAAAGGGAGGTGAACAAACAGATATGCTTGACGTATGCTGCAGGCTCACGTATAGAAGTGCACAATGTTCTCATGAAAGAAAAAAAAAAGAATAGAAGGATACTCAGAGTAGTTCTTTGGAGTATGTTTTTATTCAAGCTCAAATATGTCAAAGGTCAAAATGCCAGCTTTTGATTTCGTAATATCTAGATTCATAAATCTTGTACTCTGAGCTCTTCTTGATCGATTATAGTTTAATCAGTGCCAGAACAGCCAACAAAGTCGTTTCCAGAAGCGCCGGTGTGGGTAATGGCGCCAGCGTATTCGCCGTTGGTGTTGAAAACAACTCTGTCGGCACCGGGAGAGCCACCAGTGTAGACACCGTTGCTCCTGTATACGTGTTAGAACTGGTCCGTACACATCGCAAATCATGTCTGGTGAGGTGAGCAACTTACNTTGATTGGAAATTCTTGATAGGGACCATCGACAGGGAAGTCAAAGCCCTCATAGTCATTGTACTGGTGAGGATAATTTGAGTTGCCGTAGGTGACGCCGTTCAGATAGTCGTTGTAGCCTGCGTTGAAGGCGGCGTTGACCTGGGATGCGCTGTAGTAGGTGTCACCACAAGTGGTGAATTGTTGGCGGGCTTCGAGATCGGTAGGAAGCGCAACAGCAGAAGCTGCGAACAGCACGGCAGTAGCGAAGATGGACTTGAAGAGCATTTTGTTGTCGGGAGGTATATGTGGATATTTCGGTGGTAGGTGCAGAGAATTAAGGTCGAAGGTGTGAGTACGACAGCGAACGTATGATCCGTTACTCAAAGCGAATGGAGAGTTCTGATCAAGTTGATGCCTCGTTGAAGCAGAGATCAAGCTGGTATTTGAATTCCTACCTGTTGCTGGAGGATCAACTCTCCTGGATATCCAGACATCCGAAAGCCATATACCTCGTTCCTGCTATCTCATCATCCATTGGTGAGCATGTCAGGTCACAAAAGTAACTTCCATGTTAGCGAGAGACTGTGCTGCAAGAGGTCGATGATAGTCCATAGTCGTCGTTGCGCAGCGACGAGGTGCTTCCAATTCCCTCCAATCGCTGAGTTTAGTCGGGTTTTCCATGCATGCAGCAGTGCACATCAAACCGGGAGATTTCAGCGGCGGTAAAGGTTGAAAGTTGGCACAAAGTGTCGTGCATACTTGCCTTCCTACTTCCAGTAAAACGCCCTGTATATCTTTTCGAGTATGCCGAGATGGCCGAGGAGTGAGCTTTCAGCAACAACCTAAGAAAGCTAAACAGCCAATGATCTACTGATAAGAAAGCACGTCTTTCAAGGCACAAGTCATGCTTCGGCCGGGTGAAGATGGATGATTGGCAGGGAAGAGAGAGGAGAAGTTGTGGTCCCTCCGCGAGTCCGCCTTCTTCTGATGATCGACGGGCACGGGCCGTCTCGTGCGATGCTATCCTTGGCAGGCGGGTGGTTTCCTCACGTCGGACGTCGCCTCTTGTGTTTGTCGGCTTCTTACTCCATCAGCCAATGATAAGGGCCATGTGAAAGTGTATGTCGCTCAAGCCTTGGAGTGCTCGGTAGTAAGATTCGAAGATCGTATTAATCACTAATGAGGCCCGAAGCCCAAGGACAGGGCACGAGCAAGAGGGGTCTACCTTGTCGAAGCACTCATCCGCCAGTCATCATTCGTCATAGGTAGATTCGAAAAGATCAAGGCAACAATAATTGCAAGTAACAAACACATCTCCTCTTCTCTCACTCAATTTTATCCTACTTCGTGTCTTGAGACCTTTTCGCGTTCCCTTCAGTCACGAGCATCGAAGTCATTCATCATTCTACGAGCAAGATGGACATTTCGCCTGGGATCACCGAGTGTGAAGAACACAACATCCTCTCTTCGTATCTGGCGGATCCAGACAAGACAGATGCCACACTGGAGCGCCTCACAACGTGCGCAACCTCCTCACTCTCCAAGGGCGAGCTCGAAACACAGCTGCGCAGATTGTGGAACAGCTTTCTATACCTCTCCAGTCAGCAACCGCACTCTTCAAAACAACAAGACTCGCTCGTCAAGCTTCTACAAGTTCTGACCACCAATTCCTCTACGCTCAAAGACACCAATGGTAGAGGAGTCGAGGTTGATGGCAGCAAAGTCTGGCGTGGTCTTCCTCTCTTCGGCCAACAAGCCCGCGAATGCTGGAACTTCCCTAGTGACAAAGAGGTGGATACTAAGACCAGAGATGTGTGGATCAATGTCAATGCATTCGTCGCACGCTTGACTGCTGCCGCTATCAACGAGCATGGTGGTGAGAGACAAGGTTACAGCCCTCTCGACTATTCTCTCTACGGCATATGGAGTCTGAGAAGTGCACTCGAGGAGAAGCGGGAGAACCTGCCTGGCAAAACCACAGTCGATGCTTCGGTAGGTGCTGTTGCAGTATGGATTGTTTATGCTGGTCCTACGCTTAGAGGTCTCTCAGAAAGCAACAAGACTTATAGTGGCAAGGTTGCAAAGCCAGGCTCCAAGTTCAAGGATCAGGAGTGGAGAGGCTATACCAAGGACAGATGGCAATCGTGGAAGGAAGAGCTCGCCCAGGCAAAGAGCCTCGTGCAGGATGACGGTATACAAAATCTCGTGCAACAAGCATTAGAAATCATCAAGCAATAGTTAAACAATCGAAGGCCAGAGCCGGGAAACTGGCGCTTAAAAGGTTAATCATCAATTGAGATCGAGCTGTCGATAGATATTGCACAGGGAGATGCTCAAATCGACAATCCTATCACTCACAATCTTGCTTGATCGTGTCATGTCATATGCGTTTTCTACAAGTGCTATTGGCTGATCTCTGAAGTTGTCCAGCTTCCTATTAGCACGAGGAGGCAGAATTGAGCCACCGTAGCTTTGAGCCACCGTAGCTTTGAGCCACTGTAGCTTTGAGCCACTGTAGCTTTGAGCCAACTGCATCTGATGTCCCAATGACTACCTATCCTCGCTGCCCTCTTGATTCAGGAGTAGCTGTTTGTTTGATTGCTGTACAAATACTTAAAGACTCAGCGATAGCATCACACTGTCGCAACGTGCCTAAGCAGATCACACTCACAGAACGGTCGTTTGGGCAATGGCTCATATCTAGGAGTGGCTCAAAGCTAGGGTGGCTCAGATCTACCCCGGCGTGCTTACAACATTTCATTCACGAAAGACTTGGCCAGAAGTCTTGACCAAGCCGAAGTCTACTTCGGAAGCCATCGTTGTCAACATCAATATTGGTCGTATGAAACGATGTTCGCATAAGCATGTCAAGAGACTTTGTTTCCTCTCAATGGATTGTATTGGTGATCTTTACTCACGCATATATGTCGAGGTGTTCATCATCTGAAATACAGCTGTACTGTGTTGTATAACTTAGAGAGAAGGATCATGAGGAGTTGATTTGGAAGCTGAGTTGCGCAGGAAAAGAACCATTACACATTTCAACTCATCAGCCATCCGGACACCAGGCAATGCCCATTGTCGATTCCACAAAATAGGATCGTCTTCTGAACAACAAAAGCAAAACATACAGCAGCAGGGATTCCCACGTGGTCACCCACCGTAGTACTAATCTGCCGTTCAACTGCTTATGTATGGCAGAGCGGACGGGATGCCCAGTTTTCAGCTGACTGTGGCCGTATGTGCTTGATGGCTGGACTTCAGACAATATAAACATGTGTGATCCTCAGCCATGTTGGCCTCCAAGTACTGTTGCATCCTTGCTCATCTTTCTTTGGAAGCAAAAACGAACATCGAATTTACTATCAACTACAGACGGTACATAACGATCATAATCCAGATACATATCGCACAGCGACACCATACATATTATGCACAGCGACAACGAGTGCACTGTCGAAAACCATTCGCTCTACAAATGAAGCGAAAATAAGGAAGGAAAAGGCAATAGTTGAATCCCTTACTACGATATACGACACGGTCTAGAAGCAGTCGCGTGCGCCGAACTGCTGACACTTCCAGAGTCCGTACCCACCCGACAACGTTTCCCCTCTGGTGATATCTACAAGAGGTCGCTCGCCATTTTGCCCTGTCTGAAACCAGGATCTAATCGAGCCGAAACATTCAGGATGCGTGTCTCTCGCCATCTCTTGCCGTAAAGTGCAAGCCTCATGGCGATCGACGTTGCCGTTGAAGGATCAGTCAATGAAGTCCAGAACAGCAGCAACTCCACCCTGTGCCTGAACTGTCATACCTAAAAGAGTTGCTACGTACGAAGATCTGCCGCGTGCAAGATACATCGTCCATGAGTATCGGCAGCTAGATTGCAAGTTGTCATATCAACCCCCTCGAAAGTCATCAATCGGACTCTTTCTCTGCTGTGAAGGACATGATTCTCTCTTCTAACAGCAGCGATGTCGAAGACATTCCCATCAGCTGAGTTGGACTGTTGTCAATATACAACGTTCCGCATCTACAACTGTCTTCACGCGAAGACACATCTAGCATCAAAAGAGGACACTGCTTATGCATGTCATCTTGAATTGGACAGCCCACTACTCAGAAGACATACTAGTCCGTATTTCAATGTCCGGCTCTCGCCTACATTGACTCTCCTCTGTACATTCGAACTCCTTTGCAGAGACGAAGGTCACCACGTGGCTGTCCACTAAAGGATCTGGTCCCGCAGATCACACAAAAGGATTCAGCCTTGTGCATTGCATGAGCTGGACCGGATCTACATAACATCTGACAACACCCCAGGGCTGAACTCAATTGTGCAAACTTCGTGCGAAACGAGACGCCGGAGATGCTCAAACCCCCTGTATGAACCCTGATTCGTGAAAAACATCTCCCTCGGCAAGGGTAACTGGCAGCAGACGCATGTACTGCTAGACTCAGAAACTTTCCCTACGAGCGATTTTGTTTGTGTACATCACGGTCGAATAACGCCACCAGCCAGTGTCTTTCAATCAAGCTGGACAAACTACATATATCGAAGTTTCACGTACTGTCACAGGCGGCCGGTGGATCCGCAATCCGAAACGAGTTTATGCTGTGTACGAACAGATGATATAAATTTGACCACGGCGAAGCCAAACATACAAGCCTCCGGTGCGGTCCGTCATTGCAGCCAAGAGGCTCAAACTATCACCATATGTATGCCAAAGCATAGCATATGCAGACCTTTGAAATCACCCATTCATTGGCCAGCACAGCTGAATGACATTAGTAGAGAAGGCCAACCACGATACCTCTTCCCAAACAGTCATGCAATCGATGGAATTGCCTAAACGAGTGTGCTGTTTGATGGACCCAGATGGGGTGAGTGGAAGCGATCGAAGTAGCCGCAACGTTGCTGTTATTGGGCACCGTCAGACAAGCACGCTCGAGACGCAGCGACAGGTCATAACAAAAGGGCGAGGCTATCCCAACGGCACTCGGTAAGAGGCGCGATCCCGGTGGAAGATCCGGGTCCTATTGCATCTAGGACGCACTGACGCCAGGGTCCTTGTGAGCTACAGGATTAAGCGGGTTCGCGAAAGCAGCTTGAGCTCGATCAAGAACCCAAGTGCGAAGTCCAACGGCGCTCAATAAATAATAGTGACGCAAAGAACTTAGGAGGATAGCGGCGGTGGCAGCGGCGGTCGTGGTCGCCTCGGGCCGTTGATCTCATTGCCAAGCTTCTCCTCCCGCGACCCCACGCGACGAGCACGATTCCACGAACTTTCGTCACATATTTTCCCCCTCTTGGCCTTACAGCAGGCTATGCACATTCGGTGGAAGCTCTGCTCATGCAGAGCTTCGTTTTCACGAACACTCGCTTTCAATTCTCACACGAGAACCAACTGGCTCAACATAAAGGTAGCGGCTAACAATACTCGCCGTTTAGATGGCTGTATAATGATAGGAGAATAAGCAACATCGCCACCCAGAAGCGTTGAAAAGCCATGAGTCGCTTCGAGGCGAAGCCCCTACAAACACACGCCCAGGCATGAATCTCAAGGCGCCTCACCTTGTTCCTCAGCTGAACACTTATGCTTATCTGTGTTCTTGTCATCTCAATGGCAAGGGTCTTAGCCTATGTTACATTCTGGAAAGTTGATCTGTTGTGACTTGGCTTGTTTGCAAGTCTTTAGTCGTACTTTCCTGCCCTGCCGGGCGTTGGCTCTGATTCTTGCAAGGTAGGGCGAGAATCAGAGTTTCACTTCCTCTGCAGATCTCCCGTAGCCGTCCAGGAGTCCTCGCCATCTTTTACCTCACGCTCAAGGCGTTGAACATATACTCTACGCGAGACGTTAAACCACGTCCGGCAGTGTGGGATACAAGGCACTAGTATTACACCGTTGACACTAACTACTATACACACACGTGAGTTGACCGCGGCATCAGAAGACGTCAGGTTCACTGCTCACCATCATCGCCAGCAGTTACAAGCAAGAGATATGCCGCACAATCACCACTGAGTGGCTTTGAACTGGTCTGCCGTTGCGGATATGGATTAGGTCCAAATTACTTGAAAAACATCGTGCAATCGCCATCATCTGCCTATTGGTCACGATGTTTCCTAATCACCAGACGAATCGGCTGTCTGCCTATTGGAACTAAGAATCAACTCGATCTGGAGCCCCGTGTTGTTTCGTTTGTCTCTGCAAGGGGAGCACCGCCCGCATGGTTCAGTAGAAGGTCTGGAAAGGTCCCTGCTTGAACGTCTAGCTGGATGTCTGAGTCGCTACGCCGTTAGAATTGACAGACGAACTCGCGTGTAATGATCAACGGTGGCATGCTTGAAAGTCATGGCACTCGTCTCAGTCCTAACACAACTGACCTCTGGGCTGTCAAGTGTAAGCGGACCGACGGACGGGTACCTCTGCTCTTCATAACGGTTTCAGTATCTGGAGCGTGGTCAGTAACCTGCAAGGAACTCTATGGGGGAACTCTCTACAACACCGCTGAAACTTGACTATCGATCTTTCTTTTCACTAGAGCCTGTCTATCGCCAAACACTTCCCACGGACCTGGGAGTTCTGGCGGGGCCTGTCCGTTGGTCTATATCGAAAAATCATTTTCTGTCTCTGGGACACTTAGTATAAGTATCTTGAGGGATCTTCGTTGTCCCACTTCTCCATCATCATCTCATTTCTTGTGCACCGGGCAACGAAGATCCTGGCGGTTTTCGATTATTTCATACCTTGTCATATCCTTGGCACTCGATTAATCCTCCTCTTCTTTGTTATAATACCTAATCTAATACAACTTTAATCATCTTCGGACACAGCACCCGACAGCCATGTCACGTAACAACAGCTTCTCTACCATGCAACGCAACGACAGCTTCGATCTGNTGAGTCTCAGCAATCATCTCTTGCTATTACTCATGCTAATATATTCCAGCTCACTAGCGCATCATGACCATGTGGTCTGCGTTGTTGGTGTCGGCTATGTTGGCGAGCACCTTCTCAGATCCTTTGGCACTTGCTACCAGTCCATTGGCTTCGACATCTCTATCCAGCGCCTCGCACAACTGCAACCTATCTTTGGTCACATGCCCAATGTCACTCTCACCAACGATGAGTCCCTCTTGGACAGAGCTACTGCCTACCTCATCTCAGTTCCTACTCTTCTCAAGGCTGACAACACTGTCGACCTGAGCCATCTGATCAGCGCTCTCGCCATGG